TCTATAATGATGCTACGTAACCCGACTGAAATGCTGAGAGGACATCAATCATACTTAAGTGGCGCTACGAATGCCCTCAATTGCCTTGCAAGAGCATCCGCCCACAGGACAATATATCCTGGCGAAATCATATACATACATCATCAATGTCATCCTCCCAGCCGATAGCCCCTCATTTCCCTGAACGTGCACGGAAGTTCGACAGTCTGGCGTGGATATTTACAGAAAGATATGATGTATCACGGGATATAAGCGATTTCAAGACTGGAATCATCCTTCGCTACGTAGCGCTCAATCTCACATCAGATGAGGATCCGAGAAAAGCAGACCGATACGATACCCTGGCGCTTGAATATAGCCAGAAATACAGTGAAACGAATAGCCTCCCTGATCTTGAGACCCTCTTATGGCATCGCCAGAGAGCCCTTGAGTTGACTCTACTTGGGGATCCTCAGTATGAGATCTATCTTGAGGGTTTCGTGGACTGGCTGAGAGCGAAATACAATGTGACAGACAGCTTATCGGATCTTGATATGGTAATTGAATTTCGCAAGCATTGGATTGATCTTACTCCAGGCGTCAGTTCAGATAAACAAGCTGATCTAAAAATACTTGGTACCGAGTATGAATACCGATATGAAGAAACAAAATCCCTCTCAGATTTTGACGAAGCGGTTCGCCATTACAAATATGCTATCGACTTAAATCCCGATGGTAAATTGTTGGTAGATATTTTTGGTCGCCTTTCATCCATATTTCGACAACGATATGACGAAACGAAGGAAGAAGAGTACCTCGATGTGTCAATAACATACGGCGAAATGGCAGTCAATTCAACTCCCGAGGACAACAGCGACAAGGTTTGGTGGCTTCGAAAGTTGGGGAGCAGTTACCATTCGAAGTTCTCACTATCGCACTCCTTATTTGATATCAAGCAGGAGATTTATTGCTATCAACAGGCTCTCGTCCTGGTCCCGGAAGCTTCTCACGAACGCTTCGAGCTTTTTAGATACCTCGGGCTCCGTTTTCTGGAAAAGAGTGATGAAACATTTTCGGCAGATGACCTGATGGCATCCATAAAATATTTTGAAAGTGCTTTTGCGCTGGAATCATATCACCGTGGGGATCGTAAAGGATTTTGCAATCTCATCGGATTAGAGTTTATTGCTCTGTATCGAATGACGGAGCATCTTCCGTACCTTGATACAGGTATCCAAAAGCTTCAAAGCTTTGTCGACGAGGTTTTAGTTGACAATACAACGGAGATGTTAGAGTGCATGGATACACTCGCCCTTGCATATGAATTGAGACACGAACGAACTGGAGAGAAAGCTGATCTCGACATGCTTATCAAGCAATGTAGGAGAACCCTCGATGCAATCCCATATGGTCAACCATCTCGTTCCAATTACCTTGCAGAGCTTGCTCCTCGATACCAATACTGCTATTTTCAAACTGGTGCTCTCTCCACCCTTGATTTCGCGACTCAGCTACTCGATGAAGCTATTAGCATTTGTCCTAAGGAGGATCCAAAAAAGAGCCGTCATTACGAGTCAATTGCTCGGAATTATAGCCACCGATATCTTAGAACTAACGAACTTGATGACCTCAATAGAGCCATTCAATATGCTATAGACGGTCTTTCTTTGACACAAGAGGGCTGCGAAGACCGCCCATGGCTTCTCCTCTCCCTTGCAGATCTTCATTTAAGTCGGCACAAGAGAAGCGAAAGAATAATTGATTTAGAAACTGCATTGCAGTTGAATCATCAAGCACTGGATTCAACGCCAATTGGCGACCCTCTGAGAGAATTCGAATTTCGGCAACTTGGGTATATGTACAAAGAGAAGTATGTGATCAGCAAAAGTGATGCAGACTTCGATGCCGCCATTGAATATCTTCAATCTTCACTCGCAAATCAGGTCCCTAATCAGCGGAGCGTGGCAAGTACACTTTCTTCACTTTACGAATGTTGCTTCAGTAAATATGAAGTAACGCAATCTTTGGAGGATCTCGATACATCTATTCAATTCTGGAAACAGATGTCCCATCACTCAAGTCAATATCCCTATGCACGGGGTATCAGCAAACGCTAGACCCCGGATACGCGTTATGGCTACGTTATTATCTCCATACGCGTGAGGAAGTGGACCGCGAGGCAGCAATTAATAACTTCCGAACAGTTTTAGACAGCGATGGAACATCTGTAAGCGACAAGCAACTTGCTGGGGACCTTCTACTCTTCGCTTACGCAGAGAATGGGGAGTGGATACACGCATATCAAACTGCTCACAAGACGGTCCATCTGCTCTCTTCTCTGGCGCACCATGCCCTTGACAACCATGACAAGCAGTATTTTCTAGCCCAAGCGAGCTCCTTGGCTTCAAATGCTGCTGCTATGGCAGTTATCACGGGGGAAGATGCATATGAGGCGATTGAACTCCTTGAGATCGGACGTGGTGTTATTATGAACGCCCTCAATGCAAGAAGGGTAGACCTTTCAGCTCTACGTGAAGATTGCCCTTCATTAGCTGAAGATTTTGTGACTCTTCGAGACCGGCTCTATGCACTACACCAGTCACCACTGGAGAATATTGATGAACGCCACGAGATGAGCGACAGATTTGAGCAATGCATCGGAAATATCAGAAAACTGAAGGGATTCGATCACTTTTTGAGGCCCCACTCAAAAAATGATATGCAGGCCTTTGCACAGCGCGGGTCAATTGTGGTTGTCAATGCGAGCATGTATCAATGCGATGCATTCATCATTGACCAATGGAATATGTATACCTTACCGTTGCCTCAGTTAAAACTTCTCGACATTAACAACCGAATAACGAAACTTCCACATATCGACAGCGATCTGCTTGAGTGGCTTTGGGACACAATCGCAGTACATGTTCTAAAGAAACTGGGGTTCTGCCAGAAACCTCAGGATGATGATATGCCTCGCATATGGTGGGTTCTCACCGGACCTCTCAGCAAGTTTCCCATCCATGCAGCAGGATATCACAAACAGAACTCGGCACAGACAGTCTTGGACCGAGTGATATCATCTTACGGCTCCTCTGTTTCGATGCTTATTTACGGCCAACAGAGCTGCAATCAGGTAGATAAGCCTAAGGAGTCCGGTAAGGCTGTCATTGTGGGCACAAATGATCTTTTACATGTAGCCGAGGAGATAGAGAACGTCAAGGATATATGTGGCTCCATGAAGCTGGACATTATGACGCCCTTACCCCGCCGAAAAGATATTCTATCAGCAATGGACAGCTGTACCATTTTCCACTTTGCTGGTCATGGGCGTATGAATAGCTTGGATTCATTGAAAAGCCATTTGGTCTTGGACGGCGATTCACTTACCCTTGACGGCGTACTCAAATCAAACTTGTCCAGGCACCCTCCGTTTCTGGCATACCTTTCTGCTTGCGGAACTGGCCAGATTGGGAAAAATGACTTAGTTGACGAAGGTCTCCATCTCATTAGCGCATTTCAGGCTGGTGGATTCCAGAATGTTATTGGCACTCTATGGGTGGTAGATGATAGAATCTGCCTGGATGTGGCGACCGAGACATACAAATGGATTGCAAAGAACCAAATGCGCAGTGAATCAGTCAGCGAGGGACTCCACCGGACAATCAGGAATCTACGAGATCATTGGATTTTGGCCAACACTGAACCTAGGGGAGACAAACTCAAGGGCACCGAAGGGGCTCAGGAAGTGCCACTCAAGTCAAGAGACATGATACCCGTTGAGGCAGACTCCCCAATGCTGTGGGTTCCATTCGTTCACTATGGAGTCTAACCAGATCAGCTATTGATGAGGACAGTGAAGGGTGGGAAGAAATTGATTTTTTCTTGAATAGTAAGAGGTAAAGGAGTTTGTTGCGTGATAGGGAATGCGTATCTTTCGTAGTGGCAGTGCCAGGGAGCAAGTACCAATTTGAAGAAATGTTCAGGAGCATATCCCATATGGTGGCTATGAATCTATAATTCATTCCTAAATCCGGACGATCTTCAATGGCTGAACGGACCTTTCTAAAGCACTACGAGGGTCAGCATGTGTGTGACTATAATCTGTTTCGTTGATTACCAAGATTTTGTGTAAATTTACAAAAATCAGAGATTGTATATGCCATGGCCAAGATTTGTTCGCCTGCACTTGTCTCATGAGTTCTGAATGATGCAAGAAACGGTTAAATGTTGCTCAAAAGCTCATCATGTGATTGAAAAACAGCTATTAATATCTCTCCAGTTAAGCAAACACAGCCTTGATGTAAGAGATGCCGATCAACTTGAATCCCCTCTTGGAAAGCTCAACAGGTTTCCTCGCCTTCCAGCCGTTGTATGGGCAATCCTTGCCGCCCTTCTTGATTGGAACTCCGCCAACATTCAAGGCATTAGGCCAATGTGTGGTACTCTTAGTCTCATAGAAAGCATTCTTCTTTCGCTCCAGCTCCTCCGCGTTGGCATCTGTCGCGGGCATATAGCAGGTGTATATGCAGAATCGAGGGGCGTCGCCGGTTGGGCTGAGGTTATAGTGCGGGCAGCGGCTGTCCCAGACGAGAAGATCGCCTGGCTCTGCATTGAGCTTCTCCCACCTGCAGCCCTTGTTCTCTAGCCATTTCATACCCCTTTCCGTGAAGCCGTACCATTCCTTGGTCCAGGCCTAAAGCTTATCCGGCTCGTCCTTGAATTTCTCGTGGAACTCTTCGCTAAGTCGGTATGCGCCTTTGCAGACAATGAGACCGCCGTCATTCGGCCCATTTGGGAGAAGGTTAACAAGTCCTTGAAGACATCGGAACCTAGGTCTCTGGGGATCTTGATCTTGGTGTGGCCAAGGCTTGTTGTCGGGCAGGTCGGCACGGTTTGGGAAGCTGATATTGACCCCATCAAAGGATACAATAAGATCCTCTGTGTCGTAGACCTTTTCAAAGGCGCTGATGACTCCAGGTTCTTAGCGGACATTCCAAGCGAAGTGTTCGTGGGCTACTCCATATCCCAAGCACATTCCTTTCTCGTTGATGATGGGCAGATTGTCTTCCTTGACAGTTGAAGGATCGTCCCGTTTGGAGCCTAGCCCGCCTTTGCTGTTAGGTTGTTAGCCCGTGTGATAATAAAGGGGGATAAGGCTGACCAACAATGTTTCAAGGAAGGTAAAAATGTCTTCAGCATACTTTTCAGCCCGGCCACAGGGGATGGCACCCTTTACCACGGCGACACCGTCGCGGACAAGGTCATCGGGCCAATCCCCATATGTGACACCCTCCTTGGCAAACAACCTGTTCTCCCCAGCAGGCTTCGGGGTGATAGACTCCTTTGGATGGCCATTTGTGGCCACTCGAGTAACTGTAACGGTTTGAGTGGACATTGCCTCGATTTGTATAGAATGAAGTATATTAGAGCGATCCGAGTCTTCTGAGCTGAGTTAGTTATGATGAATAGATTCTCCAATAGAAGCTGCAGCTGACTTAAAGCTTGCAATTGTGATTATCTAAATTGTTTGATCATCTTTCGTTTATATGTTTAGTTGGCGCTCTACACAGGCGGTGATAATTTCGGTAAGTCTGAAGCACCAACATATCGGTACGTAAATTGGGGTCGGTTCGGGAACTCCTCATGTTGCCACGCCCACGCCCACCGGGATCTGCTAGGAGTATCACTTACAAGCCGATACGAACCGATAGCTATTCTGATAGGTTAGGATTCATACGTTTTCCGAATGAATACTTGTATGAATTTGAGCTCGTCTTGAATTTAATATTGGTTGGATGAGGAGCGGTTTTTTATCGTTGTATATCCAAAGGAGATTTCCTTAGGCTATCCATATCCATTCACAATTCGTCAAGTCATGTCACCCCAAATTCCAATTGAGTCGATAAATGCCCCCAAGATTGGGGTCGGTGGCTACAACGGTTTCAACCCTCGTACGGAGATCTTACCTCGCGGCTGGCGACACCCTGATGCAAAGCCAATCACGTAGGAAATTCTTGTTGAGCATGATGTGGCAACCCCGATGCGGGATGGCACTACACTCTACGCCGACATCCTTCGCCCTACCAGCGGCGAAAATGTACCGGTAATCCTTTGTTGGTCCCCCTTCGGGAAGAAGTTCAACGGCATCAAGTCACTGGGGTTGATGACGCCCTGGAACCTTGGTATCCGACCGGGAACACTGTCTGGCCTTGAAAAATTCGAGGCTCCTGATCTAGTAGACTGGATCCCAGAAGTATACGCTATCATCAACATTGACAGTCGTGGGTCTGGCGACAGCGAAGGGACAATGGTCATAGTTGGACAACAGGAGGCCGAGGATGGATACGACGCGATTGAGCATGTAGCCAAGCTCCCTTGGTGCAATGGACGCGTGGGACTTGCAGGAAACTCACATTTATCAATCGCGCAGTGGTTTATTGCAGCTCTTCAGCCGCCGAGCCTCAAGGCCATAGCTCCATGGGAAGGTTGCGGTGACCTTTTCCGTGAGCAATTTGCTCGAGGTGGGATCTACGCTGGGGATCTCTTTGACAATCTCATCGTCAAATATATGCTTCAAGGTCGCAATGGCGTAGAGAGCTTCCGAAAAATGTTCGAGGAGCATCCACTTGCAAATGAATGGTGGAACGATAAGCGGCCAGATATGAGGAAGATCCAAGCTCCTACATACATTACTGGGACGTGGACAAACACTCTGCACGGAATGGGAGCTATCAGAGGTTGGCTCGATATCCCATCGCAAGACAAGTGGCTTCGGTGGCACCCCTGGCAGGAATGGTATGGCCTTTGGGGGAACCAGCAGGCCAAAGAAGAGCTACAATCATTCTTTGACCACTTCCTCAAGGGCGAGGAAAACGATTGGCCTAAGACGCCTCGCGTGAGGATGGCGGTCCTCCGCTTTGGGAGCAAAGAATCGCAGTCATATGAAAACATAGTCGAGGACGATTTCCCACTCCCAAGAACACAATACAGGCAAGCCTATCTGGGGCCCAACAACAATATCGTCCTGGACCAGCCGTTGGAATCAAATTCAAGCCTATGCTATCAATCACAGTCTGATGACCATCTTGAATTCGTGTATGCGTTTCAAGAGACGGCACAACTCATTGGCATCCCTAAAGCCGTGTTGTACATGTCCTGTCCAGATCACGATGATCTCGACGTTTATGTTACAATCGAAAAGCTGGACAAGGATGGAAAACAGATGAAAAACCTCAATATCACGTGGGGCGGTATACCAACCAACTCCTTTGGGGATATTAAACCCAATGAAGAGACAGAGGTAATCGCCTATAAGGGCCCCTCTGGCATCCTACGCGCATCTCACAGAGCTATCGAAGAGAAGAGAAGTATGCATCCACACTGGCCCTTCCATCCACACGATAGGGAGGAGAAAATCGAACCAGGGACCATGGTAAGGTTAGATATTGGTATTTGGGCGTTTGGAATCGAATATGAAGCTGGCGAGAGCCTCAGAGTCGTCATCAGCTGCCGAAATTGCTCAATCAGCAACTTTGGGAAAGATCATACCAATAACAATGGGAAGCACATACTACATTTGGGGCCAGAGTACCAAAGCCATCTTGTCCTTCCTTGTGTGTAGGTAGGTAGGTGGGCATATATAGAAATCAATCGACTAGCACATTTTGAAAGGAAAGGCAGCTGCTTGATGTTTGGCACCGGTCTCTATAAGTACTAGTTTTACTGGCTCTTAATGATCAATGTACAAGATGGATGGACAATCTTCGAGGTGTTAAGCTGCATCTGCGAACTCGCCACTTGAACTGTGCGGATCCCAATCCAAGAACACCAGAATCGATCCAGAGCGTGCATCCATGATAAAATGAGAGGCATACTACAGCTCTTGAGACCCGTTCTCCAAACACTTGCACTGTCAAGGAGCGGTATGCATTCATTTCGTCTTATTTCTAAGGGCTATCTCATCTTAATTATGACCTCTTTAATTTCAAGCACTAGCTTTTCCTTAAGTGATGGCCATGTTCACTTTGACATCTGATCAGAGAAGTGTTTATGGCCTCGCAGGTTATTATGGTGGCTTGTGGGCTAATCTACAGAGATTCGCAAGCTGCCCAGGTAAAGCCGCGGCCTACTATGGTGGAATCAAAAACATCCGCGTCCTCAACTGGAGCTTTGATACTGCTTGGATGCAACGGGATGGCGTCGTAGAAGCACCGGAGACTAATTCCCTCCAATTAGAAGGGGGAATTATGAAGAAATTTTATATCCTACGGTACTGCTCAACTTCCCTTCCTTGTCCTGAATGCCGATCTCCGTGTGGGGTACTTGGCTAGGCTTGATTAGAACTAGAGGCTAAGTGGGGACGAATCGCAAAATGTGCCAATAGACATCCGTAGAGTGTACGAGGGGCAGCTTACAACAATCGTACATCTTGAGGGATGATAGGAGGGCCAATTGAACAGCGATCGCACATCCTGATAAGGGACAGGTAGGTCAATTGATATAGACACCCATAAAATCAGGAAGCCGCCGGAGCTTTGGTAGTTGATCCTGTCTGTTCTTTTGAGGAGATCGAATCATCTGCAGGAGGGCATCTGATGGTGATAGACTTATAGGGTAGTAGGCGGGGTTCTCACGTGACAAGGGGCGCCCCCACAACCTTTTCCCATGACGAAGTTTTCATCCCTAAACAGTTGTTGCGACCTTGATTACTCACGCCCTGATAACGAACGCAACGAAAGCCACTCACAAATATCTCAATATGGCCGAGAAAAAGACGGACGCCCCGGCAGCTGGCATGCTCTGGGGGGGCAGATTCACAGGTGGGATTGATCCTCTCATGCATAAGTACAATGCCTCTATCGGCTACGACAAGGCTCTTTACAAAGAAGATATCCTTGGATCAATTGCTTTTGCCAGGGCCAACTCAAAGACCGGCATTATCACGGAAGACGAATTTCAGACGATCGAGCGTGGTTTACTCCAAGTTATGGAAGAGTGGAAGCAGGGAACTTTCGCTATCATGCCGAATGATGAAGATGTAAGACCCCTCTCCGTAACTGAACCTACTTACTGAGGCTAAAAGAATCGGTTAGATTCACACAGCAAATGAACGCCGCTTAGGAGAGGTCATCGGCAAGGACACCGCAGGCAAGCTGCACACAGGGCGTGAGTCTTGAACCTCTCCGGCCGTATTATGCTTTTCTAAAATTTTGTTTTATTTAAAGGGAGCCGGAACGAACAAGTTGTCTGTGATATGCGAATGTGGTTGCGCGATCGGATCAAGGAGATTGACAGCCAACTCGTTGCATTCCTCAAGGTCGTTATCGCACGTGCTGAATCTGAGATGTAAGCCTTTCCCCGTCTCTAGCCATAAGTAGCTCCTCCTGACTGATAACCTCAGTGACTACCTCATGCCTGGTTACACTCACAGCCAGCGTGCCCAGCCAGTCAGATGGGCACATTGGCTAATGGCACACGCTGCTGCGTTCAAGCAGGATCTCGAGCGGCTGCGACAGGTTTTCGAAAGGGTTAATCTCAGTCCACTTGGTTGTGGCGCTTTAGCCGGCAATGTATTTCAAATCGATCGACACGCCATAGCCAAGGAGCTTGGCTTTAGTGGAATAACTTTGAACTCGATGAATACTTCGGCTGACCGCGATTTCATCATTGAGTTCCTTACATGGAACTCAATCTTCACCAACCACATCAGCAGGTGGGCTGAGGATCTGATCGTTTATGGAACCAGCGAATTTGGGTTCGTGCGGCTGGCGGATGCATATTCGACAGGCTCCTCGTTGATGCCTAACGTAAGTTCCCTCGGCTTCGCGTAACCTATTGACATAGGTGAAGTGTCAACAGGACTAACAAGACTTTCAATTTGTAGAAGAAAAACAGCGACTCGCTTGAACTTTTGCGCGGCAAGTCAGGTCGTGCTTTCGGTCAAATGGCTGGCTTGATGATGGTGAGTTTCCATGTTGATATCTTAGCCAGTTGCCTGGCTTTGGGGAGCGCTCAAGGTCGTATTGAGAATAGCTACTAACCATTCACTTCGAAAGACTATGAAAGGCCTGCCATACTGTTATGCCAAAGATTCTCAGGAGAGCTGGGAACCTATGTTGGATTCTGTGGAGTTTGTGATGGATAGTTTGGGCATTGCTAACGGGGTTGTTGCTACCTTGACGGTGCGACCAGAGCGGATGAGGGCTGCTCTGGACATGACGATGTTGGCCACCGACGTCGCAGAGTGGCTGGTGAAAAAGGGTGTTCCGTTCAGGGAGGCTCACCATATCTCCGGACGCATCGTTGCCCTATCTGAGAACACGGAGGTTTCGATGGACCAGCTGACCCTGGAGCAACTACAAGAAATCGACTCTCGGTTCACGGCAGACATTGCGGAGGCTTTCAAATATGAATCGAGTGTCGAGGCGAAATCGGCTCCAGGCGGTACCAGTCGGTCAGCCGTGCTGGGACAGATCGAGGAACTCCGTGCTATTTTAGAATAGAGGTCTGATGACCTGGTGCAGGATGCTGGCGGAGCAAGGAAATTTGGTACGGACATGAACGAATTACGCTTTATTCTGTGGAATGAGATATGTTTCGAGAAGCCTAGAAAAGATGAACACAAAATGACAAGATACATATAAGAAACTAGAACAGGACATCCGTGGCCGAGCCCTTAGAGACGAATAGACCCTCGTTTTTGTCTTGCAGGCATCTTTAGATCTTCTGCACCCGCAGTCTATTGGATGCAACTCAAACATCTGGTGTCGATTTCAGTGACTGCCCAAGCTATGCAAGCTTTCATGGGCCCATGCCTCTAGGTGAAAAAAGGCACTTTAGCCGACTTGAAAGTCAACGGGAGGAGGCAATACGACTGAGATTAATGCTGTAACTTGCCAATCTCTTTCACAGACCAGACAGAATGTGATATTCAGACTATTTAAAAGGCTACGGGCGAGAGGATACACGGATATTTATACAAAACATAACCTTCAATATCCTCATGTGTGGACCGATATTCGTCTCTCCAAGCCACATTCCATTTATACTCTCCAAGAAGACTCGACTTCTTCCAATGCAACTCCACCACAAAGACAGAGGCAGCCATCCATCCTTGGGGATTTGCAAGGAGACAGACCCAGCGCACTGTGTCGTCAGTCAGTGTATTAACACCGTGACAAGAACACTCGCCCAGCCGGTGTGAATTGAACAGTTCCAATAAACTGGTGGACTCTATATAGGTCTGTGGTAACCTTTCGGGCTGCTCGACATCAGCAATCAAGTAGCCCGGAGGTGCCCGCGGACAGTGGTACACCCTGAACTGGGGTCCGGTTAGACCGTCCTTAAGTCTATTGTGGGCATCCATACAATCTGAAATTCGTCTAAAGCTTGGAGAGTCGATCCCGTTTGTTCGCTTGAGAAAATCGGAATCATCTGCAGGAAGATATCCGATGATGACAGAGTATAGACTGAGAGGACCTCTGATAGACATGAGGCTAGGCAGAGCTCCTACGTTGATATGGCAGCTCGAAGTTACTAGCCGATCTGTCGACCAATCGACAGCCCAAGGAGGTAAATCAGGACATCTAGGTAGCTTTGGATATGCAGGATCCTGTGGATGTCCTGCACGGCCAGGCGTGATGCTTAGCAGCACACCTGGATTGGCGTCCTCCAGGACTGAGAAACGGGTGAAAATGGCATAGAGCTGCGAGGGTGAGATTGAGTAGTCCACTTTAATGCTAGATGACCTAGTTCTCGATGACAACCCCATGACGGCATACAGTTTGTCATGATGCACTGTCGCGTTGCGGATTCGCACCTGTTCAATTGCCTCTGCCAGTGAGATTCCCCGCCCGTTCCAGAACTTATTGTGAAACTCATTCAGTTTACGAATCTCGGAAACCCCCATTCTCATGCCAAAAGAAGAACTGAACCTATAGTGACTTCGATTCATTTCATAAGATGCGAGGGCAAAATACCGCCAAGGCATCGCGTATGGGCCGAGATAAACTGTGATTTTTGAAGCCAAGATGAATTCTTGAAACGTCCATACTCTCTCAAACTACCGACTAGACTCCATTACGGAGATCAGCTCCTGAAGCCCGTCGCATCGATCAGCAATCTCTTGGTGAGTGCGTTCCTTGCAGAGTCCCAGTCTAAATACTGACCCTGCACAACTAGAACAGCTGGGGTATTCCTTTTCGAGTGGAATTCCCGACCTTATCTCTTGAAAGGTATCAATGGCAGCTTTGTAGTCACAGAGGGGATCTGAAAGTGTGGCTATTCCCAAGCAACAGATCACCTCTGTTGCACACGCGTACAGGTCTCCCATCATGGCCACCTGGGCTGGCTTCTCCACGGGATCGTTTTGATTGATGCACAGGCTATCAGTCCACAGCTCAATGTCTGGCATCTGTACAATAAGCTGGGACAGAGCATCATAGAGGTTTCTCGTGATCTCTACAGGCGCACCGTTGCATAGTAGTAAGTAAGTGAGAGAGCTATGCAGCTGCTGAAAAAAAAAGGGGAAATTCCTAAATACTAAGAATTTAATAACTTGATACTATACCCAGTATTATAATATATCCCAACGTTTTGTGTCAAGTGAAAACTCCAACGTTTTTCGGTTTTCGGTAGCCTTCACATAGCTCAATAACCGTATTCCGCGAGGGGAATGAAGCATTGGATACGCGAATTTCATGATTTAGAGTAAGTTCTTTATGTCTTTGGGGACTATATTCGAATCGTCCAAATGGTATAAAAGCTCAAATTGATGGAATGAAATGCCAAGTCTTTCGTCATCCATAATCGCGCAGAGAAGGCAGGAACCCCTTAAGTGCTTCCACGTGACATTTCAAACGTGGGATTCAATGTGCCTCTATGCGGCCATCACGACCTACATTAGCTCTTAGAATAAGTATCGAAAGGACAAAACGTTTTCGCTAACACTGGAGCGTTTCAGTATATTGAGTGGGCAAATTAAACAGCGGGTGTCTGTACTCTAATACTCTCCAGATTCATGTTTTAGACAAGCTCTCATGTTCAAATGAAAGGTATCAAAGGACTTAGAGTAAATAATGAGATGTTGATTTGATTTTGGGGATATTATTAGCTTTCTTCAACTAATAATCCAAGTTCTAAAGAGCAGAAATTTTCCATCTTTTCACAGCGGCACGTAGAATTGAGCGATACTTGTGAAATGCTGCTCAATAAATTTAATCCAGATATTCCGCGCAAAGCAGGTCTCCCCGGAGATCCATCACCTCAGCAATAATCGCATCAGGAACGATATTAACCATGCCCAATATATGACTAAGTGTCGTTTCGTTTCCCGGATCGCCATAGTCAAACGTGTCTGCGCGGGGTTTCAGACCAGGGGGGCCACCACCACCTGGACCGCCACCACTTCGAGGCTGATTTGTTCCGCTCATGTCAATAAGCCGAGCCTCTAAATCTAGTTCTTGCCATTCCCACCATATTTTGTCAATGTACGCATGATGAAGGAAGAAAATAGGATCCCCCGGGCTCAATGTGACATTGACCATCTTGAAAGGGTATGTCAGTCTTTCTCCTCTAACAGAACAACAAAGGTATGTAAATGAAGACGTACCAAACCACCAACACCACCATGACCTGCGTTATGAGGGGAACCTTCGAAGCAGTTACGGGCGTCCTCGTATGATGTAGTTTCCATGCAAGCATCTACATTCCCTTGAACTGCAGATGAAAAATCGCGGGCACTCAGCGAGCGATAGATGCAATAGGGGTCAGTTGCCCCGTTGGCGTTGAGGCGCAGCCTAACGTCCACAAACGGACCATCAGAAATGCAGTTTCCGTCACCTCCGAAACCGGTGTCTGAGTCAAGGACGACCGAGGATAGCAGATCACTGGCGTCGGCTGTTTCGTTCCAGGAGGGCTGCCCGCCCTCGTAGCCACACTCTCTGACTGTAGAAGATACTCGTGGACTCTTACAAAGTATCTGTGCCAGGGAAGGAACCCACCCTTTACATAAATATGTTGAACCTTAGCTTTCGAAGATTCAGGATGTTCATTAGCAATAGAGGATAGAGTTAGGACGTACTACGCCGTGAATGTAGCTGGTCTGCGAGATGTGGGACCAATGAAGTTCGTCCCATCTATTTTCAGCACCCTCTGTGCCAGCTAGTGCTGGTTTTGCCTGTAGGCATTTTTCGGCTTCAATGTATGCCATTTTCCCCTCGTCGGTCAATGCGTTCCTATCATGTTTTCAGAAAGCTTGTTTCGCTGGAGGCAGACGGCATGACGTTTCTCACCAAGCAGGGCGCTGCGTCCGTGTTGTGCACGTCTTATTCCACTCATGTCCGGCAACAAAAGAGACTGGAACAAGTAGAAGCCAAATGGCTAGATAAGGACTCATATTGCCCGCAATAAAAAGTTTATCTTAAAAGAACCAAACTGTTGTTGAGGATCGACAGGCACAGAGAAGAAAAGAGACATGCTGCGGAACGGTCTAAGGTCTCCTTAAATACTGATGTCGTTGACATGTTTACTGTTGGCCTTGGCTTATTAATGATTCCTAACTGTTGCATCGTGAAGTAGATGTCGCATCCAGGTGTCAACTATTGAGTTGGACATTTACCTCAAGTGTTACGTGTGATCTAATTATGGTGTTTACGTTGAAGAAATACTACATGCCGCGTGTGCAGTTACAGTATGATTGTAAAATGACAAAAAGTTCCATTCCCTTTGGGCTTTCCTGCCGATCTATTCTGCATCTGGGATTCGGAAGCAACTATTACCGCTCTGCCATAGTCCCTATTCAGCTGGTACGTCGTTTAAGCAAGGAAGAAATCCTCCTCGGTTCAAGTCACAGAAATATTTCTCGGTTTTGTCTTATTCTTTCAATTCTATTAATCCATTCTTGTGGTTGAGCTTTAACCAACGATGGGTACATGCGACAACTTCAGAAATGGTAGTAATAATAAAGGCACGCTTGTGTTATCACATGAGACCCCGATCCTCAACCACTAGATCCGGTCTTGACTTCACTTGTCATGGTTGAATTCGCATATGCAACCCTATTAACCATATTACGTAGTAGCATATCGTCGCAAAGGGCTAACTCTCCACTCTGCCACGCGGCCTGTAAAGCTTGATACTGAGAACCGGGCAGGAGAACAAGGGGGACCCCAACCATACTACCAAGCTCAATATACTCGACCAATCTAAAGCAACGTAATCCACATTCAACTGCGGGATTATTGGTCTTAGCGAGCCATCCATTACGACAAGGTATCTCGAGTCTTATATTTTCGGGATCCTCATTATAATGCTGCTATTTTGATACCAATACTGATGTTGCTTTGTTCATAGAATAGGGAGACTGGCCTCTCCGTCTAAACGTTTCTCAATCAAATAGCCCGTGTACAGAAATGAGGGCCTTTTTCGGCTGAGTTGAAAAAAATTTGAATTTCAGATAAGGTGCAAAAATGTGCAAGGCAGCTCTCTACGTAAAGAGAAGGTGACTCAAGAACTAATGTGGGACTAGGTAGCAACGGGACACTTGTAATGAAACGTGTAGTAACGAAAGGAGAGTGAGAGTATTGGACAAACTATATAAATTGAGATATTTATCAGTAATTAATTATAGCTGTTCTTAGCAAAATATAGGCTTGTTATAGATTCAACATATATAATCTAATTAAGTTAGGAAATCTTACGTTGAAGAGGCTGATAATTCGTTATGAAGGCGCTCAACTCTAGGGTGAAAAAGATTTAATCAAGGAAAAATTATTATATCAGAACAAGTGAGGAATTGTAATAGCCCTATAGGAAATAAATGTAGGGAATGTAAATTATTGTCCGTAACTGAAAGTTGTTATGACTAGAGCTCTGCTTAGTCTGTTCAAGTCTATTATTATGAAGCGAGGTATTTTCCAACTTTGAATGTATGTTGCCATGCCTCGTACATTGTTTGAAGCAAGCCTGTGAGACCGATAGAACCCGGGCCGCCGCCGAGATCGACCATATTAAATACACCTTCTGCATGCATGCGGGCTACTCCCATCTCTCCAAATGCATCCTTGAACCCAGATATGATTAGCTACAAGCAACTGTATTACAACTGACATGATGTTTCTTACCTCATCCATCGCTAATGAAAGGGCCATGGCTACAATTAACGCATTCACTGGCGACGACATGCCGCTAAGCAATCGACGCAGTCTCTGCAGACCTCTCTGCTTGTAGAGGAGTATCATTTGCGGCAAGACTGGATCATCTGGTCTGGTCTCCCGAAGATGCCGGCCGGCCCTGAGGAGAACAGCGGTGTCGAGGAGGTCCCGGTCAGTCACAGCGAGACCTACCCATTCCCGAAAGACCCGCTCCTGATGGTCACCTGGGGCGCTAAACAAATCATGACATGTCGCCGTGGCATGCGGCACGACGATTCGGACATCTGTTGCCGGAATTAGAAGAGAGGGATACATATAAGGGATACATATAAGGGATACATATAAGGGGTGGCATGGGAAGGCTGCTCTAAGAAGATCTAGCGGCAAGGCGTACAGTGATCAAGGAGAAAGTGTTCCTGATGAGACAATGGTCTGGGCAGGACTGAGAAGATGTCTTTGCGAGAGCTCACTATGCTGCTAGGTAGACTTAGAAAGGGCGGGCCGAGGACTACCATGGCACTTTTTGCATGAGCTTGCGTGGCATTTGCTTGAACTCTTTGCATCCGTAAGCGTTTTTTCATGGCGTGCGTCTCGCGCCGGGCGTGTGAATGTGTCAGCTTTCGTGTTTCGAAGGGGACGGGCTCCGTCGGGCGTAGGACGGCAACAAATTGGAACTCGCGCGGCATTTTTGAAAATTTGTTAGACGTGGGATTGGGGACAGAACTGTGATTTCATTGCTCCAGGTAGACGATCTGGCAGCGTCACCAGCGACATGTAGGTGCAGCCGGTAGGTATGTCAGATGGGGAGGATGGAAATTAGTGATCCGGGAGCCGGTGGAGTTGAACGGCGTTTTACCATTGGATGCATGGAGACAGTGGATCAAGGCTTCTCACTGCCAAGAGTTTACAACTACCGGTTTGGGACAAGCTGGGGTTGGGCAAGGAATGTTTTGTACGGCAGGGGAAACAACTTAATACCAAAATTATGTTTGATTAGAAATCACGCCAGCAGTTACAAGGAAGAAACCGACAAAAGGAATTAATAGAATATATGTATAGCCGTGTATCTTAACTGCCAAGGCTTGACAACTACCAATTCGAGATTGGGCAATGAGTGTCTCCCACTACAGAGGAAACAACTCCAATATCTGTATTAGAAATCGCTCCAGAACTACAAAACTAGGAACAGCTAAGAAAAGACTGAGACAATATATATACAGCTTTGTATCTCCAGATGCAATCCATTTCTCTTGCATCAATATTCGACTGTTCCCGAGTCACGCGATAGAAAAGATGCCTAGTTTATCAAAGCTTTTCTGCGTTGGGCAGCTCATTGCCACCGCAGCGGCGGTGCAGAGCCTCAACAGCAGCTACCCAGCTACCAACTTCAAAGCCATCTTTGGATCCTCTCCCCAGCCGATGACTGTCGACGTCAATCCCGACTTCATTGCCCAGACCAAGCTCAAAGTCTCCTTGACCCGATTTCCCATCGAAATTGACGGCCCCCAATTTGTCGAGGGGCTGCCAAACGAGAACCTCACGCAGTTCCGTGATTACTGGCTTAACGACTACGACTGGGACTCTGTGCAGCAGCAGCTCAACTCCAACTTCAGCCATTTTACAACGACTGTTGGCCCGCTTGATTCGTCGTCGTACAACTACACCTTGCCCATCCCTCTTCACTTTGTGCATCATCGCTCAGAGCGCCCGGATGCGATCCCTCTCCTCTTCATCCACGGCTACCCGGGCTCTTTCCTCGAAGTGAGCAAGATTATTAATCTGCTCACTACACCGCCCAACGATGATACGCCTGCATTTCACGTTGTCGCTCCCAGCATCCCAGGGTTCGGCTTCTCACCGGCTGCTACCGAGCCCGGGCTCGGCCTTATCGAGGTAGGCGCCGCCTTCAACGAGCTGATGAAGCAGCTTGGATATGATCGCTATGTCGCGCAGGGCGGCGACTTTGGCGCCATCACCATCCGTTACATGGCCGCCATGTTCCCAGACTCGACCGTCAGCATCCTGAGCAACCTCTGGGGTGAGGCTCCAACCGATGCGGATCTCCTCCGCTACTCAAGAAACGAGACAACGGCTGAGGAAAGCTCATTCATTGAATTCTTCCAGGGAGTGTGGCCCACCGTCCTGGCGTTCTGGGGCGTCGAGTCGACTTTTCCCCTTCAGCTTGGCACTCTCCTAAACGATAGCCCGATAGGCAACTTGGGATGGTTGTACTGGGGAACAAAGGGCTTCTCTCCTGGATACGACTGGGGACTTGAGGAGCTCATCACCTGGTCCATGATGCTCTACATCCCCGGGCCGTACGGTAGCGTGCGGACGTATGCGGAAATGAAGAGAGCAAGTCCTCCCACCACAAAAATACTATCGAAGTTGATCTCAGACTAACACGAGTACAGGAAGGTACACTCGACTTCGCTTGGAAGGACGTATCGATTCCCGTCGGCGTACTCCAGTACTTCCCTGACGTGGGTTACGGTGTACCCCGCGACTGGCTAGAGCGACAGGCCACGAATATAACGTACTTTTCTCGCAAGCCCCTGACCACTCTAGGCGGCCACTTTCCAGCTACCATCAATCCGACAGACCTTGTCGACGAGATGAGAAAGTTCTGGGGATCGGCAGCCGGCGGGTGGACGGCCTGAGTATAACGGCCGTTTAATGGGATTCCTACGGCCTGGGTTGTGGATCTTGGCCCTTGTGCCTACATTCCATAAGGGAACACGAGTTGTCTTCTTCTAGAGCACAAAGGGTTTTGATCAGCTCAACCGCTAGAGGTTACACCACCGCCTGACGGCTACACGAACACTGTTAAGTATGGAGGAAGATGTATCCTAATCTAGATAGTTGGACAGTAAGCTAGTTTGTATACCAAATTGCCCGGAAGAAACTTTTGTCTTCAGTGACTGGATTTTGTCAGCTCCACCAATTTTGACAAGTTTCCCTAGGCCCCGAAAATGAGTTGCATCCAAGTGGGTGACATAAAAAATGGCACACCTAAGCACTCCCTTAACACATACTTGATCTATTATCTTTCGTAGCTAGCTATCGAATTACGAAAACGAGATTAAAGGAAAAGAATATCCATGCCTTAATATTAATTCAATCTCTTTTTAAAATTAGCTACTTATTTAAATATGTAGGTGCTTATTTAGGTGTTTATTTGGGTCTTCATTTGGGTGTGCCATTTCCTGTGTCCAATTGGCGTCCTAGCGCCGACTGCTCTACCTCATCTCTATCATCTCCGTAGTGGAACAGTGATTGGATCCGTGTGTTTAGCTTATTTAGTCACAGTTGGCGTGCCGGAGTTCATAGTCAAGTTGCGTCACCGCGGTTATTAGCGCCCTGGTTGGGTTCATCGATTGAAACATTCAAAGAGTTTTAAACATCATATGATTAAGTTAGAATAAATATCGGCTTCAGAAGTCAATCATGGGAACTAGTTGAATTATGCTAGGTATAAAAGATCTCATAGATGGGATAAATCCTTACATATATGTGGTACAATATGCCAACTGCAATAAATCCGTCAAAATACTTTGTACTTAACCTTTTATTCAGGTATCATGAATCTTAATCATTCTTGAAATACCTGAAAAAGGAGATCGAGTAATAAAACAAGTGAGAGCTGAAGGTCTAGTCACATCACGTGATCGTTGCAAGTTTAGGCTTCATTTGTGCGTTATGGAAAGGCTGACTTGCAGGTAATCACCTCATCCTCCATCGACTGTAGAGATGCGCTCTCGAAGAATATGATACCCTAGCACTCATCGGAAACCTTCCTATTTGCTTCGCCGCCTCAAGTTGGTTTGGCCTTCGAGCACCCGAATCTGCATCATGGATTCGCCGTCCCTGCCAAATCGCATGTATACTGTGGGTTGGATCTGTGCGTTGGCGGTCGAAATGGCTGCGGCGACGGCCATGTTGGATGAAATCCATCAAGGCCCTCGAGAGTTGCACCCCAACGATCACAACTCTTACACATTGGGCAAGATAAACGATCACAACGTCGTGATTGCCTGCCTTCCGGCTGGAAATTATGGTATCGCGCCGGCAGCCTCGACTGCGCAACAAATGCTGACCAGCTTTACTGGGATCAAGTTCGGTCTCATGGTTGGGATTGGCGGTGGAATCCCCCAAGAAGGACATGATATCCGACTCGGTGACATAGTCGTCAGCGAGCCTAAAGGCCAGCTTGGAGGCGTTATCCAATACGACCCAGGGCGAGAGTTGGGTGTCTGTTTTGAGCGAACAGGCTGGCTGAACTCGCCACCGGAAGTATTGCTAACGGCCCTCAATGCGCTGAAGGCAAGCCGTTGGTCCAATAAAAGCAAGCTCGAAAAGATCCTTGCGTCGTTGGCAGCCAAGAATCCATATTTCGCTCACCCAGGTGCAAATGAGGCTTGGGCTGAGCTGCCTGATCGAGGCAATCTGGATCCATTCGTCCACTTTGGCCTCATTGCATCCGGGAACCAGGTTATAAAAGATGCTGCAACTAGAGATCGACTAAGACAGGAGCTCGGAAATGTGTTGTGTTTCGAGATGGAAGCAGCTGGCCTGATGAACAATTTTCCCTGCCTCGTCATCAGAGGTATTTCCGACTACGCGGATTATCACAAGAATGACATTTGGCAGCCGTATGCCGCTGCTACAGCTGCAGCTTTTGCCAAAACTCTTCTCTCTATTGTACATGCCCATGAGGTGGAAGATACGAGCTCCGCCCCTGAAACTACTGGTATGTTCCCATGATATCGAAATTTTGCCCAGTTATAAGCTTAAACTGACGATGATTGATAGATTCACCTTCCCCCGTTCTACCCATTTCAGGAATCAGTGACGGCAAAGAATTTGTTGCAGAGGCAGCGGCAGGAACGTGCATTTGGCTCCTTGAGGATGCCAAGTACAAGGAATGGCAAGAGAAAGACAATGGTTTGCTCTGGATAACAGGGAAACCAGGCTCCGGAAAGTCAACATTACTCAGATACGCCTCAATGGTCGACTCCGAAAGACGAAGCGATGACTCACAGAACGTGATTGTCTTGACATTCTTCTTCCACAGTAATGAATCTGGGTCGCAGACGACGCCTCTCGACTTTTATCGAAACCTTCTCCATCAGCTAATTGTACGATACCGGGACCAGCTGTGGAATCAACTGGTGGGGGTTGTCCAGAACTTCCAATTGAGCTCGGGGCGCTCGATCAACGACGGGGAGGAGTGGAGCTGGCATGTCAATGAGCTGGAGCGCTTGCTTCAAAGCTGCATCAACAAGGCGCGCGAAACACATGCCGTTCAGATAATGGTGGATGCTCTGGACGAGTGTAGTCAAGATGGCATCGTCTCCCTCGAGGCTTTCTTCAAGAATATCCGGTCTCAACAAGCTTCGAGTCTTTCGCGATTGAGTATTTGCATCACGTGCCGGCATTTTCCCCTGGTCAAATGGCAGCAAGGAAATGAAATTTCCGTCGAATCGAAGAACGAAGCAGACATCAGGACATACGTACGGAGTAATCTCGAACCGTTTGAGGACGGCCAAGATTCCGGGGCTCTGGAAGATGAAATGGTGGAGCGATCTTCTGGAATCTTTCTGTGGGCTAAGCTCGTATTGCCCAATCTAGTATTGCAGCAAAGAAAAGGGTTGAATCCTGAGCAACTTCTACAGTCACTTCGAAAAACGCCCTCACGGTTGGCCGACATCTTTGAAGATGCCGTTAACAAATTGGCCGCTGAGCCGCAAGAAAAGGTGTGGAGTTTGCGATTATTCCAGTGGCTATGCTTTACGCGCAAACCGCTCTCAGTTGCAGAGCTACAATGGGCGATGAATGTCAGTGTGAACAGCCAATGCTCCTCGCTGGAAGAGTGCCTTCGCTTGTCGGATTCTATCCGAACGGAGAAGCAGATGAGCAAAAGACTACGAAGCCTCTCTGGTGGGTTGGCAGAGTTGCGTGAGCATCACGGAACCCAAGTGATACAGTTAATCCACCAATCCGCCAAGGAATTTCTCGTTGAGCGCGGGTTCCAAATTCTGGATCCTGTGCTTGAGAACGAGGTTATCTTGCGCGGCCAGGCCAACATCTGCTTGTCCCAGGCTTGTATCCGTTATCTTGCAATGGATGAAATCGTCAGCTCTGAGAGCAACAAGCCCTGGCAACAGTTTCCTTTCCTTGACTATTCAGTCACATCATGGATTTTGCATGCGGAAAAGGCGGAACGGATGCACATGTCTCAAGAGTACATTCTATCGTCATTCCATTGGCCCTCTGAGCGCATTATTGGTTCATGGGTCCGAGCCTCGACAAAAGCACATAAGAACTGGCCCGTGCCTTGCACCACTCTTCTACATGCGACAGCCCGGCACGACCTTGTCAGTGCAGTCGTGGCCCAGACTTGGGGGGCCTCCCTGATCTACAAGTTTCTTCTGTATTTGGTCATCCAGAACTGGGTTATGATTGTTCCAGTCAGCGTGCTGCTTCGTCAAGTATTACAGCTGTGTGTCGTGGCTAATCGTGATATTGACCGCAAGGATGACAGTGGACGAACACCACTGTCTTTGGCTGCGGCAAGAGGGCACAAAAGAGTTGTCCAGGTTCTACTTTTGCGAGCGGATGTAGATGTTAATGCGATAGATAAAGAGGGGAGAACACCCCTGTCTTGGGTAGCCGCGGCAGGTCATAAAGAAGTTATGGAACTGTTGCTCGCCCACCCCGGCATCGACGTCAATCTCTCCGACAAATTGAAGAGAACTCCTTTGATGTGGGCGACTGCAAAATACAATGGACCTGTGGCGTTACGACTTGTCCAGGAGGCTGCCGACGTGTCTGCCTCGGACCATGATGGGATCACCGCTTTGCATCTGGCTGCGGAAGGTGGGCAAGAGGAGCTGGCCAGAATACTCCTGGACCATGGGGCCAGTATAGAAGCGAAAGACCGTAACGGACGTACAGCAATTCACGCAGCGGCTTTGTACGGACAAACCCTCATGGTACAGCTTCTGCTTGACAGAGGAGCTGATATCACAGTGAGTGACAACGGCCGCGATACGGTTCTACACCGAGTGGCTGGGAATAGAGACCCAAGAGTGGCTCGACAGCTGGTTGAGAAGGAGTCAGATATTGTAGCCACGGGGATTCTGGTCCTGAAGCACTATAGTGATCTCAACTTTTTGACAGATTCATATGGCAGGACCCCTCTCCATCGTGCAGTGGGTAATGGGCGCCGGGCTTTGGCGGAAGTACTCCTCCAGAATGGAGCAATGATAAACGCCGAAGACCATCAGGGACAAACGCCTCTATTAGTGGCGATGGAAAACAGAGAGACGGCAATGATGAACTTTTTAGTCGACAAAGGTGCAGACGTGACAGCCATTGTGCGAAAGTCGGACGCCCAAGACTCACCATCAAAGAGCAAGTTTGATTCAGGCAGCAATAGAATGACACTGGAAAGAGCCTGCAAAGACGGAGATGAGCCTCTTGTGCAACGGCTACTAAAGGAAGATGCCCCAGTCACATTTGGAGCTTTGAATGCGGCCGCGGAAAAGGGGCACGAAGGAATCGTGAGACTTTTGCTAGAAAAAAGATCATACATTGCTCGGATGGTTCCAACGAAGACAATGCTAAGATCCGACGATAATCATGCACTTCATCATGCAGCAAGGCAGGGCCACGAAGCAGTCGTCAAATTGCTCCTCGCCAACGGAGCAGACATCAACGCCAATGTTCTCGGTACGCCGCTTTATCACGCGGCAGAGAGTTTACCCAAAGACACAGACAAAGCAGCCGTGCAGGAAGCGATGATACGGCTCTTGCTTGAGCATGGAGCGAACGCACAATCAATGTTTTGGCAAGCCCTAGATTCTGTTGCGTCTCGTGGCAGCAAAGCATTAGTACTGACGATGCTGAATCATGGCGCAGAACCGACGGCGAGCACACTTGAAGCTGCCGTCAGAGGGTTCAACGAGCCGGTCATCCAGCTTTTACTTGAGAGAGGCGTGGAGATCACGCCGGAAACTTTAGCAAGCGCTGTTCGGTTAGAGCACGAGCCCACCGTGCGACTGTTGATTGAGCAGGGGACTGCTCCCACTGAAGACGCGCTGAATTATGCCGTTTCTTTGGGCCACGAAGCCATTGTCAGATTGCTTCTTGAGAATGGTGCTGTCACAAGCCCAGATACACTAAGTATGATATCTACACGCACGAATGAAGGAATAGTCCGTTTATTGCTGGACAGAGGAGCCAAACCAACACCCCGAGCACTGGAAATAGCCGCCGCATATGGAAATGAAAGCGTAATCCGGCTCCTCCTTAGTGAAGGTGTTGAAGTAACATCAGAAGCCTTGGAGAGGGCTGTTGCAAATGGCCAAGACGACACTTTCTGGTTGCTTCTCAAGAATGGGGCCGCAATCACACCAAAGACTTTGGTCAAGGCTATTGCAACGGAAAACAAGGCTTTTGTTGATTTCATTCTTGAGCGCAAGGTTGAAATAATACCCGAAGCTGTTGAGGAGGCTGCCGCGCATGGCGACAAGGACCTCCTTCAACTGCTCCTGGACAATGGCGGCCGCACAACACCACATGTGCTCCAAAAAGCGATATCCAAGGGACGCTTGGACCTGGTCCAGCTACTGCTTGATAACGGCGCCATCATAACCCCGGAGGCCATAACACAGGCTATAGAGTCAGAGGCTGAGTCGATCATTCTTCTGCTTCTTGGAAAAGGTACAAACCCATCCTCTTCGGCGCTGGAGTCGGCCATAGAGAAGGGGAATGAGGCCATGATCCGGTTGCTGCTGAGGAGAGGCGTCTCAGTGACTTTCAAGGCACTGGAAAGTGCTGTTCTTTCTACCAACACGGCCCTAGTTAGACTGCTACTCGACCAAGGTCCCCAGATCGTCCATCTAGGCAGGAATGAATTAACTGCCTTGCACAGAGCTGTCTATATGAAGGACGTGTCAACCTCAAAACTGCTGCTGGAGCGGGGCATCGATGTCAACGTCGTGAATCACTATAATGCTACGGCATTGCATATAGCAACAAAATCAGGCAATGACGAGTTGGTGAGCCTGTTGCTCCAATTTGGAGCCGATGTCAACAAGGACCATCGTTATGAGAGCCTGCCCCTATGGTTGGCAGTGGCGCATGGTTACGACAGCATTGTACAGCTATTGCTAGAGCACGGTGCCGACGCTAACAAAGGAACGTTTCGTAGCAAATCAAAAACGGCTCTGAAGATGGCCATTGAGAGCGACAACCCAAGAACAGTGAAACTACTTCTACAGCACGGGGCGGATGTTGGGAATGGAGCCAAAGCTAAAAAGATGTTGGATTTGGCGATCACTAACGAGAATAAGACTATCATTCAATTGTTAAAGGGGCACATTGGAGATAATGCCACCGGAGAGGCTGGGTGAGGTCACATATCAACGTAGTTATACATGAAGCTATGCCATACAATTTAGAAGTACCACGACACTTGGCACGTTATGGGCAGTCTAATCAAAGCAGCTGGATGGATATATACAGGACGATGCAGTTTAAGTTCATTGCGTAGACTCTTGTGAATTAATTACCTATTAAATAGACTTGAAGGGAGTATTGCGCGGCTTTGAATCTCTTTCGTATCAACCAGAAGGGAGCCATATGTGATGGTAAAGGCAGTAGGCTGTGGCCAAGCGGTCAGCTCCAAATATTAGGCCGGAGCAAGTGGATTTGAGGTATGATTGTCTGTAAGCTGCAAGACCAGCATTGTGTTGAGATGTCAGGTCTGGCATCCTTTACTACCGTGCTTTACATGTGTGAGTCAAAGCTACTGGAACTCTAAGGCTACTACATGATCGGTGTGAGCTCATTCCTTTTTGTTAGTACCACAATGGGGTATTATCGTGTTTTTAGGGACCAAGAAGCCACAATAATGCAAAGCCTAGTCTAAGGCGGTCTTGCTACTGCGAAACTCGCAAGGTTATCGTCCCTAGCATAAATTTAGAGTCATAAGATATTCCCTTGTCTGTTCTCGTGCGTCGTAATGTGAAGGCTCGTCAAAGCGTTAAAGGATAGGAGAAACTCATAGAGAAAGTTTCTCATTCGCGAGGACCAGTGCCAGCGAGGTCAACAAGGAATTAATCAGAAAATGCTCAAATTCCGGGATAGACACAGTCACTTAGCCAAGGGAAATAAGTTCCGGTATAATTTATCAATGTGATTGAAATTGAAGCTGGTTACACTATTGATACCATTGACCTCCGTACAACTAAACGATTCCTGGCTGTTCCCGAGTCTCGTGCAATCCCCAAATCAGTATAGCGCATGATAATATTTGTCATTTCTCATACTTCTGCCCATCCAGTGAGGCTGATAGCTCTTGTCATTCATCATGCCTGCGGCCATCTAGTGAGACTTGCTCAACTGGATTTGATTAACGGCGGAGTTCGACCAGGCTGGCAGGGCTGCAGGTCTTGTCAGTGGAAGCCAGTTAAAAATTGGTTCGGTCGGTGGGGATGTAAATTTCTTACCGAACGGTGATGCCTTCGGCGCTGGTATCCTTGCAGCAAGTCCAGCAATCTCCCTTGACGAGGAAAACCATGTTAGTCGATTCAGAAAGGGAGGGGAAAATGTGAATTATTAAATACCTGCTGAGAGGAGTACTATAGGGCGTATTGTTAGCTTTTGGACGGTAAGTAAAAGTGGAAAGGAGAAAAGGACTCACCCATCCCTCGGGACACTGGATCTTGTCAGAGGCGCACAAGAGCCAGCAAATATCATAGTCGCCGGCTTTGCCAGTGAAAGGGCGTGCCATGGTGGTGGCTCCAAGGAAGAGGGCGGCGGTGAGGGCAATGATGGACTTCATGTTGATTGAAGTGTTGGGTTTGATGTTACTTGAGTGTGATAGATTGTTGATAGTGTTGATGAGGATGAGGATGGTGCTGAGTGTGTGGTGAGATGGTTCGATGATAAGGGGGGAAGCGGCCACTTTTATAGTCGAGTCCCCCAAAGCAACGAGCATTTCGAGCAAGAAGAATAAGATGACACAAACGTAAGCCGATCAACTCATGAGTTACAGCTGAGTACAATGAGCTGAAGAGATTGCGCTGGACGCGCTTCACACGTAGTCCCACGTATCTAGTCTAAGCGACACGCATCCGTCGAGCCGTGTCTCGGAACCCCGCTTTCAGAAGCCGGTACTCTCATCGAGTCATGTTAGTATATGCAATAAGGGTATCACCGCATGGTTTGTCGCTTATGATGTTGCCCCATGACTACGATGTTCGCCTGTTGTTTGCTCCTTCACCGGTCCTCTCCTGAATCCGAGAGGCTTGAGACACGGCACGGAATGTTGGACTCATTAGAGCAAGCTTCCCGTCGATCAGAGTGTTGTCTACCTAAACCCCACTTTGGGCATAACGCGGGACAATAGTCTTTTACGTATTACATTGAATGAAGGCATAAGTCTAGTTTCGATGCTTGAGAGAAGCATTGTGGTAACTGTGCCAGCACCCTCGCTTCGTCACGTATCTAATATCACCCAGGCTTGTTGGAACTGATCGTGGTAACGAATTTGGACAACTCGCCGTCAAACAGCTCCCGGAAGAGGCCCGAGCCCAACGATGGATGACTTCAGTCTCAGTCCAGCGCCTATGAATGATTTGTTACGTCATTGATATCAATGCGCAAGATTATCGCTATAATAATGGTTAGTTCAATAGTTTCAATCTTCCGGCTCCCGCTTCCGAATCATATCGATATATTCATGACATGCTTCCACCTTCTTGTGGATCTGTGAACACGGTTGGCCAAAACTCCCCGACCAGCCCATCTTTACCCCTCTTGTGTTCCATTCATCTACGCCACTCGTTGAAGGAGGGGGCGGCAAAAGCAGCGATTGGTCATTGCAGAAGTGCCGTGCATCTACTTCCGATGCAGTGAACATGAGGGACTCCACCTCCTCAAGGCGGCGCTTGCGGGGACTGCGGGAGCGCAATAGGCAGTACAACAACGTGAAATTCCCGTGTCTTGACTTTGAACTATGCGGTGGCAAATCAAGGCCTGAATTGAAAAGCTTGAGAACATTTCACCGCTTCTTTTTCCCCGCTTCTCTTATGCCAGTGTTGTGATGCCATTGATCAACCCCCTAACGCTATCGCCGTTCCATGCCGTCCCCGTGCCGTCTTGGCTGAGAAGATCTCAATATCCGAACCAGCTGATGAAGTCCTATCCCTTTTTGTTTACTTTTTCTTTCGATGATGATGAAATGGTGATGATTGTGCACATATGCCAAGCAATGAAGTGGCTGTGCATAAGTCGGAATGTTTGAACCGCCGATGCTTAGGATTCCGACATGCAAGTTGCCAAAAGAAAGACACCAGCTAGAGGTGCAGCATCCTATGTCCTTTGCCTGGTACCTTCTTGAGAAGCCCATGCCCAACTATCTCCTTGAATCATCCTACGGGCTCTGCCTCGGCCAATCGGGTGTGACGAGTGGCCAATGTCAAGGATGACAACATCAAAAGAGGGGTAAAACGAGACTATTCGCAACCGCAAGGAATGTCTCAAATGCAAAGGACCTGGAAAGTAAGGCGGAAAGCACGCTGACCATCCAAGACATCCCGTGGGCTGTGAACCTCTATGATTCAATCATGCTGCTCGAGTTCCTGTTTCTGATTGGTCGAGGACCATCAGCGAACAGTTTGAACAACAGATCAAGCTATTTAGGTTGGCAATCGCTTCCCTTAGAGTATGCAAATGTCTGATATGGGAAGATTCTCCCAGCCGTCGTTGCCAATCACCGCTCTCCCCCACCCAATCGAAACCCTGGTAGCTGCGTCATACCTCCTCTCTTTGAACAAGTTCCTGTTCATTCCGCCCACATGACTTACTGCACAAAGCCCAATCCTTTGATACGATTGTGTCTCCATGAAAACAGGTGCCAAAAGGAGACATTCGGTTCTGTGCTGGTTGGGAATTGACACTATGGGCAGTAGGTAGATTTCGAGGTCCATTAGAGACGGGTCGATGTAATCCGGACGGGTAACAGTCGATTTAAAGCCATCACCCACTTCTGCTTGTTCCTGGCCAGGGAACGTGACCTGATATTTTCGCCAGTCAGCGTCAGCGTACTTATGTATAGGAGACCAGGCTGCCGGTTTGAGACAGCCTCGGAGCTGGAGAATCCCGGAGTTTCCGTGAATATCGCCCGTAGGGCAAGTAGGGTCAACGAGATCGACCGAGGCGAAGATAATCTCGACGAGATGTTTGCATCTTGCGCTGCAGACATTTGCGTTGATTTGCACGCCTACTCCCTTCACTGCCATCCAAGACCAACTTGGGGCCCGGCATGGATTCGGTCTTGACTGGGCACCATCATCGCCCGAGGACCGCCACAGCAGCTCATGGACGAGATTACTCCTCCATAGACCAGCCAGATACTCATCTTGCATGCGCACGCTGAGACTAGCAGCAAGGCCAGCTATTGCAATCACTTTATCCGTGTCCTTTGTAAGAGCGGCCGATGAATAAATGCTCGCGGCACGAGCCCATATGTCTCTTGATTCCATCGCGCTTCGGGGGGACGGGAGGGACGTCTCGTCAACTAATTGCGCTGGCGTGTTGCCCGCCGGGAACGACTCGCAGACGTCGTGAGTAGCACATCGGTAGAAGACCTGATGTTGCGCAAAGTAGAGAGCTCTCGATGACAGAAAGCGTTCTTGGACAGTCCAAGCGCGTTTGAATAAGTGGCAGAGATCAACATGATTCATCCACAGCCGTTCGTCGACGAGACAATATCGTTGGGTTGATTTATTAGCACCCCATGAGCACTCAATAATGGGTGCCTTGATTGCTTCTGGCCGGCGAACTGCGAACAGTCCCTCCGTGGCATCTTTGCCGTGGGCGGCAACGATTGTCAGCGTAGCCCTGCCATAGACCTCGGCCATGGTATGTGCTTCGGTTTTCCAATCTTCATCGGAGTCTTGAATGATACAAAGGGCGTCAATCCAAATATATAAGTAATTTAGCCAACGACAGACTTCAATGGCATCTCGAAAGGTTCTTGGCAACTTCGAAATAGGTGCGCCCGTGGATAAGCTATTAGCTGTCGCTGTTGTCAACTTAATGACTTCCGACTCTCCCCAACAGTGGCTTAGGGCCACGTATGTGACAACGTCCGAGTGGTGGTCTTGGTTAGTAATGACTCGAAAGCTCGCTTCATTAATTTCAATAAATCGCGTAGGGACCCAGCCTCGTGTCTCGTGGTTGATTTGACATGTCTGGTGCCCTTGCAAGCAGTCCATGTGCCATTTTTGTACGATATTGCGGCTAAGGGTAATGTAGGTGGACGGGCCGATCCCATACTTGTTATTAGACCCAATGCCTTGTCCCTCAAATCTCAAAGACCACCAGACTTCTGTAGTACATTGTTAGTCCTTCCTTTCTCATGCGAGAAACGCAAGGAAACGTACGCTCTATAGGGACGAGGGCATAGTTGATTGGTTTGCCGAGCTCGGTATTGGCCAGATTTGCAGACAATGCCCACACCGGCTTTTCTTGGTTACTGGGACGTTCACGGATGGTGAAGGCTAGCCGGAAATCAAAGTCGTCGTCAGCGTCTTCCAATTGTTGCACAATGTGTGTGCAGAACGCACAGCCAAGCTGCTCTGCTTCCAGAACCTCGACTATGCTAGAACTGTGAAGATTTAGGTCGTCATCATTCTTAGAGAGCGTCTTAGGCGTGGTGAAAAACGCAATGCATCTCTTGCACAAATACGACGGTGAATCTCGATGAAGGACGGTAGATTCAGACATGGCGCAATTCGTGCATGTAAGTAATGACTAAGAGAATGTTGGGGATATGCCGCCAGTCGGACGTAGTGATGAGGGGAAAAAAGATTGATAGAGAGGCCACGTTTTGCGATGGACGCCTACTACAGTAAGCCCTCCGAAAAACGGTGCTGAAAGTCAAACTGCAAGCCTAGGCCGTTATGTAAATGAATGCAACAATATGAGAGGCCAGTACAAGGCTCGTGTCACTGAATGGGTGGTCAGACGGCGGGGCGGAGATGATGAACCGCTTAGGTGGTATTACTCAAGCTTCTCATATCGGAACTCGATTCTTTACTGCCTGGGATTTTCATAGCTTGTATTTGAAGTGTAATACCTAGACTCTGTGAACGGAGTATCTGGCAGGGCTGTAGCCAGAGTTGATGGGGCCTCAGAAGGTGTGAGAATTGGGCCATCTACCCATTTTCTGTCTGAGCTCAGTCATATTCTTTAACAACTGCTTACCACAATGGCCTTTCACTGTGTTTGCAGAGGCCAAGAAGCCTTTCAATTCAGGCTATCTTCTATCGAGGTCTGATTCTACCTCCTTCTTTCGACATATACTACTTGCTTTCTTGTATATGTCTGTAAGCTCTGCTACTACTAAGAAACGATTTTTTTTTTTTGAAATTGGATTTTTAAAGAAGAGGATTATCGCATTATCTAGTTTGTAAATTTCATCTTCATGCATATCACACACCCGATCTGAGCTAATCAACAATGTTGGCTCCAACTGGTTCAGTGCAGATCGGACAGAACTTTTATTAAATGTATCACGAAGGAACTCGATTCGTAATGTGCACCAGAGAAGCCTTCGGCACTTTATGCAACTGGCCAGATGATGAGGTCAAGCCTAAACCAAGCAGCTAACATAAGTCACGGTTCGTTCTAGCCTGGGGCAACCTAGATTTTCACATGACTGCTCTATCGCAACTAATAATGCATGCCCTACTTTGCCGATCATGTTACTAAACTTCCAAGGTCATGGCCCCTAGCATAAATTCAGAATCACAGCCTACATTAATGGCCTCCGGGAATAACTCAATTGTCCTAAACTTGAATCTTAGTTATCAGATACGAACTAGGGTATTGGTTCCAAATTGTGTCAGGTGGCTGATACTAACCTTGCCTATGACATTGGATGAACCTGGCCATCACTTGATGAGCAACTCATTTCGCTACCCTAGAGCTTCTAAAAAATATGAGGGGGTGGCGGTTTAGACTCGAAGGCTTAACCAAGTATCAAGAGGCTATGACATATCCTTATTAAATTGGTGTTTATTTACGTGATAGAAATATCAATCTTGTCACGAGTTGAGCTCGTTTCATGTGTTGATCCTTGATGATCACCACCTCCAATGTTGACTCAACATTACACGCCTAACAGCCTTGACTTCACAACACAATGTTAAAATAATTCACCGATTAATAAATTCAATATCAAGCTAAATATCATAACATATTTTATGACTCTTATATTATTGTGTTTAATGGAAAACAAGATCCCTTCCTTGCGTGAAAAGAGTTTTGGTGTGCCGTGTTACACTGGGAGACGATGCAAGTGGCAAATTCAACCATGGCTTACCACTGCGAGTCTATTGGAGCATCCTAGTGGGACTTGGGATTTGATACAGCCACTCTCGGATAATGATTTTGCAAATCAGAAGTCTGAATGACGAGCACCAGGGTATAATCATCAGCGACTGGAGGCTTGACTGATATCTGCCGTGCTTACGAGTCCCACTACCCCTGTCTAATTGGGCAAGGCGTAGTGCCAGCTTGGTGTTCCGTCGACTTGAGCCGGTCCCAACATTCCGGCCGGTGAGTCACTCGCCCGGGGGTCAAAGCGCTCGCAAACTGGTGTGGGCTGTGAAACTCATGCGCCTTGCCGCCTACAGGGTCCTCTATAGCCACATACACTTGCCACAGCGAACCACCATTGATTCACTAAGGCACCTTTTATCTGCCGGATGCTGCAGTCTGGTGTCTGCCTAGCCAGCAGCCAATAGCTGACCGTGAGGACGTCCGATAGGCACCCAGCTAGACTGAATGAGGTGAAGGAATAACTTACTAACGATTACTGACCCTTGTCTGCTCGCAGAGTTAGGCCCTGTTTCAGCCCAAGATCGACGGTAGCGCCAGCAGTTTCGTGTAGAACAATGCATCGGCATGTAAGATTCTGATGCTGGTTGCCTTGCACTTGGGATTAGGCTGCAGCTTGGGGGCCACAAAACATGTCGTGACCGGCGTGACAAGAAAGCCCTCCAGCTTCCAGCTATAAGAAGAGGTAGATGGCAGCCTTCCATGTTTTATCTTTGCAACCAACAAGTCAACCAGGGAGGAGGTCTTGACCTGGCAACTACACACCTGTATTTGAACGCCCACGAATACGCCTTACGGACACATATGTTCCCGTGGCCTATAATCACCCAATATGACGGCCGATAGTCAATCGCCTAGCAAGGGCGAACCAAAGGATGCTGTGACCCCCTCGCAGGTCACTGATTCCAACCCTGAGGCAACACCAGCTGAGGATAAGACAACCGACACCCAGGAGGAGACTCAGCCCTCCTCTGACCCACAAGGCGATGATGAGAACAACAAAGAGAAGGAGGTTCTACCCGTGGGCTCGGTAACAGCTAGCCACAACCTCTTTGCCAAGTACGACAAGGATGGCAAACGATCATGGTCGGCTACCATGCCCACCCACATTGAGGAAGCAGCCGAGAACGATGAGACAAAGAAGTTTGCCGTCATCGTGCGGAAGCGTATGTAGCGGCCATTTCCCGAAACATTTGACATTTTTGTTGCTAACACGTTTGATAAATCAGTCGCTCCAAAGGAGGCCGACTCTAGCAAGCCCCTCATCGTGGATAGCATCATTATCCAATCACCTCACCTCAAGACCGAACTGGGAAAACTGTTCAAGGATTACCCTGGAATTGTCATCGATGTGACCCGTCTGATTCTCCATGCCCCCTTCGCACCATTTGTCCACTGCTGGGACGAGTTCGTTGCGGCCACTGAACATGCCAAGGGTGAGCTGGCAAAAGAACACCTGACACTCCTCCGAGACATCCTCGAGGAAGAGCTCAAGGAAACATTGCAAGCTCGAGAAGATTTCATCAAGACAAAAGCCGTTGACTGGGGTCATGTCTGGACTCTCTTCAAGCCTGGATGCTTGATCTGGGGATCCAAGAACGGACAGCCTGCCGCGTTCAAGTTCAGTCGCGGTGAATACGGAGAGAACAACTGCGGCAAATTCTTCGGCCTCCACTGCAAGCACATTGACTGGGACGGGAAGACTCTGGGCTGGACGAACGCGGTGCAGAAGATTTACGAGTACCCAGGCTCTGTCCCTCTCACCGACATGAGCTGTTTCCCTCTGGAGATGCACCCGCAGCTAGAGCAGGCTACCGCATCTCTCTATGCCCGAGGCAAGATTTTTGAGAGCTTGGCTGGATACAACTACAAGTTCTACAAGGGAATGGCCTTGTGGTGGGACTCTGACACCCAGAAGATCCGTCAGGAGGTTGTAGACTCTCGAATCGTTATTGATGCTGTCAACTGGTCAAACCAGGTGCCGGATCTATCCTTCACTACATCCAAAGCCCTTGGTAATGATGGCTGTTGCAACAGAAACAATGATTCTGACGATGAAAGTGAGGATAGTGACGGTGATGACGATAACGAGGATGAGAGCGATGAGGAGTCAGAGGGCAGTTACTCGGATGTTGGTGCTGATTTCAATGATAAGACGGAGTCTAAGAAGAAGCAAAGGCCCACTCTCTCTGATGACAAGCTCATTCTCACATCCCCCATGGTCCGTGGATATTCGCTCAAGAACCGTCGGTGGATGGAATTCTTCATCCACGATGTATCCGAGATCAAGTTCGCCGAGAATGCCTTCGAATCTCTGGTTCTGGACCAGGACAAGAAGGATCTAATTCTCGCGTTCGCGCAGAGCCAGACCCAGTTCAAATCCAAGTTTGACGATGTCGTGTCCGGAAAGGGTCGCGGCATCGTCATGCTGCTCGCCGGTGGTCCGGGAATTGGAAAGACGTTGACGGCAGAGACTGTCGCCGAGGAGATGCGCGTTCCTCTCTACTCGATGAGCGCCAATGATCTTGGCGAGTCTTCGTGGCGGATGGAGTGGAACCTCAAGAGAATTCTCAGCATGGTCTCTGCATGGAATGCGGTTCTGCTCCTGGATGAGTGTGACGTGTATCTTGAGGCGCGAAGCTCGCATGATGTCCAGCGCAACTCTATTGTGTCCGTTTTCCTGCGGATGCTGGAGTACTACGAGGGAATTCTGTTCATGACGACGAACAGAGTTCAGACAATTGATACCGCATTCAAGAGCCGTATCCATCTTACGCTCCAGTACCCTAACCTGGATGCCACAGCCCGTGAAAAGGTGTGGCGTACTTTCTTGGATCGATCTGTTGGCCAGGACAAACTCATCCAAGAGGACAAGGATCACCGGGTGACAGACGAGGATATCAAAACACTTGGAAAGTTGGATATCAACGGCAGAGAGATCAAGAACATTCTCAAGATGGCCAATTTGCTCGCCTGGCAGAAGAAGGAGCCACTCAACATGGCTCATCTGGAGAAGGTCTTGAAGATTCAAGATGCTATGTAATAGGTGGCGGAAGTTAGGGTTTTTTTTCTTATGACGGAAATGGATACAACCTGTGTTTACAGCGTGAACGAAGATAAACGAATGATAATTAAATCGCTTTACATATTTCTAGCCTGGGTCAATGCGCGAAAGTAGATATTTCGTTTTTTCATGGTGTCATGTAGGTTATATCGAGCACAGCTTTCAAGAACTCAGATTGACTGATGATGAATAGATGCTTACATACTGGCCAAAACAAATTGCAGACTCGACTCTGCAGCATCTCATTTTGGTGAAGGAGCCATACCTCCATTCCACCCGATTCAGTTTGTAAACCCATTACCTCAGAGCCGCGGCTCTGATTTCATTTGACAAAAGAAACGAGTAGACAGTCTCACTCGAGCTCCTTACCAATCTGATCAAACTCATAACGCCACTCGTTGATCGTCTCAACCTCCTTGAACGGATCCCAATTCATCGCCTCGCTGTCCACGTACACAGCATCTCCCAACGTGATCGTCCCCTCAGCCACCTTCTCACCCAGAGCGTACGAAGCGCCCCTCGAACTGTCGTGGGTCCGGTCACCGTCCAGATGCACGCAGGCCCGGAAGGTCGCGCCGGGCCGGAAGAAGAATCCAGACTTGCGGGTTCGGCCGCTGCGTGTCTCGCTGGTGGTCACGGAACCTTCGTTGTGCTCGGCGCACTTGTACGATATAATGGCGCCGTTCCTGGTGCCGATCTCGTTGTTGGATGGGAAAGGCTGCATCGGAGCCTCGTAGATCTCATTGAGGAGTAGAACGAGCGGTTCATTCCATGGAACGTCGTTGTCAAGTTCAAGCGTACAGCCACTCGCGGAGAGTTGAGTGTTTGGCGCCTTCACAAGGACATGGTCAATGTTGGCTTCGTTTTCTATGAATTAAGGGTTTGGTTAATAGCGTTTCGATTTTTATCGCCGCAAAGATTGAGTGACTTGCCATTGCCGTAGAGATAGAAAGGGATGAACTTGTCAGGGTAGTCTTTCTGTCGCCAATGAGAGTTCAGTGGTCGACTTACGACTGTGCTAGTCACAGTCACAGCAATGTTCTTCAAAATGATGCCACTGATGGGTGTCAGCATACCGAAATTCGTCTTGCCACTCTAGAGCGTGCGACTTACGATTCCTTTGTCTTGATCTGTCCTGTAAAAGTGCCGTTATCTCGAATGATATCCTGCAGGAAGGTCTTGCGTTGAGTGACAAGAATCATGGGCTCGGTGAGGTTTGAGTTTCTCATAGAAAGATACTTGTCTTTGGAAGTCTTATCAAAATCAACAGACACGATGAGCTGCTGCCTGTGATTTGCAACGTGAAACATCGGCAGATGGACCAGGTAAGGTTGCTCCGTGCCCTGGATGAGAAAGCTATGGAAGTCTTGGCCCAACTCATTTCGCTTCCGAACGACCTGAATACAAAAATTTGTCAGTCCTTGTTGGTTTCTATTCACGTAGAACATTGATCAGGTGGTTACAAACCTCGGTTTCTTTCTCCACGGTCTCTCGGAGGATTTGGGCTAACTTGCCGAGAAAGTTGCCATCGGATGGGAATGGCGACATGACGACGTTTCGTAGGACCATCAAGTCTTGATGGCTGTCCTGCAGGCCCAGCCGCCTCATGAAGTTCTTCTTGCAATTTCCATAAAGCTTATCAGAAAACAATGTAGATGTTAAATAAAGCGGGATCTTGGTTGGGTCATCGTTAGGGCTGTCGACAGACAGCGCCTCGATAACTCGCTGCATGAGATAGTTGGCTTCTTCGACATCATCATTCAAAGTACCATCGGCATGGCGAAAGTTCAAGGAGAATGCGTTGATATTGAGGTCGGAACCTAGATCCCGTAAAAGCTTTGTCGCCTTGAGATCAATTGGGCGGTTGGAATCTTCCCTTACGATCTCGGCATTGCTCTTGCTGAGAATGTCCCTTCGAATGCGGGCTTTTTCAGCTTCAACCTTTTCAGGAGTTGTATTTGGGTCGAGCTCTGAAGGCAGCTCATTGAATGGGACACAGATGAAAGGACTGGTCGTGTCCGTCAAGGCAGCCCATTCGGCGGCGAGCTAGGTCACATGAGCTGCGTAATTCTAGGGTTTGTGTGATAGGGGAACTTACGCGTGTACAGGTCCAAGTGACTTCGCCAAGGAGTGCGCCATATCCCTAACGATTGATCAGTATCCAAGGTTTCCATCCCATATTGGGATAGAGTATACTCACATCTTGAGTGAGGCCAATCGCTTTATTTGCCATCCAAGTCGAAACAGCAGAAGCACCTGGTTTGCTGATCGAGATGTTAACGTCTGATCCTCTCCAAATATCTACTTACGGATAGCCAATACTTACCTCCCTTCAACGCCATATACTCCAATACTGGTAACCGAGCCTCTGGATATATATGGGCAGGTCCATGTAACCAGGAACCGCATACGTCCATCTCTGTAACAGAGACCTCCAGCAGGGTACGGGATATACCCAGCCTTATGCGGGTCAACTGTGATAGAGTCTGCGAAACGGAGAGCATAAAGATCCTCTTGAGTTTCGGCGCGTAGACTCGCATCTGGGACGAACCCATCCGACTGTCCCATTTCAGTGGGGAGATTGATAACCTCACCAGGGTGATAATTCTTAGGAAGCATAGTGCAGAAATAACCTCCCCAAGCCGCATCGCCATGAACGAGGAAAGATAATCCTCTGGCCTGGAACTGTTTCCTCAGAGCAAGAACAGAGCTAAGGGAGTCAACGGCACCCTCTGTAAATGTGTTAGTTGAAAACTCTCATGAGCGGCGGCACTTATTCAACAAACCTTCAGTAGAACCAATGATGGCAACAACAGCGAGGACAGGATGCTCATTAGTTAAGTTTTCCTCAAGCTTCTTCTCGAGTTCAGCGATATCGAGGCGTGCTCCGTTATCAACGGCAATACCAATCACGTTATCCGAGCCAACCCCGGAAATCGCTTGGGATAATCAAGTCAGCAAAGAGGAATGGGATATTTTTCGGTACAGGGGAAAGCTCACCAGCGCCCTTCGGCCAGCTGTAATGTCTTGTATTTGCTAACATGTACTGAGCAGGCTTTCCATCTGTGTAAGCTCTTTCAAGTGGGTCTTTTCCGGTGGACTGGATGGTGAATTTTTCCATCACAGAGGACAGAAATGCGTTGGATATTCCTTAAGTGAATAAACATTAGTTATGTTACAATACAGAAAATGATATATAGGAAAAATTTGTGTCAAACATACCGTGCTCTTGATACAATCTGTCCGGGATATCGAGAATATCATTTGGTTTCAAGTTGAGTAACTCCCATGGGGTCAACTCAGAGAACAGCTTCTGTTCGCCGACACAAGTCTGTACGAAAAACTTGGAGCTAATATACTCGAGCGGTTGTTCGGGTTTCATAGCCTCGCGTAGAGACAGAGGGTAATACTTGAGATTTCTAGCTATAAATGGATGTAAGCGAGGGACAATTGCTTGACAACAGTAATAGGAGAGACGATTACTTACCAACCCTGTGATTGCATCAGCCAAACTGTCTTAAGAAGGATATGAACAATGACGAATTCTTACCACATGGATTCTAGATTGGCAACGCTTCCGTCACAAGTGATATGCCCCCATCCTGTTGGTTCTTCCGTGGACTCGCCATCAACATTGTATCCAAAGAGAGTACATAGCTGCTCTCCGACTTCAATTTCTGCAACGGTGGAGATGGGGCTGACCTCAATAGCCACGTTGTTGGGGTTGTAGAGCATGGTCATGAAATAGCCCAAAAGGGAAGCCATGCTCATGTCAGTACACCTTGAGTAATTGTGTTAACGTGGATCCGTCTCTAGGTGTTAATCAACTTACATATGACCCTCGTAGCGTGGAGACCAGAACGGGATCGATGTTCGGCTGAGAAGGTTGGCTAGATTTTTAACGGCGTTGCTAAGCTTGTCTGTAGAATTCTTGAAGGCGGGCGTATTCTGGATTGCGCTAGTGATAAATTTCTAAATGATGGTCAGCATGGTGTAAGCCTAACTACAAACATTACAGGTTGCCTACTCCATCCTGGGGGTAATAATTGAGACGCCCATTTCGGAGTTCCTCCAGGATGTTGTGAATGTTAGCCTTGAAGTAGTCCAGATTTTCGGCCTGAGGGCCAATAAAGTAAGAACTAATGATTTGATGGGAGATGTCTCCGACGTCCCCATTGGCTCTCCAAGCATTGGTCTCAGTCTCCTGCCTAAAGCTCTCTTGCTTGGCGGCATTCGTGGTGACTTGAGAGGGCATGTCTAGGGATTTGAAGGGGATTTCCTTGACCTCCATTTCGGATTCTCCGTTTAGGTGCTGATCAGGCTCATCATCTAGACATGGAGTGCTCTCAAAAGGCCTAGCAACTGAAGTAACCTCAGGGTGCTTGGGGCCCGAGATTATTCCCTTTACAGTACCTGGAAATTGAAACGACATAGTCGCGACTGAGGCTCGTATGGTACCTTGAATGAAATGAAGTGATGATGAAGACTTCGTGAGCTTTCTTCGGAAGCAAAGGGGCCAACAATTTTCCTAAGGGTGAAAGGAAATGGTTGGACTTTTAGTACTTGGCGAAAGTGCGTGCGTGACATATTCCTATACCACACGGCATCAATACATGAAGGCAAGACATTACGATCTGCAATTGGGAAGTGAGACGACGTACATGTGCGGCGACTCTTGATGCCTCTGGACTATGGTGAACGCCGTTGCTACGTAATGTATGAGACATGGACGGTGATAATTTCGCTCACTTGCATTATGCATAGACAATATTGGTTGTACGGCAGGAGGCTATATCCAACTAGGTCAAGATGAACATGGCCGAACTCAGCTGAGATGCATGTTGTTATCGCCTATACGCAACAATGACACACGTGGCCACGGAGGCGCGAAACAGCACGCGCCCTCATCCATGAGTTTTGATGATGTATGATGCGTACAGAAGGTATTGACGTGGAACGACCCACGCGGCTCATATTCATATTTCTTGGCCGTTTACGATGTGTCGACTCCGTTCGCATCAAGGCAGAAAGTAAACCCGATGAGATATGCCCAAGGCATTGATGCCCAGTCGGAAAAGAGCGGCAGGGAGCCAAGTGTCTTCTAGTAACCTCGATCCACTGAGGAGAAATCAAGTTCTCGTGACTTGTTCGAAGACATGCATAGAGAAGCGGGATATTGCAACTCTGCAGGTAGCTGTTTTTGTAGGAAGCGGGGGAAATGTCTCGGAGGTGAGAACGCCACAAAGTTATAGAGAACTGGAATTGATCAATGGGGGAGCTGAATATGCATGAATGGACTGTTCATAACTCTCGGCGGGGGTCTGCGAGAACTATAACTGGCCGAAATATCGGGGTCAGCTTGCGGGATGGGTCTCGAACCCCATCGGCGGCTGCACGGTACTTTATGCGGAGGCTTGGCTATCAGACTATGACGAGTCTTTAACTGATTCACATGCTCTATTTATGACACATAAGTCTAGAGATAGACCTACCGAGGCGCGATATGATGTATCGCGCATGCATTATAATGGAGGGAGAGGCTAGCAGCTGTGCAGGGAACGAGAGAGTAAGCCGGCCAGATTTCTCCCGCTCGATCTAGATTGGTTTATGTGCTCCGGGGGGATACATGATGGGTCATGAGCTTCGTTGAGAGTCTCGGCCAGTTTTAGATGGTCAGAGGGGTCGTTCAGCGAGTAGGCTCTTTCATTACCGCATAGTCTTGCATGTTTCTGCTATTTATGATAGGTGGGCTCGTGTTTCCATATCGGACTCCTCTTTGCCATAGGCCTCATTGTCTTCTTCTCAGCATGAGGAGAAAATTGAATGTGGAAAGTAAAAAAATCAACTGAATCATTTCAGAGACTTTCCAGGACCTGGATTATGAGCCTAATACTGGGATCAGGCACGCTTCATTGAGTTAGCTCAAGTATCCCTAGAATATTGTCATCGTCTGCAATAAAAATTCGCACGATGACTTTAAACAGCGAGGGATACCGAGTGAACTGTCGGCCCACACCTGGGCGCTTATGTGCTTGATGTTAGACCTCTGCTTATTGGCTATAAGAATGCCCAGCCATTAACTTGGCGTTTACTCTGGCAGTCACAATTGGCAAACAAAACACTATTCATAGCGGCGAATGATTAGGTCTCATTTTACATGGTGGATGACGACGTGGTGGACCTAGAAGGATGCTTCGATGTCCGTTTATCATGGTCTTCCACATTCCATACTATATAAAGGGGGGGGCATGCGAGGATTCATGTTCGAACTGCGATTGCACTTAATTTTCCCCTTGCGTTATGAGGGCATGTTTCGACATGAGACCATGAGTGACTTCAATATGCGGCAGCTGAATGCATTCCCCCAATAAAGATAAAGTTGCTCTTCCTAGTTCATGTAGTCTTGATGTAATTTAAAGCATACATCATATCGGTTGGACTTTGCGCTTGAGACTTGAAGAATATAAGATTTCATAGCAATGATTCGCTCGCATTGAAGGCAAAAAGGAGTCAATAATCCAAGCCAAATGTTCACCCCATAGTGGCTGAACAATTATTTCAGGCCCTCTGGACCTTTAAATTCGAACTATGCAGAGACCAAGCTGAGTCGAAAGTTTGACTGCGTATTTGTGGCACAAGGGTGTGGCGACACCACATTGAGGAGCGTTGCATAGAGTGAACCAAGTTGCCATCAGGATGTATCCCCTCTTCCAAGAAATGGTGAGAGCTGTCTCGTCTGATCGCTATAACAACATGGGTAGCTTGATTCGGTACCCCGGAGTCGAAGAGGAAGAAGATGCATGATTGAAACTGAACCTCTGGCAAAATTTAATGTTTGCATTTAACTTAAAAGGGCGCGCAATGAAAGACTCACATCAGCCTTTCCTCTTTTGAAGGCCAGATAAGTACTTTCACCACTTAGAAAATACCGAAACGAAGATTGAAGAATGCTCAAAAAATAGCTTAGTATAATCAATATTGCTACAGTATATTCATGCTCATTATGCTGGCCAATATTATCGTTTCCTCAGCATGCAATGTCCATATCTAACATAGAATAGTTTACGCTATACGCACTTCACTTACCAAGCTCGAAGGATAGTAGATGTCTCAGATTCGTGCTTAATGGCTGATGCACACAGTCTGATTTGCCAAAGAAGTAGAAGTACTATTGCAGAATAATCATGTTCCGACGGCTTAAAACATGCGGAGACGGGACCAACAGGCGGATGTTGTCTCACTCCCGCCCTCGCGGAGACCCTGAAATCTCCTAACCCCTATGACATCCCTATTCAATCAGTAGCATGCATTGGCAAATCCAGATATCCGCACTCTACTTATTTCAACTTTGAATAGCTTCGCTTACGCCGTCAGCCTGAGGCGTGTTAATATCTGGAGTGGACCCGACGTCCTGTGTGATCTGTAGCTTGTTATTTACTATTTCAAAGGCGAGAACATGCCTGTGTGGTTAGTTTGGTGCCTCAACTGATCTACTTTGACGTCGAATTAACCAAGAGTTAAATCTTTCCGCATTTGGTAACAGCTAGCATGAGTCGCTTGCCTCGGGGCGCAATATTGAACCGGTCAATCTTCTCCATCTCCCAGTTACCCATCTCAACACCCAACTCCAGTTCAACACCGGCGCGCATTAACGAGCCAATAGCCCAGTAAAGTTCCTGCCAGGCTAGGTTTTGCCCGATACAGTTCCGTCGTCCAATCCCAAAAGGAGTCAGAGACGACTCCATCTCGACTGTGGCGTCGAGCCATCTATGAAGGACGAAGCTTTCTGGGCTTGGAAATACTGCCGGGTTGCGATGATGGACCCAGTTCTGCATGCCCACAATTGTCCCTGTTGGGAGACATAGGTTGTCCAACTGCATTGACTCTGTCAATAATCGAGGCAGCGTCGAGATGATAGTTGGATGGAGACGCATTGTCTCCTTGATGACAGCATTAACATAGTCATTATTGCGCAACCCCGTGATGTCACCCTCCTGGGGCCCGCGGACCTCCTGGCGGAGTCGATCCTGGACATACCGGTGATTAGGTTTTGAAATCTCATAGAGGATATAAGTGAGAGTCGTCGATGTCGTGCCTGATCCCGCAAACACATAAGTCATCGCCTCTTCGACGAGCTCATTGTGCGCCAACTTGCGATTGAGGAATCGATCAGTGCTCTGAGATAGTGGGTTCAGCAGATACTTGGTCTCTTCAGAAGAGTGTTGCAAGAAGTGGTCCACCATGTCGCGCGATGCTTGTTGCCAATCTGCAAAAGCCCGATACGAAGCCCCGATCGGCCCAGGTAACCTCGACCCAACGCCATGGATACTTGCAAACGGTATAGACGCGCTATACATGAATGCTGCTGCAGAACCATCAATCAGATCCAGCAGGTGACGTGTGTCGTCTGTGGCGGTTGGCCCGGTGAACTCCTTGGCAAAGCCGGCTTGGCAAATGACTTCGAGGCTGTAAAGCCCACATAGCATATACGCATCAGCAGTTCCAGACGCTGACGCCGAGGCTTGTGCGAGAAGGCGGCTCACGAGAATTTGCGATTGTTTCTGGATGATAGGGTCGAGCTGGGCTATGGATTGCAATGAGTATGGAGAGCTGCTGAGCTTCCTCCGAGCAGCATGCTCAGCAGGGTCACTGCGTATATATCAGGTTAGCAAGTAGGCACAATTATCCCTGTATACATACCAACAGTATTACATCATCTGGAAGATGTTATGCTGGCCAAACATCCTAATGGGGTCGTAAAAGCGGGCATCTTTGATGACGCCGCTCTTTGCCTGGTATATTGTCCGAAGATGTCGCCAATCACTGATGGATACCTCGTCAGGCCCAACGCGGACTATGGGTCCATATCTAGCATGCAATCTATCTAGCTCCTAGTTTTGATAGAAGATTAGCCTTATGAGGTGCGGAAGATTTCTTTGGATGTTAGACGGCATACGTAGACACGACGTCCCCGCATAGACTCCAAGCGCAGCATGACCCCCGTGAATTTTGCTAAGAATGGGCCTGGGATATGTCTCCATGGGTCAAACAGAAGCCTCAAGAGGAACTTGTGGTTTAATAATATTAGATGAGTCTCCCATACAATACAGAGGCGGTATCGCGGGGAGCAGTAAACATACAGCTATACCAAGTAGAGTTGATATACCTAGTAGGACCCACGTATTCAAGTCCTGGCTTGGCCGAGCAATCGTGTATTGAGTTGTACCCATATTGTAACAAGTGCCAAGTGTTGTATATAAACGGCACGATGAGGAGGGATAAAGATGGTGTAGATTCAAATTTCAAAGCTTTGGATTTTCCGTATTGGTATAGACGTCTTGTGTTGCTGATAGGATATTCTAGTATTTCTCTAAACTGCGCTTTTATATAGTGGGTCGCTATATGGACGAGTAGGGAGGCATTGTATCTTATGCGGATCTACTTCCGGGATATAGCATAGGGAGTGATAGACCTGAACCCAGGTTAAAGGGTACAAAGTCATACTAGCGGATGCACATCCGCAGTATGCGGAGTATTGGATCTGAATCCGGGGTAGAGGTGATTTGAACCTGGAGCAAGGGTATGCTAGCGGATACACATCCGGGGGATGGGGAGCATTTGATCTGAATCTGGGGTAGAAGTGATTTGAATCTGGGGCAAGACTAGAAGCTCATGTCGGCCATGTCGGCAATGGAGCGAGTGCATCGTGGATCGTCATTGCCATCAGGTTCCGCTGACGAGTCAGGGCCAATTCCGAAGTTTAGGTTAAAGAATCGAAATTTCCCATCACCGGAAGAACCGCGGCGTCCAATTTGAAGATAGGCTTCGTTGCTATCTGTACGATAATAGGTGAGGCTTTAAACGCCGACAATGGGGGCCCGGCAGAGAAGTTTTCACCTACGGATGACCGTGGGAGCGAATGTTTGCAATGGGCTTAAAGAAGCGCTAGTCCATCGCCTCGGCGGCCTCCCAGGAACTGGCTGAGACGATCTGGGCGTGCCGAATGCAGTTGGCTACGTAGGGGAGCATTCCAATACTTCAAGCCCCCAGGTCGGCTATTGATTGGTTAAGTTTTGCTAAACGGCGATCATTGCAGGTGGCTTGAGATCGCGTAGCTTCATCAGTTAGCCACCCGAACCGGCGTACAGCCCTTCGGCCACTGGATCTAGAATGGCGAGAAATGCTCAGTCAGTCTCGGGTTCATTCACCATTCCGCCATTCCTACCTGATCAAGGTATATAGGATGGTATGCACACCCATCACCTCCATTCGAGGTTTTGTTCAGGGGAACGTTGACAGCGACCTTCACACGGCAGGAATAAGCGTCCTTTGCATCGTCGACCTCATATCATCGCTCGCTGAACCACGAAACGAAGAACGCAATACGGTAATGAAATGGCCCCGCTACTGGGAAACCGCGGCATCCAGGTGTCCGTGCCGGTTGGCGGACAGGTGATGAGTGTTATTCTTTCCATGATATCACTCAGTGTCCTTTCTGTATTCCTCAGTATGAAAGACCAGCCCCGTTCTCTGTTCGGAAAGGGACTCACTAATGTTCCTACACAGCAAAAAGAGTGCTCACCGTCAAATATTGGCAGAAGCTTCCTTTCGTTGTATGGGGTACGTAATCTCCTCTACCAGCACTCTGTTTGTTGGATTTTGCCAGCCCTGACTGACGATATCTTAGTAACATTCGCGATCTACTTGGTATCATATTTATTCGTCTTCGTCACGGCATTATTACAGTACTCATTTGGAGTCAATTCAAGTTATGGCCTCTGCGATGGAGCCATCTTACTGTGTCTCGTCTGTTATGTTCTCACCAAGGTATGATCACACATACCGACCCCACAAAAACAATCTAGAATAATGCTAATGAGCCAACAGCTGGTAAGATGCAGAAATACCGCTTATGTTGCATCTTTGGTACTGATCAGGCACAGCTCATCTACCTGTTTCTGGTCGAGAAAGCCGTACGTCAACACACCACCACCACCACTTTAGACGCAGGAACTGACGATGGCAGTACATCATTCGGAACTCGCCAAAGCGGCGGATGCAATCGAAATTGTACCTGTTCAATTCTTTTGGCATCATAACCGTGTTCATCGTGGTCATAGTACTAAACTTTTACTAGTATGTGGAGATTCCGATGACTTTTTAAACTTTGCAAGCGGCTTGACTAACTCCGCGGACTTACAGCCGAATTGTCAGAATGGAAGAAGGCATTTGCTACATCGGAATGAAGGGCCTCGGCATTATCCCCCTTATCACCTTTGATGGGCTTGCGAACACATACCTGACGATGATGTTCCTTATCCCTCTCAGAAGTAGGCACCGCCTCATGTTCCAAACTAGCTCTGAATATCGCATTCTAACAGTGGAAACAGAACTTTATTCATTCAAGAACATGGCGAGGACGTCGGCAAATATCCGCCTGCGGAATGTTGCTTTCCGCACATTCATAGGGTCGGTTTGCACCCTGCTGAGTAGCGCAGTGTAAGTGGACAATACAACCGGATCGGCATTATGCCTGTCAGGATTGGATGACTGACGATCTCTGGCCGGCAGAAACCTTACTGTTTTGGCGGCGCTAAACGGGGAACCGGGCTGGGTTTGCCTGATGTGCTGCAACTGTGACGGTTCGTCCAAACCTTGTCCCCCTCCTTTCTGGAGATTATCTCCACTGCCCACGGCTTGGTAGCTGACTTTCAACCAGTGCTCTTCTCCGCCATCGTTATCTACTGGGTGACGTCCAAGGACAATGCAGGCACTACGGAGACCAACTCATCGCGCAATGTCGGCAACGGGTATGCGGAGAACAGCATGGGCAGCGCGATCCCCAGACCAACCCACCGTGCCGAGCGCGAATACGAACCCTCAACCAGCGATGAAGTCGTGCTTATGACTCCTGGGAGATCAAACCGAGGGCCAACTACTCGCGACGATGATGACAACAGCTCCAAGACGAGCAATTCCAAGGAGAAGGTTATCGTCGCCGCCACTATCAGACCTCAGAGCAGCATCGACGCAAGCATTGACGCAAATCGAAGTCCAGGAGAAGATCTATATCGCCAAAATCCCTAAATGGGCCGAAGAACAGATTGATTCGATAAACCACTAGACGAGAATTAGTTGGGATCTCTCCAGATCTAACACCGAAGGAATGGGAGGCCTTCTGGAACTTGATGATCATTTTGATCTATTAGACTTTGAGACGGCGCGTGTGACATTCCTCTACCCCGATTTTAGAACCCGACTGCGAGCCAGAGGATTGGTTGAAAGAGGCCAAGAAGCTTAGATCGTCGGTAGATACGTACATAAGATGGACGACCCCGTTATACCCATACTTTGATTAGGTAGATGGAATATAGAGTTCGATTGAACAACAGGACCCCATTCCGAGATAAAGGAAAATATCGCTTTACCCCGAATATTATCGGTTGTTTCTTTGGCCAAGCCTACATATTCAAAATGGAAATAGGTTTAACATAGTCCAAGATCAAAACGAAAGAAAATACAGGACCCAGTCTGGAAGGCATGACGAAGGAAGAGTGCTGATTACATGCCTGGCATGCAGAGATTCAGGGCTCGTCTATTTCCTGCCCACATGACTTGGGAAGCAAGATCAGGTCCAGCTCTAAGCATATTAGCTCTCACAAGTAAGCCTCGAGCGGTGGAAAAGGCCTGTTCCGTCTAGAAGCTAATGGAGCTATCCGATTGCATTCCTACCGGATATAGCCATCTCTGTAAAATAACGCTCCTATCCCCATCGAGCAATGGACACGGGATATGCATTCCGGGCGAATTCAGTCGAGATCCTTGTGGAGCAGCAACTTTGTAGCCTTTATTTCTGCCGTCCCAGGATCCTGGTAAGCGGTAACGGACGATGTCCTTAGGATGTTCTAGGTAGGTAACCTTAACAATGAACCCCGGCCACGACCTCCCCACTGCAGATCGCAATAAATCTCCTTTTCTCAGCCGTCTTAATTTCTTCCTCGTTTTGACCATCTGACCGATCTCCAGCACCAGGATAACTCAAAGTAGCAGAAAGTTTCTGGGCTCGGTGGTATGTCAGGGCGCCTGCCTAGGCGAGGTAGCTGTCTGACAGTCCAATGAGCCTTCGTTGTGCTAGAACTCGATACTGGGAAATCGAATTCTTGACCATGACGCTGACAAACGATGGACTCTACTTTATACCCAGCATGGAAGCTCTAGGGAAGTCGCTAGTACAAGAACAGGGACCGTCAAAGCCGTCCGTCCCGTGCAACGAGTACCTGCAGCGATCGTGGCAGCTTTCAAAGCTTGGCTTGGCCAACGCGTTGTACGGTGCTCCAATTTGTTTTTACATATTCTCTTTGCGTAATGCCTTGTAATATCCTCTATTTTACGTGTATCAGCATTTGGTATTACCTTCCAATGACAGCCCTAGCATTGAGTTCCGGGCAAACGCAGGAGATGAGTGATTCTATGCAACATTATTGACCCAGGAGCTAAGCGACTGGGTCATACCTTCATTCTCTAGCACCACCGACAACGATGGATTGGTCTGGGTGGCCTTGTTTACGGATACTAACAAAAGTACTTTTCTTGATGTGTAACAATCAATTGTGAGATCCGTTTGCCTACTTGACATGGCGAAGTAGATGACTGGAAGAATATCCGGAAGCGAATTGACATGATTGAGCATTCGGGACAGGAGGCGATTTTGTTCGCCAAGATGCCCTAGCTAGTCATGAACAAAATGATCTTGTCTTTTTATAGCACTAGGAAGTATTTGATTTCTGGCACACGATAGTTCACAAGAATATCCAAAGTAGTCGCACCGATATTCTCCTATAGGTTCGTTAACTGCCTTCTGTTTCTGGGAGGACGAACGTATAGTAGACAACCTTAGAAGGGGGACCAGATTTTGCAAAGTTGTATGGAGCACCCTGCAGTCGGTCTCTCCGTACGCTCTGGCTATGTCAAGGTACCCACCTGGATGGATTGGCTAGATGGTAAATTTGATGCTACTATAGTGGCTCGCTCAGTTGGTACATCTGGCTACTCATCTGATGTTGGACGAGTGCGGGGACGCCGCAACCAAGGGTAAGAAAAGGATATGAAGAATGATCCACCTGATACTATCCAGACTGTGTCTGGGTGGCGAGGGTTTAAAAGCAGGACGATCCAGAGCGCGCCCGGGGAAAAAACATAATGCTTCCCCTACATCCTCACCTCTTCACTTTTTTGTAAGCACACAGTTTTAGGTTATGGAACACAAAGCTTTCTCTCTCGATCAAAGAACTCCTAGTGACGGGGCAAAGTCTAGTGGAATTTCCCTCAGCTAAATTCGTGGGCAATGATACTCGAACTGCGATGAAAAGTCGAACAACACATAGCCTTGCCAAGAGCCGGTATCTATTCATACCACCAATAATATATGAGTAATGAAACAGACAAACGGTCCATGTTCAGTCAAGTTATTAATTGATTGTGCTTCCCTTATCACTTCAAAGTTTCAATGGGGAGGTGAGGCTGGCTAGGAACTAAAAACAGACAGAGTGCCAAAATTCCTCTACCAGTCGAAGTTAGCCTAGAATTCTCAGGTAAAGGTTGCCTCCATAATGACACACACTCTCGAGCCCAGAATATGCGACATGAACATACCAGCGATAGAGGTCATAGAACCACACTGTAGGCCGACAAGGCCGTGGGAGGCAAAGGGCTTATAGCAGATGTTAGTAAATTATTATTCAACTATTCCATATAGATGGACAACATACCAGACAAAGAAAAATTGCGGATTGATCCTTTCCCATTATTAGTACTCTAAGAGCTCAACAAATTAGACGAGAGGCTTACCTTGCCAGACTTCTCTCAAGCCGAACCGTACCGACGCTGCTGGAGGTGTCGCAGAAAAAGCGCAAGCATTAGCCTATGGTTAACAGACAATTTTTACTCATCGGTCATTGTATTGCTTACCTCCAACGTCTCAATGAGTTCTTGCTCCTAATTTTGGTTAGCTCTCGCTTTTCTCGAGTTTGACGTAACGTTTCAGCCACTACGAACTTTCTATACCCAGTTAGTTTAACTTCGTAATTGATTGTGTCGCATGTTTTCGGTATTCTCACCGCAATCTCGCGCTCCTAGTGCTAATTAATGCAAATGTTAGCAAGGCATGCAGTGATTTTACGCGTGCAACATGTGCGAACGTACGAGAATCCGGTTATTCGCCTCCTGAGGATTCAAGTGTCAGATCGATGTTCTCTTCACGTCATCGACCAAAAAGCTCACCTGCTTTAGTCTTCTGGCCTTCTTTAAATCCCTCATGTTAGCCAGCTAGTTGGGTACAGCGCCATCGTCGAAGGGGAAATCGTACTTCTTCCGCCTTCTCGGCCTTCTTATAAACCATTAGAATAGGTTCATAAGGAGAGAGGGGTAAAGCAGAATACCTCAAGCCGGGCTCGCCAAAACTAGTTGTTACTATTGTCAGAATGTATTGTCTACTCGCATAGTAGGGGACCTTACTTTGAGTTTCTCCTCGGCGGGCGTCTGATCGAGCTCCTCCTCGGCGACCGACTGATCGAGTTTCTCCTCGGCGGGCGTCTGTTGTGGTCAGTACTAGATTCGGCCAATTATCCGGGATAACTATACCGCTCGCTTCCTCTAAAGAGGTTGCCTTTAGCTTGATTTCCAATTATTTGACTGCAATGTAGCTTACCTTGGTTCCTGAGGTACTCGAGCGCCCGGCCCCGGAGCGAGTGCGGGAGCCCTATTGCAATTAGTTTACCGTTCGTTGGTCCGAGAGGAAACAATGAGCCTTTACCATGGCCTGCTGCTCTTGACTTCAGCCAATAAGCGTTAAAGTCTCACGCAAAATCTTGGCTCGCTAACGATTGTTGGTGACGGTAATAGTGATGGTGACTAGCTAGCACTTGAGGGGTGTTCGTTCGACGTCGGGGGATGTGTTGATCTGTCGCTGATGAACAAATTAGCACCAGCCATGAATTAATTAATCTAGCGAACTGCGCCTGGAGGCTGACACTCACGATGGTCTCAATATGGATTTGGCCGAACCGACGAAGAGAAGAAAAACAAGCGGAGGTTGAAGCGTGACAGATGTTGGAAGGCAGCAGGCATCTGACAGCAATTTTGTTGAAGGTACATCAGCGCTACTTGTGGCAGTTATTGAAGTAGCATAGGAACCACTGTCACCACTATCTGTCAAAGGTATTTCGGTTGTAGCAGGGGGACCTTCCTCACGGACACACCACACTGGCCAAAAAGGATGTTCTATGGACTTTGGTGAAGGAACGATTGAAGCATTGGCGGGCGTTTGGGTTTTACTGAGATCAGAAATGGAAGAATGTCTCTCAAATCAAACGAGCATAACAATGCTCAATGACATTCCGCGATCAAACCCGACAATCGATCAGTATCAGAATAAGCAGCAATATATAGCACTGATATTAATTATGAAGCGAATATACAGCTCTGATTAGAGGTACAGTGATGATTCGAAACCGCAGTTAGCCGCACTGGGGCCCCTCACTATCATTCGATGATGCATCGCCCCGGCTCCAGCTCTTATATACACCGTCTCATCATCATGTAAATCTCACAGATAAATATAACAGAAGGGAGAGTTCCCAAGAGTACTTAGGGCATCACCAATCGTTATGGGTTTAGCGTTTACCCCGAGGTCCAGGACGTCCGTCAGAAGAGCGTCTCTACTGGGCGGCTTGTTGAGAATAGTGATGGTACCCGCGATCTTCTTGGCCTCCTTCGGGTGCAAAGCCTGCCAAAGCCAGTAGATTCGGTCTACCATCGAGTGGTGAAGGAAAAAGATGGGATCAGTGGGAGATGCGAAGAGGTCAGCAGAGTCACCGCCCATTGTGAAGTGGCCAGCGGCATGGACTCCGAGAAACTCATCACTGAATCTACCTTGCAGCTCATCTTGGAATGTGGTAATGTTTCGAGAGGCAGCACCGACCGTGATGTTCCACACGTTGGCGAAAGTCATCCACCTATCCACGGCTGCAGAGGTGAGATCACGACGCAGGCATCGGGGGTTGTAGCCAAGCGGGCCGGTTGGGCTGGCCGTGAGGCCGTCCATTCCTGGGGATACAGGGCCCAGGTTGGTCACCATGCTGGTATTTGTTAATCATTGCTGTTTTGGTTTTCGATTTTCTGTCATAGACTATGTCGACTTACTCTTTGAACGGCCCGTCCTTGAGACAGCCGCCTCCATTTCCAGATGGGAGGTAGATGTTATTGCTACCGCCAAGACTGCCATTGTGGGCGACGTAGGCACCATCGCCACTCATGCTCGTCTCGCTTCCATCGAAGATAGGAGAGGAAGCAAAGTCAGAGCCGTCAAGCCAGTCCCAGTACTTTAAGGTTGTCAGCGATGGTTTCAGGTGTGTTACAGTGCAGAGGGGTACTTGCTGGCTGTGTTCCGTGGTAGCCACACTCGTCTCGCAGCGCGGACTCATAGGCCCAGGTGAAGTAGCGATGCCAGGTGAGAAAGTTACCCTGTGCGGGGTGGTTGGTTAGCATTCATGCGCATCTCAAACAGACACGGGGCCGCAATTCCGAATAGCATGTGCGTCAACGGAAGCGATCGGCCAGCCAGTAACTCACTGTGCCGTGAATGGACAGCGTCTGATTGATGTGGACGGCCACAAAATCATCGTATCGAGACTTGGCTCCGGGGGCGAATGAGGGATCGGCCTTGGAAGGCTTGTTCATGATGCAGAGCACGGCATCAATGTAAGCCTTCCTCTCCTTCTTTGACAGTGCCCGCCTGATTAAGAAAAGCGCAAGATGTAAGCCAGTGTTCATATCGTTCAATAAGGTCGTCCATAATGTCGATTTCTACTCACCAATTTCTTCGGATGGATGCTGTACCAAGGGAACACCTCTTTGAGCCATGCACCGACAGCGAGGAAACACTGCCCTCTTGGACTTGGAGGGCCTGGATGGCCTGGTTGTTGGTATCATCCAGGGCACCGGTCTCCGACACTTCCGCAGCAGCTACGGCCAGGGCCGACAGACCAATGAGACCATTGAGCACGGCTGCAAGAGAGAATCGCATGGTGGCTTCCGGGGAGCGGTTGGAACAATGTGCGACACTTGACGAGGCTGAAGAGGTGTCCAACGACGGCGGAATGCAAAACAACCCGAACGGAGGAGTCTTATACAACCAACTCTGGAGAACGGGCCCCGGAAGAACGCGAAACGAGCTGGCAAAAGTGGTCTCTGCCTGCCCGGTAATTTATTCGTTCAGCTATGCCTTGCCACCGTTGGTCGCATCTGTTCATGCAGACCAATTATTAAGTGTCAACTACGGAGTACTTGGCCTAATACATGCTGCCACCCCTGTCCTTGGCCCAATAAAACCTCGCTTCAACAACTCCGTAGATACCAAGGAGATCCAATCTCTACGATTTGCACATTCTCACAGCTGATCTCGTATTACGGAGCAAAAAAAACCCGCGTTTTGATCCCCACACTGCCCCCCCATTGCACCAACACACGCCCGTTGGGTTGCTTGTAGTAGCAATCTTGTTACCACCAACAACTTACCAATGTAGCATTCTTCAAGCTGACATCGTATGACCTCGCAGGTGAGAACCATATAGTTCCGGCTATACCTCTTGGCTCGTGAAATGAACATACTCTGTTCTGACTTCCCCGGCTTCTCGCTTTCCTGATATGGGGCTTGCACCGACGATCCAGAACCTCAATTGGAAAGCAAATGGGTAGAGGCTGCTTATTTGGGCCGGCTATAACTCAGGCCCTCCCTAGAATTTGTCCCATAAGCAGTAGCAGCCCGGTCGTCTTGTTCTATTTACCCAGAAGACTATGGAAAATCGCGCCGAACCCTTGGTATGTTACCCTGCTGGAGAGCTTTCGGGTCCGCCCTGAGTCTGTCAGCCATCTCCTTCCATCAAGGGCTAGCGGAGTGCCGTGTTGTGCAGGAACCCTGGCACTGAAACAAGGGGTTCAAATATGCAACCCCGTCTAGGGTCGCAGATGGGAATGCGGCCCTTGCGTCTTTTTAGCCACCTCAAGTGTCCCAAGAAGTCGACCCTTTGGGAAAATGATGCTGCTCGAGTTAGAGGCGATGCATGCCCGCATTGCTTTTATCTTTTGGGCGTTCCCCAAACTGCGAGCCAGCCGCGCTGACTCTGATGCTGGGTCGTCCAAACTTTTCGTCCATTGTCTACAGAAGACTTTGGCTTGCTAACTTCTTGCGGGCAAGATGAGCACTCCTACTGTACCGATCGATCCGGCCAGGGCAGCGGAAAATCGTACGGCCCAGATCGTGGGTGTCACCACTGCTTTCAACGTGGTAGCGCTACTGATTACGATCTTGAGGACGTATACCCGAGTTTTTGTTGTGCATTCGTTTGGTCCGCACGATGCCTTTATGATTCTTGCAGCGGTTCGTACACACCTTGCCCGTCTCCTGGTCTCACCTAGATCGCAGCCTTATCTCGATCGTTGCTTCTTGAAACGCGCTAACATTGCCCTGGCCAGCTTTGCTCTCTCCTGGGCGGAACAGTCACGATGTTCATGCAAGTTCCATACGGACTCGGCCACCATTCCGACACTCTATCGTATCCCGACCGAATGCAGATTTCGAAACTGAGCTTCGTACAATCAATGGTGCCTCTCATTGGTGGGCTGGGCTTTCTCAAGATCGCCATTGCATTTGAGCTGAGGAAGCTGAGGAGTAATTCGTGGGCGTGGTACAATATTCTGCTTTGGTGCTTGATCGGTCAGTTGTTGATTCGAGGCTCACGTCTGTATCACCACGACTTGCGCTGACACTAACTCAGCATTCGTATCTGCGTACACCTTCATGGCCTGGATGACCTTCTTCCTCTATTGTAGTCCGATCGAAAAGATATGGAACTTCATGCTGGAGGGTAAATGTTATGACATTCATCTCTTCGTCAAATTCGGCCTTATCAACACAGGTATGGCATACATCGCTGTCTCATTTGATGGGCAAAATTCAGTGCAAGACATCAATTGATATCTAATTGGCTGGTTATACAATAGGTTTCAACATTTTCACCGATGTCGCTTTTGCCACCTTGCCAATCCCCGTCGTTTGGACCCTCAAGATGCCTCTCAAGACTCGTCTCTATGTCATTGCCGTCTTGAGTCTTGGTTATTGGTAAGTCTTACCCTGTTGCAGATTGGGGCAAAGTTCTTTGCTAACTTTTGACAGCGCTGTTGCTATGGGTGTGGTCAAGGCCACGCACCAAATTCGTCTCACCATGACGACTGACACCACATAGTAGGCACTCTGGTGATGAAAGCAATTGTACCAAACTGACGAGCTCCCCTGATAGTACTTATGATATCCAATTTTGGGGCTTGTAAGTAGACATCTCATCTACAGATTGTTAGATTCCAAGCTAATCAATCTCCAGGCTCCAACTGAACATTGGAATCATCGCCGCCTGCGCCCCATCCCTGAAGCCATTGCTCAAGACTGTCCTAAACCTCAAGAGCTTGACTCCTCGATACGGATACACGAATTCACAAAGCTACCACAACCAAAGAAGCAAGAGAAGGACGGCAATCTACACGATAGGTGGAAGCGCCGCTCAGGGGTACACCAAGCAGACCAGCAAAAACGACAACCTCGACGACTTCGAACTCAAATCCAACTATCCCTCTAAGAGTAGTGCCAACCAAGGCACCTCTTACACCGCGACCGTCGCGGGTAGAGACGACTCGAGCTCAACGGGTGGCGGCCAAGGGGGGAAAGACGAAGAGGCAATGACGGGGAGGTCTAACAGCCAAGACATCATTCTTCCCATTGAAGGTGGGAAGATTGTCCGCACGACGGAGGTATCTGTTACGTACTAGCTCATGAGGAACTACATGTACAAAAAGCGTTGATATTATTATAGCATTGGGAATCAAGTATAATTATGGTCTAAGAATCCTTCCACGCTCGGTCATGGTCGGTCATGTCTAAATGTTCTACACCGAGCGAGCACTTTTGCCTCAAAGGAATGCTAGCCTCACCGGTCCGGCACTCGTTCGGGAGTAGTTCAACGTGAGGGTGTGATCGGCGTAAGCAGACCCACGAACTACCAACACTACGTTCCTTCGAGAAGCCGATCTGACAGTTCGGTCCGACAGGCTGGACAATCCTTCTGGCTTGTAGGCAAGGATCGCCTTTGATCCTTGTAGTGCTGCGATGTTCCTGGCGCGAAACACCGATCGCCAATCGCGAGTGACATTTCGAAGATTGAGGATCTGCCATCGGGGTTTTTAGCTCGCGGCTTCACTGTCATTGAGGGACTCCACGTGGCATTGCTCTAGATGAGAACCAGTTCCACGAGTAATATGAACTGGATGACATCGAATGCCTGCTGGTTATGTGGCCCAAGAGCATGTGTGGCATAGGTATTTTAGAGTGAATCCGAATTTCTAACAAGGGACAGATTCATGAGTGTCTTGCTAAAAAGCTATACATTGCTGAATGTAGGCGAACCCAGTTCTTGCATGCGATGTCTTGCTGTCGATATGCGACCATCCTTCACTATCTTAATAAAGACACTCACGCACCTCTTTCGAAGATTCTCGTTTTCATCCATCTCATGCGATACAATAATGTAAATTAATACGTTGACCCCGATACAATTGAGAGAAATATGTTCTTGAACATCCCTTGGAGAAGCAGTGAGACGAATGGAAAAAGCTATCTGAGAACAATCACCTGCTAAGAAGAGTATTTTTAGTATGACATACATCTTAACCGATGAACATTTTAGCTGCGTTATCACCACACTCATTAAATGACGTATCTGAAATCTCTGTCAGAAATGCCAACAGCCTTATGGGCATCTTCCTCCCCTGAAGCCAGCTTCTCATTCTGCTTCTTCAGATACCACCAGAAAAAGACAACGCCGCCAATGGCAAGGATAGCAGCACCTCCCTCGACTCATATAGCCATAGGGTAGCGCTGGGCTTGGCTGTCCGGGAAGAGGTAGCCCCGATAACATTGCCCACATTGCCTACCATGTTGACACAAGCAATAGAAGCTGCCCTCTTTGGTGCCGGCGCTGGGATGGAGCTCCCGATCCACGCAAGGTTCATGTTCGATGCGCTCGTGATACCCGAGATCATTAGAATGCTTGCAATGATGCGCACGGGGACTGCCAAGGTGCCACCCATGATGGCCAGACCGACAATGCAGACAGCCAGATTTATAACAATTGGCCATGTGCGCTTCTTAATGCGGTCTGCATACCAGCAGGTAAGTAGAACAATGCAGAAACCAGTCAGGTATGGGACCGAAAGAAGGGCATACGTAATCTTCCTCTGAAACCCAAGAGTGGCCATGATAGTTGGGAAGAAGCTGGAACAAAGTATTAGCCAATCGAACACCCTGACAAGATAATAAATATCTCCACTTACTTCGTAAAGGAGGCACAGATGGTAATTAGAAGATGGTTCAGTGTTAAAATTCCAACTTTGGGATCTTTCATCATCAACTTAAACCCAGTTCCCATCGAAGTCTTATCAGAACTGTTGCCCGGACCTTCCAGAAGTCTGTGCTGAGCTACAATCGACTCCTTTTCTGAAAGCCACCTAGGATCGAGTTAATTTAAAGTCTCATGCCCTCGCAAAATACAGTTTACATACCGTGTATTGTGCGGATAATTTGGAAGTGTGAAGTAGCAGATTCCAGCGACGGCGACAGTGAGGGCGCCTTCGATGATAAAAAGCCTGTCAAAAAAATCAAACGTCAACACAGATTCAAGAACCTCTCAGCTCAATCGCACTCACCATCTCCAAGCAGATATATTGGCAACGTTATCCATACGTTCCGTGATGCCAATTGCCATCAAGCTTCCGAAAGACCCGGAGAGCATGCTTCCTCCAAACAGCAATGCCACGCGCAAGCTCAGCTCATTGCTCTTGTACCAAGACGAGCACAGATATACTGCGCCAGGGAAGAAAGGAGCCTCGCAAAATCCGAGAATGAATCTGACATCAACGAGACCGCCATAGCTATGGGCCAACGCCGTGCAACCGGACACGACACCCCATACTGCCATGGCGCTAGGCAGATAAATAGAAGGAGGAACTTGCGACAGAAAGAGATTGCTAGGGACCTGCGTGAGACTTTGGAAAAGTTAGTGCATGAATATCACCAGCGGTATCAAGGAAAATTGATTTACAGGTATCCGACGAAGAGAATGGACAAACATGTGCTGTATTTCGTTGAAGACAGCCCAAGCTCCTGCTGAATTCCAGCAAGTTTCGCAATTGGCAAGGCATTTCGATCGATATAGTTCAAAATGTACATTATCATCAGCGTAGGGAACAATCTCAGGTCAAGCTTCAGCTTGAGCTTCTTCTCTATAGCTCGAGCCTCCTCGGGAGAAAATTTGGCATATTCGTCCCGAACATGTTGCTCGTGGGCACTCAGGACGAAAGTCGCCCCGACTGCCTGCGAGGTGACTGGGGCCTTGCCATCTTTGAGATCGGACAGTTCAGTTGAAACGCCTTTGTTGGTTGCCATGATGAACCACGAAAATGACTGTATAAACTCAACTTCAGACGGGAAACGTTCTATATTTAAAAAGAAAGTGACCTCCTGTGGTGAGAGTTGTCCCAACGGGCTGAGAAGATTATCCACACTGATTGATCGTGCTGAAAGTGACTTCGCTTGGCCGGGAAATCAACCAAGTCCGGGGAGGACCAATCAGAAGTCTTCCCTCATGCCCCTGCCTCCGCGATAACATCGAGTGAGCTGTGTCAAAAAGCGTCATTTTGGAATGGCGGGAAATGATAAGCCCCTGGACTGAGTCACAGAGTCTGTCCCCGGCATCTTATAGCTCCTGGTGCGTTTGCCAATGGCCCCAAAAGTGTGTTTGAGATCTTCGTCTTCGCTGCCTTGCAATACAGCGGCTCCGAGATGGTTGGTCTCACGGCCGGAGAATCAGCCAACCCTTCCCGCGACGTGCCCAAGGCCGTGAAGAGCGTCATCTGGCGTATCGTTGTGATCTTCTTGGGAGGCATCTTCTTCTTGACACTTACCGTGCCCTTCAACCACCCTGATTTGCTCAACCCCAAGAACAAGACTGCTAGCTCGCCGTTCGTGATTGCATTCACTCGGGTCGGGGCATATGCAGGCGCCCACACCATTAATGCAATCATCGTCGTTACAATTTTGTCGGCAGTCGACAGTGCGCTGTACGTCGGTTCTCGAACCCTCGTTGGTCTAGCAAGTCAGGGACAGGCACCCAAGATCCTTGCTTGGTCCAATTCTCGTGGTGTTCCTATCTACTCTGTCGTCATTATGAACTTGATTGGCTTCCTTTCTCTACTCAACCTCTCTGCCGGCGCTGGCAAATTCTATACCTGGGTCGTCACAATGACCGGTGTTGCCACATTCATCACCTGTGAGTACTTGTTGTCCATGTTGGGTCTAATGATGATAATCAAATGCTAACATAAACTTCATAGGGGCTTGCATCTGCCTTGCTCATGTCCGTTTGCGCCAGGCATTGCACCAGCAGGGGGTTTCTGAGGACGTGCTTCCCTTCAAGGCCAATCCCTGGGTTGCATGGGTGACTTTTGGAGTCAACATATTCTTCATCTTCTTCCAGGGCTGGACAGCCTTTGCCCCTTTGGAACGTAGAGGCTTTCTTGCAGAATTACATCATCGTGGCGGTTTTTATCGTTTTCTATGTTGGGTGGAAATTCTACCATAATACTCCATGGGTCCAACCCAAGATGGCTGATCTGATTAGCAACAGGAGGGATCTGGAGCCCGTTCAACAGGCTACTCAGTAGACTTTTGGAGGAACAGGAACTGTATTACACTGACTCTGTATCTTAGCAGCTTATACGCCCGGCTTCATGCCAAAAGAGTATCACACTTGAACGAAAGCTCTGTTTGGAGCGGACTATCGAAGATCACCACCCATTTTGTTGTCTGCGGTTGTAAAACTAACCCTATTCCCATATCCTTTAAAGATGTTGTTCATGCCAGTGAAGACATAAATATGTGCCAGTGTTCTTTGAATCACCACGTGTCTAACACAGATGCACTCTTCTCCTTTGGGATACAATGAATCGTACAAGAATTAATCTGCGTAGTCCTAAACGGATCGATACTGTTTTCTACCCAAATGCTACTACTGAGACGGGAATATTCAAGATGGGTGGTTGTTGGCTTTTGACTTGATATGAAGAAGTAGAAATGAAATGTGGCTCAAGTCATGCCATACCGTGGCGTGTTTTCTTGACATTCTTAGACAATAAAATTAACTAATCCTCATTTTAAAATCCACGGCAAACTATCCATCTAATATTTTCTTCCTCTTCAACTCCCCACTCCCCTATGTATCTCTCGCCAATGATGATAGTGGTGATGGTAATGACGATGGTGATGATTCATTGTTAATTTTCTGCTTTTCAATTTCCCATAGTCTTTGCGGCTTATCATAAGAAGGTCCAGTACCTCCATTTCCCTTCTGGTAATGATGATAATGGTGGTGGTGGTGATGATGATGGTGGTGGTGGTGATGGTGGTGATCGTGATGATACGTGACTTGACTTGTGCTTCCCAACGTCGCAAATGCGTTGTTATAGGGATTTGGCTGCCATGATATGGGGCCACCATTCGGTAATTGATCCCGTTGGTCAGCAGTCTGCGGTTTTAATTGCGTTGACTGCCTTCTCTCAATTTCCAATTCCAGGATGCTATAGTCAAGATTGGAATGTTGGTGAGAAGAGATGTTGTCTTCTCCTGTTGCGGAGGTACCTGATTGCGCATACTGTGGTCCACATCGAGAGGGAAGACTAGAAGCAATTCCTATTGAAGCTGTCGGTGACGATGCCGTATTTGTTTGGGCGTCGAAATCGTTGGTTGTATCCCAGGCTGGGGCCGACTGGCTCTGAGTTTGGTGTGATGGTTCTAGTTCAATTGACAACATTTCTGTGAATGCAAAATCCATTGCGTCGAAGGTCATTTCGGTGGACGGAACCGTTTTTCCCAGAAAACAAGGCTGCGAGTCAATATCCTCAAATTGTTGAAAGGTGTCCAATTGCGATACACTTGTGCTTTCATAACTATAAAGATCATGGATAGGTGTTGGCCCAGGTTTATACGATAGGCTGGTATGTGAGCCTAACACTGAATCGTGATCCTGTATAGTTTCTTGAGGAGTGCTGCACGAGATACTTGGGCTGCCACTGTCTTCACCTCTGGAAACCATTGCCTGCTTGGCAGACAAATGCCTCCACCGGTTTCGACAGGTCAACGGAGGTCGTCCAGGGAAGAGGGCAGATATTGCGGACCAACGGTGGCCGAGAGACTGGACACTGTCACGTAAGACCTGGTCCTCCTCTTCTGACCAGCCCCGAAGCCGGTCCCTGGCCGAAGGGGCGAGAATATCGTTGTAACGCTTGGAACATTGGTCATCTTTTCTCCCAGAGATTAAAAGACATATGTCGCTCCAGGCCGGGCCCAACCTGGCAAACCCCTCTAGCAGAATGCGATCCTCTTGTTGAGCCCATCGCCCCTTGCGGACAGAAGGATCCAGTGAATGAAACCAGCGCTTCCGACATTCCTATCAAGTTCGGTTGAAGTTAGATAGACCTGAGAAGGAGGGCGACTGGATCTGAAAGAGAAGAGCAGTAGAAGGTTCTTATCATCCTTACCTTTGCTGTGCGGTCTGGCAGTCCTCGAGCGATATCTGTCCAACGGCCATGGCGTCCTCGAGCATAACCGAACTGGGAGACAAGGTGTCTCAAGGTCTGATCCTCTATATCAGTCCATGGGCGGCGGGCCTTATCCATGGTTCGCGGACCCTGTACCTGGGGGAACTCTGACATGGTGGCGGCGAGTTGCTGGCGAGGATTTGGACGTTGGCCGAGTCAATGTCTGGATGAGGTGATTGGAGACCAGAAGTTCAACCAGGGATGGAAGAGATGCTAACAGGACCGAGTAAACACCCAAAAGTGCAATTCTAGCCGCCCTGTTTATTATGTACGAGCTTGACTTACCACTTGCAACCTGGCTACTGTGTTGGGGGAAAAACGAACAACACCACGGCTGCTTGCGAGTTTTGAAAATGCAGACTGCTAACCACACCAAAATCTAACAACCTTCCACAACAGCTATGAAAAGGAGGTTTTGAGTTTTGTGTGTATTCTCATTTGATCAAATAGTTCACGTTTACAGCTAGTCAATTGACCTATCGTAGCCGCCGTAACGTTGCTAGAAGACGTATCTTTCATAAGAAGGGTTTTTAAAAGTGAAAATAAGAAGGGGTAAAAAGGATGTCTTTTTCTACGGATGCTGAAAAATAGCTGGGCCCCGACTCACTACATGTACTTAATTCCCAAGGCCCTGTACCTTCACTCATCCGCGAACGTATGCCCGCCCTTCCTGTGTTGCGCCGTAGGTGTGTGCTTTACCACTCATAGTGGACTGGCAGCTGATCGCAGGGGCTCCGGGGCAACAGGGAACCGCTACGGCAGTCTACAGTGGGGTGCATCCGCTGGCAGCCTCCGCACGATAAGGCTTTCCCCCGGAAATGAGCGCTAATCAACCAAATGTAGCGCCTGACACCGCCCAGCGATAGGCAATAGCCCCTCACTCCACCCACTCTTTGACTCGGCCCAGCCTTTCGGGCCAACCACGATGCCTCATTCTGCATGACACGACTTGACATGGCATTAGCTTGACCCTGTGTCTGCTGTGGCTCCCTCCACCACGCGCAGGCTCAGTGTTACTTTCTCTGCCAGAAAACAGCACCCTGTGCCAATTCCCGCAATTGCTCCGTCCGTAGGGGTCATGCCAGGGCTTGGTCGAAATCTGGGCCCAGGCCGAGTCCTGGACACACGCCGATACCTTGCCGACTGAAGATAGGCGAACCAGATTTGCCCCTCTGACTCGGTCTTCAGATCTTCAGTGATGATAAATAGGCCCTGAACTTGCTTGGAAGGGGATTCTGAGCCAGGAACAGAACAGGATAGAACAGGACAACCATTGGGACAATCAGTACATAAACATCGTCTGCTTTCCTTTTCAATCTGTTTCCCTTTTCCTTTGATATTATCTCACGTTCTTCCTTCATTTCCTCACGCCTCCAATAAACCGCCACAATGTCTGCCGTTGCTGCGAAGGAGTCCTACCTCCACCCTCTCGACCCCGCCACGGCCGAAGAGATTGAGAAGGCCACCGCCCTAGTTAAACAACTCTTCTTTGGCATCCCTCTCCACTTCAAGGCTGCCGGCCTGGATGAGCCCCCCAAGCGGGATCTGTCTGCCTATCTCGATGCTGAGCACGAGGGCAGACCGCTTCCTCCTCTCCCTCGTCGGGTCTTTGTCATGTGGTACATCCATCGCACTCCTAGCTGTTCGAGGGTGCAGTGACCCGACGTGACAAACAACAAGGTTGAGCAGTATCAGGAGCTTCCCCGCGACTTCCATGGTCCTGTCGACCGTGCTGAGATGAAAGAGGCCGCTGAGGTCGTCATGAAGGACCCCAACGTCAGAAAGTAAATCCAGCGTCTCAAGATTGACGACACCACCATCGTCCTCGACCCCTGGGACTTTGGTGTTGATGGAACCGAGACACAAGAAAGACACACACAGGTCTTCATGTACATCTGCAACCCTGAGAACAATGATCCCGACTCTTGCCACTACTCCTTCCCTCTCGACTTCATGGTCATCGTCGATCTTGTTGCCATGAAAGTAAAGAAGATCCTCCGTCTACCTCTTGGTGTGGACCAGAAGACCACCGAGGTGTTCAGCGACGTTCCCCACCGCAGGACCAACCTCTTCGAGCCTGAGCCAGACTCCAGAAGAACCCTCCCCGAACGACCATGAAGCCTTACCAGGTCATCCAGCCAGAGGGTGCTTCATTCACCGTCAAGGGGCACCTGATTGAGTGGGAGAAATTCCGCTTCTGTGTTGGTTTCAACTGGCGAGAGGGTAGGTCAACCTCATCCAAAGTCGAGAGTGACAAGGCGCTAACATGATACTCACAGGTACGACCATTCACGATGTTTCCTTCATGGGCCGCAAGGCGTTCTACCGTCTCTCTCTCTCTGAGATGTTTGTCCCCTATGGCGATCCTCGTAACCCAATTTACCGCAAGGGCGCTTTCGACCTTGGCAATGTCGGTGCAGGTGTGACTGCCAACAACCTGGCTCGTAAGTTACCCCTGATCCTCGCTCAATGGCTTTTTTTAGTTTCTTTCTCATCCATCATAGTTGGGTGCGACTGCCTAGGAGTCATCAAGTACCTTGGCGGCCATGTTGTCGGAAATGATGGTACTGCCGTCGAGAAGCCCAACGCCATCTGCATCCACGAGGTCGACCAAGGCATCCAGTGGAAGCACACCAACCACCGCACCAAGAACGCCACTGTAGTCCGCAAGCGACAGCTTGTTCTGCAGCAGATCATCACCGTTGCCAACTACGAGTACATCTTTGCTTGGATCTTTGACCAGTCTGGCGAGATCACCTATGAGACCCGCGCCACCGGCATTCTCTCCACTCAACCAATCGATGCCGATGCCAAGGTCCCATGGGGAACTCGTGTCGGCGACGGTGTCATGGCTCCCTACCACCAGCACATCTTCAATGTCCGCATTGACCCTGCCGTCGGCGGCCGCAACAACTCCTTCGTCTACTCCGGCTCGGTCCGCATGGACTGGGACGAAGAGCTCAACCCCCTGGGCACCGGATACGTCACCAAGGAGACCACATTCCACCGCGCCAGCTCCGTCCAGGACAGCGTCGCCGACGGCCGCGTCTTCAAGATCGTCAACCCCAACATCGAGAACCCCGTTTCCAAGACCCCATCGGCTACAAGGTCGTCCCCATCCGCTCCCAGATGCTCCTCGCCCAGCCGGGCTCCTGGCACTGGCGCCGCTCCGAGTTCTGCGAGGCCCCCATGTGGGTGACAAAATACCAGGACCGCCAGCTCTTCCCCGCGGGCGACTACACCAACCAGTCCCTCGGCGGCACGGGGATCAAGAGCTGGACCACCCACAACCCAGACCCCGTCGTCAACGAGGACATCGTCGCCTGGCACACGTTCGGCTTCAACCACATCCCCCGCGTCGAGGACTTCCCCATCATGCCCGCTGAAATTGCGCAGATGCACCTCAAGCCGTACAACTTCTGCAACTACAACCCCACCAACGACGTGCCTCCCTCGAACCAGGAGTTTAACAAGAGCGTGCTGTATGAGGACCAGCAGGCTGCTTCTGCCGATTTGTGCTGCCGAAACAAGCTGTGATGATGAAAATGTTGGTGTTTGTGTTTCTCTAGCAATAAATTATTTCATAGAATTCGTTAAAAAAAAATGCATTGTTAATTTTCGTTTGGGAAATGATCGAGGCTATTTCACGTTGACCATTATACGCTCAGTAACCATTGTTTCAATCCAGAATCCTGAAAATAATTTACAAAGCTTCAGTCGTCTGGCATCTTGATACTATATTCGAATAGGAATACGGTTGAGCCCTTGTTAACGCCAATACGGCACTTCCATTGCGCACGCAGCTATTCAAAACTTGTACCTCGGCATCAACAATCAAGATAATTGTCATAAGCCAACGTGTTATTGATTTGGTTCTGATTAGCCTTCATCCTTTTTCTTGCGTTTGGCAGCTTGCACGAGCGTGATGGCCGTTAAGGCCGACTTACCTTCGTGAGGGCTACATGACATAGGGGTCTTAGGGGCAGCTGTCAAATGAACGATCAGTATTTCAGTATTTTCATCTGAAGGAGTTGACTCTTGATTTCCCACATGAACGCGAGTACTATGCACGGGAAATAGCAATAACAGGGTGATGATGAGGGAAGTGTGCGAGTAGAGCGCTCAATGTAGCCAGGAGATAGAAATGAGGACCAGCTCCCTTATTCTCGTACTCGGTTCATTTTCAACACCTTACACGAAAGGAGAATTCAATCATCGCAGGGAAGAAGTGAGAGTCGAATGGTCAACATAGGACGGATGGTTCTAGGTACCCATTGATGCCAAGCTCCCTCAATGAAATGATGGGGCAATAATACCGATCAGCAATCACAGATCTTGCATTGAATGTTTCAATCAAAAGGTAGTACGATTCTACATCACCAGGTTGTACGTAGATTGGTCACAGTCGCCCCGATCTCGGCGAGTCCGCGCTTTATTAAATTCTACACCTCAGCAGGTCAATCGCCGGGATATTTCAGCGCGATCCATTGGCGATAATTGTCCTATCTTCTCTGCACGTGGTCCGATGTTGGAAGCTGGACGACGCAGACCAGGGTAGAGCCAAGGAACTTATTTATGTGATGCTGCCATCGATGACACATTTCGCCACTGTCTCGCGAACAGTTTGATCGCCTGGGATCTGTACGCCTGTACGCCACCGCGGTAATACGGACCGATTCGATGAGACCTGGGCCGGGCATCGCAATCTGCAATGCAGGCTACCAGGGTGGTGATCAGGAATAGATGAGTGGACAGACAGGTGATTGTTGCATGGGTGCTGCACCTTGTTCTCTCTCATCTCATTCCACACTAGCCTTGAGTGCCGGCCACCAGGAAAAAGGAAAGAAAAATACAGGAGATGAGCGAGCGCATTCCACGGTGGTGCGACTGCCATGCCATGTAACCCCGAGAATTGGCCCAATGTGATGGCTCATCCGAGACACGACACTCATGCCGCCCGCCTGTTGCATCAGGGGCGGCGTTGGGCATCCATCAGTCAAGCCATGATCCGCCTTTGGCCGAGAACACATCATTCCAGGACTGCGTTTTGACCCCCCGCGGGAGATGGGCTGGATGAACGTTCAAGCAGCAGCTCGGCGGAATAATAAACACAACCGCCCAGTTGCTCTGAAAGAGGCCAATCGTGGCTACATACACCAGGAGGATGACGACTCATGCTTAATTTGCCCTAGCCTTAAAGCTTATCAGCCATGCAGACTGTCCCCCATCCCCTGTAGGTTCCATCCCTCAAGCTGGACCGGCACTATTACACATCCCTTCCCTCGGCTCCCTCCTCAGCGTGGAGTCCTTGGAGGCTTAGGCCTCTTAGTTCGCGACAGACAAGAGGCCATGGCTCTCTGACAAGACTAGCCCCGTCTCTATCTGCCTAGGTTCCCCGCTTGCCAAGGGGTTGAACCTGGCCTGGGCGTGACACATGACGGGGTGGGCAGCATCTGCCGCGAGTAAGTGCCTTCGTGAGACATGGCACACCTCAGTGACGCCTCTGGATGGCCAAGACGCCTACGGTGACCCCTTGTGCATTCCTCCCTGCCTACCCAGATCAGATGCATATCTTCCCTCCCAAGCCCGACCTTCCTCCGTCCATCGTCACCCTTCCATCCTCCCCCCTTGTATATTTCCAGAACGTGTTTGTGGCAATCCCAGAGAGATGGATTGAGCCACAATGTAAGGTTCCCTGAGCACGCGGCGACTACAATTAGAGTTTTGTGCTGCGTATACTTTATCACCACCCAGACACCAGGCTTGTCAGTCAGTATTTACGGCCCTACTGGAACGCAATTTGGCTCTTAGCGACGGAAGAAAGAACACAAAGGAAGAATCTTAAACAATCGCGACCATGCTGTCTCAGGCTCAGACCATGGCCAACAAGCTCTTCTCCCCCAAGAACAAGCTCCGGCTGGGGGGGGCAAAGAAGCGACAAGCAAGATTGGAAGCAGAGCAGCAGCAACCAGTTACCATTACGATGACGGCCTCACATCCGCTCAAGGCCATGAGGTATGTGGTTTTTTCTCTATTACTCAGACAGACGGGGCATTGTTTAACGGGAAGGGGAGTACTGACACGCTAAACAGGCCAAACCGATGCGTGTCCTTCGACATGCTAGAACAATCCCCCTCACGACACTCACAGCGACTGGCCTCCATCGTCCTCAACACACAGCATCCGGGCTACAAGTCCATGCGACAGCACAGGGCCCTCATGGTGGCCCTCGACGGCCACGTGCCGCTCCAGGCCGACTCGCCGCTGCACTGGCTGCTCGAGGCCATGGCCGTCGCCGGCGACCACATCATCTGCGTCCACCGGCCCCGGCGGACCAACAAGGGCGAGAACCACGTCTCGGAGACGGCCAAGGACGCTCGAGCGCTGTTCGAGGCGACGGTCGCGCTCGTGGCGGCCATTTGCCCCGACGTCCCCCTCAAGGTGACGCTCGAGTACGGCGTGGGATGTGCAGCCCACAGAATGATACAGAGCTTGGTATGTTTGTCGTGTTTTACTGGGCCACACCCGTGGTGCATTGCAGGCTGCCATTCCGCAGCTCTGACATGTAATGAATTACCCTGCTAACCAATCATTTCAGATAACGCTCTACGCCCCGTCAATGCTGGTCATGGGACCCAGCGAGGGAGAGATCGATATGGGCGTCTCCTCTCTCGTCAGCAGCCACGGCAGAGATTCCATCAAGCACAGTCTACAGTACTCCCAGGTACCTGTGATCGTCGCCCGGCCTGACGTGGAGCGGGAGGCACACAAGGAGGAGCGGAGGAACGACAGGAGCTACGCGGACATCCTGCAGGAGGCCTGCGGCGGCGTTCACGAGAGCGATTGGAAGGACACGGGAGGCCTCATCCTGTACCCCGAGGAGGTGATGCGGTCCCGCGAGAGCAGCGGGACGGGCGATTACGACGACCACCGGCTGCGGAGGGACAGCGAGAGCTACAACGAGGAAGTGGATGACAGCGACGACGAGGGCGGGGAGTTCGAGGTCGTGTCCGGCGAGCAGCTGCTGGCCCATCTGGAGCTGGATACCGTCACTGCGCGCAGACACAGTATCCCCGGCGGAGCAGATGCAACAGCAGCAGCGGCGGCGGCCGGGAGCCTGCTCCTGTTCCCTCACCAGCAGAAGAGCCCGCGGCGCCCGGTCAGCGAGCGTGTCTAGGCGAGCGTGGCAGGCCTCCCGGGGGACCAATCAGTCAGCATTATTATGCTTAATTAATAGAACCTTGATATCCTCCCATCTTCCTGATTCGCCACCGGGGTGGTGGTCTGCGCAAAAGAGGGGAAGCTGTGTGATTGATGTGATGTGATAGGCAGTGATGTGCAGGGTCCGCCGTCATCTTGTGACCACCCAACCAAAGCCCACGAGTGCGTCTGCTACTGGGCACTAGGGGCAGGCTAGAGGCCTCCTCGGTGACTGAACTGAGGCTGTGTAGCGAGACAATGAATCGGCTTCCGCCCGTCCTAGTTCTGCTGGATGCCTCTCTGGCTCTAGCACCAGATCTAGGGGAGGGTGCGGCTCACGCCGCGACGCGACTTAATTGCTCGCTAAGTGAAATCGACTGCAACGCTATGATGGAAGTCGTTAGCATGCCAAGCTGCCCAGATTTCTTGGCGGGTGAGTAGCACGGGGGTCTAGACTCGGGCAGTGAATCGTCATCTGTACGCCCGCCATTGGGCCTGTTCAACGTAGTTTAACCTGCTCGGGGTCACCTTCGGCTGATCCGTGCTGTCAGTGGAGGTTGGCATCTTATTTCCGGCAAATGATGGCAGTGGCCTCAATCTTGTGTTGCCCTGGATGTAGAGTTCAGATGGATTCGTGTCCCATCAGAGGACCGAGGCCTCGACAGTTCCCACTAGCCAGGATGCGAGATTATGTCATTGTCTGACGGATCTCGTTATCAAGGAAACCCGGGCTTCCGCAAGTTGTGATCCTCGCCCACCCCCACCAAAAATCATCCTCCAGCTGGCACTAGGTCTTCTGGACCTAACATCACAACTGAGCTAAGATAGGAGGGTGCGGTCGAGACACTCTTTAATTTGCGGGGTTAGTGCCGATTTTCATTTGTTCATTTATCTCAACCCCGGAATTTGGAGAAAGTTCGTTCAAAAAGGGGATCCTGATCAAGCAAGGTGTATCGCTGATCGACGTCCAATAATCCACAACGCAGGGGCATCTTATCTATGCGGTGGGCATATTGCGGTGTGCATTTCGCACATCTTCCGGGTGATTTTGAGAATCGTCATGTCAGGTGAGCCAATACACGAAAGACGTCCAAGACACCGCGCGGAGCCTCCTCATTCTCAGGGCTCTCTTGACATTCTTTACGGGAGGAGGTATATGCAATCAGCAATTATGATGGTTCCTTGATTGTCTTCAATTGCCGTACTCTAGAAGCTTGAAATCAGCCCTCTTCCGCAAGATCATGTTCCAAAGGTTGACAACACCTTCTGGAAAATTACTCGGTATAAAGCTATGTTTTCCGAGTATCAAATTCCCCATCAATCCAGTTATATCGAACCATGTTTAGGAGCTAAAATACATACAAGCAAGTGAAACCTAGAAACCTTATGTGATATGAAGATCTCGTCAGCTAAGTGACTGGCTCGGCGGTTCAGGTCTAGCAGAAAGGCTGTTCATTTCATTTTTTCTCCGTTCCAGCGACAGCAGAAGTGTTTAAGTTTTTAGGTTTTTTTAGTACTGGCCGTTTATTTGGATATAAGAACAACTGGTACTTCCAGAGTTGAAGGAAAGAAATAGACAGAAGTAGGCAATTCATCCACCCAAGTACCAAATAAAATCAACTTACTACACGCTTCTTGAGTGCTTTGTACTTCCCTACTATAGGGTCGCAATTGGCTCTCCAATTCTAACATATCTTTCCGGCCATATGAATACCGACACTCATAGAACGCAATTGAATTCCACAACCTGATGATTCAAGTAAGCCTCTGCGTCATCCCTGCATCAGTCTCAGGAACATGAATGACAAAATTTTATTGCGCATGATCCACTCATGGCTCAGAAACTTGTCCTTTGATGAACAGCTCAACAGTGTCTGAATTTCACCGACATTGTAATCAGACAGCAGTCGTGTCTCGTCGGTTTTATGCCTTTGGTATCCTGCCATTCAAAGTGATGCAGTATATTAGTTCTTGCAACTCCCGCCCAAAAGTTTCTGCCATAATGCTCTACAGACATTGGCATGTCCCTGCTCTGTTTCATTTCAACTCGTAGGTCAAGCGACGGAAAATGATGTTGAATCTTGTTGGTTGTTCCCGCCATTCTGTAAGCTTGTTGAAAATGACATCGCATCTTGAAGGAGAGTAGTTAGTGGTATTCATTCCTATGAATTATCAACAAACGTTACGGAAAAGGCATAGATTTCCCAAAATTAAAGTGGTAGGTCTTCAAAGAAAGGTTCCTATGACCTGCCCCAAGATATGGGACTGGACTTTGTTTGCTTGGTTTGTGTCGTCTCACAGATATTATCAAACTTCAGACTGTATTCTTTCTTGATGTGGGATTGAAAACGGGAACTCGAACAAAATAGGATCTCGACGAATATAGCCTTTTATGTTCAAAATACACCTAAAGAGCCGTCTAACTCAGCCGAAAAGTACAGCTGGGCAAGCCTCCTGGTCGACGATCAATCTGGGCGTTTTCATGCTGTTGAGCCACAAGATATAGGGTAGGCCGGCAGTCGCCGGTGGCGCAGCCCAGTGGCTTGGCAGATGCATGTCATGCGCCACATTCCCATATGCTAAGTTATGTCACTTATTACTCCATTCTGAGAGCCTTCATAAACGCCTTGAGAGTCTAGATTTTATTTTCTCAATGACGTAGCCTTTCGTTTGCTCATTGGATTTTTTTTTAATTTGTGCGAAACTTGAATGTTGGTCGCGCATTGCGTAGAGGCGGGAGTCTAGAATTCTAGTGACGTCGTTGTCTCATTTATTGAGTGCAATTCTGAAAACTGACCACACCTGGAGGGCAAGTAACCGAAGCCCAAGGCTTTCAGCATATGCGCTTAGCTTGCAGGCGATGCCGCTACAGTGTGGTTGACAATGCGTATGCGGGTCAGTTCGACTCCTCCATCGCACGTATTGATATTCCATTGGCTCCATTAGCTGCGTCTCTTGCCAAAAACGGTCATAAGAGTAGAAAGACGCAACATCCCCATCGCACACGAAGCTACGGTTTACCGCTAGAAAAAAGTGTCAGCAGCTGATCCCTCGTTAACATGAACTGCTCAGCCCTAACAGGCCAAGAACCCTGCAAAGAAGATATTTGTCCCATAGGGCTGCAGTCTCTATGAGATTTTAGCTGGAAATATGTCGGTTGCCTGAAGTCCGGAGGCTGATTGCATATATTGCCCACAGCTCCTCTCAGAATGTCTGCAGTTTCTTTTAGCATCCACTCTCTTTTCTTTATGTCTTGTTCTTATCTTTCAAAGTATGGTTGGGGTTCCCGGAAAATCAAAAGCGTGCATCAATTGTCGCAAGCGTCGATCGCAGGTGAGCCTTCAAGTATATTCTCTATCGACTAGTCGGGTAAGGTACTAAGTCGGTTCTTCCAGTGTGATATGAAACGACCCTCGTGTGGCCAATGCCAAAGATCTGGTATAACATGCTCCGGCTATCAGAAAGAGTTCATCTTCCTGAACAGCACTACGCAAGAAGCCCAGGACGGCTCCTTGTCGCTCGAGAAGGAGAGCTACTCAGCGGGAACTAGAACAAGGAACCCAACAACTGCGGGTTCCGCCGCATCGAGGGCAGCCGCTACCCGTACAACTCCGGTCGTTCTCCACGCAACTCTTGAGCGCAGTGCCTACGAAAATAATGTCATTGATGAATTTTGGGCATCATATCTGCCTAACGGGTGTGCCCCCTCAGAAGAGGTCATGAAGTACTCCACGTATGGCTGGACCAGCGTGGCACAAAATTTACACACAGAGAACCCTATGATTCGAGTTGCCCTATTAGCCAGTGCCTTGGGAATGATAGGCAGGCAGAGAAACGACGCGGAATTTTTCCAGCAAAGCCGCAAAGCCTATGGAAAGACTCTGTTGGCCGTGGAGAAGTCACTCCGCGAGCCCGGCAAGCATGAACCCCATGTTGTCTTGACCGCACTCCGACTTGTTAGCTTCTACGAGGTAAGTACCTCTCTGCAACGAAACCTATATTCGGATTTTCTCTTTACAAAGCCACAAGGAAGTTATGACTAACAAAGCCCAGTTGTGGTTTGGGTCAGATGGGGATGGCTCAGCGGCTCAGTATCATAGACTCATGGCCCACACGAACGGTACCATGGCGTACTTGCTTACCAAAGGCCCCGACACATTTTCAGCAGACTGTGCCCATCAATTATTTTCAGAATTTCGGTTGTCGCAGGTACACCTGGTCTAACCCCGTCATTATGTTGTGCCAATGCTAAATTTGCTCGGCATAGGTCGTCGCCGGATTACATGCGCACAAGGCCAGCCCGCTTGCTAGTGACGAATGGAAAAAGATTCCATGGAGCCAAATACCCAAGAACCCCAGGGATACCCTGTTTGATATCATGCTCGAGTTTCCGGGGCTATTTGAAGAAAGTGACCGCATCAAGGCTCTGGGTGATGGTAATGAACAGCTGGCACATGCTCAGTGGCTACTTAGAGAAAAGTGCTACAGGCTCCACGAAGACTTGCAAGCATGGGCCGAAAGAGATGGAAAGGAGGCTCTCGAACTAGCAGAGTTAGTGGATTGGGAAGAAGCTGATACAGCCAGTTCCACCACCTCTTCAGAAGAGTTCGCTATGGGCCACCTCCTCATGCTCCACCATGCCTCCCGAATCATCCTGTATGATGCATTACGCTCTCAGACTGGAAGCAACGTGGAAGCTATACCCGACTACGTTGACCCGCGGCTCTATTGCCGCAAGATGGGGAATTTTATACCCTTTTTCCTAGCGCCCAATGCTGGCTCTGTCTTCCTCGATATGACGGTATTTCCCATCACAGTCGCTCTCGATTACTTGAGTAGGAACGAGGAGAAGGAACCATCGACTGAGAAGCTTCTGCTCCTTCGGGCTTTCCAAGGCCATATCGGCACAGTCGCCTCATTGCTGTTAACAAGCTACCAGAGAACACGGAAGACGGAGGGAAGACCTATCCTAGAGTAGAAGAGCGGATGCCTAAGATTGACAATATGGACTCATGGAGAAACATTGAACAAGACCCATTTTTGTTTTGCGTGTCAGGCTTGAGATAAAAGTTACATATACACGAGGCATGATAATGAAGTAACAATATAGACATAATAATAGACTAATTTAGAATGATAAACAAATTAAATGAAGCAAATAAAATTATCCTATAGATTGAAAGTACCGCTAAGTCCAATCGGATAGGCACCATTAACTAGGCCGATGTCTCTTGGTTCCGGGGACATCAGCTTGCTTATGCGGCTGAGTGTAAGTGAGGAAGGAGAAAGAAGAAAACGGCAAGTAGAATAATATGCTTTCGAGGGCTTTTTTTGTTCTATGAACCTCATATGGGATGAGCTGTGGCCACGTAGTTTTAGAATATAAAGAGGGATAAGTAGTCGAGTCTGTAAGTGCCATGTTGGCCAAGAGAGTCCTACTTTCAACAAGTAGAGCATGAATGCTGGTGAATAGTCAGGCAAATTCACGGAACAGACTGCGTTGCCCAAATATATATTTTATCATTTTGATTTCATTAACATTCCCAATTCTGCTATTCTATCCCCAGACATCCTCAAGTAGAGTGTTAAATTTCCTCAAATCTTTGACCCATTTCAAAGACTCCTCGCGACTGCAGCCAGTCCTGCGGCTTCTCATCTGAGCGAGACTGTCTACAACACCCCTTGCCATAGTCGCGGAACCGCAGATGTAGAAACGGCATCCACTACTTTCCATGAGGTCCATTACCTCGTTCTCCTGCTGCTCAAGGAGATCTTGGACGTACACCTTCTTTCCCTTGGTATCTCGGCTAAACGCGGTGTGGTAACTGAAGATATCGGAGCCAAGACTCTGCTGCCACTCGGTCCAATTATCCTTGTAGATATAGTCATTAGAAGAGTTGCGGAAACCCATGAGGAGCAGCGTCTTGCCGACTTCTTGACCAAACTCCTTTCTCTGCACACGTTCTTGCACGAAGGCCCTAAATGGAGCCACGCCAGTCCCTGCGCCAACCATAATGATTGGAGCGGAACCCTTGAGTGGAAGCTTAAACGTGCTTTGGATAGTGTTGGAGTATACTTTGCCACCGGCCAGGACTCCCCGAGGCCCATCCACAGCGTAGTTTGCAAGGCCAGGCGGCGTTGCGGACTTGTTAACAGATCGCTCCACAGCCCAGAGGTAGCCGGTCGCCAACCCTTCACAAGTGTTCGTCGGCGTCTTGCCAGGCTTGGGCTTGGTGACCACGACAGTGATTGAAGCCACACGTGGCTGAACCACGGCCGAGGACGAAATTGAGTAGTATCTGGGCTGCATTGGCTTGAGACGTTCCATGAGAAACGACACAGGGATGGCCCATGTGGATGTGGGATCCAGTTGTTTTAGGAGTCCTCCCAGGGTCAGTTGGGCCGCAAGGATGCTGCTCTTGAACTCTTCAGCATCGGTGCCGATGCGATTTAGTACACTTCGAACCTCCTCGGAGGGCGCAAATTCTGCGATAGCGTGGACGAGATCCATGGACAGCTTGCCGCTGATCTCGAGATAGTTGCGGAAGAGGGCCTCGAAGGTAGTCGGCGTAGGAAAAGGAATCTTGCCGTAACCACCCTCCTGGATCTCGCTGATGGTAATTGGGACGTTTTTCTTTGACGAGAGTCCCAAGCTCTGAAGCAGCTGATTAACCTCGTGGTCAGGATTGGAAGCCCAGACAGCCAAATGATCACCAGTCTTGTACTTTAGTTCACGGTTGGATCCAAGATCGAGGTCGACATGGAGACACAGCCTCTCGCTATCCTCCCATAGTTTGTACACCTCTTTTACAGTTGCAGCTGTGTTGAGGGGCGTGACGGCGCCTTGCTTTGAAGAGGTGTGGGCGACGGGCTCACCAACGTGAATGCCGTCAGTTGAGAGATCAGGTTGTTCCTCGATTTTAAAGGATGGGTGGTAAACCACTTTTTGTTCCTTCCACCCCAGGATCTGCTGCAGCTCAGACTGCACTTCTTGCCTCCATAGGAGAAAGTCGTTCTCAGTATCTCCTTGAGCATCATCGCCGGCACCTAGGTTACCAAAGCGAGAAGCGCCGTGCTTTTGCAAAAGACCATCGATAGTGATGGCAACTTGGTTGAATAGCCGATAGTTAGAATTACCTAGCCCGAACATGACATAGCGGAGCTTGGAGAGGCTTCCGGTGGACTTCTCTTTGTGGAGAACCGTCCACAGACCGTTGGCTCCATCAGGAGGGTCCCCATCGCCATATGTCGAGACGATGAATGCACACAGATGATTCTCCGTGAGCTGGGAGAGATGGGCGTGATCAAAGTCGTCTAGGTCAGCAGCAAGAGTTCGCAGACCGAAACGGTCCTGGAGACTCTTTGCAAATTGCCTCGCAATGATCTCGGCTCTGCCGCTCTGGCTACCCCAGAATACAAGAAAGTCAAGTTTCTAGACGACCATAGACTATGTTAGTTTTCCATTTCAAATGCAGAATCAATGGAAGCACTATATACCTGCTGTTCAAAAACATAGGCGGCTCGCCTCTCATCTTCCTTTTGCTGTCTTGATGAAGTGCGGTCACCATTTGCCTGTGGTACAGAATCAAGCCAGGAATGGGGAGGGTGGATTGATTCCCGGAAGAACTGGATCCAGTAGTTGTACGTGAAAAGGATGGTAACAATAAGGATAACAATGGCATCATCGAATCGTGCCTCTAGAGGGGGCAGCGAGTCAAGAGAGAGGGTAACAGGGAGGGCAAAAGGAAAGTTGAATGTGTCAGACATGATGGGCAGAATGTGCACGCAATTGTGCTGTCTGGGTGAAATTCATCACAAGCGGCATTGTCTCATGGTCCGGGCCATTTGGTCATTTATGAAGAAACAGGCGAGAAAGCTTGTGACAAAGAGAGAACAGGGGGTTTGGCAAGACTAGACGCCACATCAGACCGGCCATCGGATCTGGCTGTAGGGGGTGGAGAATGGCAAGATCGGAATATTACCCAAAGCAGAAGAGACGTTGTATTTAATATCGCTCAAGGGGTTGAAAATAGCACGAGCAAGACCCCGTGCTCGAAATCTTGCAGTCCGATCCGGGGAGGCGCAGGAGACAGGATGGGGGCATGCGGGGAAACAAGAACTGTTCACGGACCAGAATTTCCCAATCAAGACGATCGATGCTTCGACCCGGCGAGGACTTTTCCCTCGAAGTCTGGAGCCCCAAGCTAGGAGGAGGGTATCGTCATTTGCCCCCCACCTTCGATAGTTCTGTTCTGCGTCACCTATGAGGGATAGACCGTTGTCAGCTGGGACCGGTGGAAATTGCCCGATCTAGACACTCCGTTCCGACTCTCCACAACTCTGATCAAAGGTAAAGATTTGCCCGGCATCTCCATCGTGAGGGTGCTAGGCAATCTCGGGTCTAGTCTTCTCCAAGATGGAGGACACCATCGCCACGGGACGGGGAAGCATTGCCCTTCTTGAGCAAGAACGGAAATATCTCGCGATGGCCACTTTTCCTAATCAACCCTTGCACGTAACTCTCCCCACGATGTCGGGAGAGATTGGGTTCTGGTGCATATCACACTCTGTGGGCCATCCAGAATGCTCCCAATGACATTTCTGGAGAAGCCCAAGAAGGCATCATTGCGCCGCACGATTCAGACTTAAAAGTGGCCGTTGTTGCTCTCCAGGTTCTCCAGATTCTCCAAACTAACCCCAAGGTCTCTCTGTTCTTTCCCCCGATACTTCTGCCCAAGTTGGCCTTTCTATCATGCTGGCCCTGATTTCTGTCATTGGATTGCTGGCCCTTGGGCTTTTCTCCTTGGTGCTGCAACATGTCTATGTCTACCTTCGAGATGCAAAGGGTCTTCGCAAGTTCCCTGGTATGACACCCCTTGCACCCTTCACCAACATCCCTTATCTCCGAGTCAGCGGCCAGGGCCGTAGATTTAAGGCTGTCTACGAAGCCCATCAAAAACTCGGCCCCGTTGTCCGCGTTGGGCCCAACTCCGTCTCCTTCAGCGATCCTGTTGCTATCAAGGATATCTACGGTCACGGTTCTCCCGTCACCAAAGACACCTTTTATGACAACCTCGCAGGATCCCATCGCCACCTTGCCGATGTATCCGACAAGCATGACCACTCTCGAAAGCGCCGTGTTCTCGCTGCTGCCTACTCACAGACAGGCCTGGAGAGCTGGGAACACATCGTGTTTTCCAGGACTCGTGCGCTAGTTGATCAATACGACAAGGCTTGCATTAGCCCAGAATATAACCCGTCTCCTCATGCGATCCCGTCGACGAGCGATCCCAACAAGACCAAGGGTTGTATCAACCACCGACAATGGATGAATATCTTCGCTCAAGACGCCATCTGCCAGATTGGAATGAGTGCAGACCTCCACATGCTGGAGAAAGGAACCGACACCGTCACTATCGAAACCCATAATGGGAAAAAGATCACGGTCGGTTACCGACAATCCCTCTGGGGAGGACAAAAGATTCAACGAAACTTCGCCTGGTCCCATGACTGGTATAAGAGGATGGCCAAGTTGACCTCCTGGCACCCTGGTTGGGCACACAACAAGAACTATGATGCCATGGTCTATTACTTCACCCGTAAACGCCTTGAGAGGTACAATAAGGGCGAGAAGCTCGATGACTTCTTCACCTATTTATTCGAGGACAAGTATGGAAACCCCAACATGTACCCCATGGGCGAGCTTGCTGCCGAGGCTAGCATCATGATGAATGCTGGCTCTGATACTACCGCAATTGCCCTCACCAATGTCCTCTACTGGCTTCTCAAGAACCCAGATGCCCTCGCGAAACTCCGCGATGAGCTAGATGCAGTTCTTGACCCCGATGAGCCCGTTGCTCCATTCGACCGCGTCAAGCATCTTCCCTACCTCCGCGCCTGTCTCGACGAGAGCATGCGCCTCACTCCCCCCAACACAATGAACATTCCTCGCATTACACCTGCCCAGGGTCTATCAGTAATGGGATACTGGATTCCGGGCAGGACTACCGTCCACTGCTCCACCTACACCATACATCGCAACCCCAAGATCTTTGTCGAGCCTTTGGCCTACAAGCCCGAGCGCTGGCTAGGCGAGGAGGGCAAGGATCTCCAACAGTACTTCCTGACCTTTAGTGCGGGCGCAAGAGGCTGCATTGGACGAAACATTACTTATATGGAGCAGACTATTGTGCTGGCTAGTCTCATTTTCCGATTTGACTTTTCGTTAATGTCTGATGATTGGGTCCTCGAGCAGGAGGAGAGCTTTACGTGCTCCCCTAGTGACTTCCCAATTAGAGTACGCAGGAGGGATTTTGAGAACCTCAAGGCTTAAAAGATTGATGATATAGTAATTAATGCAGGGTACTAGGATGGTATTATATCTGGGAAAGCGGTTAAAGAACTATTATGATTAAACGTTTCTTCAGTACACCTGTGAAAAATTGTTGGTGTGACATAAGCCCGTGCATTTCTAACGCGAGACGACTTCACAACACGGTTGGGCGTGAAAGACTGTTCTCAATACATACTCAACAATCACTACTGCTGTTTCTTTCCTTTCCCATTTGTTGGCTTGGCGGATAATACAGTAGCTTGAGTCAGTAGCAACCCGGGGCGAGCGAGGCGGATCCAATCTAAGAGATCGGCTTGCCACGTCTGCCCCGTGACAGCTCACAAGAAGTCCCCACCCCCAGATTTAATGAAACATGGATCGGTCATCCTAGCAAAGCCTGGATACTTCAAAACCGTTACCAACAGAGAAACACCAATAAGCTGTTTCTTGGAACAGAACACTCACTCAGCATCGGTAACTTCCAAATCGGTAACCCACCGAACCGGCAAGGGTTGCCGAGAGGCATTTGCCACACTTATCAAGACATTGTTCAGCAGTCTCACTTCGCTAATTTTCAGATATATTAAAATATTCGGGGATAAGATGTTTCTAACAGAGTTTTAGTCAACAAGACTGCATCCTTCGCAAGTTACCTCCTGCTATATAAGGACAGTCATGGCACGCTCACGCTACATCCAACATTCTCTTCAGCTCCCAAACATTTTCCCTCAAGCATCAACCTAGAAAACCAACATCTCCCGTCCCAAGATGAAGCCCGCAGTCATCCTCTCCCTCTTCGCCACTGCTACCCTAGCTGCAGACGAGGCCTGCTCAAGGACGAACAAGGAGAACAACAACGTGTCCTACTACTTTTACAAGGCCACCCCCGGCCAGCCCACAGGCTACCAGTGGTGCTATGGCTTTTACGACAAGCTTGCGGCGTATTGTACCATTTCATCCGGAAAGGGTTGCTCAACCTTTGCCGGCACGGTGCCATCTACCAGTCACTCGAGCTGGACATTCCTCGTGCCCAACACGTGCACGAATGAGAATGTCGAGACTGCATGGCAAGAGTTCACCTCGGGCGAGTTTGGCAGCTCCAATTGCGCTTAATCGATGCAGGATATATCTCTAGAGGAACATAGACCTCTTTTTAGCAGGAACCGAAATTTGTTTATTGTGCTATGCTGAATTGTCCCATGTTCCAGAAGTGATGATGAGTGTCTCTGTGAATCAAGAAGACGCAGAGCATTGAGTAGGTGCTTCCAGTTGATAAGGTTCTTTTTTTTTTTCCTTTATCGAAGAGAGTTTAGCTACCGTTATAAAACCAAGAAATGCTAATTCTCACGTCAGATATCCCCATTTAAAGTCAGGAGTTGGTTGATACGTATACGTTCTTGGTAAACATGACCAGTTCGTACTTTGAGGAACAGCGGATACGTACGAGTTGTTCCGTTCGCTTAGACGTGACCACCACCTCTATAGACTCCCAAAATCTGATACACGTTCAAGCCAGTAGAATAGTATTTTCGATTTTACTGTGAGATTGTCTCATAAAAACCAAATGATGGTAATCTGGGACTCGTACTGAAACTTGAGATATAGGGTAGGTATATCTAAATTACCCGAGCTATTTCCGCCAGACCAGCGGTCAATAATCAGGCGAGAAGCCACTTTCAGGGATCTGATGGACCAATGCGCCGCCGTTTCATTATTAATATCTGGCCTAGCGCGGTTCGAGATGCCGGGAAAATGTAAATCCTGGCGTCATCTTTGCCAGTTGAACTGAATTGGCCACCAATTGCTGATATTCCTCAACAGGGATCAAACACAGCCTCTACGACTCATTATCAGATCATCCCACCACTCCCTCGGCATCCGGAACAACACGCCTTCAAGATGTCCCTCTCAGCGTATGTCGCTGCGTTCAAGAACACGCCGCACGCGCTGTACCCGCTCGGCGCAGGGCTCCTAATTACCTCGTCTATGCTCTTCGGCAACATTGGCCTCTCGCTCGCCGGCCCGCTGCCAATCATCACGGAGAAGCTCGGAGACAGCACGCTGGGCACCAAGCAGAAGATCCGAGTCTGGCGCCTCTTCTACGACGCCGCCACTGTAAGTCCCATCAATCCCCTTCCCTTGGTTTCTGTGTGGGCCGAGCTCACCATCTTACCTGCCGCGTAGCCTTACATCGTGGGCGGAACCCTGGCGACCGTGGCTCTGCACGGAGGCGCGGTGTATCTGACCAAGAATGTCACTGTCAAGCAATTGGCCACCGCGTCTGCTGTGTTGAGCGGCATCGTGTTACCTTACACTCTGGCACTCATTATGCCAGTCAACAAGGCCCTGATCTACCTCGATGAGAAGGACATTTCCAAGTCCGAGTCGCGGCAGGCTAGGGCGCTTATCAAGCAGTGGGATTTCCTACACAAGTTCCGCTTCATCTTTTACGGTACGGGCTGGCTGCTCAGCCTCGCCGCAATTGGCGTCGGCCTGCACAAGAGAGTCGATGCCAAGGGCCTGGTCAGCTGGTTTGCATAAGAGGAGGCTACGATGATGATTAAATGGATAGGGCTGCTGTTAAATAGCACCTAGAAAGATCCAATGCTGTGTAGCTGTGATCTTGCCCAATTCGAGATGAGAAAATTTCATGTTGGCTGTATAGAGTCGGTCGGGCCATTGAACTGGGGAGGTTCATTCACGCATAAGTACTACAAATAGTATAGTGAATCATATGGTTCTTGTTCTTTTCGAATTCCCACGCGTCAATTGTCGTTATGGATTGATCAATTGCCGGTCTATTTATACAATAGAGGGGAGAGTGGCAGGAATTGAGAAGCCAAGGGAAGGGACCTGTTATGATGTCATAGAGGTAATCATTTAAAGAGCCATGGTCGTATTCTAGACAACGGCAAGGGTAAGGCCACTAACTCACTTTGATAACCTCCTAGCTAAGATATCGTGTGGATCTCGCGTTACGTGTAATACGGTATACTGAAATAATGAATATGCAAAGGGTGTAGCTCTACGCGCTCTTGGAGATTCCAATTCACTTGATTGAAGAATGCTTGATTGTTTTCTGGTGCCCGCGCAGCTATGGAGCTCTAAACACCATTAGCACTGGGTGTGGTAGAACACCAGCCTCTGTCTGCCTTCGTAAGTTCACGTACTGTAAAAAGACTGACTCTGCCTTAGTCCTTGGTATGACTGGCTCTTCTCCACTTGAATATTTGTGCACTGGCCAAGGCCGTGACAAAAACAAAACTTTGCTAGTGATGCCATTGTGCCTGTGAGTTGTATGAGGTGTATGGAGCTGTGATGAAGTAGATTTATTCTAATGAGCAAGATTGAGACTAGAAGGCTAGAAAAAAAACCCAATACGAGTACCATCATTATCGAATTTTGGGAGTGCCACCGGTAATTAGGGACTATGCTATGGCCACTTCAGAGGTGCGTCTACACTCGTGCTGGGGGAACGCTTAACTCCCAAGCCCATAATGATTCAGTTTTCCCATCAAATTGAAATCTTTTCATTCTTCACAACTTTCATATAACGCATTGAAGCAATCTGGACAATTCTTTCCCTTGCTTCTAATCGCATTTTGGTTGCTTTTGACTAATCGCCTTGAGTCAAGACAACAAATTTAAAGAATCCCCATAGCTTCAGTTCCACCTACGATTCAACGACGCGAGCCATACTCTGCTCTGGCAACTTCCGGTATCGCTGGAAATAAATTCAGCCTTTCTTCTGATAACAAATATCCACCCTTCGTCCTCCCCGTCATTGCCTGAAACATTATCCCCACTTGCACCACCAGTGTTTCCGCTGTTCCTCTCAACTTCCAATCCTGGTCGATGGGGGCATAATTTCACTCCGGAAAAAGGACTGAAACTGGCTAGATGCCATTGCGCCCCTCCAATGGGCGCTTCTGGATTACGTCCCTCTGTGCCGGGTCCGTCAAGAGCATGCCGCCTGGGTGCCGCAGATTTCAAGATCTGATCATGCTTGCGCAGCCCATGCTCTATCCCCTTGCAACGGATCCGCTCTTAGCAAGCTCCTTTCCAGTGGAGTGTTTTGCATTTCGAATGAGTCTCGGCCATGTTAAGTGAAACGGTCGGTAAGCGAGCCTTCTTATAAGGACTTCAATGCCTCATCTTCTGCCTCGAACTCTGCTCACCATCTTTCCTTGGATTTGGTAGGGAATTTCTTTTGGAGGATTCCAATTGTTTCATTCTTTTTTTCGCGACAGGTTTCGCAGTTACTTTGTGGCCAACACTGTGTGTTGCTCATCAACTACATTCTTTCACATATCTTGAAGATATTACACTCTCTTGTTTGGAACCTACCACACCCTCTCTGAAATTCACTTATCTTCTTTCATTATGAAAGCCTCAACATTTTTTTCGGGCTTGATTGCCCTCGTAGCTCCGGCTATGGCGCAGAGCACCACATCCTATGTCGATCCTAAAACCTCGATCACTTTCCAACAGTTCAGCGATTCCAAAACTGGCTACACATTTGGAATTGCGCTTCCGAAAAATCCCACTACTGATTTCATTGGTCAAATTTCTGCTCCCATTACGGAAGGATATGCCGCCGCGTCAATGAGCTCGTCTATGGCCAACTCGTATCTGATCGTGGCCTTCCCATCTGGCGAGTCTGTTTCTGCCTCCATCCGACTGGCCACTGGTTACACCAACCCAAGTGTCATCACTGATGCCGGTATCCAACTGAAGGAGATTCCTTCGGGAACGTTTGTCAACGCAACGAGCTTCACCTACACCTTCCTTTGCTCGGGCTGCATTTCCGGCGACAAGGCTTTCGACCCAACTACTGAGACTGGTGTTATGGGCTGGGCCCTCAGCACCACCGCACTCACTGATACTTCATCTGCTTCCGCGACACTGAACTACCACGGTGCTGGATTTGGCGGCTTCGGCGTGAAACTGACCGAAGCTCAGTCCGCAGACTACGATACTTGGGCGAAACTGGCGACCGGCACGACCCCCACGAATCCCGGTGGTGACACCCCAACGAACCCTGGCAACTTCACCACAATCATCTCCAACGTTACATACGACTACATTGTCGCCGGTGCAGGCGCCGCTGGAATCATCGCTGCCGAGCGTCTCGCCGAGTCGGGTGCCTCCGTCCTTCTGTTGGAGAGAGGCAAGGAGTCGCTGTACTCGAGCGGCGGACGCTCCGTGATGGACTGGAACGACACTACCACGCAGTACGATGTCCCCTCGATGGCCTACTACCTCAGCAAGGCCGCTGACACGACTGAGTACTGCACAGACACGGCCAGCCAGGCGGGATGTATTCTTGGAGGAGGCACTGTCGTCAACGCAATGATGTTTGTCCGTCCCAGAGCCGCCGACTTTGACGACAAGTGGCCATCGGGATGGAAATGGGCCGACGGCGTCGAGACTGCAGCTGGAAGGCTGTATGAACGCACACCAGGCACAATCATGGCTAGCAAGGACGGTCAGAGATACGACCAGGGCGCTTGGGACGTGCTCTCCAAGTGGCTTTCTGGCATCGGCTTCTCAGAGGTGAACACGCTTGAGGAACCGGAGAAGAAGCATGCCATCTACAGCAGGCCCCCGTGGATGATCAACAATGGTCTCCGTGCCGGCCCCGTCCGTGACTACCTGCCCCTTGCAAAGGCCCTACCGAACTTCACGCTGCAGCTGAACAGCAAGATGCTCCGCGTTATTCGCAACGGGACTGCCGCTACTGGTGTCGAGGTTGAGACCAGCATCACGACCCGACAGATCATCAACCTCAAGACTGGAGGTGCCGTTGTGCTTGCATCTGGCTCACTGTCCACGCCGCGCATTCTGTTCAACAGCGGCATTGGCCCAGCAGCGCAGATTCAAACCGTGTCCAACGGCACAACCAAGATCACTCTGCCACCCCAGGCCGACTGGATCGAGCTGCCTGTCGGTCAGAACCTGCAGGACCACCCCATCTATACCGTCTCTTTCCAGACGAAGCAGCCCCTGCAGGCTCTCAACTCTTCGTCTTTCACTAGCCCTAGCCAGACCGACATTGATCTATTTGCCCAGGGCTCCGGTCTCCTTGCCCAATCTGGCCAGCGCCTCAACTTCTGGACCACGGTCGAGGGCTCGGACGGCATCACGCGTTCAATCCAAGGAACCTGCAACTCGCCCTCCAGCGACACCGTCCGCATGAAGATCTACCTGACCCACGGCCTCACGTCCAAAGGCAGCCTGGCCATCACCAGCTCCGGCGCCACCACATTCTCCAAGGATCCGTACCTCAACACGGCAGAGGACCGCGAGGCCGTGCTGGGCTTCATGCAGCAGCTGATTGACTACTCCGGCAAGGCTAACAGCACCATCAGTCTGGCCTCCAACGTCACTGCCGAGAGCCTGATCAAGGATCTGTCTCCCGGAGCTCACTTTATTGGAACTGCTAGGATGGGAAGCTCCAACGACGGTGAGAGCGTGGTGGACACCGACACCAAGGTCTGGGGCATGGACAACCTGTTTGTCGTGGACGCCAGCATGCATCCCGACCTGCCGACCGGCAATACGCAAGCCATTGTCATGGTTGCTGCCGAGCATGCTGTTGAGAAGATCCTCGCGAGTGGGAATGGAAGTGGAAATGGCACCGGCAATGGTAATGGAAGCACCCCAACCCCAACCCCCGTTACGACGACAGCTTCAGCTACCACGCCGACCGCCACCACTACTGCCACCACTCGTCCTTCTTGCAAGAGCAAGAGGAGGGTGAAGAAGAGGGCTCTGAAGTGGAGTGAGATAGATGGGCTGAAGATTTGATGAGCCTCTTTGTCGAAAGAGTGATGAAAGCTCGCTGCTATTGATGAGACGAAGCAAGCATGATTGTTCTGTAAGAGTAGCTACATAGTTTGGGACCTGTTCTGGAAAGGGAGTCATGAGGTTAGAGGAATAAACATTGCATTCAAGCCAAATAACTTATCACTTTGTGACCTAATGTGGGAAGAAGTTGGTTGCGAATACGAGCATAACGTGAAAACACTTATGGATATTTTCCAGTTAATAATATCTGTGGCCTTCCCTGCCCAATTCAGGGGTATACTCGGGCGTTTTCCCTCGGGCATTTTCGATGTTTATGGTTGATTAATCTCCGTTGACTGGTTCTGGATAATATTTTAATCGCCGAGCGCGATGTACGGGTTTTAGATTTGAACAACGAGTGGCCCCTCCGCCAGAACTTCCCCGCTGGAATGCAATGTCATGTTGATGGCGGCGCTTGTTTGGCTCGGCTCAATGGATGTGGATTCCTGACAATTGTTGGGCTCTTCTCCGCAAGTTGAGGTTTGTTTTCCCCCGCTGCCCGAAACAGCGATCAGCAGCAAATGAGAGAACAGGAACGAAGCAGTCTTGTCAGACGCGGTGGGCTCTCCCCCTCTTTTGCTTGCGATGGAAGCGACGTCACCAGTCACAAGCGAGTATAAATAGTCCTTCTCGCGCAAGAGAACCCTTGCCATCGCACCATCACGGCCATCAAGGTTCCCAGACCACTCTTATCCGCCTTCTCCCACCAATAGATTCAGCAACTTATCGCGTCATGGCGGCAACCAAGGGCAGCTGCATGTGTGGGGAGATCGAGTACCAGTTCACCGGTAAGCGCTGCCGCCAGAGATCTGCTTGCTGGCATGAATTAACTGTCTGGGGAATTTAGGGGAGGCCGCTGTCACTGCTCTGTGCCACTGTATCGACTGCCAAAAGGTGAGAGGCTTTTCATGTCTGCCCTATCCGATTTTACTAACAGAAGTGCTTCTCATATATAGTGGACTGGAGGCGCTTTCACTTCTAACGCTGTTGTACCCCGCACAGCTTTCCAGGTGACCAAGGGTACGTTCTTACAGGCCTGTTTCTTCCATCCTCGTTATGTCCTACTTGAATATGCCCCCTACGAGCTCCATAAATATGATCCAGACGCTGACAAATGGCTCATCATGCAATACAGGTACGCCCAAGACTTTCGACGCCATCGGAGCCTCGGGCAAGGTGAACAAGCACTTTTTCTGCTCCAACTGCGGCTCCAGCCTGTACACCGAGCTCGAGGTCATGCCAGACGTGACCTGCGTCAAGGCGGGCGGTTTGGATGGGGGTGCAGCCAGTCTCGGTAACAAGATCGGTGTCGAATTCTACACCAAGGACCGGGTGGGATACCTGGGCGGCTGTGACGGAGCCAAACAAGAACCTGTCTTTGGTTAGTTCAATGTAGGCACCTGCAAAGCGTACGTGATGTACAAGAAATACAATACAAAGATTAAGAATTATCAAAACACTGCGGGCCAAGAAAGAACCCTTTCTTGCGAGATGAGCTCATATGAGAAGTTGGGATGTAAATGGACGACTCTCCGTAGCTGACTGGCTACTTCCTGATGCTAGTTTTCTCCAGGATGACATGACGGCACGTACGGAGGCCTGGGCAAATGGCGTTCATTTCTACGCAGGTAGGAGCATGCCAGAATATCTCGTGCATACTGCCATTGCAGTGATTCAATCTATGCCGACCGACCTCAGAAGTTCCTATGCAAAGTTAGGAATTTAACATCCCAGTTACCGATTGTTGATACACTACATAAAATATTAAACTAATAACTCTTAGAACGTGACTGAGGCCCTCTTTTTGGGGACTTCTTGACATCCTTTCAGTGTCATATCGCTCCTTGGTATGGAAAGTCAAACGCCAGGCTCGCCCTTCACAAACGTCCAGCATTCGATATTCACTCTGGAATCTGGACACCTTTGCCAAGACTGCAGTTTCTCAGCCATTTGGAAGCAGTGAAATGCTAGTAGGCGGCCTCTCTGGTGGCACTTTTGACCGTAGACGACTCTTCGTAGTGCTGGATATGGCACAACATTGGCCTCTCCTCAACGCTTAAAATATCATTTGGAAACGCTTCTTTCATGTAATTGATTTCCAGAGGTCCTAAGCCATAGTTAGAACGTGTAAAGTAGGAATCAGCGTTGGTTATTTTACAAGCAGCTAGTATGCATGGCGATGCGAAAAGCTTGATTTCTCGTCTGGACTAGAAGTAACACTCCCACTTTCTGGTCAAAGCGATGATTTCGTCGATAATCTGACAGCCTTCCCTGAAGTGACTCTAGGGCTTTGCATTGCAAAATTGATTTGCGCCCCCGGTCTAACCCGCCGTTGCGCAAAGACTTAACGTGTGTTGTTCCTGGCCAAGCTCGCCATGTTCCATTAATTCCTGAAACCTTTTGGCTGGAACTTATGGCCGGCCACGCCGACCGCAATATGCCCGAGACTAGGCCGGCGGCCTAGATGTCGGGTTCACCATTTGTGCCTGAGATCTTTTGGCCGCTGACGTTAGTTGGAATGCTAGACGCCATGTTTCGTAACACGACACGTTTTTGGGCTGGCCATTGCTAGAAAGCTTATTTCAGAACACCAGTCGATGAAGTCGAGATCAAGTTCCTGTGTGTAAAGGCAACTCGCAGATATCTATATATTCGTTGCTAATTCCTTTATCAAGTCTACCTGTTTTCTCTATCAAGTCCTCCATCGATCAAAACGCATACCAATCCACTCCTCCAAAATGCCACTTACTTCATCCACTTCTAAAGTCTTGGTGCTTGCGCTTGCCTGCGTGGAGATTGCCTCCGCAAAAGTCTACAACTGCCCTGGTGCTCTCAATGTCAATGTGGTCGACGACAAGACTATGGGCTCCTGCTGCATTGGCTCTAACGACGACTCATGCGACGTGACCATTCCAGTCACTGCCGCCAACTATGATGCTCTTGTTTCGAGCGCCAGCTCCAAGTATCTGAATAATATCAACATCAGTAACGGTGGTAACGGTGGAAACGGTGGCAACGGCGGCAATGGGGGCAATGGGGGTAGCGATATCTACATCAGCAACGGAGGTAATGGGGGCAGTGGTATCTACATCAGCAATGGGGGTAGCGGTGGTGCGCCTGGAGCTCCTGGAGCTCCAGCATCAACTGAAGCAACTACCACAAGCAAATCGAGTCAGACCACTACTACTCTCTCGTCTCAGAGTACCAATACCGCCAGCTCATCTGGCTCCTCCGCCAGGCCCGCCGCGGCTTCAACGGCCGCATTTACCACTGTTACTTCATCGGGCGGATCTACTGTTACTGTCACTTCGTCGACTAAGACTGGCGGTGCTGGAAAGCTGGACAAGGGATATGCTATGGGTGCTCTTGCTCTTCTGGCTGGAGCCGCGCTCCTTTAATATCCCCAATGGGTAGGCTTCCGGTTTCACATATGTCCCTATGTTAGAGTAATGGTAATTTACTACATTTCTTTGCTTTTCATTTCCTAGATATGTTTCTTTCTCATTTTGCATCCTATTTCTTATTCATGTCTGACACTATTTCTTGTTCGTTTCCTATTTTTACCTCATTGCACTTCGTGAGTTTATTTCTTATCTATTTCCTATCCTTGCTTATTGTCTACTTTGTATAATTGTTGATTTCCTATTTCCCGCATTTGCTTATTGCTCGTTTCCTATGTTCGTATTTGTCATCACAAGAATTATTTCATCATAGGCTAGCATCAAGATTTACACATAGAAATTAAACAAGTTGCAAAATGTGTGCCTTGAATGAAAGCCCCATCACACTCGAAGAAATGACATTGATCTTCCACGGGCGGCGGTGAATTCACTCCTCCATGATTTCAGAAGAGCGTCCTCAGTGAATGTAACATGATCTAGGTAATGTAGGAAACTACACGATCAGTTGGATTGCGCGTTCAGCCCCGCTTATATTGGAGGAGTTAGATTGACGTCACGAAACGTTTCTTCGCCTCAACTAAATTTCTTACGGCCGAGAGCAAGACCGTCTATGTCCGCTTCTTCAAGTTCCACCGCGCCACCCATGGAGAGACCTCGCCGGCGTCGAAGACCGGCATTCTCGTGCCTGGAATGCAGGCGACGGAAGATCAAGTGCGATCGGAAAGATCCGTGCTCACATTGCGTCTCTGTCGCGATCCAGTGCGTGCACAAGGTCTTTCGAGATGCGCCCGAAACCTCCTCCGTCCAAAGCAGTACGCAGGGCCGAACAGCAGTCTCCTCACCGGATAGCACCTCATCCTCCCGTGCTCAGAGCGGGCAATCTCGCACACATGGAATGGTAAACGAAACGGGCAACGTGTCGTCTAGGCCTCTCGTCGCCAGAGCGGATATATCACAGTCCACACCAGCACCAACCCTCGCGGAGCAAACTGAAGCCACCGCGGCTCAGATACCACCAACCACCCGTGATGAAGATGAACAACCAAGTGTACATGCCCTTTTACGGCGGATACAGAATCTCGAGAACTCTCTAGGAACGAGTCCTGTACCTGCACAATCTGAGCCGGGAAGGGAATTGATTGATCGCCAACCGGTGCATCAAGATACGCGGGTCAGCCTCTACAAGACAAGAATTTCGAAATGGAGCTACTGGTTGGGCATGGTCGATGAGGTATGGCCTGCAGCTACGTCCGTCTACTACTTTCCACTGACTTCCACTTCAGTTTGACCTAATCAAGACTTATTATTCCGCGGCTGGCGGTGGCCTCCTTGCTAGCTACGGCGAAACAGCTGATGAGGACCAGCTGAACTCCTTCCACGGGCCTGAGATTGAGCCTCTGCTCAGAGAGACTGGGGATCTCATGGGAAAGTGTAAAGTGTTCGCAAAAAGCCTCAAGACGGGGCGACCAAGCAAGTCTCTCGGGGGAGCTGGCTTTGATCTTCGCCCTCCTTCCCGCGAGCTGGCAGACACCATGGTCGATCTCTACTGTACCTCTTTCGAGTCAGTGTATCGAATAATTCACGTACCTTCGTTCCGTTCCGAGTACCAGCAATACTGGGAGAACCCAGAGAGTGCCACGGCCAGTCAGTGTCTCAAGATCCTCCTCGTGATCAGCATAGGGTCAAGTCTTCACGACCATGGGAAGGATCTGCGGCCAAAAGTACAGCAATGGGTTCACGCTTCTCAGGCATGGCTTGCTGGGCCGCTGGAGAAAAATCGCCTAGACGTTGGGGGCCTCCAGGTCTACTGCTTGGTGATCCTTGCTCGACAGATCTTCTCAATTGGCGGCGACCTAGTTTGGGTGTCGATGGGGTCGGTAATTCGTATGGCCATGCAAATAGGGCTTCATCATGACCCCAAACACCTCCCGGCCATGTCGTTACTTCAGGCTGAACTCAGAAGGCGGTTGTGGGCTACTGTACTCGAGATGGCAATACAGTCGTCTCTAGACTCGGCGATGCCGCCCATCATCTCCTTGGATCAGTTTGATACCGAAGCACCTTCCAACTACAACGACGATGAGATTGATGAGTCAACTACCGAGCTGGCGCCGCATCCGAGAAGCACCTACACCACTTCCTCAACACAGCTTATCCTGCTCGACTCGATACCGACACGTCTCCGCATCCTTCAGCTACTCGGTGGCCTTAAACCAGAACTATCTTACCAGGACGTGCTTTCACTAAGTTCGGAAGTGACGGAATCATATTGCGCATACAGCAAATTCGGCCAAGAGAACATCAATTCTGGTATGACCTCATTCCACAGGAATATGCTTGATTATTTCGTACGGCGATTTCTCATCCCCCTACACTGTTTATTTGCCAACAAGGCGCCATCGAACCCATTGTTCTACTATTCTCTCAAAGTAAATTTAGACGTTGCCATGGCTATCGTCTCTCCCGAGCCAGACGACGGCTTCTCACGTATCATGGCTACCGGAGGGGGCCTATTCCGCGAGGGTTTCTGGTGGGCAACGTCCATCATCGGCCGCGATATCATTTCACAAGTCTCAGCGCAGCGTCGGGAGGGAACCCTCCATCGCAATGCCCCACACAGGAAGCTTCTCAAGCAAGCGGTGAGGGATATGATCTCTCTGGCGGAGGCGAGGATGCGCGAAGGCGATACTAATGTAAAGCTTCACATGTTTCTAAGTATGATATTAGCACAAGCCGAAACTACAGAAGAAGGCGTGCCATGTGAGCTCAGGATTGCACAGGGAGCGAGGGATAGCCTTCAGTTTTGTCATGATCTGCTGCAGGCACAAGCCGTTCCTGAGCCCGTGCCGTATTATGACGATGCGGGTGTTACATCCTCGACTTTATATGGGGTGCCGGGAAACTCGCTTTGGGACTTTGACTTGGAATTCTTTCTGCCTGATCTGGGGCTTTCGTAGCCTACTAGACAATGGGATATGCTGTTGTTATCCCATGGTTGAGCACGAGGCCAACAGTAAGCCGAAGGGTGGGCACATCAATAGTAGACCGAGTAATACAAGACGAAATTAATAAATAGAACTTAAATAAGGCTGAATTGCCTTCATTTGCGATTTACATATATGTCTTTCTCGTTTGTTTTACAAGGCCAGTTAGGCCCGTTCTTACGATGCGGCATTGTTACGCCCGTTCTGCTTACACCCGCTCGAAGACCCTTGAGGTTTACGTCCGTCGCTAGGTCCGCGGTCACTTACGTCCGCTGGCGAGCGTATAAAGAGCACTGCACCGGCAAGGCGTCTCGTGATTGATGATATTCAGATTCAAAGAAGGAAATCCTCAAACGAGAAGAAATTAACCGTCCTCTCCAACACCTCTTCTCATTTTTCTTCCGCAATGCCTCTGAAAATCCTTATCAACGGTGCTGGTATCGCCGGCACAGCCCTCGCCAACTTCCTCGCGCGGTCCAAACAAGGCCACGACATCACCATAGTCGAGAGAGCACCCAAGTTCCGTACCGGCGGAACCCAGCTTGATTTGAAGTCACATGGTGCCCCGCTGATGAAGAGGCTGGGACTGATCGATGCGGTCCGAGCAAGGAGCATACATGAGACAGCTCTCACTTTCGTTGACACGAAAGGGAGAGAGTGGGCGAGATTCGGCATCAACAAGGCCGGTAAAAGATACAGCGGAGTGACGAGCGAGTATGAGATCATGAGGGCGGACCTGGTAGAGGTGTTGTATGAAGGGAGCCAGGCGATCGCTGCACAAACCTCCGGTCAAGAGTCGCAGAGGCTACGGTACCTTTTCGGAAAGCATGCGACTGAACTTACGCATCTCGACTCCAAGGTCAACGTCGTATTCTCGGACGGCTCTTCAGACGAGTACGATCTTGTTGTCGGTGCGGATGGCCAGAACTCCATGACGCGGCGTATGCTATGGGAGCCTACTAATAACGACGATTCTGCGCTCAAGCATACGGGCTACTCGGTTGCTTATTTCCATATGCCAAAAACAGAGGACGAGGTCGACAGCAATCTGTTCAAAAACTGCCTACTGCCAGGGCTCAAGGTGTTGTCGCTTCGCTGCGCGCACAAAGACTTTACACAAGCCATGCTTACGGCAACCACCACAGAGGAGCTAAAGGAACTGGATAAACAGCCGGCTGAGAAACAGAAAGACCCATGGGAGGCGTTGTATAAGGATTTCGGGTGGGAAAGCAAACGAGTGCTTGCCGAGATGCGGACTGCCGATGAGTTCTACTCGGCCTCAGTTGCTCAGGTCAAAGTGGACACCTGGTCCAAAGGGCGAGTTGTTCTGCTGGGCGACGCCGGATACTGCCCGAGTCTTTTAACCGGGCTTGGAACCACGGCATCGCTCGTCGGAGCATACGTACTTGCGGGCGAACTAGCGAGACACGGAGACAACGTCGGCCAAGCGCTGGAATCTTATGAAACGGTGCTACGACCTTACGTGGAAAAAGTCCAGCAACTTCCCCCCATGAATCTCGCCATCTTTCGATCCAAGCTCGGGTTAAACATATCTTACTTTGCCCTGGCCGTTTTATCGAAGTTGAAAGTAGATGCCCTAGCGAATGCCCTGATGAGGGATGAGAAGGATACCTGGCAGCTCCCAGAGTATCCGGAGCTGGAGTTGGAGGAATGAGCATTATATTTGCCGGCGGTGCTCAGTTTTGGTAGCAGATACCAGTTTTAACGTATTAATATCACTTTTCATCTTATCTCAGATATACGGCGTGTCATCACTGTATCTAAGCCCACGTGAACCTATCTATGCCTATGACTAGAGCTCTTTAGACAGGTATATGTGTGCGCTCGGCCTTATTGATCTTATTATTCTAATTCAATAGGGCCGCCAGACATTCCTGTGAGAATATATATCGAACACTAAACGAGCCATATCGTGTATAAAGTGTTATAGTTCACCGAGAAAACGCCAACGCACTAACAATCACGGCTCTGTTCGCCTATCGCAGTGGCAGCAATGATCAATCAAGTAGTAGCGAAATAAATGGGCAAGATGAGCGCAGATCCATTCCGTCTGCTATTTGCCGCCCAAAATACGAACGGGATCCTTTCCACCACCTTTTGCTCGGTATCGAAAACATCAAGCGTAGTTGCAGCAGGGCTCGTTTTCTCACCTAAATCGTTCCTACCAACCTCGTTTGCAAAGTTGTCCTGTCGCTCCCAGCCATCTCCAAATGCTTCTGAAGACCAGAGGCCATGCATGTGTCCTCCTGATCCTACCCAGAAGAGTCTGGGCCTTCCGTAGTCCGTGGAGACGAAGCTGGGGCTGGTGCCGTCGGCTGTGGCCATCCCTCCAGTCATCTTGGCCGGAACTGAAATCGGGTCATTCCAGGGTTCGGATTGGCTACCATCATAGGTGAAGTAGTAGGTGCCGTCCTTACCGCTGCCGTTATAGAAGAGACAGAGGTTCTTGCCCCAGGTGCAAGCAAAGGGCGACGAATTGAGGGCAACCGATACACGGCCACTGATGGGTGACTGATAATTCCAGGTATTTTCCTGGAGCGTAAACCAGTATATCCCGTCTCTGCCGGAACCGCACCAGAATACATGAAGTTTGCCGTTGTGGACGGCGGCGGCTGGGGAAGTATTTTCATCAAAGCCCATTTGCTTGCTCGGGACGTGGTCAATGAGAGCGGTCACCCTCGGCTCCCAGCCACTCCTGGTGCACTGGGCGTAAAAGGTGCCATCTCTTCCACGCCCGTTATAAAAGAGATAAAGTTTATCTCGGTAGACGGCGGCACATGGCGAGGTTCCCTCGGCAACAGCGCTGCCAGAGACAAAGTCATGGAGGGCGTAAACGCTTCCCCATTTGCCATCCTTGGAGCTCCTCTTCGCGCAGTAGATGCCGCCATAATATGATCCAACCCAAAAGGCATAGAGATCTACCATATAGGAAACAGCGGTGGGAGAGGTGCCCTCCATGGCCAAGGCGCCAGATATATTGTGCATAAGAGAAACGCATGGTAAATATTATTCAATTAAAACCACTAGCTATTGTGTGGTTTCAACTGTCTGCATAGAACCAACAAGTAAGTAAACAAGAAGGAGCATCAGCCTACTTATAACTTCAACTACCGTATGAACTTCAGACTGTGTTTCAATTTCTTTCCATGGGCTAGCCCCATGGCAACGACTGAGGCTATATAAAGCATCAAATAGTCCAAACAATAGTCGCGAGTCTCTAATCCAAAAAATAGTATTCAGCTAGTCTAGATTGTGTGAGCTATGTGCCAAGGAAGCCTGGGCGCCCAGCTGAGCTGCAGGTCTTGGATTATAGCCGTTAGATAGCCATGAACTCCAAGCCTCCATGACTATTTAGTGGATATTGGTGGCTTAGAAGCTTGAAATTAATTCTTTTCTTGGTAATGCTGCCTTCAATGAATTCTTGGGGAGGTACAGGTACATATTGGTCCACATTTACCCTCCAATTTGATACGTAAACCACTTCAGTATATTATTTAGATGATGATATGCAATACATAATATCCCTACAGGCCAGTCACTTGTATTTTGTGAGTTAGTAACCGGAGATTAATCAGAAGGTAGGCAATGTATCCTAATTTAGGTAGTGAATTAACTAAAAGGGAGCCTATAGTTTAGCTGCGAAAGTTCGAATTAACAAGATAATTGGAGGAAACATCGAAAACCTAATCTTGCGTGTTGGTTTGGGCTTATTGCACACAAAGAGCAAATTATACAGGCTCTACCGTTCCCGCGACAAGACAATCAGCCTGTATATTCCTTAATAAGCTGAGAAGCTCAGCCCCAGCTCAGCTGAGGATTTGTCTCGACCCACCAGCCTCTAGGCTCCTTTCATCTCGTCAGCCCACCCCTCACGAACCAGGACGATGCCACGAGCACAGCTGAACCGCAAGCCACATCCGAGGGTAGACAGTCAATGAACCCGCCGAGCGCCTTAGGACATGTCTAAGCATCCGTAACGCTGGCTGTGTATCCTCCTGTCGCCTGAATAGCGATATGGCAAGCCCAGATTTGTTTGTAGCGAGCCTCCCAGAGCTTGTGCGCGACTCGCAACTCCAGGCGCGATTTGAGACCGATGGGGAGCACCGCTTTGTCGTACACACCCGCTCGTCAAGCCGACACCTGTCGCAGGAGAAATGGTGCAGCCAGCGCAGGCTGGGCAGTGGGGGACAAGGCGCCGTTGAACTACAGGTCAAGCATATGACGGAGTCTGGCGTGCCTCAGTTACGAGCCGTAAAAACCCTCAACGTCCCCAGCGAGCTTACTTCATCGATTGGGAAACTACATCAAAGAGAGCTCGAGACAATTGCCAAGTTCTCACAGGCAAAGGTATACACCACTGTTCCCAATTATAGGAGCCCAAGTTGAGGGAGGGCCTACTGACCTTGATATTTAGTATTCGGATCATTTTGTGAAGTCCTTTGGATGGTTCATCAGCCCCGGACGCATTCATATTGCGATGGAGTACTGCGAACTGGGAGATTTGGAAAAGTATCTCTCGAAGTCCCCATTGCATCGAGTGTCGGAGGCGGAAGCACATGATATCTCCTCACAGATACTGGACGCGCTCTGCAGTATGCATGAGGAGAAATATTGCCACCGGGACTTGAAGCTAGCCGTAGGTTTCCATCTATGCAACCCAAAGCCTCACATTCTGTTCAGTCCCGCCACCTTCTAACACCCTTCTGTTTCTAGAATGTTCTGATTATGAGCACTGCGCCTTCTTGGTGGATCAAACTGGCTGACTTCGGTCTCAGCAAGCGTGATACGACCATGGCGCAGACAACAGCAATACGTGGGACGATCAATTATATGCCACCAGAGCTGCTTGGATACACTGGTGACTCGGACTCAGCAGACCCGTATGCAGTGGATATGTGGTGTCTGGGACAGGTGGTTTTCAGACTTGTTGCAGGCCAACCGATGTTCTCGTCTCTGGGCAACCTTTCCCGATACTGCCGCGGTGAAATGCAATTTCCCGAAACGTTACTGAGAAAGCATGAAGAGGTTGACCATAATCTCGTTACTTTTATCCAATCACTCACTAAGCCTCAACCTGGGGATCGAATGTCGTCGGAAAAGGCATCAGCGCACCAATGGATCAAGACAGAGAAGCATTATCCTCCTTCTAGAAGCTTCGACCCTGGGCCAAGCACAACGACTCCATTTGTGCAAGATGAAGACTCCGATCAACCATCGGCAACCTGGACCTCATCAGCAACTATTAGACCTGCCGAGCATGGCACGAATTCTACCCCTTGGACGGCATCGGGTACCACACAAGATGAAGCTTCTGCTGAGTGGCCGTCTCAGTCTACGACAGAATCTGTTAATAGTACCGAGACGCGTACCGCGCAGCCAGCCGCTACCACTCCGAGTAACGTCATTGATGCGGAGAAGTACAAGATTGCTGGTAACCGGTTATTCAAGGAAGGAAAACACATACAAGCTATCGCAGAGTATACCAAAGGTATGACTAGCTCAAGGAATATTATTAGGAGATTGCGCTCGCCCTATTATTACATGAAGACTACGGACTAACATACATTTTCAGCCATCGAACTAGATCCCTCCTCAACGCTCTTACTCGGCAACCGAGCTGCGGCGTACATGTCTACTGGCCAATACGAAGCCGCCCTACAGGATTGTCTAAAAGGCATCGAATTGGATCCATATGCTCAGAAAGTTTATCAACGTCTCTTCCGCCTGTACACATATATGGGCCAGCCTGAAAAGTCAATAGCCATATTTGGACGTATGGATCCGCCCCCGCCTCCTGCGGACATTGCCAGAACAAACAAGATGCAGGGGAGTATTCAAAGGGCACAGAGAATCATCAAGGCTGGCACCGACCTAGACCAGGCCATTCAAGCACTTGATGAGGCAGAGCTGGGTCTTGCTCCGGGTGCGGAGTTTCCCAGGAAATGGAGGCTGACGAGAGCAGAAGCTTACCTGGCGATGAACAATAGCGAAAGTCTGAGCGAAGCCAGGAGAATCTGCATATCGATTTCCAGCGAAGCTCCTCTGGGTGGTGATGTGCTGACCCTCCATGGCCGAGTTTCATACGCAGAAGATGAAATGGTAAGAGCTTTGAAATATTTTCGAGAAGCACTTCAATACGATGGGACGCGGCAGGATGCCAAGAACTGGATTAGCTTGGTAGAGAAATTGGTCAGTCTCAAGAAAAGGGGAAACAGCTTGTTCAGCGATGGGCGCTTTGCCGAAGCCAGGGATGTCTACACGGATGCCCTAGCCATGGACTCCAGGAGCAAGCCTATGAGCGCAAAGCTTTTCGGAAACAGAGCCCAGTGCAACATCAGGCTGGGGAAGAATGAAACGGCCATCGCTGACTGCGATGCCGCCATCAGACTCGACCCCAACTATGTGAAGGTCAGAAGGACCAAAGGGACAGCTTTGCATAACTGCGGAAGGTATGAAGAAATGCTTCAAGTCTTGGAAGAGGCCCAGAGGCTCGATCCTGCGGATAAAGCTACGGTGCAGAATATCAAGGTTGCGAAGGCTGCCCTTGCGCCGAGCCAGCGCCTTAATAAGATTAACCCGGCCGATATCTTTGCGCAATTCAAAAACGATAACGTCTCGGGGTAAGTGCTTCTCTCTGAAATTCAGAGTAGCTTTTGTCGCTTTCCCTTTTCGCTCTTTTATTTAGATGAGTCGATTTGCTGATGGAATAACCTGGCATGATAACAGCCCAAGTACGACCAGCGCCTCAGTCGATCCAAACAACAAACCACCACCTACACGCCCTATCGACCCCAACACTACATTCAATAAGCCAAATAGCCAAGGCGGGCCTGCCTCCGATGGGACGTTTACGATCTCCAATCCGCAAGATCTTTTCGACATGTTTGCGCGTGACAAGGGCAACGAACAAGGTGGGCATGGCTCTGGCAACCACCCTGATGAAAGTAATGGACCGCGAAATCCCCCTCAAACTTCTGATATGCAAGGCCCCGGCGTTCGCCCTGGAAGAGTCAACATCAACAGCATCAATCCAGAAGATGTCTTCGCGGCTTTTGCGCGTAACAGTCGGGGCGGAGCTTAGGACAGAGTCAGGTCGGTTCGGGGAGGCAGTCGTGAACGTCCACGGCCCATTCTGCTGGTATTGACGAGACTGTTTTCTTCTCTTTCAGTAAATCAAAGAGCCTTGGCTGCTCATATTAGCGGTGGGGATAGATCTCTCCTTGACCATAACGCTGTTAGTCAACAGAGGAGGAAACCTGTGGCGGAACAATATCGATCAAGTTCAGTCCCGGACTTCTAATTCTTAGAAACATGCTCTTTCGCACGCGTTTACCTTTAAGGTCCTGGTTTTTCTTGTATCGAATGTTCGTCGAGTAACCATTTATTCACTTTAAATCCGCCGCTTTTGAAAGAGCATACAGTGAGAGTGGTTGAGGGCATTCTTCTGTATTGATATGGCCCTGGGCATGAGGAACGGGCACCACTTAACCTATTGCTGTTATGCGATACCGAGATAGGATTAGCATCAAGGTCTTCGAACAGCTTATCCCGATCAAGCTGATCAACTGGAGCTGCCTTTTAAGGCACCAAGATCCATGTGTATGGCATGATGTGTGTGTATAAACAGCGTAGGCTTTTCACGTGTCAGTGTAAGGGCTCTAGCCAAGGGCTCCTGGTACTCACTGATTAACCTCGAGCTTGGTATGTGGAAGTATTTGGATGGTGTGATGAAAGACGAGTGTATGAAGGAAGCAAGGTGAAAAAAGGGCGGATTAAATAATGATCTGACGAGCGGCTCGTCCTGACAGCAAGTGAGTCATCGGTATGAAGACTGACAGGAGTTTCCCTTCTACATGGCTCTAGCCCTGGGCTGTCCGGACGAAAAGTGAGCCATCGGTATGAAGGTTCGTAGAGTTTTCCTTCTATGTGGCTATACCCTTGGGCTAGCAGAGCTTACTTTTAACCCTTCGTATTCATTATTTTGAGATATCGGGTCTAGCCTCTTCTACTGCTGTTTTTTACGCAAAGCTGAAAAAGAGAAGGCGAGGTATTTTCTAACCCCTTCAGGGGCCAGGTATATCTTCTAGCTTTATAGTAAGTGAGAGAGCTATGCAGCTGCTGAAAAAAAAAAAGGGAGAAATTCCCAAACACCAAGAATTTAACAACTTGACACCATACCCAGTATCACAACACATTAATCTTCTAGCTTTATATATTTGATTAAGGGTAGGTTACTCTATATTAATAGTCATTAACTACTAAATTCTTAAATAATTAGCTCTTAAATTATTCTTTTTTTAATAATACTATTATAAGCTTTAAGGAAGATATTTTATAGTATTATAGAGAAGATTATTATACTGATATAAAAAGCTTATAAGGAGAGCTCTCAATAGAAGCTCTCTGGAAGAGCCTCTATAGAGGGAATAATAATAATAATAATAATAAGCATCTATAAGAGAAGCTCTCTATAAGAGCTCCTAGTAAGCTCTTAGAGAGCTTCTAAAGAGGATATGTCTGATTGCGCGTCCTGGCACAGTACATTCCTTGATGATCTTTCACAAGTTCTAATTTCGGGAAAGAATCCGGGAAACAGCACTTATCCCTTTACTAGGCAATTGACGGAATCTTTACCTAGGAGCGACCACACTTGAGACTCGAGGATCAAGAACAACGTACAGTTTAAGGCCCAGTATTCAGCATATGTTTACAATATTCCAGTGGCGTTAGCGTACAAAAGAGCCTCTAATTCACACCTTCGCATCTGCGATATTCTGACAAATTACAGAAGTGGACAAATTTCCCGACAAAATACACGGTCCTTTCGCCCACATCTCTAGTTCTACACAGGCTTTACATCTAGAAATAGACGTCGTCCTTTCGGCTGGACGGCCCATGCATCCCTCATGTGCATGTCATCCTTGCCCATTTTGCTACTCAAGCTGAAATCTAGCCGCCGGACCAAGCGTGGGACGGCAAGGTAAAGCTCGGTCTTAGCCAGTGATTGACCCATGCAATTCCTAGAGCCAACACTGTATGGAGTTAAAGCGGCGTTGGCATCTTCAAGGTTAATATTTCGGCTCATTTCATGCCCCTCCAGCCAACGTTCAGGGATGAAATCATCCGGCTGGGGGAACAGGACGGGATCGCGATGATGAAGGTAATTCTGCATTCCGACAATCGTTCCCGGAGGGAGTGTGATATTGGTATCAAGAATCTCAAGTGGCTGGCCCAGAATTCGGGGGAGCGTAGACATGATGGCCGGATAAACTCGGTATGTCTCTTTGATGACGGCGGAAAGGTAGGGTAGGGCTGTGAGTTCTGCAAGCGAATCACCGGCTTCCCTGAGTTCCTCCCGCAATCGTTCTTGGACACGCCGTCCCTGGGGAAGCGACAAAGCGTACACCAGATACATCAGTGTGTGGGCACTGACGCCGCTGCCAGCAAGAACAACGCCCATGGCCTCCTCCAAAGCCTCGCGAAAGGTGTATCTCCTGTCAAGCTTCTTGTTCCTAGCTTCCAGTAGAGGACCTACACCAAATGACTTTGTGTCGGCTGAGCCGAGGTCTTGTCTTTGGAAGCCATCCAGCATGCCAGCTGTCAAAGATTCCCACTCATCGAAAGCTCTGTAGGCATGGCCCAGAGGACCCGGTATCTTTGTCCTTAGCCTGAATGTCTGCAGCCAGGGCACCAATATGTTGGCAAAGAAGGTTGGTGGGCTCCCCTCAAGTGCCTCAAGCATGTGGATCATCTGACTTGGATCATCAGGAAGGTCTGCATTGACCATTATTTTGGTTATGATCTCTAATCCCCAGGCGCCAAACAGGTCATAGGCGTCTGCAGTTTGTGTTGGAGATTTTGAGGCCGACTTCAGAAGGCGATCGATGAGCAAATCCGTCCGTTCCGTAATGACCGAAGCGTGGGAAGCAATCTCTCGTTGAGAGTAAGTCTTCGCTTGAAGTCCTCGGCGGGCTGAATGGTCCGCCGGATCACTTAGGTCAGGTCAGCAATAGGACTTAGTACATCTATCGATGAATCATGGAACCTACGTTACGGAGAACACGTTGCCATGTCCTAGGAATGAGAATGGAGAGTAGAATCGAGGATCTTTCAGGGTCTGCCTGTCGTTGTATATCCGTCGATACATCCTCCAGTCTGAAATCGAGACCTCATTAGGTCCAACGCGGATAACCGGCCCATATTTCTGATGGAGTTCCCTTAGCCTCTATAACACAAGCTGTCAGTCACCAAGTCATCAAGTTGTCAGTGCTAAGCCTACATAGACGCGATCAAATTTGAAGGTGGATGGAACAAAGTATATATCTGATATCTTGGCAAGGAAGGGACCGGGAACGCGACGAAGAGCATGGAAAACAAGCCGGTATACAACCTACACAGAGCGTCAGTGCTTGCATTATTTGCAAAGCGTAGTTGATCGAGAAGCGTCATACTATCAACAGGGAAGTTATAAACAGAATGCTCAGGAGCACTATGACAGCGGTGGTTCGAGGAGACTCTTCAGTGAGGCGGGTAATGTCGGCGTAGATGAACTCCATCGCGACGACATAGGATGGTAAATTTGTAAAGGTCTTTATTTACTTTGAGAATATCACAGCTCGACTGACCTATACGCGGGCAGAACATTGGACTAGATGACCATTGCACGTAGCATTAGCTGTGCCGTTGCCGTCCTTTTAAAGTGGTAACCCTCCGATCGGTTCAGTCTATCATGTGATCCCATTCAGGTCCCCTTATATAGGTGGCAACCAGGCTCCCCACACATGAGCACCCCACAGAACCGAGGTTCACATTCTATTATCTCTTGATAACATGCCCATCAAATTCCCAGTAGGAGGTGGTATCTCGTTCCTACCCCGCATTTCGGCTACTGTCAGTCACCCGGGGCTGGGTGGGCACTTGGTGGCACCCCACCCATGTTACCAAGGGGGCTGTGAAGTCCAGATAACCAGTCCTAAGCCCTCCAACCATAAACCATCCAGACTTTGCCTAGACATATTAGACGCTTCTAATCCCTTTGAACTAGGGCACCCACTGGGCTTGACGTTAGCTACCGTCAGCTATCAACCCCAGACCGCAGGTGGCGAGGCAGGTGGCATAGTTACCTGGTCTTTCCACTCCCCCTCGAGGCTCTAGTTACTAGATACATCTGGGTGGGGTGAGCATCTCTCCCGCCGTGCCTTATATAATCCACCCTTAGCGTAGCATTGGCATCGGACACAGGATGTGAATGTTGGTGATTATAAGAGGGCCTAGAGTCAAAGAATCTCTGCGCTGTTCTGTCACCAGCGTAATGCCTCTTGATCATCTGGCCTCTTCTGAGAACCTGACATCTGACACTTCTGCATGAATCACACCGAGGCTTCTACTTGCCAGGTTTCACGAAATGTCGATCCAACATAAAAGAGTGAAAGATGAGCCCAACGTAATCGAGGTTGAGCTCCTTGCGACAGACGAAGATGAGAACTGGTCATGGGATTACCTTGAAATCGGTTTTGGTCTATCTGGCAAGACTTTATAAAACCTTTTCGGGCCAGACCAATCATCTCAGGCCATTCTGGCTGGTTGTGCCGTATAAATACTTGCGATTGTTGCTACTGGCTCAGTAGGTTTGCCCTCTGAACTTGAACCGCTACAGTCTACTCATCTAAATTCGGTTTTCAAGAAATATCGCCACTTTTGTAGGAGGATAAGACAGATACATATGGATTCGTCAGACCTGAACATCCATATCACGTTTACGGCAGCCCTGATTGCTCAAGCATCGGATTTCTGGGGCTGCTGATTGCTTATCCTTATTTGTATAGCCCTCTGCTTTATCAGGTTAATCGTGATTAGTCGGGCGACTTTTAAAGCTATAGCAATCGCTAGATCTCTGCTGGCTGGTGTAGGATCGGGGTCAACTTTATTACTGCTCTACGCCGTTGCATCCGAAATCCTGCCCAGGGGATAGCGACCTCTCGCGTAAGCGGGGGTCGATATTATGAATTCGGTGGGAGGTATTTTCATACTCCTTATCGGCTTTACTCTCGTAAAAAGGAGTAATGAAGGCTTCCGAATTATCTGGTATATCGCTATAGAGCTCTTTGCGATCAACTTCCTCGCGGTTCTCTTCTTCTTCAAACTACCCCCACAACCTCTCGAATTATTGTCTCTGACTACACGGGAGAAGCTTGAGGCTCTGGACTAGATAGGATACTGCCTGATATCTCTGAGAATAATCCTCTTTAGCGAAGGCTTGACTTAGGCAAACAACCTTCATCATCCTCACTGTTTTCTAGCAGGTCAAGAGGAAAATCAGTTTCTATCACCATAGCCTCTTCAAGATTGGCTTGACACTGCAAGCCGATCCCGGAATATCTAACCCGGATATCTATGCCCCAAAAAATAAATTAAATAGCAAACCACTTCGCACACTGTAAATACATGGTCGAAGGGAATTATGTGTATGTTATCAAGATGTTTGAGTAGTGGTCCAGACTGTAGCTCCAGACTTTTGACACTTGATGCTTAAAGCGGAGCTCAGCTCGGTGCTTTCTGGAGCTAGACTAAGTTGGAGCAAAGACTCATATCAGCAAAATAACATGTCGCCTGGGGCGGCTGTGACAGCTATCTTGGTCTTGGGCAGCTTCTTCACAGCTTCCAGGGGTGGGTCCGTTGATGAGACGAAGAGCAAGTGGAGCCCAGCTCGGTGTTTTTTTGAGCTAAACTGTATCAGAGTTGGAACGGGAAAAGTACCCATCGCCTATAACCAATAATAGCTGCGGGGACCATCTCGATCTTTGATGGTCCGGCAACGATTGCTGCGTTCTGCATCAAAATGAAGGCCATATCGTTGCTTAGGATTCATACACAGTCTAATTTGTCATGATGATAAGATGTGCTGCTGCGCCCCATCTCCACGTAGGCAAATGCAAGTATGCCTCTATCCGGGGCATTATATATTGTGCCGTCCTGGTCTTTCCATCCAAGTAAAATTATTATCAGAGACAGTCTACGCTTAAAGAGAATGAAAACTCCAACTACCTTGCATAGAAGTTGCGGCCATCTACCATGTCTACCACTAACAGCACCCAGACGGGTGTGTCGTGGACCCTCGATACGTGCCCACTATCCATGGGCATAAGTACATACCAACCCAACATCGGTGGCAATGCGTTCTTCCTTTCGATCTTTAGCAACCTTTTTTCTCGTGCAGCTGTACTTTGGCATCCGATGCAAAACCTGGAGCTACTTAGTGGCCATGGTATTAGGATTAGTCACCGAGGGCGTTGGGTACATTGGACGTTTACAACTCCACAACGACCCTTTCAACTTCAACTATTTCCTCGTGTAAGTAACATCATGACCATACTAAGTCACAGTGATCAGAGTCTTAACACATCCGCTAGATATCTCGTTTGCCTGACCATAGGACCAGCCTTCCTCACAGCCGCCATCTACATCACATTCGCCCGCGTCGCGTACTCCTGCGACGCAAGCCTCCTATGGGCCCGATCGACGACAGTATCTATCATATTCATGACTGACATGCGACTTTATATGTCTTATCTTACAGGCCACTGGAGGTGCCATCACTTCGACATCAGGTGGCATGACCCAAGAGGCATTGGACTTGAGACAGACAGGCGTGAATGTCACGATCGGTGGGCTGTCATTTCAGGTCGTGTCTCTCTTCTCTTTTATACTCTATGCTGCTATTTACGCGTGGAGATGGCACTCTACCACTAAATTCGACTCGTACCACGTTCGAATGTACCACGTTTGAATACCGTCCACCCATTCAGGTCTCCGATGGAAGAGCATGATCTTTGGTAGGTAAGAATCAACATGTTGGGAACAAAAATATGTCTACTCTTTTAGGTCTTGCGATCGCGTCCGGCACCATCTTCGTGAGATGTGTTTTCCGTGTTGCTGAATTGAAGGATGGTTTTAGCAGTTCACTCGCCAACGACGAAGTGGCTTTCATGATTTTGGAAGGCACCATGATTGCCATTGCGAGCATTTGTTTGACTGTCGGACATCCCGGCTTGTGTCTAGACATTGAGTGGAGGCTCCCAAAGCAGGTGCTACAAAAGGGTCGAGATGACAGTTCAAACGTGGAGTTGGAAAATGTTCACGTCTCCAAATAAGGGTAGCTAGTAAGGTTAATGGGCTTTGGATATATGGAAGCTCAAGGGTATGAGGCCCATCAGTGCTACGATGGATAATGCTAGGTTGAGCAATTTCTAAAATCACTACTGTTGTTTCTCATGGGCTTTTGGTTTGGTTGTCACTCGACTATTATGTCAAGTCTATGTATAGAGAGGTACGAAATGAAGATCCCCACGAAGTTTGCGATTCATTCTAGCCCGATATAAAAACTACTCAATGTTGTAACGAACCGATGAGATCCAAATTTGCATGTTGGTGGTTGAGCTATGATGTGTCTGCTACAGTATAAGGTAGACCAACATTGATTTGCGCCAAGCATTTGATTGTAACTGTCACATTCAGCCAAGACAGTCGCATGTTGGAGACGTTCTAGGCCTGCAGGTCGGTACGCAAACGCGCTCTGGTTGGATTTGACAGTGGCGAAGCTATAGTAATGAGAATCTCTAGTCTCACCCATCCGCAGACGATCAAGGCGCTATAATGCCACAAATGGGCAATCGCCGCCACGAAACTGAGCATCAAAAGACGGCCCCCATCTTGGCACGGGCCGCGCGGCTGATTTCAGCACACACAGCCACAAGTGAGCATTTCCAACAAGTACCAACAAGCCGCCGTGGGCGAATTGATTATCGTACCATCCATGGCAAGAATGGGATTGATCCCAGTACTTAAATGAGCCCTGGTCCCCCGCAAATTGCCGTGCTGCTGGGAAATGTCCCGGTAATCGCAAATCGCTCAACATAACAACCATGCCGCCAATTCAAAACACATGCACGCCGGGCCTGGGCATCCGGCTGGACAAGAAACATGACAGCTATCGACCGGGTGACACCATCGTCGGCTGGGTCTATCGCGAATCCCCCGTGGTCTGCCCCGACGCAGCCGTCAAGGTCTCCCTCCACGGAGCCACCCGCACGCGCATGAGATCGGGCGTGCGCTGGGCCGATACATATCAGGGTCATTTCACAATAATTGAAGCAGACAAGAACAAGCAGGAGCTTTTCCGCGGACCGCTTCATATTGACGCGGCTTCCAGCTGGCAGGAGTGGCGCTTCGCATTCACGCTGCCCACCCATATTGATTTGAGCTGGTTCGCAAATAGCAAGCACGCTCGCGAGTTTTTCATGCCTGTCTCCGGGAGTAGTGTCGGCGTCGAGCCATTGCCCGCGAGTTTCCAGAAGCTCGAAGATGGGGAATACAACGAAGGGATTGTCGAGTACTATCTTCGAGCCAGCTTGGAACTCCGTAGCAAGGACCACCCTGATGCTCAAGACGCGTTATTACCCATCAGGATTCTGCCGTCTCTACCGGAGAAGGTACCTTCTTTCGAAGACAGCTTGCAACTCAATAGAGAGCCGGTACCGTTCCACGTCCCGAATTTCACCTTGGGAACAAAACCGCATCTCTCAAAGTCTCAGAAGGTGAAGAACCTACTGAAGTCATCGTCTGCATCGCAGTCCACGCACGAAATCCATACATGGGTCCCGACCGTTCTCCAAGTCAACGACCCCAGGCCCTTAGGATTCTTGCTGCACGTAACACCGACGGGGGAGAATGCGTCTGAACTGATCGAGAAACTGGCGCCCACAGTTCGACTGAAGCGCGTCGAGGTGCAAATCGAGTCACTGACTGGTATCAAAGCTGAAACAACATATGGCAGTATCGACGATGGCTGGAAGAGCACTAAAGATCTGACCAAGCACATTCCGCCATCCTTCTTCTCTGACATTGTGATTCCTTCAACGGAAGATCTTCCCCCTATTGACCTGGGGCAGATGATGGACATCCACCTCCCCTCGCCCGATATGCCCGACGCACTGTCTCCCAGCTTTTCCATTTGTAATATCAAGGTTGAGCATACTATATACTGGCAAGTCGACTACGAAATCGCAGGGAGGCCCTGCAAGGCGCGTGGGTCACAACGTCTACTCGTTCTACCATCGGCAGATGCATGCCATCCACCAGCCGGGAGTCAGGAAGGCTCGGGCGAACAACTGCCATCATACCATTGGAAGTCCGCGGCGGCAACACAAGTGTATTCAAAAAAATAATTAAGAATTTATGAGGGATTGGTTTCTTATGTGTATACCCTTTTCTTTTAAGCGTTTCATTATCAAAGCTTAACAAACTTATTTTCCTTTCTATCATACATGCGCAATCACAATGATACTGACAAGTAGTCTGAATTGTATCCCTTCATAACCATCTCTAGGTTGACAGTTCTTTTCCTTTTTTTCCGTCTTACTGTGCTCATGCAGGACATGGTGATTTCTTGGCCCGTTACTTGTCTTATCTATCTACCAATGAGCTTCCCGTTCTTGGCTGAAAGTTGAGATCTGAGTTTGAAAACACCCTGTAGGGAAGGTGACCGAGAAATAAGGTTTAGCTGCGAAGCACGGACGACAGATCCCAGTGTCCAAGAAAATCTAGAAGAAAAGAGTGCGTACGATTTCTCGCCTGGGGAATGACTGGATACCGTGAATTCCGCGGCAGCCTTTTAACTGCAAGTTTTGTAGAGGACTAAATACTAATTCAGAGCCATTGCAGTATATGGAAATCATCCTCACCGTCAGATCACTCATTCAGGCCACGGCAAAGCCCGAGACTCATGAAAGTCAATTGAACAAATGGTGATGAACCCCTCCAACATGTCTCCAGTTTGGCTGCAACTTTGGCCATGAGGGCATGTCTGAGATCAGGGGAAACGTGAGCACACCATCTACCTCAAGCTCAAGTTCTACGTCGCTAACAAAACAAATCTCTGCTGCAACCTTACCAAGCACCAAGCACAAAGCGAGCTCTCAAGTTGGATCATGATGGTGTAGTGGGGTTCATATAACATGAGCCCATATCGTATTAGTCGGGTCAGGGATTGGAGAGTGAATTGAGAAACCAGCCAATCGACATGACCAAAGAATGATTGCGCCCCTTTTTATACCCCGGTCCGGATTCATCACCTGCATTCCCGCTCATCAAAGGGCTACATGATATTGGAACCTTTTAGCATCCGCCGTTTTGCTAAGAATTCTGGCACAGGCGTGGTCATAGTCTTTACTTGATCCAGAACTCTGAAACAAGCTCGATAGGAGAGCACTTACGCAATTCGGCGACCATAGCTAGTCATGGGCTTCCCACAGCTCATCTTGTTATCAGGACAAGCTTCTAGAGAAAGCCATGTGGGACCAGTTTGGCGCCCTGCATCACGTCCCCTGTCGAGATACCCATGGAGCAGGCTGCCTGAGCAATGAAAGCCCAGTCTGAAGTGCTGGATGCAACCTTATCTAGGCGGTTTATTTCCCAGTAGTATATGTAGGTAACCGAAGCCAGATTTTTAAATTAATCTCGCAGTAGCCTGGTCTCTCGATTCATCAGGATGCTGGTAGGCATGGCACCCAAGCCATTTCCAACACGTTCCTCACACTCGCTCCGGTAGCAGATCTTCTACGCGACGAGGATCCAAATATCTCCCCTTTCCAGTGGGAATTGTCGTGTGAAGACCGCGAGCATGCCGACGCTAGACCTAGTGGAAAAGCTATGGATCGTGAGGTTTGCTCTTGGTTTCGCGACCTTCTTCGCGGGCGTAGTCGTCTGGGGCTGCTCACTCCGGCACAATCGGAGGCGATATGATCCAGCTCGCTTCGCGTTTCTTCTCCAAAGGATATTCATGGGCTTCTTTCTCCTGTGAGCATTTTCAGTACTCACTGCGGGCACATTGCGCCTACTACATGCAATCCCTTCTTTCTGCCATATCCTATGATGCTAACTCAACCATCGTCTCCCTAGCGCTTGTCTGCTTGATGCTGTGGCTTTTCTCCTGGTCTCTTTGCAGACGACTTTCGGGTTGTTCTACAGCCCCGATGCGAATTACATTATTTCTTCGGCAGCATCATTCTTTATGATGCTCACGGAAAGCTTAATATTTGTTATGCTCATTCATCTGCTAAGTGGGATCTCGATAAGCCAGCTTGGTAGTCTCAGCGACACTGGCAAGGTTCTGAGTCCGATCAGCACCACTCTAGCTGTTCTCCTTGGCATTCTCTCGCTCGCAATCTTTGCTTTGGAGCTTGTCAGGCACTATATGAGAAGCTCCTCATGGAACTTTTACCCATGGGCGATCAGCGTATCATTTCGGGGATTGGATATGGTTGCGTCGATCCTCCTGGTTGCGCGCTCCATTCGAGTAATGGCTATCTCACGGGAGGAAGGTCGATTGGCTAAGGTATGGATCGATGGCGTGTGTCTAACTAACATTCTGCTCACATCGTATAATATAGGCCTCTATTCTGGCGCTTGTTTGTTGTGCATTGGCACTCACGAGGTCAATCTACGGACTCGCCAGTGTTGCCGGGAGCCGATCAACATACTGGATATATCTCCACGTGCTGACGTATATTTTCGAGGTCTGGCCCAACTTCGCTATATTCTGCATCACTTTCGTCATTGGCAGGGACAGGCAGGATGGCCTCTGGTCTCTTCACCAACCTCCTCCAGCAGCAATATCCAGCGAGCTTCAGCAAACCACGTTGATGGATCTCAATATTCCACAGCAGCAGCCCTCACCGTATTACGATCCTCAAACGGGGCAGACGTGGCAATCAATGGGGGGATACAGACAGCCACAGGAACAATACCGGTATTATCCACAACAAGCTCTGGCTCAAGGAATGTACGCCACCACGCCCGAGTCGTACGCCTCGCCTCCTGAGCTGCCACAAACTGAATTGCAACCACCTTTGCCGTTGGGTAGATCACAACGCTCTCCAAGTCCGATTTTGTTACCGAATACACCGGCTTCTCACGGTTCAGTTCCCAATGCGCAACTGAGTCCTATTCCGGGATTTTTACGAAGATGAAGAGAAATGCTAGCAATGGAGTTTTTGGGAATACATTTTCGATATCTAATGTGTAGATGAAAACAGGAATCATGATTCAAACAAATGGCGTTGTATCCCCAAGATTTGTGAGATTGTTTGGAAAAGCCGCCGAGGTTATGATGGCCCTCGTACTATGGGATCATTGACTGCTGTTGTCATACGAGACTGGCCAGGTTTCAACCTTAATCCTTCCAATACGACGGGATTTAGATCTAGGCAGCTCCATTCTCCGATTAACTTTCCTGCATGCGGTAGTGGATGAGTGGGAGGCTTCAAGGAGATCCGCCCTCGTGACATGTGAACTTTGTCTCAGGCACTGGAATGGGTCAGCCCGTGATTATTGTTGCCCTTTATTGTCCCCGTATAAATACAGACAGCCCTTTCCTGATCCGTATCTTCTAACTTTACTGCTCTCCTCTTTTTGCGCGCAGGTCAAAATCCACCGACGTTCAAATACAACCACGACGAAGCATCACCACGAATATGCAGGCTTCACGACTCCTTATCTTGATGGCTTGGTTTGCATTCGCTTCTGCTCTTAGAAGATGCGTGCCACTTGGAGGTATTGACTGATCTTTCGCGCTCTCTCCTGATTAATTGGGTAGCCATTGCTAATTCATCATCAGAGCCCTGTGTCGCCGCCGCGGACTGTTGCGACGATAAGGCCTGTGTCGGTCCCAAGGGCAACAGAGTGTGCCATGAATGGGTTTACAGGGCTGTCAGGGAAGATGAGGAGTGATACATGCCTTTGAAGGGCAAAGGGTTGACAACGAGGGGAATATCTGATCTAAACATCGATGTGATCAAAGGAGTCAGCAAACAAGACTTCTTGTTCCTTCAGAGACGTTTAATACGAATGAGAGTTCGAATACAAAGTTGAACAGCAATAAAATACCACCCGACATCTCAACACAATAATACAGAGACGTATTAATGACCCAGTATAACATTGAGACACTTTCGTGCATTCTATTGTGCAGGAGCGATCTAACACTTGGATTTACCGCGAATTGATACCGATACTTCCTAAATCACCAGATGAGCGTTTTTAACAATATACATTAGTTGGCATTTATAGAAGAGGCGAAGCAGATGGCCAAGGCGGCTTCGGTTAAATCCCTCGAGCTGCTATGACTTCGTGATTTTCCCATCTAGAACCCTACTTTGATAGAGGCTTTCGAAGGATAATCTTGGGTGAAAGCTTCACCTCCCTCTGCAGATATAGTGAATGCGTCGTTGTCCCGTAGCGCAGTTGTCTCTCATTATGGCTTCAAGAACTTTGTCGTATCACCATTTCGTGGATTCTCGTATCGAGCCCTAAAACCCAAACCTTAACTCTATCTAGGTGTGTATGGGATTGCATATTTGAATTTCATTTAACATGTAGAATTTTTACTTCCAATACGGGTCTCCAGTTTACTCTTGCGAATTATTTGGACACGGACTTCATAGCTTTCCTGGACATGAAGCCAAAGCAAATGGCCATGCTCCCGTCAAACGCAGAGCCAAAATCACTGCAAACTAACGGCAAGGATTCGGCAGCCGGCTCTTGGAACTTTGGCAATAGCCCTAGGAGAAGTGGTGCGGCTACATCCATCCCCAATCAGAGACCTACGGGACCTGGAGCCGAATCCTGCGGGGCGATCTGTGAACACATATGCATGGCAACGTATAGGGCTGAAAAAGAGCAGTGTTGCCAAACATCTTCTCCATCTGTTTCGCCCTGAAGATGGCATTGAACGCTGGTTTATGCCGTAGTGTTCAGCTTCATGTTTGTTCGTACGTATGTATAAAAGTTACGGTGACAGTTGGAGAGGCCTCCACCTGAACAAGGCCATGATGAAGCTTGACGCGACCTGGAATCAGCGCCAGGGCGTGATGCCTTACTGCGTAAGCACTACAGATGACTGCCCATGCTGGAAGGATGTTGCAGGTCCTTGGATGAGCATGCTATCCTAGCCAAAGGTCGCGTCCGTGTTGAGGGGGCACCGTAGAAACGTTTGAAGGACAAATCTACCCTCCTCGACTAGAGATTGTGTTTATTAGCTTTTGCATCACTTACCTTTGACATATGGAGGATCGAGGCAGAGGGAGCACTGCAGGAAATCTAATGGGATTTGGCAAGCTCAGGCTATGAACGAAGGATTGTTATTACAGCTCCAAATATACCATTGGGACCTTGAATCCCTTCCAACGAAGTAAGGAGAGGTGCTTAGTATATTAGTACCGGTGTACATATGTGACCGCCCATTAGCTTAAGCAACATCCAACGACGTACGTACACAGTTGACGATGACTTCATTTGTCCGCGCCTGCCCACTCATTGTGTTTATTCATGCTGTGAGCCAATTAAAACCTGTCTTTTACGGAGGATTCTGGGGCGGAGACTTTTCGGTGAGTTTTGCTGAGCCAGACTCGATCTCTCGCTCCTCGGGCCTCGCTCTAGTGCCCACATCTGCGGGAAACGATGCAAGCTTTGACTCTCGTCTCTGCAAGGTTGGCCACCCAAAACTCGTATTTCAGCCAATGGCTGGCAGGACTCAGCTCAAACAACGAGCTGTCAAAGTCGGTCCACAGCGGGGGCCAACAGCGAGCTAAACGCTGTTGTGAACAGGGATTTGCGGAATCGCGGAATCTACCATTCTCTCTCCCGGACTCTTTTACTGTATTTGTCTGTCTTGTAGCAATGGAGCCGCTGCGGATAAGTGAGTATTATACAAATTCATTCTCACTAGAGCTTCTCGGCTCACTACTCTTTAAAAAAAAGTAGCAGATCAGAGCCTACACTCTGGTTCCGGACCCTCTCGGACATTCACGGACAATTAAGATGTTTGTCCGACCGACACTATTATTACCATTAATCATCAAGTCCGTCGGACCACTTGAACTCCGAGAGCTTCGTCTGACAAACTATGTACTAAATATGCTAGCACGACTCGTGGCTTCCCGCAGCCATAGTCCTCTCTTTTTGGGCAATTCGTCTGAGCGGGATAGTGCATACACGAATGGCCTATTTGGGCGGATCCAGATGCTTATTCTATGAAGTTCATGCCTTTCCGGGATTGAGTGTACAAGCTTTGAAAGCAGCAAATTGAGGTTATCGCCAACAGACGACGTGGCCTGGCAACAGCTAGCGTGGATGAAGCGTAGAGAACTACCACGTAAAAGGTGACGGGCCGAGGGAATGCATTTCACTGCTACGATTAGTGTTATAGCCTGAAACCGACCGGACCGGCATCATTAACCGGCTCCAACAACCATTCCTTGCTGCTGTTTATTTGATTGATCATCGTCATGGGTTCTAATCAACTGCATCTAGTAAACAATAGGCAACAATACTCAGTGAGACGCCCAATGAGGAGGCCTCCCCCGTTCCCCGTCATGCTGGACGAACAATCTCCCCTGTCCAAACGGCTATCGGTGCGTTTTGAGGATCAGCCGCCCAGGGCCACCATCCACTAGCATCCCACAGCCGTGCACTAGTGTTGTTGACTAAAGATTACTCGATCAACTTCCAACGGTGAAGAGTCCAAAGCGGCATTTCCGAGCTCGGGAATTCCTTCTCCAGGAGGGAAAGTCTTTAAGCCGTTCTCTTTGGGCTAATATAGGGCCGATGAATATCGGTGCCTTGGGATTTGTTAGCGTTCTGGATTGTCGTGGGGTTTCATATGGATTTAATGCATATCACCACCGCAACGTTGCATATCATATACCCTGCTACAAATCTCGAATCTTTAACCCAACACCCTTTCAGCGCCACACATTGAATTTCTACACACCACCACCAGCTGCAAAATTCAATATCAATCATTGGGCGACCTGTCTCTGGTCATAACAGCAAAGCTGGCTTCTCCACAGAGTCACTATGGCAAGTTCGGTGCTATGAAGCCCAGCACCGATGAGACCGCCAGTAGTGATGAGGAAACCGGGCTCACGCCGACTGAATTCCGCAAGATCGTCGAAGCTCGTAGCGCGTAAGTCATTCCGATACCAATTCCTTGCGCGGCTGCTCCATGGAATAATTCAAAATATCATACATCCATTTCCCGCCGCCCCCCTTCTCATGCATTTTCTGACACATTACCAGCCAACGAGCCAGCAAAAAGCGATACGTGAAGGATCTAGAAGCAAAGATTGCCACATTGAGGGCTTCACAGAAGGAGACCGAGGAGGAAAAGAAAAAGCTTCAGCAAGATCTAGCCAAGGCGTACACCGAGAACGCCAATCTGCGCTTTGCGCCTCCCTCTCCAAAGTCAGAGTGCTGATGCTGAACTGGTCGCATATGGGGATGGAAAACCGTCATGAGCTGAAGAACACACATATTATTCTCTCACCAGGCTCCCTTTCTTCAACCCTCCAAAGGAATACCATAAGCCTGGAATGGCAGAACTGGACGTGGATGGCAGGACGCGCGAGGGACACAATGATCGCGCGCACGCATAATTGGACATATACTTAGCAGGCATTTTGATTCTTAACATATACCAACTTTTGTTTTTACGATACCACGATCTCAACAGATCAAATTTCATCCGCCCTATATTCCCTATTCAACAATATTGGTGTGATTCTTCAGCAAGAGAGGGTTCAAAACCCCGCGCTCCCACTACAGACCTACGTGTCAATGGGCCTTTATGCCGAAACGGCTGCCAAGTGCTCGCAACGACTGATCTTCCGTTACGATCGCGTGAGGATGCATCAAAGGGCTGGCTGTCTATATCCGAACTCGGCTTTACGGAAATACGGGCTGTTTATCGCAAAAGAGTAAGTTTGGGAACAGCTGCTGACATCTAATTATCCCCTTTCAGCTTTGGCATCGAATAAGCACGGGGCGAGCATATTTTCGGATTCGGCCTTCGTTTTCCCGCTCGGGCCCGATATTAATATGCTCCCACGGGTTGTTGAGAATGCCGATTTAACATCGGGAAATTCCCCAGGATGGCGATCAAAAAGGGCAGGTTAATACAAGACGCATCAGTGGGATATGAAATCAATATATAATGACGGAGATTTTTCGAAGATTTAACCAGTCCTTCAAGGGTTTCCGGATAAAGTGCTTCTGTTTGGATTGGGCTCGTTGTTACATTCGGCACGCGTCCTTTCTTCTCTCTTCGGGATATATCTCGGTTTACGAGTGCTACATTTGTCTACACGTCACTGCACCCTGATAATTATGCATTCTTCGATCTGTTTAGTTTCCAAACATTCTGGATCTCTCGCTTGTATTGAAGAAATCGTGTACTAGGGACTCGAGACCTGGATCTCGAACCTAAACTCCTGTACCCCAGAAGTCATCTCTCGAGAACTGCCCTGGAGAGAAATCGCTATTCGCTGGCTCGTACAATACAGTATGGATGCCCGTCCTCCGGGAACAAACCCTGGGCACTTGACACAATATCAAGATATTGCGGTGTCTGCTTCTCCTCTTCCGTTATCGTCAGGGTTCTGTCAATTTCCTCAAATGTCGGAACCGCCTTCCTTTCATACCTCACTTCTCCGTCCGAGATGGAGTGAGGAACAAAGGTCGAGGTATTTGTAGTCACCGGGGTTGCATCTTCCCGTATACCCATCCCGGATGGGTCGCCATCGATAAACCAAAGGCCTAGAACTGCATACATCGGGTTGCCCTTGGCGTCTTCATACGCGGGCAGCTGGCAGAGTTCCTGCACGATGTACCCCTCCTTGCCGTAGTCTCCAGTGGTTGTATCCTGAATCACTTGCTCCCCGTCCTTCAAGATGATATCAGCCCCTTCGCGAGCAAAGATGGCTTTGCGGCAGAACTTTGTCAAAGCCTCAGGAGCCTCGTCTTCGAAGTACGTGGGAAGAAGCCACTTGCCGCGCGGGTCATTCTTGAACATATCCCAGAGGATCGGGAATAAAGCCTTGTTACTCCAAAGCATCTTGTATGGGGCTTCAAACCACACAGTGCCACCCACATACTCTCCAGACTTGGCATGCTCGCCAATGTTCACCGTGTCTTTAAAGCACTGCTCCCCCTTGCCCTCTTCAACCATCCACTCCCAAGGCCACAGCTTGAAGACCACGTCGATGTGCTTGCCCACCTTATCATAAAAGCGCTTGTCCTCGAGAGAGAATTGAATATCCTGCAGGAAGATGCTCTCCGTGCTCCAACCAGCAGCGCTGCACGCGTCCATGAGTACTGCGGTATTGATTGCGTCCTCTCCGGTTGTGTCGGTGCTTGAGGCCGTAAAGTAAACGCACCTGATCGCGTGTCCAAGGACTTTCTCAGCTTCGTCCAGGTTTCGCTTCCACGCTTTGACAAGGTCCTCGTATATGGAATTAAATTGGTCGTTTCCATGTCCGGTTTGCGTAAGGCACTCCCACTGTACAATCGCAGACTCAAGGAGAGAAGTAGGCGTGTCAGCGTTGAATTCGTAGAATTTGGGGGTCCTCAGTCTCTCGTCGGGGTGGTCCAGCCCCCCAAAGCAGACATCAAATCGACCGTAAACACTGCCGCAGGCAGGTTCTCGGTCCCAGGACCTGATGATATGCTCGACTGCAAATTCGGGGATTGCCATCTTCTTTGTCATGATCTTAGGGTCCCTGCAGATTACTTCAGCTGCCTCGCAGCACATTTCGAAGACATCTTTTCCGGCTTGGATAAGCAGCTCGATCTCCTCTGTTGTGAAGGAGTAGTACCGGTCATCTGGCCAGTATTCAGTGCCGGCATTCAAGGTGTATACAAGACCTTGACTTTGGACCAGTTTGGTGTGGTTGGGTCGGGGTTTGATTTGTACTCGACGCATGGTGGAACATATGCTGTCGACTTCCTGTTGTGAGATTTACGGAGGTTAGGATGGTGGGCTTTGGCGTGCTCTATATAATATCCACAGTGCTAAGATTCATCAATTCATCAAGAAATAAGACTAGAAATTTACGGCAGTCAAATCATCGGTGACACCGAACATCACTCTTGATGTTGGAATCGGGTCTCGTATTTGGGAAGCTAGGTAAAAATAGGGAGGGAGAGTGGGAATAGAGTTCAACAAAGAAGTCACGAGATGGATGGGCAGCAGTGTGACCAAACTCAAGATGGCCCTGTCCGTATGAAAGGGTGAGAAACCCGATGAAATGAAGACTATATCAAGGCCACAACGCCCCCATTTCTACTCCGAAGATTCCTCTCCTTTCACTCACTATCGGAAACACAATGAAGCTCGGGATTTCTCAGCATCGCTCAGCTTGTCTACTCTTTTCATCACACAACTTGCTTCCACTTACTATCGTCTCTCTCCCTTATCTTACCACGACACAAACTCGAAATGAAACACTCCGCTGTTCTTCCAATTCTCAAAGTGGTCGTTACTACCTTCGGTCTCGGCACCGCGAATGCAGCACCTCACTGCGTTGACAAGCTCTCTAATGAGGTCGCCATGTCCAAGTGCGAGGGCACCAATCCTGGTGCGAGCGACTTTCACCATGTCGATGGCCCTGATCCCGTGGAAACCGACAACGATATCCCAGCTACAACTCCTGCGCCGAAGCCTAAGTTTGTCAGTGCTGGATTCGGCAAGAGAGGCGACGATGTCCACACAATCTTTGTGGGTGGCGGCTAAAGGGGAAAATATCAAATACCGAGACTCATTTACTGTACATGTGAATGGAGGAGCAGTTCGCTTGACAGCGTTCAGAGCGACTGCCGATGTCAACGTCCTTAGTAGTTACGTCTTTGGTAGTTGAAACAGCAAGATGTTCAAGAGGTAAATGAATGGATCATTCAGGCTAATTCTATGATAAAAAAGTTGACATTCCGGGTATTACTCGTAGTTCATCTAAAGCTTTGATTTGACGTTTTTCTTGGCATTTACTCAATTAATATCATATGCAGGCTCTGTTTATTTCCTGCTCTTTGGTCCTCTCAAGATATGTTTCATTGTCCCCAACCATTTCGGATCACGCTTGCTATTGCTATTACCCCAGTCTTCACCGTGACGGGAGTCTGGATCGTTGATCCACTGCTTCAAGACATCCACGGACTTGGGTGACGACCTGGCATGAAATAATGGCTCATTTCCTTCAATATCCTTCATTTTCCAGTCTGCACCCTGCCGCAGCAACTGCTTGATGAGTTCTGGACGCCCTTCATTAGCGGCGACATGTAATGCCGTCCACTGTCTATTATCAGTTGCGTTCACCTTCGCCCCGTGTCTCAACAAGAGCGCTATCATCTCCTTACTGCGTTCGATCTGGCAAGCTCGATGCAGGATGGGCTCTCCCGCGTTATCCTTGCTGTTGACGTTCGCTCCGTTCTTAGCAAGCCATCCCGCGGCCTCGACCGCGCCCATTCTCACAGCATGTGCAAGTGTTGTCTGGCCATTATAATCAGCTGCGTCGATTTTGGCACCATTCTTCACCAGAAGCTCCAAGAGCGCAACCTTGTTCATATTCGCTGCGCGGAACAATGGTGACTGGCCTGCTTTATCGCCTTGGTTTGGATCTGCGCCATAGCGTAGGAGCAGTTCCGTGTGGCCGAGGGGAAAAAGCCTGACGGCTTCATGAAGAACGGTTGAACTGAACCTTGTTAGTGAATTTGGATTCGCTCCTTTTTTCAACAGAAGCTCGATAACCTCGAGTGGCTGGATCATAATTCCTATCCCCAGAGCAGTCTCTCCCCGACAATTTTCTACCGAGACGTCTGCTCCACGCTCAATCAAGAGTTTGACCGTTTTGTCATCTCGATCAACCTCTGCAGCACGGTGTATGGGAGTCACGCCCTCCTTATTAGAGGCATTGATATCAGCTCCGTGATCGAGCATCAGCTCAGCTACCGCTGCGCACCTCAAGCCAACTGCGTCATGCAGGGGCGTATTGCCGATTTTGTCCTTGACGAACTTAGCTCCCTGGGCTAACAGGAACTCAGTCAACTCCCTCTTATCTCTCGCGCTGCGAGACATCCAGAGTGGATTCCGGCCGTCGTGCGACAATGCCGTCACATCACTACCCAGACGGACAAGCAATTTAGCCATCTCCAACTTTCCATTGTAGAGGCTGACAGTGTGCAAGGGCCTGTGGCCTCGGACCTCCTCCGTGTTCACATCAGCACCATGGGAAGCGAGAAGGTCGACTGCATCGCAGTGCCCGGCTTTCACCGCCTCGTGGAGGGCCGTCCTCCCATTCGCTTCCTTAGCCTCAATCTCAGCGCCATAACGTAGAAGAATCCGCAGAGTCTCTAGGAAGTTCGGCCTGCTTCCGGTCCGGACGTGAGACCTGGCGCATCGAAAATGGGTGTGAGGGACCGTAGCAACGGTCAGAGGCTGGCGCCCATCTTCCCCTACAGCATTGACATCTGCGCCGTGCTGGAGTAGTAACGCGACCACAGATGGGTCACCGTTGTGCGAGGCGGCGTGTAGCGGCGTATGGCCATGCTCGTCCTGTTTCTCAATGTCGATCTTGCCAGTTGACAGAAGCACCTCGACCATCCCCAGCCTGCCCGACGCGACTGCGACATCGAATGGCCTCACCCCTTGGTCATCCTTGTCGATGGCCTCGAACCCCCCGTAATTTTCCTTACAAGCCCACAGGGACGTGAAAATATCGTGGTTACCCGACTCGGCGACCAGCGTGAGGTGATGCATGGTCACCACGTCCACACCCGCACTGGTCGCCCGCTGGATCGTGTCCAGGCGGTTGTTGAGTATTGCCCAATTGACGGCAGAGCCGCGGAGCTTATAGTAGTCAAATCGGTAGAGGAAGAGAACGAGAGCCTGGAAGGTTTGGCGACATGTCCTGCTCAACGCGCTGATGTCTCGCGCCGAGGTTAATGTCTCGCAAATGGCTTGAAGCAGCTCGTTGGGGAGATCAGAGAGGGACGCGTGAGCCATCCTTTGCTTTCAGTGGGACTTTAAACCTGTAACGGTAGTCTTGGGTGCGCGATTAAGGAGGATTGACCGTGAACGTTCAGCATGATTGAGGCGTAGCGGAGGCATAGCGATAAATTAGCAGAGCGGTTCTGCCTGCTGGTTCACGCGTCGCTCCTCCAGGAAATTGCTTACCCTGTAGCGTTCCATGCCTCACGCTATACCACGCACTTGTGCCATGCATCTTTTTGATGAGCACCTCTTGGGAGGGATCTTATTCAATTATTGTAAACCCGGCCTTTATATTATGTTCTAATAAAGAATCATTATCAAACTAGCTAACACAGTATTGTCACTAGTGATGGTCAACCAACTGTTTCGACATTTAAAACAAAACAGTTAAAAAGTCTTGAACAAAATCTAGACCAAACTTTAGCCAAGGAAAACAAAATTAAGTTTCCAATGCTCTCGAGGTTGTTTTTTAGGCTACCTAGCTACGAGGGAGCCTCCTTCAAGCTTGACCATGTTATTTTCCTCGAAGGTCTGGATATTCATCGTTATACAGGCTGTATGATGACTGCTCTTCGCTCCAAAATTATCTTTTGGTTAGGTTATAGTTCTTGAACTCTTTTGATTTGAGACTATACTCTAGTTTGAGGTTGTGAACATGATTGATTTCTAAACCGGGATAGTACTCTTGTTCAACCGCATAGCAGATGACCCAATGATCTCACCCGCCTAGTAAGGCAGTAATTCAAACGCTCTTCGCTGTTCTCTTGAACGGCCTCGCTACTCCTTTCGCTAGGGCCAAAGGAATTTGGACACATCGTAGCAGAGTTCCCAAAATGATATCCTCACCGTCTCTACGACTCGACGATCATAATTGATCTTTAATAGATTGTCGATGGTACATATCTGTTTTCCTAATGATAATCTTAGCATTATTTTGCCATATTTTTCCATAAGTTCAATCCGCATAGCCTAGGAACAAATACAGTCTAAAGTGCATTTCTTGCTAAGTTTCCAACAAAGTGCGCTCCACCTAGAAGATGTTTCTTGCAAATAAATTCCCTAAGGGTGTTACAATGTCTTGAAGTTCTCTCCATCTCAGAGAAAGTCATATTACCGGAGATATGCGGGCTTTTAGGTTTCTCTTTTGAGACAAGCGGACTTACTTGTTGCTAAATCCGGATACATATCCTATTGGGTGTGTTGACTTCAAACCTAATGTAGGCTATAAAGCCCGCCTCACCTCTTAAAGTAATATAATTAAAGAGGAGGATTACATTTTGGTGGTCTGAATATTTCAACTTGTTTCGGAAACACCTAGCTGACTTGATATTGCATTTAGACTTCCCCTTAAGTCCGTACTCGGATTACAGCTTCGCTTATTGAACCCTCACAGCTTCCCAATTCGAAAGAAAAGAATTAATAGAAGAGCTAAGCCGTAAATCAAAAGGAGATAATAGAATTGATGGCTTCTTTTCTTGTTACTGGAACCTCGAGGGGCCTGGGACTCAGCCTTGTAGATGTACTCTTATCAAGACCATCTTCGGAGGTATCTCAAATCATCGCATGTACGCGCTCGCCAAATGCTTCTGGCGACCTACTATCTCTCATACAATCATCGGGGGAGCGAATCAAACATGTTCAAATTGATCTTGACGACTTGACTACGATTTCGGCAGCAGTCCCTCTGGTAGCCGATATGCTCGGCGAACAAGGCTTGGATTATCTGGTCAACAACGCAGCTGTTCGCGACCCCAAGTTCACTGAACTTGAAGATATGGACTTTTTGCCTCAGGCTCTCTCTACCAATGTGGTCGGGCTTCACGAAGTCATCAAGTCCTTCTTGCCCCTCCTTAGGAAAGGAAAAGCTAAGAAAATTGTCAACTTCTCCTCGACCTTGGGGCAACTGTCAACAGCTCAAACAGACTCTAAGATGGTCGGCGTGCCATTCCCAGCCTACAAAATCAGCAAAGCAGGCACGCATATGGTCACTGCATTGTGGTCGAACCGTCTTAAAGGGGAGGGTTTCTGTGTCTACATTCAGAGTCCTGAAAATTTGAAAACTGATCTGGCAGGAAAAGAAAGAGCAGATCTTGCACCTGAAGTTGGAGCCAAAGAAGTAATCCGAATCGCTTTAGAGGCTCGTCCACAGGATACCGGGAGACATCGAAATATTCTAGTGCCGGGTTGGGAGCAGGGAGGTGGTATAGGCGGAAGATATGATGGTAAGGATTTATATTGGTGAGAGGGAAAAAGTCCTTTTAAGAAACGAGTTGAAGCACGAAACATTGCATATCGCCCCATAGACTCCTTTCTAGACTGATTGCAGGTGAAGCGGTGATTCTAGGGTAGGGCAATATTATTGGAGTTTGTGGTCGTGATTGGTAAGCGGGCAGCAGGCAGCTGAAGGTACGACAGCAGGAAAAACTCGGAGAATCTAATAGCCGAAACCACCGAGACAAAGCTCATTTCCACGCCACTTCACATCTCAGGCGAAACAAAGACCAAAGCATCCATGTGGTGACGTAACAAGCTGAAACCATGGACAGCACACAGCTGGGATTGAGGATTGCTTTCTACAGCTATCCGCTCCTCCTCTTTGTGACGCTCCTGGGTGTCCAATCCTTCCAATACTATGTTGAGCGCAAGCGAGGCCCCGAGTCCAAGGCGACCCGCAACGCGCTGGATAGCGAGCAGAAGGCAAAGGTCGAAAAGATCACGCGTGTTTCCTCGACAATCATATGGATTCTTCAATTGATTCTTTCCGGCCTTCTATTGGCCAGCATCATTGTCGCTGTGCATGAAGCCATTGTCGGTCAACATGCGCTTGACGGCAAGGCCGGGTTCGCGTTTAGTGCATACGCGGTATGTCATCTACCTACTTCCCGGCTGCTCAATTGGACCCAATTCCCCTATTAAAAGGCCGCTAATACTGTCGCATAGGCATCATACGTCGGAGTTTTGCTATACTACCTCTCTGGCCTGCTGCCTGACCCCGAAGGGCCATGGATTCCGGGCACAGCGCATGCCTCTGCCTGGATTGTCGGCGCACTTGTTGAAGCAGTCATTGCAGGCGTCTTTTGTGCCGTCCAGCCCTCACTTCGGGTCTCCAAGGAATTTCTCGGTACATTGAACGCGTTGGCGTACTCTAGAATTGCAATTCTGGTCATCATGTTTGTCGTTCTCGGGGTAAGGGAGTATAAGCTTAAACCTACTGCGCCCCGATCTGTTCCCGAGGAGCGTCAGTCTCTCCTAGAAAATGGCGATGGCTCCCCGGCCAACTACGGTAGTGTTCCTGCTCACGGTCCTCCTCCTGCCAGAACCCAGGTGTCTGGTACTGGGTGGCTTGACTATTTTGCGGGATTCCGAATTCTTTTTCCCTACTTATGGTATGAGACTGCTGCTTTAGCTGCAATCCTTTCTTTTCCAGGATCTAATCGAGGCTGATACTACTTCATTTAGGCCTAAGGACTCAATCCTCTATCAAGTCGTCGTGCTCATCTGCTTGGTCCTTTTGATACTCCAGCGTACCGTCAATGTCTTAGCCCCACTCCAGCTCGGAGTTCTGGTAGACAATCTTGGGAAGGGTACCATTCCTTACAGGGAAATTATTCTGTATGTCGTGTATCGCGGACTTCAAGGCAATCAGGGAGTCCTTGGTGCTGCCAGATCAGTGCTTTGGATCCCGGTCTCTCAATCGCTGTTCCGAAGGCTTTCAAGCGCTGCTTTCGAGCACGTCCTGGGACTTTCCCTAGATTTCCATTTGAACAAGAAGATTGGGGAAGTCACAAGCGCTCTTAGCCGTGGTGCCGCTATGAATACCTTCCTTGAGAGCTTTTGCTTCCAGGTATTCCCGATGGTTTTTGATATTTTTCTCGCCGGTGTCATCTTCTTTGTCAAGTATGATGCTTTCTACACCATCATCATCTTCTTCATCATGTGGTCTTACATTTTCTTGACCATCTACGTTGCTAAATATCGAGGAAAGCAACGAAGAGATATGGCAACCAAGCTCCGTGAGATGGAAGCTGTCAAGACCGATGCTATCATCGCCTACGAGACTGTTCAGCACAACTGCGCGGTTCCCCGCGAAACCAAAAGATTCAAGGACCATGTGGTGTTCTACCAAGTGGCTGAGCGTTTAGTGCAGTGGTCCCTCAATGGCCTGAACCTCACGCAAAGCTCCATCTTTACGCTTGGAACTGCACTTCTTGTTGCCGTCTCGGCATACAAGATCAATCTTGGTGAACAGACTGTGGGCGAATTCGTTAGTTTGATCAACTACTTCGTTCAGCTCCAAGGTCCCCTGAACTTCTTTGGCACCTACTACACAATGTTGCAGAACAACTTGATTGAAGCTGAGCGAATGCTTGACCTCGTAAGTCTGTGACTCACCCCTTTCCAACGTCACCTGCTAATCCCGGATTTTAGTTTAAAGAGACCCCTGGTGTTGTGGAGAAGAAAGATGCCATTAGCCTCCCTTCGGTTCGAGGAGAGGTTTCTTTCAATAATGTGGAATTCTCGTACCAGACCAAGAAGGGTGAGCCTGTTATCAAAAACATCAGCTTCAAGGTTCCTCCCGGAACTAAAACAGCACTTGTTGGAGAATCTGGTAGCGGGAAGTCGACTTGCCTCAAGCTCCTGTACCGCTTCTACGACACTCTTGGCGGCTCCGTCACAGTTGATGGCCACGATCTCAAGGATCTAAAGCTTGACAGTCTCCGCAAACATATCGGTGTTGTGCCGCAGGATACGGTGCTCTTCAACGCGACGATCATGTACAACCTGCTTTATGCCAACCCTAATGCCTCGGAGGCAGAGATTCATGATGCTTGCAAGGCGGCCAATATTCATGATCGTATCGTCAACTTCCCTGATGGTTATGAGACCAAGGTTGGCGAGCGTGGTCTAAAGCTATCTGGAGGCGAGCGCCAGCGTGTATGTTGCTATCGCGTCCTCTTCTCAAATATGTGTGGGTTACTGATCAACCAAATCTATAGATCGCCATTGCCCGAGCTATCCTGAAAGATGCGCCTATCCTGCTCTTGGATGAAGCTACTGCCTCGCTAGACTCTCACACTGAGAGACAGATCCAGGACGCCCTTGAGCACGTTACATCAGGACGAACTACGATTACCATCGCGTAAGTTGAAACGATCAATCCCCAAACCCTATTCGTATACGCATCGTCTGACAATTCCACTCGTTTCTAGCCACCGTCTCTCGACCATCACCACATCTGATCAGATTGTTGTCCTTCACAAGGGTGAAATTATTGAGCGTGGCACTCACAGTGAACTACTCGCGCTCCAGGGACGGTACCACGCTATGTGGGAGAAGCAGACGACGATTGAGAAGAAGAAGATGGAGAAGCTCGAAAAGGGGGATGCATCGTCCGAGGAAATTTTGCATGAATAAGCGCAACATTCTCACCAATCAGCTTTGCCGTTTCCCTAAGCTTGTAAAGGTCTGATATATTGGAGCGAGTGTGATGGGTCATGTATAGTAAACTTGTTCCTGCTACCGCGGCAATCGATTAAATATGTAGGATATATGAGGATGGTGTAGGACTTCGAGAATAACAACTTGCTTGAAGCAAAAACCGTGACTGCCGCTTTCGATCTGCTATCTTAATAAGGATACTAGCTGAAGCTTCTACAGTGCTTCACAGAGAAATCTTGGATTTCGTGACTCCGTTTCAACGTCAAGTTCAATCGTGTATGTATGTGTATTAGGTATGTATATATGATAGCCCTTACGAGCAGCCCCTAAATAAGAACCACCTCAAAGACGCAAGCTTATATTAGATTTGCATAGTGTTAGATTAAAATCCGATATGTTAGGAAACCATCTTTAGTTTAACAAGTGACCAGATCCACAATTAGCCTGCTCAACAAGTTGCCTGTTGAGTGGCCCAGCTGAGGTGGTTGGGAGGGGCTCACGGTTGAAGTGTATATAATCTTAGATACTTTAGAGCCTTAGTTGCCAATAAAGTAGATTAGGAAAGGTATTGCAACACCACAACTGAGATTCATTCGCCACTTGTTGATCACTGCAGCTTACCTGCAGAAAGAAACCCCCGCCCCGTAGTATTAATAGAAAATGGCGCGATTGGGACCATCGATCGGGCATTAATTTTCTAAGTATTAAGAAGCTACGCCAGTTATATTCTAAGCCTTTCACATAGCTAGGAGCAACGAACATTGAGCTCCTCCATCTCAAGTGCCACTTCTATAGAAGAAACTCAAGCACCGTTTCGTTAACATCGAATCATCATGAGTGGCGTGTATGGAGACACCTTACAAAGCGGTCATATTAGGCTGTTAGACGTCCACGCCCGCGGGGCCGGCTCCAAGCCTGAATTCGAGGGCAGCTTCAGGTTCATTTCTCTATCTGACCGCCCACTACCTGATTTCACGGCGGTTTCGTATTGCTGGGATGATTGGAGCAAATTCAAGGAGAGCGAACTCGAGAGGTTCCGGTTTCCTGGCTATCAATCCCTTTCCCTTAGCCCCACTCTGTGGCATCTGTTCAACTCGCTGCAACAGAATTCCCCAAATTTCACCGTATGGATCGATTACCTTTGTATTAACCAAAAAAATAAAGACGAGAGAGAATCTCAAGTTCAACAGATGAATAAGGTGTACTCTTTCGCGAAGGATGTCCTTCTCTGGCTTGGGAAGAGTGATTACACCAGCGAAAAGGCATTCCATTTCATGAAGACTAATCGCAGAGACCAATTCGGTCTGAACTGTGTTTTCTTATTGCTCAGACGTCCTTGGTTCCAACGGGTCTGGGCTATCCAGGAGATTACTGTCGCCAAGAAGGTCCAGATGTGCTGCGGTGATGACCGCGAAGACTTTGACATCTTTTCGGAGTATATATTCGACATTTGGAAGTACTTCTATGGATGGGATGGCTACGAGAATAATGATGATGCTTTCCGTGGATTGTGGTGCGCGACTAGACTGTTCTTCATCCGCGAGGACTTTAAGATGAACAGGCTATACTTCGAGAGTTTGCTCCAGGAAGCGTTCCACCGCCAGGCGACAGACAAACGCGATATGGTGTACGCATTTCTGAGCATTGCCGACAACCGACAATTGCCTCCACCGAATTACACTATATCGGAAGAAGAACTGTACATTGAAACGGCTAAAGCACTTCTCTGTAATGGCAAGTCTCTCGATCTCCTAACCCTGTGCGGCATCAGTAGGGAGCGTTCGCCCAGCTTACCCACATGGGCCCCGGACCTTCGGTACCATAGCTTTGAGGAGCCGCTTGTTCCTTGTGATCGTGCAAACTGGAAAGCTGGCGGACCCTTACAAGTACCGCCACAAATTGAGGCACCACTCCAACTTCGACTTCAGGTTAGGCCTGTCGACGCCGTGGCCATTGTCTGCCCGCCATTCAACTCCGAATCCGTGGCAGATCAACAAGCGGCATTCGAAGCCATCCGGGCGCTGAGGCTGCGGGTGCCAGGCGATATTTCCGAAGAGAAGTGGATGGACGGGTTATTCTCGACGTTGATTTGGGGTTTAGACATCGACGACGAGCCCCTGGAAAGCGACAAGCAGTGGGCCACGTACCAGCAATACTTCAAGGACTGGTTGAAATGGCTACAGTTGAGCTCGTGTGAGGAAGACCTGCGTCAAATTAGGCGAAACGAATACCACCGCGCCATGGGGATACGCATAGATACCTGGGTGGCATTCATGACGCACCGCGGCGACTTTTGCATCGGACCGGCAGCCATCGCGGTAGGAGACATTGTATGTACAGTGCCGGGTTGTCGGCTTCCGCTCGTGCTACGGGTGAAATTAACTGTATCGGATGAAGGCACCAGGCGTCCCTTGGCACCGACGCGGGTTCTTGTCGGCTGCTGTTATGTCGAAGGGTTGATGTTTGGTAAAGCTGCGGAGCTGGAACGGCCTCTCGAAGAGATATTGCTGCAGTAAGCCGCAGGGCCTCTTGATACTGGTTTCACTTGGTAGAAGATAGCTTCAATTGTTATAATTCTTACCCTGGAAGATACAGTCGAAGAGAACACAGTAAAGAGTAAAAGAAGAGATACCCTGACTATATCTTTGACTATGTTAGGGGCTAGGAAATATTATTATTAAAGCTATCTTCTCTTAAGCTCTTAACCCTTCTACTTTCTTTTCTCTCTATATATTAATATTACTATCGGCTAATCTACTTATTTTTCTCAATAAGGGTAGATTCTACGATTATCTGACGTTAGTAACAAGGAATATCTACTACTCCAAATTGCTCCTTAATATCGAGACAGTATTAGCATTAAGTGCTCTGGCCAAGGGACTACTAGTACTCACCGGGTTGTCTCAAGCTTACAAGGAAATTTCTCAGGAACAACAGCACCTTGCTCAATGTCCAACTTCACCAGCTGATCAAGCATGCAAGTTTTAACAGACGCTGGGGAAAATAGGCCTATGTATGATACACAATTCAGCATATGTTCAGGATAGTACTACGGTATGCTGCTAGGCAGAGCACCAGCATGTTTGAAAGCACATGTATGACTGGTCATTGAAATAATTATTATTTTGAGAAGAATTGGTTTAGCATCCGATGTCAAGTTCTCCATTTTGGAGAACTCGCCAGCCGAGGAATCCCTGTTCGGCGCTTAGCCAGCTGAAGCTGGTAGGGGCTGAAGTGCATATATTTTTTCTGGCCCCAGAGCTCTTTGACAGCCAGCCAATACGTCGACAAGGGAAAGGGGCCGCATCGCCACAACTAGGATTCATTCGCTAGAGTGAAGGGGCTTGTTGATGACTGCAGCTCGCCAGGGGCAAGAAACCCCGCACAGCAGTATCATTCTGGCGAAAGCCTTTTCCTTACTAGCAGAATACAAACGAGTTACAAGCAATTCACCATTTCTCTCAATTTCACATGAACTCCAGAATTTCAGAAACGAACATGCCCAACGTTCCTACTACTTGCCTGGACCAATCTTATCAGCCGGTTGTGGTCCCGACCGTGCAAAGCGAAGTCGGCGAAGCCGTAGCAGAAGCCTTACCATCCTTGCGACAGTTCATCCTCGATGTGCCCAGGCAGAGTGACGGTTCTTTAGGTGCTGCCGACAGCGAAAAGCTGGGCAAGATTTTGAAGGGCATGAGCCCTGAAGAAGTCAATGCCAAAGATGATGGTGATGAAGGGCGAACAGCGCTTCACCATGTCGCCCGACGAGGCTTGCAAGGGGTTGTTGCCCGCTTGCTGAACCACGGTGCCATGGTTTCGGCACAGGACGCGAAGAGAAACCAGCCGTTGTTCTTGAGCTGCCAAGGGGGGTTTGTCGAGACAACAACAGAGCTTCTAGAGCATGGCGCAAAGGATTTCATCGATGCGAGAAACCGCTTCGGGCAGACGGCGCTTCATTTCGCTTGTAGAAAAGGAAGAAGCCCAATTGTCAAGGTGCTGCTAGAATACGAGGCAAAGACCAATATCGTGAGTAACGGCAACAGATCGCCAATTTTCGATGCTTCCAGTCGGGGCCATCCGGAGATTGTCCAGCTCTTACTTTCCCACAAAAGCTGGAATAAAGTGTTGCTTGGGAAAAAAGTCACAGCAACGGGTCGGACCCCTCTACATGCCGCTGTCTACAAAGGGCACGACGAAATCGCAGAGAAGCTATTGGAAAGCGGCTCAAAGCTTGGTATCTGTGATATTCAAGGGTGGACTCCGTTGATGGCGGCAACCAAGCAGAAAAGCGTAGGCTTGATGAAACTCCTTCTAGAACCTTCGAGAGCGAGTCAAGATCGACAGCTCGAGAAGGCAGATAAAGAAAAGTTCACGCCGCTGAGGGCAGCAGCTGCACAGGGCTTTTTGACTGGCGTTGATATGTTGATCAAAGCTGGCGCAAAATGTACTTCCGTGGACCTTGAGATGCCAGAGTTATTATCATCTAACGAGGAATTCATTAAAGAGGACTCGAACCGGGCAGTTCTGAACCCCGAGACTCTGGCGCTCCTACTCAGAACCGCGAGCCGCTGGAGGTACGAGAAGATAGTCGAATATCTTCTTAGGTCCGCCAATATCCACGATTGCAATACGCCAAATGAGAAAGGCTGGAGTGGCCTGACGAGCGCGAGCTTATACGGTCATGCTAAGATTGTTGACCTTTTCTTGGCAAACGAGACGAAAGTCGGCCTGTCTCAGGAAGAAAAGGGGCAGGCGTTACAAGCAGCAAGCAAACAAGGCTACGACAACATCGTCAAGCGACTGACAGATGAAAAAGTAAATACACCGATTGATTTCAAGGATCAGGAGGGCATGACTGCACTACATCATGCCATACGTGGGGACACCCACAATCTCGAGGAACAAGATGAGAAGTTCCTCGATCCAAGTCCTGTCGATAGAGGCGAGGAAAATTACACTGGATCAGAACCTGGAAAGTACGATGATGTAGTGCAACTTCTCCTTGACGCTAAGGCGAAACCAGGAGAAAAAACAAAAGGGGGGGAAACAGCACTGCATCTCGCGGTAAGAGGTCCCAGTTCTAAGCGTATTAATCGAGTCAAGGTCATCCTTGAGCATATGGAGGATGATGATGTTTGGGCGGTAAATAACGAGGAACAAACTGCCCTGAGTTTAGCCTTCGAAGCAGCGAATTCGGAAAACCAGGAGGAAGACGACGGACATAACATTGCGCGATTAATTCTCCTAAAACGCAGAGTACAAACCGAGCACGGCATGGAAAGCGTCCAGACGAATGATTGGAGCGCCATCGAGTTGGCAGCCTACCATGCTCTTCCAGAAGTCCTCGCCTTACTGTTGATCAACTCTACATCAATGAAGGAGACAATGAAATGTGTGGACTCTGCAAAGACGTTAGTTGCGGAGAAAATGAGTCGAAAAGGGGAGTTTCCGACTAAAGCGAAGTCGGGGACAGTTGCTACAGCGTCGATGCTCGCAGAGACGAGCGAACACAACGAAGATGACAGCGAAGATGATCAAGATGATGATGACGACAGCAAGCCCAGCGAGGATCAAAACGGCTCTAATGATAAGGACGAGGAGGTGGGATCCACCAAAGAGCATCTTGTTATGGACATACTGAATGATCCTCAAATTGTAACAATCAAGGACAGTGAGAGCTACGAGCTCCCACAGCCTGAACGCGGCGTTGAGGGCTTACTAAAAGATCATAGCGCCTCAATATTTCAATTTTACGCTGACGAGAAGGAATCAAGCATTATTCAACGATTTCGAACCGTGCAGCAAGTCATTTACGGCGAAGGACCGAAGAAAATCATGGAGGAGGCAGTAAAAAATCTGAAAAACATCTATGGGAAGATGAAATCACGTCCTCTGATAGCTGATCCTGAAACTAAAACGAAACCTAAGTTTACATGGGTTCACTTATCTTCGACAAATGTAAGTGTACCCGAGAGGGCATCATCGGATAAATTGCTGACTTCAGATTAGATGATCTGGATGGAGGTAAGCGGCTTGGGACCGGTGCGAACCTTGAAAGAAATGACGGGAATTAATAAATCTATAGGATGCCTTAAAGCGGATACTGAAAGATGAAGGATACAGCAAAGATCGATTCCAAACGATTAAATCTTTTTTCCAGGACAGTTGGGCAGAAATTCCGGACAAGACATCGCCATCCCGGTTTATGAGACCGCAGCATAGCTGCAAATCCTTGCAGGCGGAGAAGAATGATCAAGACGGACGCTGTACCGCACTCTATGTAAGCCGTTATGTCAACCCTGTGATTCGATATGCTAAACTTTGATGAAAGATCCCTTACCTTTCCTTTGCGAGATATTGCCGAGGTCAGTGCTCAGACCACACTGAAAATGCCCGGGGCGATGACTTCCATGAGAAGAGGAAGCGCCAAAAGCTTCATGAAGAGGCCCGGCGCTGTCAGGAATTATTAGAAGCCTATAAGAACCGAGTCATTCACGGCCCCTCGACGCTCGATGAATGGTACTACCACTTTGAAGCCGAGATTTCTTCATCTGAGGATAAACAACGCCGCAATGAGACCCAGGTTGTGACAAAAAGCCTTAGAGACAACACAAGCGAGGGACATCATTGGCGTTTAGTTCGGGTTAATCAACTATGGGCTTGGGTCATTGGTAACAGTGAGTTTTTGTCGCCGTCACCGAAACAATCGCGTGCGTTATTCTAAAGAGATCTAGAATGGCTAATAACGGCAACTTGGGATCCAATTGATGGGATGGAAGAGACTCTCCCACAAGGTATCATCGACGATATCCGAAAGCAAGCCAAGATCAGAGGCAAACGATACCAGCCATACAGCCCACTTTATATGAGCAAGCTCTTAGTTGATTACTGCATCGGATCTTATGAAAGGGCGCGTATTCCCGCGGATAAGGACCCAGAACATGAGCAACAAGTCTCAATCCGTCAAATATTTTCTAATTATATCAACACTATTGTTTGTAGATCTTGGTTGCTCGACGATAGTTTTTGTCTGACATATTAATAGGGAAGAGACGAGACAGCGTTGTTCGAGAGATTCAGCAAATTCAGCCTGAAAACAAATGATAGACACGGACTTGAGCATCTTTTACTAGATAATGAGATAAGGAAGGCCACTGAAGAGGCAAAGAGGATGTCCTGTGAAATCAAGGATATACGCGATGAACTCAATATTCTCAAGTCGGTTGCTCAGTACCAAAGGGATGTTGAACAAAAGCTATCCACCAATGATTCGAGCAAGATGGGCTCCCGAAATTCCAGTCTCAGGGCAAACTACGTGGTCGAGGATGTTAGCCAGATGGATAGAGTATCTCTCCGCATCCAATCTTCCGTAAGTCCCAGACAGCCAAGCTTCATGCAAGTCTTTAACAGGAACAGATCAGCGAAACCCTCTCCTTGGAGCAAAGTGAAATTGCCAATCTTCAGGCAACTCTATCAGTAGAGCAAGGGAAGACCCTCATGGCCTTCACCATTGTGACGGTTGTGTTTGTGAGTTGCTCTGACAACCAAAGCAGAAACATCTGTAGATTGCTCTAACCCTCACGACAGCTACCTCTCTCCTTCCTCGCGACCTTTTTCGCCATGGACACTGATTCATTTCAAAGGAGTGCCTGGTGGGCTAAACTCGCTGTTTGTGAGATCTACCCGTAACTCTGATTCGATATGGCTGTTTATTAATCATTTGAGCCTCAGTTCTCCTCTCTTTCGGCTTGTTCATTTTGTTCCCCTTCATATTCAGACCAATAAGCCAGCTCACCACCTACATGTTAAATAAAGACAAGCATGGCAAAAAGCTTCCCGTTACAAGCAACAGAAGTACCGATCTTAGAGCTAAGCCAATTGACTTGGGATCTCGAACACCGGCGGAAGTTGAGGAGGCTGTTACTGCCCGAAGCATCATAAAAGGGGATATACTAGCTCGGCGCTTCAGAAAATCTGATCAAGACCATGATTAGGTGCCGCGTGAGCCAAGCTGCTCAAACTCCCATCACAGATATTATTTTTAGTTATTCTATAACTGGAATGCTAATGGCATATATGCTGTCAAGCTTCAGTCCATCTGCAATGGATAATAGCGACTTGAGAGCTATTACATCGATCTATATCCGGAGTTTCCCTCGGCTACTTTAACTAGGTATGTAGACAGATAGGTTGAGCTGGGTGGGTATTGCTGCTATAAGCTTACCCTGAGGATTAGATAAGAGCTGGGTGCGAGCAAAGAACGACTTCTGCAAGCTATCATGGACGACCGAGTCATGTTTCTCCCTGGAATCATTGTCCAGGGGCATGCCTGGGCGCTGGTAGCAGTAACACAAGGCGGTCTGCTACGAAACGGTGGAGAGACTGTCATCTGGACACAGATCCCTATCGGTTCAACCGAAGGGCTGCAAGGTATATGTCAGATTATCACAGTGCTGCAGCGACTAGCAGTATGGTCCACGGATACGTACTGGCCATGGCTTGCTAACTTAACGCATTGCCAGTTCAGCACGTAACTCGATTTGAAGAAAGTTGTGCTTGATGCCTTGTAAAGTCTTCTTTATTTCTAGCTATAGCCTTAAGCTCATAGAGCATATTAACATATCAGGTCTGGCACCTTCCATTACTATGTTTTAACTTTGAACTTCAACACAATATCAAAAACAATTAACCCAATAATAAATATAATATCGAGCTAAATATTGTAGAATAATTTATAATTTTCTTATTGTTATATTAAGTATCGTGACTTTGGCGTGAAAACAGCTTTGATATGCCATGTTCTATATCGGTATCTTGACCTGCTATACAACTTAGAAAATCCAATCAAGGCCACATGTTATTATAATTTCAGTTTCAATACAGCATCATAAAATCTTCGCGATAGCTATCTATCAGGTTGTTGTGCTAGGTCTGCACGGACGGCCAGTGCTTAATCAGTCTACATGGACGTGATTAGGGAACATGTACCTTCTAGAGGCCTTTATTTAATTCTAAAAGTTTTATCTCATCTCCAATGTTCTGATGCCAGACATCAAGCCTATTTTTTTAATCCGACAACCAGTCATCGTACATGATTTCAGATCAGTTGGCCTGATCGCTATCGCTCCTCTTCTCTCCGCCAGACTCCGAGTTCTCAAAAATGTTCTCGCGGTGTACGGCATGCTCGAGGTACTCGGCCTTGAGCTCACCCTTTTCGTTGTACCGGAAGGGCTCGTTGAGCGAGATCTTGACACAGTCGAACACGCTGGTACTCTTCTTGAAGATGTCGTCCATTTCCTCGAGGGAGCGGAGACGGGTTTCAGGGAAGAAGAAGTAGACGCATGGGAACATGAACGCGTTGCTATCGAGGAGTTACGGTTAGTGGTTTCGCTCAAGTGCCAGAGGAATGGGTGTGGAATCGGAAACTTACATGACAGCGAAGATAATATATGTCTTGTATTGAATGCTGTCGAATGCGACGGGAGTGATCATCACAACCATGAAGTTGAAGATCCAGTTACCACTAGAAGAGATGTTAGTTTACCCATCTTTGACACCAAGTTGTTGGAGAGCGCCTTACCTGGTCGACAGCGCATTTGTGGGTGCACGAATACGAAGGGGCACGATCTCGGCAGGGTACAGCCAGGTCATTCCCAACCAACCAAAAGCGAAGAAGGTGTTGAAGACAAACAGGAAGACAGCCTGGCAGATGCCAGCGGCCTTATCGTCGAAAGTAATGACACGGTAGTTGGTACCAGCAAGCACGCCCATGGAAATTGCCATACCGGCGGCCTAAGACTATCGTTAGCAACTGGGTAACATCAATATATATTTGGGGTAACTTACACCGAGAAGCATGAGCTTACGGCGACCAACTTTTTCAATGATGAAAATAGGGAGCAGAGAAGCAAGTAGATACTCCGTTCCGTTGGCGGCAGCGAGGAGCTTAGGCAAGTTGTCACCCTCAAGACCGATCTGAGCATAGAGAGAAGGGGCCTATTGGTGTATGTCAGTACCAATAAAATGTGGCTTTAATTCTTCCAATAGTTCAGTAACTCACGTAGTAGGTAATGAGGTTGATTCCGGAAATCTGTTGGAACATCTGGTTGACGTAGGCAAGGACAACACGGTGGAACTCGCGGTACTCTGTCATGTCGAACAGACTACGGAAAGAGCCGTGAGACATCTCCTCGACGGTTGCCTTGATAGCCTTGAACTCGTTCTGGATATAAGGGTCTTCACGAGTCTTCTCATTCAAGGCCTCGAGAACCTCCAGAGCTTCGTCGTCCCGGCCCTGCATGGCCAGCCATCGAGGAGACTCGGGGAGGTTCTTGATGGATGTGAAGATGACAACAGCGAAGAGAATCTGGAAAGCCAATGGGAATCGCCATGCGACTTCCTTCTCGCCAATCCATGCGAAGCCTGATTGTATCGGTTAGAACTATCGTCCATAAGACAAGAATGACCAGTGGGATCAAAGCTAACCATAGTTAATCCAGTAGCTCAGGCAAATACCGCCCGTAATCAGGGAACCTTCAATCATGACCAGCTTTCCACGGTCGTGCGACTTTGCCGACTCAGATTGCCAGGTAGGAACGGTACTAGTATTGATACCATTTCCAATACCGGTGATAATTCGGCCAATGATGAATTGCTCGAGGTGGTAAGAACTGGACATGAGCGTGGCTCCAATTGTCATGATCGTGCATCCGGTCATGATTGTGCGCCGTCGGCCAAGGTAGTTTCCGATGAAGATGCAAATGATTGAACCGAGGAAGCATCCCAGATTGTACGCTGCGACAGCGATACCCTGGTTGGCAGAACGCTCTGATTTCACGGCATCTGAAAGACCCTCCTCAAGGGGGTTGATGGTAGGGAAATGGCGAGTGAACGCGGGGAGATCTAGCAGACCACCAGTAATACCTTGGTCGTAACCAAATAGCCTGTCCATTCAGAAAGTCAATTGAAGTCCTCGTTGAAAGGTTCATTTCTGCCGTGCACATACAGGAAATCTAGACTGCCGAGGGAACTGATGGCGAGGTTCAGCTGCCTGCCTCGAAAGCCGAAGTATTTTTTACCCATGATGGAAGTGAGGGAACAGCTCTGAATCTAGCTTACTAATTTCTTGCGTACCCAAGCTACTATCACCAGATTCAAGGTGGATAATGAAAACTCTACTTCTACAAAAGGGACCAACGGCAGAGACATTCATCTTTATAAAATGTAACGGCGGGACAGTGTCCAACCTGCGGGTTCGGTTCGACGAAAAGGGAAATCCGAGCATCATTCAATGTTTCGTGTATTGGAGGGTGAAGCGAGAGGCATGGACTTCTCCACCGACAGGCTGGGAATCAGCCTTTGACAAATCCAAGCGTGACTCGATGCGACGGTTGTTTACCCACTTGGGGTCGACCTTAAACTTCGTTTGGGAGACGAAAGGCCCGTCCACCGTCTTTCCAGCCCGGCCAACGAGAACGAAAATGAGAAAACGTCACGTCGGATGGGAGGGGCTTGGCTGACGTAGGACCAAGGGGCATCTGGTGGGGATCATCGACTGGGGACATGCCGCCTTTGGAGAGTCGAGAGCGCCCGTAGCCGCAGAGCGAGCACGGAGTAGGGCAGCTCCGTGTGAATTTCGCACTAACTTACTGCTGGGAAGGCTCTGGTGGTCGGTCTTGGTGGGAACCGGGGGCAAGAGGGGAGACAGGAAGCTGGAGGAAGGCCTTTGAGTAGCGGCGAACAAACTGTGGAACATTGGGTATATTCCCCACCCTAAACGGGGTAGGCAGCAGCTTTTTACAGCCATCACAGACAATTGGGTGAAAATCCCCGCTGGTGTTGGTTGGGGTTAGTCTGACAGCAGTTCCGAGAGACATGCCCCCCTGAAGCGATATTTGCAGATCATGTGCCTCTCACGGAAGCCCAGTTTCGTTCAAGTGCAATTGATGCTTCTCCTGTCTTCTGGTCGGTTTAGATTGAGGTTCTGGTTAAGCGTGGCCCACGAGCTTAAACGCGATTAAGTGACGACGAGACTGTGGAGTGACGCTGGAGAACGAACCCACGAGTCGGCTTTTTTATTGTGGGCTGCTGCTTGGTTCCATTGAAATGAGCAGGCCTACACTAGATCTCACGCCCCAGTAAAAGACAGTCATGATTGGCCATGATCCCGACACTGTCGCTTGGGTGACGCCATTGCACAACACCACTGTGTGGCCGCTTCCCAACATCATCCATGTAGATGTGGGCTACTTTTGGAGTACGCTGCGATTTGTGACACTGTAAAAATTTTAGTATCGGGTTTAAGAGAGTGTGCCAACGACTGATGCTAGTAGTTCTCGGTGATTTCTCTTTGTGATGGTTCACGCGTTGTAGAATAAAAGTTGCGGGGGCCCAGACTCCAGGTTTCTCCGGACGGATGAACAACTTGGGATTGAGTCTGTTTTCTACCCCGGATATCTTTTCAGAGTTAGGCTCGGTAATCTGAAGGCTTTCCCTTCGGCCCGGCTGTCTTCAAGAGGAAGGGTCAGTCACTCACCTTATGAAAGCTACGAAGAGAGAGAGACCAGCAGGGGATTCAATGCAGGCCCATGAGCCTGTGTGACCCGCACAGAGTGCAACATGGATTTGCAACTCCATCCAGGCATCCCCGGGGGGTCCCCATTGCAAAAAATTAGACGTCCACCATTACCCATCTCCACTTAGCACTCTCGCCGAATTCTCTCTCTTCTGTCCTTCTCTTTGTTCTTATTTAATTTTTTACCCTGATTCTCCCGTTTAATGGCAAGTAGTTATGGGGCTGTCTATAGTCCCACTTGCCCAAAACATTCAAGTGATTCAATCCCTTTGCTCTCAATTGCTGCACCATACTGTAGTCATGGAGTCAAGTGGCGCCGTAGTTTCCACTCATTCCTACCTTGGCAGTAACTTGGCAGCAATAAATCACACTAGTAAGTTTCTACAAAGTCCGCTGCTGCAATTCTCCCGTAAGTAAACCCGGCTTGCCGTTTGCAGCTGGTGTATATGCTTCTAGGTCCGAACATTGCCGAACCATTGTTCGGATGAGGCGTATAAGGAAAATGAGATCAGCAAATTGCGAGTATTGTTTGAAGCTCAGATATGGTATGTCAGTTGTAGTCTCCCCCACCATCAGGCACAGCATGTTATGGCTACTGCATGCCCGTCAACATGTGTCCCCCCGCCCTCTTGCGTTCACTCCTTCGTAGTTCATGCGACTACTTTCGGTGCTTGTTCGAGGTAAGCCGATGATCATGTCCTTTTTCTTCGTCTGCCCTCGTGGCTTGCCAAGGCGCTGGAATCGAGCCGACTGGTATCGACCCGTCACAACCACAAATAGGCATAGAGGAATTGTACATAGCTACGCAGACCCCCAGCGGGCTACCAAACTCAAATTCACACATTACTATGCTTGATGCTTGCAAGTAGGGTGTGTATACGCCCCAATCGATAAAGGCCGGGCAATCCATTGCAACGGCTGGGCGGGTCTTAAGAGCTTTTATAATGTATTATTCTGAATATAGGTCGAAACTCCAATATACCTACGCATTTATTTCTCGATCGCAAATCGCCATGTTGAATACAGCCCGTGTGGCTGCGCTGGAAAGCAGTGGCGTTCCTACTTGGCATGCCTTCGCCACCCCCCACGAATGTGTCTAAGTGACTCCTAATAACCCCAAATCTTGCCCTTACCCCTCTCAAGTATCTCATTATTCACTTTTAGTTGGTCAATTTGTTGAACAAGACCACTGAAAATCCATCAGCTCCCTTCTGGGCTAATCCATGTCAAGGCATGTGGCAGCCTCTTTTGCTCACAGCATGGCAGTCTCCTCCTTGTCCAGGTGCCCAAAGATTACCCACGTCGTAACTGTGCCAACGCCCATCAACCCCGTCAACACGCCGTACATGATAACAAGCCGAGGATCCTGTGCCAGCGGGCTGAGTGGCAAGGCAAGTATGCTCCCGATTCCAGCCATCAGGTTCCATATAGCCTGTACCAGCGTCTTCATGCTCTTTGGAGCTCTGTTGTATGCGTACTCAGTCCCTGTCGTGCAGCAAAAGACGGACGCCAGCTCAGATAAGAAGTAGAATGGAAGTTGGATGCAGACGCTGATCTGGTTGGGCATGTTTCGGCCCGCAGCGCAGGTGAGGGGGTGGTCGTAGCATGGCCCTTTCCGGTAGATGAGGTGCTGGACAATGACGATGTAGGCCATGGATATGGTTAGAAGGCCGAATCCGAAGGTGATGCGCGCGATGGGGCCGAAGCGGATACGACGCCGGGTCAGAAAGGGGTACAGGCCGTATTGGACGAGGGGGCCGACAAAGACACCGGCTATGGCTCCAGTGACCATGATCACATCGTTTGGAATACCATAAGTGACCATCTGCCCCGCTTGGGAGATCAGATTGTTGAACGCCTGGTTGAAACAGAGCCAGTAAACAGGGAATATCAAGCTGTAAAAAGAGGGCAGTGTGTTAGTTCATTGACAAATGCATAAGAGAAGAATTTGTAGCATACAGCACACGGCATGTCAGCAGACTGGTTTTGATGTCGTCGATGAAAGAGTCGGTCCACGGGACGGCTCGACGCTTCCGATCAAGTTGAGCAGCTGGTTTGGCGGCGTCCATCTTGAATCCGCTCGTGGCACCACACCACAGAGCCTTTGCTACTGCCGGGATAACATTCTCCTCCACTGTCTTGGTATTGGCTGCAAATAATCATTATGATATCCTGTATCTGAGAGATAGCGTTTGAACTTACCGAATCTCTTCTTAGCCAGGAGAAGTGGTATCAAGGTGAGCCACATGACCACACAGGGTACGAGATACGCAGCAAAGAAATTGACGTATCGTTCCAGAATAGGCGTGGCAACTGTAACAATTGCGACTACATTTTCGGCCCTATGAAAACTTAGCTTCCCAAGTCGAGTCCACGGATTATGCACAGCATTTTCTTGGAACTAAACCTACCAGAAGAATGCATTATAGATAAACGTGATTGTCAATTCTCGGCTCGTGACAACTTTCTCTCCAGACTTTAACGTCTTCACGCGGAAATCTGTTTCCTCGTATTGGTCAACTGGTAGGGTAGTTAGAGCCTGAAAATGACTGGGGGATATAATTGATTGGAAGAAAGGAACATTACCGATAAAAGGTATCACGGCAGTCTTGAAAGCGCCAGAGCCAAACGAAAGAAACACAAGGGCGACAATCATGCCCGGGAGAGCAGCTCCGGCCTCGAATGCGCCCGACCAAGACGTGGCGGCCAATATAGTGCCGCCAATGGCTTCGATTCTGTGCCCGCTGATTTAACACCATGTCTTATTTCAATGCTCTCGAGACTGGGAAACTCACATGCACGACCATACCAAGGTCCTATAGCGGCCGTGTCCTGAATCTGCCAGGATAGCAGCTGGGATGGGCGTCACGTAGGAGGAGATCATCAACGCGTTGACAATGTTGGATGCGGTGGCTTGGCCGAGCCCAAGTGCGCCGGGGATGGCGCCTCCAGGGGCATTTTGGATATAGTTTTCTACCAGCTATCGCATCAATACGACAAGAATCTTCAGGTATGCCAGGTCGGTATTGGCGGGCGACACTCACGCAGCGGCATGGTACCTGCAGCCCAGACGAACCGCTCACAGGCACCAATTAGGCAGGCGATCCATGTACGGGATGGGATGTCGTCGACCACGTGGAGGAGAGTTGCAATCTCTTCTTCGGAGGCAACAGGGCGGCCATCCTGATTTACGGGCACCAGGGACGGGACACTGACGACTGGAGATGGAGGCTCCTTATCTGTCCCATCCCTCTTTAGGTCGACAGCATTTGGCGATCCTCCAAGAAGTCTTGATGGAATGACGGCAAGTTCAGTGGTATGACTTTCAGTCACAGTAGGCTTTGTCGGTACGGCCATTTTAACAGTTCAAACGACTTCCTATTTGTCTGTTTGAATCTTGGAATTTCTAAGGTCTTGTTATTCTAGTTAGTCTAGTATCTTCTTTGGGTGTTGCTCAACCTCGAAAAGAAGGAATAGATCAAGCAACCGACGCCCCCGAAGCCATATTTATACTTTGTGTTTCCAACGTCACACAGTCTCATCCTCCACGACCGGCGCTGGGCGTAATGAGTCACAATGGAATGTTGGCTGTATTCATAAAGACAAGGCCTGCCGTTTTGGGATGCTTCCCCACCATCTACCATACATCAGGGACCTTTGTTGGAAGTTCATGATGCATTGTCGGGGCAAAGGGACCAATTCTTCTAGGCATGGTCTGATTTGAGCGCGAGCCAGAGTCACACAGCTACAACTATCGCACTATTCTTGATGAGCCCAACTCTGATTAAAATGTCGCCATCTGGAAGGATTACTGGAGGTCTGAGTCAATCTAGGTGATCAGCTTACACCAAACCCCTACGTATACGGCATCTACCACCGGGAGGCTTCAATTACATCGTCAATGCATAGAGATACTGCAAGCTAGCAATATTTACGTGTTTAAGAATCTCATCCTTCATCATATTCTATTTTATTTGCTCGCAACACAACCTGAGCAGCAATTGAATCCAAATCCCTACGATATCTAATATTGGGTTGTCTGGTCTAGGGTAGCCAAGAGCTAAGCAAGGAGGCATGTGAAGTCACACGTGATTCGCAATTACCAATCAATTCTCCTCCTTCTCGTCGCTTGATGACTACCTACATCCTGTGTTACAACCAACGAGCCACCCAGCCAGCAGCCCTGGATCTGCAAGCTGCTCTGGCCTTTCAGACACTGGTTTGAGCATGGGCCGCGGAAGGCCTCGCACGTGTGTCGCTCCCTGCAGGTTCTGCCAGCGCCAGTTCAAGCGCGTGGAGCATCTGCAACGCCATGAACGCACCCGTATGCAAGCAAGCCCCCAGGCCCCATTGGCCTGACTTGATCTGACCGGTGGAGCTTGATCCATTGTTGATCCTGTTGTCTCGATTTCCCAGATACCCGCGAGAAGCCTTTCACTTGCCATTGCGGTCAGACCTTCTCCAGACAGTGAGTTACAGTTGCCCAAGCTCCCCAAGATCCGCCCATTCCACATGAACAATGGCTGATGCCTTTTAATAACCAGAGATTTGCTGTCCCGCCACCAACGCCTGTCCCATCCCCAAGAGGGCGCCCCCAGCGAACAGAGTGGCATCAATAGCGACCAACACGATGGCCACAGCGAACAGCACTTGACATCCCCGACTGACGATGCGGCGTCGTCTGTACATCACAAGAGTCTGGACATCAGAGGGCTCGATGACCAAGAAACCCATCCCCAGCTGTTAATGAGCCAGCCGATCGCTCAATTGGCGGCACCGACCGAAACTTCGATGGTAGAACCCACGTCCTTCATTGACAGCATCGGCCATGACGAGTTCGCTTTCCTCTGGAACGACGACTTCACACCTGGCGATCAGCCACTCCCTTTAGACTTTTCGATACCGGCCAGTCTCTCGTCGACGTCTCCCACCAGTATGCCGCTGCCTCTCAGACCCAACGAGCTCCCATCGAGGGAACAACTCCGAGTCTTCCGCCCATCGTCGATTCTGCGCCCGATACGATACCGTTTCTCTCTGCTCCCGCTTCCACCCCCTCGAGAGACCCAAGTGCACTCGCTATGCGTTTCCCTTCGCTCGAGCCTGAGACAAAGCCCGCTGACCCAGAATCAGCTGCGTCTGGCACGAACTATCGGCCTCTCTCAGCCGTCGAACATAACAGACCGTACGCCTGCCCGTGGAGGATTTCTTGTCAAGACTACCAACAGCTGTCTCGCGACCTGTCTGCGTTCGGCGAGCTCCTGCCACCCAACTTCCATTGCCCTTCACGACCTACACTGTCCCGCTACCTCGAGGGCTATTTCCGTGGTTACCACGACCATCTCCCGTTCCTCCATACCACGAGCTCTACAACATCTCTTGGCATCGAACTCGTCATTTCTATAGCGGCTGTGGGTGCGCTCTACCGATTTGAGCACGCCAAGGGCTATGAGCTATATCGTGCCGCCAAGGTAATAGTGAACAAACGGTTCGATGAATGGAATGAAGAGGCCACGGCCAATCTTTCGGGCTCTGCTGAGGCTGGATATACCGGGTTCGCCTCAAGTCTGCCTGACGGTCAACCCTCGTTGGTTACCAGCCCACAAAAGAAAGCCCCGTCGCAGGCAATACGCGGCCGGTGTGGCTTTAGCAGCCTTCGTCTTCTTCAGAGCCTCATTGTTTTGATGTCTTTGACGTCATGGAGTGATCGTGGACTCATGCGTGATGCGCTCTCTATAGCAAGTCAAGTTGCTATGGTTGTCCGAGAACTAGGTGTCAGCCAGCCGGAAGGCGAGCCTCACTGGGATATATCCTGGGATGTGTGGATGCAGGTAGAAGAACGTCGTAGGACTCTCTTTGTGGCATATATTGTCTTGAACCTCCAATGCATGGCTTTCAATGTCCCTCCTCTGCTTCTCAACCAAGATGTCTCCATTAATCTACCGTGCTGTGCTACAATCTGGCGAGCACCCTCCGCCACAGAATGGGCTGCTACTGTTCACTCGTCTGCTCACCCAAGAAACAAATCCTTCCAGTTAGCGTTACAAGAGCTGTACGCAGGAAAGGTCCAAGGCCGGTTCTCGGCCTTTGGGAACTACATCATGATTCATGCTCTTTTCCAGCAAATTTTCTTCGCTCGGAACGCCAACACTTCAACCCCAAACACGCTCGACCCAGAATTCATCCGGCACATCGAGGTAGCCTTGCGCTCATGGCAGGAATCATGGGAAGCAAGCTACGATTCAACCCTGGATCCTTCCTCGCCCAAGGGCCCCATCGGGTTCAACTCGACCGCCGTTCTCCGCCTCGTCTACATCCGCATCAATGTCAACACTGGGCCCAAACGCCAACTCATCACCAGCAACCCGGAAGAGATTGCGAGTGCGTTCGCCGACGGCCAGATTCAGATCGGCAACAGGTCGCCGCACCTGGATCGCGCGGTGCTGCAATGCATTCACGCCCTCAGTGTGCCTGTGCGGGTCGGGGTCGCTTTCGTTGCGCGGACTCAAACGTTCAGTTGGAGCATCCAGCACGCGTTGTCAAATCTCGAATGCGCCCTTTTGCTCACACACTGGCTGCGCTCAATCGCTCAAAGCGTGGAAGTGTCAGGGCCCGAGTCGCTCCGGTCCGACGAGCGCAAGCTTCTGGACATGGCTGTGAGCCTTGTTCTCGAGACGGAAATGGCCGACGCCATCGAGAACATGCAGTATGACGACGTAGGTATCCGGCGGCTTGCTGCCTCGACGGTGAGGATCTGGGCGGAAACCTTCAAGGGGTTCCAGGTGTTTGAGATAGTCCATCGTATTGGCCTGGGGCTCTGTCTTGTAGCTGACATGCTGGATAGAGAGATTAGAGGCTCCTCATGACGGGAATTTCACAAATCCTGGGTAGTCGGGAGAAATAAGATGGGTCCTTTTGTAATTTACCTATAGCTAGCTCCTCCATCCCAAATCAACAAGAAGAATGGAAGAATGGAAAAAGGGCCCCTTTCTTCGCCGCGACTTCCTGTCTTGCTCTTGTTCCATCAGGTCAATAATGCCCGGTTGGTATAGCTTCTGTGACGCTTTTCGGCAACCAAACCAGCGATTATTCCTCGTCATATGTATCATCAAACAAGTTAGGGTCGTCCTTATAGTTGTATTCAGCATTCCAATACTCATGATTCATTCTGCGCTCCAAGTATTGTCGACGAAGATGGGGAGCATAAATTTTGGACATGGCATTGTACGTTAGCCCTGAGAGAGAAAAGGTCCCGAACGAGTCGTGCAAGTTTGCTTCTCTGATCTGCGTCGCGGCAACCGTGACAACAGAACGCCCCTCTGGCTCCCTCCTGAACTGTGGGATTTTTTCATGATATTCACAAATCTCCTTAACGTTTACCCTCCAATAATCGTATAGCACACAAATATAGTTGAGCTTTTTGAGGCGACCATGGCAAGCACTCTTGACCAACTCCTGCAGCTGGTCTAGTATTGCTTCGCCACAAGAATGAATCGTAATACGCTCTAGGTTGTCAGGCAGACAATCCACCATCCTAGGGGCACCTTCGACCTTGAGAGGCATGTTCTCGCTTCCAAGAGGCTTGGAAGCAAGCATTCCCGTCAGGGCCTGCATACCTACTACAAGCGTTTTCAAGGAATGCATCTGACGAAGCCTCATCCCCAGATATAGGTTCTCAGGACTAATTGAGATAGTATCCCAGTCATAGTTCACATCCTCCTGTAGATTTAAGTATAGGTATTCGAGTGTTTTATGATGTAACCAGATGCCATCCATGATGTCATCAGCCATCAATAGCTTAGGATATCCAAGAAGCCAATCAGGCCTGTAATAACTGAATTCGAATTTCCTAACAGCGCGACAGACACCCAGTATAAGCCAGAGTTCCCAAGTGTAATAGCAGTTAGAGAGAGTTATCTCTTCAACTGGAGAAGCTCTTGCCGGTAGAGTTCTGAAGTATTCATCTTTAATGTCTGTCCCCTGAACTCCGAGAGCTTCGTAAACCCGGAGTCGAGGTAATGTAAAGAGTTCTTTTGCTTCTTTTTGGAAGTCCTGCTGGCGCTCTCTAAAGTCTCCCTGTTCATGAAAGACCTCTTGGAGGTTGCAGAGCGGCACGCTTATCTTCGGGAAATGGCCGCCATCCTGTACAGATCCAGGCTCTCCGGGTTGGCCATTTCGAGTCGACATATCTCGAGCCGTTCTTAGCAATCGAACGAAGTGGTTGGAATCAGATACTTCAAAGTATAGAGTCCGGATGTTGGGGCAGGCAAGAAGAATCAAAGCAATCTGAGCATCAGAAGTGCCATTCCCAAGGTCCTCTACCCAAGAATCACACCATGAAGCACTGTCGCCCGATGGTAGTTGGCCCAATCTGAGCTGGATATACCGCTGATAGACGGCGAGCTCCTCACGATCAATGCTTTCTTGGCCTTGGGCTGCCTCCTTGCCATCTGCGTCTCCTCCATGGTCAGTCGAGAACCTGCCAAGAATCACAGTCTTCACGTGCTTGGCCAGACAAGGCTTGGTAATGAGAATATAGCGTAGGAATTGTATATTGCGAGCCGGAGAACATGGTCCGTGAGTTCCAGGCCACGGGACAGTGTTTCGAAAGACCTTCACGGTGAGCGGAAGGGCTATCTCATATAGCTGCTTGCAAGTTCTAAGGACCGCTTGTATGCTTGGTTTTCCGAAGGACAAAGCGAGGTGGGAAAAGATTTTCGTTTGGATCTCCGATGGCAAGGTCAAGAGACCAGGTCGTTCTTGGGGCGTCATTGCGTGCTAACCTTTTCTAACTCTTCGTCTGATGCGTTTCTCTCCAGCGTGCTCTTGAGCGACGTGTGAGTTTGGACTGGATTTGGGCTGGAATTCGGGTGGGGGGCGATCATGGAGAGATTGGGCGCGGAGCGAAGGGGCAACGTTGGGTGTTGGTCGCTCAGCTGTGTTGGCCCGGCCACCAAACACGAGGCATTTTTTTCCATCAGACCACTTCACCGGCAAACTAACCCTACTAATACTCGACCCACACGATCCTGTATGTCTACAACCAATGCAGAGAAACATGTCCTTACACAGGGTTGGTGTGAGCGGAGGAGGCTGGAGCAGATGATCGTAGACCATGTGCCTGGTGCAATTGTAAGTGATACTTTGTATCATGGCGGGTTAATAGTGCCAAAGTGATTAATACTACATTATTGAGTATGGAAACCCTGTATTGGCTTCCCTTCTCCTGTCCAAACTTAGAACTACGTAAACTACAAGGGGCTCAGGCTCACTGCCACCAACAAGAGGAAGTTCATCTCTATTATTAACACAGCTTGGAAGATATTTTCGTTGCCTTCCTTTTGTTTCTTCTCATTTCAGGAATGGCGGAAAGACAACGTATGCTATTGGTAGAGTTAGGTGTGGGTTCATGTATGTTGGTTGTTAGACCAAACCGCTGACCATGTTCAGGCAAATAATATCACACGCCAAGCATAAGGCTAGCCAGGGTCTATGAGTAAGAAAATTATCATGGGTGGTTACTTCATGTTCTTTCTATTTATAAATGAAGGCAATTGATGGGGCCATGAATGGTTGTTGGTGATTGCCTCAGAAGTGTTGGTGATTGCCTGTACATGATGACCAAAACGAAGCAAGCTCATAGATTTGTATGGGATTTTACACCACAGCAGGGAAAGGGGAACGACAGAAAAGAAGTATAAGAAGGGAGGCTTCCGAAGACAAGATTCGCTGTTCTTCTTTCCTTCACTATCATCCTATGCACACCAAGAAAGAAAGCATCATAAGCTTCGAGTTTCAGGTCTACTTTCTTTACATCTTAAGAGCTCACTACCTACAATTTGCCTCCAGAGCTGCCTTCTCTTCTCTTGCTCATCAGCTTCCTTCTTCATCGCCATAAAACCTCACCCACATACTCACAATGGTGTCTGTCACGGGTATATCAAAGCAGTTGCCTCTCCTAGCTGCGGTATTGCTCGTTGTCACGACCAGAGCCTCTGGCTTTTCCCGCGCTTCGCAGGACTTAGTTCCCCGTGCCAATATCGAAAGCTCGGACGCTTCTTCGCATGCGGTATACGCTCGTGATGGGGATCTCTACATCAATCATCTTTTGAACAGAAGAAACCCAACCGCAGCACCTGTCCGTCCCAAACAGCAGAAGGCAGCTGCTCATCCCAAGCAGAAGCCTACCCATCGCCCCAAACAGCAGAAGACTCCTGCCCGTCCAAATAATAAGCCTGCCCATCGCCCCAAGCAGCAGAAGCCTGCCCATCGCCCCAAGCAGCAGAAGCCTGCCCGTCGTCCCAAGCAGCAGAAGCCTGCCCATCGTCCCAAGCAGCAGAAGCCTGCCCATCGCCCCAAGCAGCAGAAGCCTGCCCGTCGTCCCAAGCAGCAGAAGCCTGCCCATCGCCCCAAGCAGCAGAAGCCTGCCCATCGTCCCAAGCAGCAGAAGCCTACCCATCGTCCCAAGCAGCAGAAGCCTACCCATCGCCCCAAGCAGAAGTCAACCGGCCATCCCAACACCAAAGCGGCCAATCGACCTAAATCTGCTAATCCCATTGCAAAGGGGGCCATCTGCCGTCGAGGACCTGGCGATAAGGACGGCGCAAAGTGCGAGCCAACGGGTGGCCGCTCGTTCAAAATACATACGGACTATGAAAAATATACAGGCACACCTGCACCTCAACAACCTGCACCTCAACAACCTGCACCAGCAGATGATTCACAGTTCAAAGTAAAGACGGCCTTTGGCAAGTTAGAGGAGGGAAAACAACCACCACCTGATCCGAGGGACCAGGTGATAAGGGCTCAATCACGTGTTGTGATGGAGAAGCACAAGGATAACAAAGAGCAGCAAAAGCTTGATATTGTTGACGAATACGCGGGCAAAAGTTGAGCCAGGCAGTCATACGGCAGGCTATTAGACATGAGTTGATGATTCAGGGGCCTGGAGATCGATCTTTGTTGATTAAGATAGCTAGCTTTTTTCCATATGTTAGAGAGTTTCTGCATATATTTTTATTTATCTACATAATTTCTTAAAATCTCCCACTCAAGTATGTTAGAGCAACCCTATTGTTGTGAATAGTGCTTAACTTGTTGTAAATAATCAGGATCTGAATTGAAGTTTGTAGTCAGCTAAAAAGAATAGAAGCCGCTCAGGGGTCACTGCTCAGATGTTAACCAGTATCGAGGTGCTCATGTAGCCGTAAAAACAGTTTCTTGCATGCCGCGCCTCATCACCTCGGCATAATCAGTGATCATAGGCATATGCCAACTGCATCATCAATGCGCAGGCAGTAAGAACTGCAAGAATTACCGCAAACCATCGTGCATCACAAGGTCATCGGAGAACATTTGGGGGTAAAGCCATTATTCATTAATTAAGATAATTCTCTATGCTATTCTATTCATTCAAGCTCCGTTTTCCAGATCTTGTTGCCCGACGACCAACCCAGCCTCAATTAGAAGTTAGTGGCGGGGTTCGTCTTGTGCTTCTTCTCCTTGGTGAGCGTGTTGGTGGTCTTGGGCTGCTTGTTAGGCACCTTAGGGACAGGTTCAGCCTTCTTGAGCTTGTTGGGAGTCTTGTCGGGGTTGAAGGGCTTGGGGTTCTTGTCGAAAAGGCCGCGCTCCTCGATGAAGTCCTCGTCACGTTCGTCGAGGAACTCGTCATCACGCTCCTCCAAGAAGTCATCATCACGCTCCTCTAGGAGATCCTCATCACGCTCCTCAAGGAATTCCTCGTCGCGCTCGTCGAGGAACTCGTCATCACGTTCGTCAAGGTACTCGTCATCACGCTCGTCAAGGAATTCGTAATCGCGCTCCTCGAGATCCTCGTCACGCTCTTCCAGCTCAAGCTCGTAGCGTCGGAAGTTGGTGGCGGGGTTCGTCTTGTGCTTCTTGTCCTTTGTGAGAGTGTTGGTAGTCTTAGGCTGCTTGTTGGGAACCTTGGGAACCGGCTCGGTCTTCTTGAGCTTGTTAGGCGTCTTCTCAGGGTTAAAGGGCTTGGGCTCCTTGCCGAACCCACGACGGAAGTTAGTCGCAGGGTTCGTCTTGTGCTTCTTGTCCTTTGTGAGAGTGTTGGTAGTCTTAGGCTGCTTGTTGGGAACCTTGGGAACCGGCTCGGTCTTCTTGAGCTTGTTGGGAGTCTTGTCGGGGTTGAATGGCTTTGGCTCCTTGCCGAATCCACGACGGAAGTTAGTCGCAGGGTTCGTCTTGTGCTTCTTCTCCTTGGTGAGCGTGTTGGTAGTCTTGGGCTGTTTGTTAGGCACCTTAGGAACTGGCTCAGCCTTCTTGAGCTTGTTGGGAGTCTTGTCGGGGTTGAATGGCTTAGGTTCCTTGCCGAACCCACGACGGAAATTGGTCGCAGGGTTAGGCTTGGGACCCTTCTTCTCCTTCTTCAGCGTGTTGGAGGTCTTGGGCTGCTTGTTGGGCTGCTTGGGAACCGGCTCGGCCTTCTTGAGCTTGTTGGGAGTCTTGTCAGGGTTGAAGGGCTTGGGGTTCTTGTCGAACAGGCCGCGCTCCTCGAGTTCTTGATCCAATGCATCAAGACTTCTCGCAATCCTGGCCAGGGTATCCTCATCGGCGTAGCCGGAACGAGCCTGGAAGTCAAGGAGAGCATCGTTGGCGGCGGGAAGAGGTGCTGCAGAAATGGTGCTGATGAGACCAGCAGCGAAGAGGAAGGTGAGGTGATGCATTTTGAGGGGTTGAGATGGGTGGATTATGAAGCTTGGATAGAAAAGAATAGGAAAAAAATATAGAGAATGTATCAAAACCGTGAAATAATGACCAGTGAATAGCTACCGAACCGGCGGTAACAAATGCAAGACAGAAGGAAAAAAGAACAAAAGAAAATACCACCAGGGTATAGAAAAAGTAGATCAGTGAAGAGAATTGTTGTTGTGTGATGAAAACATTACCTTGACAGAGCGAGGCAGAGACGTCCTTTATACCTGTTGGCTCACCCCTGAATTACCATTATTCGCACTTGAAATCTCAATCCCCCGACCACATGCCGGCATCTTCTGGTGCCAGAGTTCAAGCCTTACTCAGAAATCCTGCGTTCCCGGGATACGTCGGACACATGTTAGTGGCCAGGCCCAGATGCCGTTAGCCATGAGGCAGCCATGTCGTCACGGACCCGGAAATCCGGTGAGTGTGGACGCTGTCAGCAGTCAAGGCCGGCAGAAAAGTCCTATAGGGAATCCTACTATCACAGGAACCATGACATAAGTCCCTCTCGGGACAAGAACTACCGGCCTTGCCTATGATGCCGTTGGAGTTATTGTTATTATTAGACAGCGCAGTATGTATTAGTCTTCAGGTGATGTATGCATACGCCGATACGGTATTCATCTGCATCGTTATCAAACTCTCTGCAGTAGTACATGACATGTCTTCGGCGATGTATGAATATGGTATTCATCTGCGAGGTAATCTAACGCTTGGTAGTAGTACATTACGTTGGCGTCCTTTCTATTGGACTGTTTACGCGCACCACACACATAGCGCAGACCGACCGCCGCTCTAGCCAAGCATGAGTGTATTTATAGCTATTTGATCCATATTACTCCTGGTCTACTTCGAATTCTCAATAGCTACCAGGCTCGGCGGACTTGGCACAGGTTGTGGCAGCGAAGAGTTGGTTCGCCTCGGCTCTCTCGCTACAACAACCAGCATGGCAAAGGCCCATCCAGATGGGACGTATTCGATGATGAATCCTTCGATCTGCTTACACAGTGCCCGATTCCTTCAGCACAAGCCACCCGCCAACATGGATCAGATTGTCCCCCACAAAAGACAAGGGGCTCATCCCTGCAAGGCCTCGTTGGTCGCGCGACCATTCAGGTGGGTGACATACGAGATGGTACTTCAAGCGTCCGGAACAGGAGAGGCTCAGTGCTTGATCTGCTACAACTTCAGCCCAGAGCACCCTAAAAAGGTCAGTAAAAGCTGCAAGATAATTTCAAAGCTGAAATAAATAAGGAGTATATTTTTGGAGGGTTTATTGTATCTCTTTTGCGGTATCGAATAGCTAAAAAGAAGGTGTAAGAATTTGGTGTCTCATCCCTTATGTCACCCGGCTGCCATTCTGCCTTTTGCCAATGCTCGCTTAATTATTATTGCAGCAGGATATGTCACTGGGTAAGAGTCTGACTGGCCGGAGAGGTGGATAGAACAGGCCATGTTTTCGTAATTGCGGACACTCACCGGAGCTGCACAATTAGAGCGGAGCAATTACTAAATATGAAACGCTCTCCTCAGCTGTACGTCGCCTCATGGCTCAGCTGGAACTCGTCAAAAGTAATCATGATAGATTATTCCTGGAACAGCGGCCTACATTTACCTGAATTATCTAGCTCCCATACGCTACGATACACCGTCACCGACAGGAATACGATGAAAAGAAGATGGCTTTGCAATGAGTATGCATCCAGTGTCCACTACACTCTCACTGCATGTCAGATGCATTATGATTGGCGTGTTCTCCAGTAGCCCAATAGCAACGTCACCTTCTAATAATATATTTGCCGCCATACGCTATACCCTACATCGGTCTTTATGGGGACTTCGGTTTACAAGTCCAGATTCAGGGAGATGGGACAAGAGGATTCTGCTCCCAGCTTCATTCATATTCAGTGACTTCAGGGGGTTCCAGAATTAGATGATCTTCGAGGAAACAACTGACCATGAGCACAATCTGCCTTCTCGCGTAGGCACATGACGATGTGGGCAACTGTCCGGAATTGGAAGTCTTCCCGACGACCACCTTTCCAGTTTCTGAAAGGACACCAGTTAATCATCGCTGCGGGTAATGCCGTCCGTCATTCCTCTCAAGCTAGCTCTTCTTGAGGCAAGTGCCGAGAAGGGGGTAAAATGATTCTTCTCTTTCCCCGAATCATCCGGATACACAACATACTAATATACGCGACAAATTACTCGCAAAATAGTACTCTTTCTGTCATAGGTAGGATAAATGACAGAGAAGACTAACTGAGTCGCCAATTATCCGTATCGAAACAAGCCGACACTGAACACTTACCTTATTGTACCTTGTCTATCAAAGTGCGAGGCCTCGTTGCTCCAGATGTTCCCAGCCCGCACTGAAAAATTGTTATTACGTCGTCTGCAGGATGCAGCAAACAATTGGCGGTGGTCGTGCACAGCCCGGGGTCAAGGATTACTACAAGGTAGCAAGGCATCTTTAACCAACTTAGGCAACATATACCGACAAGGCTTTATTTGTCCCCTTGCAAGCTCAGTAAGAGGCTGTCAAAAAGCGGGTGCTATTAAAATGCTTCCAAGATATCCTGACATTTTGTTCACGCAAGATTGAGAAGGCGGTCAGCCCCGCGCCTGGTAACAGAAATTATTGCCTCTCATGAGTGAAAAATGCTTAAGCCTTTGCATCAGAAATGAAAAATCGTTTTATTCAACAGCTTATATGGGCAGATTGCGGGCTGGTGGGATATCTCTCGAGCCCTCTTCAACCTTTCCAGGCAAAATGCATGCCAGCGACTGCTAGTAGAGTGTCAATGTCCAATCAAACAAGTCAATACTTTGAATAAATCAGATTGATTTATACTTTCACATGATCGCCCGATAGTATGTACCGCCATCTTCTCATTTCTTGGACGGAAGAGACCGAATACCGTTGAAAGAAAACATAAGGTCCTACATTGATGGTCCATTAAGCTTCCTACCAACAATTTCCACCACTCCTTTTTTTTTCCTATCACAGTTTCATCACTGTCGTCTCCATTATTCGTAAGTATGAATTAAATGGATGCCTCCTACTCGCTTCGATGTGCTATTCTGGTCCCGTTCTAGGATCGAAGTGTGCTGGACCTCCAAATCATGCATCGGACAGAACTGTTCATAGCACGAGTCAAATAGGGGCCAGCTTTTGACTAATCCTCTATTACTACGCTATCATCAACAACATCGCGTTACAGAGTCCCTGATGATTCCATTCTGGTTACATGGGTCATGTCAATCATCACCATAGTCATAGCACATACCCATCAGCATGAAACAACGGACTGTAGGCGCGTCTCATTAACAGTTTTTACCAGTGGGCTTTTAGCCTTCGTAGCTTTAATCCCCGTGTCTTCGTCCCGCACACATCACTTTCTCGCGCCACTTTAGCAAACAGCGAGGAAGAAAGAAAAAACCTAGACGATTCATGCGCCTAATGGGCTCCATTTACGCTACAGAAGCGGTAGCAATCGTAGCAGGATCATCATGGCAATCAAACTAATGGAGACAAGTAAGGCTCCAATCTCTTGCGCTTCTGGTTAGCGAGCAAAATAATCAACGCCGCAACAACAAGCAAAATTGGTATGTTAATTCTCACTTTCTACCTATATAATCTTAGTGTTTATAGACCAATATTAGATGCTTTATTACAGGCTTAAACAGACTAGATATTAGGTTTAGGGTAGGGACTACGACTGACAAGTTTTTGGAGTCAATGCGCATAACGGGGGTGTTGGTCTGAAAGTATGGCTTCAAGGAACGCGCGGGTTCCGTAGCGGTAACAGATTTCTAAGCCGTGACATTGCTCGGCATCGCCACATGTCCGAACTGGCCATAAACGGCGCGTTGGACTCGGACTTCGGGGGCTAGGCAAGATGTCACCAAGCCAGGTTTGGAAGAGAAGATGGGCTATTCAGGCTTTCCACCGCACTCGCTAACAACAAGAGAGCGAAGGCAGAAGATACTACAAATACAAGGACTAGCTTGCAACTGGTTGGCTTTAGTAGTCAAAACACGCTCTAAGATCTCTGCCCAAGTTTATCAGTCACAATGGTTAAAGTAGCTGTTCTAGGAGGCTCCGGTCATGTGGGTAAAACCATTGTGGACGCCATCAAAGAGCATCCAAGCCATTCAGTGATTATCCTCAGTCGAAAGGTCGGGTTCCCTCGCAGCTACAAAATCCCATCTCGATTTCCTGACCTGGAATTAATAGGCTCCATCCACGGATGACCCAGAGGCACCCACCGTACTGGTTCAATATGACGACGAACCATCTTTGACATCAGCCTTGGAGACGCACCAAGTCGAGACCGTCATATCTTGCCTCGGTGTCCATGACGACAACTTGGCGCAGGTGGAAGCAGCCGTCATTCGCGCCGCCGACAAATCTAAACACACTAAGCGTTTCATACCGAGCAATTGGAGCACGCCAAATGCCGATTCGTAAGTCCCTGATCTATCCAAGGCTGAGAAAATGTTCCGCCTGGTTACTGTTTTTTATGGAAATCGCTAAATAGTCGACTCTCCAGTTCCAAAAGTCCTCTGAACCCGTGGGCTGCGTTTCAGCGAAAAGCCGTGGACCTTCTCCGGACCACCAGCCTGGAGTGGACTGAGATTGCACCTGGCTACTTTGCTGACTTCTGGGGCATGCCTTTCATCGAAACTCACCTAGCCCCAATGTCTCCGGTGCTTGACATGAAAAATAACGTCGCGGCCATTCCGGGCTCAGGTGACGAACCCGTTGCCTTCTCTTATTCGCTTGACGTCGCCAAAGTTGTTGCGAGATTACTTGATCTACCTCAATGGCAAGAGACCACCTTCATCGTTGGAGATAAGCTCACGTGGAATGAGTTCCTGAAATTAGCTGAAGACGCAAAGGGTCAGTCAGAGGAACCAGATCAAAAATTGACCGATCGCTAAACATGTTTGACCAATTAGGCACCCAATTCGAAGTCCATCACGACGATTTAGAGAAATTAGGAAAGGGCCAGATCACTGAATTACCCTGCCATATTCCAGCATACACATTCTTCCCGAAAGAGCACCTCCAAGGTCTCTATGCTATCTTGGAGAACTTGATGGCCATTGGAGAGTTCAATTTGCCACCTGAGAAGGCTATTACAGCTCAGTTCCCAGACATTAAAATGCTAACCATCAAGGAATTGCTAGAAAAGACCTGGAAGGCGCAAACCAATCAGTAACCTGGAAGCATGAGCAAGAGACATGAAATGGACCTAGATAGAACTAAGAGATCACATTTGTTTTGAGATTATTTGCTCAATGTAGACTATAAAGTCAAATGTGTTCAATCATCCAGCCGCGCTGGTATAATTCTGAAGACATCCTTTGTGGTTGATCTGTCTAAATCAGGATGAGTTGAATCGAATGATGTTCCCTAGGTAAGCACTGGCAATCGTCTCAAAGATTTTTGGAGAAGCATCATGCTAATAACAAGAGAGGCTCCATGGTTTTAGATTCACGCTGCACTTATACCACAGAGGTGACAGCGATCTGCCTCGCGAGTGGCAGGACAATCATGGTAATCATACTGATGGAGACGTTGTGGAAGGTTCTGTCCAATCATTTCTGAAAGTTGACCCAATTGCAGGGATGAAACCTTGGTGGGGGCTATGCTAACCAGGTCTTCCTCAGCCGCACTCCTCACGAAACCGCCTGATTGTTCCCAGTTGCTGGATTGATCTTTCATCAAATATCGCTTGGGAGAGATTGAACCTGAGACACTTTCCACATGGCTTCTGTCATGAGCTCTAGCGCCACTCAAAGACTCCATACAACATGGCCGATACTCATACTGTAGCAGTGAAACGCTCAGCTGGCGAAACACAACCTACTTTCAACAAGACGAATGAAGACACACGGTCTAGTCTATGCATCTATTGCCAGGCCATTTTCGAAGGTGAATTGGTTCTCGGGCATAGGGAAAGGCAAAATGGGGAAGACGATGAGCCCAGCTATTCTGGGACCTACAAGCTCTATGGTTCAGGTGACCCCGCGATCAGTCAAGACTGTCATCTTTGCTTCTTGCGAGACCGAAAGCGCATCAGGGGCGGCTTTGAGTTTCCAGCTGACCTGATTCTGAGATACCTCATTGTTCAAGGGGGAACACGAGGGGATTTATTTTCTCTCGTCTTCTCGTATAGCTTCATCCCACCAGAGGAGGAAATGTTGGGCTCGGCAGAGGTCGTTGTCAGCCATGAGCTGAGCTTATCACAGGTATACAAGGGAGAGCCGATTGTTCCGGTCGAAGCACCAGGTTTCATGGATAGCGCAATGGAATATCCGGTTGTGACGGCGAGCAACCTAAAGTACAGCCAGTTTCCTCCATGTCAAATTGAGACAGAAGAAAACTCGACAACTTTCCACCGGAGGCAGACGCTTATAGATCCCGAGTTTTGGGAAACATATCACTCAATGATTCAATCAGATCCTGTATTCGACGGCTTGTCTGTCAATACAGACTCCCCATCCACCTGGGCAATCGCTCGATTCTGGATCAAAAACTGCGTGGAACGGCACGAGTTGTGTCAGTTGACCAGAAGTTTAGGAGCACAGCATCCGACGAGGCTCGTGTTCGTAGATAAAGACCGAAATATTCCTCCCCGAATTGTTGAGGGGAGTACACTCCCAGAGAATACGTGTTACACAACTCTATCACACCGTTGGGGAACAGAAAAGTTCCTTTCATTGAAGTCTTCCAACCTAGAGGCCTTCAAAAAGAGACTGCCGGACGCGGCAATGACTCCCACTTTCGTCGACGCCATGCATGCGACCCTTTGCTTGGGATATCAATACATATGGATCGACAGCCTTTGCATTCTCCAAGACTCTGTTGCTGACTGGTCCAAGGAGTCTCAGAAGATGGGAGCGTATTATTCGAACTCGATCTGCAACCTCGCCGCGTCGAAGGCATCCAATGGCGGCGGCGGTGGATTATTTGCAGCCAGAGATCCCTTCGCGGCGCAATCATGCATCGTAACGGAGACCTGGACGAACACAAGCCCACAGTTCACATTCCATGTGCACGACCTGATGACTCAATTTGGGGAGAACGTGTACGGCTGCGAGCTGGGAGAGCGCGGGTGGGTTTTCCAGGAAACTCTTCTAGCGCCACGAGTGTTGTATTTCGGATCGGACCAGATATACTGGGATTGCCTCTGCCTTCGTGCCTGCGAAGCCTGTCCAACCCAATGGATCGGGCTCTCGTACAAGAATAAAATCGGCCAGATGCCGACGTACATGCTTTCGGAAAACTGCGAGACGAAACGCCTCTCCGACGTGCTTCGATGGGAGTCGGTCGTAGAAGAATACTCTAGCTGCGATCTGACCTATCCAGAAAAGGATCGGTTGGTCGCTCTGTCTGGGATAGGGAGAGCATTCGGAAATCCTGCCGACTACTTGGCTGGCCTCTGGCGCGATGATATCGCCAAACAGCTCCTCTGGAGGCCGGGCCAGCATGTCAAGAGACATGCGGCTTACATTGCCCCCTCGTGGTCGTGGGCGTCTATGAATGGCTCTGTCACGTATGGTAATATCTGGGATGACCATGATTTAGACGAACAAGCAAAGCTGTCCTATGCCGGGGGGTTGATACGGGGCAGGCTCTGGACCGCCAAAAGAGGGATCAGAGATTTTCTAGTCGGTGCGAACATCTACCGCGTCCGCAGCATCACTACACCTTTTGTATCTTTCGCTGGGGCACGGATGCAGTTTGCGGGAGAGGACATGATGGGTCGCGTCACAGGAGGCTGCCTCCGCTTGAGGGGGTTTCCTTTCCGCCTCAGTGCCGCCAAGAGACGTGCCTCATGTAGGCTTGAACTCATCTCGGACGAGGAGCACGTCAAATTGCCTCCAATAGAATCTCTCTGCTTCCTGTCGTTGAGGACACAGAGCAAGACGACGCTATCTGGTCTGATACTTGAGCCAACAAAGAAAGACCTAGGCGAGTACCGAAGGATTGGGTTTTTTAATGCTCGAGACGTAGACATGAAGTTGCAAATGGAATCGTTGAAGATTTTGCACAAACTCAGGCACAGACTACTCCCACTAAAGAATGGGGAATATATAGAAAAGACAGGTACAAAGAAGGACGGTATAGCGGAGTGTATTATCTCGATTATATGATTATATTGCTCACTAAGACTGTGTAGAGAATTTATATTCAATCTCTACTGTCCATTCAGTACCCTTTGAGGTTGTCATGAATTGCAAGGCACCAAACCAGATTTTGTCACTTGGCTCACTATTGCAAAGCGATATGGATACAGCTTGCAACTCTCACTCAGAACAGTTGGGAAAGCTTTGTTAGACTCCATATATGCATTTGGCTATAAGTTCTCCAGCAATGCCTCAATCGAGGAGCTCCACGTTGTCCTAGTCCAGTTTTAGTCTCAAGATCCTGAGCTAACAAAGACTAAAAAGAAACGTGCACTTCTCTTTCCATCACTCGCCGGTGAGTCATCACCGGGGGAAACGCGACTTAAAATAACATCTCGTCCTACCCAGAGAAACACGCGGCCCTACGAAAGAAAATCACCAAATCCCTTAATCAAATTGAAACTAGCAAAATCAGATACAGTCCGTAATGGCTTCGCATGCTTTCACCCTGGAGCAAACGGCCCTCAATGCAATTCGGTCTCTCCCTCCGGACACCTACTTAATCCATGCCACCAACTGCATCGCGGAATGGGGAGCTGGCATAGCAGCCGAGCTTGCCACAGTCTTTCCAGCGGCGTGCAAAGAGTACAAGAAGTTTTGCAACGCAGCCAAAACCGACGCCTCGGAGAAGTGGCCACCCCGTTCCCTGGGAGGACGCTGCCTCATCATCCCACCACAGCCGGAAGATGTGGCAGCAGGTGCGCCGAGCATACACATTGTTTGCCTTTTTACTAGCTATGGCTATGGAAGGCCGAATACAACAACGGGAAAGCCAGGAAAGGACAGCATGGGGATGATCTTGCGCCAGACGGAGAAATCTCTAACAGAGTTGAGAGGACAGCTAGGGGCCGACACTAACATCGATCAACAGAGTCGCATGGTCATGTACTCGCCTATGTTCAACTCGGGTGCATTCCGAGTGCCATGGGAGAAGACCAAGGGGCTTATCGAGAAAGAATTTGAGGGTTGGGAGGGCCGATGGCTAGTCATGGCGCCGCCATCGTAATTTTGTTCACTTAACGATCCTCAATAGAGCAGATATAAATGAGTTTACTTATACTTTCTTTACTTCCCTGCCTGATTTCCAGTCTAGATTGTTTTTGATAGATGATAAATGCACTAAATACCACAACGCCTCTTTAAAATGCCTTGTTCACCCCATCCCAGCCAGGGTTATTCTCGTGCGAGATGAGCAGTTGGCCCGGCCAGCTCGCCGCCGGTGCTTTGACCCGATTCTCAAGCGCCTGTCGAACAACCGCATCGCCAAGAACCTTCTCAATGTCCAGCCGCGGGAGCTTCCCAACAACCTCGCGCTCCTTCTCATCCAGGATAGACTCCGGACTGGGCACGCCCCTGAACTCGGTCGCAATGGCACGCCGAAGCGCTCCAGTCGTGCCGCTGATCTCCTCTGCTATCCCCGGCGTCGTGTGGAGGGACATGGCAAGCCAGGCTTCACGGATGGACGCCTCGCTCACATTATACTCGCGCAGCACCTTTGCCGCCTCGCTGGCGCCAACGACTTCGAAGCGGGCGGGATCCGCATCGTACTTCTCCGCCGTGGCGAGGTCGTGGAAGAGGCAGGCCACGAAGAGCGTGTGGAGCTCGACGAAGACGGGCTCGATGAGCACGGTGGCCGGGTCGAGCTGCCGAAGATGAGAGGAGTGTGCCTTGGCGTAGATGTAGACCCGGAAGCTGTGGTTTAGTATCGCGGGTGACAGGGACTGAAGAGCAACGTCGAGTGCTGCTTTGGCGGCTGGGTGGTCAGGGACGAGTTGCAGCACTGCAGGATCCAGCTGGTTGGCGGTAGCAGGGCCCCGAGATGTACTTGACCGACACATGGCGATGTCTGGTGTGTGTTCAATGTGGGAGAGTAGAAGCTGGTTTTGGAAAGTTCCTTGCACGGTTGTTTGGGTCAACCGAGTAGATGTTGGAGGTGCAACTTGTAAGTTGAACGATTCACTCAAGCTGACAAATCGAACTTGCCTGATTTGGTGAGAGGGGCAAAATTTCGTAAGTTCGCCAATCAGTCAGGCAGCTTGAATCAATACCCGAAAACTGCTTGAAGATATTGAATAGCCTATTCACAAAGACACAAGGAGGCATGCCAATGTTTCATGCAAAAGTCATGAATCAGCATCACTATCTTCAATTACATGGGTGAGGCGAGATAATGCCCCAACAGGAACAAGATGAAAGCCTTGCCCATACTTTTCTTTACAAAATAAATAGCCGTCTCTAGCCACAGAGAGAGGGAGACCTGGGATTACGCATCTCACGATGCAGGAGCGAAGAGAAGAGGCGATAAATCAGATGGTCATTAATCATATCTATCCTTCCTCACGTCATCATATATTTTAGTCTCCCGGATTTCTCCGTCTCATCATCTCATACTCGTCAAGAATCCCTTCCTAGAAATCAGGCAAGATGCCCGTAGTTCCCCAGAGGGTTTTCGCTAATGCCGTCATCGTTGACATACCGTTCTATGAGCTTCATGACTGTATATCTATTGGATCTTTCGAAGTTCCGGACCACAAGTTCATCGCCGCTTTCCACAAGCAAATGGATATCGCGGCCCAATAAATGAGCATCGTGGAAGCCAGGCGCCCCTTGCCGACGTCGAGCCACCTTCTCCCTCAAAATACCCAGCGCCGGCTTCCACCTGCCGCCTCTCATTTGGACGTCGTGCATTACTATCTCCTCTAGAATCGTCCCCAGACCTCTGAAGAAGCCTTCAACCTCTGCTTGTGTCATCGACACGTGAAGAATCCGCACCGTTTTGATATGCGGCCATTCAATACTGGCAAAAGCTTGCCCCATTGGGAACAGCGTACCGATATCCCTAGGATGCCGGTCCTTGTATGCACAGCCGTCAAATGAAACTTGCTCAAAGCAGTGGCCAGACAGCAGGCCGCTGAAATATTTGCAGATACCTCTTCTTCCAGATGCCGCGATTGCCGGGTCGCCGACCGTCACGCCCTTGAGTTCTCTGCCCTCCAAGTTAAGAAACCTGAGCTCCTGAGACGCAGCATTGAACTCGTCCCAAGTATTGTTTGGCTGATTATCAGAATAGATCGAGGGAATCTGGTGCAGCAGTGGGGGGCAGCTTATTTGGAAGCCTTTCAAAAATCTGCCGGTGTTGCGAAGAGCAACAGGTAGATCATGGAGTACGTTGATACGGACGGGATAAAACAGGGCGCCCCAAACCGGTGCATCCAAGAGAAATTCAAATAGGGCTTTGTCGTTCCGATATGGGGTGTGCGTGGTACTCGAGTCTTTGCCCGGCTTGTATCTTCGGTTTTCAAAGAACTCAAGAGATAATGGCTGTCTTCCCTGCCTCGCGAGAAGAGCAACCGTCTCGACAAATATCCTCGTTTGGATATATATGTTTTGCTCCCTTTGAATCCGGCAATACTCTTTGTGGGCGAGCGTGGCCAAACGTTTGTAGCGGCTCAACAGATCCTCATTAGCAGGATCGACATCTAGCTGCACAGGATCGGGCTGCCCCTCCAGTCTGGCCTTCCACGTCTCGAATTGGTCGTCCTTGAGCATTGCTACGGCCAAACACACCATCTCTGCTCTGCTATTGGCCTCGTACATGTTGTTACCCGCAATCTCAAGCTTGGAGGCGGTTTCATCGTCTTTATCCGAATAAGCCTGGGCAAGCAGCATCGTAACCTCCGAGAGTTCTGTTCGTAAATCCTCTTCACAGTCCACAAGCTCAGCTTCCTTGATTCCCAGAAACGCGTACATGTCTAGGAGATCTGCGGGGCGGTTCTCGAGACCAACCCGGATGGCTTGGACGCCGGCGCCCATGTGAGGATGATAAATGAGGGATCTTGCCAATGTGAGGGATGCGTTGTCGACAGAGAGGGTAACCACGGGCATGAGCAAAGGTGTTGCCATAAGATTCAAATGGCGAGAGGTTAGACGTAATGCCTGGATGGCGCGGCGATTTTCCTCTGGAAACTCGGCAATAACGCCTTGACGGCCCGTGTCTTCATAATTTGGCGTGTACTCGAAGCACTTGACGATCATGGCAAGGATTTCCGTGGAAAGATTCGCCAGGCATGCACCGCTAATTGGCCGGCGAGAAAGATGCGCGGCCCTGGATTCAAGGGCTGCCTGCTGTTGCTTGAGCCGCTGAGCTATGTCTCTCCAGGCATACTGCTGAGTCAAGGAGGGCTCTTCTTCTCCCACAGAGGCCTCGCCCGAGGATGGATGGGCACCTTCTTGCCCCTCTGCATCGCGTATATGCTGGTTGACGACCTGTTCAAGGGTCTCAAGACGGCCAAGTTCCTCATGGACCGAGGCCAGATCTGGCAAGGATTCAGGGCAGGGCCACTTTTCGTGGTCAGGAGGGTCGGAAGAATATGGAGACTCCATCACCACGGCACCCTTGCTCGAAGCGCTTGCGCTTGTTGGTTCGAAGCTTGAATCAGAGATGAGTAAGCAGTCGGGGGCCTAGCTCACCGCGATCCCTTCGAGTCAAGAGAGGCAAGACGAACAGACGAAGAACTGAGGACGGGGAGGAAAGCAACTCCATGGCATCATTTCCCCTCGTTTCGCTTCCAATGTGCAGAGGTCGCTGACAAAGAAATGAAAGCCTCAGGCAAGAAGAATTGCCATAGCTCAGGCAAGACGCGAAGGCCAATCAGTAAAGCCGAAGACCGCGTCCACAACGCGGTTCGCGTTCGCACAATACGAGCAGTCATATTTTCTAGGTAAACACCAAGCAAACAGCTCACTCAACACACGAGGCAAAGTCTTCTTCATAGCGAGGTGCAAGACCAAGCATACAATGAAAACAGGTCAAAGATCAAAAATTCCGCCCCCTATGGCCCCGAAGGACAATAGAGCAAGGACAACACCGCGCTGTGCAATGCAGGCTATCCGTACTGAATCCCCCAATTCATGATCTGGGGAATTCGGAACAAGGTAAGTATGAAGAAGAAAGAGAAAAAGGTTGTAAAGAACGAGGAGTCGGTCTGAATTTATACCTGGATTGGTGCCTGGTGCAATTATTCATTCCTCAGGCACCTCCCCCTGAATTACAAGGGAAGGAGCAAGGGGTTGGTACCGTTTAATTAGGTAGGTACGTGGCTGGTCTGAGCTGTTGACGATGCCATCATCCCTTGTCCTACCCTGTAGCTCTCAATTTCTGCCATCAATCCAGCCAAGCCCTTTCCACGTCTGCAACGTTGGATAAATAACAATGGCTTTGGCCTTCATGTAGCTGTGTTTAAGCCTTCGTCTTAAAATTATGATTTTAAAGTGTTTATTTGTTGTTGTTCTTCGCCATAAGGGTATACCCTAAGATTTATCTGCTGTGCCTCTTCAACCGTCCCTCCGTGCATGTAGGTATCACGTCTTTCGCAATAGTTTGAAAGAAGTCACCACTGCTCGGCATGGCCGTGGCCCTAGGACTTTTGAGTACCTATCTAAACCTCAATGGGGGACCAAGACTATTTATCAACGGCAATTACTGCAGAAAAAGGTCTTTGGTTGAGATGGTCTCCAAAGACTTGCTACGTAGAAACATGACTGGCTAATTCATGCTCACCTACAATCACAACCAAGGGGAAGCCTGAATGCCTATTTTAGAAATGCAAGACGCTCAAAGCCACATCAACCGTAATTACAGTTTTCTATTTTACTTCTTGAGGCAGGCCACAATGGCAGCAATGGCCGCCAACGTCCCATCAGGGTCCTTGACACGCACCGTGTCCAACCCAATCTCCTTGGCGGGATAGTCATTGCCCCCGGGGAAGATGGCATCCCCGATAAACATCATCTCCTCAAGCGGTATCCCGCTCGCGTCCCGCAGCCTCTTGAGCCCGTACCCCTTGTCGACCCCCTCCTGCGTGATGTCAATCGACGTCGCGCCGCCCAGGTTGATCGACAGCCCGGGAAGCCGCGTGCGCAGGTCGGCCTGTATGACCCTCCGCTTCGCGAAGTCCGGGTCCCAGACCTCCTTCTCGGCCACGGGCGCCTGCTGTCCCAGCGCGGAGAAGGTGATCTGGCTCCCGCGGTCCTCGATGCGCTCCCCCCACGTCTGCTCGGGCTTGAACCCCGTCGCCAGGAGGGCCGCGTCGAAGGCGGCGAGGATCTTGGCTTTGGCGTCGTCGCTGAAGAGCTCGGCGTACTCGCGGCGCCACTCGCCCGTCTTGTGGGTGTAGAGCTTGGTGCCCGTGGTGGGCATGAGCCAGAGCTTGGAGAGGTCGGCGCGGGGAGGCAGGCGGCTGGCGACTTGTTTCTGGAACTGGGGCCAGTCGCCGCCGGAGATGACTGCGACGTGGGAGACGAGGAGGAGGTCGGCGATGGCTTCGGCCATGTCGTCTTTGAGGGGCTGCTTGCTCTCGGCGAGCGTGCCGTCGAGGTCGAATGCTACGAGGGAGATCATCGTGGATGGTTCTGAAGCGAGTGTCTTGGGTCAATGGGTTCCTCTTCGTTGGGGAGATGGGATGGCATGGATTGGTTGTTGGAGAGGATGGTCGATCACACCGATTGTTGCGTGCGGCTAAGCTTCGGAGCACGTCACGTCCGGTGTCGCTTGCCTTTCACATCTACGACAACCAGCCACTGCATTAGACATGGGTTGACAACGATGGTGCCATTTGCTATTGCAAGTTGGCCTTTGCCTGCCCAAGGACACGTTTACGGATAGTACTTGCAGCGCTTCGAGTGGATCAATTGATTGCCCAAACGATGGGGCTGCGGGACCTCACGAAACCTAGCATCTGACCTGTGCTTGTCCAGATCGAACAGCAACCTGCTTATTTATTGGATGTCTAGATTGATCTACTTGCTACCGCTCTTGGGCAGGTAACTAACAGACGACGGGCAGCTCCCTTTGGTCCCATCCGGCTCGGCAGCGACAAACTCGCCCGACTGCAGCGACCCCTTCACATTGTAGTGGTACCACACCTCGTTGAGCGCCTTGCCGTCGCAGCTGACCGTGACGGGCTTGCCGTGGCCCTTCTCCAGCGCGGCCTGGACGTCGCTCAATGCATACTTCTTGGACGACGAGGGCGTGATGCCCGCGTCCGACAGCCACTCGTGCGTGGGGAGCGTCTTGAACAGCTCGACGGCCTTGGCGAAGTAGGCGACGGCTTCCTCGGTGGGCTGGTAGTCGGCGTAGCAGTCCGGGTCGAGGGTGCTCACGCAGGTGCCGTGCTTGGCCCACTCGTGCTCCCAGAAGGTCTCGTCGTCGCCCTTGTAGTCCTTCCAGTAGGTCTCCATGTAGGTGAGGGTGGCGTCGCCGCCGCCCGCGGTCAGGATGTCGGAGATGTTGGTGTACTTGCGGCTGGAGTCGCAGTTGGCGGGGTAGGTGCCGTCGCAGTTGTCGGGCCACAGGCCGTGGATGGTCCAGGAGTCTACGGGGATGCAAGTTAGGAGATGTGAGTCAAGGGGTTGGGATGTTGAGGGATGACTTACCATCAGGCCCGGTGGCAGGGTTGGTGTCCCAGAATTGGGTCAGGAGGAGCTGGCCGGAGGGGATGAAGCAGCAGGTGTCCTCGACGGCCGTGGTGTTGTGGCAGGAGAGGGGGACATCGCTTGAGCAAGTCTTAGGACCGGCAAAGGCGGCGCCGACAAGTGTCGATGCGAAGAGGAGCTGGGTGAAGGCCATGGTGGATGAAGAAATGAACGAGTTGATTGTCCAGAGGAAAGACTGCTGATGAGCCTACAGCCATCGTCGAGACACATGTTGCTATTTATCGAGGCCGCAAGCCGGGATCAAACCTGATCAGCATAATCATGCCGTTTCACCGATAGCTGGATCAGCGACAATGAGTCCATCGCCAGTGTGGGAAGCAGGCCAATTAGGCAGGTGTCGAGGTGTAAGAGGGTGATGCATGACAGAAATGCGGGTTCTGCCGATCGTGCTAGGTTTCATAGCGGGATGCGACACCCAATCAAGGGGGCCATAGGGGACTGAAGCTATGATCAAGGCACCGGAAAAGCGGCTTCTCGATTCACAAAAGTGCTGCGGCCCTGAATGTCCTTCAGCTGGCTGCCTGTTTCAGAAGGTCAGCACAAGTGATCTACAGACTGGGAGATGTGAAGCACATGAATTCAGCTGACCAGTTACTGGGCTTCAACTGACGCACTGACATATGAATGGCACGAGGGAATAAAGAGTGGGCAGAGTTGAGACAATGGGCATTCAAATGAAAGGGCTGAATTGATTTACACGAATGCCCTTTCCAACCACCAGCTGATATGGGGGCCTCAATGTGTCAAATCAGATGAACGATGAATGATGCTTGTATTTTACTACCAAACTCCTGCTCCAGATAAATCAATGCATATGCTCCCGTTCCAACACCAAGAATACCGAACTTGCACCGAACTCCATCCTAAAAATAACAAAACAGACAAGGAAATGGTGGTATAGATGAGAACAAGGAGATGGGCTAGACACTCTCGGCGTAGTTGTCCTTGGGGGCCTTGGCCTTCTTCGTGAAGAGCTTGTTGCCAGCCTTCTCGGAGAGCGAATCGACCTTCTCGCCCAGGAAGGTCTTGATGGCGCCGTAGACGAGCGTGAGGAGCCAGAAGACAACATTAACGAGATCAACCCAGACGGCCGTCTTCATGGCGGTGGTGCTGGCCCCCTTGTAGGGCTCGTCGCTGTCCCGCTTGAGGAAGATGCCCGCGAAGACGCCGAAGACGACGAGCCAGCAGATGAAGAGGATCCCGTCCCAGGCGAAGGCGCGGTACGTCTTGACCACCTTGAGCCTGCTCCCGATGACGGGCAGGGCGCCCAGGGTGGCGACACCGAGGAAGACCAGGGCGGTGACGGCGGACATGCCGGCGACGAGGATGGCGAAGATCCACTCGGCCGAGAAGCCGTCGGCGGACCTGCGGTCGGCGTCGACGCGGTTGCCGTAGAAGCCGCAGGCGATGAGGGCGAAGACGCACTGCAGCCCGCGGCAGACGAGGCGCGGGATGACCTCGAAGGTCTTGAGCCACGTCTTGCCCATGGTCTTGCCCACGTCGGCGCCCTCGTTGAAGGCGGCGCGGCCGGCCTGGCGGCCCATCTCGCCCTTGTCGGCCTGGCGGAACTCGGAGGCGGCGCCGGCGACGCCCTTGACGTTGTTGGTGAGCTCAACCATGGTATGGCCAGCTTTGAGAGCGGATGAGAATTTGCCCATGGTGAAAGATTAAGAAGGAGGAGGATATATAAGGTCGGTTTTTGGTGGCAGCGGTGGCTGGTTGACTGGCCGGTGGCTGGATATTAAGAGCGTTGGGAATGAAGATGTTGGAACGATGGTGTGGTGAGTCCAGCTCAGGAATGCAATGGGTGAGAAGGAAAAGGCCGTGGCGCAGAAGCAGAGATGCAGCCGGAATGAGGAGAAAAAAGTCTCATTCTGGCGGTGTCATTGACGAACTCTTATACAGCAGCTGGACAAAGCAGACAGACATTGTTTGTGCGATGAATGAATGAATGAAGAAGTGTCAATGGGTTGAAGCTGAGACAATGCCCGAGGCAAGATGCAGCGAGAGCCAATCGTCTAACTATTGATAGTGGACCGGCGCCTTGTGAGACAGCTGCAGAAACCGATTTACTGGCTCAGGGCCGCCCGTTAGTGGCTGCCCACAGCTGCTGCCGCCGTGGCCTAGGCTGGGGCCGGGGGCACGTTACAGGCGGTACAGCGGCTACAGGGAGCAGCGGGCGCTAGACGAGACACCAGTTCACAGGCGCTGAGAGCCAACCATCACCCACGACATGGCTCTGATTGCACATGCACAGATACGTGGTATTTTTAGGCTCGAAGCATGTTCCTTGCTCTCTGTCGCATGCGCCGGGTTTTAGAGATGAAACGACTTGATTTTGTGGATGCCCTCCGGCAGCTGGTTCTGGACCCTGCATCTGCTGCCGCTCGCCTCCAGCCAGCAACGAGACGATGGAGGCTTGATTGCTGGAGACTGTCGAATTAGACGCCGAGTTACTCCAGAGCTTGCGTCATGCCTGTATGGTATCTGCTTTTGCATCAGATCCGTATTCATGGCTGTCCGAAACGATACGAGGTCCACGTGGACAGATCAGGTGAGAAGCTGTCCCAGTTCCAATTGCAGGCGGTGTCTTCGCTTCAGTCTCTGTGTCAACAACCAAGACGACCGGTCAGTCAGAATGTAGGCTCTCTAAACCTGCCGGCGATAGAGTTTGAAGAGGCCGATGAACCAATTTACTGGATGCACTGACCAGATTCGTCCCCCACACTGGGCGCCAAACAAAAAAAAAATTCTAAAAAAGAATGCCGCCCACCAGATGGAGGTTCAAGCCAAGAGATATTAAGCGCCGGCCGCGCATCACGGCCAGTCAATCAGCCAGCCTTTTTATGTACACGAGAACTGGGGAGATGGGAGTTCGCGCCTGGCTCCTTGGGTTCCAATAATACTTCCCGGTTCTTTGGGCCTGGAACCTGCGATTACAATGGCCGGACGATGGATCGAAATGGACTTGTCGCTCTCCCCTCCTACGCCGTATCACCTGAAATCTATGTTGATCCGTCTAATGTCATTCTCGTATTAACGTATTAGCATCAAGCGTGTGTAGTCTATCGTGTTCTAAATATATACAGCAGAAAAAAAAGTCATTAGTTGTATGTATGTATGAGATCAATCACCCGCTCCTCCAGTTCCCCGTGAAATGATGCTGTATCAGCGCAGCCTCAGGAATGCTCCCGTCGTGCGTGCTGAGCGAATGCGCCTGCCCCATCCCGAACCCGTCAATCGTCAGGATCAGGACGTCGCCAATCAGCCGCGGCTCCTTGAGCTGCGTGAGGTCCTTTGTGTTGCGCAAGCCCTTCTCGACGGTCTGCAGGTGCGCGAACACGACGTCCGTCCACGCCGCGGGGCCCGTGGTGTTGTAGACGTCCATGGCCGACGGCTTGACCTGGCTGAGCGGCTGGCCGTGGCGCTGGGCCACCTCGTCGGCGGAAGCGAGCATGCGGTCGAGCATGGCGCGGAAGATGGGGTGACCGGGCGCGGCGGCGATGGTCCACTGGGCGAACTGCAGCCAGTGCGGGACGTCGGGGAACTGCCCTTCGAACTGGCGATCCCACTCAATGCCGATGACGGCCCTGGCCCTGCCGCGGTACTCGGGGGGCACCCAGTCGTTGATGGGCCTGATGGCCTCGGTGTCGGTGTCGCTGTAGACGCCGCCCTCGATGAGGAGGACGAGGTAGCGGAGGAAGTCGGACTTCATGCCGACGTTGGGGAGGTTGTTGAAGGTCTCGAGGACCTTGGAGTTGAAGTGCTGTCTAAGGAATTTGGTCGCGCCTTTCTGGCCGAGGAGAGTACTGTTCAGATAGTCGTTAGTGTCGGGTGTTTGATGTGCGGCGAGGATCATGGGTTTGACAGGCAGGGATGGCTTCATCAAAGAGTGGACAAGCAGGGATGGGTTGGTTCAATGGATGAGACAAATTCGACTTGAAAGAACAAGGTTGGTCGGGGTATCACGTACTACTCGTAGTCTGGATTCATGGCAACCCAGGATGCCGTCGACGACAACTCCTTGGGGTCGAAGGTGCCCGTGCTGTTCGCCAGATCCTTGGGCAGCATGATCTGCCACATCTTGGGCGGGATGTGGTGGACATGCGGGCGCCATGCCTCGGGGCGGGCTCCCCCAGTCGAGTGCTTGATGGTTGCGATGGCCGACTTGCCAATCTCCTGGACCGCATGAACCGACGGGCTGTGGGTGCCCCAGAGCAGCAAGAATATCGCCAGGAAGGCCGCGACGGCCAGGAGGAGGCTCCGGTAGAAGCGCGAGTGGCTCAGGGCGTACCGGAGCCCGCGGTTGGCCTCCTTTTCGTACTTTGGGAGCATGCTGTCTGGTCCTGGATAAGAAACGAGTGAATAGGGCCAGACGAGACAGCGCAAAGCGTTGAAGAAAAGGTAAAACCCACGGGCGCAAAAGAGGGGGGGACAGAATCAAGATAAGGAAGCAGGCCAAAGTCGCCGCCGCAAAAGGAGGCGTGAGAGAGGTTTTGCGAAGGGCTTCCTCTGCCGGAATGCCTGTTGGGAGATAGCCCCGATGGGATCGAAATGATGGGTTCCCACTACGGGCACAATCCAACCGTCTTCTGTCAGTGAATTTGATATTTCTGATTCTTGGCATCCGCCTAGCGTACTGACTGGCCACCCAATCCTCCCGCCCTAGTTAATCCAGATGATGCTATTCGCCCAATCTCACGAGCACGCAGCACGGGTTGCTAATATTGGCCTCATGCCGTGTGACAGATAGATATGCATGGCGGTCCAAATACGATGCCACCTTGACTAATATCAGGCTGAAGTTCTTCACACGCAGCTGGGGAATCTCGATGTCACAGTGATGACCACAGATGACACACAACACACACCGAGTCCGCCGCCTGTCTGATAGCCCCATAAGGCTCACTTTGATGTTATCCGCCTTAACCTAATAAGGCTCAAGTGTAGAATCATTGCGTCAATGTTGGTTCGGTGTGGGCCGTCAAGAGGCGCCGAGTGGCTGTTCCGATATGACCATTGATTAATCACGGTAAGCTTGCCCGGTTTTCAGCCAATCTAACCCCCGTAAGCGTAGTAGATTCTCTGAAATCTCTTGGCTGTTCGCTCGACTCGGAAGAAAGCATTTCCAAATGGGGGGGGGGGCCAATCTTAACTAACAGATAACTGTTATTGTCCCCTGCCTCTGGCTCGCGATATTCTCCTCCTACCTTGTCTTTCGTCCTAGGTCTTGGGATCGCCACTGTGAATTAGGTCTAGTGCATGGCGAGTGTTATCAGCATCATGGCGACTCGAAAAGGACAGAGAGAGATAAGCTGCGACCGAAGCAGGGCCAAGTTGCAGTCGGCGGCCTCTCTAAAGCACTTTTGGGAAAAACACATGGGTCGCGGACTGCGACGGCAAATTGCAGATCTTTTGCTGACCCGCCCCCTGTCGTAATTTTGGACGAGGGCAACTTTCCCATAACATTGGATTCGTGTGTCTGCTGTCCCGAGGACCTATACGACCCTGGCCTTGACACTTGGCACCAGCGAGTGATTTCTTGCAATCCCGGTTCTCGTGTCGGAACCAAGCTTGCGAGACTCGAGAGCCGCACCGCTTCCCGTGTGGAACTGCTGACCTCGTTGGCCAGGGTTCAGCTACGGCACGGGAAGGTGGGGGAGCAGAGCACCCGTTCGTTACATATGACGAGGGACGCGATACGAGATGGCGACATTGGGTGCTAATTCCTTGGCACTCTCGGAGCTGGCCCTCTTGGCCAATGCCGTGATATCTCTGCAAACGGCTTCGTATCGCCTACTGAGGTTGGTTATTTAGATAAGGTGATTAATAGTAAAAAGGTGAGAGTCAGCTGGCACAATGCCAAGTCCGTGTTCTTCAAGCTGAAGTGACAGGAAATTCCAACGAGGAGTTAGTGCGACACCCTCTCTTTGGCGCTGCGTAATTTGCCACAGGATGAGTAGGTACTTGGGTAGTACTACTCAGAACATTGAGGTGATCCAACGTGTCCCGTACTGTTTGGGCGAGGATCATCCCCGCAGGCCTCGTTATACCCATTCCCTGGTTACCAGGCTTGCCAGGCCAGTTCCCTCGTAACAATCACATAGACTTTGGTCCGTGCCAGCTGTTCGTCTACTAAGCAGTCCTACGCGGGCAAATATAGGTAATATAAACATCGCCTTCTGTTGTGCGACCCTTGCTTATACGCAGTGCCAGGCGCTGAGCTTATGCTTGGCCTGGCTGGATTGGGTGATGAGAAGCAGAAGCAACTGATTGATTTGACGAGGATTAGTTAACTTGTCTACAAATCATTAGATAAATGGTAAATGAAAGTGGCATCAACACAGCGACTGAAGTAACCTATCAAGTGGGTGTCATAATAATAGGGACTGCAAAAGTGCTTTTTTCCCAAGTTTCTAATAGCCATGGTATTAATAGACATTAGTTAATAATAATATAATTTATTGAGCAATTTTTAGGCAATATGATCTTCAATATTACACGATAGGAAGCATGGATGCATTACTGTTCTAATTCTCCAACCGCTCTATCCAGACAAACCTTGTACTTTTCAATTCAGGATCTTTCTTACTCGCGTCTCATACCACTTTGGCCGCGCATCCGGGTGTAAATCATCCACCACAGATCCCTTGAGCCATGGTTTCTTCTCCTGGCACTCAATGCATAGATCCCACGCCGTCTGACCCTTGGCTGATACAAGAGATGTATCAGCTCCGTATCTGAGGAGCAGCTTCTTCTTGAATGTGAAGTCCTCAACCGACATTCGATAATTACCCGCCGCGTAGACCAGCGTAATTAGAGGTGTGAACCCGGCAGTACTTTTGGCATTGATGAGCTCTCGAGCACCATGCTTGAGAAGCAGCTTCAGGGTTTCTGGGTCGGCGCAGACACTCGCAAAATGTAGGGCGTTGCCGCCGTCACAGACATAATCAGGGAAGATGGCTCTGACCCGCCTCAAATCCCATCTGTACGGAGTGATGGGGTCAATTTCTCCTGTCAATTGCTTCACCCAGGTCTGCATTTCTCCAGTACTTCGCAAGTCCGCAGGAACTGCCGAGGAGGTGAGGATTGGCCCGTAGGTATGGTGGAGTTTGCCATCAAAGTCATCGGCGAGCTCATCAAGTTTCTTAGTATCTTCTGGCACGTCCAGCCAAGAACCAGAGACAACGTTGATATCCGCACCATGTTTCAGCAAAAGCGAGATGATCTTCCTTCTGAAGTCGCGGCACAGGGAGGATCCGATCTTCATTCGAGCCATGGAAAGAAGAGGCGGGCCATAGCGGCCATTCCCAGGAGGGTTGATGTCTAGCTTGCCACTGGACAAGAGAGCTTCAAGACGATCTACTGTTTCTTGGCACAGATTGCTCTCCCCATCCCATATGAGGCATTCCAAAGCGTTCTTTGGCATCCACCCACGGCGAGAATCATAGTAATTCACGTCTGCTCCGTGTTGGATAAGCAGCCGAATCACCTTGGCCATCTTCACGTTTCTTTGGGTCATGCACACATCCATGAGCCTCGTGCGTAGAGCGTGCGTCCATCGACCATTCGGGTCTACGCCAAACTCCAACAGGCGCTTCACAGTCCTGAGTATGGGCTTCGAGTCGAACCCCTCCAATATCTCGGCTGCCGCGAGTATCATGTCCAGCCTTTCCTCATCAGCCACGCCGCGGTTCTCAAACAAAATGTCCAAGCCCTGGTTGAGCGTGAACAAGGTCAGTTCATCCCACGTCTCATCTCTCCAAGCAGTCGCGAAATCTGCCAGCAGCGCGCGCCACAGCCTCCGGGGTCCGTCCTTGGTTAAATCTTTAGCAACGAGAAGTGATAATGTCTCAAAGCCCTCAGCGATGCTGGTAGCTGTGGACCAATCCACGCGGGACACGAGCTGAGTCACTGGATTTATGAGTATGACCCAGCTACTCGCGACCGCATCGCTCCAGCCGCTCCATCCAGATAAACGGGCGAATTCCTTGGGCCATCTGACACCTGTTCCTGTTCGAGCACCTCGGCTCAATAACAAGCGGATCATGGCGTCAGGATTATCCTCGCGCGTTGCGAATAGGATATTGCTCAATAGACAGGGGATGGAAAAATAACTGCCCCATTGGACCATCTTTCCTCCGTGGGCGGGAGCACCGTGCTTCAGCAGCAAGTTGACCATCCGCAATGCCAGTCTTGGATCAGAACTTTGATGTGTGACAATAGCATGGCTGATGAGGGTTCCAATTCGAGGTGCGGGATCCGAGACGTCCAGGCCTGCATCTAAGAGGAGCTTTAATGTCTCTAGTTGCCCTTTCTCTATGGCGACATGTCCTGCAGAAAAGCCTTGGGGTGAGAGGGCGTTGGGATCGCACCCAAGCTCCAAAAAGCAGCGAGTAGCAGATGGCTCAGAGCCAGCAGATATTGAGTAGACAAGAGCAGATATCGGTGAAGCTTCAGCATCAGGGATAGAAGCGCCATGTTTCACAAGGGTCTTGATGACCGCCTCGTTTCGAGCAAGGTGAAGTGGGCGTAGGAAACCTCCGACGGCAACATCTGCGGAGACACCAAGCTCTACCAGCACCTCGATAACTTCGGCATTCCCGTACAGAGCAGCTTGGTGCATTGGCGTCATGCCCAGCGTCCCTAATCTTGCCTGTAGCCCCCGTCTGGGCACGCGCTTGCGAAGCAATGGTGATATCTCCTCCACCGCCGCAACTTTCCTGATGGTGTTGGCGTACCCGTGCTTGGCCGCCCAAATCACTATCAAGGCTCTCGAGTAAATACCTTGGTCATCCTCGCCGGTCTGACTTTTATCTCTCTCATTTTCACTCTGTGCATCCTCTCTGTATGGAGTGTCGAGGCTTGCCGCGTATGGCTTTGGCATGTCGTAGAGAACAGGGGTGATATTACGCTCCAGGCGTCGACACGTCAGAAGCCATGACGCGACGTCAGAAGGGTGCAAATGATATGCAATCAGCCGCAGGACATCGAATGGTAATTTGTACATCGTAAAGCAATGCCCTAAGTACCGCCGCAACGTGGAAGATACCTCGTTTAAGCAGAGGAGAGGCTAAGTGCTGGCTTCAGCCGTGGTGTGAATGGTGGGTCAATTCTAGGCAGACGCGGGGATTTCTCATTTGGAACCGTGTCTGTCTCAGCCTTACTAAGAGTAAGTAAGGCTGAGGTCCAGTTGTAAATGCAACCTCTGTTGATATATTGAGAGCCCTTGATGAAGGTATTCCATCAAGAATGTTGTGTTTCGGCCATCATGCGATGATTGGGCAGGTCATTGATAATATGAACATGCATTACATAGAGGAACAAGGTAGATAGACAAGTGACTGTCAGGAGAACATGGATCTCGACAGATTTATTGTGGCAGTCAGTTACGTGCCAATGCTTCCTGTTGTGTAATAGTAAAGATAATATTGCCTAATAATTGCTCAATAAATTATTATTATTATTGTTTTGAATTATTGTCTATGCTCACCCTGATATTGATTCTTAGGGAGAAAAAATTGCAGCCCAGACTCTATGCTCACAATGCTCACAATGACATCCAATCCTTTTACTTTCACCTCACCTCCTTCCCAAACAGTTCATTTCTCTTTCTACCAGAGTATCTACAGAAAAAGTCATCACACACTATTGCTCCCATAAAGTGCCATGGTTCTTAGCTATCAACAGCGACAAAAACTTCGATTACGGTAAGGAAGATTCCACTTCTTCCAGCGGAGGAGAAGAGGGCGCATAAAAGATTGAAGAAATCGAAAACAGTGAGGACGGTGAAGAGAGTGAGGGGTAATTGAGGGAAGAAGTGGACATGAAACAACCCTGAGGCACAACCCCGAGACTACCTACGGATGATCGTGCGACATATGAGAAGGTCGTAGTTACGGTAAATCGGTCCTACCCTGACGGAAACACGTCGAATTGGGATCGGTTCCTTGCCTATGTCGACGATCTCGAAGAACATCGTCTGGAAGCTTTCATCCGAATGATCAACAGGGCCAAGAGGCGTGGCTTGGCAAATCTACGACCAGTTGTTATTGCCCCCTTGCTGGATGCAAACCTTACCCATGTGGATGGGGAGATCCTGGACGATCTCCAAGACAAGTTTGAGATTGTGGCCCACCCGGACAATATCGACGTACAGCGCCACCCCGACAACGTAGCATGGTTCTTGACCATCGACGGGGACAAAACCTTCACTTACGGCAAGGATGGTTCTTCCAGTGGTGAAGATGAGGACGATGAAGATGAGGAAGGTCATGAAGATGAGAACGGTGAGGATGATGATGACAGTGAGGACGACGAAAATAGTGAGGAGTAACGTGAGGGAAGCAGTGGGTATGAAACAACTTGAGGCATAAGCCCGAGGCCGCCTACAGATAATCGTACGACATACCAGAAGGTGGTTTAAATGACAAATCGAATTGTTTTCTTTCATCCTGGATCGTGATGAGTTGAAGGCTATATAATCTTAACCTAATGAAAGATCAACTGATGAGTCTAAGCTATCTGCTCCTCGAACAAATGAACTTGAGAGCAATCTAGTCTGAGGCCATCTGGCATTAAAGCGAAGCAATATCACCAAAATCGAGAGTACGCTCGTGTTATGATATCATACGTTGCGTTCCTTACCTTCGAACGACAAGAACGCCATGACGGCCGCTTTATATCTTTACCCATAGAGATTGGTTGCGGTCTGCTAGGGAGGTGCTGTAAGCAAAGCTCGGGCTTCTGGATCGATAAATCCCATAACCGCTTCAGAGTCCACACATTTGCAGGCTTTGCGAGATCAGTCCTTTTGAGAGCGCCCTCGTGTCGAATGTCTGGGTGAGCCTCTGGGATCATCCCGAAGGCATCAATAGGGAAGAGCCAGAACCCGTAGGCGGAAGGAAGTGTCTGATCATCATCTTGAAAGTGCCTTCCCCCCTTATTCATATACCGAGTTTTCGTCCTCTTCCACATCTTTTTCTCTTGCTTAAGTGACATCCGTGCCTCCTGGCGGGTCTCCACGCGCCTGTCACCACAGGTAATCATGAAGCGATACTCGACTGGGTGATTATCGTTTATAATCTCCCATCTGTCCAGCAGCCTGAGCCATCTATAGACCTGCTCCCGCGGATCACCAAGCGATAGGTAAACACTTTTCAACTCTTCTTCCATGGGGCGAGGATCCTGCGGCAATCGCTCGAATCTGGGAACAGAGGCTAGGAGCGGCCGTGACCGATATAGCTGGGCTTTTCCAAAGACATTAACGGCTGTGTGCGGCATTGCGCGCCCAAGTGTTCCATCATATCCGAACATGACGGAGCGTAGCCTTGCTAAAGCTTGCCGTAAAATATCTTGATCATCCACCTCTTGGAACAGCTCGTCATAATGTGTCGTGATAGTGTATATGGAGTCTGAGGGTAATGCGACATTGATCAGCCCGATATGATGGTGGTCAAGGTTCCAGATCATGTGTGCGAATCTAGCGAAATATTTCAACCCAGAGAGTCTCAAAATATCGAGCTCTGGATGGAGGTAGAGGGTGACTTGTTGCGCAGGGACTCCCACTTCCTTGAAGTAGCAGGGGACCTTGACTCGGTAAAAAGAAATTGCAAGCTGTCGTGACTCATAGCAAATACGAAAGAGTTTGCTCACATGGTCCCTGGTTCTCAAGACGATTATGAAGCCCTCTGAATGCACCTCGAGATATTCCCTGGCTGCAAGCCTGGTCTCACGTGGCTCATCCTCATGTGATAAGTCCTCAGCTGTGGCTCCTGGCTGAAGGTCCACCCGGAGAAGGCGCTCATAAAGGAGAGACTGCCTCCATATCTCCAGTCGGATTTCAGGGGGAAGCCGGGGGAACCGCTTAAAGCCCCCCTTCCCTTTTTTCAGCGGTGGGTTGATGATTGTTGTTTTTTGACTGACTGGCATTTTGAGTACAAGAGGCCCATATAAGAGGAGAAGGTGACTGAGATTCCAGTTGGTAGAATAAAATGGCGGTAGCCAGCAAAATAAATAATCTTGCAGGCCTTAGTAACGCTTGTTCGAGAGGAGATTCCGACGAGACTGATTGGTTGGTACGATCTAAGCTTTGCTGAGAAAAGAAGACGTCGACGCAGATCATTGGCTCATATTTCCTGCCCATGACTATTACTCAAGAGAAGACGTCGACGCAGATTATTGGCTTGTATTTCTTGCCTCTAACTTTGACTATTACCTAAGAGAAGAACTTGATTCATGTATGGCGGCTAAATTCCCTTTTGAATTGATTTCGCTCAGTCACAGATTAAAGCAAAGCCAAGGCTTCATAACCTAGATCTAGAGCCTCTATCGGTATGAGGATTGGTGTGTCGAAGTGTTTGGATGGTGTAAGACGAGTATGAAGTTAAGGTGAAAGAGGAGCGGCTCGTCCCGACAGCAAGTGAGTCATCGTTATGAAGGTTTATAGAGTTTTCTTTCTGCGTGGCTGCAGCCTTGGGCTAGTAGAACCTATTTTTGCCTTTGTGCCATTGTGTTGAGATGTCGGGTCGGGTCTCTTCCATGGCTGTTTTGTACTTGCACTCAAACTCCCTCACAGTAAAGACAAGAATGTGATTTCAGAGTAGGCCTTAAATAAATCTTGCCCTTCAGTAAAATATAATATTGAGAGAAGCCAAAAGGAGCGTTGTGGAAAAAAGAACATTGAAATATATTACAGACGAAGCTAAATTATGAACTCTCAAGCCCAATGCAAATACCCTGGCTTGTGTTGAATTCTCCAAAATCCCCACTGTGGGCATTCCGAGGCTTTCTTCTAGGATGTGATGTCTTGGCACTTGAAACCGTGAGTATCCTTCACATTGGAGCACAAGAAACGGTCTAGGACGGCCTTGTCGTCCTTGAGCGTGACGCCAAAGTTCTCAATGGTCACGTTCTTGCAACCGCCAGCCAGACTACAGCGGAGATAGGCTGCCTTCTCAGCACCGTCGTTCCTCATCGTTCCTTTGACATTCTTGAAGTAGATGTCCGAGAAGGTGAACTTGGAAGAGTCGCAGTCCTTGCCCTGGTTGCCTTGGTATTGCTCGCATTGCTGGAACCAGAATGGAGTGCCCCGGCCGGTATCAATCGTGACGTCTTCGACCACAATGTTCTTGCCATGGCCGAGGCCGCCGCCGCCGCCATTGGGAGGGTAGCCGTCTTGAACACCAGGCCAGGTCTTCAGATAGATGACATACTTGGTTCCAAGCATGGTGATGTTACGAGCGTAAAAGTTCTCAATGTGTTCGTATTGGCCTTTGTATTGACCCAGAGAACCAATCGCAAGACCTTGACCTCCGCGGAAAATGCTGTCGAGAACTTTGATGTTGCTGGAGTTTCCCTTCAGGGCAATGTTATCATCGCCAGAGGTGACATCCCACCGGCTGAGCGTAATGTTGTCAGACCAAATCGTGTCAATACCATCGGTGTTGAGGGTGCTGTGCTTGCTGTTGGAAGTGTTGTTGACAAAAATGTTATCAAACACCAGGTTCTTTGAGTGTGTGGTGGTCATGGTCCACATCTGGCTCTGGACAAAGCGCATTCCACGAACAATGGAGTTGGTGAACTTGTTGAAGTTGATCATCGTCGGACGATGGGGCAGGTTTCCTCGGCCCGCCGCCCAGTCATACCAGACCTGACCGTTGCCATCAAGTGTTCCGTGGCCGTATCCATCCCAGACAACCTTGTCTCCGCCAAAGTACCATACTGTACTCTGATTCTGGAACCCGATTGGCATGGACACACTCAACCAGTAGTCAATATCTGTAGACCACCGTAGCCGACCCTTCTGATGGATGTGAACATCGTCCAATTTCATCGTGGTGATGTTGGACTTCATGTGATACACCTTGTCGGGGAAGACCACCATGCCCTTCTTCCGACACTTCTTGTTCAGGGCATCGGAAATCTTGAGGGCGTCATCCTCTTTGCCGTAGCCGGTCCTGAGAAAGCAGAGGCTACGTCCTTGAGACTTGGCCAAAACTTCCCAGTATGTCTGATTATCGAAATCGGATTGCTTTACTGCCCTGGGCTCGAGTACTGGCGCAGGAGTCTGGTTGTCGAGCGCTAGGCCGAGCGGCAGAAGGCCGAGGAGGAGCGAGAGCTTCATGTTTGCTTTCTTGCTGCTGGGATCATTGAAGAATGAATGAATGTATGAACCTGGCACCTGAGCTGGGGGGAGGAGTGAGTGGGTCGTGATGATCGGCCGTAAGCCCTGTGAGACTTGATGGGGATGAGACTTCTTTTATGGACTCTCAGGGTAGTTTTCAGCTAAGTGGTAGCTGAGTACCATATCTCCGGCTACCACCGTGGTGGGCGATCAACTCGACTTTGGGATTTCGGCGCAGAAATGACCATTTGAAGTGATGGCCGAATCCTTCAGCAATCTCCGTAAGCCGTAAAATTTATGCGAGGGAAAGTGCAAAGCCGAGAGCCGGCACAGGCGGGTAGGGCTCAATCTCATGGGTTCATGTCTCTCGTTCTATTGACGGCAAGTGTTCGGCCATCGATTAGACTGCCGTCTGCCCATTTCATAGCCCCATGACCTTGCCTAGAAAGGCTTGTTGCGAGCTGATCCAGAGCTGTCGCCGCTACTTTCTCAATTTGGATATCGCCGGGCGGAAGTCATCATGGGACTACGCCCTCGGATGGTCAACATCGGAACTTTGGTTTGGCAATATTGCCCAGTCGTTTCTATCATTAGACAATGGACGTGAACAATTGGTCCTCGGAAAAAATTGTGGAGGAGGCAATTAGACACGCTGTTTGAGATAAATCAGTCAGCCTTCTTGATCCCCTCCTTGATGTATGTTCACCTCGCAATATGGCAGTCATTCTAATTATATGTGGTGAGCTGCTGTTACAATGCCTCGGACGGTGATCCTATGATAAATGGCGGCGTCCTCAGATATAGTACGTTGCAATCTTCGTTACCATCTGTTGCCTGCCCGGGCAGCATCAGAGCTTAGTTTTTACCCCTTGTTTGTGCGGTGTATTGACACTTTGATTTTTACTTAATCAATTCCTTGGCCCTTATATATCCAATTGTGAGAATAAACTTGGAGCCGAGAGCAGTGAGTGCACGGTGCCGAGTCAATACAGAACATAAAGATACCGAATTGGTAGCCCTCTGCTCCGTCTAAGTCACTGACACCCATGTTAGTACTTTGCCACTAACCTCGCAATTTGCTGATGGCAGATGATACCTTCCGGCCATTTCAGTTTTCGGCTCGAGTATTCGCGGAAGGTCAGAAACCAGCCTATCACCGTGTGGCATGGAAATTGATACAGTCAACCACTACCCTGCTTGCTTTCTGATATGATTATGTTACCATGAATCAATAGTCAACACTCAGTAGACATTTGTACGCCTTCCATTGTAGCGGCAGGATAACGTTCGGCGCAGAAAGAAGACTAAAGTTCTCTTGAGTTCGATCATGGGGCAAACAGAACTCAGATCGTGTTATGTGTGCAAGAGTTCGTAATGACAAAATTGAATTATCGTTAGACTAATCCTCCGTAATAGACTCCCACATCATATCCCATTGACTACAATTTGCATAATAGACAGCGGTAACGACAGACTTCCGAGTTGCATTAAGAACGCATGGACAAATAGGTATCAATTTGGATTGTCCAGACAAATGAAAATTTCAGAAACAAACTTAGAAGATATTCGGCGTATCGACAGTCGGCGACGAATGGGCATTAATTGACTGAATCGATATTCGCCCACGATGTGAAGGTTTCTCCCCTCGACATCTCAGTTGTGATGACGCGGAATTCGACACCGCGGAGCGCAAACAGGCTCGTGAATTTGGCAGTCAAGGTCACCGCATTCGCATCAAAGTAGTTTGTACCCAAGACCAATACAACATATTTGAGATTGGGAGGCCGGTGTGTGCAGTTCTCCTCGAGCCTCGTGAGAGCTTGGTCGTAGACGGGCTCAGCTTCCCAGGAATCATGACAATTGAGATCGAGCAGGCGAAGAGATATGAGCGTCGGGGGAAGGATATCGAGTCGTTCCAGCTCCTTGACTATATCCTCCGTCCCAAAAAGCCAGAAAAAAGTCGTGGTCAGATGTTTCAGAGCTCTCATGTCTCCTAGATGGGGCAATATTGGTTCCGCGTTTTCTGGATTGGGTCTCTGAAGTGAATAACAGGTGAGAGATAACCGCTCTAGAGTTCCCGATAGGCTGAGGAGACCCTCGGACAAGCCGGCGATTGCATCGTTATTTAAGGGGATCCAGTCGGATGCGTAATCAAGTTCAAGGGATGTGAGGTTTGGAAATAGCGTTCCGACGTGGACGAGTTCCTCGGGATCGGACCAGACATCGATGATGAACAGCTCTCTTACAGACTCTGCAGAGAAATCAGGCACATCCCATTCCTTAAGAGCCTCCCGAAACTCATCCAAAGAATGGCGGAATTTCACTTCGACTCGATGGATCGGTGAGTTGAGCAGCAGCGCCACGAGGCTTCTCGTAAGAAAATGCGATGGAAGTCCGGGCCATGTTTATAGACTTATAGTTCGTAACTACTGGAGAGCCGTCTTGGGGACCCAGGGGGGCGTCAAGATCCCCATGAACATTTCATATCCGGGATAGCAAGGCATCATACCGATTCGATGATTCGGATGAAAGAAGAAGATTGACTTAAGATTGGGGGCCGTGGAAAAATGCCCCACCAGCACCTGCCAGTACGCCGCTTTGATTTAGCTGCTGAGGCCCATCCTTTTATATTTCTGCGCATCTTCTTGACTGTGCCATGCGATCGCTGCCCAGGACTAGGGGTCGAGATCAGGATATACTTCCGTAACGAAGACGTCCAAGCCGTCGAACTCGACTTCATCGATGTCTAGAACCACGGGCCAGGCGAAAGAAGTGAGCATCGAACGAAGGCTGACGTTGTTGCTGATGGTGCGGAAGAAGTGTAGTAGCTCCAAGTTGTTCGCCAGAATAACTGTTCGATAGAGGTATTCGATGGCAAGCGAGCGCATCCATTTCGAAGTAAGGCAAAGACTCGCAAACGACGACCTTGAAGTGAAGAATGACAGTTCAACCTCGGGATAGTGACAGTTAGATTCCACGGTAGTGAGGGATCCGGATGGCCTGAGATGCTCTAGGACATCCACAACCAGCTCTCGGGGAAGCCCTTGTATCGGACTGGACACGGACAACTCCTGACGGTCAGAGGACTCATGTCTAGCGGATGGCTCGGGCTCTGACATTGTTGAGCGTTGGGTAGCACGGTTGAGAAAGAGGGAAAGGGTTTGTTGACAGCTGCGAGAATAAAACGGGAAACTTATAGTTTGTTATGATTACTCTGATTACTCGGCGTTCATACAATGCCACCATGTGCCATCATGCGTTGTCATACTGGGCTACATACATATAGGAGATTGCAACTGCAGCTTGGAAGAGGGTGTCCTGTAAGAGGGTGTCCTGTAAGAGGGTGTCAAGTACTAAGTTTGAAAGCTGCTGGTGGCCTCTGTGACCAAGGTGAAGGAGGCCAAGGGGGGAAAATTTAGATATATAAGTTAAAAGCAAAGATTAAGAGCAGGAGTTCTCTGTATAAGAGGAATGCTCGAAACCCAACTGTTGAAGGAAGAACGTAGACATGAATGAAGATGCACAGTTGGACGTTATTCGATAATAACCCATGCAGCTCTGGTGAGTGCGCTGTAACATCCCTCGCTTAGCCCCTTGCTCTCTTATCTATGCTCCTGACCTCTGGGATTCCATTTGTGGACTTAAGCCGTGTTTAAACTGCCCGTTATCTGTACGGTCATTTCTTGAATTGATTGTGTATACCTCTATGATACTCTATGGTGCTGATGGGAGCTAGTCGTTACATAATGTAATAAATCATAAAAAGATACCTCCACTAACCATAACTAACCCCAAGATTATTGCCCTTGCTTCTTGTCTAATTCAGTCAGAAGCTCGCTCTTGGGATGTTCATCAACCCATCTTGTCCTTGGTAACTCGAATGTAGAACTGATGCGACCGTAGGAGATACCACCAAGTTGACCAATGGGGCGGAGCTTCTCTAGGCTGATATGGTCAGCTTCGTCATTAATTGCATCTTCTCGTACCCAGAACCTCGTCGCTTTTATCAGGACCAAACTCGCAATGCTCATCCCGCTGTTTTGATGGTCGCTGAACTCCTTGATGTCAACCACTTTCCCCTCAATGGAAAATACCGATTCCCGAACTCGGGATGGCTCAACGGTGGTTGTTGGGGCTTCATGAAGACCGGAAACCTCCCACTCTGAGACACCATATGGCGCATCAATCGATGAAGCATTGACTGCCTCTATCATGTTCTCAGAGACCGTGTTGATAACGCACTCCCCAGTCTCCTTTAGGTTACGATATGTATCTTTCGGCCCATTAGGGCGAGATGAGAAGCCTACGACAAACATGGGAGGGTCGTGGTCAATAACCTGGAAGTAGCTGAAAGGGGCCAGGTTCTTCGTCTTCTTGTCACCTGACACGGTACTGAGAAAGCCAATAGGTCTGGGTGCGATGCCTGACACCAGGAGGCGGTAGTTGCTCACCATTGGCCGGCCATCTGCGTAAGGGTCGATTTCCTTGTGGCTGACGTCTTCCTGGGAGGCAGATTGGCGGTTGACTCCTTGGCCATAGCTCCATTGAGGATCCGGATGCTTGGTGGTTGTGATGGGCTCATCGTGTGAGAATGCGGGCCGGCTGGCTTGTATCTTTTCAAAGTCGCCAAATTGTTGGACAATCTTGTAATTTTGTTCTGCCTTTTTGGCAGCCTCGGCTCTGGCCGAAGAGGAATATCGCACTATGGATGCGAACACAAGGCGTCGGAAAGTCGGCTGGGCAACATTGGTTCTATTATCATGAATTAGTTGTTGAGAAAGTAGACCTCGAAGTCGGGGAGGGTGTATTTACTGGCGAGTTAACCTCTCAAAGACCCTGTTTCGAGATATCATGCTGAGTAAATGTTGGAAGATGACTTGAAGGAGACCTGAAATTAAGATGGGTGGTCAATAAATTGGGGGACCTGTTGCAATTAGGTCGAGGGTATATATCTCAAAGGTCTTGCCCTGACTCAAGGATAAAATCACTTACCGTGAGCAACCTCATGGCGCCGGAACGGTTCTCCGAAGACTGGGGCTTGCAATTAATCAGCATCGAGCAGAGCGGGATTTGATCCCGGCCAACGATTTCAGATCGAGTCCCCACCGGCATCCACATGAACTAACATATGATCTTCCCCATCCTTGATATTTGTGTATAAATATATTCTGATGGGAGATATCATGGCATCTGCGCGAGTGGAGTGATCTTGGGGAAGATGATGGCTGGGTGCGCGGGGAAGCTTTCTTGGCTGCAGAAAGAGATGACCATTTACCTTCCGCACTGTGCACAATCATATGTGCACATGCAGAACAAAAGCTTCGCTGGCGCAATGGAGGGTTGCTGTACGACAGAAGTCCCGGCGAGGTTGTTCTGTCTGACAATCAGCTATGGCAAAGCCATCGGGGCCGAGGAATACCGCATTTCTCACTCTACATCAATGAGCAGCTCGTAAGAAGTTCGAGTAAAACATATGGGGTTCAATACACTGTAAATGCCGAAAGCTGTCAATGCTTTGATAATCACATGCCATCAGCAGGGGCTTATTCCGGCCGTTATGAAATACAGACATGACCCCACCCTCCCCAATGATTTATGATTATGGGCAATTATCCTCTCTCAATCAATGACCATGTCTTCTCAGAGTGTCCCAGCAGTTCGCTTTTCGGACGCTACACGCGTCCAGAAGCTCGACTCACATACGTACAGAGCGAATCTCGAAAAGGCATTCTGCATCGTTGCTGGTAAGTTAGAATCGGCTGCTTACATGTTTGACATCGTATGATCCTGCTGCTAATTCACACTCAAGTGCCCAATGGCGGCTACGCGGGCTCCTGTATGCTTGCGGCTGCGGCGGACCGCCTCGCAGAGCGTGGGCAGCCCGACATGATCACGGCGCATTTTGAGTACCCCGAGCGGACATTCCCAGGCCCTGCAATAATCAAGATTGAGGACATCAAGCTGGGGAGCAACATCTCACGGCTCCATCTCACGCTTTGGCAGGGCAAGATCCTCTCCGAGGCTCCCTGGATCGACCCTGCATCCTCCAGCCGCAAGATCCTCGCCTATTCAATCCATGCTGACCTCAACAACTTTGATGGCTTCTCTCTCCCCACAGGCTATGAGGTCACCGAGGGTGCCGCGTTGCCTCCCCAGCCTGATTTCAATCGCCTCAAAACGAAGGGGGGCGATGATGTGTGGGAGGAGCAGACTCTGCCCAAAGGCTCAGAGGAGTGGCACTCTTTGCGCAACTGGCAATTCTTTGTGCCTCGCCAGGGCCCTCTGACTCCCGGGGTGATGGATGTCTGGATCCGCCTGGCGAGTGGTGAGCGCATCGTGCAGGGCGCGCTGCCGTACGTGTTCGACTCGTTCCCCTACAATACCTACACCTTCCTGGTGTCGCCTGAGTTCCGAAAGCTCGTGGAACCGCCTAAGAAGAAGGCGGATGACAATACTGAGTCCAAGGAAACCCGCGCCGAGGCCGAGAACACGCGAGCCAATTTGTGGATGCCGACGTTGGTGATGAACATCGAAGCCAAGACTCGGCTTCCCGAGGAAGGGGTCGAGTGGCTGGCGATGCGAGTGTCGTCAAAGCAAATCAAGGATGGCAAATTCGATCTCGAGATTAATTTGAGAGACGAGGACGGAGAGTTGATTTCTCTGGGTAACCAGATTGCCATGATTGTAAGCATGGAGAAGAACACGAAAAAGAGAGACCCCAAAGCTGTGTTGTAGCTCTCGGGCGGGACTTGGTTAAGTGCCAGGCTATTGGCACCAAGAGCTGTACGAGAGAGGGACCACTGCTTGATCCAATTGGCATTTTTGTTTATCTAGAGAAACTTTCTCATTAGACTTGATTGTGGTTTTTACGCTACATCCTGTACTGTCTGTATCTACATCTTCCATAGAGGATACAAGGAAGGGCTGGAGGATATCCATGCTGCAATCATGTAGTTTTTAGAAGTCTTTCAAAGGCCACAGTACGCAATTTGACTAGATGGCCCATTGGAGCAACCTACCGCTTGTCTCGCACACCCAAGACCTGTTTAATCTTAAGACTATAAAGAATAGCATCACGATACGAGAAGTCGGGGAGACTCTAGCCAGGCGCGGGCTGTATAGTCGCAATTTCTTTGATCACCATCATAATCCGGTATGGTGTAGTGGCTAACATCGCTCGCTCTCACCGAGCAGCCCTGGGTTCGATTCCCAGTACCGGAGAATTTTCTTTTTCTTTTTTGTCACTCTGACGACCTGCTATCCTCTTTCTGCGATTCTTTTTGCGCCTTCGGTCCGTTGAAGGGTAGATTAGATTGACTTTCTAAATTAGGCTTCTCAACCTTCTATTGATAAATTGACCTTGGCGGAAACTTATGAGCCGCGGCTCTTAGACTGGCAGCAAGCTCGCAGAGAGTACAGTAGTCAATCCTTGCACCTGTAATGTGGCACGATGATGAGGCGTTGCCACCTGAGTTTCGGACTTCGGTGTTTGGATGCTTAATTGCTGTAGCCTGGCACAGGCAAACGGCCAGGAGACATCTGCTTAGAGACATTCATTAGGCTGCGATAAAGGGAACCGGTTTTCCAATCAATGCTACCTGCCTGTTTGTCACACAGTGGCGGTTTTGAAAGGGCTTTTTGAAACCTCCAAGTCCCATCCCCTCTCTGTCCAAGCATTTATGATCGCATCTCTTGCTGCTGGCCAGGTGATTGTTCACCAGCATAGCATAGCCCATTTCGCTCTCAAGTCCCCTCTTGACTTTCGTTCTACCTGGCGGCTCACTCACCGTGATATAATGATTGTCCTCGGACTTGATGTCAGCCTTTAGTGTGCCGCCACGACGTTAGCGGAAGGTGGCAGTGCCCAAATGCTGACAGGCCGTGCGTCAATGAAGCGTCCAGGGATAAATTGGCATGGGGTGACCTTCAATGCGAGGCCTTGGAAATTAGGCATTAATTAACTGCGTCAGAGTCGTGGCGACTTCAATTGCCACTTCTCACCTCCAGCTTCATTCGTCTCTCGACCAACCGCCCAAGAAACAATCCAGAACGAACGACCGAACTCACTTCGCAAAAAATTACTGAAAATCGCCAAAATGCTCTTCGGCAAGACTTTCCTCCTGAGTGCCATGCTTGGCCTCTCCCAGCTGGCTGCAGCCAATCCCACGCCTGACGACTCCAAGCTCGAAGCCCGACAGCCCATGGTCCCAACCTGCCGCATGGCCTGTCTAGACGGCAGCATCTGCTTCAGAGGGAAATGCACACCCAAGGCCAATGTGCCCGGCTACCAAGAGTCAGTGAGCGAGCTCAAGGTCCGCGTTCCCACATGCCGCAAGGCCTGCCCAGCTGGCCAAATATGCTACAGCGGAGGCTGCACGCTGCTGGCAAATGTTCCCGGCTACGCAGAGCAGCAACAAAACGAGATTAAATAGAGTGAAGACCTGGGTACTCTGTCATGTGGTTTTACGAATTATTCTTAGAATTGAATTGGGTTCTGGACTCTCAACGTCTGGGATAGGAATTACGAGCTTACGAGGCCGGCGTGTATAGTTGGAATTAAAACGAACATTGAACCGATGAATATATTGATTTATTTTACTGGACAAGCCGGAATAGCAACCTACTGCTTTTGTTCATGTATCTTCCGGTGCCCCTTGTTTACTTATTCAATAAGCTTTTCAAATTAGATACATATGCAATTGCTAGGCGCAGGTATATGTAAGGAGATTGAATGAGCTTTGATCAGGAGAAGAAATCATGCCTTAGCTCCCGCCTTCGCTCTTCTATGATCGCATCATCTTCTACTAGAATACAAAAACACAACAGTCTAACTACTTCTTGTGGTCATTGAAGAATGCCATCATTCTTGGAGAAATAGGAACCTTGGAGCTCCCCCCAGGGTAATCATGGTTCAGTCCCTCATACTTGATATGACGTTGCAAGCCCTTGATTCCACCACATGTCCAACTCTGCTCTGTAATTCCATCTGCAAGTTTGGTTGTAACGGGATCCACACATTTGTTTCTCCTCACCCAGCGAGAAAGCCACTCCGGGATGGCAGGAAGCTTGCCTCCGGCGCCGTTCCCCCCGTTGTATGGAATCGTTGTGTCCGCTGTACCATGCGATTCCAGGATGGGCAGAGGAGACTTATACGGGCTGCAGTTGTTATCACCAGTCAAATCAGTGTAAAGCGCCGAAGCGGCTCCAGCGAAGGCGGCAAAGTGCTTTCCGTGGGCGTTCGAGCAAGCCAGGGTGTTGACAAAGCCTCCACCATTGGAGTGACCCGCAGCATAGATTCGTGCCTCGTCGAGGCAGAACTTGCTCTTCATGCGGTTCACAAGGTCGGTGGTGAATTGGAGGTCGCTCACGCCAGGGACGGCGTACGATGGACCCTCCCAGCTTTTCTATTGTATGAAGTTAGATACATGGATTTTTTTCTTGCCGCCATGGTTTTGACTTTTATGTCATCATCGAAAGGGGGTTTACTCACATTGACGCCAGCTGGATAGGCCGCGATGATATTTGGGTATGCTTTTTCGTTGGAGAACCCGGTGGTTGATTCAAAACCAGCAGGGCTTCCGCCGCGGCCGTGGAAGCCCATCACTACTGGATAGGCCCTCTGCGGATCGTAGTTGGAAGGCAGATGGAACCGGTAGGTGCGATCACGGCCGCCGCTCTTGAAAGTCACTTCGCGAGATTCACCGGCAAAGTCGTACGTTAGTCCACAACCGGATGTCTTCCGAACTTCAGGATGGGCGCTGACTCCAGCGGGGAGGAGCGCAGAGGCGCAGAGCAATAGCGCAGAAGCAGTCTTGAAAATCATGATGAGAGCGGAAGATGGCTTAGTTGTTGATGGTTTAGTTGTCAGGAAGAGTTGTCCTAGGTTACGGGCTATCAAGCTACCTTATATAGATGTCAATGCCGATCAACGCACACAGACGTGTTCTTGCTCACAGGCTCAGTAATTCGTATAAGTATAGCAACTTCGCCAAGCGTAATTTGTGGGTTGCCTTAAACTGCATCTGACAAATATTCTCGGCCCTTATGGACTCAATGAGGCAATTGGCTGGTTTTCTTTAGGCAAAAAGAGGCCCATAATAGGTCAGGAGGGTCAAATGTCACGTTGGAGCAAGCGGCGTAGCATTTGAATTAGGATCTGATCAGCACTAAAGATACAGTGCTGATTACCTATGATATAGTTTTGACCTAATATGTAGTATACCTATGATGTAGTATTACTGGTGACTTCGTATTCATTATGTTGAGATGTCGGGTCTGGGTTCTTTCATTGCTGTTTTCTACTTGATACTCGAACTCTCATTCCGTAATATTATCTGTGATGTAAGACCGAAAAGTCTTTCAGTACAAGCACTTTCACTATGCCTTCTTTCGCCCGTAGGGGTTGACATAATTGAGAAAGCGATACAGTCACCAGACTGAGCCTGATGCTTTGGAACCCGCTAATATGCGATTTGTGCTCAAGAAACAAGAGATCAATCGTGATGATGGCCAGTATTCTAGCAAGAGAGGTTCACCTAAATTTCTTTGGTACCAAAGTCCGCCGCGTAACAGCGACAATTCCCTGACATTTCTTGAGCCTTCGACATCTCAGTTGGAACATTTCCAACACTGTATCAGCAACATCCTCTGTTGTTGGCTGAATGTTCGAAGACATCATATATGCCCCTGCCGTTAGCAAGATCGACAGGCTCGCCGTCGCAGCTACAGGGGCAATATATTGAAGGAGGACGTCGTCATCGCAGGAGCTTACATCTTGCTGATAACCATAGTCCCAGCGTGTCAAGTTGGAGCCTAGCCAAGTTAATATAGATAGGCTTTTAGTCAATGTTAAGCCAGACGCAAGTGCTTGAGTGGCTCTCTTGATGATCCTTGGTCTTGATGTTTGAATGTAATCCAAGTTGTTATCTGATCTTCGCTGGCGGATGGACTCTTTATATGTAAGGTGCGTGCAGGAGCGTACGGCTTGCGATGCTCTCGTTTTGCCACGCATCATGGTAATACACCATGATTGCTTGAATTCGTCTTAGCTTTACTAATGGTATGCTGCCAGCGACTTCCCTATAGTGGGATACTCGTAACAGTCTGATATTTGCGGCAAATGATATCGTCACCAGATCAACTCCTCGCTAGTAGACAATAGCTGCATATTTGATATAGCACTAAGGAGTTCAGACCCCGAGTTTCCTTTATCGCCTTGTTCTGGACGCCATTGCCCCCCCCCAGCTGGATTACCGGCTGGTGGAGAATCTTTTTCTTGTTGATTGCTACCATCTCGGTGTCGAATTAATAGTGTCCACGTCGTCTTCGACCGAGACGTCTACAACAGCATCTGCCTGGACCGTGGAAGCAACGCGTGGAAGGCAGTCTCTAGCAGTGTTTGTGACCCTAGCCTGTCGTGGCGCCTCGTGTAGTTGACATTGTCCACTGCAGAATCCTTTAGTAGTTAAAATGCCTGACAGCTAGAAGCTCGTACATTGGTACGTCTGCTGTGCAGACTAGTAATGTATATGATATCGGCTTCCTCAAAGGTGGCGTTTCCATTTCTCTGAGTTGATAGCTGAGTCTATTTTGGATGCAGCACTCTCAATCCTCTGCGTTCGGGAAATCAGTTCTTCTCTCAGCCGTGGCCAATCAACACCAACCAATTGTCCGTTCCTCTTGAGTGCTCTACCATCGACAATGACTGTATCGATATTTGATGTTGAAGCTTGAAAAACCACGGTGCCGGTGGGATTAATGATAGGCACAGTGCTTATGTCGTCACACTGAAAGATGTTCAAGTCTGCTTTCTTGCCGACGGTGATTGATCCGACGAGGTGGCTCATCCCCATGACCTCCGCCCCTCCCATGGTTCCCATCCGTAGCATTTCGTGGGTTTTCCGCGCAATCTTGAAAGGTAGGCTCTTTTCATTATCAAGTGCTCTTTGTGCCTGGAGGGCCAGCCTCATCTGAGCGATGAAGCTGTTGTTCTGGTTTGACGTGATATCGATGCCGAGGCCCGCCTTGCAACCTTTGTCTGCAGCTCGGAACACTGCAGGGAATCCCATGCCCATCTGCAACTCAGTATCCGGCGTGCCCACCAGACCAGCGCCGGCAAGTTGCATTGCTCCCAGCTCTTCGTCCGTCAGTGATGCGCCATGGCTAAAGGCCAGGTCTGGCCCCAGGAGGTCTTTGCCCGCGAGCTGCTGGACGATTTGTTTGTGATTTGTATCGTACGGACCCATAGCAACATGCATTGTTATGAGCCTGGCGCCAATCTCGCGCGCGAACGTAATCTGATCAATCGTGTCCGCTATCGGCTCTACTTCTGGCTCTGTTGGTGCGATGCCGAAAGTAAGCAGCTCCTGTGCTGGATCGTTGCTCTGGAAGTGTTCCCGTCTCACGCGTCGGGCATCCGCCACTCGTTTCGTGTGGTCGAACCCCGCCAAAACAGTACAGTCATTGTCCATCTGGGGATTCTCGTAAAACCCGTAGCAAAAGCATCCGCGAATGGCCGAGTTCTTCAAGCCCTTGATAGCGGCATCAGCGTGCTGCGGCGAGTTCATGATATGGCCATGCTCGAGAACGCATGTGATGCCGTTGTTGATCAGATCCAAACCCGCAATGTAGTAAGAAAACTCAGTGTCTTCTGCCGTGAAAACGCTTCCATAGACGTTGCGAATGGCGACGAGGTAATCCAACAGAGACCAGTCGAGGCAGACACCCCTGATCAACTGCTGCCACATGTGGTGATGGCCATCGATGAAGCCTGGTGTCACAATGCCATGTGAGACGGTAATCACTTCAACATGACCATCTGAAGGCGTCGTCAGGTTCTTCCCAACGGCTTCGATATATTGCCCCTTGAGCAGTACATCGCTTTCGGTCAATACCCCTAACTCTGGGTCCATCGTAATGACGGTGACATCCTTGATCAAGGTGTATTTAATTTCTGATTCCGACATGGCGATTTAGATGCTACTCAGCAAGGAGTCTGAGTTCTTGTGACGGTCGTACACTAGCGAAGAAAGCTGGGGATTATGTGCCATTGTGCTGCAGCTCATCTATATATCATGTAGGCATCACCAAAGCTGACGAGTGTTTGTGAGATTGCTTACTTTCCTGGCTTGTAAGTAAAATTAGGCTTTCCACATTACTTACTTTTTTTTAGTACTATGTAGGTAATTTTGGAAGCTTACTTTTTCCTAGTAGGGCAATTCTACTGCTTATCCCCTTGCCTGTGGAAATGCTTCTGGCTTGTGCGAACCTCACTCCACCCCTTGGTATTATTACGCAATGGACTATAACACTCCCGAAAGAGCCACATTCCACCGACGCCGCGCACGGCAATCCATCTTCCCCCTCTCAGTTCCCCAGGACATCCTTCCACCACACCAAGACCTATGAATCACCCGCCGATGAGGCCTGAGACTACAAATCCGTTCAAGTGACCACTCAGTGGGAATCAGTAATTGATGCGGGGGACACCAGGGGCTATCCCCTTAGCTACAGCTATTGTTGGAGCGTGGGCTCGTGAATTTCGTACTTCAAAACCCATAAATATACCTCTTTCTTCAAGGATAAAATAAGGTCATATAACGGCAACTGTAACTAGAAATAACCCTCCGGAACCCCCAGAGGGGTTAATTAAGCAGTTAATCTAATTAACCTTCCTTCCTTAACCACTATCTTATCCCTTGTTACAGACTATATAGTTCAATGCCCTTTCTAGGCTATTCTATAGTTAAGAATTGAATATAGCCTCATCCTGGGACCACAGCAGCTCAAAACTAGCTCGGATTGACTAAAACTAGCTTTTAAGAACTTCCCACCTGATCAAGGTTTGCTTGACTCCTGGACCTGGATCTGAGTTATCTTACTGGTACTCGCAACCTTGACACTCAAAGCCGTGACACTGGCAGTTCCTGTGATGTCTAGAAGTGGGATATCGGCTCCCAAGGTCTTGACAAGGAAAGTACGGAACTCCATTGCAATCAAACTGTCAATTCCGTTGGAACTGACCGACTTGGATGGGTTGATGTTGTCGATTGGTGTCGCCAAGAGTGCAGAGAGCTTTGTTCGCATAGCTTCCAGCACCGCCGCAGCTGCTTCTTCCACCGTCGTCGCGCTGGCCAGCTGAGCCTGTATCTTCAGCATGCCGTCGGATCCCGGCCGATCTGAAGTTCCTGATCCGGCGTGATTCTCAGCGCGAAGATGGGTGAAGATTGGATTGGAAAGATATGTCGGCACTGGCATGCCCGCCTGACGGAAGTTGGCAGCCGGAGTGACACCAGAAACCAGGTGGCCTGTGGTAGGAGTCAATTTGGAGCGAGGATCCATGAGATACTCCACCAAGTGTTGGACCTCCTCTTCACGGATTGCTTCGTGCACCGCACCGGAAATCTTCGACATCATGTCTGCATTCTGGTGCTCGGCAACGTAGCCCACACCGAGGACGGTACCGAGGTCGAGAACAGAGCATGGAAGATTGTTGGTAATGCGGTGTCTTGCTAAGGCATCTTGGAAGACGTTGCCGGCGTTGTAGTTTGCTTGGGATCTGTTTCCAATCGTGCCTGCAGCTGACGATAGCAGGACGAAGAAGTCCATATCCCGTGGTAAAAGATTATGGAGGTTCCAGGAGCCGTGAACCTTGGGTCGTACGGCAGTCATGTATGTCCCATGCGACATATTCTCGAACATCCTATCGTCTAGGACCATAGAGCCTTGGATGCAGCCCTTGATAGGAGGCAGAGTCTTCTGGCACTCATTTAGCACCTCCTTCATCCGTGCGGCATCACTGGTGTCACATTTCATGACATGCGACTCGCAACCTTTCTGCTTCAGTTCAGCAACCATGTCCTCTGCATCTCCCTTGATTTGGCCACTTCGGGACAGGAAAACGAGATGTTTAGCGCCCTTGTCTGCCATCCATCTCGCTAAGCTTCGGCCAATACCGCCTAGACCACCTGCTAGGATGTATGTGGCATCGGCACTGAGCTCACAGGGAGGAGGCTGGAGCGGTACAATAGGTAGAAGATCATCTGATCGAGGCACAAAAACCATTTTGCCAATACCTTTTCCGGATTGCAGGACTCGGAATCCGTCGGATATCTCTGAGAAGGACATGACCTTGGTGGGCTTTGCTTCTCCAATGTGGCCTTCGCTGAAAAGCTGCATCGTTCTCTCCATGAGGTTGAGTGCAACGTTGGGCTTATGGCGCATAACGGTCGGGAGCTCAACGCTGGTCATCGTGACGTTACGGAGGAAAGGCCCAAGGCTGATACGACCGTTCAACTGAGCGTCCTTCTTCCCTATCTCCACGAAACGGCCCAAGGGAGCTACAAGGTCCCACGAGCGGCGGTATAACTGGTAGGTCAGTTAGCGTGCGAAAGTCATGATCGTTGCTGGAGTGTCTTACCTCGCCTGCTAGCGAATTGAGAACAACGTCTACGCCACGATTGTTTGTCGCCCTCTTGATTCCCTTCACGAATGTGGCATCTCGGCTGCTAAAGATGCGTTCGTTGGGGATACCGTACTCATTGATTAGTAACTATCAGATTTGTTAGTACAACTGACATGCATTCCTCCATCTGTCGTAAAAATCATGGCTCACCTCTCGTTTCTCAGGGGTAGACACAGTGGCATAAATCTCGGCGCCCACGTATTTGGCATAATGTATCGCGGCTTGGCCAACACCCCCGGCTGCTGCATGAATGAGGATGGTCTCTTCTTTTTGGAGTCCGGCAGCATTTTCCAGACCATACATGACGGTACAGTAGACGCAGAGCAAACCCGCAGCAGCCTGAAAGCTCACACTGTCGGGAATCTTGACGGTGGTTCTCTCTTCGGTTCTGCCGTAGGTCTGGAAACATCCAGCCTCAGCGATGCTGCACATGAAGGCTACTCTGTCTCCAGGTTGTATACGAGTAACCCCAGGCCCAACACGTGTGACGATACCTACATAATTAGCCAAGATCCGAAAGATAGTTGAAGATTAGTGAATGGAAACATACCTGTTGCCTCAAATCCCATGCTTGTAGCCATGTATTCACCCATAGCTACAAGTAAGTCACGGAAGTTGAGACCCACAGCCTTGATATCAATCTCAACCTCGGTGCTTCCGAGAGGCTTGTCATACAGCTCGTCAGTGACCCATTCGAGCTTGTCTAATTGCCCTGGAGATGATGTAGCAAGCTTCAATGGGCGACCTGCCTCGCCAAGGCGCTGTTGGACAGGAAGGGGGCTTCTCAAGCGAGATGTCAAATATTCATTGGCAACATCAGCATCGACCAGACGGTTAGTGCGGAAGCTACCAGTAGAAGTGAGAGTGAATTCGCTGTTGGCTTTTTCCTGAGGGAGGTGTTGAACAAATTGCTGCTTGAAGAGCCGGGCCAAAGAGGACAGAAGTTGGTCTTCTTGTAGTGCAGGCTCCTGGATAGAAAGGATCGCGAGATTTGCCTCCTCAATATCACGTTCCCATCTTACCGTGCGAATCAGGCCCGTGATCATGTTGAGATGAGGATGAGCTACTGTGTCGCCGGTAATCCAAAGTAAGGCACCACTGGTTATCAAAAGTTGCCTGATATTGATGAAATCCTCCTCAGACGGGCTTGACAGGATTTCATTCTCCAGCTCTATGACGGAGAGACAGACACTCTGGCTCACATCTGTACTGGAAATATCCAGGTAGTGGAGCACTGTGCAGTCTGAAAGCTTCAGGTTTTGAGTGAGGTAATCACGCAATTTCGAAGCAAAACCGCCCTCCTCCCGAGATGAGTTAATGATGAAGACCTTCTCCCACTGGGGCGAGGATTCGACCTTCTCTGCACGTGCCACGATAACAGACTGTGAGTGCAAGTCAGGGTCATGCCGATCTGCTAGGTTGAGCTCGACACCTCCAAAACCAGCGTCTTTCAGCATCGTATCCCACAAGGGGATTGGAATCCACGGACTCCACTTTCTCTCAGGTTCGACGGCGAGCCACCATCCAGGTAGTTGCCCGAAGGCGATGCTCCATCCAAAGTCATCGTGTCTGACACCCTCTTGGAGGACAAGCTTACCACCGGGTTTCAGCATCTTTTGCAGATTAGAAAGCGTCTTTCGTAAGTCCTGCGTAGCATGCACGACATTTCCAGCAAATACGTAGTCGTATGAGCCTAGAGCAAGACCTTGTTTATCACCGCCAGTTTCGATGTTGAAAGTCTTGAATTCCATGATGGACTCATGTGCTTTAAATTTGTCCTTTGCCTTGTCGAAGAATCTAGCCGAGACATCAGTAAAGGTGTATTTCGAAATTCGTAAGTCATCGAGACTCAAGGCGTCCTTATTCTCGCCACCTAGGGGTGCAAGAGCTTCAAGTACCGGCACGGTTGAACTTCCAACTCCGGCACCAACCTCAAGAATATGAAGATTTGTTGAGCTTTCTTTGACTGCGTTGAGGAAGGCGCGATTATATGTTGGTAGATCACCAAGTGCCACAAGGTCTGAGTACACGCGATCCAGCAAGTCGTCAACGCCAAACATCAGATGAAGGGGATCGACCTCCTTCTTCAGAACTTTGACAATGTTGGATCCCATTCGCATGGCGAGCTTCCCCATTGGCCCATCATTGTCAACTTCGTCATAAAGTGCCTCTTTGAGCGCTTGATCGGCGTTGTATTCCTGCCACTTGCTCAACTTCAGGAGTCGCACTTCGTCATTGTCTAGCCAAGTCTTGACTTGCTTCATCCACTCGTAGTAGTTGACGAAATGGCCTTCGATGACATTGGTGTCGAACCTAGGATCCTGGATTTCTTGAAGTGCATCTGTGACCCTTAACACTGTGGCTAGCTGCCACTTTTCGATCCACGCTTTATACGCAACTGCCTTGTCGTGAGGTTCAAGGTCAGTCACATCAAGGGCTTCTTTCGTAAGAAGGTCTGGATCAAGAGGAGTGATAACGCTGTGACAAAGCTTCCGTTCCTTCTTGAAAGTCTCGGCCGAGTCAAGAGGAGAGCTGCGGATTCCTCTGACCGTGAATAGAGGTTCTTCGCTAGACTCGTCCCAGATAGTGACTTCACTTTCGAACTTGTCGTATGCCAAGAGTGTGGACTTTCCGTGGCCGACATATTTTTCTCCTGGCGCTTTGCCAACCTTCGCTGAAATCCAAACCTCCTTCAACAAGGTTGGGACTATGGCACGATCAAGTGTTTTTCGCTTGTTCCCATCAACGACAGATACAATGAAGAGATGCATGAAGGCATCCATAGTTGCGGGCTGGATTAGATGGGGGTGTAAAAACTTGCTCGGCATAGTTTCCTGCACGTCCGGAACAGTAACAATTCCGTATGCCTCTCTTGACATGTCCGGTGTGCACCTTACATCAGACAGATTTCTGAAGAGAGATCCGAGTCCAATACCAGCATTAACCCAGTCTTCGTATGTTCTGCTCATGTCTAGTGGAACGGAACATGTTTCCCTGGCTGCTGCAAGATGCTTAGCCAGGTGGGCCTTCTCTTCTCGAGCCTCCAACCCTTCGTCGATGGGATTGTTCGCAGTCTCGTAGTCTGTGGCCACATAACCAGTACAGTGTTCGACCCAATCTTCGTTGATGGCATCGTAGCTTGACATATTGAAGCGCTTCCAGATTGCTGAGCCCTGAAGACTGGCCTCGTCCATTCGTGTGAAGGACAGGATGACCTCTACGCCCTCCTTTCCTTCAGGAATTATGAGAGCTCGCTTCAGAGACACCTCCTTGAGCCTCAATCCGGCGACTTTTTGACTGGGGTCGGCGAGCTGTAAAGATGCTTCCACTACAGCTGTTAGATATCCCACACCAGGAAGGATGACAAGGTCCGTGATGACATGATCCTTCAGCCAAGGTTGCTCCGTGGTGCGGAGCATATTCCTCCAACGCGGGAACTCATCATTCCAATCAGGAACTGGGGCACCGAGAAGGTCAAGACGGTTATGTTTTCGCAGCCGGTAGTTTTTGCTCAGACGACTCTCGAACATGTTGCGGTCAGTATGGTTGAAGGAGTATGGAGGGAGATCGACAAGCATTTCGGGCCTAGGACCTGCTTCTTGCCGGTTCACAGCTTCAAGATCGACCTTGAGGCCCTGCGATGCAGCAAAGCCTACTGCTTTGAGGATAGTGGTCAAGCCTGGATTGCTTCGGTCCAGAACGGGGAGATACTTGTAATGAGAGGCGCTCACGCGGCTAGCTAAAGTCTCCTTTACGGAGCTGCGCATAGCCCCATGAGGGCCGACCTCGAACAAAGTATCAACGAAGATATTCTCAGCGTTGGTGTTGAGTTTTAGAGCAGCCCGACCGGTCTTAACACGACTGAAGCACATCGCAGTCACTGCTTCGTGGAAGCGAACGGGAGAAACCATGTTCTCGACCCAGTAAGAAGCGCCGAGATGTTGCTCACTGACGCGCTCACCAGTCACACTAGAGTAGATCTCAATGGAAGTATCTTCAACACCCTCGGAACTCAAATCGCCCAAACTAGCGAGATATTCATCTGCAACCAGTTTCATGTGAGCGGAATGGTAGGCATTCATCACGTTAAGTTTACGTGCAAAGATATCGCCAACCGAATCAAGGATCTCTTTCAACTCGTCGATCTTAGCCTCATCACCTGAGACAGTCTGGTTGGCAGGGCTGTTCAAGCAGGCGATCACCAGTTCACCGTCCAATGCTTGATTGACCTGGTCAATGTAAGGCTGTAACTTATCGCGGGACAAGCCTACAGCCATCATGGCTCCTTTGACATCAAGCTTCTTTGCGGAAACGTAGCCTCTGAAGTAGGCCGTCTTCCAGGCTGCTTCACGGCCAAGTCGATTGGCAGCATATGCGGCCGCAATCTCACCGGAAGAGTGTCCTACCACACGACTGGGGACAATACCCCAGCTCCGAAGCAGATCAGTAACTGCCATTTGCAAGGAGACGCATGCGGGGTGTGATAACCAAGGTTCATTGACTCTAGAGGCAGCCTTGTCTCGGGAGAGCTCCTCGATAAGCGACCATTCTGCGCCCAGCGACTGGAAGTATGCTGTCGCTTCCTCGAGATTTTGCTTGAATGAAAGATACGCGAGGAGTTCTCGACCCATAGCGAACCATTGGCTTCCTTGACCTGTGAATATGAAACCAATCTTGGTGGCTCCTCGAACTCGTATAGGATTGAGCTCCCCTTCAAGGCTCTCTATGAGACTCTTTGGGTCTGAGCCGATAGCGAAACTCCTCCATGGGAAAGTGCCCCTTTTAGATGACAGTGTGTACGCTAGTCGGTTAAGATATTGTGTACTCTGGGAAGCGTGGAGTGTCCCTCTCGATTGAAGTTCTGAGAGATGGGTTGCTAAAGCCTTTGCGTTTCGTTCTACACCACCCTCGTCGAATGAAGACAACGGGAAGATTTTCGGAATTTCACTGCCAGTCTTGGTGCCATTTGTTCCATTGGCTCCATTTGACCTGTTGGTGCCAGGCAGGACTTTCTCCACGCTTTCCTCGCCATTTGTAGGATTTGAATCATGATCCTGGCTGGTGTTCTGGGCAGCTTCAAGAGCTTCAAGTGTATGCACAAGCTCAGACACTTTTTCGGGAGACGGTTTCTCAGATACTGTGTTATGCGGCGCGACAATGCCCCGATCTTTCAAATAATGATAGGCATCGTCCAAGATGGCATGAGAGTTGGTGCCTCCCACACCAAAGGAGTTCAGACTAATACGCCGTATTCCCTCTGTGGGCCATGGCATTGTTTCCAGTGGGAACTTGATGTTCCATTTCTTCACTGGTATTCGTGGATTGGGCTTCTCAAAGTTTTTGTTGGGGGATAGAATTCCATTCTCAAGAACAAGAACGCCCTTGATAAGTCTTGGGCATATCGTGTTAGCTTTCAGTCAATTTTGAAATCACGGGCAAAGCCAGATAGGAAAACTCACCCAGCGACCCCTGCTGCGCCTTCGGTGTGCCCAATTGCAGACTTCAGGGCACAAACGTACAAAGGATCCTCCTCACTCCTCCCGGGTGAGAATACCTTGGCGAGGGCACTTGCCTCCAGCGGATCACCAGCACCGGTACCGGTACCGTGAGATTCCACTATACGTGTGTCTTTGGGGTCAAGCCCTGCATTTGCATAGACGGTTTTCATCAATGCCTCCTGAGCCTGAGCGCTAGGGAGAGACACACCTGCCGTACGCCCGTCTTGGTTCACGCCAGTGCCTCTTACCACGGCTCGGATCGTATCTCCATCTCGTAAAGCATCACGAAGACGCTTTACGATGACTGTGCCCACGCCCTCGCCCCGACCGTAGCCTTCAGCACGATGGTCGAAGCTGTAGGAGCGGCCATCCTTGCCAAGGAAGCCGTGATGTGACATGCCGACCACTTCCCCAGGCGTATAGAAAATCGTCACACCACTGACAATTCCCTAAGAAAAAATAAGAACATGAAATCAATAAAGGTTGTGATTACTCACCATGTTACTCTCCCCGTTGAGAAGACTTTGACAGGCCAAGTGCATGGCCACCATACTGCTCGAGCAAGCAGTATCGATGGTCACACTGGGACCGACAAAGTTATAAAACCACGATACACGGCCAGCCAGCAACGAGTTACTGGTGCCAGTTGGCTTATATTTTGTTGTCAATTCCGGGTCTGAGCTTAGTAGAAGCAGATGCTCATGGTTGAACCCGGAGACGAAGACTGAGGTGTTGGAATTGCTTGCTTCTGGAAGTGAAATGCCAGCTGTTCAGGGTTAGCTTGGGAATACATAGGCCTCATTCTTGGAGAAACAAGAATTATATTGGCGTCGTAACCTACCATTCTCCAGTGCGTGATAGACATTCTCAAGAAGTACTCTCTGTTGGACGTCCATTGTCAAGACCTCCGTCTTTGTGGTGCTGAAGAAGGGGGCATCGAAATATGCAGGGTCCTTGGCCAAAAAGTGGCCACCTTTCACTGCAAACTATCACAGGCATTAGGTAGAAACATCAAACAGAATGTGTCAAGTCTTACTGTTCCTCCATGGTCTGGATTTGGGTGGTAGTGCCCTTTACTGTTGATACGATCTTCAGGGAAATCGCTCCACGCAGATCTACCCTTAATGAGGAAGTCCCAAAAGTTTTCTGTTGTCGATGCATCTTGTGGAAAGCGTGTTGCAAGACCAATGATGGCAATGGGCTCGGATGCATCACCAAAATCGAAGGCATTCCAGTCCTGCTGGGTCTCGGCGACCGGCAACTTGTCAGTGCCGTTGTGGCCGTTATGCAACCCCTCTCCAGACATATTTGTTGGAATTTTTTTCAGAAGAAGGGGATATATTGTGAAGTATCACGGGCGATGGGAATATGAGATACAGCGAGTCCGTTCTTCCTTAAGAGGGGGCTCATTGATATGGGTATTCACCGCCGTGGATTGAGTGAGAACCCCGCTACTCTTGGTGAAACGCATTCACTGCTAAGGATTTTACTTAGCTCTGAATCAAGCGCTTGGGTTTATGTGTTCTTATCATCCCTGTAACGACTTTGTTGGCACGCCTTTAGGGACAAGTTGGGATAACTGGTCACGGCTGCTCATATCTCACACCCCCCATACGCCAAAGTAGAAGATACATGGTATTGTGCTGTCCTAATTTGTATATCGGGCCTATTACTAAGGAGAAACTGCTCCAATGCAAGAACATCCAGTACTATCATAGGATTATCAGTCCTGCCACGCGTGGACCGGGCATCCAATCCCCCCTTCCTCGACATATCCGGGTTCCCCTATCAGCAAACTCCCTACGTGATTCACTGTTAAGGCTCTGTTGTGATCCTATTAGCCCATTGCCGAAGGATTCGGTGCTTCCCAGTTTGCTGGCCAGGGGATAGGCGTTGCGCAGGCGTTAATCCATGACACCATAGTCGGAGACCGGAGATGCCCCAATCAGAATTTTGATTGATTGTAGACTGCCATGTGGGTTACGTGCCAGAGACGTGCTTGGCCACTGGGCTCCCTAGAATGATTGATCCTAACAGTGGAGAAGTCTCCGTGGATTTGAGCTCCCCATGGGGGCTGAGCCGGTGAGGTTTCGGACCGTGAGCAAAGTTGCCCCTGTCTCTTCATCCTGCAGATGAAGCGCGCAGAAACTCCCCCATTCAGTGATCGCCGAAAGCCGTCACAGCAGGAAAGACTGGACGCGTCCTCCTCATGCTTACATACATCTCTGAATCACAGAACGCTTGACACATGACCATCGTCCGGTTTCCAATACCAAAGAGGGGTTACCCTGATGTAGCAATATGATCGCTATTCACACACAGGGGAAGCCCCTGGCGTGCCGACTGTTGAACATCCGGCCACGAATGCCGGCGGATCTATATTTACCCTCGCAGCCTCGGTTCCTCACCCATTCAATCGTAGATCACTTGCGCGCTAAATGCTCACTACTTATGTACGCGTTAGAGACTAATTAATTGTCCGTGAATCAGGGAATCAGTGGGCCGCGTGCAAGCGTTCACTTTACTTACCACACAGCATGGGACCCATGGAAGGGAACTATTGTCTAGTGTCAGCATCCAGTGCATGCCACCGACATTGGGCCATATTGACGCATCCCGGTAGTTTGATACAGGCTTCAAGGATCGTAAACGGTAAATGACTACATAGTCACGCATTGATATGACTGTATTCGTTACAGCTGGATAGTACGCTCAGACATGAGCCAATAAGTATATAGACATAAGACCAATGTACACCCCTAATACCAGAGTCAACAGTACAACCAGTACCTGTTGTTCAACACGACAACGGTGAAGAGAGAAGTATAGTACCGTTAATCTGCTCTGCCAATCACCGCCTGCTGATGTACACATTCAACGGTTGTGATCCTTGAGCCCTGTACGCGTCATAATTAGGGGCATTTGGATCCTTGTGCCCATCCCATGTTATAACTGTGACCTATAATAGGTTCTTTGCCCGAGATCTAGGATTTATCGACCAAATTGCTACATTCCCGATGATTCAGCCTCTCCGATAACGGCCTTTGATACTGACAATTTCGCAAAAACCTTTCTCTGTCCATCCGCCGTGAAGCAAAAAAGTGATACTGGCATCAACTCGAGTCTCCAGCGGCTGACCATTGCATCATGCGTATACTTTGCTTGCACGGACGTGGCTCGAACAATGAAGTAAGCTCCCCAACAACCCGGCCGGGGCACAATGCAGTGAAATGTGCAGCCAAGCTCTAACCATGTTAAAGATCTTTCGTATGCAGACAGGTTCGTACAGCATATTTTTCAGATGGTCCGCACGTAACGCCAAAGCCACCGGACAGGTAGACGGGACAGATCGCCCCCTACCATCACTGGAATTCTAGGATGATATTAACTTCGCAGAACAGCGGCTATCAGAGCCGACTTAGAAGACTTCGAATGGGAGTTTGTCCAAGGAACCTTTAGGCACACTGAAGGTACAGCCCCAGCTCAAAAGGCACCTGATGCTTCGTAAATCAACTGGTCCAAGAGTTAATCCCTATGTTCATCTCAATAGGCAACTGGTCTCTTTACACCACCTCCTTTTCAAAGCTACCGCTCTATGGCTACTACTACCCGCTGGACCCCGCCTCCGTTCTCCAAGCAGAAGAGGACCTTTTTGCCATAATCCGAGAAGACGGCCCCTTTGACGGGATACTCGGGTACTCTGGAGGCGCGTCCTTGGCCGCGCAGCTCATCATCAAGGATCGAATGGAGAACCCCCTCGCCCTTCCACATGAGCGGGCTTTTCGATTCGCCATCTTTATCAACGCCGCATCGCCACTTAACTGTTTCTCACTCGACGACTATGCTGAAGGTGACTTGGTGATTCATGAGACCATCAAGGGGAGCATTGCAGAGGAAGCAGCGGATATTGTCATGAGACCTTCGGCCCTGCGCAAGAAGGCAGGCATAGATAATGAAGACCAACCAGATGTGGACGCTGTGAAGGCAGCATTCGCCAAGTTGAAGGGTGTTACGCTGCCCGATGGCAATCTAGGCTTTACGGATGGTGAATATGGCATGGTAAGATACAACGCGGTGAGTGAGGATACGTTGATCGATATTCCCACCCTCCATGTTCGCTGTCCGGCCGAGCACAGACATCATGGATTGCATCTCTATGAAATGTGCGAGCCTAGCACAGCTCTGGAATACCATCATGAGCATGACCATGATTTCCCTAGAGGCAGAACCGAGATGAAGCGGATAGCCGAGCTTATCAGAGAAGTAGCAGATAGTGCATAGAGTTAAGTTGATATTGCCTTTTAATCCGTTCTATGTTGATACTAAGCTCATGGTATCTGTGACTTGCTCTCAAAGCAACGAAATCTCCGCAACTGTAGCCCCAGAGGCCTTGTCCGGCCCCTGTGTTCCCTCAACCATGAACTTTACTTCACTAAACTCCCATTTCTTCTCCAGACGCACCTCAGTCGTGTTGGCCTCGGGGACCGCAACTTTCTTTACCTTTTCTGGGTCGTATGGAGAGGAAATATTTACATCATCTACCCTGAGCATCTCGATCCACCCGTTACCTACCTTACCATGGACTGAGAATGATTTTGCAGGTACAGCAGCCCAGTTCACCAAAACACTGCTCATCGATTTCGTCTCCCCAAGATCGATGATGATGGAAGTGGCATCGGCTGTAAGGGGCTGCCAAACTGTGTCCGCGGACCCGTCCGCGGCGGCCACCGGATGACGGCCTGCTACCCAAGCGGCCGCAGCACCGGATGACTCTGATCTTACGGGTTTACACTGCGCGATGTTACCCAAGACAGAAGTACTGGTGAGATCGGGCCTTCTCGTATCGATTTTGATCTTCTGTCCAGGCAACAATGTGAAATGCTTATCGAGATGTCGGATGACCACATGGCCAGCTCCATGAGAGACTTTGCGCCGTGAGATGGTCGTGTATTGAAGCCCAATGTCAAAGTCAAGCACGGCTCCCCGGTATTTTATGCCTCGTACCTTGATCCCTTCTGGAAGCTGGGGTACCATGACTGGGTCTATGACGAGAGCGTCAGCTTCGGCTCGCATCCCTGTGAAGCCGTGCGTAAAGATCTGCAGGTATCCCCCATAACCTGTAAGAAATGGGAAAGCCGCGGTAGTCCCTTCGGTACCGAAGTACTCTTCTAGGATGGACCAGGACGAAGATCCATCGCTCCAAGACCACGTGTCGGTTCGTTGCTCACTGAATTGTTGGAAAGGGTCACGCAGGTATGGTTGCGACGCTTGGAGCAGATATGTGTACCCAGCACAGCCGGTTGGGTGCAGGTGTAGCGCCGCGATGGCGTAAATTGCCCATGTCATTGCTGGCCCGTCTGGTGTTGTAGTTCTCGCGTACTGTTTCATGACTTTAGTATGGTATATCAAGATAAGTGGCGGCAGCAATGTTACTCACGAATGCCAAATCATTCAATGCTTGCTCATCCTCTATCTTCCATCCTAGGGGATATGAGAGCAAGGCTACACTGGCCTGTTTGATGATCACTGTGCCATCCATTCCATCATATTCAAGAATGATTTTTTCCTTGTCGTTATATGGGATGGTAAGGCCTTTGGCAATGGCAGACCAGTTTGCTGAAATACTCTCTTCCTCCCCGATCAGTTTCGCTGCTGTCGGTGCCCACTCTCCAAGAAGTAGCTTGATGCCGGCATTCGTGAAAGCCCCGTTGTTGATATAGTAAGCAAACTCGTCCTGTATCCATATTTGTTAATTTAGGTTCATGTATGCGAGGCGGCGTACTTACCGGCTCTCCGAGGACCAGTGTGTCGTACCGGCCAGTCGTCTTGTTGAATACGACATATTCGGCAAACATATCTGCTACATTCTTCAAAATTGGCCAAGCATGATCTCTTAGCCATTCGACGTCGCCACTGTGCAGATAGTAGTCCCAATGTGACATGGCAATATCGGTATTGAGATGATACTGATATAAAGCGCAGATGCCAGTTCCTGTGCAGTTGCCATATCTCCCACTCGTCCAGGGGTACAGAGCACCAGGCCGATTATAAAGCTGAGAGTTCTCCAGTGCTTGTGGGAGCAGCCTTTGTCTATAGCTGAGAATTGGTTTCGCGCGCTCGGGATGGAGTGCAAGCAGTGACGGGTACATCCATACATCAGCGTCCCAGAACACTAGCCCAGCATATGAGTCGCTGCTCAAACCACCCACAGATATCGAATTTTGTGTCATGCCTTTAGGTGTGGTTTCTTTGTCGGGTATTGAGTTTGACAATAGGTGAAACAAGGCTCCTCTAACCGTTGTCTGGACCTCGGCATCTCCAGGAACCACGATGTCAGCATCATCCCATACGGCAGCCCAAGAGTTCGAATGTTCCTGCACCAAGTCTTCCCAGGATTCTCCAAGAGAAGAATTTACTGTATTAGCCGCGATAGTCTTGGTGTGATCAGGAAACGCGTCCGAGGAGGCAATCCCAACATGTTTAATAATGCTGATAGTTCTTCGCTCGTCTTCGGCCAGAGTAAGGTCCCAGCTCTGAGCGATGGTGCTTGCATCCACAGATACATGTGCTTTATCTCCAGTAGCATCCTTTCGAGATGCAACCAAGAGTTTTGTTTCTTCCGGGGATAATCCCAGAAATTGAACTTGGGAGACAATGTAAGCTGTGGTATCTCCAACACCAAAGGGCTTCACGCTCGTCCAGATGCGGTTTTTTTCTTCGAAACCTTTCTCATGAAACTCAGACCGAACAGCCCCTCTACCGTCAATAATGTCTCTGATCTTGACGGAAATTGGGCCATTAAACGTCAGATCAAGCCTCACAAGTCCGAGTGTTGGCCGATTCTGATGAGCGAGAACAGTGAAGTTCAGTTGTAAGGGAGTCGCTACTGATTTTGGTTGCCATTTGACATTTGTTGTTACAACTCCATCTATCAGAGACTGGCTTTGATTGTAGTCTACCACGGTATGAGGGCTAACGCCAGGCTGATAAGTCTCTCCAGTAGAGGTGGACACGGTCAGAGCCGTCCAATCCGGGATTCCTGCGATGACGCTTTCACCGCCTCGTGCAACGTTCTCCCATAAGATAGGATGCGTGACCCTTTCTTGTAAGTTCCAGAACCCGGATATGGTACCAAATGTTGCACGGTCTTGGTCGAGGGGCCATCCTACGCAGTCCAGGGTCAGCAAATTGAATGCCATCTCATTGAAGAAGCTAATGTAATTCATCATAAATCATACCATTTAGTGCTGGTGTCCCATCTTCATTTTGAAACACCCAATACCCAACGCCCTCGGCGGGCAGAGCCTGTCCAAAATAACCATTACTCACGTACGGCGCTGCTTGATACTGATTTGGGGTGAATTTATTGATCCTCAGGGTGTAGTCTATACGATCGTTGGACGCGGTGAGCGGCCATGTGAAGCTAAAGTCTTCTAGATATGACGATAGCCTTGAAACAAGTGCCGCTGCGATGAGGAAGAATATGGCGATCGAAAGGGTCCGGCTTGAAAGAAATTTGTTCCGGCTAACGTCATTGCCTTTGCTCACTATAACCGCCTTTATTAACACGCGTCCTACCCAGAGCTTCTTCGGACTTACTCTTCTGCGTCATGTTGTCTGCACTCAAAGCTCAATGAGGTTCTGCGTTATTCGCACTTGATCGACCTTGAAATCTTCTACAATAACGAGACGCGGCTGCCCGAATACTCCGAAATCCGACACCGGGGTTGGCGAAACTTACTCTCACCCTGCCCCTCACATGTATCAAGCCAGGAGATCCTCCAGAACATGGGCCGCACAAATGCTCCACTTCTAAATCCTATGTACACCCTTTTGTACTGAGTACGTAGCAAGGGTATTTATTCTCAGACAGAAGGGCCTATATCGTAGCATATCTCCACAATGGGGTGTGCACTTTGGGAAGTTTCGCATGTTATGTGGGTGTTGAAGGAGCCAGGCCAGTCATCAGCATAACACAAGCAGTGAGTCGCGAGTCAAAGGCTTACTTGCGTCAGTTAGAGACCCTGTGCGAAATAACTTGCACCATGTGCCTTGTTGAGGCTACATTAACAATAAAAATGACTGAGTCACATGCAAATAAAAACCGTGGATAATGTTTCCTTCTCTGCTGTGATGCAGAGGTACACCGCCACGCTGCCTAGAGCCCATTCACAGCTGATTTAGGAAGCTGGATTAGAGTCATATCTACATTGTTTCTTCAGTTGTATCATTCACAGGGTTTCTACTTCAGTGCTGTACTAACATGCGGCGCCAATTCAAAGTACCATCTTTGATAAATGAATGGAGGAGCATTGCGGAAGGAGGAGTTTATTTCAACTTAGGTCTGGGTCCATCTCTATCTGATACATCCACACACCTCGGACAGTCAGCTGATTTCTCGCTTCTTGCGACCGCTATCTAGGCTCAGTATCGCAACACCATTTCGTGACGTGTCGGGGATAACGTGGAGACTCCATCTTTCAGGTATTCCCCGAAAGCAATCCCATGGGGAATCAGCACCACTATCTCACCGCCACCTGCAAGGTTGGCGTGACAGAAAACGCCCCGGCAGGATGTATCACAACATCATACGAACGGTCCCACATGTGAGGAAGAAAGTTGAGGCATGGGTCGGTCCGATTGTGAGCCTGGGCATTTTGGAAGGCAATTTGGATAGCCGTTATAGCCACTTTCTTGATGCTTCATCCCAGACTATTAGCAAGTATGATAGAAAGCCAGGCTCTCCTTGCCAAATGGAGAGTAGTTTTATTCTTGAAAAAAAATCACCAAGCAAATGTCCATCTAGAACAGTCAAAAGGCCTGCAGATAACGCTCGGACTTTTAACTACCCATGCTTGGTCGTTCCATCCATATCGGAGGACTCGCGCCTTCGCAAAGCTCTCATTGGCTGGCTATACGATGGGAGCACATCCTCTCATGCGGTATGCTCTGAGGTGGGACCCTCCCAAATAGTTGTCTCTGATTCAGATCCAAGATCTTGCTCACCAACGCCACGTTCACTGCTGTACTAATTGGCTTGCATAAGATTGTCATCCTAGGCACCCTCTCATCATATATGCATAACTAACTAACAAACGCTTACCCTCTATAATGCCACAGAAGCGAAGCTAGCTTTTACTTGTGTTATAAAGATACACGCGCGTCCTAGAGCAGCACGACCAAAGATACCTTACGCCTCTCGGTGTAACATCTTAAACCCAACTGTCATAGGTATCACTTCCACTGTATTACCTTAGTCAGATGCCTCTCATATGTTTGAGCACACGCAATGCTGGGGACTACCCAAACAAGTCTCACTCTCTTTGTTCACCGTACCTTAAACGTGCCGAAATTCACAAAACACGTTAATCCAATCCGGGCTAGCCTGACTGGTTAAAAGGGAAAGTTCTTTTTTGGTTCCAAATAATCAATGTTATTCAATTAAACGCACAAGCTCATTACGACATTGCGCTACCTTTCCTAGATTCGCTATGCTGGGCGAAGTAAGCTGGCTGCAGCAGAGGTTGATTGTGTGAGCTCCAACATTCTATTTTCACTTCCTCCAATACCTCAAGCTTTGGTTAAGAATGGCTAACTTATCCACATATCCAGTGGAAATGGAACTATGTCTTATTGAAAGTTTTAGCTGATGCCGGCATTGATTAACACGGACTGATCAACCATGAAGGATTTTGTTGCACGACTGAAGCTGGCGAGCTTAGGTTTTTGAAACCTTTCTTCTATTAGTTATCTATCGTCCGAATTTCATTAAGCGAATTTTGCATAACTCTCCTTACGATGTCTGTTGAACAAATCTGCAGGGTCCTTGGTATGACAAATATTTTGCCCTGCAATTCCAAGAACCTCTGTTGATCCATCGTTGTCAATGGTAAGGATGATTCACTACAGCCAAAGTAGTCGATGTCGAGCTTTGCGACGAATTCTGGGACAAGGACGGGAGGGCAATCTTCCAAGACTTCGTCCACGTATTTGCACCCGCGTACAACCTCGGATCTCTCAGCAGCAGACATGACTGTAGTAGGTTTGATATCTCGAACATCTGCATCCCCAACTACACCAACTATAAGATATGTATTTGCCGCTGCTCGTTTCGCGAATTCAAGAGCCCTAGTGTGACTGCAATGATGAATGGGTGTTAGTACTGTGAATAGACTAGGCCAATCGAAATTCTAGAAGTAAGATGTCATTCTCTCACCCATAATGAAACAAATCCCAGATACCATGAACGTACACTCGCACTTGACGAGTGGAAGGAGGCTGGCTCAGTTTGAAACCTGGCGGAGGAGTCAATAATATCGGGTTTTTGTCCAAATTCAGCATTGCATCTCGGTTATCAGAGGATAGGCCTTTCTTCATAGTTCCAGAGAGCGGAGTGATTTGAAAGCTACTAGGGAAGCTTTTTGGTCGTCTGACAAAGCCCTGTAGGTTGCTACTGGAGCAGCAGTGATTATTTGGAATTCTGAGGCGGGAATCGACGGCAAGCCGAGACAGGCTGTTTACCACAGTGTAATATGCACTCCCGTGACGTTTGGCTAGTTTTGCAATCATTGAGTGGTTCTCGTTAATTGGTAATCTGACTTCATTGGCCCAATACAGGCACGCGGTGCTTTCTGGGACATTCATGGCGCTCTTACCGCTCCTAACAATGGAACCATCTGGATTGAATTCGGACTGTGGGGTTTGACGAAGCTCATAGCAGGTTATGATGCTTAGTTCCTTTGTTGCTCTCGAGAAGCGATCTTTCAGGGATTTGATGTACGCTGAACCTGATTCGATATCTCGTACGAGATTTTCTGAGGGTAGGCCTGCAAGCCCGGGCAGTACGTTGCCCACAGGCATTCCATTATGGGGCGTCCCAAAAAACACAAGCCCGCATATCGAGCGATAGATATCGCTACGTAGAGGAGATTGACTCTCCCCGCATAGACACCATGCCTGAGAATTTGGTTTGAGTCAATGGTCCAAATTCGCCGCCGCTGAGACTACTTACATCTTTGATTATCAAACCTCCGGTACAGTGGCCCATTAGGATGAGAGGTGTTTCCTATAACCATCTTGCGTCAATGTTATAAGCCCCAGCTTCTGTGAGAGCGAACTGGTTTACTACCTTATCGCCAAGAGCTCCCGAAGCAGCGTAATTCGTCAAATCTAACACAAAACTCTCCGCCATCTCTGAGAGTGTTGAGATTGAGTCGGTGTTCCCAACGTCTGATGAGTATCCGTAGATCGAAATGAGGCAATTGGGGATATCCACTGGAGCATGATCGCGGAGCCACATGGACCCATCATAGCATTGCCACGAAGCAAAGGCCTTACCACCCAGTCCCGTCAGAGCAATTATACTATGTCAGTCAACCCTTAAGTTTGCAAGTCCAGGGAGGCTTGAGTACGTACTGAACTGTCGCTGTCTCATCTGTCGGATTATTGAGCGGGGTGAACCCGTGGAAATGGGCATCAATCCAGACTCGAGAAAGCTTTGGATGTATATTTTCAACAAGGGCTGACAGCAAGCTTCCGAACTTATAGGATAACGAGGCTAAAAACGAAGGTTCCGTCTTGAAAGTTACGGTAGAGACTTGCTCTCCAGCCGCCGTGGGATCGGCACAACGCGCCAGAGAGAGGCGCTCGATGGTGTCTCTCACATCGAGCGGGAAACTTTTTTCAACCTCTTCGACAGTGGTTCCGTGTGGAATTTGAGTAAGCCGGTACGTCCGTTGAGAGAGTATCGGCGACGCCATCGTGTGTACGGCTGCTGAGCCTCGTCGTGTCTTCGCCCAGAACGCTGTTTGGGCCTACCTATTGATTCAAAGGAAGACGGAAAGCCAAGCTGTTGGTTCGAATCCCCCACCACCAGGAAGCCTCGATTTTATAGCCATGAACCCCCTCCCATAGCGCATTCAGACCCGCTTTAACAAATGCCGGCCATGTCAATTGTAACACCAGCTCTTAATGTCTTACTGGAGCGTCCAGTGAATTGACTACCAGAGGACCATACCCATATGAGGGTTCAAAATTATCCAGCCGCTCCCTAGGCGCTAGACTGTTGATCAAAGGCGGCATTACAGCCAGCGGGAGGAAATGCGACCTTCGGTCTTACACAAATATTGAGCAGAAAAGTAGCTCGCTTTGTAATCGAGAGATAAACTGTCATGCGACACCTACTGCAACTATCATGATCTCAGCCCGTTTAATTCCATGACATATATTGTTTTGATTTGCCTGCGGCATAATAAATAATACAGGCGAGTACTCGGTTTTCGCTACATCGGTCTTACAACAATCGGTCGCTATTATTTGCTAGCTTTCGGCTAGCATTTCCGAATCACTGTTGGGCACCAATCCGTCATCTTATTCATGCTTGGAGATGTGCTACCCCAACTAGCGGTTACAGCCCCTTCATTATTTTAGTTCCGGCTCAACGGACCGGCTTTGTGATGATCGATCAATTATAGGAATTCTTTCACTTAATTTTATCATCCCTGAAACCTACTGGCCATCGACCATGCTACTCAGAGTAGACAATGAGATATAAAAAAAAACATGCTCAGCAAAGTACTGGGCCGTCTTCTGTAGAGCGGGTCCTTCAGCATAGGCCGCCACCTCCAACCCATCAGCGACATACCCCAATTCAAATACAGATCTTCACTACTCCGTACGCATGTAAGAAATCGAGAACTCATTAGGTCTAAATCGGTGGGTACCCTTGGGAGGAAAGCTTTAGTGAGGTGTCGCTAAAGTCTTCGGGTGCCCCGGTCCCAATATCCTGACGCGTGCTTCAAAAACCTTTTCATACAATTCTTTTGCTTCATCATGATTCCCCCTCTTATTGAGCACGTTGGCGAGACTATCCATGCTCTTCAGAGTCTCGGGATGTTCTGATCCACGATACTCGATTTGGAAATCCAGCGCTTGACGATAGACCTTTTCAGCTCGGCCTATCTGTCCCTGGTGAAAAAAGATATCGCCCCGGTTCACCAGAGTAAGGAGGGTGCTCGGGTGCTTCAGGCCCAGTACGTCAGTCTGCACGTCGAGGGCTTCTCTATTTAAACGATAGGCTTCCTCGTATTTTTCTTGGTGCAGAAGTGCCTCGGCCAGCCACCTTTTGGTTATGCAAGTGTGCGGGTGGCGATTCCCTAGGATCATCACTCGAAGGTCGAGCACTCGTCGGTGAAAGTGTTCTGCATCCGAGTAGTTTCCTAGATCTCCCAAGGTAGCACCAAGACAACTCATGGTCGCCAGGGTAGCTGGATACTCTTCGCCTTGGACCCTTATGCGAGTTGCGAGTAATTCCCTGTATAGTTCCTCGGCTTCCTTGTATCTTCCCTGTTGACCTATTGCCTGAGCCAGATAGCTAGTCGTAGACAAGGCGTTCGGGTGCTCGGGATGCAGTACCTCGTTCTGTAATGCAAGCGCAGCTCGATGCATCTGCTCCGATTCAACAAATCTCCCGCCCTCATACATCGCCTGGGCAAGATAGTTCATGCTCCTACCCACTTCAGGGTCCTCTTGGCCCAATACCTTCTTTCTAAGTTCCAGAATCATTCGGTGCTGGGCTTCAGCTTCTTTGTACTTGCCTTGGTGGGAGAGGGCCTCGGCAATTCCGAACATATTCCTCATTGTATCCCGATTCTCCAAGCCAGATATTTTGACCCGTAGCTCCAGCGCTTGTTCATATGTCCGATGTGCCTCACTATACTCCCCGTTGCTATAATGGCATTTCCCCAATTTCTCCGCCAGGACCACAACTTTCTCGTCGCCATCAGCAGCAGCAACAGCAGCTGAGTTCAAAAGATATCTTGCATGGGGCAAGTAAGCGGTCCATGTTGGTCTGTTCTCATGACCCCCCTCTGGAAGAAGCTCAACGAGCCGCAAAACTGCGCTGCTGGTCCAAAGCTGTAGTTTTCTTTCACTTCGTAGCCAATTCCTAGTGGCCAGGTGGACGAGTGGGTGTATGTCAAAATTCGGGCCGTCGTCTCGTTTCCTGAGCAACGAGTAGGCTTTGAGTGCACCTATCGCCTCGAGGCCTTGCTTTTTTGATGGGGCTGGTAAAAGGAGCGATGGGGAGATGTTAGAACTTGACAAGCAGGCCATGAAGGATAGATAATCAATTGCTACTGGGTTCGTGTGAGTGAGTTGACCAAGAGAGACGAGCCATGTTGCTGCTATTGAGTTTTTAATTGTCTTGTACCGGCCGGGGACCTCGAAGTCCTCGCTTAATACTTCCATTACCTCGGTTTCGCTCTCATTATATAAACTCCTGTACTCCTCAATGGTCGTGTCGTTCTCATTTATATAAGCCGCTGCCTGGATAATCGCTAAAGGCAAGAAGCCAAGAAGACCAAGGAGCTCCCTGACAGCATCCACATTCAAGAGTATTTCTTGCCTCAAGATTGATTTCGCCAATAACTTGCTAGCGTCCTCTGGGACCATTATCTCGAGAGAAATGATATTGTTGGCTGCTTGCCTCACAGCTACCTTGCGATTTCGAGTTGTAAAGAGCGTCAACCCGTTAGGACTAGATGGAATGTAGTCTATCAGACCCGGCACTATTAGTTCCGTGTCGGTTGGTTGTCTGAATATCATGTTCATGTCGTCCGCATTGTCAACGATCATAAGCCAGGAACCCACTCTCTTGCTGTCGCTGAGCGCTTCTTTAACAAGCTGCATGCCATCTTCTCCGTTATCATTTATGCGCGGTATGTTGATAACTTGACCAATCTGTTTATAGGCTTGTTTGAATGCGAGATAGTCTGTGACTGGGACCCAAAACACTGAGCAATATGGCTTCTGCTCCCTAGTGCGGTAGGCAAACTCCAGAGCAATCTGAGTCTTGCCGACGCCGCCGAGCCCAAAAACGGCCATGTTGCGACAAATTTCTTTTGACGAGGCCCATTCCAGTAGCGTAGAAAGTTCTTGCTCTCGTCCAACGAAATCTTTATTCCGGGAGAAAGGTACAAGCCAGTGGGACTCTGCAACTTTGCAAAGCGTTAGCAGCGAGAGTGATCAGGTCAAAGTTGTAGGCGGGGTTGCCCCGAGGGTCATCCCATTGCATACTGTTTCGAATCAGGAGATAAGCTTACTTGGTGGTTCAATCTGTAAATCAGCTAGGTGATTTGAGAGGGCTGGCAAAATAATCTGTGTTTCTAGGATAGTGGTTGGTAATGCGTTGACCAGTTCCTTGGCGTAGGCTGCTGCAACCGCCGCAGCATAATCTTGCCACTCCTTTTTCTTGTGCGCATCTGCATAGTCGCAAATACCTCGGATCACAGCACATGGTAACTCGTTCATCAAACCGGCAGCTTCCATTTCGAAACACAAGACGCCACCAAGGCGAGAGCTGATCAAATCCCTTTGTCTACCACTCTTTATCACTTGATTCCCAGAGGAGATCAACCCGTAATGAATTTTGATGGAATCTTCAGGTGACCGGGGATCCCTTGCCACTTCCACCCAGTCTGTTAATGTGTCTGGATCTTCAGGCTCTGGCTCATACAGTACGTCGGAGGATTCTGCCGGACGAGCAAACTGGGTTGATAAATTTGGATGGCGTTCCAACATCTCCGACAGATAAAATTCGGTCCTTTTCCCCTGTATCTGATGAAACGATATTAATTTGGAGATTGTTGTTTTCAGTATCATGGGTGCTCCATTTAATGACCCGGTTCGCACCCATCCGCCGTCCTTGGTATGCTTTCCCATGTCGTGTTGCACCACGCCGCCGAATCCCTTGGCCGGTGTGCTAACAACGACATCTCCCAGCCTTATGTCATTCTCCTCGCTCGGTACACCACCTCCAATACCCACCATAAGCCCCATCTTCAGATTAGGGAAGGTAGCGAGCATCCTTGCGGCCACTGCTGAGGCTTGATGGCTTCCGAAATCCCCGCTTGGCAAGCACACGACGACAATATTAAAACTTCCCATAGAGCCAAGACTGTAGTTGTTATAGTCCGATACAGGCTGGGGGAGACCTTCATGAACGTTATCGAGCATTGCTATGGCTGCTGTCATCTCTTTTGGCAAGGCGCAAATCCAGCCGATCGTATAAGCGGCATGGTCTAAAGGCGGAAGGGACATTTTGGCCTTTCTTGAGAAAGAACATCAGAAGACTATCTTTGTTCATCAGATTACAATCGAAGAAAAGTGACAGGCTCAATAGGAGCATATGTAAGGTACCAGTGGCTGAGTAAGTCAACCCCGCATCAAGGCAACCAGTGCCTCGTCTTACAAATTCGTCATCGAGACATATGCAACACAGGTACAAATCCCGCAATCAAGCTGTGCCACCATTGTTGTTTTCGTCATAATAGTCGCCAAGTATAGGCTACGTTCCGCTGTATTTGGATTGATATTGTCTTGATTATGCAAGGAACACCAGCCGTCACACATCTCCCCGAGCCGGGTCATCTACGAGAGAGGACCAAATTGATCAACCCAGCCGGTTATTCAACCCAGCCCCCTCCGTCAGATCGCCCTGTGCGGATCTTTGTCCATGGTGTATTTGATTTGTTTCACGCGGAGTATTACTTTGCCCCAATATACATCACCGCGGTATCAGCAACGTAAGCTAATGTATGGTAAAGACACGTTCATTTCCTAAAAGTTACTAAAAACATATTCCCCGAGACGTACCTCATCGCGGGAGTCACTACCGATAATGACACTTTGCGAGTCAAGGGGTTGACGGTTATCTCAGCAGCCAGTCGTGCGGAGGTAGTCAGGGGATGCAAATATGTCGATGAGGTCGTTCAAGATTGTGAGCCAGTCTTGACGCCCGAGTTCATGAAGGAGCGTCAGATCGACTACTTTGCCCACTCCGATACAGTAGAGCCAGACCCGTATCGTTTTGTCAAGGAGGACGGGAAGTTCTTGGTTGTTCCAAGGGTAAAAGATGGGGAATCTACTACTCAGATCATCTCACGCGTCCTCCGCAATCGGGACAAGTATGTGCTCCGGCAATTAAAGAATGGCGCTTCGTTGAAAGATATGAAGATTACGTGGTTGAAACTGCAGTGGATCAAAATATGTTCAAAAGTCGCCTAGCTTTCTCCATCTAGACCCTTAATAGGTGAACAAATGAATCAAATTTGCGACTTTTCCCGTTTGTATTCATTATGTTGAGATTTCGGGTCTGGCTTCTTCCATTGCTGTCTTTTACTTTGTACTTAAATTCCCCCACCCGTTTTTTCACCGTATTATCATTCGTCATGGTGAACAGCCCAAAAGATGATGGCCTACAAACGAATATGCGGGACCTATTACTCCGAGACTCCGAGCCTTATGGCAGGTTCCCTCTCTAGATAATTGACGCATACTGGGTAGCAATTACAGAGGCTAAACAAACTCACCCCCAGAACAAATCAACTTTGCCATACTACTTCGTTAGCCCAGCACGTATAATTTGTGTACGATTCTGCGACTTTTTATTAATGTAATTCTCAGCCATTGTCTATCTGCAGACTCTTTCATAATGCAACTAACCGTCACCTGGTCTCTGTATCGTTCGGAAGGCGTAGCACTCGTGGGCCAATACTCCAGGCAAGCTTCCTTACCAAATCGTGACGATGGGCTGGCTTACATAAAGGTTGCGGCCATTGACTTGGTGTGCAAAACTCCTAAACCTCTTTTAGCCCTCTGTCAACTAAATGTCAGCAGAACAAAACTCTCATCATGTCTAAGTCGGGAACACTACATGGCAAGGACGAGACGGATTGGCGATGGTGGCATGAAAGTATACCTGAGAAATTACGAGCCCTTGATTTTGATGGATACACCATCATCATTGCTTCAAACCAGGGACGATTGACAGAGCAAGATGGCAGTGAGTCACCAGAGGCGGTTCCTTTCAAAAGAAAGATGGAACTTGTCATGCGCGCCTTGCAAATTCCCGTCACCGTAATTGTTGCATGTGCGAATGATATTTACCGAAAGCCTAGAACCGGATTGTGGCCGATCATCCCGATGTTGACAGGAAATACAGGGCGTGTCATAGACAAGCAGCGTTCTCTCATTATTGGCGATTCAGCTGGTCGTGAGTCTGATTTCTCAGATTCGGATGTCCACTGGGCGATGAATGCCGGAGTTCCATTCTACACGCCTGAAGTCTACTTCCTGGGTAAGGCACCGGAACCTCTAGGCCATAAGTTCAACCCCGAGTGGCATCTGAATGGAAATCCTGAGAAACCAAACGACGGTGAGTAAAACCGGCTCGCAAATGGACAAGGCTAATTGCAATGTCTCAGCAGACATGGCTCAATTTTCACTTGAATCCATAGTTGTCCTTGTCGGTCTCCCCGGAGCGGGAAAGACAACGTTCTATGATCGGTTTCTTCGAACTCGTGGATTTGCCAGGCGAGATGCTCGATCCTACGATTGTCGGGAAGCTTTTATCCTCGCAGTTGATGAAGCAATGAGACACGGAATCGCGGTAGGCATTATATCAGAGTACAGGTTTCGCTGATGTTGACCAGAGTTAGGTTGTAGTTGGTTTGTAACTTCTTTATTCCCAGCCCCGACATTCATTTCTAACGAGGCTAGACGATATGCATATTGATGTTGAATCTCGACACACTTGGATATCAATGGCTACAAATCATGGAGTCATGGCTGATGCTCTGGTTTTCACAGCCTCAACCAATTTATGTCTACACAACGATTCGGTCCGGGCACTTGGTGGGCCGTTGGTGCGTATCAGCGATTCATGATTCTCAACTTTCCTCTAGCTAAATTAATGGCTTTGGGAGTCAGATGAACAAGGAGCAGCGGCCCGTCTACCCGCGGCTACAATTCCTCGACCTCATTCCTCGCTTCGAAAATCCAGTCCTCGGTGAAGGGTTCCACGCTATTCACGAAGTTCAATTCAAGGTACAGACATAATTGTCCCACGAGAATGGCACAAAAAGCTGAGTTAAATTAGTGGAGCGGTACCGAAGCAGAACTGGACATCTGGAAGAAGTTTTGGTTCTAATTATTACACGGCAGATAGGAAGGAGGGCAAAGACAGGTATAGTTGAACTGAATTAAAACATTAGTAATTCTTAACTACCTTAGAAGCGCTTACCCCAGTACCTTCCACATAAGTATTCTACACGAGGATGCTCTCAAAGGCTTCTCGAAACTGCTCTGCGGTAGGCAAAGCGCTGTGTCCCCCTTTCAGCGTCTGCATCTTCACATCCACGTTATACGCTTCCAGCTTCGCCTTTAGTTCGTTTGCTGCATCCTCCGGAACAAGCGAGTCTTCCTTCGCTGGAAATAAAGTCACACGTTTCCCACTAATGCCAGAATCAAACTCGGCGACCCGAAGCCCGGTAGTTTTGAAATTGTGCACTTCGCAGTTGGCAGGGTAAAGCGCATCAAAGATGGATTCGAAGCATCCGATGACGGAAAAGCTTACTAGCACCTTGGCCACGACTTCCCAGATCTTGTTCTGAATTTGGGGACGGATCAGCGATGCCATGCTTTGAAGCGGCACAATCCCAATTGCGCCGACAACTCTCGGGTTTGAGAGGTGCCTGGTCCAGGCCAAGGTCCCGATCGAACGGCCACAGAGGACAATGCGGGAGGTTTTATACTTGTCCAACACCCAGTTCATAAAGACTTCGTCGTTTGCAATGGCTGCAAGCTCCACCGATCCCGGGGTATTGGGTACAAAGGAGCTCTGGTCGTACCCGGGAAGATCTCGACCGACAACAGTAGCCCCGCAGTTGAGAAACGGTGTGATGATATCAGGGTTATATCGGGTCGGTCGGACGTTGCCATGGAAGAAGATGACAACCACGTCAATCGCTGCTTCTGGGCTGGGCTCGTATACGTGGACGCCAACTTGGGTCTCGATCGCGGATGTGAGTGTGAACATGTCGCCCTCCTGGATGCCGCCGCTCTTTCGCAGGGATTTGTAGTTTAGCTGGCCCAGAACATTCCCGGGAACAACGTGGCCGCTCGAGAGGTGCTCGGGCACGACACCAGCGGCCGCTGTCGCCCAGGTGCTCATATTGGGATTCACAACGGGGAAGGATGTGATCTCCTTGTTCTCGAGCTCTGAAGCCGACATGTTGATGGAGACTGGTTACCGAATTGCTAAAATGCTGTGGCCACAGAGAAAGATGTGCTCGACGCGGAGGTGGTGGATTGAAATGATGGTGGGCGAGAAATTGCTCAGGCATGGAAATGCAACGCGGCTTCGAGGACATAATATAAAGGTAATCGAGGACAAAGAATCAGAACGAGTTGTGTTGCCTAGTTTCAGTCTTGTGTGTCGGAACTCCCACCTTTGTGGTCAGGTGATGATTGAGAACAACTGATGTGGAAGTTGAGTGTTGCAAACAGAGTTGACCAACATTCGATCAAGGTTCATCCATTCACTAGAGCCTTTGATTACTGTGTCATAGGCGCAGTCGCTTGTGTAGCCCCGCATCAGCGAAAGGAGAGAATGCCTTGTTGCTCAGCCACGCGTGTAGCGGAGAACCTAATCCATCTGACCGTACAAAGTTAAAGAAAAAACAATAGGTACTAGAAATGGATAAAGCCCCAGTCTCTCTGCCATTCAATTATACCTACGCCATGCCCATATGATTGTTGGCTCAGCACACTAACCGCGGCGTACCCGAATACAGCACCAGTTCACCAACACTTCTTCTTACATCGCCGGGGTGAAGCCTTCCACCTTCACAGCCCAGTCGTCAGGAAAATGCGGATACTCCTCTCCATCCCAGCCCCCAGCCATCATTGCCATGGCGAGCAGAAATGATCCCGAGCTTGGGAAGTACGGTCGAGGAACTCTTGTGCCCCCAGTTGGATACCCGGCATCATCGAAATCGAACGAAGGGTGAAGCAGGTACTCTATCGCACGGTCCACATCCCCCAACCTAAGGGAGTTCATTGCTAACATTGGAAAATCCCACCCGTATGAGTTCGGTAAGTCCCAGACCTCATGAATGCGGTCGGCCGTGTGGCGGACGATTCCCAAGTCCAGAGCATCTCGGTCTGAAGGCGGCGGGAGAAGACCGTAGATTCCAGCCATTCCCGGGTGGTCAGTAACTGTGTTGTTATCGATCCACATATCAGGTATACCTTCATAAATAGGGTATGTGCCATTGTCGACGGGGAGAGGGCACAACTTCTCTAGCATCTCCGTGTAGTGAGACGGCACCGGCTTCTCCTGGCGTTTCTTCCAGTTGGATGCAACTTCGAGGCCATAGCGCCAGTAGGCTAGCTCAAAAGTCGGGTTGACGGTCGAGTTTGGTTGAGTATTTTCGGAGATGGGATACATTGGTGGACCAAGTTGATAACAGGATTCATTCCAAAATCCGTACGAGTACATGAAGTCTGCCGTGGCCGAAAGGACCTTATCCCACTTCTCAAGCGTCTCCGGGCTTGGAAACTGGCGATATTCGAGTTCTGCAAAGTACATCGCGTGAGGCTGCTGCCAGATGAGAAGAGTGTTGATCTCTCCTGGACTATCGACGAGGTTGGATCCTGTCATCTTGCCCCATCGCGCACCTTCGTATCCCTGCCTCTTTGCTCGACTGAGTGCATCGTCTAGAAGGAGTTGATATGTGTGGTTCGCGGAGCGCCAATACAGAGGCCAATGATTCCATCGTGCAAACTGGAAAGTGTGCCAGCCGTACATTTCCATCTGTTTTAAAATTATCAGAGACATCATCGCTGAGTTTAATGAACTTTTCCTTACATGAAACTTTCCGTACCATCCGTTGTTGACCAAACCTGTATGTGGTATTTAGTAATGTGAGGTTTAGAACAGCCATCCGAGCACATACCGGATTCTGAAGACGAATTAGCATAATATGTATAAACCCAAACAAAATGATATAATACCTTGAGGAGGCAAGTCGGAAGCGATATTGACTGCTTCGAGGTACAAAGACTGGACAGTGATGCGCTGAAGTTCTTGCGCTGCCTCCGACTTAGATCCCGTCAGGTCAATGAATGCACCTGATTCCCAGAAACTTCTCCACCAATCTCTAGATCGTTCCTGAACCTTTGAGGCATCCACGGAATTATGTGAGCGACCTGTCTCAGAAAAGTCGATTGTCAAGCTCAACGTATCAGAACTTTTAGGGTACAAGTAGTATCTATGAGTGTTTGGATCTGGCCTGGCAATCTTGTCAGCCGAGTTCCAGTTTAGATGCAAACTGTAAGTAGTATTGTCAAGCTCGTGAACGATCCTGGCTCTTGTGCCGTGGCTGCCCGCCGCACACTGAGTGAGGGAGCTAGAGTGCTTCTCCGGACTGTCAAAGGTTCCAACGGATGGGGCTTCGAATTTCTGATTGACAGGATAAGGGAGATCAAAAACCACCCCGATATTGCCGGAGGAAAGAAGCGATGATTTCACTGTTATTGAGAGAGTATCCGTCTCTGGGTCCGATGCCGTCTCAACCGTCACCAAGGCGTCTTTGTATGTGAATTGGGAGGTGAGAATGCCGGTCCACATATTCAGAGTTTGTGTTTTGTTAGAAAGCGCAGCTTCAGTTATATTTTGATCTCCAAAGACGAGTCCGATTCTCGCAAGGTTAATTCGATGGGGATTCTCTCGAAGCCAGTTCCCAATCTCGCTCTCGTTGGGGCTGACCATGTTGTAGTTAACGAGACGGCCATGGGTCCACCAGTCTGTACCATGATAGTCTACAACACTCGGTCAGCTGTGAATCCTTCTCAAGTTTCTGGACAGGAATCCAGGCTACCTGATACCTGCGTCTGGCCCGGTGTCTTAGGCAAGCTAAAATTATGCCAGCCCCAAGTCGACAGCGTGGAAAACGGCCCAAACGTCTGGAGGCCGGTGATGTCTGCGCCAAAGGCAAAGTTCCCATTGCCGACTTGCAAAGGAGTTTCAGGTGAGCTTTCTGTCCTTGTTGGGTTGAAAGATTGAACCACGGCCTTTCGGTCAATTCTCAGCTTGTCGGCCACAGCTAGTTCTATCACAAGGCTCGCGAGGAGCATCAGGGGTACGAGCAACCTCATGTTGGTGAGCTGCAGATTGGGCGCCGCATTCACTTTGTTTCATTTACGCCGTTTCTGAAAATCCAGGACTATCTCCAGCCGCAGCCCCTCGTTGTTCTTATTAGTTCCATGGGTGAAGATCTTCACGAAGGGTCTCGGATAATATTCCCGGATAATTATACACTCGGGCCATCATTATAGCGATTCACAGGCTATACCCAAAAAGTTCTTAACGTGTGATGAGAATGCAAGTTTGTAACCATCGCCAAAAGATCTGTTACTTCATCACCAATTCAAACGTCAAAGCCAAAAACTGCAATTTGTACAGAACCAAGAGCTCCCTACTGGAGCAACAACAAGAACCTGGATACAATAAAACCATCATACACCTCATTCTGAGATTAGGATGCACACTATATTTACATTTACAAGGGCAGATTTAGTCACTGCTAAATGGCAATCACAGTCGATGTGATCTGTGCTGCAGGGTAAGGAAGCAGGGGGGAGCAAGGAAACATTCTGCTTACCTGTGCGCTGCGTTTCGTAAAATTGGAGTAAAATTGGGCCTGTTGGAACAGTTGTTCGATGAAAACGTAATTCCGTTTCAATTCGGTGTTGCTCCTTTCCACCCCCGCATAATACTCTCGTTTGCATCACTGGTCTCACCCTTTGTGATCTTGGCTCGGCCGACAAGAACGACGCACAATGGCTATCGCTTTGAACTCTTTACCTCTCGAAATTCTCGACCAGATATGTAGATCCCTCCCTCGCCACCGGGATGTGAGCAATTTTCGACTTGTCTGCCACAGACTGGCTGACGTGGGCCTGCCTGCGTTGCTTCCAAGATTGACTGTCCAACTCTTCCCTGAGAGTCTCGACCGGCTGTGCGATGTTGCATCGGACCCCGTCCTCAAACACCATGTCTTCATCATTGTCTTTGTGATGGACATATTCGAACCCGAAGGCAGCACCTTTGACGAATGGCAGGACAAATTAGCCGAGATGGCTGAGTATCATCCCAGCGTTGATCTCGAAATGCTCGAAGATGAGGAAGAGATGCGAAGTAGCTGGGAGGGCCTTAGACTTCTGCTTTCCAGGCAGGAAGAGGCTTTCAGAACTCTCGAGTCTCCACGGGTGCAGGATGCTTTGCAGCAATTCAGAAACCTGAACTATCTTGAGGTGCGATATTCCAAACCCCGGGATGGCACACCCCGCGACGAGACGTACATGAATATCTTCAAGAACCATCCCTACATTCACAAGGAAAGGCAGCCATTTTACCCATCGTCTACAGAATCAATGTATACCGGCTGTCCGGGGATCAAGCCACTCCGGTCGCTATTACGCGGTATAGGGAAACCGGGGCTTAGAACCCTCAGGGTAGCAGCGCTCGACGCTCAATTTTTCAATGGTAATGTTACCGCTGAGGCAGCTGAGTTTGACTCTCTTTTGGACAGACTGCGAGATCTCAACACCCTTCAACTCACTGTCACTCATGACCCTGATACCATGGAAAGCGCTGAAAGCGGTCTATCCACAGACCGATTCAGGACTTTCCTATCCTCAGCACCTCATCTGGAAGATATAGACGTTCAGTTTGGTGATACGGATTTAATCAACTTCTATCCAAAACTCGCCAACGTCCTGCCAGGGGAGTTTTCATGGCCGAACCTACGAAGGCTCCGGCTATCAGTCGTCGAGATCATACCTCCGACCTTCCTAGACTTCCTCCGCCGCCAGCGGAGCCTCGAGACTCTGGAGCTGGACCACTGCCAGCTCCCAGAAGGAAGCACGCACAGCTGGTCGGATCTCTTCGCGCCCCTCGCCGTTGACTTTGCTCTGAAGAAGCTTGTGCTCTCTGGGACGTTCGGGGTGGAACGACCCACCGGTTGGGATTACATCGACATGCGCGATGCAGTCAACGACATGGAGCTCCAGGTGTGTGAGGCCTTGGACATGGTGGTCTGCTCAAGGGAGTTTGACGCATTCTTGCACAACTATGTGGCAATGCAGGATGTGGACGTGGGCGTTGTCAAGCAGGGCATCATCCGGAGCTTGATGGACAATCCACCCGCAAGGGCAGCAGAGATCACGATGCGTATCCCCACAGACTATGCGCACTATTTCAAGTCTTTTGCTTTGGTGACGGATAGCTCCAACTGGGGGAGGGGCGGGATGTGGGTGTCGGGTTATGAGAGGAGTCTCAGGCCTGTTATAGAAGGTCCGGAAGCGCCGCGGTTCTGAGATTCATCTTGCAGTATCGGGGAAAAGATTGGAGTTTGCGATCATTCTGTTGGGAAGGCTTTGAACAACTACTACTGTTATGTTAAGTTGGAGTGGTTCTCTCAGTCTCGCGCAGCGCTGTGCTTCCAACGCGGCTGAGATTTAGTTCTTCCAAGCATTGTTTAGCATGTTCTGATAGAAAGATTCTTCTCGCCGCAATAGCACTACTCTAGAGCTCATAGACTATCTCTTCCTTTCAAGAGATAACATTCACGAACAACTTGCTTGCGTTTCTTAGCTTTGATAACTGAATTTATCATGAACCGGTGGGCAGAAATCTGTACTGGGACCGATCTTACAGTGTCTGAGACAGGCCGAGGCTGTCCGAGCTCACATTCATCGCTATTACGCTGCACATTAATCAAAAATATACCAACAGGCAGTGTAGCAGGCGACCAAGTGACAAACAGTGACTGCATACACCCTTACCTGGTAAGCCCGTGGGGCTCATTCGCTGCGGCGGCAAAGCATCAAGCTCTCCCCGCGTTTTAGGCGCAGGAGCCGAGGCTATTTCCAGTTTTGGATCATCGCGTCAGACCTAAAGCCAGACCTTCTGCTTATTGCCGACACCCAACACTTGCATCGAGCAAGCATCGACATCATTCAATGCGCCCTCAATTACGATTTAATTTCTTTGGCTACTCACTCACCTAATCTCAAGCCTCCTAAAAGCCGTCACCATGTGTCGCAACATCAGGTCGCCGTACCCCAACGTGCCCGACACCATCATCTCCACCCCCGTCCCACACGTCCTTCTGGTCAAGCTCAACCGCCCCAAGCAGCTCAACGCGCTGCGGCGGGAGATGCACTACCACCTCGCCAACCTCTGGGCCTGGTACGACAGCGAGCCCAGCCTGCGCTGCGCCGTCATCACAGGCACAGGCCGCGCGTTCTGCGCCGGCGCCGACCTCAAGGAGTGGAACGACGCGCACGAGGGCTCGGCCAACGTCGAGGAGGTCGAGAAGTGGACGGACGACGGGTTCGGGGGCCTCAGTAACCGCCGGGGCAAGAAGCCCGTCATCGCGGCGGTCAACGGCCTGTGTCTCGGTGGGGGGATGGAGATGGTCCTCAACGTCGACCTCGTGCTGGCGGGTGAGGCGGCCAAGTTCGGCCTCCCAGAGGTCAAGAGGGGGGTGGTGGCCATTGCGGGAGCGCTGCCACGGCTGACCAAGCTGGTGGGACGCATCCGCGCGACGGAGATGGCGCTGACCGGGCGCATGTTCACCCCGGAGAAGATGGAGGCCTGGGGGGTCGTGAACGAGGTCGTGCGTGCGCCAAAGGACGTGGTGGAGGAGGCTCTCCGCTGGGCGGCAGAGATTGCAGGTAATTCACCAGATTCGGTCTTGGTCAGTCGGGAGGGTCTAGTCAGCGGCTGGGACGGCGAGGATCCCCAGCAGGCGACGCTGCGGGTGGGCAACACCATCTTCAAGAAGATGGACGGCGGAGAGAACATGAAGGAGGGCGTCCTGAGTTTTGTGGAGAAGCGCCCACCCGTCTGGAAAGACAGTAAGCTTTAGCGCCTAGCTCCACGACTGGATGCACCGTAGTAGATCTAGAAATCCCCATATGCAGACTCTAGATATTTAAATGGTTCTTCGCTGGCTGTTGCGTGCTGCGTTTAGGGTAGTCCATTACATGTAGCAGGCTCCGATTGGGCCGGATAGAAGCCGAGCCTCCATCGCTCCAACACCGAAAATCCCCCGCTTCCGATCATGCTTTTGGATCTTTTATTAGGTGACAGCTGGTATTTAAGAGCCTAGTGCCCTGTATCCCCCGCAAAGTGCCAATTGGACTCCCGTCGACACCTTCCTGACTGGCCTGGCCTGCCTCTTTCTCTCTGGCCAGCTGTTGATGTGGAATTCGATTGTTGATCTGGCCGCCGGTTATCTGGCCAATGCTGAGTCAGCACCCCTGACCGATGACAATCCGTGGCCTCTGATTCGCTGGTAGCTTGCTCTGCCTTATCTGTGCTGTGCCCGGTGAAGAGCATTTAGTCCAGCCGCTACTGCTTCTTCCTCTTCCTGAACCTGTCATTGTCCCTACTCTGCCTCGATAGGATGTGCCAATTGATTCTTCGCCAGCCCCTCGGGCTGCTGCGTGGTGCTTTCAATGGCGCATCTTGTCGAGCTTTGCCTGGAACAATTCCAAGCAGTGCTATTGGCTGTCGTCATCGCAGCCCGCTGCTCGGTCGAAAGTCGGAGAGAGCTCTCCATAGCTCCAACTCGCCATTCCATCACCGCGAACACAACCTTGCCTCCAGATCCGGTCTTCGAAGTCTACACAGCACACCGAGGCGACCCATCTCCAATACCGAGGCGAACTTCAGCTCAGATGGCGAAGGCGGGGATGAGGCGCCCTCGGGCACCTACAGCGAGGCCGACCACGAGCACGCCGTCATTTCTACGTTCGATTTATTCTCCATCGGCATTGGTCCCTCCTCGTCGCACACCGTCGGCCCAATGCGTGCAGGCAACATTTTTGTCGCTGATCTGATCGACGCAGATGTGATGCAGAAGGTGAACAAAATCCGCATTTCCATTTACGGCAGTTTGGCGCTCACCGGCGAGGGACACATGACGCCAAGTGCTCTCCTGCTTGGCCTTGAAGGCGCCGATGTCGAGACCGTTGACACCTCCTACGTCCCGAAGCGATTCGAAGAAATCAAGAAAAAGAAGAAGCTGTTCCTCGGTCATGGTCTGAGCGAGGGGGACGGGAAGGAGATTGCTTTCGACTACGAGCGTGATTTCATCTGGGAGTGGTCACGCAAGCTTCCCATGCACAGCAATGGTATGCGACTCACCGTATTCGATGAGGAAGGTTTCCCACTAGCAACAAATGACCTCTTCAGTGTCGGTGGTGGCTTTGTTGTCAACGGCGCTTTGTCTACAGGACCAGCTCCGCAAGAGCCAGGATCAGAATCCCCGGGCGACGGTGACTCAACCACCACTGCAGTCGTTTCACCAGGGGAGGGTAGCAATGTAGGCAAGCACCCGGCTGATCTTGCTGAAAATTTGTTCTACAAGGAGATCAAGCGGTCTGATGCGGCAGGCGATCGTAGGAGTGGATCCGAGATAAAACCGCGGATAGCCGAATCGGAGAGCCTGGCCGAGTCTGGACTGCCTGAGCCTGGGAGTCTTGTCTCTACTTCGGGATCGACCCCTGTGACACGAGATGTTGAAGGCGAGAGAGCTGAGGAATCGACTGGCCAGCATCAGCCCCGGTATCCCTTCCGTGATGCTACTAGTTTGCTTGCCCTCTGCCATGAGCACAACCTTACCATCGCACAGTTGGTGTATGAGAACGAGAGGAGCCTTGGCTACTCGGAGGATGAGATCTTTAGGAAAATATTCCGAATTTGGGAGGTCATGGACAACAGCATCTTGGAGGGTGTCCAGGCTCCGATAGACACGGCGTTGCCTGGCTCACTCAAGTTACAGAGACGTGCTCCGGCCCTGTACAAGCGATTGACCAGAGGACTGTACCCAAATCACACCTCATCGATTGGCGATGGATCCAAGGCTGAGGATAACCAACGCCCTGCTCTGCCAGAAGGTAGCAGAACAATGGACGATCACCCTAATGCACCCTCCACGTCGCTGCTGAGAACGGTAAACAAGTCTGTGGCCACCACACCGCGACGACAACGCCAGTTCCCTCGCGTCCATGGATCTCTACACCACCCTATCTCTCCTTCGCCTATTCGAAGGACAACACTGCCAGCTATGGACCATTTGTCCGTGTACGCTATGGCCGTCAATGAAACCAACGCGGCCGGTGGCCGTATCGTTACCGCGCCGACGAATGGCGCCGCGGGCATCATACCAGCTGTGCTCAAGTACACAGCCGAGTTCGTCAGTGACGACCCCGAGCGCGACATTCCTACCTTCCTACTGACGGCTTCTGCCATCGGCATGCTCTACAAGCGAGGCGCAACTATTTCCGCTGCCGAAGGTGGATGCATGGCTGAAGTCGGCGTGGCTTGCTCCATGGCCGCGGGTGCGTTTGCTGCCTGCATGGGCGCCGGCCCCGAGACCATCGAGCAGGCTGCCGAGATTGGCATCGAGCACAACCTCGGCCTGACATGCGACCCTATCGGTGGTCTGGTTCAGGCGCCCTGCATTGAGCGAAACGCGCTGGGTGCCATCAAGGCCATCTCAAGCGCAAACCTCGCTCTTAGCAGCAAGACCGGGACACAAAAGGTGCGGCTGGATGACGCTATCAGGGCTATGCGACTGACGGCCAAGGGAATGAGGAACGAGTTCAAGGAGACTAGCTTGAGCGGACTGGCGACCAGTGTGCCCCTGCATATTCCTGTCAGTGTTCCCGACTGTTAGGATCTTGGTTGGTTAGATTTCGTTGTTTTACAAAAGATACTGGATATAAGAGGGTACAAAAAAGGAAACGGGATATTTGGGGTTTCCATGAATTGAGACTAGAAATAATATTGGCGAGAAGGGGCAAACTTTGGTATTTTTCGGACCTGGATGTCTTCTGAAGCTTTTTATCTGTTGGAAAACCGATTTCAAAGAACTGCCTATCAGCTTAAATATTTGCAAATGATTCAAAAACATCCATGCCTCATTCTGCTCGGGCATGAATGATAATAAACTCCGGTTCGGGATACTCTGTGCTGACATACGCTTGACTAACGTCTAATATTTGTACCAGACCCTGTCCATAGCTGGAAGGACGTAATTATCTGACGAGTTGAGCTAACAACGTTTCTACTAGTCAAGTCCTCGAATGGCAAGGCATATTTGTACTTTGTCTGAAATACGAGTCGGCCTTGTGCGCCAAGTTATACAGCACTCGTAATCGACCCTCCCTCCACAATCCGGACCAAGGTTGGATTTCTGTTGCAGCCAAAGTCAACTATTTCTAATTAAGATGTCTAGTCCAGTATCGATGAAATTTAGACCAAAATTTAAATTCGCTGTTATAGTTTACATGCTCATGATGTCTTCAACAACATCACCAAGCATGACGATAACTCAAGCACTCACAGCGCCATTTGTCGCCCCATCGGGCTGTGCTGACAATTTCGTTCCCGCAAATTCTGTACATTAAGACCGCCCCCAAGATTCTCTGTCCATATTAGTCTCGGCAGTCGTTGATTCTCGGTTTGCGCCTTGCCAACCGCCTGGATGGGACCGAGGAAATGACGGCAGGAGCTTTGCTTTCAGCCCAGCTGTTTGTCCCAGTGCCTGGACGGCGTATCGTCTTGGGCAGAATTATCTTGCGCCGGCTCGGAATGGGAATTATACAGCAAAGTGTTGTTCTAGGTACATTCCATGATATCACTTTGGGCTGTAAACACTCCGATGTGCTAATCCCATATATACAGTGACCTCACACTGACTTATGGCGTCGAAGTTTAAGGCATATATCAATTCCCATGTGCTCGCACACTGGTGAATAATATAACTACTGTGACGCGAAGCTCCACCATCACCCAGGGCTATGTCAACAACACAGCCATAAAGTCCGTTTCAGTGTACACCACCACTACCGGCACCACCACACTAGGCATCCACAATGCATGGCTTATATCATGGGATCCCTCAGACGCTTCCACTCTAAGCCCTTCTCCACCAATGCTAAAGTGCACAGAATCTGTAGTTGACATGTGGGTACCCGGCGAAACAACAGTCGTCCCCGGGAAGGCTCTGGATAAGTGTGGGCCAGGAGAATCCTCTCGGTTTGGGGGTCTGACGGGGTTTCTGGTCATCGGACTACCACTCATCTGTGTATTTTTGTTGGTCAGCTGCTGCTCTTTCCTCTGCTTGCGGCGTCGGAAGCACAAGGAAAGAAGGCATGTGATGCGGGCAATGGAGACGGATAGGGCCTCGGTAACTCGAATCACAAAGAAAGACAAAGACCAGTCGACATCACCACAGGCTACGCGGCAGAATATCTCTGTTCAGAATGTCGGAGATAAATGAATGAGAATGCGGTCACTAATACTGCGTGTTGCTGTCTGCATGCACAGTCTTCTCTCAATATAATAGCCAACTCGTCCTAGTTTCGACTGCTTACATGTAGATTCGTGGTTGGCCCAGCTTGTTTCCTTTCTCAACTCATGCGCCCTTAAATTCAAAACAGTTCCTTCCAATAATTGAAAGCGATGCGAGAAGAAAACTACTGTCCGCCTCTCGAGTATCACAAGAAAGCTATTGTTTTCCCTATTACATACCCGCCATTTTTAGTCTTACCACATAACATTTGCATCCGCTCTCATCACCTAGGTAGCGATAGAGTCGTAAAAAATGATCAGATTAGGCGATATTTCGTAGATCTTCTACGCAATAGCAGAGCTTAGGATAGTCTCTTATTTAAATCTCCATGTCATGATGCCTTTTGGAATATAACGTGGTGGTACAGGTGATCACGTGATCATAGTAAAAAAGCCCACAAGTCTTGATCACAATTTGCTTCACCTTCGTGAATCAATATCCAGCCAGAAACTTTCGCCAAACTGAATATAACGCGATGGCCCCATACGAGATCAGTCCGAACTGTACCGTTGCAGATGCGAAGGGGATTGCCAGCTGCAATGTTTCAGCCTACTGGAAGGAAACCTGGTGGAGGCTCCTCTGGCCGGAGAAGACAACCGAGTCTCTCGTCGAGGCCATCGCGGCCAGAACACCCCGGAACCTGCTTCAAATGAGAGGCCTCCGCCGTCATCAGAAGGTCAAAGATGCGGCATCCGGGGAGATCGTCGGCTACGCGCGCTGGGTGTTGCCGGACTCGCACGACGACAAGTGGCTCGAGGCGCAGACTCCCGACGTTGATGATGCTGCAAAGGCCAAGTTTAAGAACGACTTTGAAGGGGCCGATTATGAGCCAAGAGATGATATGGATGAGATGGATGATCATATGTGGGAATGGAGAAGCAAGTACGACCGCGATGACTGTCTAGGTATGTTTTGCTTTTTACTTTGAGCTTCTGAGCTCTGTGAAACCTTGAATGGAAGTTTTAGAGGCATTTAGAAGTACTGGGGTAGCTGACATTTAATTTCTAGAGCTCGAATGTCTTGCCGTGCATGCGGACCACAGCCGCAAGGGTGTTGGTAGCATGCTTGTTCAGTCTGGCGTGGAAGTAGCATCGAAATTGGGGTTGGACATTATCGTCATCGCCATGGGGAAGAATGCTTTCGAATTGTTTTCTAAAGCCGGCTTTGAATTGTTGGAAAAGGAGAGCCAGGATCTTTCTGCTTACGGGGAGCAGGACGTGTACGAGACATATTATCTCATCAAGCGCCCAGCAAAGGGCCCTGAGGGCAGCAAATAAATGAAGAAAACCGTCCTAGGTTCGAACCCCTCGTTTGAGACATGAGAATACACTCGATTATGGACTAGTTTCGTGGTAGATGTACAAACATGGTGGGGGAACCTCCAGGCAGTACCCAGACCCCTTCGGATTACTCTTTGATGTAGGCGCATGTGGTGCTTCCTAGCCACCGATCTAGCCATGGTTGGACCACGTACCACCCCTCATCTATAAGCCTGATACAACAAGCCATCTAGAAGGGAACAAGTTGGATTACATTGGAGCGAAATAAGTCGGCTTACCTCTCTGACCAGTGAGCGGCAACGACTGCGTTGGGCTTACTTCGGACTTTTACGAAATAGTCATCCATTCTAAACATCTTGCTGTCTTTATTGGTTTTTGGTCTTATAAGAGAACGGGGTCTTTTGTGGCTGTTAAGGGCGCGTTGCGCTTGTACTGTAGTAGTTCTCGAATCACATGGTTCTCCGGTTTTCCTCTCTCCGCCACTAAAGCTCGCTGAGAGCTTCCATCTTGGGGAGATCGTGTCAACTTGTCAACCCTAGGGCGGCATCTGCCCCACCAAATAAGATGCTTTGGACAATTCCAGATGAAGTCACTTCCCCGTCCTGCATCTTAAATACTCGCAACCTGCATTCTACGTTTTGATAAACATTGGCTTTATTCAAATTTCGATACAACTGTGAATATCTTTATCACTTTATCGATAATCAGCTTATCGCTTGATCAGGTGGATCCAACCGATCGAGCGCCTACTGAGTCGAACCTTCCGTCAAGTTGAACAAAGAGAACTTAACCTAATCATCATCACCAATTCGCCAATTGCGTGTTTGTCAAAGCACAACAACACAGATCGTTGTCATGGTTCTCATCAAGCCGTTTGAAGTCGAGGAGTGGATGGACCGCCTAGAAACGACACCAGGAGTGCTGAATGTCGCGGAAACCTGCTGCGAGTCTGTCTCCATCTCCGAATTGGCCGCCCTCTCCACAGACGAATCAGTCAAGCTACAAGACATTACCAACCGACGCCTCACCTACGGGGCTATTCCTGGTACTGATGTCACTAGACAGCGCGTTGCAAACCTGTATGGGGATGTCAAGCTCGATCAGGTAGTCTTGACTCAGGGAGCCATCGGAGCCAATTTCCTTCTGCTTTTCAGCCTCATAGGACCCGGAGACCATGTAATCTGCGAATATCCTACTTACCAGCAACTCTATGAGGTTCCCAAAAGCTTGGGAGCGGAGGTTTCGCTCTGGAAACTCAAGGAGGAGAATCGCTTCGTCCCTGATGTTTCAGAGCTGCAGGGTTTGGTCCGCAACAACACTAAGGTACGGGAACATCGATTTCAGATTTGATCTCCTCTATGTATGTCATTGTGTGACTAAACTCCCTGTATAGTTGATAATTCTCAACAACCCAAACAATCCAACCGGCGCCACGATAAACAAGGAAGTCTTGTCAGCCATCGTGGCTTTCGCCAAAGAAAGAGATATCATCATCATGGCAGACGAGGTGTATCGGCCCCTATTTCACAGCCTCCCAGCTGGCGAGGAGATTCCCCCTTCCATAATTGACCTTGGCTACGACAAGACGGTCTCTACGTCCTCCATGTCCAAAGCCTTTTCCCTCGCTGGGATTCGGGTAGGCTGGATTGCGACTCGCGATCCCTCCATTCTGAAAGCTGTCAATAGTTGCCGAAACTACACCACCATTAGCGTTTCGCAGTTTGACGACTCTGTTGCGGGGTATGCGCTCTCTGATGCAGTACGAGTCAATCTCCTTCAGCGGAACATTGCCCTGGCAAGGACCAACATTGCACTTCTTGAAGCATTCGTGAACAAGCATTCTTCCGTGCTATCGTGGGTCAAGCCAACCGCTGGAACTACTGCCATGGTCCAATTCAGGAAGAATGGAAGCTTAGTCAAAGATTCAGAATTTTGCCTTGAGGTCCTCAACAATACTGGGGTTTTGATCATGCCTGGTTGTACTTGTTTTGGTGAAGGAGAGGATTTCCCAGGATACATGAGGTTTGGCTATGTCTGCGACACTAATGTCTTGAAGGAAGGGTTGAACAGGCTTGATGTGTATATTGAGAAAGCTTTTTGAGTGAAGGATTGAGAGAATCTGGATGGAAGCCTGGTTGGCTCTGACTTTACACTAGTAGAGCATGAATATTTAGTTCGGACATGGCGATTGTACAATCCTTGCGCCCTTGTTTCTGTAAATCCCAACATCCCTTCATGATTTGGAGTACGGCCGACGAGTTTCCTAATTTCCTATATTCGGTGGCCATCCCGGAAACCAGGGTCTCGAAGAAAAACTGCAGCCGTGGCTCAGCCATGCAGCCGATGACGCATAATGGCCATACGATACCTTGCAGGCTACAGGTTTCGGGTCTCAAATTAAGAAGATCTATCGCTCTTTGTACTGTACTCTGGATTTCTGGAAGAGATGGAAGGGGGCCTGATACAACGGTGTGAACCTGGACCAATGCGGCCAGAGCAAAGATGTGGGTAATCCAAGTTGTATGGGACCTCGAATAAGTCTGAAAACAATATAAAGTCAGCGGTAAGAAAGGAGCGAAGGCGTGATGAGATCATACCCCGTCTTTGCTTGAATATAAAATACCGATCTTCTCCTCCAGCTCGGATTCAATAGCCTGCCCTTTGCTCACAAGCTCGCGAACACTCAAGAGTCCCTTCTTATCCATGTCATCTTTCCACTCTCGCAGATGTGTGATGTCGCCAATTAAAGCCAACGCCCAGTTGTCACAGCCCATTACGTCCTGCATTTTGAGCTGTTCAATGGCCAGCCAAGACCTGTACGGCAGAACGGGTGTACCACCCGTTGATACACACGCAAAAATATCGAACCACAAGGCATTCGCGAATAGGAACTCCAGTCCTGCACTGGCCCCATTATTTGATAATTGGGTAACACCGTTCGGTGGGCTGCAGATTCTGTCGGGCTTACTGTTCTCTATAGCGATGAAGGATGCCGGGGACATCGACTTGATTGTGCTGAGTACAGCGTTGAGATGAGGCTGCCAGTTCGATATTCCTCCCCTCAGAACCTCGAAACTCAACAGCATGATGCTGCAAGCAAGGAACTCGGTGAGAAGTTGCTCGTCTTGGTGAAACTCCGTAGCCTTTTCGGAGCGCAAAAACTCGCAAAGCTCCTGTAGTGCAGTTGAATGATGGTCAAAGACTTTTTGATCCTGGAGGTAGCTCTCGTCTATACCTCGTGTAGCACTCTGATGCAAAGAGGATAGACCAATGGCGGCATGGTACAAGGGACCACGTTTGGTCAGCAGCTGGAGTAGCCATCCTCGGTTGCCGGTGCGCGAGTGTGAGTTATGATATGGGAATTGCCACGGGAATACATGGTCGAAATAATGCATTAGCAACCCAGCTTCGTATCCATCAATACTCAAGATATCAACATTTGTCTGGAGGGTGGGTTGACGAAACAATGTTCCATCGTTGCGAGTAGCAGGTGATTGTGTGATTGATCTGGGCGCTGGGCTTGTTGCTTGCCTGTGATTCTCGCTATAGCTGATAGAGATAGAACAATTAGGAGATGATATAGGGGATACTGGCAACGATGGAGTTGGAGGCGCCAGTCTTGCTGGAGGGTCTGACGGTGCCCTATTCGTTTCCCCCAATGCCTGATGAAGGGAAGACACTGCTGGAAGTCGCCGACGAGCTTGGTTCTGTTGCTTTCTGATCCGACGAAAATTCTCTTTAATGGCAGCTCGGATGCGAGATCGTTCTGCGGCCTCCAAGTGGCCACCGTCCATCCATATCGGCTGTGGTCCATAGCCGTGGCATTTGGTATGTCGACTGGTACATTCTGTACAGTTTGGAGTTTCTGAGCCACACTTCACATGGCGAATTCGGCAGGTCCAGCAACCTGTGGCCCTGGATCTAGTTTTCATCTTTCGTGACCTCGTACTGTTATGGCTGGCTCCTGGGGGAAAAGTCGCTCATTTTCGGAACTGCAATTAGTGCCATTTTCGGAGTCGGACCTCCGAGAGTGCTTTCTCGGACTTTCGATAGAAGAAAACGGGGAATGTTGAACGGGTAGTCTCGGATATGGCACGATCACTCGAACTCCACAATTCAGTCTGTGCTCGTGGGTGATGAGATTAATATCGGCGAAGGGAAGTATATGAGTACAATGATATATTAGCCCTTACATCTCTTATGTCATATTAAAAGGAATCTGAAGAAGACTAGGTATGAACTTTTCTCCTAAGGCACACTACTCTGCCACAGCTTCAACAAGACGAGGCGTATTTGTAATAATTTAAACCTGTGTGTACAGAGGCAATATTCCCATCTTGGCCCAAAAGGCACGGCCGTCAAGGGCTCTTTCAAATCTAGTACTGTCGCGTGGCAATGCCTTCACGCCTTCCTCCTCCATAAGCTCGCCAACCCATCGAAGCAGCTCTTCATGGCGAGCAAGCCGAGCGTTATCACTCTCCCCATTCCCTCCAGCCTCGACTCCCCGCAATGCCTCAAGCGCCCAGCCGTGGATGAGGGTCCACCAGTCATAGACGTGCAGGTTTGTCAGTAGCCAGCGCTGGCCTGGGGTAAAATTGTGATGGAGGGCGACGATTGCTCGCGCTACGTCCTCGCCATGGACGATATGGAGTGCACCCTTGGCACGCAGATCGGCCTTGGACTTGATCACACGGTCTACCCAGTGGCGTGGCTGCCGGGCGCCGCCGAACAAACCGGAGAGATCGAGTGCGACTCCTCCAGCGACAGCCATCAGCTCGTCTTCAGCAATGGCTCGCGGATGCGTCTTATCGTACGGCGATGTGTGATCCTGCCAGCCCTTCCCGGTCCATATGCTGGTGACGCCGAGTTGGATGAAGTTGGGCTTCAGGCCGCCATGGGTCTTGGCGTAGAGATCGGTTAGCCGTAGCGAAGGTCCCTTGCCTTTGAGTGGGAAAGTAATCAGCACTGTTTTGCTCGCTGGCAGCTGCCTGAAGGGTGCCTCATCCTCCGATTCGGGGTCGAACGTGAAGGCGATTGTGCCATTTCTGCCGTCTCGAGTCGTGGCGGCATGCGCAATATCTTTCTTCTCCAACAATGGTATGAGGAAGTCGGACGTCCACCCAGCCCCGAGAACGAGAAAGTCCACTTCAGTGGGCAGCGATCTTCTCATGGTGTCGGTGTTTGTGAGGTTGCTCATGCGGGCTTTTTCCTTCGCGGGAGGACTGGAACCTCGGAGTCTGTGGGGCTGCGGATGGAGATGGTCCCCTGTTTTTGTCGTTGGCCGTTGATGGGATCTTGGCTTATGCCTTTGCTCAATAGGATTCTGCAGGAGCTGCTCTAATAGCTCCAGTGGACCAATTTCCCATGCACGATTATGGCAATGTTCATATACCTGGCCTCAGGAGCCGTGGCTTCAAGTCAACGGATCATCAACTTTGGAGCTAACTGGGGTCGGAGACTAGAACAAAAAGGGACAGACTCGAGGTGGCTTGTCTGGCTTCTCCGAGACCCCGCATATATCTTACACTTGGGAGTCCTAGATCTTCCTTTCCACTGGGAAATTTGTGTGAAAATTCTCATCAAACAGCGTACAGTCAATATGGAAACTGTGAGGAATGTTTACAACTACTTGCTCGGTCAGGGTCAGAATACGGCCGTGGACTCGGATGAGGTTTTCCCGTTGTACTTCCTTGACAACCTGCAGGCCGGGCGGCTTCTCGTCCTATGCGAGACCTTCAAGTTCAACGATGTCTTGGGCCCAGAGAAGTTGCATGATGGACTCATAAAGTTGATCCAACTTGGAGATTGGAGGAAGTTAGGTGGGCGGCTTCGTAAGAAGGTGAACACAGATAAACAGTTTCGTCTTTCCGTTTACTTAAGCTAACTCGCAGCTACTCTTAGTCCGACGGCAATCTCGAGCTCCATGTACCAAAACAATTCACCAAAGAACGGCCGGCAGTCCAATTTTCCTCGGAGAAAATCGACATCGGCATCGCCGAGCACTCTACTGCTTGGCAGTTTCCCACAGCAACCGATTCCCCTTCTTTACATCCTGGGCAGGAGTTTTTCGAGGAATTTAGTGCGTTATCGAAAGGGCCAAAGACCTTACAAGACTACCTCCAAAGTGATCACCCAGTCTTTCGAGTTCATGTCACCGTATTCGCTGACGCCACCATTGTTGCTTTTATTTGGCCACATGCGGTGTCTGGCGCTCTGGGGCTGAAGAATATTCTGTCGGCCTGGTCTGAGGCGCTCAAGGATGAAGGAAATATCCCAGAGTTGTTGGGCGCTCGAAAGGATGTACTCGACGGAATAGGAACTTCGAAAGACTGCACAGCACCATATGTTCTTGATAATGTTGAGTTAAAGGGCTGGGGGTTTGCCAAATTCGCATTTCGGCTGATGTGGACGGTCATCTGGCGGCCGAAGGTTGAGGCACGCACAATATGCCTTCCTCGCGGCTTTGTCTCCGATCTACGACAGGCCACGCTGAAGGAGCTCTCAGAAATTCAAGGAATTGATAGTGATGTTTTCGTTAGCGAGGGCGACGTCTTGACTGCTTGGCTGACAAGATTCATTTCTCGGGCACGTGGAGGAACAAGACCTGCGATTTTGGTCAACCCTCTGGACGTGTCAAGCCGTCTCAAATCTGCCTTGGCTCCCGGAGGACTGTACGTTCAAAATATGGCCGTGGCTTTATACACTCTTGTCGAAGCCAACATCTTGAGCAAGAGATCACTGGGGGAGACGGCTCGTGTGGTGCGTTTGTCCATACAACAACAAGCCACAGAGGAGCAAATGCGTTCTCAACTGCGGCACTTTAGAAAACTTGGACCGAACAAAATGCAGTCGCTTTATGGGACATCACACTCCCACTTGGTCGCATTTTCCAACTGGACGACTTTCAAGATATTTGAAGCTATTGACTTCAGCCCCGCTATCACTACGCCATCACCCCATTCTGCGGGTGGAAAACCGGTGTACATGCATTGCCAGTCCTTGAGCAGGGATTCATTCATGAGGGATGTCTTTGCAATCACTGGCAAAGATTTAGACGGTAATTATTGGGTCAGTGGTTTCTTATACCCGGAAGACTGGCAAGCATTTGAGGATTACATGCAGACTACGGAGGAGAGTTCGAGGATAAAGTTGAAATCAACGATAGAAAATGCCAGGTCCGACATCTCAACACAATGAATGCGACATGCAGAATACATGTGCGACTCTTTAGGATGAATAGATGACCTGGTGCCGGCTCCCTAGCTAGCATAATTATTTAATCAGGAAAGAGATCCCCCGACATAGAAACATGAACTTATGCGAATGATTGAGATGAAGAGACCGCGTTTCCCACTATTCTTATAACAGTGAAGAGGCTCATAGGCACGAAATAGATCAAAGTCATTGAATTATCATGTACTCATGGTGGTAAATGGAAATAGAAGAATGAAAGATCGAGTGGATAACATCGGGCATGGCATCTTTTGCATCGATCTTACACCAACCGGCGGACACTGGCTTGGGCCCTCATGATGTGCTACTCTAAACGCATACTAAGCTTGTGCTCTACCTTACGCAACACTAGAGCATTCTACCCAAAAGAAATAGAGTGACTCTGCGTCATGGTCATGAGATAGGGCGAACTGGAATTGGAGGTGCCACCTGGCCTGACCCCTTGTTGCATATATATTCCACCCCAACGCTTTCGTGTGGTCTCTCTGGACCATTCAATAATATTCAATTGATCCACATCCTTCGGCGTTAAGCTCGCCACGTGTCGCGTTGTAAAGTAGTTGTGCTGATTTGGGCTTCAATTTTTTTGCCTGGGCTTCCTGTTGGGCTGCTACGGGAATGTTGGGCGACAAAATGGCGTCGGCAATTCACCCTCGCCCAAAGACACAAGAGAGTGTATAATTGTATAATCTGCAGATTTTATTTATTAATTAAATCTTTCTTTACGACTAATTCTTCTTCCTAAAGCAAACGCCGGTGGTGGACTTCCCCCCAGGAGACCGTTATACGGCGAATTCACATCATGTCTCCGTCGGACCTCCAATCCAAGGAGCATCGCGACTTGCTCGATATCATCGACCAGCTCCGGTCTCAAGGCATAAATCGCTATGTGGATCTTCCTGAGATTATAGTCTGCGGTGACCAGTCCGCTGGGAAAAGCTCTGTCCTTGAAGCCATCTCGGGCATGTCATTCCCAACCAAAGATCGACTCTGCACTCGGTTTGCCACAGAGCTTATCCTGCGCCGCGATACCGACACCAGTGTGAAGATTTCTATCTCGCCTGGGCCGGATCGCCATCCAGAAGATAGGGATCATTTATCCAGTTGGCAGCCAGAGGCTGATATCGAGAACGACGGACTCAGGGTCGTCATCGAGGAGGCGAAGGCGAGAATGGGTCTTCAAGGGACCAAGGTCTTCAGCAGTGATATCCTCCGCATCGAGCTTTGTGGACCGACGCAGCCACATCTGACCATGGTTGACCTGCCTGGTCTGTTTAGGTCGGGCAACAAGGAGCAATCCGAGGACAACGTCGCGCTGGTGAAAGCGCTGGTCACCAGATACATGAGTCGGCCGCGAAGCATCATCCTGGCCGTGGTTTCTGCCAAAACAGAATACGTTCTGCAAGAGGTTACCGCACTGGCAAGGAGCGCCGATCCGCAAGGCCTTCGCACTATTGGTCTCATCACAAAGCCAGACACTCTGGACAACGGATCCGAGAGTCAACGTTCTTGGGTAAATCTGGCTCTCAACAAGGACGTGGAGTTGAATCTGGGATGGCACGTGCTGAAGAACCGCAATTATGAAGAAAGAGACTACTCTTCATTACAACGTGACATCTCCGAGGATGAGTTCTTCAGCACGGGCATATGGACTTCCATTGATCCTAAACACTACGGGGTCAAGAGCCTGAAATCTCGACTCAGCTCGGTGCTCAAGGACCAGATTTTGCAACAATTGCCGGGCTTGATCAAGGATGTCGACCATGGCATTGAGGATTGCAATGTGAAGCTGTCCAAACTCGGGGCCGGTCGGAAATCTTCCCGAGAGCAATTGAAGTACCTGTCTCAGCTGAGCCACCAGTTCACCTCCTTGATGACCTCTGCCGTCAGTGGGACATACGCCGATACCTTTTTCGGTAGCAAGAATGATTTGAATGAGCAACGAAAGAGACTTCGATCTGTTGTGCAGAATCGGCTGGAATTGTTCGCTCAAGATATGCGGCTGACTGGCGAAAGCCAGGTCATCGTCGATGATAATGAAGCCTGCTATGACGACAGACAAATCACACGGTCTCAGTACGTCGACGACGTCAGGATGCGGATGATGAAAAGCAGAGGGTCCGAGCTTCCGGGACTCTTCAACCCTGCTATCGTGAGCGATCTGTTTGCGGAGCAATGTCAGCCCTGGAAGGGGATTGTTTCCAGCCTGACAGAAGACATTGTTGATGCTGTGTATCGAACCACACGGTCAATAGTCGAACACATTGCAGCCAACGAAGTTATACGAGAGATACTAATCTTACTGAACTCCGAGATCGATCAGTTGAAGGTCAGTATGAACGACAAAGTGAGAGAGTTGCTTCAGGCGCAGTATGCTCTGCATTCCATCACCTACAACCCGCAGCTCAGCGAAAATGTTCAGAAGGCTCAGTGGGCCCGAAAGAAGCGACACCTGGAGAAGAGAATCCAAGAAAAGTTTGGTTTTAAATCGGTTGACGAACCGGGGGAGAAACTCATCATTGACGCGCCCCAGATCGTGGAGCTGTTTCTGGACGAGACTGAGCTGGACATGATTCGCTTTGGTAGCTCAATGGCCGTTGATTACATGCAAGCTTATTACCAGGTATGTTGTATCAAGTTCAAGGATCTTCCCGTCATGAATATCACACTAACCCCACCATTACAGCTTGCGAGAGACAGATTCATTGATGACATAAGTGTCATGGCTGTTGAGCGTTGTCTCATGAACAAACTAACGAGCATTTTGACACCAATCAAGGCGGTCGAACTTGAAGACGACGAGCTTCTACGCCTTGTTGGCGAAAGCGAGGAGAGCGTGGATGAACGGTTGAGACTGACCGAGAAGCTGGAGATATTGCAAAATGGGCTTCGGGACATCAAGCGGCTGTACACCGACAGAGGTGACATTGCTCCCGAGATCCAGGCGGAACAGAGCACTCCTGCATCTACCATCATACAGGTTCAAAGGAGCGCAAGTGTTTCGTCAGAACTCGGAAAAGACGAAGAGGAGGCTGCTCATTCCCCGCCACCTTCTTCAGCGGGATCTTCGCGAGGGGAGTTTGTTGGGTAAAAGTTATTTTAAATAGCACGATTGATGATCCATTCTTTCTACGTCTTTGAGGCCATGAGGAGGAGATACTGTCCAGCATGGGTTCCCAATCGACAAAGTTACCTGAGTTCCAGACAGGTTGCTTGATCACAGCTGCATCTATCCATCAAAGGTGTGGCCTAGACCGACTCATGTTGTCTCTATGGGCAGGATATAGAATTGAAAGGGCAGAAGGCCGATGTATATTACATTATTAGTACATAATGAGTGGCATATTATATCAATGAAACTCTCGGGGAAGAGATTCAAACCGTTGACAACTCCGGGGCGATCGGCTTGGTTTAATTTCACAGTGTCAAACAGACATTCAAGACGAAAACTTGTCCCGAACATCTTCACCAAACGGCTTGGCCATTCCCGCGACCCTTGACGTTCCTAGCCTAAATCGGCCATTGGGAACTTTGGAAATTATGCTGACAAAATATTATGTCGCCACGGTTTAAGAGCTAAAGAATAAGCTTGCTGCCTATTTCCCCACACCTTCATGGTGCTCCTTGTTCGTCGACTCTTGGCGAGGTTGAAAATAAGGCAGTTTGGAGTGGAAAGCATGTCCAATGCACTCTGACTAACTCGATGGATTGAATCATGAGGGGAAGTTGTGGCAACTGGCCCTACTAGCCATTCTCACCTTCCAAAGAGAGGCCACTCCAAAGTTCTGGTGCGATGATCTTTTCCTCGCGTTGATATACCTTCCTGCTCTGGAAGGATGGTCGCAGATCAGTCCGCAACTTCAACAGCATGGCCAAGCCTGCCGAGAGTTTTCCCAGTGTAATCTCGTATCCGATCAAATGATGTGAAGGGATATACCTCTGCGCCAAGATCGATCTAAACGACGATGGGGCAGGAAGTTAATTTATTGATCTGGAGATCTACAAGGTCCAATATCATCAGGGAAATATCAAGATAGCGACGGCTGCTTGGCGAAAGTTTCTGGGAATATAAACCCACCTCCTGCGAGTTCAACAATTCCTAAATCAGCTCTTGTTACCTTCTCTCATTCTCTACTGGTTGGTTCTGTCTCTAATTCATTCAACTCCGGTAAATTCGAGTTACCAAAATGAAGGCCCCTCTTTCCTCTCTAGCTATTGCGACCCTGGCGAGCTCTGCCGTCGCACAGCTGTTCAATGCAGACACATTGAAGGCTGAAAGTGCACCCAAAGCTGTATCTATGGCTACTCTGAAACAGCGGAAGGTTGAGCAGCGCGAGAGGGACGTTGCCAACGGATTGTTTGACGTTGATCGTTATGCGGCTACGTCGGCCACACCTTGTGTCAATGGAAAAGCTGGCGAGTACTCTTGCAACAACGTTGATCTGCTTGGATTTCTGCGTCACCAAGATGTCGGTAGCAGAACTCGTGAGGGCAATGACATTTGGGGTATGTCTAAATTAGCCTTATACAACATGGATACATGAGCTGACCAAATAAACTAGGCTGGACCGACCCCAGCACTGGCCGTGAATACGCGTTGCTAGGACAAACAGACGGCACTGCATTCGTCGAGGTCCTTCAAGATGGCAGCCTCAGATATGTAGGCCGCCTGCCGACGCAAACCGTTGCCTCTACTTGGCGCGATATCAAGGTCATTGGCAACTACGCCTACATTGGTTCCGAAGCTCCTGACCATGGACTTCAAATCTTCGATCTGACCAAGTTGAGAAGCGCAGACCCAGAGAACCCACCAACCTATAGCCCCAGCCGGGATCTGACGGCACGCTTCTCTGGCTTTGGCTCCAGTCATAACATCGTTGCCAACGAGGAGACTGATCTCATCATTGCAGTTGGCACTGAGCACAGGCTGAAATGCCGTGCAGGTCTGTGGATGATAGACGTTTCCAACCCAGAACGTCCTCAGGATGCCGGCTGCGTCGCGGAGGACGGTTACGTACATGATGCGCAGTGTGTCATCTACCGTGGCCCTCAGACTGCCTACCAGGGTAAAGAGATATGCTTCAACTTCAACGAGGATGCGTTGACAATCGTGAACATTGACCGTCGCACCATGCCCCGCCAACTCTCTCGTACTACCTACAATGGCGCCACCTATACTCACCAAGGCTGGTTGACTCCGGATCACAAGTATGTCCTCCTCGACGATGAGCTTGACGAGCAGGAAAAGAATGGCCCCGCCCAAGACCAACATACCACTACTTATATCGTGGATGTTCAGGACCTCGAGTATCCTGTGTTCCGCGGTGTCTACAAGAGCCCTCAGCGATCCATTGATCACAACCAATATATCATCGACGGCCTCTCATACCAATCCAACTATGGTTCTGGCCTCCGCATTGTCAACGTCACTTCCATTAATGATGACGATAGCGGAGCCCAGTTCAAGGAGGCCGGTTTCTTTGATGTCAGGCCAGAGGATGATGCGGTTGGCGGTGAGGCTACATTTCATGGCGCTTGGTCGGTATATCCCTACTTCCAGAGTGGTCACATTGTCGTAAGCTCGATCGAGCGTGGCATCTATTCTCTCAAGCACAACGTTTAAACGAGTGCCTGGAGAGGGGGATGTCCTAAAAATGATCTAAATCATTAATAAAATAAATATATATATCGCGCACAACTTTAAGCTCCATGTCCTGGATGAACCGCCAATTACAACTGGATCTGAAAATTAGTCATTTCCAGTAGAGTTTGGAAATATTCGCTCTCGTCTGATGAGCCTCATACTAACATAACCCTGTATACATGCATCCTTGAATCGAGAACCAAGCGACAGCTTTAGAAGCAAGAGAAAAAGAAGATGAAGCCCCGACGCAGGTTTAAATTCATGACTTATTTATTGAAACTAAGATCTTCTCGGTGCGTGCAAGTAAGTGGCCAGCTATTTCAGCTGGTCGCGTGAAATTGTTTGGAAGCGGGTGCGTTGCTTGATCTTGCTGGCAATTCACAATTGTCTCATCCTAAAAGTGAAACATAACACTCCAGCAGCAACCCAAAAATCTCTCCAAGAGCGACCCATTCTTAGAAGCCATATACTGCTTTCCCAATTCTTAGAAGGCGAACTCTTGTCCAACAAGCTTTTCACTTAGTTCCCACAGACGTTCGGCGTCGACCGAGTCCCTAGTCCAGCAGTATACATGCTTTATATCCTTCACCTTGCAATTTGTTAGATAAGCACCATTAGATTTTTCAATCTCGGGAGAAAATGCCGCAAAAACATGCGTGGCCACGCCTTGGGATGGCGATTTGAAACCAAATTGCTGGTTCCAATAATGGGCATGACCCTGGATCTTGTCAAGCTCGCCTAATGGGTTTCGAGGAGAGAATCAGTTCATTTTCGTTCTTGCCAGTCTTGTGTTCGATGTTACTGTAGGGAATTATCTTACCTAGCTCTGCAAACTCCTCCATGGGCACGCTTCGGCTCAAGTTGGTCATAATTACACCTGGATGCAGACTGAAAGCATGGACATGTCGATGACCGAGCTTTTCCGTGAGCGCTTTGGTGTAGAGCATGTTGGCAGACTTGGACTGGCCGTAAGAAAGCCATCGGTTGTAATGTTTCCCATCCTACCACATTTCTCTTGATTAGCCATCCCGTTCGAGATATAAGCCAAATTTCACCTACACTAAAGTCCAAGTCACCAAACCGTACTGGGCCATACCGGCAACCATTGCTGGAGACGTTCACAATCCGAATGGGAACATTTCTAGCCAACATGTCTGGAAGCAGAAGATTGGTGAGCAAGAAGTGGCCAAGATAGTTGACTGCAAACTGCCCCTCGATGCCATCAACCGTCTTGAAGTAGGGGGGGGCCATAATAGCTGCGTTGTTGACGATGACATCGATCTTTTCGTCGAGAGACTGAATCTTCGCTGCGGCCTTTCTAACTTGATCTAGAGAAGCAAGGTCGAGCTCCACGCTATGGGTTCTGACAGAAGGACTGGTCGCCTTGATAGCCCGTGCTGTCTCTTCGGCTTTTGAGAGATCGCGTGTAGCCAAGATAAGACTTTCTGGACCATATTGTGCTATTATCTCCGCAAAGGCCGCCCCAAGCCCCTTGGGACTGACACCAGTCACAAGAATGGTCTTTCCTGCAATCTGGGATTTGAGGTCATTGGCCACCTCCTCAGCAGTGGTCTCGTAGCTGTATGGGCTCATATTGAAATATTGAAAATTAACAGATGGGAATGAATCAAGGAATGATGGTGTTTGACTGTTCTGATATTTGGTCTTCTTTCTGCCTATTTATACATACATTTTCCTTAGATGACTATCGAAGCGCGATTTGATAGAAAGTCATAGACCACTTGATCATGCCCTTTGAGACCGTTTTCATCCCTGACACATGCCAAACTTGGCAATGGTGTTCTGCCCCAAGATGTGTTCCATTCTAATTCAAACCATAATTCTTAACTCCGGACTGGATCTCCGTGGACAAGACTTAACCTTTTCTGGTCGCATTTCATCCCAGTCACATTCCAATTTAGGCTTGGCCTTGCAAAATATTGCCTGCTTTGTAATCCGCTGACGTCTCCGGCTGCCTTGTGTAACATGTATTTATCTCTCAGAAGAAATGCGATGGCAACGGGAGGAGATCCGATTCCATTCGAATTCAGGGTTTACAAATGCCTCTTTCGGAAACCATAATCCAGAGAATGGATCTCGCGCCAACGGAGATCGTTTTCTCACTTCCCCGTGTGACGGATGAGAGTACCTTTAGCACAGAAGGCCGTTACAGCTATCTACAAGGGCCAGTGAAAGTACCCGGGCCATGGAAGAGAGGTCGTCCCAGGGCTGGTAAGTTATGGCCCAGTGCAGCTTGTAGTACACTCAGCTGACCCATCATTAGCCAAACCGAAGAAATCGGCATTTCAATTTGTCAGCGTGTCTGGTGAGAGCAAGTATATGGACTCTGCCTCGCAATCTACGATCCGAAGCCATGCCAGGAGGATGACACCACGTCATAATACTCGGCGAGATGAACACTATAGGCCTCCTATCAAGAATCCGATCGCCGGCGAAGACTCTTTTCCGCCACTGGAGGTCGCGCTCCAAGGAGGCCTATCACAAATTTCTGGAGTCGATCCATTTAATACTTCGGTCATCACACTAGAACCATACATGCATGATCTTTTATCTCTTTGTAGGTCGATTCTATGCTCTATAATATTTGAGATGCTAATGTGCTAGCATATGCAGTCTCATCTAGAATATGGAGGAGTATCTATACTTTAGAAGAGGCAGGTGGCTGGAACCCAATTGAAAATTATTGGCTTCCATTAGCTTTCCAAGATCCTGCTCTTCTACATTCATTCATTGCGTGCGCCGACGCGTATGTTAATGGGTATGTGTCTGAACAAGTGAGACCCCGATGGTCAAAACACCTTTCAGAGGTTGTATCTATCATGAATCAGCGGCTTTCTATGCCGACACCAGCAATCTCTCAGCAAACTCTGGCAGTAATTGCTGGAATGGCGTTACTTGAGTTAAGTGTTTTTTGTTTGAGTTGTGTCATTCAAGAATTTAACAAGATCTTTAGAAAGGATCTGGACGACACGAGCACTGGAGAACACACATGAAAGGCCTCAAGGTGTTAGTCAAACTTTATGGTGGTCTTGAGACAATGGATTCAGAACCACTTGTTCTACACAAGATTTATAGGTACGTTTTCTATCCCTTATTGTGGACAGTAGCACGCTAAATCGATGGATGCAGGGCCGATCTATATGGATCGTTAGATGCCGGAGAGCCACCATTCTTTCATGGCCCGAACGATATCATATCCACGAAATACTCAACGAGCAATATACGAAGCGAAGGCTTGAATGAAATATGGAAACTCTTAAGCTTTGAACCAGTACTTTCAACATGCATCAGGCAGCTAGAAGGGGTTGAAGGATTTTGGCCAAGACAAAGCCATCTTCCAAGTCAACAAAATCTCTCTGCCACCGCACAAGGGCTATTTCGCTCGCCTTCTGAAATTGCTCAAGTACGACTCACTTTGACCAATACGCAATACAAGCTGGTTTCGGCCGCTGGTTCACCGCCAACTCACCTTGGATCCATGAAAATGGCAATCTTCGAGGTTTTAAGGATCGCTCTAGTCATCTACACCTTGACGGTCCTCAAAGAACGTCCAGAGTCGACTTTCATTGGCCAGAGAATCGCCCTTGAACTTTACAAAGCTTTGATTGTCATGTCCGAAGAGGCAACCGTCACGGGCGATCTCCAGTTGTATCATTATGGCACAGAGAGCACTCCTTTCAGCAAGTTGTCGAACACCTTGTCTCAAGCTTCGCCCTTGGGGTCTATTGTGCCACCCGGCTTTATTCTTTGGGGAATTTTCTTCGCATTTATAAATCTGCCGCCTGGAAATGGCTCACGGGAAGTAGTTTCCATTAAAAGAACCTTCATCAAGATTTTTACCCAGCTTGTTCAAGCATCCGGGATGGCCCAACAAGATGTCAGGTTGCAAATTTCGAAGTATTTGTGGATAGAGAATGCCCATGGTGCTCTATTTGACCATTTCTGGTCTGACATTCAAATACAAAATATCTGAGTGGGTGTGATACGGGATTTCATTGAACAATGTACTGGCACTGGCTTTGACTTGTTGCCAGTGTGCAGATTGGTTGAAATGCTAGAGAAATACATGTGGTATAGGCGAAGCCTGTCCCCGAATTCATCTTATAAATAGTATTTTCTTATATCTGGGTTATAATAGCGTCTGTATATTGTTACTGAGTTAACAATAAATTCTCGCTCCAGGGAATGCCAGTCGCTGAGGGAATATCAACATCAAATTTCCAGCATAGCCACATCCTCGCAAGAGATGTCTTCTTCAATAGAACAGGGCGTGACTCCGAATTTCGTAAACATTTATTCAAGCTCATACTTGTTCCTCGATGGGCCAACCGCAGTAGATGTTCCATCTAGCTCGGCCTTCTCGTAGACTATTCTCGGCTCCTGCGGTGGGTGAAATCGGGAGGTTGAAGTTGAATGGAGAGGGGACTCATAAGGCGAGTAGGAGGTGCCATCAAGCTCCGGGGTAGATTTGGGGTACACTTGGACTTCTTCCCGGCTTTCCAGTCTAACTCCTCCGTATGGGTCGTTAGATTTGGTCTCGCGGCGCCTTCGGAAGAATATGAAAATGGCCGCCGCAATAGCAATTACAGCTAGGGGGATGCAGATACCGATGGCAACTTTTGCTCCGGTTGCAAGACTGGCACCAGAGCTTGAAGAAGCGTCTGCATCGCTTGTTTCGGTGGTTGGTGAAGTCGAATCGGAAACAGAGTAAGCAGTTGTTGATGCGACGCTGTTAATAGTTGAAGAATTTGTGGTAACGGATGCGGGTGCAGTTGTCAATGCAGAAGAGTTACTCTCTGCCTGTGTAGCTGATGTAGATGTTGCCACACTGTTCGTCTTTGATAAATTACTATCTCCGGCTAGGGCAACTCGTTAATCTTCTTGCAGTCAAACAAATAGAGAAAAGGGGGGGACAAACTTGATGTGGTGGCATCCGAGCCTGTTGTAGTCGCTGACGTCTGCTTGATACCTAAGGAACAGTACTCCTCAAAGAGTGCCGTCGCACTGGCGACTTCCGATCCGGTTCCGCTACATTCTTTTCCAACAGATGAGGCGATCAGATCCTTGAATGCTGACGAGCTCTTTGTGCAAAAGCAGCTGTACGAAGTGGCGCGCCCCCCATCACCGCATCCTTTTACCATGCCTCTCACGATCGTACTGATGGGACCCTCGGCGCAAAGAGGCAATGATGAGTAGTTATCAAGTTGGTTAATCCAGTAAGCCGCTGTGGCCTGCCTCACGAGGATAGACAAGGCCCATGGCAATGCGGTCTGTCTATGTGTGACCCTCATCGTGATCGGCACAGATTCGAGTACGCTTCGAGGCAGTATCGACAGAAGTTCTTGGCAGCCTTTGAAGCCAAGGGATCTGATTCCCACTAGGTCGTCGGAAGAGCATGCAAACCTATATTTTCAAGGAAAAGTCAAGGTGGGGTGCTTCATAATTGAGTATGCTGCCAGAAAGTTGACGCGAGCACCAATCAACACAGTCAGACGCTTCGAAGGCTGAAGCTGGTAGGTTGGCCAATGGCCATTTCCACAGGCCCACAAGCGCCCCCATGTTACATGATAATATACGATGTAAGGCTAAGTCGCATTTGCAACCCATTTGGCTCGCTTCCATCGTCAAAGCAGGTGTAAGACACGCAGTGTGCGTGTCCTATGATACCAGTGGTCCATGTATAAAATCAAACCCATCCATCAGTGATCACGGCCACTTTTCCAGTTGAACGGCTCTTGATTGGGCTTCAAGCTCGCCCTATGTACTTGCTAGAAACCAAGGTATCTCGAGGAGTGGGATCTGTAGCCTTGGAACCGAAGCTGACAGGTGGGTTCACAGAAATCCCAGGTGGGTATCAATATTCTCCTTGAGTAAGGCTGAGATCGCCTTAAGACCATCAACCCTGTTCCAGCTGACGGCGACGCCCGGAGATGAACGCCAGTTGGGGACTAGTGAAGCGGGCCATCGAGGCATTCCTCCATCATCAGATGAGCTAGCCGCTGGAAGGAAAATGCTTTTTTTTTTATGCGGATCATATTAGTCGATGATGATTGCAGCCAGAGCTTCCTGCAGGAGCAGGTAGCCAAAAATCTAGCCTCGAGCCTCTAGACAGGATTTTAGACTAGATTTACCAAGGTAGTAAGCTCGCCTAAATGATATCTAGGCCAAAGCTGCAGTTACAGTCTGCGGCTTGCAGGTTGCTCAGAGGAAAGCAGCCCTCTGGTGGACCTGTGGACTTGTTTCAGATAAGTGCATCTCCGATCCCATGCAGGTTCAATGCGTAGTCGGCCGACGCGACGCTCAAACACATCCCAAGTGTGTGTGCCGCTATCCGTCAAATCAGTCAAGGAGAACAGTTGACAGTCCTATCAAGGCTTCGGCTTCGCCGACAGAAATGCATCTAGAAGGCAGGGATACAGGCTTCAAACTGTTTACTCTCGCGTGGACATAGAAAGGCACGCCTTCTTGCTTCCTCATCCATGGCTTGTCTAATTTCATGGGGCCTGTATCCTCAAGTTTTGTGCAAGCCACATGGCTCTCACCAGTACTCGAAACGGCATTGCAGGAGGAAGGAGTAAAATGGAAAAAGAATAGAAGAAAAGAGGAACCGATTTCAAGACTAAAAGTTGCTCACCCTAGACCCCTGTGTACACATACCAGATATTTCAGCGCTACCAGTCGGCAGATAAGAGCGACACCTCTCGAGCACAAGTGTCGATTGGAAGGCTTAGCCATTTTTGCTCCATTTCTTGTTTGAAAGGAGAATGAAAGGCATGACAGAATCAGAGAATGTCTCTTATTTTTACATACAACAATACAAAGAGCGAGATGGAACAGCGTCTATACAGCCGTCAAGGATTAAGAACATTAGCGTCAGTATTCACCCACTCGTGATTCGCTTCGATGCTAATATAAGTATTGAATATTCTATCGCACATACTGTAAACCCTGGAAAAGGGTTCCAGCAATAGATATAGATCAGCGGCAATCAGAAGATACATCACAGCGATGTAGATCTACCTATCACTCCATACTATGGTATTGTGAGTATACGTACCGTCATGATGGAGCTATGTAGCGAACTATCGTTTGTGATCCTTGAGACCTGTATAACTCATGGCAGCTCGGTCCAACAAACTACATACTATGGAGCTCAGTTGAGAAACCTCCAAGCCACTCAAAATCGCTTTGGTTTATGTACGGGAGAAACCCAAGATTTCAGGAAACTGTTACACTTCATCTCGATCAAAGCTACAACCTCGAAATGTGGCGTTTCAGCTGCTATGGCTAAGATGATACGATGACATACTTACACTTATCCCAACTCGGTGATCACGTGTGCCACTTACAATATCCACGACGCGGTCTATCTATTCAAGTCTGGTTTAGATGCAATCGCGGTACCTGACGCGCCTACATTCGCGGGGCCCCCTCTCTTGCAAGTAACACGACTCCCCATCAACAGTAACGAGTTACAAGAAGCCCTCGACAACGACACTACTAGAACGAACTACAACACAGTTAAAATGTTTGAAGATCTTCGCAACCTGATTAACGGCCAATTTGAGACTGAAGATGATATAAGAAAGCTGATGGAGCCCCGATATGAGGTCAATCGACCTGACGGGGAGGATACATATGGCAAGTCGGACGAAGCCAAGCTTGGATGCCTGCTCCTTGAGAAGGTGACTGGTGGTCGCCCCCGCGCAGACCAGAGTAGGCTTCTGTCATTGCCAGCAGAGATCCTGGCTTCAATTGTCGATATATTGTCGGCGTCCGACCTCGCCTCCTTAGCTTTGGTAAATAGTGACTGTCAGCATCTGGCTCGCTCTGGACAATTTTCCGACATCCACTTTGACTACAGCCAGAGGGCCCAAGACCTCGTCGTCCATCTTCTTGACGATGGCCAGCAAATGAACAAAATGGGAACCAATCTACCCAGCATCGGCTCATGCGTGCGTCGGGTGACCTTCGCTTCAGATCCCGATAATGTTGGCGAGTATCACAAGGAAGCTTGGAGTCTGACTGGACTTCAATCCGAGGAGGAAGAAGAAGGGATAAAATGCAAGGCATACAAGCACTATCGCGCCGTTCAAGCGTCTTCACTGCTTGCCATTAACAGGATGACAATGCCCAATCTTGAAATTCTCAAGTGGAGTGACGATTTCGCCATAAAAGAGTATTTCTTCAAATTCATCTCCCTTACTTCAGCTCAGCACATCATATTAGATTGTTTGAGTCTCAAGACGCCTATTACATTACGCCCTCCCGTTGTACCAGCAGTGTGGCCTTTGCGCAAAATTGATCTCGACGTGAGCTTGCCCAGACAAGCCGACGGGACACCGTCTGACGCCGAGTTCTACGAAGACTTTCTTCGGCTATGTGCTCCCACGCTAGAATCTCTCAAGTTCAATGAACGAGATTCCGGGGTGTCCGAAATGGTATTCTTCAAGGAACAAGATCCTCCGTCATTCCCGCGTCTGCGTAATTTACGCCTTCGCGTACTTGACCCTCCCACCTCCTTCACTTCGCTTTTCTTGGATTCCCCAGTGAGGAGTCTTGAGATACCAAAGGAAATCAAAAATACCAGCAGCATGGCCGCCATGATTGGCGATGGATTTCGGGATCTTGAAAACTTGGTTGTGCCTCACTTGCCGTTCAAGGACACGCTGAGCGGGGAGATAGCCCGCTTCTTACAAGAGCATAAGAAAATCCAGAAACTATGTGTCCATGAGAATAGCTACGCAAAGGGAGACCGAGCACATCTTGACCGCCATATCATTCCAGCCCTAGCCCAAGGAGGTTTCGAACATCTGACCAGCCTCTCCCTACAATGGGGCGGGGCGGCGATAGATGGGACTGAGACGAGTGCCGTACACGTTCCGGAAGCATCCTTGGCTGTGGTGAGTCAAATCAAGTCGCTGCAGAAACTGAAACTTGGGGCCGGCGTGACTTCCGGGTGGCAATGTCAGTGGCTTGTAGACCACGAAAGTGTTGCCAGGCTTTTGAGGACGCTGCAGAACCTGCAGCTCCTGGCATTTTACCGCGACACATACCTGACCCCAGGGGACAGCAACCCTGATGTCGAAGATTACTATATGAGAAGGACTTTCACGGACGAAGTGCGTGCAATCGCCAGTGAGCGACCAGAATTTGATGTGGTCTATGAGCAACACGTAGTCCAAAGAAGGGGATCGAACCCGAACAATTTTGTATTGTACCGTGAGGCCTGGGAAAGGGCGCATCGCAACCGCATGCTAAACTATGCTGAAGGCTATGCATCTGTTCTGCAAGCTCTCGAGACGATCGTTTGCGGACAACGTCCGATAGCTATCAAATGCAACCCCCAGGAACCAAAGGGAACTAGAAAAGCAGTCCCGCTCACAGTGGATCGGGACATCTGCTACTCTTACTTACAGACAACTTTTGGCTTGGGAACATGGTTGGAAACACTCACGGAGCCACACGCATAAATTGTTATCAATCCCCCCCTCGGAAGAACATCACATACGTGAAAGATAGGTTAGTGGGAATTGCAGCAGTTCATTTGGCTTTCAGATCCGTATCGAAGTCAAAAATGCAACGATTTCAATTTTAACTGTCTGTATGAATTTGTTCTTATTTTCTGTGTGAATCTTGGTATAATGAAGGAACCTCTGGTCAAGCATGTGGCCTTGTGAAGAGAGCGGATTGGGGCCTTGAGAGATAATGTCTTTTGGTGACGGGTTAATTACTGAGTGAGGCAAATGCCAAACTTCTACAATCAAACTTGGCGAAATGAGTAATACCTCCATCTACCGCCCTGGAGTGTCAGTCTTTGTAGTCGAGAGATAGACAACCCCTAGCGGTTTGCCCTATAAGCCTAATCAAATACTTTTCCGTGCTCGGGACAATATTGATGACGTGCTTATAATCTCGAAACCACTTGCAACGCGATTACCCCAGCTCATACTAGTTACTTTTGTATTTAGCTAGCTTAAGGCCGAGTCGTCAATGTTTCGAAAGTCTTCCTTCCGACCCTATCATGGAAGGCATCTATCCACATTACTCGCTTCAGCAGTAGGCGAGTTTCCTCCCATGAGGAACGTCGTAGATCTGAAACTTCCCATCTCGTTCCAATTATGATTTGATCAAATACCTCATCCATGTTTTCAGTAGACATGAAACAAATATATATCAACCAGATCTCCACAATTCTAGGCAAACTCTCCATTGATGCCCTGGCCGTAACATAAGATCTTCGAAGCTTTGCTGCCGCACTATGGCAGCCGGGGTGTGTATACGATCCAGGCAGTCGAAAGGTTGTTGCGAGGAATGCCATCATCCCTTGGAATACACAGTTTCGTAAATTGTCCCTCGGACGTGGTAGTAAATTGACAAGACTGGATTGTATATATTCCAGATATTCGTAGAGAACTGCCCCGTCGAGGGGTGTCTTGTTGCAGAAGTGCTCATTGAAGAGAATGCTAAGGTACTGGAGATTCCGGAAGACATTCGCCAACTCCGAGTCGAGGTAGTCATCCAGTGGGAGCATATTATGCGAAGCGTGGAGACGTATAATATGGGCCGGCACAGCTGGCTGGATCCAATTCAATTCGTTATACACCGGTGTCCATAGATCGGTAGCTAGAGAGCCACAGAAGTTTAAACTGTAATGTGTCAATAAGGTCCGGGTGGTTTCTTTTTAGTTAAAGCATGAGGCCTTACCGATCAACTGAAAGTAATATCATGGACTTTCGTTTTGGTTCCACGGCAAACTTCTTACGAAGTCTCATTATTTTTGAAATGCCGGCAGCATGTACTTGCGCAGATTCATAATCTTTGAAGAAAATGGTCATGGAAGCTAGAATGCCAATCACGTAGAGAACCATATCATCTCTATACGCATTCGGATCAGAAAGTCTTTGGTTTAGAAGCGGCAGAGTCCGCTGCAGGTGGCGGTATGACGCCTTCGACAATGGTTTCTGGGATGCGAGGTCGTTTGAAGCTGAAGCCAGCAGCAGAATTGCGTGAAAGCACATTTCCTGTGATACGATCAACCGGAAGCACCACATTGGGTCGGCATCGATGTCGATCTTAATTCCAAAGTGCTTAAACGAGCACATCAGGTCTCTAATTGGATTGATGGCAAAGTCTATTGAGGGTTAATTAGACATCTATATTCTCGACTACATTCGTAAACAAAGAGGGCATACATTGATGCAGTAGACCTTGGTTGAATTCATTAAGCTCCCTTGGAAAGGTGAAGAGAGCCCAATCGGATGGCACCGGTATTGGTGAAGGATCGATCCCATGTGCCGGATGTCGCGTCTCCTGCTTAGGCGGAAGACAAGCCAGGGTTGCTTTTTGTCGACGAACATGCTTGTTCCGGGCTTCGGCTTCGGCTTTCAGCCACTGTCCTGCCTTTACCAGCGCATCTTCTCGTCGAGATCGACGGGAGCCCAGCTGCTTGTTCCTCTTCTGCATGCAATGATGCCGAATCAACTGTCGTTCGGCAGGTTGAATGTTGCCGGAGTTATCTGCGAGTACAAAAACAAGTTGTGCCGCCATATTTGATTTTGTTGACAGCTCTGGATGAGATGGTGTAGCATGATACAAGAGCAGCGCACATGTACCATTGAAATGTACCATTGAACTGAGTGCGCAGATTGTGGAGTTTGCGGACAAGTTGCTGATGAAGCATCAAAACAGGTGCGGAGCCTGCGGAGTTCTTCCACGACAGGGATACCATATTGATTGCCGAATTGGTGAAAGTGCCTTGGCCTGGCCCAGATAAGGTCTAATAAGGGTCTAAACCATCATCTTGCCCAAAGTGGCTTGGGTAATGGGGAGTGTGTAAGAGAAAGCGGGTGCGTTGGAGGGGAGTACGAATCTCATACAGTGATGCTTTGAGAATACGAGGGCGAGTGATGTTGTCGAACGAGACTTCTCGACCTCATTTGCTTATCCATGGTCTTAAGCTATTATCTCTAAATTTTATGGCTGCATCGGAAATTTGAGATGTCCAAGCCAGCTTCCATTCATCAATGCCGGACATATCGCCTACAAGAAAATTTTACAAATGCGCGTATATCTAGCAAAGATCATTCATTCACATGGGTCCTTGGCATAGACGCAATACCGAACACAGGGATGGCTACAAGAAAGAGTATTTCACAGAAGAAGACTTGCCGCAAAGAGCAAAGGGAGCCCGTGATCGATCAGAAGGGAAAACCAGAACGTTTCTATTCTTTGTTACAGTCAACCTCGCCATCTAGTAAGTAGAAGGGTTCTGCTTGTGGCCGAAAGTACAGGTTTTGATAAGAAAGGTGTTGACAGGCTTATCTTTCTTTCATGAACTACGCACTATTCAGAAGGTCCAGACTGCCTAAGTAAACAGGGGCACTTCATGATAATCGACACATGCGCAAGACTGGTTTGAGCCCAGATGTCTTGCGAAGCCTTTGACGCCATTTATTAGTTGGAGAAGCAAACTACATGTTGGAATCGAATGAGTAATGCGACTTTGTTAGCCAAAAGGCTACGCCCGGTAAATCAGCTTACAGTGTCGGACCTTCCAGCAACAGACATCCGCTCTCCCTTGCTGGCCAGTGACGTGGTTTATCTCTGAGCTAGATAAAATCGGTTTGTCTTATTTTGAAGTAATCCTTTGCCTCTGTCCCGTAGATATATTTGAGGAACATAGATGGCGCAGATGGTGTGCTAGATAAACCTTTACAAAATGGCACTCAACTTTGTAGCTAAGTGATTGTGTCCTCTGCTCCATTCAGAGTGGCTCTCACAGAATCAATGAGTAGAAGTCACAGAATCAATGAGTGAAAGGTAACAACAAACGCGCATCGGATGAGCCATCAGCCCTCCTTTGTATTTATCTTTATGTAATTGATGTTGAGCACAATGATTGTCAGAGTTTCACACAGATCTAAGAATGGATTTTTCATAATGAACTCGTTTGTATCGCGCTTTCCATTGTTACCATGCTGTTTCTGCTTTGCGAGGGAGACAGGTCCGATTCGCAGCAGAACCTTATACAATAGATCCCCAAATAGCCGTTCCCAGGAGGCGCACAGGAGGCAGAGCCAATCTGCAGGTAGCACCTACCTGCCTAAAGATAAACAACACCTACGCCTTGGAAAAATTTGATTTCACTTCTTGAGAATCCTCTTGCACCAAACTGAAGCTATATCAACTTGATAAGAACTTGAACATTCAGCAGCAGCCAACATGAAGGATAAACGTCGCCTTTATATTGCCATCCGCAAGGAAACCATAGAGGAGAAGTACAGCCTCTCAAACCCGTGAGTAGATCCCACCCTAGGTTTTTATTGTCTGGCTGACGGTTTCATCGAGATATCGTTGGATGATTCTCATATGCGACAAGAACGAAGACGAACGCCAAGTCCCTGGTATCCGAGTTACTACCACCCTAGGGAACGGGGTCCACTGGGAATACATCCTGGATGTGAAGAAGAATGAACCTTTCATAGCTCGATTCATGATCGGAAAAATCAGATACGAGGACGTAGTGAAGAGAGCTATTGCAGAGGTTCAGACACCTGCCCACATCGATTATACCTCTCGAGACTGGATAAAGGCTGTTTTAGAGAATCTGAAAAGCCTACGCGGGGAGGATACAATGGCGCTGCCCACCAACACGAGGCTGGATTGGGAAGACCTCACTGACCAAATTCACCAGTATCTTCATAACAAAATTCAAATCGGCGTATTGCAGATGGTCAAGGATAAGGGCAAGGAGGAGTATGAGTTTTGGGAAGAGCATCATTGGCCAGAGGGCAAGCCCAGGCTAGCCATGAACTTGTTGGAGAACATAGAGATACATGACGGAAAATAGGGTATGGGGCTTGGTATGATTGGTTCATCCTTATGCTTCCCTTTTTTCACATGTGCCAAAAAGAATCGAAGTGGCACTTACGAGGCTCCCATATGTACTAGATTATTAATAATACAACTAAAGCCAACGTGTGATTCAAGAACTTGCCCGCTTTCCAGAATTGAATAATATAATCTATAAGTAAGCTGATTATATAAGTAAGCTGATTACTTCTATCTAGAAATTAGAACTTCCTCTTTATAATTAAATAACTTTCTACTATAAAATAAATATAACTTTATATAAAATAAATATTATTTTTATAATCTAAGCTTTTAATTAAAATCTAAAATTAAATATTAGAGTAATAATAAAAATCTATTAAGTTCTATATATAATTCTTTATAATTAATATACTAATTATATAGTAAAATATAATACTTAATTAAAATTAATAAATCTATTAAAATCTAAAGAGAAAGCTATTATCTTATATATATTTAAACTATCTATATATATATTTCCTCTTAGAATATATAGTATTAAGAAAATAGTTAATATTCTATTATATATATATAATATATTCCCTATTAGTATTAATTAGACTTCTAATTTTATTAAGTAATAATTAGAGCTCTATATATACTAAATTTAGAAATATAATTATTAAAGAGCTAAATATAAAGATCTAAAGATTATTATATCTTAGTTTAGTTTTATATATAATCTAAAGATAAAATATAGTATTTTAAATAAGAATTTATATAACTTTAATAAAACTAGCTTTATAATAGATATTATTTTTTCTAGAATAGTAATTATAATTTTAGAAAGTTATATAAAAACTAAATTAATTTAATTTAATAATTAAAAATAAATAATTATAATCTAAAAGATAAATATAGCTAGTTAAATTATTCTTTTTTTTATTATTCTAACTATTTAATATTATCTTAAGAACTAGTATTAAGAATATAATCTACTATATAACTAGTAGTTTATAATAACTAAGAATAGTTAAATTACTAATAAGATTAATCTAGATTAAATTAAATACTTTAACTTCTATATAGCTTTTTATATAAAAAAAGTATATTAGATACTAATTCTTAATAGTTATAAAAGCTACTATTTAGCTAATTTTAAAATCTATTATTAAGAGTAGAAGATTATTATAATCTATATATCTTCTTACTTCTTCTATTTTCTTTAGCTACTAGATATTAATTACTTTAGATTATTTAAATAATTATATAAATAAGAGATTAAGAGTTTAATATAAATATATATTATCTATATTAATAAGTTTAAATTTCTCTTTATTTTTTATATAGTTTTCTTCTATTTCTTTATAAAGAAGAATATCTAGATAGACTTTATTAAATCTAGTCTAATACTATATAATCTAGAGAGAGTTTTTTTAAAACTAGATATAGTACTATAAATACTAATATTACTAGAGATTCTATTTAAAATAAAATAATTCTAGATTTTAAAGATATTATAGATTATATATAAGATAAGTATATAATCTAAGTATATTAAATTTTAAATCTTAGTTTATTAAAATAGCTTTTTAATCTCTATACTAGCTATAGTAGATTAATTTATAAAAAAAGTAATTATAATAATATACTAAATAGCTCTTTTATATATTAAGATCTATAATCTTTATATAGTAAATAAAATACTAAATAAGTACTAAAGAGCTAAAAAAAGCTATATATAGTTTAAAGGGTTCTTAACTATATAGAATAAAATAAATCTATTAGATTAGAAGAATATAGATAAGTAGTTAAGAGAGGAAGATTATAAAAGTAGTAGTTAGGAAGAGTAGGCTTATATAAAGACTTTATAATATAGTAATTATAGAAAGCCTAGTTATAATATCTGAACTTATAGAGAGACTAGAGAGAAGTCTAATAAATTAATTTCTAATATTATTATTATAGATAATTAGCTATTATTATTTTAATTAACTTTATTATATGAGGGATAGATAGAAGTAATCAGCTTACTTATATAATCAGCTTACTTATAGATTACATTAGTCAAGTCAGTAATAAGAGTATTGCTGAGGTGGGGTAATCTCCAGCTGGATGCAGAGAATTAAAACCAGACTTTGTAAGTTGAAGACGTGAGTGCGTTCAAAAAGAAATCAGCGTGAAGAGACAGAAATTCAGCGTTGATTGCTGCAGCGGATGGGAAGAAATCAATCAACCCACAAGGAGAGCGGGTCGTTTTTTGCGTAAAAAGGAGGTCAATCAATATCTACTGATTATTATTCAATACTCTCTAAAATCAAAGTCTGCTACCTCCTATTCTAACTTTGAAAGCCATTTCCTTGCATAGATTGCTATGGATTTGACTGGCCATCCTACAGCTAGAGATTATATCTAAACGACATATTTTCTCGATCAGTCAAATCTTCCAAACCATCACTCAGCTCCGGATCTCCGTATTTGCTTTGTCTCTTGGTATTTTCCCTCGCTAACGCGGCTCTCAAACATAAGGTAATAAAGAAAGAGACTCTAAAGCAAACCATAATACCAATAAAGCTTTCTTTATATCGTGGTGCATATTTGCTACTTAGTTGTCAGTCTCTACTTCAGAATGATACGTTTATCACTGGAACACACGACCTACGCATCAAACACTAATGGACCAACGATATTCCCTACTGAATAGCCAACGAATGTACCTGCAGCATAGACAGACTTCTTTGTATTGCCTGCGACGTTTGATATGCCGAGACCAATGCATTGAACCCAACCAGAAGAAAAGCAGTTGATAAGATAAAAGCCAATAATCCGGCCTGCTCGCACAGAAACTGATAAGTTCCACCTAGTAGAAAGGTGGAAATGTAATGTCAGCTAGCAAGCCTTTCAAAAAAAAATTGAGATATCCTTACAGTAAAGCGCAGCCAAGAATAACAGGAAAGCTTGACGTTGCCACAATATACAATCGTGAATTAGTTACCATCCTCCCACAATGTACCCTGATCCCAGGATACAGAGGAAAGCCATTCCCCCATTGGAAAGGTTGAGCAAAAGAGACTGGAAGTTGGTGAACCCCATGCCGTTGAGAACAATGGATGAAAATGTATTTACAACACCACCGCCAGTACAAGTCGTGATGGACAAAAGAATTAGACCCCAGAATTGATAGTTGCTAAATGCCTTTCGCACATAGTGGACCTTGAAATTGTGGTTTTCAGATCCTGCATTGTTTGCCTTGATGCGTTCCAGAAGGAGACTCCTCTCATATTCATCAAACCCTGGGGCTTGCTGCGGAGTTTCCGGGAAGAGCCACCACAGGGCTATTCCCCAGAGGAAAGTACTCGCACCTGCGATCAAGTATATGTGTTGCCAGGGGTGCAGACCGGCTCCGGATATATGGCCCAGTCCGTAATTGACGAGTGGTGAGATGACCAACCATCCGCCGCTAAATGAGTACCGAAAGCTGGAACACAAGACTTGCTCTGGGTGCGTATACCACATGCCGACAACAAGCATAAAGATCGGAGATACACCAGCTTCAGTCACTCCCAATAAGAAGCGATTCGCCAGAAGCCCGCCATATGACCCAGCAGCAGATGTGCAAATGATAACCACAGCCTAAGAAGGCAAATGATGGCGCAAATGATACGCGGCGGGTATTTCTGGGCAAGGAACGGCAGCGGGTATGTCCCAATCAAATATCCAAAGTAAAATATCAGCGACACCCAGCTATATCTAAGGCCATCGTTGAATTGAATATCTTCCCTCAGTCCGAACACTGCTGCTTGGCTATGGATTGCCTTGTCATAGTACTGGAGTGCATAGGTAAAGCAAAGCCACTCAGATGTGATCAGCATCTTCACGGTGTTTTCTTAGTTGGCAGACTCAATACTGGCATCAACTTCCAGTCGATCTTTCTCACCAATTTTTTCTCCTCCGCGCGGTCAATCTGGACAACTTCTGATCTCGCAGCGATATCATCAATGGTGATCACTTCACCCTCAATAGTATTCTTTTCAGATGCCATAATGCCGCTTCGTGTACTGAACCACGAGATTGTGTCTTTGCTAAGGGTCGCGAGAATGAAAAGATTGGTACAGTCTTCTCCAGAGAAACAAAGCCAATCATGCCTATTTTACACTTATGAGCGGGGAAAAATAATTTTGCGACTGTGAACAATCAACCCAACTCACTTGACAGACCCAGAACCGTAAGGGAGGATGGAGGCATGTTGTTCAATATCAGATTTTCTGGTGATTGAAGATAAAATTAGTTTGCCTATTCATTTGTAGGTTTTAAATATGTGAGCCGTTAACTTATACAGAGTACCTTTATCATGATTTATGCTCGCCCTTGTTGGCATGAAAGCTGCTATACTCCTATCCCCCTTTCAAGCTAGGATCGGAAATCTTCTCCAGCTGGATATCATCTCACCTAGTTTCCAGCAAGTTGTTACAAATACTTGAAGAAAGGATCAAATTAATCAAATACCGTGGTACTAGCTGCGAGGATGTAAATGAAAGCTACAAACCACATTTTAAATACTAAAAGTGTCTTTATAGCATGTAATTTGGTTAATTTCTTTCAGATACAATATGAATCATGATGAAAGGTTAATATTCCGCGACGACTTTCTGCCGTTGTTCGTTCGACGACCAAAGATATGTATCTTTTGATAACTCGCTCAAAACTGTCCAGTGTACGAGCTCTATTGATCACCTTCCCCCCTGCTAAAAAAAAAAAAGGCTAACTAGACGGAGCTTCTCGGAGCTGATCTTGGCTTCCGTCCGATCCTACTACCAATTCGTTAGTCGCCGGAATGAATGTCACCTGATGTAGCTAGAAAGCCCCTACTAACATCCCACATCAGATACGATACTTGCAGGCTTCTAATTTTGGTTCATATGATTTATTGATTAAGGTCTTTCCACCCTTTGAAATTGCCGTAGTTATCACACTGTAGTAAGCATAAAAGGGAGGCTGGACTTCTGATACCAGTCAACAACTCATCACGATTCTCTACGATATCGTGCACAAAAGAAGGCCAGGATACATAACCTGCTCATTCAACAAGCATCGAGTAAGTTAAGACCTACAATATTAGAATAGTAACAGCCATGTCTGCAACCCCAGGTGCGAATTCCTTTTGTGCACATCAGAAGATTTTCATCCAGCCATGCACATAGATCCTTCACACATAATAACTTCGCAACTTTTTCGGCACACGTAATATAGGTTTCTATTGAATTAAATCCAGACGGGGCGGTAGGAAATATACTTGCGGTATAAATGCTTTTCCAGTCTCCGTGTTGTGCATAACACGTTTAATTCCTTGGCGTTTCACTTAGAGACACCGAAGTTGCTTTGATGACCCTCCTTCCTTTTTGGATGAAGAGAATAACCGGTATTTATTAACCTTACGTCCAACGAACTTCGAAAATTTGGAGTTCACTTCAATTCATCAGCATCGAGGAATTCATTCACCAAGTCTTCACATAGCGCAGCATCAGACATCCTAATGGCGCTTAAATACCCTTCCAAGCATGCCGTTCCGACTTTTGTCGAGTTGAGCCGAGATGATTATGCTGGCGCATTTATATCTTAGCGATCCCTTTTATGATCCTTCAGTATGAAATAAATTAATACATCGTCAACAAAAATAACATTTCCAAAAACGGCAGTTCCCAAATCTTCGTCGGATGATACATGATATTTCTATTTCTTGGTCACAAGCGTTTCGTTCATCCTAAATATTCAACGTTGAAGACAAATCTGATTGAAAATCCAGAAACTGTCGTCCGTGGTAGCTTTCGCAATGGAGTGGCTCGCCACGCTTCGAGCGGTAGTATTCTGGACGGTGCTCCTCTTCCTGGGCCTCGTCACGTCCATTTCCCCCATATCCATTAAAGGGTCCAAATTATACGATGAGAATGGAACCCAATTCTTCGTCAAAGGTCTGTTCTTCCTTTCTTGTCGTTTACGAATGCATTCTCATTGAGTTTCTCCCGCAGGAGTTCAATATGTAGGCAACAGCTCTTTATATGATCCTCTCCTTGACAGAAAGAAATGCGAAATCGATGCGAGATTTATGAAGAGACTGGGGGTAAATACAATTCGTGTATTGGGAGCAGATTCGACAAAGAAGCACACCGACTGCATGGATATTTTTGCTCGAGAAGGCATCTACATTTGGCTTGAATTAGCTATTGTTACAGACTATTGGATCGACAGAGTAAGTTGTGGTTGCTTTTGATATTCCGAACCAAGCTCATAATTTCGCAATTATAGCTTGAACCAAAATGGACACTGCCAATGTACAACAACTGGACTTCGACTGTCGATGAATTTGCAGGCTACGATAACCTGCTCGCTTTCACAGTTGCTTCCGCAACGATGGACAATACCAGTATGTCTTTTCCGCACGCAATAGAATGAAGTGAGTTTGACATCCCCGACAGCCGAAGGAAGTCTTTCAGCACCATACGTTAAGGCAGCAACAAGAGATATCAAGGCCTTTCGAAACGCCAGAGGTTACCGTCAAGTACCGATTTCGTACGCTGCATTTGACGACCAACCACAGCTCTCATTCTCGGGTAAATACCTCGCTTGCGGCGACGACGAAGACACAATTGAGATGCTGGGGGTGGAATCCTACGCGCTATGTGAGAGCACGACTATGGAATCGGGCCTGAGCAATATATACAAATCATTCCAACACTACAATATGCCTATAATATTTACGAGCGCAGGGTGTATCGAGGATCCAGAGGGAAAGCGCGATTTTAGCGATGTTTCCGCCATATTCAATTCCTCGTTCCAGGATACATTCTCTGGTGCCATTGTATATCAATGGGGTCAGTATGGAGCTGACAATTGGGGCCTTGTGGAATACTTTAACGAAGCGCAAACGGGAACTCCCACCGCCCATACTGATTATATGGCTGTATCGACCATTTTCTCTGCTGTCAACCCTATGGGGACTGCCATGTTCTCATACCAGCCAACAGAAACCGCACCCGCATGCCCTACATCAAACTCAGCCTCAGCTTGGGTAGTCAACCCAAGCCAGTCTTTGCCAACCATTGCTGGGCTAGATATTAAAACCGTCACACGCCGTACGAGCATCCTCAGCTCGACAATCGAAAGCTCAACGACTCATATCTCGACAACAGAACCAGTCTCGGAAACTTCTTCGGTTGGCTCTGTGTCCAGTTCACCCAACGACGAGGCCCGGGCTGGGTCCAGCATGTCACGTAGCAGCTTGATAGGAGCCATCGTGGGCTCCGTTATAGGAGGTTTGGCTTTGATTGCATTTTCTGTATGGTTCTTTATCCGCAAGCGAGGAGCAGAAACCTCTCAGAAACCGGATGAAGGGAATGATTCCGAGAAGACGATCAAAACAGAATTGGCAGGGTTGCCGGCGGCACCACGGCACGAACTCCCAGGGATACGTCAAAATGACAACGATTATGGCCCAACTTCAACCATCAGTTACTTACCTCCTTATGACTTACCCCGGGGGCCCAGTGAAGTGGGAGAGCTTTCTTCGGCGGGTATTTCCGAGGCGCTTTCGACACCTGTCCATGAAATGCCTCCAGATGAATTATGTCCTAGAACACGGGGAGTAGAAGGGTTCGCTCCAGTGGTTCTCCCTGAGGCACAACCAACAACAGTTCATGAAATGCCAGACTCAAATCGGGTCTCGACATATATTGGCCGAGCAACATAAGACGGTGGATTTTATCACAAGAGTCGATATTATTCCGAGCCTGTGGTATATCTATTGAATAATAATCTACGTACAATATTCTCTCGGATCCCGATACTCCAATCGTCTCATAAGTTAATTAGGTACCTACCTTGTGCAAACTGAGCCCACAGGTTCATGTACATAGTAACTCATGGACGAGCTCCATCATCTCCAGGATTAACCACATCTAAGAATTTGCACAGACTCAGAAGATAAGATTTATTGATATCCTCTGGCCGCCATATCACCTAACGAATAATCATGTGTTCAGTTGAAGATGCAAGCCCATGACTTTTCGCGTAAAAACAAATTGCTTCAACATGATATTTAAACATCCAGCACCCACTGTGCAAGCCCTCTATATGTGACGAACGAACCAGGGCAAAACAGCATAACCTCGTTGATACTTCAACAATCTATACCATCCCAGTGCAACTTATTTTGACGATGGGGCTGATTCTTTTTGTGGCAGCTGCCCTCACAGCCTTCGCTATCTACAAGACGTATCTACATGAACATCAGGCCAACATACCCACAGCTACAGATTCTACCATGTGAAAACTAACATGGTGTCCAGCTTGCTGATGTGCTGTATTTATCTAGCAAAGCCCATCCGTTGGGCCAGCTCGTCCTACCGATATGTGCCATTGTACGAGCATCCTTGACCAATTGGAGTTTTAGCTCAGTTGGGAGAGCGTCAGACTGAAGTTCGACTTCAGTCCTCATGACATCTGAAGGTCGTGTGTTCGATCCACACAAACTCCAATTCTTTTGCCTATTTTTTGTTTTTTTGTTCTTCCAAGACGAAACCTAGCGCGAGAACAAAAGCTACTTGTGTGGGGCCTATGGATTCATTGAACAGGGTTCGGACAAACACCTCTCGTCCAGTTGATAACCGCCATCAGCACAAGGCTATTGTGGCATAAAATCTCCGAATTGAATATGGGCGCGGCCATGGGCGTAATATTGTCCTTATATACCGACAGATGAATCTTTGTAGATGCAGTGTGCCTAATTGTTGCGTCGGCTCCAGGTTCACTGAAGATGTCTGCATAGTAGTAGTAAGTGAGAGAGCTATGCAGCTGCTGAAAAAAAAAAAGGGGAAATTCCCAAACACCAAGAATTTAACAACTTGACACTATACCCAGTATCACAACACATTAAAAGATGTCTGCATATAAGAGCTTTATTATTGCCTACCAAGTCAAGGGTGACACCAGGATCTATCAAGCCCGATTACCATCAATGCACCAGTACTGCAATAACTTTCGGCGATCAGGGATTTTCTGACACCTTTGTAAGGTCAGCCCAGAATTTGCCACTAATTTTGGCCATAGCGTGTTCTTCATCAAGGTCGCCGACAGAACGGCCTCTCCTCTCTGTGTATTCGGTTCAACACTTATGAGACTAACACCTTCAGTTATTCAAGTTGAAGGCGACGTTACTGAGAATACTCAACGTGTTTCATGTCATATATCTCAGAACGAAAGAGACATTCTATCTTGACAGTTCATATCAATCATAAACGAACCTATCTACGGCGATTGCTTCCATGAGTGGTTTCTAAACGCGGGCAAATGTCTCTAAGCAGCTAACAGAACTCTCATACGAGGTCTACATAGTAGGTATAAACATAAATTCAATATTATCTATCAAACTGTGGCAAAGCCAAGACTTTCAGATTGAACGTGCCGTGCTCCAAAACGTTGGTCAACTGTCAAATTCGGGGTCTGTGCGAAAGGGCATCTCCAAGAACGAGGGAGCATACTTAGGCAGTCACTATGCCTAGCTACTAACGAGCAATCGTCTCCTTCCTCCAGATAATGAGTAACAAGTTCGAAGGACTGAGATCCTAAAAACTGGCTGAGCTATTGAAAGGAGTCGGTGAGTTTGGCTTTCACTCTCCCGGCCGTTGAAATGAGCCCGATCAAAAAGATAATTTCCGCGAGAATCCCCACTCAATCTCGCAAATCGTGGCATCAGATGATGCAAAGGAGAATTTATAGCATGCTTTGATGCCGGTACTTGGCACCCTGTATAAGGCCCTGGTTCGGGAGGAAATTTGACGTTCCTTCAAAAGTGGAACGGCGAATTCATGGTTGAAGTTAGCTTAGTGCTTGCAGCTATAGAAAAAGCAAGTGTTCCTATTGGACTGCCGGATTACCTGGGTCCTTGTCCAAGTTGCCCTGGACCTCGTATATTGGGGTAAATGTGACAGCCATGTCTCAACCACTGCTGATCGTATCACAAAGCTAACGGCGTACCCGGCTCTTATCTCCCCAGCCCTGCTCTTTACAACGGTCGCTGCATGGATCAGCTGCAGGCGCGTTTTGTTTCACGTACTAGTGATGGACTTTGCCGCATCTGAACAAAAGAGGCCCCCTCCCCATCCCTGATTTTGTTCTCCTTCCCGTCGGAAACGGTGGCAGGCCGGGTTTTTGTTCGACATATATCCCATACATGGGCAGTTAATCGAAGGCTACTACGATCCAAATTCGAAGTCAACAATAATATCATGAAGCTCAGATGAGCCGGCATCAAACTGAGCCATGCCGAATTATGTCACAATCGAAAGTCAAATCAACGCAGTGGACAATCTCAATGATCCAGTGCCAAGCTGGAACCGGCCAGCCACGATTTTGGGCACCACGCTCGCTTTCAGTGTACGGTCACAGTATTCCTTTCGCGCATGGTTCTATTCGCTGATCCAGAACTTCGACAGGCCATAACGTCGATCTGCGTCTCCTTCAGATTACACACGAGATTCTTCGTTCTTCGAGTGCCAGGATGGGACGACTATATGATGGGGGCAGCGATGGTATACAAAAAGACTCTTCGCAAGAATAAGATGAGAAAACTAAGATTGCAACGCACAGTTGGTAGGAGTTATTGGAGTTGTTTGCATGTGTCTAGGTTCGTGCTTTCCCCATGGTGAATGAGGTCTATGACGACTGAACTAATAAACATACAGCGCCATATCTCGGAGGCCTGGGTGAACATTTTGTCGAATTGTCGGCCGAAAAACGAAAAACATATTTCTTCCTCTTTTACCTGGCAGATGGCAGTTTCGTCACTTCGGTTGGAATGATTAAAAGCTCCTTATTATTACAATATCTCCGGGTATTCAAACGACATACCGTCCACCGAGATGCCTGCCTGGTTGTATTGATCGCCGTCGCAATCTGGGGTTCTGTCACGACATTCATGGCTTGGTTCCCATGCTTTCCGATTAGAGGGTACTGGGATTGGAGTATAAAGGACAGAAAATGCTATGGGTACGGGTCGCTCTATGTTTCCGACCATTACGCAACTTTCCTCGCACATTCGATCGCCAACATGCTCCTGGACATTATTATTCTACTCCTCCCGACACCACTTCTTTGGGATTCGGACACATTGAAGCGAACGAAGCTTGGTATCGCCGGTTTGCTAACGCTAGGGCTCATGTGAGTTTGTCCTGGATGGCCAAAGCATATCGGGCTACTTAGTTACTGACATTCATAGTGCGAACATTCTTGCAGTACTTCGCCTAGCCGAAACAGTCAAACACAAGGCCATGTCGCACCCGACCTTCGACCACTCTTGGTACGCACCGCCTCTCTGTCTACTTGGTATGCTCGAGGTCAACGTTGCATGCATAGGCGCTTCCATCCCCGTCTTCTGGCCCGTCATTAGGAGCACAATGAACGCCATTTTTGTCACCCGCGAGATTGATGTGCAGGTTGCATCTCGCAGCATGCACCTGGAGCGTTCCGAAAGTCTTTACAGCCACGACAAGAGCGATGGGGAGCGGAGGTTGTGGAATAACTCTCGCGGGGAATCGAGCCATAATGAACACTATAAAGACACATACATTATGGATCATGTTGACCCCCTGCGGAAGAAGAAATCCGGGGCGGTTGATTCCGTCATCACAGCAGATCGAAACAAATACTAAAATCAATATTTTGGATTCCCACCAACAAATTCACGGATATGTCTTTTTACATCGTGTGATTCATTCTAACAAGTAGGAAAAGCAGCCCATACCTGTTTGATCGCCCCTAAAGAGTATCATTTGAAGCTGTTTGTTCATTGAAAGCCCTGTTGCCTCTTTCACTCATCGACAAATCGAGAAACGCCTGGCAACACAAGGGGGAATGCACACCCACTCAATCGTTGGGCGAGAAATTAAAGAATGATTTTGTTCGATACCATCTTAGTTTCAAAAAGGTGTCAATCACTTACAGCCGGCTTTTGGTGGTAAGATGATCAAGGTTGTTGACAGGCATCGACCCGGGTTGAGGTGTTTCCCAGGTGGATGTGCTATCAAATGACCCCCTTTCCACCCAAATCACAATGTGAATTTAGCTAACTGCTAAGGGAACGAGGGCAGTTAGTGGTGAACACCCTACACCAAAACTGGATTCATGTTGCGAAACCTCCTACGGTTAGCACGTCAACACCTTAACATCCATGCCCAGCCATTACTGATTGAGGGCAGGGTGAGCGCGCGCTGCCCCTTTTTTTGCAAATTGTGAGGGGAGCTAGACCTGGCGCGGGGATTTGGGCAAACGGCTCTCATGACACACTTACAGGCCTGTGTTCTGGGAATTGAGTCAGCACCTGTCCATCCGGCGGCTGATGATGTCGGGGTTTGGATTGGCTGGATGGCACCTTTTCTCCACCCACTAGTGCCGTATAGCATCCAATAATTTACATCCTCAGCACTTGTGATAACTCCGATGATGGCAAGGAATCACCACCAAGAACCCATACCCACATCGTAATAAGACCTCAAATCAGGGCCCCTAGCACGATACGTGATATTTGTTTTCATCCTCCTGGCCAGATAAGGCTCGAAGCCGAGCCGGTAGATTTAAGACTCTCTTTCGTGACGTGGGAATATTGATATTGTCTCAACCAATAGCAAACGCGCGGAGCCACCGAGCGCTAGCTGAAGGATCAAGCAAGGGTTCATCATCGCAAACGCCCAACTTCTAGAGCTTCAAACGTCGCTTGTAACTGCATACAGTAGAAGAAGAATATCTACGTAGGGAATTTTCTGGCCTGTTTGGACATTTAAAAAATGCCAATAGTCATTGAGGTTGGTTGGTAGAAATATAGGGAAGACGGTTCTCTGCTTTGCTTGTTCTTTCACATAACATTGACAAGCCCAATGACAAACTGTTCTAATGGAATATCACTGCGATGAGACTTTCAGAGAATCACTATACATAGTCAGAGTAACTAACTTTCAGTCAAAACTATTGCGATGCCTACGGCAAGGAAAATTAACACTTGACATTCAGACCTTAACCCGACATTAGGAGTATAGGGTAGCGAAAGCACGGAGAGCTCGGAACATTGAATATCCGGCAAGCCGTTCAAAGTGGGCGCCGCACGTGCCTAATTGAAGTGGATGAGCAGAAATAGCACGTGACCACCATTTCCATCACTAAATCAGACTGGACCCTCCTTTAACAGAGATGGTCAAGTCTTCAATTCAGTCTGCTTCAGTAGGTGGTACGAAGCTCTGGCGAGTCGTCACAGCAATTAATTCAATGGAAAAAAGGAACTTTCTTCCTTAGTCAGCCGATCATTCAGGCTGGCCGATTTCATCCCTTTTGCGCTGAGGATGATGGAGAAGCAGCTTCTGCAATATTAGCAAGAGGAATTACAGAGTGCCCAGAACTATTCGCGTGCCCCTCGGGATTTCCTGAGGACAAGGTGACCCTTAGCCTCCACTATGGCTGATTTGTGGTTGAAAAATTTACAAATTTCAAATTCTAATATTTCTCTATATTGATACGCTGATATTTAACTTCTGGAGATGGGGGCTAGAATTTTTCCAACGCACTCGCCAAACCCAACCAGCTCGCCATCAACTGAGCCCGCAACTCCCTTAATGCGGATCGTGTCACCGTCGTTTACAAAGCTACGCTTCTCTCCGCCCTTGAGCTCAAGCGGCGTCTTGCCTCCGAGCGTCTGTTCTAAGATACTGCCCTGTGTGCCGGCTTCAAAGCCTGAGATGGTACCGGATCCGAGCAGATCACCCGTGCGCAGGTTGCAGCCTGTGACGCTGTGGTGCGCGACCATCTGCGGCCAAGACCACAAGAGATTCTTGGAAGATGTCTTTGAAATAACATTTTCGTCACCATTCTCGGCTAAGAGGGTCGGTTAGTAACAAAGCCAATACACTGTGTTGGAGTAGCTCCGTGGTTACTTACTGATCAGAGCAACCTCGAGGTTAATGTCCACAACGTTATCTTTCTTCGTCTCCTTGAGGTAATCCTGGAGCTCGACCTCGTTGGTAAGGCCGGCGGTCTTGAATGGCTCCAAGGCATCGGCGAGCACAACCCACGCACTGATGCTTGTGCCAAAGTTCTTGGCATTGAAGGGACCAAGGGGCACATACTCCCACTGCTGGACGTCTCTTGCGCTCCAGTCGTTCATCAGGACATAGCCAAAGATGTGCTCCTCAGCATCATCGACGTTGATGGGCTGTCCGAGGTTGTTCCCGCGGGAGATGAACATGCCCAGCTCGAGCTCAATATCAAGCTTAGCACAGGGCTTGAAAACGGGAGTTGTAGCGCCTGGTGCGGGAAGGACCTGACCCCAAGGGCGGTTCAGAGGGGTTCCGGACACCACGACGGAGCTGGCACGCCCGTGGTAGGCTACAGGGACGTGGTTGTAATTGGGGTTGAGGGCGTTGGCAGGGCCCCGGAAGAGTGTTCCAACATTGTGGGCATGGTTACGACCAGCGAAGAAATCCGTGTAATCTCCTATTGTTAGGGGAAGGTGGTTCTGAACCTCGCTGAGGGGAATCAGTGATTCACTCTTAAGACCCTCGTTGGCCTGCAGAACCTCGGGGTAGGGTGTATCAGCCCGGAAAACGTCGCGCAGGTAATTGCGGACGGTGCGATGATGCGACCGACCCAATGCCGCGAATGAGTTGAGCGACTGCTCTGTGAAAACCTTCAGGGCGCTGGAATCCAGGCCGGAGCATTTAGCAAAGCCGCCCTTCTGTGCGAAAGTGTTCACGTCAAGAGCATGCTCGCCCACGGCGACTGCGATGCGGGGGACTTGGAATCTGGAGTGGGTGATGATGCCAAATGGGATGTTGGCTAAGGAGAAATGAGACCCCGAAGGGATTGGGAGCCAGGATTTCGTCATCTTGAGAGGTGAATGGCTGAGAGGAATATCGTGTGCCGGATACGCCTAGTGAGACTTGGAGGATAGTCTGCTTCCTTCGTATCTGGGATGAGCACTGGCAATACTTGTAGAGAGGATCAACGAGGGAGTGTCTCCAAGAAAAGGTCTCATCGCCTTGCATTACCCGATGCTATATCCACCACCTCTATCTCATGATCCACATAGTTCTGGTTCACTGGATGGAACCCAAGTTCGCAATCGGTGTCTGAAAACAGTTCCGAGTTCGCTAGTTGTGGTTGTTGGCGGAAATTTCCGAGGTTCCGACCCTCGGTAGAGCGGGCGGCGTTAAGCGCATTCTACATGATACGACGCTGGATAATTAGCATATTTAGGCATCATGAGGAGATAATGATGAAAGAGTGGCAAAATCTGACTCATGTTTCTGTTATCTTGGGCTTGAAGCGCATACTTGATTCCCTCTATCGCCGCCATCCAAACCAGTGAATAGGAGATATCTACACGGTCGTGCCAATTTGTTTAGCGGCAATCAATTGTGGACTCTAACATACTGATTGGACCTTGTCTCGACCAAGCTCGTATCCTAGCTGATTGTACAGAGCTTTCATCATGCCTGTCACGGACTTCAAGACCCCTGAGAAGTATCAATACCTCAATGGGTTTAACTCCTTTCATGAGTAAGTCACATAACCATGCATCAGACCTTCATTTCATTTGCAGCTTGTAACCGATGATCTGCAGGTCCGAGGCTGTAAAAGGGGCACTGCCAATTGGCGCCAACTCGCCCCAGAAAGCTCCGTATGGACTCTATGCTGAGAAGCTGTCTGGGACTGCTTTCACAGCCCCCAGGGGCGAGAACCAGCAATCATGGCTCTATCGTATCCTCCCATCGGCTGCGCACTCGGCATTCCAGCCAGTAGCATCCGCTGCACCAGAGCTGAATGCGCCACTTGAGCAGATTCCCAATCAACTTAGGTGGAATCCATTTGACATTGACGAGGAGGTTGATTGGGTCCGCGGTTTGAAGAAAGTCTCAGGAAACGGCGATCCATCCATGAAGGCTGGTCTTGGAATCTATATCTTCACGGTTGGTCGCAGCATGCACGCCAACACCGCCATCTACTCTTCGGATGGCGAGATGCTTGTCGTTGCGCAGCACGGCGTCCTAGATATCAAGACAGAACTAGGGAACCTCCTGGTTCGTCCAAATGAGATCGCAGTTCTGCCCCGCGGTATCAAATACCGTGTTGATCTCCCAGAGGGTCCAGCTAGGGGCTACATCCTGGAGCTCTACCAGGGACACTTTATTCTTCCTGAGCTGGGACCCATTGGATCCAACTGCCTGGCAAACCCAAGAGACTTTCAGATCCCAGTAGCGGACTATACTCAGGACACAGAGACTGAATGGACGATTATTACGAAGTATAATGAGAGGCTGTTCGAGGCCAAGCAGAAGCACACTCCATTCGATGTGGTAGCTTGGCATGGAAAGTAAGTACCCCTATTCGTTCTGATGCGTAAATCGCGCTAACTGGTGGACCAGCTGTATGTTCTCTCCTGTGATCTCTCCTATTTATTGCTGAAACTGATCCTTCACAGTCTACCCCTATAAGTACGATCTCGGTCGGTTCTCAGTGATTGGAAGCACCTCATTTGATCACCCTGACCCTTCCATCTACACTGTCTTGACCGGTCCCTCAGATCGCCCTGGAACTGCTATCGCAGACTTCGTAATCTTCCCCCCCCGCTGGCTTGTCCAGGAGGATACTTTCCGCCCACCTTGGTATCACCGCAACACCATGTCTGAATTCATGGGCCTGATTTGCGGCCAATATGATGCCAAGGCCGGTGGCGGGTTCCAGCCTGCAGGTGCCAGTCTGCACAATGTCATGTCCGCTCACGGACCGGATGCAGACACGTTTGAAAAGGCTTCAAATGCAGCGCTCTCCCCACAGAAGGTTGGCGAGGGAAGTATGGCATTCATGTTTGAGAGTTGCCTGATGCTTGGAGTAACTGAGTGGGGTCTGAAAACATGCGAGAAAGTGCAGGATGGATATAACGAGCATAGCTGGACTGGCTTGAAGCCTCACTTCAAGCTCCCTGAGTAGAGACAAAAGTGTAATAATATCGTTAGGAGAGAGAAATTGAGCCTTTTCTTTTCCCATGAAAAAAAAAACAATGAGATCTCTGTTTCATAACTTTAGAAGTCAGTGAGGAGCCTCCGTTGCATATCATGCTGTTAGTGATAGGTAGCAAGGATATGCGGATGGCCAATCTGTAGCGACGTCATTCTTTGCAAGCCGTAGATGAACAAGATCCACTGCCATTGCTGATGCCAATGTTGTTGTTCTCTTCATCTTCTATGTTGGCTAACCTCCGTTTGATCAAAGCATTATTAATATTACTACATGCTGCTCAATACCAATAATCGCTCACTATGTTCCCAAAATTCTTGAAGATCGGGCTCGTTTCATTGATTTTGCCAAACTAGCTGTTACAGGAACCCGATATAAAAATCCATATCTTACAAATGAAACCATCACAAGTTACCAGATGCAGCTTACTCTGCGAGCTTCTCACCATGTCCGTGCTCGCCCGTGAGAACAGGAAGATCATTGAGCGGAACCTCGAACTTGTGACGCCCAAACCATACGTAGTAAATCCCTCCAAATAGAAGCCAAGCTGCCATGACCACAGTGGAATAATTCATATTCCCGGCGGTAACTGGCATAGTTGTAGGGAATGTGCTAAATATCATGCAAACGATCATCCAGATGATGGAAATGATGTTCAGGGAAGGACCGAAAAAGGCACCTAGACGGAAAGATCCGTATTCACTCTTCTGAAGCTTTCGACGGCCGAAGAACAGCATATAGCCGATGGGCAGGACATATGAGAGGTACATCCCAATGATGGCCATTGAGAGGATAGCGTTGAAGGCGGTCGAGTTGCCCAAGTAGATGAATCCAAGAATGGCTTGGAGGACAGTAATAACGACAATGGCGTTGACTGGGATTTGCAGGGTCTGGTTCACCTTGCTCAACTGCTCGTGGTAAGGCGTCGCTTGGTCTCTGGCAAAGGCCCACAGAGTCCGAGATGTCGAAGTAACGCCCGCAGTGACTGCAGCTGTTGCAACCGCACAAATGACGAGAGACATGACAGTCGCACCAGCTCTTGTGTCGGTAACGCTGAGGAAAATTTCCATGAACGGGAAACCGGTGGGCGTTGAGAGCATATCATCAAGCGATGGAGCTGCAAACAGCAGGATAATGCAGTAGACAAGGCCCATCAAGCCATTAAGGAGGACGCTGCCAACCATGGCGAGGGGAACGTTGCGGCTGGGGTTGTGGAGTTCTTCTGCAACATGGCTTGCTGCATCGTATCTATTTGAAGATAGGGACGTTAGCTTCATTTGGGTTATTTTGTGAAGCGACTGGTTATGCTAACTCACCCAAGGAATGGATAAACAGCACTTTGTAGGCCAACTAGCCATGAGATACCGTCACTTGTCCAACCACTGTTATTCTGAAACTCGGTAAAAACGAAGGCGGCCGTGTTCTTCTCAGACATGACACCAAGTGTCACGAGAATCGCGAGGAATCCTGAAATATGGATAACACCTGAGCGTAGACATGGTCAGTCTCAGGGTCACAGCTGAACGAAGAAGAGTTTTGCGTTAATGACGTTCACTTACCAGATACAATATTGACATGCGGGAGCAACTTGAACCCCCAGATGTTCATCACGAGGGCGTAGACAAGGACGGCCCAGTAGAAGAGCATGCCCTGCCACCGTTCTGGGACGTAATCATCATGGTTGAGCGTGATGCAAGCCTGAAATTGCAGACCAGCTGCAAAAGCTGCTGAAGCGGTAAGAATTGTTTGTCCACCAACAGAGATCCAGCCAGTAGCGAACGCGGCAAACGACTTTGTCGATGGAGGGGCAAGGGCGGCGGTCCAATGGTATTGTCCTGATATCGATAGAATGGTTAGAAATGTTCGGATCGACGGTCAAGAGATGATGAAATGCTTACCTCCTGATGTGGGATAGATGGAAGCCAGTTCGCCGAGCGATGCAGCAACGCAAACGGTACAAATGAAGCTCAGTACACTTGATTGCGTTTGTAAGTATCTCTATCCTGATAATGTCTCGATGAAAGGGGTTCACGTACTAGTTGTAGAACAGACAAGGAGGCCCCCCGCTGGCGAGGGCCGCGGCAATGACAGTTGAGAGGGCCTCCCACGTTGCCATCAGACAGAGGCAGAGCGCGGTGAGTGGTACCAAAGAGAATGTGCGCTCCAACTCTTGCTTGTGGCCCATCTGTGCCAGACGCTCCTCGTCTGTGAGGTGGCCCAAGGGGCGTGACTCGACTCTATCGATCGACATGGCGGCGTCTGTGAGGTCTTTCTTCTGGTCCATGGTGGCGATTAAAACTGATCAGAAAGAAAAGAGAACGGTTTCGGTCGCACAAGGCTAATATACTTGGTGTTGACGATGCCGTTGAGCTAGTCGGCTTCGGAAGGACGGGCAAGCGTATAAAGGCCTCTGTGGTGTAAAGGGAGGGAGGACGAAGACTGGGTGTGTCTAGATGCCGTGTGAACTGTGGGGAATGGAGGCTAGCCATGGATAACGGCGCGAACTTACGACGCTAGATACTCATATCATATCAAGCTAGCCCTATCATTACAGTCACATTAATCAGTCATACAATGCAATATTTGCGGGGAATCAAGATCTCGGTAAGGAGGTGATGCAGATTTCCCCAGAAATCCCCACCGTTGTCTCCAGGTTTGTCCAAGAAAGGACGAGCTCATGATGAGGTTTCAGAGAAGAGAGTTCGTGGAAATGTGCAGCGGAAACGGAACGGTTTCCGAGCGTATGTCACTATCCCACTCTCGTATCTAGTTGCGTCTCCCCCTACAACCTGACCAAACCTCTTTTGTCGTTTGGGTTGCACTCGCTAAGCTCTTTTTGCTCTGGGGTACAGATCTCTAGCGTGGAAAAAAGGCAGTGAAACCTGGTCTGTCCTCACCTCCTGTCTCACACTTTTCCCAGAGATGGCAGCACGAGCTTTGTCTAGTTATGCCTGTTGGGGCTTAGAGAACAGGCCAAGGGGAGGTTATATGTTATATGATATTTGGTCTAGGCACTACTGCAGACCATACAAACCATTCCATTGCCATGGCATGCTTAGATTTCGCATCATGTTGACCACAGGTCTGGGTCTAGTATTTGAGACACATTGCTTCTCTGCCAGCGTCCGAATCAGAATGTTTTTGGTCTCATCTATATTTCCTCTTACGTAGGCTGCACTGAATGCATGTTTGACGAGGTGAATTTGAAATCATTCATGTCGTAACTCCCGGTTTGGAGGGGGGCTGGCGCCAGCCCACGCCCGGCCTCGGATTCAGATTTACGCTTTCCGTCGGAATAAAACCAGGTGGCAATTTCACTATGAAGCGGAATCACCTCTCACAGCCTCGACCGGTTCTTCGCATTTCAATGTGTGTGCCTTGGATGTGACTGTAACATGTTCCCCCTTCCCCATAATTCAATCAGCTGGCCATACGCCTTTCTCGGTAAACGAACCTTCTCTCTTGCTACTATGCGGCTTCGGTATCTAAGACACATGCTGGAAGGCTCGGAATGCTTAGAACATTTCCGACGACGATGAAAGCTTCGAGCAGCGTCAAAATCATACGAGGCCATCATAATGGGGCAGGTGAGGCGGATGGTGATATCAAATAGCGAGGCCTCGAGCGTTTAGAGTATGCATTTGACCCTAAACTCATGCTAGCATCTGTTCAACATTGAGCCTTTCAAGTACATCCTCAACATGGTTCCAGACGCTCTCTTCGGGATAGACATCTCTGATGTTGCCATCATTGGCATCCTGCTCCTCGGCACTGTCACATATTGGTTTAGGGACAGCTTAAAGGCCAGAATCTTGAAGCCAACAACTCAAAGTAAACTTGAAGTATTCAACAACAATGAAGATTCTGGCCGCGACTTTGTCAAGCAGATGAAGGAGTTGGGGAAGAACTGCATTGTCTTCTACGGTAGCCAGACAGGTACGGCTGAAGGCTATGCCAAGCGACTTGCCAAAGAGGGTCGCTCTCGCTTCGGCCTGGACACCATGGTCGCAGACCTAGACGAATATGACTTTGGGAACCTTGATGAAGTCCCATCGAGCCACATTGTCATGTTTGTCCTCGCTACGGCTGGCGAGGGCGACCCTACGGATAATGCAGAGCATTTCTTTCAATATATCTGCTCAGATGATGTTAATTACACCCTTGGTCACAACCCACTCCTGAGTAATTTGCGCTTCGCTACTTTTGGTCTGGGCAACCGCACTTACCAGCACTACAATAAAATGGCGAGAGAAGTTAGCAGAATCCTGTCTAGCCAGGGAGCCCACCTGGTTGGTGAGGTTGGAGACGGTGATGACGCTGGTTGCATGGAAGAGGACTTCATGCGCTGGAAGGAGCCTATGTGGGAGAGGCTCACTTCAGAGATGGCCCTCACGGAGCGTGAAACTCTGCTGTACGATCCAGTCTTCAACATTACCTCAGACAACAGCAAGAACAAAGATTCATCTGACGTCTTCGTCGGCGAGCTCAACAAGGGTTATCTCCAAGGGATAGCCAAGGGACCTTTCCACTCCACCAATCCGTATCTGTCCCCCATCGCCCACGCTAAAGAGCTCTTCAAAGGGCCTGATCGCAACTGCATTCACATGGAATTCGACATCGAGGGAACCAACCTGAAGTATGAGACTGGTGACCACATCGCAGTCTGGCCCATCAACCCGGATACGGAAGTTGACGCTTTCCTCGACGTGCTTGGCCTTACTGCAAAGCGACATGAAGTCATCAACTTGTCGAGCACGGATCCATCTGCAAAGGTTCCAATTCCCACACCTACCACCTACGATACTATTGCGAGATACTATCTGGAAATTTGCGCTCCGGTTTCACGAGAATTCCTGGCCATGCTTGCACCCTATTCACCTGATGAGTCAACGAAGCAGGAAGTCACCAGGCTTGGAAAGGACAGGGACTACTTCTCACAACATGTTTCTCTAAGATGTCTTAATATTGCCAGCGCACTTCGCTCCGTTAGCAGAGGGCAGCGCTGGACCGGAATTCCTTTCTCTGCATTTGTTGAGAGCATCAATAGGCTGGCACCAAGATACTACTCTATCTCCTCATCATATCTGGAGCAGCCAGGGCGGGTATCCGTGACTGTGGCTGTCGAGTCACGAGCTGTCAAGTCTCGCGAGGATAAGTTCTACGGTGTGGCTAGCAACTATCTTCTGTCACTGGAGAGATTTCAGAACGGTGGCAAGGCAGTGGCTTCACCAAGCTATGATATCAAGGGCCCTCGCTCCATGTACAAGGGGTCAGTTGTGCCAGTTCATATCCGACACTCCAATTTTAAGCTGCCGAGCGACACGACCAAGCCGGTCATTATGGTTGGTCCCGGAACTGGCGTCGCGCCTTTCCGGGGTTTCATCCGTGAGAGGAAGAGGCAGATGGAAATGGGCCTTCCTGTGGGCAAGACTCTGCTGTTCTTTGGCTGCAGAACCCGCGCAGAAGACTTTGTGTACGAGGATGAGTGGAAGGTATGACTGAACTGCCTTTTGTCTTGTAGTTTAAACACTGACCTTGAACTTTTTAGGATGTCCAAGCAACAATGGGAACCAAATTTGAGGTTGTTACCGCTTTCTCTAGGGAAGGAAACGAGAAAGTGTACGTTCAACATCGCCTGCAGCAGAGGGCAGCAGAGATCCGGACTCTTCTCAAAGAAAGCGCCCATTTCTACGTTTGTGGAGATGCCGCCAATATGGCCCGGTCAGTTAATGTCGCTTTGACTGAAATTATCGGCGCCCAGCGTGGCGTGTCTATGGCCCAGGCCGAGGAAACTGTGAAGCAAATGAAGCTCTCCAATCAGTACCAGGTACGCTTAAGTCTTATTTTATTATTTGAAATAAGGATACACTTTACTAATAATGAATAATAGGAGGACGTTTGGTGAGCAGCCAAGGCTCAGCGCATTGTTTCCCCCGCGACACTGGGTACATTTTAGATATGAAGAATGAAAGAAGATGAATGGTCCAACGTATATTTATAGCATAGTATATAGCGATGAGTAGATAAAGAATTATGAAAAAGGTTTATTCATTTTGATTCCTAAGGGGGTTAGCTGAACCGTTCCCGTCAATTCTACTCGAGGCAGTCGTGAAGCCTCGCTACCTACTGGATTATGAATAGACATGGGGGTTTCCATTGAGGAATTGACTTCTCAAGATCTTGAATAACTCCAATAAAAGTCAACAAGAGGGGAAACCGAACGGAAAGAAGCTCATGAAGCATGGGTCTTGTGTTAGGACAGGATGGTGGACTGCCAGCCCTCGTCAATAGTATCTGAAGTTTCCATCTGGTAGTTTGAAACAATGTACAGCATAACAATGTATTTTAGGGACAAATTCTATGTTTGGTTTGCATGAAATTCGTGACAATGTATTCTGACTCTTTAACCGGGCTAATCCATAAGTACCCTTGCTATGATAACGCGTGGCCAGCCTGATGATCTTCCTATCTTCCTCCAATTATTCTCTCTCCTGACTTCAGTGATATAAATTTAAACTGTTTCTATTTTAGAATCATCCTATATCCTAAGCTGCTTGTGATACAGCCTTCTTCAGCGCCGCTGGGTGACGGGGAACGAAGCGGGCCTTGAAGCGCGGTGGCAGAGCGACCAGACTCCTGGGATCAGCATTGCCGGTGATGGGATGGCAGTCGATCTCGTCAAACTTCTCGATGCGGAAGCTGTTAAGCAGGCGCATGAAGACGAGGTAAAGCTCACGGTTGGCCAGAAGAGATCCGGCGCACATGCGGTATCCGACACCATAGGTAAAGAGCGGAGCGTCGGGCTGCTCGAGCCAGCGCTCGGGACGGAACACTTCAGGGTCAGACCAGACAACGGGATCTATTAAAATATTAGCATTAATTTTATTACCAAAATGTAAGAAGATCCAGAAACTTACCCATGTTGCAAGCCCAGGCGTTCAAGAAGACAATGGTACCCTTGGGAATAAAGTTGCCCTGGAAGACAATATCCTTGATGGATGCACGAGGGAGAGCAAGGCGCAATACGCAGTAGTATCGAAGAGCCTCCTTGACAAGTGCCACGACGTACTCGCACTTCTGGTCGTCATTCTCGTCGCACATGGGCTCATCCTCAGCGTAGAACTTACGAATCTCCTTGATGGCCTTCTCCTGGACGTCAGGGCGCTGAGAGAGCAGAGAACAGAACCAGGCGACTTGAGTGGTCACGGTATCTAGACCGCCAGACAACATGGTCAAGCTGATGGAAGTCAACTCCTCCTTGTTCAGCTTTGCCTCCTTGTCGAGGATGACGTTGGCCTGAATGCAGGGTTTGTATGTACCGTTGGCAATACGCTCGTCGAGGGCGTCGTTCAGGTCGGTAAGATACTTGTCACGACGGTTGCGCATCTCACGAGCCTTGCTGGAGTGAAAGTTGAACGGGTTGAGACGGAGAATTGGAATATAGTCTTGAAGGTTGCCAGTGGTGGATCGGAACTTGCTGATTTCTTCCTCGACGTGGGTGATCTCGCCAAACAAATTATCCTTCTGGCTCTTCAGACGGGTTCCCCAGTTGAGAGTCAAAGCAAGAGACAGAGACAGACGCTGAATCATGGGCATGGGATCAACGGGGGTGTTTCCAGCATCGCCATAATCGTAGAGCTCCTTGATGAAGTCCCGGGTCTCAACCTCAAGATGGGGAACGTAGGTAGCGACAGAGGGTCGGTTGAGAGCCGAGGCAGCACCCTTTCTGCGGCGCTTGAGAGAGTCGCTGTAAGGAGATGTACCAATGGTGGTACCGGCAGTGTCGGAGAGCACCTTGATTAAGTTCGCGTTAGCACAAATCCAGACACACACATCAATTACGTGGACTACTAACCTTGTGGAATGTATAGAACTCGGGCCTTGAGCTGAGGGCCTGGGCATTCTGGCCGAAGATGGCTCGAGCAGCAGAAGCAGAGTTGACGACAACGACGGGAATGTTGCCAAGCTGGATCTGGTACACTTCACCGTACTTGCGAGACCACTCTCGATACTTTTCAGCAGCATTGACTCGGATATCCCACAAGTGACCGATGAGAGGCAGGCCAGAAGGACCTTTCATTTGTAGCCGGGCATTCTTTCTGACTAGCTCATTGACCAGGATGTACACCAGCGGGGCACAAAGAAGGGTCACAAGAAGGGATTGTGCAGGGTCATCCCTATACCGGCCAGCGGTGCTGAGGATGAAGTTGGCGATAGTCATATTGACTATGTTTTAAGAGAGATCACAATCTATCGCCGTTTGTAGAATGTGGTAAAGTGATGCTGGTTAGGGGGGAGGGGGAAGAGGCGGTGCGGTTGTTGGGCCGAGTGAGAAGAGAAGCTCGCCGTGACTGGGCATCATATATCTGGCGGGTGGGGCATCCTCTGAGGAGCAAATGCATGTCAGAGAAAGGTCAGCTGAATTCTCTCACTCAGGCATGAGAGGCCAACTGTGGCCTCGGAGCGTGTCGATCTCGCAGTACGTGGTGGCTCGGAAAGCTCGGAAATGGGCTCCGGTCCGGGGTAATCGAGATTTGCAAGACTTGCGGGGTACGATGCTCGGAACAATAAGTAACTGGACACTGCCACGCCCTCGGAATGTCGAATCCCTTCCTTTCTCCTGCCCTTGTTTGCTCGAGACACGGCGCATGGAAATCAGTTCCGCTGCTCGGGCTCCACCAAGACCACAGATTGCATAGCGAGTTCTGAGGCACCGGCACAGCCATGAGCAGACAGACGAGCTCTGAGCACGCTGAAGTGGATGCTGAAGCGGATCCTGCAGTGCAGAAGCGTGCTGCCTCGCCTGCTGCAGACGCTGTCCGCCGCCCAAAGCGAGGCAAGTATACGGCTGTTGCGTGGTATGTGTTCGCTCCCAAACGGCCTTCGGACGATGGCTCACCACAGCTGGCAGTGACGAGTGCAAGAGGCGCAAGTTGAAGTGTTTGCCTGGTGAGAACGAAGATGCGTGCCGGCGGTGCACATCATCAGGCCTGCCCTGCGTGTATCCGACACATAGAGAGGCCGCAAACGCCGCCAAGGGCAAGTCAGAAAAGTACTCAACATTCCCAATCTACGAGCCCCTTCAGTTATTTTGATTAGCTCTGACAGTTCTTCGATCATAGTAGTGCGGAGCTATGGGCGTTGGATAAAGAGGTGAAGCAACTTCGTCTCGAAATGGCCCAGTTGGCTGCTACAGTGACTGAGCTGAAGACGCGAGTGAATGGAGAGGATACCCGTTCAATTGCGGCCTCGGTGAGGTCTGGTAGCAATGCTGCCACTGGCCAAACATCCCCACGAGATCCTCGCCTCAGGATCACTGTCCCGAAGCAACCTCAATTTGTTGGCCCAACAAGGTCAGCATACAGTATAGAGATTGGTGAGAGATCTTTGACAAGGATGGGGATTCCGCCCTATGAGATGCCGCCCCCAAGTGGCCCTGGATCTCCAATCGAACCATCCAGAGGGCCGCTCACACTAGACTATGAATTCTGGCAACGGTGTGACACTTCTGAGGTATCACGATTATTGGGGGTGTTTCAAGAAGAGGTCGAATCGGTTTATCCCTGCATTGATAGTGGTTATCTGGCGGCGAACGCATCAAAGATCCTGGAGTACGGCCGCAATAGCGAAACTGCGCTCCAAAGTGATATGGCGCCAGAGCCCAGGCAAATGGACTTTTCGTACAAGGACTTCCAACTTGCAAAGGTGGCGCTCGCTATTGCGATCGTCATTGAAGCGCATGGGAAAAGAGAGAATAGCACTCAAATGGTAGAGTCTGTTGAACGCAGTGTTTCGAGGATATCAAAACCAGCAGGCGACGTCAAGGACTTGCAAATCCTGACGGTCTTGGTCAGTATTTGACTTCTCTCTCGGATCCTCACACTGAGATGCTGACCTATTTGTAGAGCATCTATTACTTTCACTCTGACGAGGACTTGCTTGCCTGGCGTACCATAGGCTTGGCAGCACGGGATGCACTTGAAATGGGCCTTCATAGAAAGGCAACCATATTGGAATCTTTCCACGATGAGGCTCAGAGGTCGATGGCTGCCAGAGTTTTCTGGGTCATTTATGTTCTCGATCGTCGCTGGAGCTTCGGCACGAGTCTTTCATTCGCACTGGTAGATCGGGACATTGATCCTGAACTTCCAGAACCAGTAAGTTGCCCAACCCAGAGTCCACCCTTAACCCATTCATTATGATTAAGTATACTGACATCTCCTACCAGGGTCCGGATTACCAATACCTCAAATGTATGATTGGTTATGGGCGTCTTAGTTCCCAGCTTTGGGAGGCACTCATGGCATTCGGCTCCATGGCCAATTTCATACCAGAGGAAACCACAGCCGTATTGGATCTCAAGACGCAAGAATGGCTGGAATCTATACCCCCCGACCTCCAACTAAGGCACCCACGCCTCGGGCTTGCAGCTCGTGCCCAGCCACGTGTGCTTCACCGCTTACGCGCTCTTCTATATCTTCGCGGTAATCACACGAGGATACTCATCTATCGCCACCACCTACTCAGCCCGGCAAAAATCAAAGCTGATCCTCACAGCGCATACCTTGTTGTCGAGATAGCCAAAGATAGTATAAAAGTACTGGTGCATCTGAATGCAACTTCAGACATCTACAGCCGGCAGCAGACCGCATTTAACTACTTCCTAGTAACAGCCTTGGCGGTTATTTTCCTTGCTGTCTGCCACGATCCCAAGGTCTTTGCAGAAGTATGCAGGAACAGTTTCCACGCGGCAGTCAAATTAGTTCGAGACTTCTCTCGTCGAAGCCAGGCTAGCCGCAGGCTCTGGAACAGTATCCGAGGCTTATTACCCCGGTTAAAGAGATTGGGAATGAAAGGGGCTGAGGACGGCCGTGACGTTGAGCAGAACAACGGCCAAAATGAGTTGGCTGCTCGCGAGGATAGCGCAGGTAGTCTGAACCAGCAAAGCGATTCCAAGGAGCAAAGGTACGGAGAGGAGCCGGGCATGATTGTTCCGGTTGGCATGGAAATGTTGGCTGGTGGTTTAGACTCTGGCACTGAATTTGCTGGGGCGGGCACAACGCCCAACATGTTCCAGATGAGCAATGACCTCATGGCATTGTTTGATGTTTTCGAGCAGGGACAGCAGTTCCCATCGGATTTCGGGCATGATTATTATAACGGTGGCGACGGGAGCGAAATCACGCGACGATTTCAAGGTCTTATGTAGCAGACCAGAGGCAGCTTATCCTAATATTTTTTTTTAAGATCTGATAAATATTACCGTCTATTGAATGTTTCTCCAATTTTAATTTATCCAATCCTGAAACTGTTACAGCTCATTTTCGAAGAATACCATCATGGCGCCCTGATGAACCGTCTTTGCGAAACTCTTCAGTTCAGCATGCGCGGCACATTCATTGTCGTAGTACACCATGTCGTCCACCGACGAGAAGACGGAAATCACGGCAATGGTGAATCCCTGCGCGCGCTGGTCTGGTTTGGCAGTCCCTGCTGTGACCGAGAGAATGTATGGCTTGCCATCCTACAACATAAACGTTAGCTTCCACCCCTGATATAGAGAGCAAACGATGAATATGTTGAACATACCTTAACCGCCTTTGCAGGCATCTGCTTGTAAATGGCTAGAAGCTTCTGCTGATCCTCGGTATTTGGGATCTTGAACAGGGTGACCCGGTTGATACGTGAGCTAGACATGTTGGATGGATTGGTGTGGTGGTGGGGAGAATTGGGTGGCAAGGAGTTGATTCTTTAACAAATAATAGCACACAAATCAGAGCGTAACTTGATAGAGAAGCGACAGTCTATTATCTAACCGAAGGGAGCTCTTGTTATTAATGAGTTTCAAGCCTAGTCCTGATAAGGCTTTGTCGTGGAATGTGGGAGGCCGGAATGTTGCCGATTCCGAGGACTAGGTCTCTTCGGCGTGAACGTCACAGCTCATTGTACCCCTCCACGAAGCGGCAATTAGCTATGCCGAAGGTCCCGCAGATATGTCGGCGATGTCGGCGTTTTCCCTCTTCTAAGATGCCGGTCGGCTGAGGAGCCGCGGCTAAGAGAAAGATGCCGAAAACTTGGTTTGGCAGGCATTCCCCTCCTTCCGCTCTCTTCAACCACGAATCTAATTGGCCAAATCCGAGGTTATCTTGTCCCAAGGCCCCAGTGGTGCAATTGGTTACTGTACCGCGGAAGGCCTAAGAGAGAATTAGTCTAAGCCTGGCAAACTTAGGTAATTCTTAGAGCGTAAGCCCGCTTAACAAGGTCCCTGGTTCGAATCCAGGCTGGTATAACCTATAAATTAGGAACCCTTTAGCCTCGGGTAGCTATTCGTCGTTTAGCCGGGCTATTATATCCAGGTCTAGCTTAGCCGAACTGTATTTACTGTATACTGATACTACTATATCCGGGGTTCTGCAGGATAATTATAGTTCCTGGTAATAGTAAAAGGTTTTTAGTTCCAACCTGCTGGGTATTATAAAGCAGATAAGGTTTTTACCAGATAATCTACTATATAATTTTAATAATATACCTAGATACCCCCTATTATTATAAATAGGATAAATTGATATTGTTATTATTATTATCTTGTCCCAAGAGCGCTATTAGGTTGTGTAGGCTTGATTATGCCAGGCTACGTCTGTCGAATCTCATGTGAGATGTGCGTTTAGAAACCTTGCTGTAGAGACTTGTCGGCAATTCTAACAGCATCACCACATAAGTTTAGTAGCTATATAAACATAGAGTTTTTTTTTTCGGATGGATAGTAAGCTTAAAGCTACCTGAAGTGTCCAAAGCTTTTGAAGAGGACCTTGATGACCGTTCACAGGGTCCCAGTCCGGAATATTAACAGAGCTGCACTCCAGAGCCAATGATTCAAACCGGCTTCGATCTCTACCGTACTCGTTCTTCCATTTGGGAGAGTCCTTTGTTACATAGTTAAGTATGAGGCTGAAAATTAGTACGGCTCATAATACCTTGGGATAAGCTCCTAAATATCTGTATTCTTGGCTGAAGCTTTTAGAGCAGTGGGAAACCCAGGCAGGAAGTACGATGACATCTCCTGCCTCAACATGGATTAATTCTCCTTCAGCCTCGGAGTCCAGTGGGCCAACCCCAATGAGAAGTTCTGAGAGAGCCTTTTATTATGGCTACCCACCTGTATTAGCCATTTGACCATTGAAATGCTCGGTACTTTGATCTTCAGGCCAGTCACTCAATCTTGAAAGGACGTACCATAGCATTCATGGGTATTTGGGTGGAAATGATGCCTAGGCACCGCATTCCAAGTACCCTACATTTACCCAACAATCAGTCTTCACTGATTCTCTTAGTGTCAGCTTGATTTTCTGAAGATACCCCGTGAACCCAATTGTTGGATTCCAAGAACGCTTTCGCTAAATTTTCTCGAAGGGGAAAAGGTAGGACTTTTCGGTAAAGAAGTACAGGGAGCTGGCTATTTGGTACATAGTTTGTTGGCTTGAAGAAGAAGGCTTCCGGTTGCGTTCCGACAGCCATTTTTGAGGTGTTATTGGAGGTATGCAGAGGAGAAAAGAAATTTGCCACCTTCAGGATGGAGTTTCTTTATAGGCAATGATTTTGGTGGGGGAAGGGCATACCATCATCGGCATTGTAGGAAGCAATCGCGGGGAACCTTGTGGCTGCGCAGGCGAAGCCGTTCTTGTCTGGTATATTTAGGAAGAATGGGATATAGCTCATTGTGGATTCCATTTAGGATGCTTATTGGTCTCTGTCTTTTGATGATATGGCCATTGGTACTCAGCGGCTAGAATATGCGTTTACAGATTAGCGTGTTCGTGGCCGGAGGGCTCTCCAGGGGCTTCAGCCATTCCTCTTGATTCTATGATTCTAGAGTAGGAAAGTAATTGGTAAATCCTTGTACATTGTGAAGATAAGTGGCCCTCGCGATATTACTACAGCCATCTCAAGAGCAGTCTATCCAAATAGAATTGTGCCGTCTTCTTCTGCTAGCCACTCATCATCTCCCATCCACTGCCGGACCAGGTGCTGCCTTACCAGGTAAAAGTTTTTCTGTTTGAAACGATGTTCAAGGTACGTCAACTTAGCTACCATGGCCTTCCTCTCCTCCATAAGAGTCTCGTTGATATCCTTGGCGACTATGCCTATTGGCCACAGGAGAGCGTTCTCGAAGGGTGAGCCAATGGGAATAGCATCGATGAGTTGAGCCGCCCATGAAGCAAGATTTCCAACTTCTCGGTAAAATCCATTGGAGGAGGAAGATATTCCAAAGGAGATATCTGCACTGTGTTGAACGCTAGGACCCCTTCTATATAAAATGGCTGCAATACGATACAATTCTGAGACGAGATTCGGCTGCTCCCAATGTCTAATCGAGCTAAAGAGACCCAAGTTCTGGAAATCGGAATGAAACGCTATTACTGGGTCAAATATCGGCAATCTCTCATGGTTTTGTTGTGGCTCGAGTTGCTGGAGTGCGAAACTTGGAAACCAATCCAAGCTTCCGTCCCACGCAGCTATATCGGCATCGGTGACATCGGTATCGCCAGCTCCAATTCGAGCAATCAGCCGCGGAAAATAGAACCGGTCGGGCGAGCCCTTCTCCCCATTCATCCAATCTGGCTCAGGCATGGTGTTGAGATAGAAATCAGAGAGTGTTGGGATCCCTAGTGAGGTCGATTGGACAAGATCATTGTACAAAAACAGGCTAGAGAGAAAGCAAAAAGGCTCTCTGTTTGAATGATCCACCACGCCTGTGCTTGGCCCTGAGGCGAATGCCAGCACGTGATGGTAGGGGATGATTTTCGCGAGAAACTGAAGATGAGCAGAGATCGGGCCTCCACTCTCGCTGGTTAATTTCTCGTAGAGGATGAGTAGAACGCAAGTCGCGAGTAGAGAGAGAAAATCTTGCTTAGTAGAAAAGTCTGTACCGTTGGAAAGAATCCTCTCTGCCAGATCTCTTCCGAGAAGCGAATCCCCATTAAGTAACTGATTCTGATTAGAGTCTGGGGCATTCATGAGACGAGTAACCAAGTTCATGCAGCCTCGTAAAGCCTTTTGTCTAAGGCTTGGCATAATATCTTGGTATATGAAACGACCATTTTCCCAAGTCTGAGCTCCACTGAGTGCTAGTAAGGCATCTAGCACCGTCCGACTCTGGGCAGACAGAGGGAGCAAAATGCTCAAAAACGGGTTATTTGGCCCTGAAAATGTTGGGTAGGTTCTTGAAAACCTCTGAATATAGTGGTCTAGGAGACGGGATTGTGCCTGATCAAGATCCTCAGGCCAAAGGGAGAGTGCACGACAGGGCGAGTTCGCACTCTTGTCATCCTTGTTCATCGACTGGGTCACCCCATGGCCGCTCGAATATTGGTGAATATAGACTTCAGAGTCTATCTGTTCATTTGCGGCCTTTGTTCGGCCTCTTCTCTTCATGCCAACTCTTCTTGTGTCGTCTTCCCAGACGAGTCTGACATTGCGTTCACACTTGAGTCCCAGTCGGATACAAGTACTGCATGGCACGGTGGGTGAATCGCATTTTTTCTTCCTGCAATGTGGTGAGAACCTTTTCGCCTTGAATATCGAGTATCTTGACTTACCTGGTTCTACAAGTCCAGCAACCGCTCCTTGAGCGTGTTCCTCCAGTCTTCGATGGTTGAAACGACTGCATCGTCTAGCACTTGGACATTCGCTTGAGCTGGTTAAGAACAACTAGCTCGAGAGCCGTTCGGATGACTGACATGCTGTCCCCAATTGAATGGCCATGGATGTCGATGCGGGGTCGGTGGAGGTTTATACTGGAGGCATCGGATGGGGTTGCTGGATGTGGTTTGGTGGCAGTGATAGTTATCGGCCAACGGGCGTGATTAAAGCCATTGGGTGGGGGCAGAGATAGGGAGGGGTTGGGCATTGTGCATGCCACTAATATGGGGGTCTTGAATCACTGAAGCTATGCCTAAAGTCCGTTGGAAGACTATTCTGGAGATGTCTAGATTCATATAGTTCTGGTAGGGTTACATCTTTTTCATAGCATCTGACAGGAGAATCGTTCCTTGTGCTGTGAACATGTGAACATAGCGATATCTGATATTCACAATGTGCTTACATTTCCAGCGATCTTTCTAACTACTGTTCGAGGGGCCTCATCTCGTACATAGTCTCTTTGATGTACTTGATCATCTCCTCTGTCCATTTCTCCATGTCAAGCACGTTGACCGTTTCAACACGGCACATCCCTGGCTTCCTCTCTGAGTCATGTTTCTCTACGTTCTCTACATATTTCTCCCTGAGAGCTTGAGCAGTAAGTTGACATCGTCGAGCCAGAACATCGAGGCGGTAGGTAGTCCACTGGTAGTATAACTCGGTGAGGTGGGACTTGTTTCTAATATTCGCGTTTGTAGTTTCGTCCAGGAGGAGAGGGTTTTTGGGCCTGAATGAGGTCACGACAGTGACTCGCTCAGGCATGTTCGTCACGGGAGCGGCGGTGTGAGTGATATACCTGCCTTGGAGAAGAACAGCGCAACCCTACATATGCTGATGTTAGTTTGTGTATTCTGGAAATAACCCGACCGATAGTAGACGCATAATGCGTCGAAAGAACTTACCATCTGTGGTGCCTTGACTTTTAGAGTTGTCCCGTCTCCTTTCATGAGCTCAGTCTCTCCACCAGTCATATGCCTGGCGTCCGATAGCATCACAACACACACCCAGGGATGGGAGTCCTTGTGCCACTCAATGATCGGCTTGGTTTGGTCGGTGACGACTTGTTTCTTGGGCTTCTCTTGCTCAAACTTCTTGATCGCCTCTTCCGTGGCCTCTGGAGGCTCAATGGGGGTGTTTCGAACGGCTTCGAGCCCACCTGGACCGAGTTGAACATTGGTGTGGCTGACTTCATAGTCCATGGCAGGAACAAGCTCAACGCCGGCAATGTCACTGACGATTTTCAGGACTTCGGGGGAATGCCAGAACTCATGAATGAAAGGCGTGTATCTGGGAGCCATACCGCGCAGCTGGACCGATCCTGGGCGAGTATAATGAAGGCAGTTGTCCAGGACCTCCTTACTGAAGAGCTCCCGTCGGTATTGCAAGACGGCATCGTGTGAGAGGAGCGGAAATGGGTCCGTCGTGGCAACAGGAGAGAGTGCCGTAGGCTGAAGCTTGATATCCTCCATCTTCAAAATCGAAGACGGTGGAGAATATGCCAAGTGCTTTGAAGCATCAAATTTGGTTGCAGGTACAATCTTGGATGTTTGAGATGCCAAGGGCCCCGTGGATCCCAAAGTGGCTGGAGAATCAAAAACAGCAGATGGAGCCATAGTGACGAATTTATCAAGAGTTCAAGACTGCTCTTCCAGAAGCTGAATTATATAGCAAATGAGTTTTATTTCGGTGCCTTGTTCATAGATTTGGGGTCGTTGGAAGCCGATATTTAAGGAGAAGGGTGCGCCAGGATAGGATGAATGATCGAGGGAGAGCAGCAAACTCGTTACCAATTTGAGTAATTTAAACCGCCGCACAACCATATTATTCAAACAAAGGGCTAGCCTGTTGATGATACCTTTCTATTCCTTGGCAAGCGCTCTCCCCTCTCCGACCGTGGAGAATCGAACTGATACATCGATATCAAGATGATCTTGAGGGGGAATTAGCGGCCCAGCTATTCTTGAACAGGAGGGTTTGAGACGCTATTGGTGGCTTGGCTCAGCATAGAGTTAGAGGTCGTTGGGGTTGTTTGGAGGACTTCGGTAATTCTCGGCTTCTTTGGGCAGACTGACAAGTGGGAAGACAGGAGGCACTCAATTAACTATCATTTCTAACTAGGTTCTAGATCAGTTTGGTAATGGTGGTGTTAGTTGTGGGTCAAGAGTACTCGCTAAACCCATTTCATGGTGTTTGAACCGCCAGACTAGATGCTTGGTTGTTGCTGCTGATCCACTTCCTTTCATCACCTGACAGGCCTGAGTCGGTGCCCGTATCAACACTAACCCTAATTCGAGGTGTTTGAAGCGCGGGATAAACGATGACTAAAAAGGCATCATGATTGGCTTCCATGAACTCAGGAAAGGATGCCAAAGGAGGGCGGGACTGGGGCACCGGGGTTCCCCAGAAAGATACGGTACACGCGATCATGATAGCATAGCAACACCGCCATTGGCCGCTGTAGGTACTCTGGCAGATCCTGTTATCTTGATAGAAGAGGAAAAAGCTATATCTGATCGCAGAGTAACCAGAGATTTTCGTCCTCTCTCTCTCTTGTTTCTCCTCAACAGACTACCGAACCTCTTTCAACAACATTCAACACCTATCTTTTCTTATCCAAACCCTTTAATTATTTTGGGAAAAGCCTTCCTAAGATGTCTAAACCTGAGGTCTCTGAGACTGGGAAACCCACCGACCTCCACCGGCCACGGTCGCTCGAGAAAGGAACCTCTGAGAAATGCGACTATCATGGCATAGATACCAGCATCATTGCAACGGGTTCGGATGGCGTATATGAAAGAAAGGTCACCATTATGAATCAAGCACTGATTGACATGGGGATGGGCCGGTTTCAGTGGCAGATATTTGCCATGACTGGATTTGGCTGGTTTGTAGACAACGTAAGAGACACTTACTAAACTTCACTGATCTTTCAACGAGGCTTATTCGCGAAACTGATATTTTGTCTACAGTTCTGGATGCAAGCTATCACTATCATCAGCCCACCAGTCAGGAACGAGTTTGCTGTTCAGAAGATTGCTTTTTTGACGGTTGCAAAGTACGTTGGCTTGGTTGTGGGCTCCAGCGTGTGGCCCATGACGGCAGACTTCATCGGGCGTCGTCCAGCATTCAATATTACTCTTCTGATGTCCTCAGCTGCAGGACTTGTTGGTGCAGGGAGTCCTAACTTCGTCGCCATAGCAACTTTCTGCGCTTTCATTGGTGTTGGGACCGGCGGCAATCAGCCAGTTGACAGTGCCATCTTTCTCGAGTACATCCCAGCCACGCACCAGTATCTTCTGACAATGCAGTCGGCATTCTGGTCTGTCGGTCAAGCTGTTGCAGCTCTTATTGGATGGTATGTGCCCCTCCTTGAATCGGTTCAAGGCAAAATAGAACCTTTTACTAACTAACCATTGGTGATCAGGCCTCTTATTGCCAATTTCTCCTGCTCCTCGCGTTTGCCAGGCCAATGTAGATACGAAGACAACATGGGTTGGCGATATACTTACTGGACATTTGGAGGCCTGACTCTCCTTATGTTCATCATGCGTCTCACATTTAAAGTTTACGAGACTCCCAAGTATATTCTCGGCAAAGGGCGTGACAGGGAAGCTGTTGAAGTCATTCAGAAGGTTGCTGCCCGAAACAAGACCACCACCTGGCTGACCCTCGCACATTTTGAGGCAGTTGATGCCGAGCTTGGTATCACTGCCGGCGAGACTGATGAAACAACCGCCCCAAACTCTGAGAGCCTAGGAATTATTCGACGAAACCTAGAGAAGTTCAGGCCGGACAAAGTGCGCACGCTTTTTTCCACACCGCGGCTTGCATTGTCCACTACTTTTATGATCTTCCTCTGGTGCGCGATCGGGATGGCTTACCCACTGTACAACTCATTCATTCCAATCTATCTTGAGAATCGAGGAGTGAAGACCGGAGCTTCTTCATTGAACGACACATATCGAAACTATGCCATTCAAGCTGTTTGTGGAATACCTGCTTCGATTCTGGGCGGATTCACAGTGGACTTGCGAAGGATTGGAAGGAAGGGCACTGGAGCGTTTGCATGCATCAGCACCGGAGTCTTTCTCTTCCTCTTCACGCGAGCAGACACAAACGCCGCGGTATTAGGTTTCTCATGTGCCATCGCCTTCTTTCAGAATCTTGTTTATGGCCTGCTTTATTCTTATACCCCCGAGTTGTTTCCTGCTACTGTTAGGGGTACTGGGAATGGCCTGGTGGCGCTTTTCAACCGTTTGAGCGGTCTGATGGCTCCGATCATTGCAGCCTACATTGGAATCGACACTGACCTTCCGGTTTGGATTTCTGCAGCACTATTCATGGTCGCAGGGTTTGTCTTCTTGGTTCTGCCATATGAGACGCGAGGAAAGGCTGCGGCTTAAATATGGGTTACTTAGCTCGTTGTAGGTGGAGAGTAAATATTGTTTCATGAACATGGGATATACTCAATATGATGCCCATAGGAAATAGGCGGCTAGTTTTGACACGGCGCAACTTGTCCTCCCGGGCTTAGCTTCTGTTTTGGGCTTTTTCTTAGCCACTTCAGTTACCATGCATCTATGCAAGGTATGAAATTAAATGGCCTGATTTATTAGAAGAATCGATTCGCCGTGTGGCTATGGAGCTGTCTGATGCTTCTAGCGGCCTGGTGATCTAAATTCTATAACATTGTTTGTGCAAGATGCACCTAATTACAGAAACCTGGTCCATTATTACCAAGTCTTCAACGTTTGTGGTTTACGTGGCATTGCGTTTCGCCATGCACAGCCCCAGTGGATAGTTCACAACGATACAGTCAACGGAGCTCCGCGGATTACAGATTGGTTTCTGACAATCTCAATTGGGGTTTATCTTCGGTATTGTAGTAAACCTCATCTTCATTATCTTTACCATGCATATGATTTGATCTGGAGGTTGTAGGATCTCCGCGGATCAGACGAGAGCCCAGTGCCACCTCTCATGTTGGGCGATGGCACTTCTAGAGTAAAAGTATACATAAAGACATCACTTCAATCTTCGTAAGACTCTAGAAAAAAAAACATCTTCGATCACAGTCTACAATTACAAAGTATAATCTCATTCAAACCACGGTTACGAATCTTTGCAAACATTCAATATTAATTTTGAGCCACCATGTTTAAACCGATATTTAGTCTCGCAGCCCTCACGTTGGGCATTTTTGGGACAACGGCTGCCGCCACGCGTGAGTAGACTCTCGTAACTTGAGTGGGGTTATACTAATTTCTCAAAAGCTGCTAAACTGGTTGACCCGAATCTGCGTTACTCGAACATGACATTGGACATGCCACCGCAAGCTTTCCCTGTGCTTCATACGAGTTTCCGATACCCACCCGACTGTGGTGAAAAGAGCTACAAAGGAAGCGGACGCTTGGAGGGGCTGAAGGCACTCATCACCGGTGGCGATTCAGGAATCGGAAGGTCGATTGTAATCGCCTACCTTCGGGAGGGAGCCAAAGTCGCCATTAATTACCTTCCCGAGGAGGAAGCTGATGCTCAAGCACTCTCAGACTTGATGGCAGAAGAGGGACTGTCGTTTGAGCGCATTCCTGGAGACTTGAGCAATGAAGAATTTTGCACTGAGCTCGTGAATGAGGCTCATAGACGCCTCGGTGGATTGGACATTCTCATCAATCATGCTGGGTAGGCTGTGGCCATTTGTTCACCAAGACCCCTGAACTAAGAGCTAATTATCCTTTAGATATTCCGGAAACTTGCAAGGTCCCAATTGGCGACCTATTGACAAGTTTGATGGGCGCGAAATGGAGCAGATTTATAAGATCAATGTGTTCGCAACTCTGTATCTAACACGTGCCGCTGTTCCTTTACTGCCAGCCGGCGGTAGCATCATCGTCACCTCCTCCAATATCGCCGCTCATCCTGTCGGTCCTTCAGTTCTATACGGCTCCTCCAAAGCTGCCGTTACTCATACAATACGCTCCTTGGCAATGCAGCTTGCACCTCGCGGCATCCGAGTCAACGGCGTCGCCCCACGTTTGACCTATACCCCGTTCCTTGCTCAGTCTGGATTCACCAATACCGAGCTGGAACTCGCCAGCCAAGTCTTGGAGTTCCATCGCCTTGCGCAGCCAGCCGAAGTTGCCATGCATTACGTGGAGGTTGCTGACCCAGCAAATACTTACATGAGTGGCGAAGTCATCGCGATCGCCGGCGCCCAGCAAGGGCTGTAACAGCTCACTACGTCAATTCATCGCATCTCATAATCACATCTTAGATTTGCACCAGTTGACCAATTATTCGATTCTTATAGAAGGATACGGGGCACAATATTCTTCACATGCCATTGCCTGCAAAATTAAGTGCCTAGCCTCTCTTGCATAGTAGATAGATAGTCAATATTACCTAGACGATTCCAACCTCGCAAAGCCGCCTAGGAAACTGCAAAATTTTGTCGATTCCTGGGATGTCATTGTGATGCTTTTTCAGATAGATGCAGACTGCTTGACATTCCAAAATGCATCGCCGCCAGATATGCCATGCCCGAGATTGGCTGAAATGCGCATACCAATAAGCCATCAAAATCAATGCATATGGGTCCTTGTGCTGGAGTAATGACCTGAAGTCATGAGGCATGAGACATAGAAATGACAGATAGCACAGTACAGTGGACTGGCTACTGTGTACGGCTAGTATATTATCGAGCGTATTCGCAGCGACGCAGTAGGGATTATAGGAGGTGGTATCACTGCCATCCAGGCCGAGCAGTTGGATCACCTCCTCCGGTAGTTCGGTCAGTTTTGGTTTAGGGTAACCGGAGGCGTGGAGGCCGAAGTATCCTTCTTCAGCAAAGGCTCGGAGGCAGCTATCTGCCCGACTCGGATCCACGATTCGCCAGAGCTGTCGCTTCGCGTCGAACACCACCATCCAGGCCAGCTCGTTTTCGGTGGGGTTTACAAGTGGCCAGGCTTGCTCGGGCACCTTGGCATCGATTTGCGCAAGAGTGGATGCAGTTAAAAGGCTCACAGAAGCCCATATAGCGTCTTTTTCTGAAGAAGTCAATAGGCCCTGCAGGGTCTTGTTAAACATAGCAGTCCCTCGGTATAAATGGTGCAATTCAGCTGTTGATGGCGGTGTAGGTGGCGATGACTCTAGGTGGCGATCATGTGCCAGAGTGATACCCAACGCTAGATGCATCAAAAACGGGTGCTAAAGATTGAGAAAAGTTAGATGGATACTTGTTGGATACTTATGTTTCGGGGTACTGATGTCAGGGGGCATACCAGACAGGCGAGACGAATCGCCTCTCTCTGATACAAATCTTGGGAGCCGGTCGTTGCCAAGGTTGGAGTGGTCCTGAATTGGAAACGGGTTAGGATGTCCAAATCCCCGTTTTTCAGTTGGAGAATCGGATTTTGGTGATCCAGATATGGCTCCTTTCGTAAAGCTGCATTTAGAGCGCCCAGGACTGATGTTTTGGCAGAAGGTGAGGGAAGAATTCCCATCTGGTAAGGTCCATTCATCGCAACCTGAAGGATGCCCTCGCCAGGAATGGCCTTCTGTCCGTAATTACATAACACTCCGAAGCGATGGCAATTCTTGCAAGTCGGCTTTCGCTCGTCACACTATGTTGGCAGTCAGGACAACCCAAGTTCTGTCATAGAGAGTCACCCCCATAACGTGTCGAGAAACCTACTTTAATTTGCCGAAGCTTGCAGTTGCCGCATCCTTTCCGGGACTTGGTGTGTGCCTGTCGCTTCCGAGTTGGTTGCTGTGCATCAGGGGCGGGAAGACGAGGCATGCCGGATGGGTCTTCGGCTTTAGCAGCTTGATGCTCTCCCTGATGGAGGCTGGAAATCAATAAGCTTCGCCGCTGGACCGATTATGGGCCGACGACTTGAATGGGTCCCCTAGATGCTTATGTGGTGCCACTGAAGTTAAAATGCCCGTTTGATTGTTCTTCTGACTCGCAGGGGATTGGGTGGAAGTGGGAGAGGAACAAAGTGAGTGAGATGGTAAAACCGTTGCTCAGAAAATGACCTCGTTGAAGTCCCACTTTTCGGATCTAGACGCTAACCCGAAATCGTATTCCATTTTTGCGCTAAATATCAAAGGACGCTAACCCAAATTCGTGTCAGATAGGAGGCTAACCTCAATTCGTGTTCTCACCTCTAATAATAGCCCACAATTATCACCAAGCACCGAGTCCGTGAAGCCTCGCCTTGGCTGGCGGCGTGATCAAAATGGTAACGGATCTCCCGGCTTGGTAAATTTTCAGCCTTCAAGGATCCAATTGGGTTACTCTAAAATTCTGTCAAATTGGTATTTAAAGAGATGTCTCCCCTCCTCAAAACTGTTGGAATGGAACAACAAACTACCTACCAACTTCACGAGAAGAACCCAAACTCAATCACTTTACACCACACCTTTATCCTTCTCACCATGGCACAAAATCTTCCAGAGACTATGAAAGCCCTTGTCTGCCAGGATATAGGCAAACCTCTACAGCTCACGACCATCCCAACTCCACGGCCAACTCCAGGAAGTGTTGTTGTCAAGGTGCTGGCGGTCCAGTCACAGCGTAGCTTAGCCGCGATCATCGCTGGCAAAACTCCCTTCACCTTTCCAAAGCCTCTCACGCCTGGTAATACTGCCATCGGTCGGGTGGCTGCAACTGGGCAGGACACCACAAGTCTGGCTGTCGGTCAACTTGTCATGCTTGACACGTTTGTCCGGGCTCGTGACAACACCGATATCCAAATACTCTGGGGATTCTCCGATGGCTTCACAACCCAGTCCAAGAAGTTCATGGCCGACAATTGGGCCATGGGCTCGTACGCCGAGTACGTTCGCGCCCCTCTTGAGAACACTTGGGCACTCGATGAGAAGCGCCTGTGCGGAAGTCTGTCGGACGGCGGTCTCGGATACACCATCGACGATCTTGCATCTTTGCCTGAGATTCTTATCCCCTACGGTGGCCTGCGTGGCATCAACCTCCATCCTGGCGAGACCATCGTTATTGCCCCAGCCACCGGCGGCTTCAGCGGCGCCGCTGTCTTTGCCGCATTGGCCATGGGCGCGACCGTTATTGCCATGGGCCGCAATGCAAAGGTTCTTCAAAAGCTCAAAGATCAATTTCCACGAGTTCGAACTGTGGTGAACACGGGCGACGTACAGGCTGACACAGCTGCACTGCGGGCTCTCGGACCCATCGATGCGTATCTGGACCTGTCGCCTCCCCAAGCGAGCTCCTCTACTCATATTCGCAGTTGCTTCCTTGCACTCCGACAGTATGGCCGGGCGTCGCTCATGGGTTTCATCCCGACAGATCTCGCCCTGCCATATTCGCATGCTATGGGGAACAACCTGACAATCCGGGGCCAGTTCATGTATGAGCGAGCAGATGTGAAGTCTCTGATCCGGTTGGCTGAATCCGGGCAACTGAAACTCGGAACTGCCGGTTGTTATGAGGTATGTGGAAAATACCGGCTGAATGAGATGGAGGAATGCTTCAAAAAGACAGAAGCATGCCAAGAAGCTGGTCAGGTTGTCTTGATCACGCCTTGAACGTAGTAGATAGTCGTTGTAATTGTATTTACACTCTCTACCAATATAATTGTTCTCCCACAGGAGTGCCTAATCATATGTCAGATAATCCCAGATGCACAAGCTGGCGTCATTCACGCCTAAGCACAGGTCCCGTGCCTAGCCATGCCCGCTTCAAGGTCAGACGGGGTTTTGATACCACTTCGCTTAGTCCCCGAATTTACCGAAGCCTCTCACGTACCTCAGGGGAACAAACTTGAATAGCCCAACGAGGGGACTTTGTACCGATCGGATCTCATATTTCCGCCGACACTCTATCACCGTAAAGGTTAAACAATTCCAAGCCCGATGAATAAATATTACTCGATAACCACGCTTGACAAATTGATACACAAGGGGGAGAGAGCGTAGGGAGCTTTGAATTAGTAACTTTTTGGGTTGAGTGGTATGACTTAAGTGAATTGAACCTGACTTTTTCAGAATATCACGGCGAAGAATGGCGAAGAAGAAGCAGACGGCTTCTGACAAAAAAAAAATTATATTAATAGTAAATGTTTTGCAAGATAACTTGAACAATCTAATGACAAGCCTTAAATAACACCCCTTGTGGGGGGGGTTTCTCAAAAGCTACATGTTTATCATAATTTAGGGAGCCTCCACGAGCTCGGCATACTTAGTAAACTCCTCATCTGCCTTGAACATCTCCAGCTCCTCGGGATGGGTGCCCAGAACAAGCTCGACACCTCCATCCTTCTTCATTGGGAAGATGAGTAAAAATCGGAAACGACCACTGCCGCGGTCAAGCTGAGGGCGCATCGACTCAGGCGAGCCTGCGTTGGCAAATATTTGCTCTCCAAAGTTGATCTCGCTTGTTGGAAACAGCATCATGTTGGATATCATCGCGTGCATGTGCTCGGTACCCATATTGGCGGTTGAGAATCTGGTATGGTCTGGGAGAGACTGCAGAATAGTAAATGCATCATGAACGACCTGGGGGGTTATGCGTGCGGCGGATTGGCGCAGTAGGTACGCAACTTGTCCGATACTGGTGTTTGGGGAGCAAATCGTCTCCACCGGCATACTGGATCTATTGAGAAGAAGGGTACTTCCCATGTAGGTAGATGGCAGCAGGGACGAGAAGAATGGCCGGGTATCAGTTGGGAGCTCAAGAATAGAGACATCATCAGAGTTGAAGGTCTGCTTGCGGATCTCTGTAGCGATGCGATATCTTGCCCTAATAGCGGCGCGCCAGAAGAAAGCCTGCACGATGTCGCTGATCGATGAAATTACGCCCTTAGCCCCAGGATCAGCCATAACATCTTGCTTCATTTGAGCAAGCTTCTCAGGCTTGATCAAGAATAGAGTGGTGTTCAAACGCCTCTCAGCCTGAGGGAGGGGCCAGATGGGATGGAGAGGGAAGCTAAGCCGAGGAGGGAGTGCTCCTTCCTTCGGGATAGATGGCTGTTTACCGGTGATATCCTCCTCCTCAGGGGGGTGGAAGGGCAGATAATTCCATGTACCAGGATCTATTTCACTGAGAGGCTTTGCCCAGCCCTCCTGCTCATGGAGGATCTCGGGCAAGCTGTGATTGAAACTCTCGGGGTCAAACCACTCGCAAGTTGCCGAAGAATCACCTTGCAAGTATCTGCAGTTCTCCGCCCAAGCTTTCAAAGCGATCATCACACCAAGCCCGTCCATACAGCAGTGGTTAAGATCAACAGCGAGGATGCACCCGCCCTCAACAAAATTGACTTGTCCAACAAAGATATCCGCAGGCATTTTAGGGAAAGGATCATCCCGCAGCACAAGGCTATCTTTGAATGCAGATGGAGCAAACCCTGCATCTCTCAGCTTTTCGAATGAGGGAAGCACCTTAGAAAGATCCTTGTAAACCAAGCGGTTGTGGGCAGAGGATGCCATGGACAGGGGTGGAATCGTAACACAGAGGTCTCCTTTAACATAGCCAATTTCCTGCTCCGAGGCGTTCATCATTTTACCTCCGAGGGCAGGGATCATATCAAAGGTCCGGTTCAGACCCTCTTGGAGATTGGAGAACACTTGTTCGATGCCGACTCCATCACGAAGGGGGAAGTAAAAGACCAGACCCATACCGTGGTTAGGGTTGACATAGTCGAAGGCGTTTAGTCTAAATGATTGTCGCGCTTTATGCTGGGCAATCATCTGCTTCAACCGTGTGACCTCGTCATCAACATGCTTATTTTGAAGACTTGGTCCCCCTTGGGCTCGCAAATCAGCTGCTGTACGCACAATCAGAGCAGAGAGGCCCTCGATTGTGGGGTTGGCATAGATATGACGAGTAGCGATCTTCTCTCCTAGACCTGTAGCTGCCCGGATCGTCTTGACAGCTGCAAAGACGCCAAGTGAGTCCAGGCCAAGTGTAAACAGGTCCGTGTCGGCGGCGGACTCTTTAACTTCAGGGATTGAGGAGGAAAGGATCTGACGAATACAAGCCTGGACGGAGTCCTCAGACTTCAAATCCACCGCGAAAGATGTGTCGAGCTCGTCCGTGCGGGAGCTATAGAACCGCTCAATATAGTCAGCGTAAAGTGCCAAAGTGGCAGCTCGCTTGACAGTGCGTTTATCCGTCCGGATAAAGGGCTTATCAGCCTCCGAAAAGGTGACGAAGTCCTTGAGGAGCTGGTTCTTATGCCGAGATAAAGAGTTGGCCTTCTTGACAGTTTCCCAAATACTGTCGATAAGCTCATCCGTCTTGGTCGAGGGATCCTTGAGCTCAATAAGTAGACCAGCTTGTGGTTTTCCAGTTCCGAAGATGAGGCATCCGTTAATCGCGGGATGGGTAGTAACGAAAGCCTCAGTCTCCAAAGGCGATATTTTATACCCATTTGAAAGAACCACAAGATCATCACTTCTTCCCTTGAAGGCCCACAAGTTAGGCTTTGTAGGATGCCTCATATAGAGGTCCTTGAAGTTGATCGAGTGCTTGTCTGGAAAGGTGTGAAAGATTCCCTGAAACAGGGGCCAGTGCTCATTGCGATGGACCCAGTGCTCGTAGGTGTCATCCTCAAGTTGCTTGAACTCGAAACCGGAGTAGGGGTGGAAACAGAACCAAAACCAGTCCTCTCGCTTCGTCACAAGATTTCCGATGAAGAGACCTTCCGTTGTCCCAGTCAAGTTGAGCACTCTGATGACATCGTTCACTTTGCCCGCACTGACGGGGCTGACGGGACCGCCGGACGCACAGATGAACTTGGATGGCTTGAACTTGGCCAATACCTCAGGTGTTTCACCTAACTCATCGACGAGAGATGGAACCATGCTCCAGATATCAATCGCGGCATTCTCTGCAAGATTCTCAATGAGGTTGAGGTTGGGTAGGACATTGGCTGGTCCTAAGACACATTGCAATTGGAAAAGCGCTGGCATCAGAATGTCCATGATGATTCCCGCCCCCTATTGTCATGGTAAGCCAAATATCCTTAATGAGTCTTTCTTGAGCAGAATCCGCGGTGCACTTACATGGCTCATTGGAAATGATGAGTAAATCTTATCCCCGGCCTTCCAGTCCTTGGTCCAAGGCTCAAGGCCACCATCACCGTCAACTGGTGGTAGTAGCCTGATCGCATCCATCGTCCCGATCAGCCCATGGGACCAGGGGATAGGCTTCGGCACTCCAGTACTGCCAGACGTATGAAGGTAACAGAAAGGATCGTTCTTAGCTTCAGCAAACGTCTTCTCGTACGGGAAAGGATCAGTGGAATCAGCATCCAGAAGGTCGTCCAGAAGAGGCAGCTGCAAAACCTTCATCCTTCGCTGCTCCAGAAACTCCCGTACAAGAGGAACTGGGGTTGCGTCTATAGCATTGACCCAGATATTGCAATTAGTAGCCTCTAGAACAGCTAGAGCCCCCTCCGTGTTGTTCTTAGGGGAGAGATACAGGGCCTGTGGGATACATTTACGTTAGCTTGGTGGTAATACACATCCCAATGCTTTGACTCACCGCGTATCCGACTTTAACACAAGCGTAGGTCAACAAAATATGCCTCAGGTCATCTGGAGAAGTTTCTTAAGTCAGTCACTTCTCGTCACAAGTATACATTTGTCTCTGGGTTCCGATAGACTTACGTGGTCCGATATATCCCACAGGTTGAACGAATCGCGTGTTTCCAGCCTGCTCTTGGAGCCACCAAGCAGTCTTGTCGACAGCTTTGGTAAACTCGCGAGCAGAGACATGTCTGAGCCCAAGCGAGTTTCCCGAGATAGTTGCCAACGAGAAAACAACGCGCTCGGGATCGCTGGCCGCAAGACTATCCATGATCTGAGGAATGAGTCTCTTGCCATATGGTTCTGGAGTTGGCATCTTCTTCACATACGAGGGGCTGTTGATATCACCCTCGATGACGATTTCCGGATTGTTCAAGGTGAGGAGGGGAGGCTCTGGCGTGGTGGCTCTGGAGCTCCCACCACCTAAGGCAGCCAAAGAGCGAGCAAGCAGACCAGGAGATGGCGGGGCAGGCGAGACTCCTCTTGACGCGCCAGATGAGTTCCGCGAAGGTGAACCCGCCCTCGACGCTGATCTCGACCTTGTACCTGGAGTCGATGCTCCGCTGATGTATCCACTGGCGCTGATTGGTCTGGCCACTTGAAGGTACGAAGCAGTAGACTCAGCAATCCCAAGACCGTCCTGCGGCTTTTCCTTGAAGTAGCTGGGCTTCCCATCCTCATAGACAACTTCTAACCTGTTATCTCGGCTGAACTCTCCCATTGGAGCGCTGATCCATTCCCCGTTGGCTAGCTGCGCAACGCTGCAGTGCCAAGGAGTTGTGAAACCGGTCCTAGTGTTGAGAAGACATACTGACACCTTGTTCAGGCCTATCGATTCGTGGATGGAAAGACGTAAGTGGTTGGGGTAAGCGTCCTTGACGGCGCCAGCAAAGGCCTAGGGAGAGAAACAGTGTTAGCGGCCATGACAAAACGGGGTAAGTTGTGTACACTCACATAACCTCGGATTATCATCTGCTTGGCAAGATACTTGCAGTCCCTCCGATAGCCATTGGCGGTGCGTTCGGCGCCTCGAGGGAAGATGTATTTCAAGTCAGACTCTAAGAATCTCTTGTATCCCAAGTATGTCAACTTCGTATCGGTATTGTTGGCAATTTCGTCGTCGATATCGAGGTCGGTTCTGCCGTACTTGTTGATGAGTAATCGGCGGAAGGTTGTGCAGTTAGCAACGTAGGTAATCTCGCGCAGCTTCTCTGGTAGATCAATGTCGATTAAGTCTCTCATGTGAGAGAATTTGATAGAGTGGAACTTCTTCTTGATGGCCATCTTCTGCAGGGCATCACCGTATTGCCAAGTCTCTTGATCGGATATGGATAACAGATCTAAAGATTGTCACGAAAGACAGATGTCAGTTGTGGTTTCAATTAATTCAAGTTTTGGGGTGCAAATCAAAGGTTAGAAACGAACCATTGTATGTGATGCCATCGGAGACGATCGTGACTTGACATCCAGGTGGGTAAACAGCTTGGATACGGGTACACATGGAGTTCAGGCGTTCAAGAGCCAGCTCCTCGGCCTTGTCCGGCATGGTGCCCAGCACTTTGTGCACCTTGTTTGCCGACTTGAAAGGGAATGCAGGAAGACATGCCTCTATCTGCTTGTCCTCTGCAACGTATTGAGAAATTACCGATATAAAGAGATCCGCGCCGCATTCCAAACGATCCTTAGAGTCGTCGAACTTGTTGAGGGCATATTCAAATACGATATCAAGGATAAGACGAGACATCTCCTTGATATCATTGTCGTCGGGGGTAAGGCTACCCGACAGGTTTGTGTTTGACTGTTCGGAGGCCATGATAGCTGAAGGAAAGGAAACAAAACGCTCAAATCAAAGATAGTATGTAACACAATAATAAGGCAAACGTTGAGGCAGGTGGTAAAGGTGAGTGCAGGTAAGGAGACTATAAGGGAAAATAGTAAGAAAGATGACTTTGAAGATGGACTGATAAAAGTTTCGTTACCACACCAGAGGATAGAATTATATAGGAGTCGAAACACGAAACGATGATTGATACCAATGCCTAGGAGCCTAGAAAGAATTGGCTCAAAACCGTTATGGAAAGCATCATGGGGCACAGCCGCATAGAACCTCACCTCAGCACAATGGCCAACCCGTCATTGGTTGTTTGCAAAGTTTAGCTATAATTGTAATCAATCCATGATGTTTGCGAGCCTGTAAAACGACAACGGGGGCCTCGGAAAAGGATGCCAAGCACCAGTAGGCGGCAACACCAAAGTTCTCACTCACTCCCCACTCGTTAATCTGTGTGGGGATGTAAGATCCGAGCCCGGCGAAATGGGTCAGGGGAGGGGTGTGTGAATAATAGCAGGAACCCGAGAAGTACATCTGAGGCTATGGGGATGGGTTTAACAGGGGTTACGCCAATAATGTAGATTGGCTCGGATCTGAGTTAGCAAACACATATGAATTGATTAATAATGTACTCGAGATTTCATCTTCTCCCGCATAAAGAAAAAAATATGCGGCACATGCCTAACTAGTAGCAAGCAAGCTAAAACCTTGACCTGTACTCTCATTCCAATAGCAGTATTTTACCAAAAAAACATCCCACGAATATATGAGTTAGATTGTTAACTTCAATTATCAGATATCGGAAGGCTGAGTTCTGTATACTTGAGAGCAAGGAGCTCTCATTTTACCAACGTTTCATTAGTAAAGATACTTGGAAGATACGTCCGAAAGAAGTGCAAAATGGTTGATCATAATGTCTGGGTTTTATTACGCTAAAGCGACAGCTTGCGCCTCAGAGCTCAGCTCGCATGTATGTCAGACTGTTTTCAAATTAGCTCACCGTTCGAAAAATGCGGTCAAGTCTGCTGAAATCTCAATATTGACTAAAATTAACGCTTTCCGAGTTCCTACTGTCACGAGTCCGAAGGTAGGTCTTCATTGACCCTGGCGGAGAATGTTCCCAATTTTAGCATTGGCCTGTTTAGGCGAATGTGCGCCTCACTGCCATAATTTTCATTAATATCTGCCTAGAATGCTCTGGATTGGTTAAGTTTCATCACAAAACTAAAACGTGTCAGGTTACCAAAGACATGGCAGGCATCCAGCAGTTTGAAAAGTTGCGCCCTCTCGGTATTACTGCCCCCAACAAAGCACTCTCTGGTTCACTCTTGATCTAACACGATACCACAGGCAAGCTTGAGCAGGTTTCTGCAGCCTGTCACCATCTTGGCTTCTTCAACAACGTCGGCCTCTCAGCTCACTACAAGCTATCATCGTCCTCCGATGTGGCTGATTTGCGCCAGCTCGTCTTCGCGTCAGCCGGGGAGGTGATTCGCAAACATCCCATTCTCTCAGCAATTCCCGTGAATGAAGACGCTTCAGATGCATATTTCTCTCCCCTCTCTGCTATTGATCTTAATCAGGCCGTGAGCTTCCTCGAGAGGTCTCAGCCCATAGGTGATGCTGAGGGCGAGGACAGAGAACTTGATTCAATTCTCGAGGTGCAGCACAACACCAGCTTCAAAGCTGAGAATGGAAATCTCCCCTTCTGGCGTTTAATTATCCTCGAAGACCCCAAAGTCAAGAGTGAATTCACAGCCTGCTTCATTTATCATCATGCAATTGGTGATGGGGTTTCTGGCTTTGTGTTCCACAACGCATTCCATGCTGCGCTAGAGGCTGCATCTTTGGCATCGCCCAATCTCAAGGCCGAAGAAATCATATTACTGGACAAAAATATCACTCTTCTCCCACCTCTTGAAGAATTACACCCTCTACCAAGTAACCCAACTCCCCCAGCTCCTCCTGGGGCCATTCTCAAGGAATGGACAGGGAAGCCAGTTCAAGTCCCTTGCCAGTCTCGCTGGGCATCGCTCTCTATTACACCAAAGGCTTCTACAGCTTTTTTTCAAGAATGCAAAGATAAAAGCGTTTCTGTGACTTCTTCTATACCCTCTATCATCGCTGAAGCCTTGTTCAAGGCCCTCCCATCATCTGAGGAGGCTTTCACATGCATTATTCCGGTCAGCTTGCGGCCATGGTTGAACATGCCAAGCGATACTTCTATTGCTGCAATTGGTACTTACTTCGACGCCATGAAAGTGCAGTTCACACGAGCGGATCCGCCGCCCCAAAGCCATAGCACGTGGGTACGGGCTGGAAAGGTCTCTAAAGCTATCAACGAGTATCTCGCCAATGTTTCTCCCTCCGGCGAACCTTATACAGCTGTTTCCGTCTTTAAGAACCTCCCTGAACTCTGCCCTATTTTCACTTCCATGATTGGGAATCCTCGTGACGCAGCGTTCGAGGTAACCAATATTGGGCGATTCACACCTGGTGTTGGTACCGACACCGAGCGCAATGCGCAATGGGAGGTAGGAAAGATGATGCTCAGTCGCGGTGCAGTTGTCTCTGGGGCTGCAGTCACAGTCAGTGTGGCTACGGGCGGGAACGGGTCGATGTGTATTGGTTTCAGCTGGCAAAACGACGTCGTTGAAGATGGACTCATCCACAATCTTGTTCAAGAGGTGAAGAGCCAGTTTGAGAAGTACCAGTAAGAGGTATCTGAGGATATTAGATCAAGTAGGGATTCAGATAGAGGAGAGCAAATATCATTGTTTCAGTAAAACCTAGTCCATTCGATCAAGGATTCTTTGCCCACTTGTACAGGATAACTTTCGTCTTGCTTGTAGTTCCGATGTGTAATCTTAGGAGTTTATGTTTCCAATTTTGGTGCAAAAAAGCGGAACCAGAAAACAGGATGGTAGGTTACTTATGAAATCGGAGCTTTGCAAGTCTCAAACTGCGACAGCAGTATTATTGAGGATGTTTTAGCCTGTGACGTAACATACCTAAGGATCATTCGATGCTTACCAGGCAAGATTTGGCTCTATAAACCTCTATGAAGACTTTGATACGGACCTTCTTCTGAATCTTCTTATATTCAGCTAAACAAACGGTTCAGATGCTTGGTTGATTTAATGCTACAGGGTAGGGTCTCCATGAATGTAGGATTGAGCACAATTACTGAGTAACAACTCCAAAACAAAGAGCTAGTTCCCTGTGTGTCCGTCATTATCGATATCCATCGTCCTTCCCGCCCCTTTTCCCTCTCAAGCCGTCCTACCCCAACAAGTTCCCATAATTGTTTAAGCGTACATGCTGGTCTTTGCGAGGGAAGTGTTTATCGCCTCGGGAGAATTTCCAGATATGGTCATATGATAGGTAAGTCCGAGCCTCAAGTCTGTTTCCGAGCTTGCTGACCACAGTATTATTAATGTGTTACAGACCGGGATACGCCGATACGCGAGTAGTGGGGAGCCGTGCATCACCATCCATTGATGTCAATCTCGGTACACCGAGTTTGGTTGACACCCCCAACTCCCTTCCCCGCCTGTAAGCAATGGTTGCAGCCACTCAGCAAGCCAACCACTTGCCAAGTCACTAGAGCAATAACTAGTTAATGCTTCGCGAGCACCCGTTAAGATAAATGCTATAGTTATTAATATCATGCATAATTGCTTCGCCGCCAAAGCTATACGCGCAGTCTCAGCAAAGCTAGTTCCAATCATTCTTGCGAGCACAACCTTCGGATCCATAGTGTCATCAAGTAAGCAGAATGCGTTCAGTAGATGAGAATTCATTGGCAAGGACATGTCTAGGATTAGCAAGTGGCCATCTCAGCTGAAGCCAAGGTTGCCCACTTAATGCATTGATCCTGCTTCTCTAATGTGGCAACTACCGTAACTGCGCTTAGAAGATCAATATCGGTTTTTTTAACCCTGGAGTTGGTGGCTGGGTGCCGTGTAATTCCTCTGAGTGGCTCAGGAGCGCCGGTAAACGGAACGAACCTGGGAATGGAATTTATGTGTTGCCCATTTAGGCTGATAGAGTGCCCCATATTCTACCAGAAGCAAGGTTTTATGGGGCTGATCGTTGAGCAAGTTTGCGAGGTTAAACAGAGATGGTGGTTCGATCGCCAAAGGTGGTTCGATAGCAAAATCTCAAACAAAAACTCACGGTTAGCCTTCAACCATAACACCACACTAGCCCCCGCATCTATAGTATTTGTTTCTTCTCTATCGAAACGCGTTCACCACTGTTTCATTTACTTCATTTAAAATTCATTGAGATCCATCATCGAATTCCCATCGAAGTGTTTTCATCAGCAACCATGGCGGACAACGTGGAAAAGACCCTCCCCACCTCCAACGAAAATAGCGAGATATCTTCTCGGATCCTAGAGATCATCTTCGAATTCGCGCTCAACAAGGTCGATGACAGCGTAGAGCGACTCACTGCCGGGACGTCTAAGTTCCTCCCCACCATCGATCGCTTTGTCAACGAAGGCAAAAGAGTTGAACTGTGCCTTCCGGCCTTCCCATTCAAATCAGCGAACAAAGTGTATAAAGTTTTTGGCGTCCTACCAGATAAGGGCGAGGAGCTGGCCCTAGAGCGTCTCAACAGAATGTGTGAGCGCATACGAGGAGTGTATAAGCCAGGTGCAAAGCTCACCATTCTCTCCGATGGTGTTGTTTATAATGGTATGTTGTCACACTTTTGCTTGGGCACTTCTCCTTTGGCGAGACTAATATATCGCTGTAGATCTATTAAGCGTACCTGATCGTCATGTCTGGCAGTTCGGGGAGGCTCTGCGTGCCATGGCTACGAAGAAGAAATTCAAGCACCTTGGGTTCGTTCGAATCAAGGACGTGGTCAAAATCAACGGTCTCCCGGAGCCGCTCAAAGAAATCAGCTACGTTGCCAATGCGACAAACTTCCGCTGCGCCCTCCTCAACGAATATGGCAAGGAAGGCATCGACATTGACGAGGAGATTGCTAACAACCCCGACACACGTTTGACTTTCCAAGGATACCAAAAGTTCCTCGAATCCGACTTGGAGCACATCTACCCGACTGGAGAGGATCGGTCCAGCGAGCAGTACAAGGAAGATGTTAGTTTTCTCGCTAAGCAGATGCTAACTCGAGGATATGTAAGTTTTCCAGTCTCATATACTCCTAATATGATTAAATGGCTCGACTTTGGCATTGACTGATCTCTGTCTTTCTAAAATAGGCATTTGCCCGGGCGATTGAAGCTGGTTTCCCGAATCATCTCAGACTCTCCATTCATAAGTCCACGGGCGAGCAAAAGATCACCATGTCTTTGTTGGATACAAAGACTGGATATACAACTCCTTGGCACTGCAGCGTTGCTCTGATGGCAGACGGGCAGTGGTTGAGCGCGCCCATGGGAGAATTCAAGAAAAACCCCAACATGGAAATAGTCAAAGAGGAGGGCCGCCCCATGTATTTCAAAGAGAAAAAAGTGTAAACATGCCTCCACGTAGATACCATGTATTCACAGGTCAAGGACTTCTATGTATTAAATCATTTCATAAGGATAGTTCACAATCCTTTACTTTGATCATGATGTATATGAACAATTCAGCTAAACCGGATTTCATTTGTGTCCATAAATCAACATGATTCATAACCTGACTATTTTCATCTAGAGCAAAGTAGAAGAATACAAGAGGGCCCTAGTATACGAAAGCGCCATTGCGGACATGCTACGCTGGTTCAAGAGATATGAAATTCGAAAAGGGGCTTCTTCACACCCCAAAAAAGGAAAGGGGACGAGGAATCAGCCTGGCCAACGTGGCTCGGCTCAGTTCCTGGTGACAAGACCATAAAGTCTGAGCAGGGACTAGGGCAGATGACTTCGCCGATCATTTTCGCGAATCGGACATGTCAATGGCCAAGAAATCCTCCCCAGGCATACGCCAGTTCGGGTGTTACCATCCATGGATCAGTTACGATGCTTACTTTTGACAGGGCAGCACTAGCCGTTCTTAGCAACTCGTAACCGCCGATAATATTATAATCTTAAACGTGGCTTTAGATGCAGGTGGTTCTGTTAACTCACAGTGAAGGAAGGGCCTTGCCCAGCTCGCAAACAGGGAACCAATAACATGGCTGATGGATGGTGGGTTCGGGAGCTTTATTGCCTCCAGAGTGGGTATGTATAATTCAATACTATCCAGACGTTCCGAGATGTCAGATATATGCAATTGCATGTGAGAGGAGGGGGAAAGACCGATGGGGTGTAAGAATAAAGGGCGTGCAAGACGTGTTATTAAGCGGGGAGCAAGGGTTCAGGAGTACTTGAGAGGTACTTCGTGTGTTTTTTTTGGGCACACACCCTGGGAAACATCTCGAGTGCAGCTCAGTGCTTATGGGGGCTATGAGATTTCTCATTGTGCCCGAAATAACTTGGAAATCTGCCTGTAAATCCACTGCTTGACCTATTTGCCTTGACTAGCACAGCCTTTACCGTGGCAAATGCGAATGCACCTTTAAGGTCTTGTCTCGTTTGCCTTCACACATGTTTGTCAAGACAAAATCGCAACCAAGAATTCCAGCATAGAATAAACCCTCTTCTTTTAATCACAAGATCATTAGCTCACCACCACCAATCGAGCTAATTGACACACTCCCCTCTTCTATCCCCCTTGTCCCGGCGAGGACAGCCTCAGGGCATCTCGACAAGCACGATATCCTATTTTAGCACAGCATTCTTAACAAAATAATGGCATTTTCGCGTGGGCAGTACGTTCGTATAGAAGACCCTCCTACTCATTCCCGATACTACCAGGAGGATTCGGCGGAGTTCGCGGCTACTCTCCAAGCCGGTAATGATGAGTTCTCCCACACATCAGCCAGTTTGAGGAATGACATTAGATTGGACACATTTTCAAAGGAATCGAATAACTCGTACCTCAAAGATGGAGTACATGCTGACTTGGAGCAACGCACTTCCGCCGTGAAGGAACTTGCAAGGTCGTACTCAAGGAGATCTCACAAAGCAGCTGGGGGGAGCCCTTACGCATCCCCTTTCATGATAGAGGCAGACCCAGCTCTGAATCCTAGCGCGCCTAATTTTAACGCTACTAAATGGGCAAAGTCCATTGTGGAATTGACATCGAGAGATCGGATGCTTCGTTCCGCCGGCGTTTGTTTCCAGAATCTCAACGTTCATGGATTCCACGCCGCCACTGATTTTCAGAAGACTGTGGGCAACGTCTGGCTCTCCCTCGCCAGCACTGTCAGAGAGCACTTCTCACCCAATCGTCAAGAAGTGGATATTTTGCGCCAATGCGATGGCTTGGTACGCAAAGGCGAAATGCTGGTTGTTTTGGGGCCGCCTGGTTCAGGTTGTTCCACGTTTCTAAAGACAATTGCCGGCGATACGAATGGTCTTCATGTTGACTACGACTCATATTTCAATTACCAAGGTAAGATTGGAATGGTTTTTTCAAAAGCCAGCGACGAGGCTATCCCACACTCGTACTGATAATGGCTATTAGCTAACCATCACTACCAGGCTTGAGAGCAAAAGAGTTACACACCCACCATCGCGGCGAGGCTATTTACACCGCTGAAGTTGATGTGCACTTCCCGATGATGACAGTTGGTGACACCCTCACTTTTGCATCTCGCGCCCGCAAGCCGCGCCAACTCCCGTTGGGATTTTCTGGTAACGAGTACTCTGACCACCTCCGGGATGTCATAATGGCAATGTTCGGCATCTCTCACACCTTCAATACCCCAGTAGGGGACGATACTGTGCGGGGCGTCTCAGGTGGAGAGAGAAAGCGCGTTACGATCGCTGAGGCTGCACTTTCTGGCGCCCCGTTGCAATGTTGGGACAATTCAACAAGAGGTCTTGACTCTGCCAATGCCATTGAATTTTGCAAAACTCTCAGGCTCCAGGCTGATGTATTTGATATCACCTCGTGTGTATCAATCTATCAGGCACCACAGAGTGCTTATGATCTTTTTGACAAGGCTATGGTTCTCTACGAAGGGCGCCAAATATTCTTTGGTCGGGCTGACGAAGCCAAGCAGTATTTTATTGACCTTGGTTTTGAATGCCCTCCTCGTCAGACTACTCCAGACTTTCTCACTTCAATGACCTCTCCTCTCGAGCGCATTGTTCGTCCCGGCTTTGAAGGAAGGGTTCCTAATACGCCTGATGACTTTGCCGCTGCATGGAAGAAAAGTGCTCGATATAACGTCCTGGAGGCGGAAATTGAGCAATACAAAATTGATCACCCTCTTGACGGCGTTGACGCCCTTGTCTTCCGGGCATCTAAGGAGGCCCAACAGGCTAGAGGCCAGCGCCGGAAATCACCATATATTCTCTCATACCCTCAGCAGATTCGATTGTGCCTCTGGCGCGGCTTGATGCGACTCAAGGGCGATCCAAGCTTGACGATTGGTGCCCTTGTAGGGAATCTCATCTTGTCCCTTGTTGTGGGTAGTGTATTTTTCAACCTGAACGAAACCACATCAAGCTTTGTCCCACGTGGAACGTTGATTTTCTTCTCCTGTTTGCTAAATGGACTCTCTAGTCTCCTTGAGGTTTGTACACTCATTCAGTCCCATCATCACCAGCTTCAGAACTAACATTGTCCAGATCTTGACCCTGTTTGCGCAACGGCCAATCGTCGAGAAACATGTTCGCTATGCTTTGTACCACCCTTCAGCAGAAGCAGTTTCGTCCTTCTTTTGCGATTTGCCAAACAAAATAATCGCTTCGCTCGTTTTCAACCTTACGCTTTACTTCATGACCAACTTAAGAAGAGAACCAGGCCCTTTCTTCTTCTTCCTACTCATCTCTTTCTCCACAGTCTTGGTCATGTCTATGATATTTCGAACAATTGCTTCACTGGCTCGCTCACTCTTCCAAGCTCTCGTCCCCGCCGGAATCCTGATGCTCAATCTCATCATCTTCACTGGTTTTGTCATCCCAACAAACTATATGCTGGGCTGGTGCCGGTGGATAAACTACATCGATCCACTGGCCTACGCATTTGAGTCTCTAGTCGTCAATGAGTTCCATAACCGGGAGTTTAAATGCAACAGCTTTGTTCCCAGTCGCAGTTTCCCCGAGTACGCCAATGTGGAAAACGACAGCCAGGTGTGCAACTCAGTCGGCGCACGGCCTGGTAAGGACTTTGTTCTAGGAGACGACTACGCCAGCGCTACATTCGGCTACGAATGGGGCAACCGATGGCGAAATTTTGGGATCATGATCGTTTTTACTGTCTTGCTCTTTGGCTGTTATCTTGTCGCAGCCGAGTTGATCTCTGAGAAAAAGTCAAAGGGAGAAGTACTCGTTTATCCACGCAGCCAAAAGCCTGTGTCGGCAAGAAATCCGTGGAGAGATTATGGCTATGCAGATCTTGAAGCTTCTGGGCCGGATAGAGGGCCTGTCACTTCCGGCAAGAGAGGCCGAAATAATTTTTCTCAGGGAAAGGGGCTTCAACAACAGAAGTCCATCTTTCAATGGCACAACGTCTGCTACGATATCAAGATCAAGAAAGACACTCGCCGTATTCTTGATCACGTCGATGGTTGGGTTAAGCCCGGTACTTTGACTGCGTTGATGGGCGTATCCGGCGCCGGCAAGACCAGTCTATTGGATTGCTTAGCTGACCGAATCTCGGTCGGCGTAATCACTGGCGAGATGCTTGTTGATGGTCGACCTCGAGACATGTCCTTTCAACGGAAAACAGGATATGTGCAACAGCAAGACCTCCATCTACAGACCTCAACTGTACGAGAGGCATTAAACTTCAGTGCTGTTCTTCGCCAACCTTCCCATATCCCTCGCGAGGAAAAGCTGGCATATGTGGAGGAGATTATAGATATGCTCGATATGAGTGAATATGCCAACGCTATTATCGGTCTACCTGGCGAGGGTCTCAACATCGAGCAAAGGAAGCGTCTTACGATTGCCATTGAGCTTGTAGCTAAGCCGCCGTTGTTGCTTTTTGTTGACGAGCCAACTTCTGGTCTTGATTCTCAAACTTCTTGGGCTATCTTGGACCTGCTGCAGAAGCTGACCAAAGTAGGTCAAGCCGTTCTCTGCACCATCCATCAACCATCGTCGATGCTTTTCCAGCAATTCGACCGTCTGCTTTTACTTTCACCCGGAGGGAAGACTGTCTACTTCGGTGATATTGGACAGAAAGCAGAGACCTTGACCAAATACTTCGAGAGTAACGGTGCACATCCCTGTCCGCCCGACGCCAATCCCGCGGAATGGATGCTCGAAGTAATCGGCGACGCCCCGGGCGCAACGACCGAGATCGATTGGTTCAAAGTATGGAGGAAAAGCCCCCAGTACAATATGGTTCAAGCTGAACTCGAGAAAATTAAAATGGAGAGTTTGGCGTACTCTTCAGGGGGGCCCAAGGAGGACCCGGGCCGTTTCCAGGAATTTGCAGCCCCTTTCACGACTCAACTTCAGGAGAATCTCAGACGTGTATTTCAACAGTACTGGCGCACGCCGACATACATCTACTCCAAAATGGCTCTCTGCACAATCATTTCCCTTTTCATCGGCTTCATCTTCTTCCAGGCTCCGACCAGCATCCAGGGTCTTCAAAGTCAGATGTTTTCCATCTTCTGTTTAATGACTATCTTTGGGCAAGTTGTGCAACAATCTATTCCACAATTCGTCATCCAAAGGGGTCTGTATGAAGCTCGCGAAAGGCCATCCAAGGTCTACTCGTGGAAAGTCTTCATGCTCTCCCAGATTATCGTTGAGATTCCCTGGAATAGCTTGATGGCCATACTGATGTTCTTTTGTTGGTATTACCCAGTTGGCCTCTATCGGAATGCTGAAGAAGCCGGGCAGGTTACTGAGCGCGGAGCACTGGTATTCCTGTTTCTTTGGATGTTTATGGTGTTCGCTGGCACCTACTCTATCCTTGTTGTGTGCGGCTTCGATTCTGCCGCAGCCGGCGCAAACCTCGGAGACTTGATGTTCACGCTTTCCTTGATCTTTTGCGGTGTCCTGGCAACACCTGAAGCTCTCCCGGGTTTCTGGATTTTCATGTACAGGGTTTCGCCTCTGACATACCTCGTCAGCGGTTTATTGTCTTCAGGTGTAGCAAACACCAGGGTCATATGTGCCGACAATGAATTCCTCACTTTCAAACCCATGTTCAACTCAACTTGTTTCGAGTACATGAAATCTCATATTGAAATTGCGGGTGGTTACCTGGTGTCCAATGACGCAACGTCAGATTGCCAGTTCTGTCCGATTTCGGAAAGTAACAAATACCTTGAGACTGTGAGCACATACTATAAAGATCGGTGGAGGAACTTTGGCATCCTCTGGGTTTATTTGCTTTTTAACATCGGGGCCTCTCTCTTAATTTACTGGCTGGCCCGTGTGCCCAAAAGAAGTTCAGGAAAGCAAAAAAAAGCCTGATTCTACAGCTAGAGCTCGTTAGGTAATTATAGAATTGTATAGCTACATACTAATGCTATATGAAATCTACTATCTGTTAAGACCGTTAAACATGGCCCGACGACTCAACTCAATGAATACGAAAGCCTAAAAGCCCTGAGCTATAAAGCACCTTGGAAAGCCGGTATACAGTTAGCTAAAGATCAAGTTAGTTGCTTTCAAATAACATTATGAACTTACCGACGGCCTCGACCCAATAGTTCGTAAGACAGGGCTGGATTACTATTTACTACACACTGTTGGATTTCGATTTTTGGACACCGCATTTTGACAACAAAGTCAGATATAAAGACATCAATAAGCCCAGAAATCGCTTGGTCAATCCAAAATGCGTATTCAGGCTACGAAAGTGGCCTGCTGTCTACTCTTATAGGGTCTAACATTGAGATAGCTACACTATGCCTCGTAGGCTTTGTGTTACTGAATCGACTTCGTCTACATCTTCCTGGCTTCGAAGCTGTCTAATACCCTTATAACGCCAATCCGACACGTAAGTCTCAAACGCCCGCTCCCCATGTTTACCGTTTGACGTTGCATATACTCCGACCACCGCACCTAATACGAGTCACGATTCATTATCAGTAGATGAAAGACAATCTTGTTGGCGGGAGGAGAAGCACCAATAAGTGTTGGGTAGATACTTACCAGAATAATATGGCACCAAGTCACGACCTTGGCAGTAGCCCAGAACTCGCAGCTCAGCCTCCCCTCCCTTGGCGCCATCTCCAGGCCCTGCGGAAAAGGCGAAATGCGTACTATTGACAGCCTCTACCTGTAGGGTCAGCTTCGGACCAGCCCACTCTTGCGGCACCTCAATGACTTCAGTGCGAATATCAGATCGCCCGCGATACATGGTCTCTGAATGTCCGCGGAATCGAATGTGGGGTACCAGGTGCCCAGTACTGTTGGTGTAGCTATTTGCGTTGTTGCTGCCCGAGTATGAGTTATTCCCCCATCCGTGACTGTCTCTGTCGAGCATCACCACACCGATATCGCAATGTTGCGCCTGATCTTGAATGACCGATACGCCCACTTCCATTTCCTCCTTGTTGAATGATTTGTCGAATTCGATGTTCACCCGGAACTTGAACAACGAGTGTGCCATCCGCCTCCCCACAAACGTCTGACTTCGTCCCAGTGCATAATCACCGTCAAAGCCGGTAAGATTAAGGACCGAAGACTTTAAGGCGAGGGTGTTTGGTCGCCCAGGTGGAGACACGATGTAATTTTGCTTTTTGGGCAACCTCCAATGAACAAAGTGGATGGGGAGGCTGCTACCGTGAGGAAATGTGACATGGTCATCCGCATCGCTGAGCTGGCCCTCACCTTGCTCAGGCACAGACGCAGGCGGCAGTGGCCATCCAGTCATATTACCCTTTATTGGGTCAAAGACTGGAAACTCGCCTTCATTCCATGTCACGGGTGTCAACACCGTCTCCCTGCCCATTGGTAGGTTACCAAAATAAGGGCCAGGAGCTTCGCCATACGAACCACCCGCTCGAACAGCCAACGCAGACGCCCACCAATTTCCGTTAGGATCTTGGAAGAGGTCTGCGTGTCCTACGGCCTGGAAGTAAGATGAAGTATCGTTGGCAGCGGTAAGCAGGGGGTTGCCGGGTGCTGGCTCCCAAGGCCCCTGAAGCGTCTTTGCGCGTGCCATTGTCACCATGTGCTTTTCTCTAGTCCCACCCTCGGCGATTAGCTGGTAGTACCAACCATCATCTCGCTTCCAGATATGAGGACCTTCGGGGGATGCTCCGCCAGTTCCATTCCAAGGCATTATAATGTCCCCGATCTCGCCTGTTTCGAAATTCAGCGGTGCATGCATGACGCCGGGATAGTAGGCAGCAGTATGTGCGCCAGATACCCAAGTGTTTCCATCCACATCCCAAAATGGTGATGGATCAAATCCGGGGAAGCTGAAATGCACAGGGTCTGACCAAGCGTCTGAATTGTAGGGATCATTTGTTGTGATCAGGAAATTATCCCAGCGGGAGTCATTAGTCCGTGGTGCTTGCTGGTTCACCAATGTCGACATGAGATAGAAAGTCCCCTCATGATAACGCAGAGTGGGAGCATAGATTCCACTGGTGGCTTTGGGAAGGAAAGCCAATCCAGGGAGCTGATCAGCTCGGGAAACCCCATTGGAAACATGTTTCCAATGCACAAGATCCTGCGAAGCATGGATGGGAAGGCCAGGGAAGACCAAGAAGCTTGAGGCGACGCAGAAGAACGTGTTATTGAATTCTGGGACAAAGATACAACTGGGGTCAGGGTGGAAACCACTGATGATCGGGTTTTGATAGGTAGAATTTGATGATTGCGCGATGCAAGTAGCTACAGCTCCCAGCAGCACGCTCATATGCAGTTGAGGCCTCATTTTTTTTCCCCGTTTGACTCTTTTCGGAGTCTCTCTAGAGAATATTTTAGAGGAATCAGCATTATTCGGCTCCGCAGGTCTCCTTGGCCTCGTCAAGAAAACGCTCTCTGTTTATACTTGGTTGGCATGGCCATCTTTCCCCACACTCCCCGCAAAGCACTTTAACCAAACCAATGTCGTCAACTCAACTCTCATCCCTGTAAACCCAAGCCAAGGGTTTTAATACCCCGACTGTTACCAGATGCAGAAGTTATGCTCTTTTCCGTGCCGATCCAGTCTTTGGCAATGGAGTCAAGATGATTTTCCGATTTAGCCTGAATGATAGCCGAATAAGCAACGGATATCACTTGCAACATCCATCTCCGCATCAGCGGATGGAGAAAAGCTATACTCTACCTTCTTAAACTCTGAAAGATCAAAATGTAGGCGAAGTTACGATACCTCGATACTAAATCCAGCTCCCCGCATCATTTGCAAATTCCTCTCCTATCGCTCTCAAGCTTCGGGGCTGTTCGCAAATGGCTCTGATTACCGACATACGGACAATGTAGGATCAAGGTGCGCAGGATTTGGAAAAAAAATACAACCAACGCGCTCAGCGACAAATAACCATCATCCTGTTTGTAATCTTGCCGTCTCATGCACTATTTTTTGTTGAGGTCTGCCTAGAGGCCAAACACTACACACAGAGCATCACCAGGATTACTATTTGCTTTGAAATACCTACGCGTGGTGAGATAGGTAGTCTACAGGAGGTGTGGAAAGTAGCTAACTGACAGCCAATTTCCTCACATGAAAAACAACGCGACATCCTGATCGCCCCACGAAATTCATCAAGAGCGAGCGTGGCAGTGTGTATCTTCTTCACTCGGACGGCAAGCCGTCTGAAGCAATGAAAATGAGCTCGGGTTCGCGTCGCCTGGAGGCAGTGTAATACCAGGGACACTGTGGGCGAGATCGTGTGCAAGCACAGAGGAAATCGCCCTAAGACCAAAAATAGGAATAATCACGATTGGTCTCCTTAGAGACCTTTCAGAGATTAAACTGAAAAGAACAGATACTACACTTGATCTAAGCCAAAAGGCAAAGAGAGCTAAGGAGAAAGGGAAAAGAGAGAAAAAGACTGGGAGGGCCGACAGATATTTATACTTTCCAAGAAGGCGGTGAGCCGGAGTGATTGGCAGAAAGTAATTAGGCAGCGACCAAAGTGGAATGAACCAATCACAGGCCATTTCTGGTGGATGTCGGCAAATCAAAAATTCGCTCCAGTGGACAGGCTCTGATTGGTCCTTTTTAAGGGCGCCAGAAAATAAATTCCTCTAGTCCAAACTCACTACCCTAGAGGCAAAGTATTCCTCTCTTCAATGATATGTAGCCACGAAACTGCTTGACAAGTGCGCAGGTGGGCGTAGGAGTAATTTTCCCACTTACTAGGCTATCAAGAATTATTTGTTTCTATTTTGCGATCAGATTAATCAGGGTATAGGCCTTCATTGTAAGAATTTGACGCCAAGTGATAAAGGTACTGCCAACATAAGGTATCTACGTCTCAGTCGGTAGATAAAGTTTTCATTGACATATGATCTTCTTTATTTCGATGCGAAATTTAGGAGTCGACCATTGAAAATCCACCGTCAGTATCAGAGATTAGTTGATCATCCATTGGCACGAAGATAACAGAGCGCGTAGGATGAAGGATACAAGTCTAGGCACAAGCACGATCTAACGCGATAGCACTTGGTAGTAGTTCATCATTTTAGTTTGATTTTTGGACTATCTCTCAGGCCTTGGAATTTGTTATTTTGCCCTTTGAACATATTTCTTCACGCAAATAGAATCACCTTGGGTTGAACTTGAGCGAGCGGATTCCCGGTGTCAGAGAGCGCATCTGCGAGTTGTGGAAGGTCAATGACTCAGTTCTGTTAGCAGCTCGGTGGAATTTAGTGGGGAATGTCTTGCTTCTCCCTTATCTCAAGTGGTGATGAGCATTCAAGGTCACCAATCCACAGCCCAGCCACCCCGTTCTGCCTCCAATCCAGCTTCATTGCTGGTCAAGACGTCTCTGACTCGGGGATTTGGTCTAAAGAATAGTTCAATCCATAGGAACGAAAAGAATAAAATCATATGAATACAAAGAGCTGGACCCAACTTGAGTGAAATACAGAGAGAGCCTCATTGTGGCTACGGGAACTAGCCATATTTGCTACAGTTTCCAAAAATTCTGCGTGTCATTATTTCGTCATTAAATGTTAAGACAGAAAGTTGAGACACTAATAATACGGCATGAAAAAATAGCATTTTTCTATGGAGCGCATCTCGGGAAAGCAACCCCAAGCTTCTATTCTTACTTCCTAAGCCGAGATGGACTCTTGTCAGCCAACTCCATCCTGACTTTGGCTGTCCCATCCCCTCATGGATACTTTAGTATTCCTTGAGGGACGAGTAGCTCCAGGTCTTAATGGCGGAGCTGCTCCACCCCCGCCGGGAGTCATCCCCAACTTCGAGAACCCTCCTGACGCTGGCCGCATTGCCACTATCGCTGTCTTCGCGGTGTGCTACCCCCTGTCGACGGCTCTGTTTGCCACACGCATCTACTCCAAGATTGTGATTATCCGACAGTTGGTCCTGGAGGATGGTAGGCATTGTCCCACTACTTTGTTTCTATCGTCAGCGTACGCCATGCTAATCTGTCGACCAGTAACTTGTTTTCTAGCATGGGTTAGCTGCGATTCAACCTTGCATTGCAAACGATATCTGACTGATTTAGGTGCTCATGACAGCTTTTACCGCAACATCTATCCAACGTACGTTGAGCAGATACCTCGTATTCTCTAACAACATCCTTACGCAAGATCCTAGTAATTCGCCATGGAATAGGCTACCATACGTGGGATGTGGCTCCGGATGAATATGCTGAGATGCTTAAGGTAGCATTTATGCTCCTTTTTCTTGCGGCATACTAGATACTAATCATATCATAGTGGGTATACATTACTTCGATACTATATGAACCCGCAGCCTATTTTACAAAGGTAACGCTCTTACTATTACTTGCCCGAGTGTTCGCTGTGAACACGAGGGTATCTAAAGGTATTCACTACTTCAACGTGGCCCTCTTGATTGCATATATTCCTCTCCTTGCTGTTAAGATTGCGCTTTGTCAGCCAATCCCGGGTTTTTGGAGGCAAGATGTCGAAGGAAAATGTCTCGACCTTCGTGAAATTCTCATTATTGATGTCGCATTTGCGATAGCGACAGACACACTGATATTCACCATCCCGATCCCACTCATATGGCAACTGCGAACACCATGGACTAAGAAGATAAAATTTGTCCTTCTTCTCGGGGCCGGAGGGGCCGCAACCGCCTTTACTGTTTACCGGCTGGTTCTTCTGAATAATGGCAGGGATGTAGCTGCGGATTTTGCTATGCTTGACCTCTTAACGTACGTTTCTCTCCTCATGTGAACCTGACAGCTCCTGAGTTAAAAGGATTTGATTACTTATATGATTTTGCTGTGTGATAGGATGCTTGAGCTTACAATTGGGCTTGTTTGCTCATGCCTCCCCGCTGTTAACATCTTGATTGATCGGATACGTAAGCCCCCCCGGCCCCGGCCTGCGAACAGGCCACGCACCGGCCGTTTCAACCGAGGAGAAAACGGTAAACGAATTCCATTTACTTGGAACTGGATTGAGGTGACTCTGCCAGACGAACAGTCACAGTCTGGGCGGAGTGAGAGGCAACTGAATTCCACAGAAGATAGAGGATTATCCATACGTAATGCCACGACAGTAGAATCACAAACAGAGAGGACTCCAACATACTCGAACGCTGAGGAGACTCAAGAGCGAGTTGAATTCAACGATTCCGAGAATATCTTGCATCAAGGAGGCGACGACAACATGCCATCGAATGGCGGTTGTTCTCCCTGTGGTGATAATTCCGCCTGTCACGGACACCGTGAAGGGTGGCTTTGTTCGTGCGCACACAGGGATCGGGATCGAGATCGGGAACGAGGTATATCAAACCAACAGGAGGAAACTCCAATATCGCTCGGCCGCAATAGCGAAGGCGAGAAATCGAGAGCCGTTTCTTCCAAACTTGCTGACATCAGTGGGCAGAGACAGTGGGATTATATTTTCGACGGCAGGAGCAACTCCCATCCTCCTATAAAGCGGACCTAGACCCTCGTCCTGATATGCGTCAAAGCCTAGGCTATGTTCTTGGCTACGTTAAATATCCGCTAGACAAACTAGCTTCTGTCTTTTGACTATACCACCCGACCTTGTGTTTAAGCTACAGAGTAGTAATAGAAGACCCCGCCAAGTACAAGGCGAATATAGATGGATGGGATGACGCCGGCCCTAGACACTAGCAAAGCACAATTCGTCCAAATTAGAGGCGCATGATGCTTTAATATGGGAATCTACCAGACACGAGTACCTATATTATTGTATGTACATATTGACATGTCTATTCAAATTGACATTGGCCGGCGGAGTAGTTATTGCATTGCGCTTTCTACATGGAGTAGTATGGGCTTCAGACGTATTCGAGGAGGATATTGTTGGTTATCGTCACAAGTAGACAGCACTCCTATATTCCCACGTCTTCATCCACAACACGTTGTTGCGTACCCTCGCTGGTCATCCACTCCCGGATCGTATCCACCGTGGCCATATACCCATGAGCTATTGCGATGTCCATGGCAGTTTCGTACTGATCCGAACCCACGCCACATTCCAACAAGAACTGCACCATATCCAGCCGACCTCTCTCTGCCGCCGCCTCCAGTGCCGTTCGCCCATTGTACTTGGCCCCCGGCGCATCAATATCAGCGCCCAGTGCAATTAATCTCCTGGAAAGACCTATCTGCCCGGTTGCGGCCGCGATCTGTAGTGTCGTGGCGCCTTTAAACTCTGCCGCTGGGGCATTTACGTCTGCGCCAGCATCAAGAAGCAGGTCTATCATTGGTAGATCCCGAAGTGCGACCGCGTGCTGTAACGCAGTGCGTGCGGGGATTGTCCTATCTTCCTCTTCGTAGCCGAAAGCTAGACTAGTTGTTATGGCATTGACATCGACGCCCAGATCAAGAAAGTGTTCAGCAACATCGCGGCGCCGTGACCTGATAGCTGCTTGGAGGGGTGTCTCCAACTTTCTGCGTGAACCTTCACTGATATCTAGTATGTGCATGTGAGAGGTGAGATGCTGAATTTCTGGCAAAGGGTGACTTCTGGTCGCTACAAGCAATGAGAGACGGTCTGGCCGGTAGCCTGCGTCCATTAACCGTCGGACAGACGGCCAATTGTTGGCCAAAATAAAAGGAAGAATGATAGAACACCGAATCGCATTCGGATCATTCCAATACTGTCTCCGTGTCTCGTAACTCCGCTTGAGCTGGTAGGGTCGCTCCATAAGAGTATAATAGCCAATATCTTCAACCAGGGGTAGGATGCACTCCCCGTCATGTCTGAACTTGAGAAGACGATCGGTGACCCAATGTTGGTCCCAGAAGGCTGCATATGCTAACGCTGATCCTTCGAGGATATTGCCGGTTCTGGTTTGGGGCCTTTTTCTTAGCAGCGAGGTAAGATGAATTTCGTTGCTTTGATCGGTGCCTATTCCTGAGGTCACGGCTACGCAAAGAGCGCGAGAGCTGTACGGAAGATCCTGCAGATTTATCAACCAAGACATGAGTTCCCAGTTCTTGCTTTTCGCCGCCGCGACTAGGAGAGATGCTTGATTTCCCGCACACTGGAGGGCTGCGCCGTGGTCGAGAAGAAGTTTCACGATTTGGCGATTCCCTCCTCTGCAGGCTAATTTGATCAGATCCGGTCGGTCCATGCTGGTGCCGGCCTGGATGAGATATTCGACGAGGCCCGCGTGTCGGTGTTCAACGCATATTTCCAAGGCGTTGCGGCCAGACGAGTCTACGTCATTGACATCGACGCCTCGACGTACAAGTTCTTGCATCAGTTCGATGCTATTGAATGCTGCCGCCGAGGCAAACTCACCACCCGTAAGATTCGCCCCAGCTCGAAGTAAAAGCAGAGCCGAGGTACTGGACTTGGTCCTGTAGCGCGAAGTGGAGGGCAGTAGGGCAAGCTGGAGCGCGGTCCTGCCCCCCTTTCTCTTGTCATAGCATCCAGAATCTGAGTCACCGTCCTCTGAGGCCGAGAATTGGGCCGACTCGGTGTTTGTAGCTGAATACGCCGGAGCGTTAATATCAGCCCCATAACTGAGAAGCAGCGCTAGCATCTTTTCCTCCCCTCCCGTGGACGCTGCAATGTGAATGGGACCCATATCGATGCCTCTTGACTCATAAGTCCCCGTATTAGGATCGGCACCGTTTTCAAGGAGAAGCTGAGCCATTGATACCATCTCAGATTTGTATGAGTGGTGCACGGCACAGATGAGCGGCGTGTACCCTTGAACAGATGCCTCGTTAGCATCTGCACCAACGTCTAGAAGAATCGCTGCCAAGTCCGTTCGCCCGCGCGTGGCTGCCATGACCAGGGCACTCTGTATCATATCGTGATCATCCTCTCTATCGTAATTAGGTAGGAGATAACTTAGGATTTCAACTCCGCGCCTGCAACAGCCCACCTCCTGCTGATCTTCGTCGTGGTCCGACTCATATGAGTGTCTCCAGTCGGACTCAACAGCCGCCGCAAGAGCAGTATACATCACCTCGTCGTGCTCAATTGAAGCCCAAAGATCTGCTCCGGCATCCACCAATGCCTGAACAGACTGGAGTGTGTGTTCTTTTGCCGCCTTGAAGAGTGCAGGGCAAGCGTCTTCCTCGCCACTAACCAGATTCACATCCGCTCCGGAACGAATCAAAAGTTGCAGAAACTCCTCGTTACCAACCCAGTATTCGACAGCCAGCTGAATAGGTCGCTGCACATGGCATGATTCCGTCATGATGAGCCTATTGGGATCGGCACCTAATTCGAGCAGTGCCTCACAAATGTCAACGGACTGGGTGTTGGCAGCTGCTTCAAATAGGTTCTCCAGAAATGCCTTGCCTGTGGGCTGCTTCAAAGTCTGAGAGATGAACTCCTTCCACACGCCCAGAGGGAGACAAAAGTCTCTAAATAGACGTATCGTTCTCACCCCCATCTCCTCATAATCTTGCTTCTCATCGCCATCTTCATCAATTGCCTCGTCTTGGTCCTCGATCAAATTATTTGATACTTGGTACACAAATCGTAGAAGCCCTTCCCTTTTGAGTTCTATTGGGTCGCCAGCTGATAAGATTTCGAGCCTTTTGGCATTATCTCCCTCAGTTTCTTCTGGCATCAAGTTATTGATCCCAGCCAGTTCTCGATTGTAGCCCCTTGGAGTAGTGAGCGCTTGTAATTGCTTCGATGAAATTAAGCTTGTTTCGCCATTGGTATCTTGTTGTCCGGGTACATATGTTGAGTGCAGGCGAAGCTGATACATTAAACTACTTATTGTGACGCCTGCAAAAGCAAGATGATATTAGTGATTGTGAATACCATTCATTCATATTGTGACTGGACAAACTTTGAGAAGCTTGGTTTTGAAAGCGTAACCAAGGAAGACTGGGCGGCCAAAGACTCTGGCTTGGAGAGGAACTTAATCTTAGGGTGTTGAACCTAATAGCCAGGGGCGTTGAAGCTATTCATTGTCACATCAGCCAACTTTGAACAATTACCCCCAGTGGTCTCAGATGCTCGCCCACCTCTCGATATCTCGACAATACTTCCTTCGTCTTCTTCCGATTCGTGTTCTTCACGACTTCTTACGTCGACGGCAATCCATTCAGAATCGCTACTCTCATTGCCATCGTCCTCTTCAGTCCTCCTAAATGTGGTGATGTTGATTCAGTATCTGTTTGCTAAGTTGAGGAATGGGATGCGTACCGTGGTGCAGGCAGCTCAACGCAATTTGATCCAATCATATTCAAGGACGGGTATATATGAGCTACTATGGCAATATCGGAGTGGAAGCTTCTTCATCATCACCGCGACTGTTGGTCAAGAAGATGACTCCGCCTCTCGTGCGGCTGAATGATTCGGCAAAACCTTATTCCGGCCCTGATGACTGTCTTATTCCTGCCGATACCTGATAAATAATATCATGTTTTCAATATTAAACATCTATAATCATATCAAAAAGATTTTAACTTAAATTCATCATAAGATAGAATTTATTATCTTAATACTATTCTAACAGTTTCATTTATAATGAGATCCTACTTAAGGGAGGGGCTTACAATATGGATGGTTGCGTTATGCAGGTCCTCGCACGTGACGAAACAACTTTGGGCTGCGTCGAGATTATTGGGTAGTTCTGCATAATCGTCGGTCATCAACGGATGCATTCGTATTCTGGCTTATTCTTGTTTTACTCATACATATTCAACGAAGCATACAATGGAATTCGACGAGCTAGATGGTTGTGAGAGTCTTTCAACATGCGCAAGGAAGGCAGGCATATTCCTTAACAATCTCGCGATGAAACAACTCGCCGAGGGCATCAAAGCCGACGCGACTCACGCTCGTATAGCGAACTTGGGAACGAGGTTATTCACCCTCGCCTCATTTCTGGCCGATCCACCCTCTGCATTCACTGCTGAGGTCAAAACAAAAGCAATAGAGGTGTTACTGAGCCTCCGAAAGGTGTTTGTGGTATGTCGCGTCGAGGGGATGTTAATATGGATTTATAGTATGCGCCTAGGTGCTAATGAAGTATGTCACAGTCATATATTCAGGTAAAAGTTCTTGACGAATCCGAGCTTCTTGCAGTTGAGATTTCTCGAGAAATTGAGACCCGGCTTAGCGATTGGGACACGGTAAGAGAAAGCAACCGTGTTCTCGGATACATTAGAACAAACCCCGAAGAAGCAGATAGACTCGCGGACCTCTGTGATGTTCTGCGTTCCAAGATTTCGTCATCAGCGAAAAATTGGCAGACTCATCTGCCCAAAAGCTTCACGGCTCCGAGACCTAATAACTATGCAGATATCATCAACAAAAAACTTTACGACAGCGTTAAACTGCATACGAAGTGCGATCATACTGACGACCGGGGATGTGAAAGGCATATTCGCGATCCCTGCGTCGACACTTGGCTTCCGACGAGGCTACGTCTTGGTGGTCCGTCTAAATCTTCAGAGTGGGCCATGTTTGACATTGCAACATCTTCCCTTGCGTGCGGATTTTGGAACCAGTTTAGATGGGTTCTTTCAATGTGAGCTAAGAGGAAATGGTTTCTCAATTTTGAGTAATGACGAGCTGACCTTGGACAGACACGATGAAGGAGTACTTGAGCCCAACAAAAAGCCACCTCGAGTGACTTTCAAGGTTCCCAGTCAGAAAGAGAATGATGATAGCGAGGATCAGTACAAAGTTGATTATGACGACCTCGCCAACGCAGTCCCACGGCCACCCGGCTATATCTGTCAGATATTGAACGCCGATGAAAGCTCTCTTTGTATTGAGCTACAACTTGTTCCGCAGACCGGTCTTGTCGAACGGGAACAACCGGTTTTGATTGAGGCGATGTATCCACATGGGGGAGTAAACCTCCTCGAAGTCTTTGACACCTATTTTCCACTCACGGTGAAGGACAAGATAACTCTTTCCCATATCGTGGCCCAATCTTTTTGGCAATTATACGCCTCTGATATGATGCAATCCGTTTGGACAAGTGAGACTATATGGTTCATGCACGAGCACGATAAGGATGAAAACGGAGACCGCCTAGATATAGTCAGTGGCAAGTTGCCGATTAATCCCTATATCACCTTCGACTTTGACACCGACCAAAAAAAGGTTGCGGAATCACCCAGGTGGGACGGCAAACGAAAATCTCCCCATATGTTCCCACACATCCTGGCGCTTGGGGCTTTAATTCTTGATATCGGCCTCGGAAGATCTGTTGGCAAGCCAAAGTACAGGTGCCTAATGAGCCGGGAGGACATGCTTTTAGCTGTTGCTGCTATTAATACTGGTATAAGGCGACTTGAGGACACTCAGTGGGACGGATTTACTCTCCACAAGTCATTATTCACCGCGGTCATAAAATATTGCTTAAGCTATAAAGACCAGAGGCCCCAACCAGGCGCAAAAAAGGCTACCGGAACTCAGGAGCACAAAGATTCCTCAAGCATCAGCGATACATCATCCCCTGTTTTCATGAGGAAAAAAGAAGTATATGAAAACGTGGTCCGACCGCTAGCCTGGCTAGCAGGAGCTTTTTATGAGAAAACCAATGATGTTACTTGTGCATATAACCTGCCTACACCATATTTAAAGAAGCTTCAAATTCGAGCTCGTGGGCATGATTTGCCTTCCACAACAGAAAGCAATAATGTTCTGAAAGACAATGATCATTATTTTCAAAATTTCATGAATTTTAATGCTTCAATTCATGAACTTCAAGAAAATCTAAATAGTTCTGAAAAGCCTCGTCCACTAAAGATCGCCATATTGGACACCGGTTATAAGTCAGATATGCCTTGTTTCCAAGATAGAGAGAATCAGGGAAAGCCACTTGGGAAAATATCCTGGAAGGATTACACAAGCAGCCCTCCATTACATAAAGGAGTCGACGAAGATGGCCATGGCACATTCATGACCCAGCTGGCTATGAACTCAGCTATGCTAGCAGACATTTACGTTGTTCGCATTGCGCGGACGCGAGATAAACAGGAGATATTGCAAAGGAAGGATAACATCAAAGAAGTAAGTTGAAAATCATGATGACCGAGCTAGTTGATCTAACAAAATCAAACTCGGCTAGGCGATCACCTGGGCAGGAATCAAAGAGAAGGTAGACATTATCTCGATGTCATTCGGGATCGAGAGTGGTGATGATAGTGTGCGCGAAATTCACAATGCAATAACCATTGTTAACACGGAACGTAAAGGACAGGTGATTTTTTTAGCTGCAGCAAGTAACGACTCGAGCTATCAATTCGATATGTTTCCTGCGCGGCACCCATGTGTCATTTCGATTCACGCAACCAACGAGAAAGGGGTATTCATTTTCAATCCATCAACTCCTGATTGCATATTAGGTACATTCAGCGAGGGGCTAAAAGAGGTAAGTCGAATCTTCGTCCCAGTAAGCCCATGATAGGTTAACCTTTCCTGCTGCTGATTTCACGTTTTAGATTCTCCAGGAACTCCAAACACACTTCAAGAACACAAAAATACAGAGAAATTCCTCTTCTGCTGCCACAGCCATTAGTGCAGGTATAATTGCAACTATGCTCACGCAGATTGCGACACTAGAATGCGTTCACCGCCAACGAATTCAATGCGAAGACCACTTCACGATTTCACCTGGTCATGTATTGAGCAGATTGAAAGAGAACGCTATCATGCATAAGGTGCTACGACACATGGCAATGCCGAGTGGTGGTAACAGAAAAAGACTCTTCGTTGATCCAATACGGTTCTGGAGAAGCCAATATAAGAATACCAACTCTGACGTGGAAATGCACATGAATATCTTGAAAGCGCTTGATCACTACGTACGCAGTTGAAGAAAGCAGTGAAGAGAGATTCTATATGGACCTTCGGGGTACGATATCAAGTTGATATCATATGGTTGGGAATGCAATTGGGAGTGGTATAGATAGTGATGATGCTCCGGCATTTCTCTAGAACTTTTCTTCCATGGGCGAACAAATGGGAGGATTTTTTTCTTAGACGGTAAACGTAAGGAAAAAAAGTCCTAGACTTCTCCTACCCCCTTCCTGATTTCTGAGCAAATTTTACCTAACAAACCTATAGCAGAGGAGTGATTAATGCTTTTTGGTCATACTTTGAAATTGTTGCAATGAATATTGAGATGGATTATACAAGTAACGATTGCTGAGAATAAAAAGTACTCAATCATTTAATTACTATTTGGTAACAGGAATATAAACCCACTCTCCATTCTCGACTTGCTGAGTAGAACCTTTGTCCAGACCATCCATCTCTTCCGTAACGTCAACACATTCAATTTCACTCCCATCACTTGAATCGTTCATGAAAGCCGAAGAATCGGCAAACATCCTGGCACGTCGCCTAATCATGTACACAGAATAGGCGACTATTACCTCCCTTTCCTCTATTGTTTCGTACGAATGCTTGATACTATTACTGGAGTCTAGATGTCCCGAAATGGTTCCACCAGTCGGAATCAAGCTAGTTGCGTTGGCCAATGCTGTTGGGGCTTCATTTCCGTCCGTGGCCTTGAGAACATTAGTAGACCCAGAGGCGTGAGACTTCGAAGCTTTCACTTCGACGACAGGAAATGAACCCTTGGCTAGACGAAGGCCACAGACGACATATATGGGCTTCGGGAGAATTTGTCGGAAAACGTTGGGGTTGGAGTATGTTTTAATGCTGTCTTGTGCAAGGATGGACTGAATAATCGGTTGTGAAAGATGATGCTTGAAGCGAACAAGGCGGTGATCAACCTTACCCAGCTTGAGAGAATACTCGCGCTTCATTTCAAACTCGGATGAAGCAGATCCAAAGCCGAAGAACCGTGTTAGAACACTGGCTCCTGCAGAGAGGCTTGTGTTAGGGATAATATGCTCGTGATTCTTCTCTGTGCCGACATCATCTTTCGGCAGCCAGTCAATTACTGGCTCCGGCTCATCGGTAGCAGGAGAGAAGAGCACCGAGGTGGGATCGTCGAAGGAGGAAAGAATAGTGCCGAGCCGAAGAGGACCGTCTTCTGTGTATGTAAAGTCTGGCGCGCAACCAGGCACCCGCGGGAGGAACCAGATTCCTTTCCTCGACATGGCACGCAGATACGCATCCACTCGCTAGGTAGTACCTAATGGATGAGGAGTAGATAAGGGAGTGTAGGTCAGCCTTTGAAGCGGGGTAGAATACTATCAGGCCGCAATGCAGGTCACGTCACGCGTCAGGCTCTCGTCACACCCAATGCCCCAACTACATGGCATTAGTGTAGTGCGTCGTCGACAGGCTTGCGTGCAAGAGTACATGTACTCATGCCAGCCTTCCGTATAATTTGAATTCATTTGCCATGGACGTGACTATTGAGAAACTTTCAAATGACTGTTCTGAATGGCTTCGTCGGTGCCTTGACCGCTCAGAAGATGCAGAGGTTCGAGCGGGACTAAGCAATCGAATAGCCGATTTCAACCTCTGGTGCGACGGTATTGGAGCAAGAGCCAGGTCACGGGGTAGCTTGGACGCGAGATTTCAGTCGCGACCTGATGAGACCACAACAGCTCCCTCAGCCTCTGGGCCGAAGAAACTGGCACATGGAGATCGAGCCCAGGAGGACTATTCAGCTAAAGTTAAGACCAGGATATCAACATATACACGTACTGGCCAGGCGTGCGACAGATGTAAGGTATGGATATTCCCTATACTATATAAAGTTCCCGAGTATCCGATACAAGGTACTATTTCCTCTGCCTGTATCTTAGCTTAGTATATCTAGACTCTAGATGGATACTATTAATAAGATACTGATTATATATGGTATATAGGTCCGAAAGATACGCTGTGATGCACTTCCAGACGGCTGCTCCTCTTGTACCTCCCAGGCTATCAAATGTTTTGTAACTGACCGTATCTCCGGCCGTACTGAACGACGAGGTTATCTCAGGGATCTAGAAACAGAAAATAACAGTATGCTGGCTCATATTCACGAACTAGAGCAGTTAATTGCTGAAAAAGGCGTTAAAGTCTGGCCGTTCGCTGCTACTGTACAATCAGAGACAGGCCCAGCACCAGACGGTACAGATCAGCCTATTACTAACCCTAGGGCTTCGGCTCCGCTTGAAGATGGATGGGCCAAACATGGATCGCTGTGGGTGAAGCCCTCTGACTCGAAGGATACTCCCTCCAAGCCCTTGTTAGTCCCGAATTTTCCTCGCAGCCGTCTTGAGTCACGCCCCGAGGAGATTGTCATGATCAAAGGCATGCTCACTTTGCTTCGCCAATTCCTGGGGAACTACGAAGAGCTCTTAGGAAAGGCTGAAGAAAGTGAGGAGGCTCTGCGTAATGTCGACTCGGCCCTCGGAAATCTCGCATTACTTGCAATGGCCATTCGGCAGACTGGGAAAAGATCACGGTTAGAGAAAGCAGATAAGAAGTTTAACCCTGATGACCATCTGGCCCTCCGAGACCATCTGGAATTCATCCTCCGCATACAAGGCTCTCCCGCCGGCCAGAAGTCTACTTGTCTAGACTGGAGGCAGCAACACCTTATTCGTGCGAACTTGCGGAGACGAAATCGATTTGTGCAGGCCCAGAATCATTCTAAATATTTGAAATCAAGGCATGATAACCAAACGGCCGCCGCACCACGGCAACTCCAATCTCAACCTCGGTTGAAAGAGGATAGTTCTACGCCAGAAAATACGCACCTCTTACAACTAGAAACAAAATCTCAGCGCATGTTACAACTTCAAGAGACTACCAGAAGGGAATCGAATAATAAAGAAGAAAATACTAAGTCTGGAACTTCGGCCTCGGCCCCAGATAGTATGTTGGGGTTGGGTTTCGAGCAGGCAAAACGCCCATCATCCGGCTCTGAGGGCCCCAGGACAGTAATAACCAAAATAACTGCATCTTCTAGCTACCCACAAGTGAAGGTTCCTGACTTTCAACAATCATTTCAATGCCCATGCTGCTGCCAGACTCTAACCCGAGAATTTGCTGATGATGAAAACCTATGGCGGTAAGCGCGGGTGCATCTTACCATACTTTTATCTTGGTCCTGACTACTTGATCCATAGAAAACACTTAGCCAATGATATCAGTCCTTATACCTGCATTGCTAACAATTGTCCCTGCCCTTTTACGTTTTACACTACATCAGACGACCTGGAACACCATCTTAGAAGCGATCACTCTCAGACCTGGCAATGCCCTTTATGCGAAGAATGCCCGCCCACTTTTAGAACGGAGTCGGGTATGGAACATCACTTTCAGATCGATCACAAAGATATAGACTCGGATGATCGGCCTGGCCTACTCTCAGTGTCATTGCAATATGGCCTAGGTATTGAGGCTTGTCCGCTCTGCGGTGAATCTGATACAATCGACTCGCCGGAGCTCATTGAGCATGTCCTCGGACACATGCATAACTTCTCCCTCCTTAGTCTGCCATGGGCTAGCGAGACATTTGATGCAAGCATAGATCATAGCATGCGGTTTAATCCGTCTCACCCGAATCTTCTGTTATTTCCCAAACCTAACAGGAATATGAAGCTATCCATCCAATCTGAGTCACTTAGGGCTATTGATCGCTTGACAACTTGGCTCGATTCGGAGGCCGTAAAAGTTCCAAGGGATGTCGTCAACACTGAAAAGAGTCGACAGATGTTAATGCAAGAAAAAGTCTATCCCGTTCCTGATTTCTTTACAAACCAGACTTATTTTGCCGATCAAAGCACGGATGCCTCCTCAAGGATTGGCACCGGTGAAAGTAACGGAGAGACGTCACAGGCCCCTTCAACGGAGAGACGTCACAGGCCCCTTCAATCGTCAGCGGGCTAACGAGCCCTGAGCAAGTAAGATACGCCAACATCATCCTTCAACCTTTAGTCTTTGAATCCACTAACATGATATAAACTTCCTCTTTAGGCTCGCAAGCTTCCACGCACAACCCATGAAGTAAAGGACTACGACCCCAAGGAGACCTTCCGAATTCAGAACATACCTGTTGAATTCGACATCCCAATTCTCCGAGACTCTTTGTCAAGAGCCCTCCAGCTCAAAGAAAAGAACATTCAAATACACTCTTTGTCATTGGTCAATTTCAGGTCAATTCAGGCCTATCTCACCGCTACCGTAACCTTCGCTACCAAACCGTTTTTCTTCCATGGGCGAGGCCTGCTTGGAGACTCCGATGGGAAGTCTGTCGCCCAGAGCTACACACTTGAACTGTGCTACAATGAAGATACACTGAAATACGTCAAACCAGTCCATATTGACCAGCACTTCCGCGGATTTACGCCACTGTCACCCTATAAAGATATATAGGATGCCACCATTGAGTAATATCCTTTTCGCGAAGAGATGGGGATAAAGGTGTTCTTGACTGATTGAGATATAGTTGTATCGTTGTCCACGGCTTTGGTGGCCATGCCTTCCGCTCTTGGAGTGACTCCTCTAGTGCTTTCAACTGGACAGTAGACACATTTCCCAGCGATCACCCTGAGCTCAATGTTCTAACTTATGGATACGATGCTCACTTTAGCGAAGAATCTTTTGTTGAGGTGAATGAGTGGGCTGAAGTCTTCCGCCTCGAACTCCGCCAATGGCGAACCATAACAAATGTGAGACGGCCAAATAGTTTCCCTTGCCAAGCCTCAACACACTAAAAAGTAGAACAACAGGAAAATCTGGAAGCGAGACCAATAGTGTTCCTTCTGCACGGCCTAGGAGGCTTCATATTCAAGCAGGTGAGCCCCCTCATCGACTAGGTCCACAACCAAGCCACGATTAACAATGTAACTCAATCAAGGTCCTAATTACAATTCACGAAAACCCGGTTGAGGAAGATTTGAGGATGGTACAATCCATTTGTGGCGCATTGTTCTTTGGGGTTCCAAGCCAAGCCATAGATATGCGTGCTCTGGCTGCCATGATCCAAGGCCTTCCGGCTCAGTTTACAGTAAGCTTACTTGACCGAGACATTGGCTGCTGACTACGTGAACGTCAACACGAAAAGTTTTATATCGCCTTTCCTTTCCAAGACTCAAAAATTATCCAGTTCTTCGAGGGTCGAAAAACCAAGGTGGACGAAAACGTAAGATTTGGCCGCGCATGAGATTATGTCCAGCGAAATACTTACTGATGGGTATTATCAACTCGCAGGACTACAGGTTACTTGTATATCAACACTCTGGTTCCTATGGGCGTCCATGGGAGACGAGCAAAGAATATGTACGATCCATCGATGCGGATCACAAGACTATGATCAAATTCTCTCCCACGAGTGAAGTTTATAATGAAATTTCCTTCTTTTTGCGGACTTATTTTATTCCGGAGGCTCCCCATACGATCAAGAAGCGTTTGATGCACCTCCGCTCAGAGGTACAGGATCTACCTTCCACTCATGTTACGAATCAGCCTTTTGGGCCTTCCGTTCTCCCTCAGTACATGGGCGACCAAGTCATCCAGCATCGAGGTAGGTGTCATCGAATCTCCCGCCGGGTGCGGCTTAGACAAGGGCTGACTGTTAGCAGAGGGTGTCGTCATGAAAATGACCCATTGCCTTGAAACAACCGGCAACCAGTTTCCAGCATTTTACCTGTATGGCATCGGTGGTGTTGGCAAGACACAGGCCGCGCTCAAGTATATAGCTGAAAGGTCCTACATTTACAAGCGAATTCTTTGGGCTAATGCCAGCACTGCGGTAGAGCTCGCATCCGATTTTGATTGTATTGCAGCAGAGCTTGACTGCAAGGTGAATGAGACTATGAACCCCGAAGCGAATCGTGAGGCTGTCAAGGTCTGGTTGCAGAATAATTCAGACTGGCTACTTGTGTTCGACGGTGCTGACGATGTTAGTCACCTTTCCCCTTTCTGGCCATCGGCAAAAAAGGGCTGCATTATTATTACGTCTAGAAGTCCTAAAATCGCTTACTACCCGATGGTTACTGGAGGCGCTCGTCTGGATTGTTTTTCTGAGGAGGATGGAGCACAGGTGTTGTCCAGAATTTCCGAAGATCTTCATGATTACGAGCTGGCAAAACAGATATCGAGGAGACTTGGTGGTCTGCCTCTTGCAATCGCACAAGTGGCATCTATTATCGCCAGCCGTTCCATCACACTGGCTGATTTCCTCGAGAAATACGATCAATCCGGTCCTGAAGTGGTTGAACGGAGTGACAATTATGCAACTTCTGGGTATCGCGGGGATCTGGCTACAGTTTGGAACCTGCAATTCTCCCGTCTATCAGCTGTATCTCAAAGTCTAATGGAGGTATTATCACTCCTACATCCAGACTACATCCAGCTCGACGTTTTGGCCACTATTATGAAGTGGGGAGAAAGGGCCCTGTGGAATGCCCTAAGAGAGCTAGCCAACAATGCCCTGGTTCAAAAAGACAACAGTGGTGATGAATCGACGCACTTTTTGGTTATACATAGACTCGTTCAAGATGCCTACCGGTGTACCTGGGCCCCCGAAACGTGGCAGAGAGCATTCAACGAGGCCTATTCCTGCATCGACAGCAAGTTTCTTAAACAAGACAGGGGACAGACGATGGTTCCATTATACCGCGAATGTCGGAAATATGAGAGCCACGTTCTCAGTTTAATTACTCACTTCACATCACGACAAGACTTGTTAGACCCATCCGTTGAGTTCGTCGAGACCTTGGCCCACTGCGGGTGGTAATATTTCGAGAGAGGAGAATTTCGCACGGCTGGATTTGTGCTCGAAACGGCGGAAACGATTTGTGATGGGAAAATCGAGTCTTGGGTGGGCCAGGCAGAAGACAAACGCTTACACCTTACAATCGCGCTTGTTTTCAACAACATTGCCTCATTAAGAGTGGAGTTCTCTGAATTTTTCAAGGCCGAGGAGAAACATAGGCGTGCTATATACTATCGCCGGACGTTCTTGACGGCTGACGACCCTCAAATTCAGGACCTCGCAAACTCGCTTTGCAACTATGCCAATGTCCTAACAAAGTTTGGTCGGAACGACGAAGCAGAATTCAATTTTCTTGAATCGCTCAAGATCCGCGAAGCCTCTCCTGGAACTACGAACCAACTTCTCGCAGCGACACTCTATAATTACGGTAGTTGGAAGCTTGAGCTGGGCCAGACTGAAGAAGCTCAAAAGATCTTACGCCAAGCAACAGCCTTGCATGATGAGCGTGAGGCAATGACCATAATTCAACTTTGTACCATTTACTGCTTGGGGAGGCTTGAATATATGAGAGGAAATATTAATATGGCCTTGAAGATATATAGCGATTGCCTTGAAAGACGGCTGCAGCTCGAGGGTTCGATGCACCCCCTTACGGGTGTATCATTGCACAAAGTAGGAACATTGGAATTGGAAATGGACCTCGAAGATGAAGCTATCAGCTACTTGAGAAAGGCTCTAGATGTTTTTGGAATGGCGACTGGCGACTGGGGCTTGCTTCCCAGGACTTTGATTACTTTGGGGCGCGCTTTGTGTGAAAAGGCGAAAGGAACGGATAATTCAGACATGGCAACGGAAGGAAAGGAATATGAAACGAAGGGAATTCAATTAGCGAAGGAATATAAGGGAGAGAATGTGCCCTTAGAAACTCAAGATGATCTTAATTATCTAGTTTTATCAACGTACAGATAAAAAGATTAGGTAGAATTTTGTAACTGATATATTTGAATAAAGAGATTATTAAGATAGAAAACCTTTAATCCCAGGAAAATCTCAATAGTTTACGAGGCAGTAAGACCTCTGATCCTACATATATGATTTATAATTTTCGATACATCCTGAGCTACCGTCCTCTGGCACGAATGACATCAATTTATTCCTTGATTTTTTTTACTCACGCTACTCAGGATGTGCGTGAAATGTTACTGCTGACACTGGCTGCCTGATTCCCGCTTTTGTGCCTAGCTGTGAACATGTGAACAAGGGTCCGTCTGACATCTGTCCACCTTCTTATCTCCGGGAGGGGCTTTTGAGTTTTCTCTTCTTTCTTTCTTCTGCACATCACACTGAATAGGATCGCTCACCACCGAAAAAATGTTGGTTTGGCGCCTTGCATCCCTTCTCTTCCCAATCGTGGCGTCCGCGCAGCGCTTTGAGATCAATGTCGGCTCCGGTATCGATCCGGGCATTTTTGGTCTCATGCGAGAAGTGGACCAGGCGCAAAAAGCGGGGGACGAGGCGCGTTACCAAGAGTTGAAAGAAAAGCTCGACAACTTCCGATCGGCAAAGGCCGACTTCTCCTGGACATCGGAATGTCGCGTGAGCGCCTACTTCGACGCCGAGATCTTCACCGTGCCCGGCCCATCGAGCGTTCCCAAGGAGATTGAGTGGGCATTTCCCAAGCTGGATGAGTACTGGAGGACTGACGACGGCGGCGACTTGCCCTACCCCGGCGATTTCAACCAGTTCATGCATAAGGATGGGTTTCGGGTCATCATGGTCCAGTATGACCAGCTCCCTCAGGCTGTCCGTGAATGGCGAGAGAAGAAGTTGAAGGAAGGCGATTCCAACGAACGTAAATGGATTGCCGTTGTTGATGGCATGGCTTTCTTTGCTCCCGGTGTCGTAACATGGCTGCAGCCTCTGTTTGCATCCAGGGATGTCGTTGTGGGAAAGAATGCATGTGAAGGTACGTACTTACTCTCACAACGGTACCGGAGTGACAAGCGATTCTAACACGTGCCAAACAGACCAACTCACAGACTTTCAGAACTTCCGCGGAGGGCAGAAGCGTACGGAGGACGTAAAGTTCATCACAGGCTTCAGCGGCTTGGCCGAGATCGGAACGACACTTCGGGTTCAAGCCTTCGCTGAGAAACAAGTCAAGCAATTGCCGGGTGGCAAAAAGGGAAATGAGCACAACAACGAACTGTAACTACGTCCCTGAAAAGCTTTTCTCCAGCTTTTATTGTAAACTGGTTGGTGAGATAAGCATACATTGCTTTGCGTTTTAACAATAGCTAGATTTTGGGAGAGGGTACTATGTGTCTCAACTCGAAGTTCAGAGTCGTCAATGTTAGCAGGCTACTAAATGCTGTTGAACATGATCTCATCAATCTCTTGCTCATTTTATGCATTGAATTTCTTGTACCTTGATGTCGTTTCTATTAACATGCTTAAATTTCTAAAACCCCGAGCTCCAATCTTCCGCGATGACATTCTCAATCTTGAAGCCCAATTGTCACGGCACAACAGAAGAAGAGGTATAGGAATCAGAGGAAGACAAATTTGGTACGGTCAGTCAATGGCTGAGTTCAATCCGAGAGGCTGTGGCGAGGAAGTTCAAATGAACGGCTGAGATGAACTCGGGATTGTGGATGAGGGTAAGTTGTGGAGTTCGCTTGAGGGAGCTTGGGGGACAACGGACGTACAGATACCGACGTCGTGCGTTCGGACCGCCCACCTCGGCCCAGCTAGACGACCCGCTGATCCAAGGGCTACTCGTGAGCGAGATGATAAAATGCTTGCGTTCATCAGACGGTGTAGCTGGAACCAAAACACGGTCAGAAAGCAGCAAGATCATGACTATGGATAGTTCACACAAAGACATCCGACAACTTCGTCGATACATCACCACGCACGCTGAAGATGGTAGAACGACATTCATAACCGACGTGTCAGAGGAGCCACAGTTCAGGCAGCTTCCTGATAAAGCCGAATTCGCGCTTTGCTATGCTAGCAACCAGTTCCCCATCCAATTAGCTGACGACGCAGACGTCACGACCTATAAAAACTACACTGAAAATCTGCCGGGGATTACCATATTGACGGGAACTGTTCTACGGGTGGTAGATATGCCTCCCGGTGCGCTGTCACCAATGCACCGCACCATCAGCCTCGATTACGGGGTGGTGCTGGAAGGTAGAGTGGAGCTGGTGTTGGAGTCGGGGGAGACTCGACTTCTGGAGAGGGGAGATATCTCAGTTCAACGTGGAACGAACCATGCTTGGCGTAATATGAGCACGACGAGCTGGGCAAGGATGCTGTACGTGTTAGTACCTGCAGAGAATTTGGTCGTGGCTGGAGAGAGACTGGCTGATAATACATTGGAAACAATCCCTGGCCACAAGTAGAAGCTAGTTAGATCCCCAATTCAGAACTATTGTGACACCAAAAACGTTCTGCTATGCAATTTCATCGATGGTCGTTTTACTCGTTTATTCCGTAATTGTGAGACCAATTTTTCTATCTGACCCTTGTGCACCAACTAGATTTGACAATCATCATCTATCGACCTGTGATTGAGTTTCCACGCGAAAATGATCTATCCGTAGTAATAAATAGTTTAGCCTACCCGGGCTGAAATAGATGTGATTAAAGCGTTAGAGTTTCCTCAGCGCTCTGCAAGAACAGTGACATGTTAGCAGGCAAGTGGGTGAAATAAAACATGGCACACCAAAGCTCTTTTCGCATACGACAGGGACCTCATTTTTAACTAAACAAAATAAAAAAAGAATAATAATTATTCTATAATATTTAGCTTGATATAGTGTTTATTACCAGGTCACTTATTTTGATATTGTGTTGAAATTCAACGCTAAACTGTCTAGATATGCCATGTTTAATGTCAGTCGCTTGGCAGGTTCTCGCAGTAGAATAACGGAAGATTATCTCTTCGTTCAAGGGACAAGCTCACCTGTCGACCGTGTCATGGTTATTGAAAGTTCTATAGTGGCATTGTGCTACATGTTGAATGGAGAGGCCGTGGTCTCTGCGGATTCGGTTTTGTATTTTGGCATTCATTTTTCCTCTCCTTTTGGTTTTGGGGCGATACGATAACCTGACGCAATGAAATATCTGGGATAGATTTCGACACGTGCCGCAATGTACACCCTCCCTAATCCAGGATAAACAAAGCCGAGATGAAGGTGGGATTGGTAACTATTACAAGCTGAGTATCATCCCTGGTTTCGGGATGTGGACCACGGTTCCGATGAGGGGAACCCTGCTTGAACGGTAGTTGCCGCCCTCCCAAGATGGCGGAGAAGTTGCTGGAGATTTTCTACCAGTGGCGGAAGTGCCTGACAGTCCGCAAAATTGTCCGCTAGCATGTCTGCTACCATGCAGGATATTGACTCCTGGTCTGTAAGTGGGATGGGGACCGAAGCTGAAGCCGGGCCAGCTACCGACCGACCCGGCCGCAAGACGCAAGATGGCGGTTTCCCCGTGCAGATAAAGCGTCTCGTCACTGACTCACTGGGACCATTTAAACATATAGTTGTGGAATCCTTTGTCGCTTGAACAGATGTTAATGGGTTCTCTCTGGCTTTGCCCTGTGACACGAGGCTGTACACCCAGAGGGCCAGAGCTGCTTGGTAGACGGCAATGGCGAAGAAACCACGTAAGTGGCCGGAGCGGAACTTTTCTGCTGCACGTAGTACCTGGCCGGCATGCCAGATCGCTTGTCTCGCCTCTTGCGTGTCTACCCAATCGTGCAGAATAGGGAGCGCCTGGCGCGCGTCCTCAACGCTGCACTTGCCCGCAAAGCTCTCCACTTCGTGAAACGGGATGTGAAGTCTTAGCTGCACAAGCTCAAGCATTAGACGTGGCTCCTCTACGGAAGGAGATGTATCATCGTCCATGTGAACCTGGAATTGATCTATGATGCGTGTAATTTCTTGATGTTGAAGAGCTAAGGCGGCACTTGAAGTTTTGGGCTTGTTGAGTGTTTCATGTAGTTGAAGATACTGCCATGCTATCCCCCAAATGCCATGGATAATGATAAGTTGAGAGAAAGTTATATCGTAGCAACTTTCATCGAGCTCGGCAGGGTTTCGGAGATAGTCAACTAAACTCAGAGGGGGGTCCCGTAGCGAGTTGTGGTACAGAGTCTGCCACTCCTCGGCATCGCTAGCAAGCCACAGAGATCTTGCGCAGGGTAGCGGTGTTTTGAGTTCTGAAAATGAAATGATTGGCGCTGCACAGAAAGCCATGCTGACTTGGATGTCCATGATGAAGGACCGATAGACAAGTCGATTTAAACTTTCTTGATTCACCCAAGCAAGCCACTTTTGTTGTAAAACATTACCATCATCGGCAGGTAGTGGTAGAGGAGATGGCCCAGAGGGCGCGGCAAACCGTCCACCTCGGCGGAGCATCTAAATCCAGGACCAAAGACTATCAGTGCGTGACTCTCGGATTACTCATGGTTGAGTGAGAAAATGTGGGTTTGAAGACGAACTGTAAAAGGGATGTTTCTATGACTCTCAGCAATCTCCATCTTTCGTTTGATACCGCTCCAGACCGCAACCTCGACCTCGTTGATGAAAGCCTGGATCGCCCAAATGCTCCTTGAGACTTTGTTAGACTCTTCAAATCGGCTGGGTAGCGATAAGCGCGTCACTTCTTGTAGGGCAAGGCCTAGTGCACACAGCGGCTTTGAATCAACTAGCATCGCCCCTGCTGAAATGATGGAAGCAAGGAGCTCTGGTTCTTGCTGGCCCAATTCGAAAGACGGCCCGTGGATGAAGGAATCTGCCTCATATCGATCATATGCGAAGTACCGTTGAACCAGCTGTAGGAAGAAGTCCGCAGTAGGAAAAGTCTTCGTCACGAGGTGCTTCTTCTCTGGTTTGCATATGTCCAGCGTCATGGACAGCACTTGGTCTCTTCTACTTGCGGGGAATGGTATGTTCACGTGAGGCTCTGGGTGATCATTCATGTGGGCGACGTAGAGTGAGCTGTGTGGGCTAGTTCCAAGCATAGAGAGTGAATCCATTTCAGTATCCGCCTTGTCGTTGTTTGAAGGCTCCCAGCGACCCAGAGCAGATTGTTGGTATGCCTCGATACCCAAGGTCAGGTGCTTCCCATCTGGGTCAGGCTCAGTCACGTTGGTTGTGACCGCCTCCAAAGCAGTAGCAAATGGCTGGGAAAAGTAGAGAGAAGGCGTGGGCGGGAGAGCAGAAAAGTTGTGTGCTACTACGTCTTCCAACCCGAGATCATCCTTGGTAGTATAATCTAGCAGGCCTTGGAGTGGTTCGAAGGGGTGGAGCGGATCAACACATGACCAATCCACATGGCTCAAGGAATGCCTTCCATCACCTATTGAAGGAGTCATGACATTTTTGAGAAATGAAGAAAAGTCAGAGTCCATGATCTGGAAACCATCATCTGCACTTAAGAGCTGTGACTTTGGAGAGTCGGCGACTTTTTCAAGGTTCGTATCTTGAAGACTTGGGGCAGGGCCTATATCACTCATGTCCAGAGAGGTGTCCATTTTGTCTGTTGAACGAAGAGCTGGATCAGCAATACGACTTCGATCTCGAGTATATCTTAAAAGCCGAAGAAGAAGAGTCTTCCAAACCCTTGCGGGAGTTATTCGCAGTATCTTACCTGGGTCTGCAACCGGGCTCTTGGCGGCGATTGAACTCCCGTTCCGAGGCTCTCGTTCGCAAGCAATGCCTTTTCGTAGGCAGCGATTGCAGACTTTGTCCTTGTCACATTTCAGTTTCGCTGCTGCGCAGGCTCTGCACGCCTGTGCCACTCGAGGGCTTGAATTCAGCTGGCGGCGTCGCTTTACTCCCTGCTCATCGGGTTTGTGGCATGCGGCGTGTCTTTTAAGAAGGTCTCTATATGCTGTAGTTAGAACAAGGGTAGAGAATCCTCCCCTAACTATGGGAACACAGAGGGAGTCTAGGAACATGCACTTACTGCCGACAAAATCCTTTGTGACAAACCTCGCATTGATAAGGACGATCCTGTATATCTGCAACATTTGTAAGATTCACGACAATGACGATGGAACTGGCCCTGGAAGATTACGGGAGCGGACGTGTCGCTGCAAATGGTCAGCGCGGTTAAAAGTCCGTTGGCAATGTGAGCATTGGTAGAAGCCTTGTTTGAGCGATTCTACGCGAATAGATTCTGGTACTGGGGACTCCATTTGGTGGTGTTTAAGAGCTGATGAGGTTTGCTGTCACAACAGAGAGTCTTAGCGAATGGCGGCCCCCAAGCAATTTATGATAACCGAAAAACCAGTACGCGGAAAGAACTTGGATTCCGACCGGGTTAATGGGGTTCGGTTTCCGATGATATACGTAGCATCTGAATTTACCCCGCGTTTTACGCATTATGCTAGAGTCTGGGGTAGTGTTGGGTTCTTTTAAGCGGACGATGCGGAGTTCAACCCCTTGCTACTCCTAGACCCCTTTCATCAAAGCCCCTTTCCGGCCGGTGTAGCTACCATAGGCACACGCTACTGAAAATTGATGCAGAAGCTACTTTAATTTGAGTACGACTATATCCTCTCATCTCACACACACTAGAGCACTATCATGTCCAAGATCCAATGCACTAATCGATCCTTCTGGCACTGGACACATCGGGAACCCCCAGTCCCTCTACAACCTTGGCCCCGACTACTTCATACACAGGAATCTCAGCCAGTCGACTGATGATATGATGAAGGGTGGGTAGTGCGTCCCAGTCCAGGGAATCGAATAAAAATCCCCCTTTCTCCGCTATCCATACCTTTTGCACTGTACTCGGGACTACTTTGGATTCCTCAGCGTGAGGAACAAAGGTGGCATGTTCCACATCCGCTTTGCCTCGTTCCCCGACCTTGGGAATGTACTTGTATGCAAATATCCCCTCGTCATCCTCCCCACCAATTGTACCTTTCACTCCATCTACTCCGACCTCGGAGAGACCCTCAAGCGTCATGGAGCCAAACTGAGCACCCTGCCACCCGGTCTGGACTCGATAGCTTGTTTGGCGGCGCCAAATATCGATAGAGCAGTAGAGCTTTGGCATACCCAACTCTTCTCGACCGCTTACGATTGGGTCCGTCAGGCTCTCAAATAGGAGAGGGAGGAACGTGCCATTAAGAGTAGTACCGTCTTTGAGTGTGTACTGTAGTCCGTGAATATAGAGACCAAAATGCCGATATCCGGAATGTCCGAGCCATTCCATCTTGTTCAGTGTAGTCTGGGAAAAGCTCGCATACGCAAAAGTCCCTGGGCTCTTGAAATGAAAAGATGTTGACGGAAGGAGATTTTGTAAGATTGTACGAGAAGTCTTGAACTTGACAGAGGCCGTGGTAAAGGTCGAATGAGTTGCATTTCGTGGCTTTCCCTCGAAAGTCTGCCGAGGACCGGGGAAAGGGCCAAAAGAAATTGGCATTCTCCAATACAGGTTTGGGTTTTGCGACCAAGTCCATCGGCGGAACCGCTCCATCGAGTTGTCCCACTCATCATGCCCGAAATTGTAATTCGTATATTCCATCACTATGTGATGTTCGCTCGTGTCAGTGATGAATCTTTTCCAAGCTTAAAGTAAGAGGAAAAACTGACTATTGAAGTTTTCTTTGCCAAGGCCAACAATATCGCGGCCTGCATTGCGCGAAAAAAGGCGTAACTTGTTAGCTCGCTCCATCCGAATGTGTTGGTATAGTCGAAGACGCTCTGGAACCTCGGTTGGGTCGGTGCCCTTTTTCAAAACGACGGCAAGCGATGCAGCATCTTCTATCGCGCTCCCAGCTCCCTGACCCTGATCTAGTAGGTCGTTAGTGAATGCGAAGAAAGTGATCTGGGATTAAATATCTTACGTGGGAGGAACGGATGTGCAGCATCTCCAAGGAGCGCCAGGCGGTCATTGACCCATTCTGGTAGTGTATCCATATCTTTTAGCTCCCAAATACCAAGAGATTCAGCATCTGCCTTGTCCAAAAGGGCCAAGACAGATGGATCGAAAGTCTTGAAAACTTCCAGCAGTTTGGCTTTGTTCGTTCCCGTGTTCCAGTCTAATTTTAGTTGTTAGTATACAACATGTACTGAGGTTGTATTGGAAACGCCTTCATTGTATTACCTTGTCCCTCGTCCACTTCAGTCTCCTCTCTCGGGTGTATGCAAACAAAGTTGAGCTGCTTGTTGCTGTCGCACGGATACATGACCACTCGTCTGTCAGCCCCATACCACATAATCAGCTGCCCCATTTTCTGCGCATATCCTGCCGTCAGAGGGTCATCTAAAGCTCTCTGGCGAGGCATCAGAAACCTAAAAGCACTCTTGCCGGAAGGTTTAGGGGTGATGTTGCCCCCTGGTATCATGGTGCGGCTAATTGACTATCCAGGACATGGGTCCGTCAGCGTTACTCCTTTGACTTAACGTCACATACTTACATGAATTCCGTCCGCACCAATAACCAGGTCCCCCTGAATCGTCTCTCCAGTTGTAAGCTCAACAATGGCCTGAGAAGGATCAATATTCACGACGCGACTCCCTGTTCTCAATTCTACGGGAGTTCCCTTTTCGGATTTTGAGACTGCCCGACGCTTTAGCTCCTCATGGAGACGGACGCGGTGAATTAAATGCCACGGATGCTGCCAGAGCTTGTTTCTCTCGGACAAGTCGATATCCCGGCTGAGGGTGTTATCTATGTCGTATTCCGTAATCTTGGTCCAGTTAGTTGTTGATAACAAAGAGAAAATTTTGTAAGCAAAGGGGATCGCTAACATGCTGCATTAAGTTGGCACCGATATCCTCACCAAAAATGCCCAACCGCCTCAGTAAACCGTTGGCGTTTGGTGCAAGATGAAGAGCGGCTCCCACTTCATTCGCAAAGGTGGACGATTCAAGAACGGTAACATGGTGCCCTTCATTGCGTAGGAAAACTGCAGCCGTCAAACCACCTATTCCGGCGCCGATTATCACGACACGCAAGTATTTGGGGCTAGGGTGGGAGCTGACCCCGGCCGTGGTATGGCCATTGGACATTGATTCAATCATGGCTTCTTCTGATTGCCTATTCTCGAGTTGTATTCAGTGTGCGTAATGAAGGTTTGTTTTGGTAGCGTAGTTCCCTGTGGCACCCAGACTGGGGACTGTCACACAACTACTTTTATCTACCGCAATAAAACACAGCCCGATGACATTGTCCATGCAAGGCGCTGCCACCGTTTGCCGATATCTCATTGCTGTCTTCTTTGAGGTGGGGCCGACTCGGGAAGTGGAGAGCCGGTATGAGTCTCATATCGTGTTTCACTCGGCTGGACCATCCTCAACTCACCGATGTTACGCCATGGATTGGGACGTTTCTACGGTGGTTCACATAGAATGGGCTCAAAACTGGGGAAGGATTAGATTACTGGTCTATTGGTGACATAGATGGCTTCCCGAAGGCGATTATTCGTAGCGTCAGCGGGACACCGCACAGTAACTGATGGGATGAGTGAACATACCTATGTATTTTCTATGTAGACCTACCGCTATCATTACTCCATATCTCCAGGTAGCCAACCATAGATAGTAGCTGCATTCCAACCGTTGCTACCATAGACATATGCAATGGATGCCATCGCCTTGCTTCCTTTCTAGAATGATTGCTGGATAAACTTAACCAAACAACGCGTTTGGGGATGGACTACTCAGCGCAACTCGTAATTGCGCCTTGGAAATCATCGGCAATATCCGCCAGCATGAGACATATTTTCTTCAATCAGAAAGCCTTGATTTCCTTTCGGCTGCCCACTAACCTCACCGCCCTCCCCCATGATGGAGGGGTTCTCCGGTGTCTACCACCCATTGCTTTAGTTACATTGACTTTTGACCCCAGCTACAAGCCATGCTCAAGATGTCTACCCCGCACTCATAAGAACAGGGGCGCAAGAATAATGCCAACGTCCGGAATTGTGGACCACATCCCATCTCCCTTCGGTTCCGGGTGTTGCTGCTTTTGCTACCCGAGTATAAGTTACTCTCTCTCGCTGCATACATCTCCACTCTTTACTGGAGCCTGATATTGACAATTTGGTTGAGCCTATATCTCTATAGTGCAAATAGCTACCTCTCTTGTCAGCCGGAGCCGTCAGTCAAGACCCCTCGTCATCCCCTTCCAGTCAATCCAAACTCTCTCGCCTGCGAGTGAAGAAAGAAATCAACAAGAAACAAATCAAACTTAAACATGACTTCCTCAAATGATCCCATGGAAATTGAGCCGAAAGAAAAGAAGTTAGGAAATATCCGACTACACGATGACGAAACCAAGCAAATCATCCTTATACCAAAACCCACGAGCGATCCCAATGACCCCCTCAACTGGTCCAAAGCCTATCGCATTTACATTGCTTGTCTCGTGTCCTGCGCTATCTTCTTTTCCAACTTCTTGGCAGCAGGGCCCTCGGTGGCAATGGTAGCTATCACTACCGACTACTTTGGGCCACCGACGGATCCAAGGTTCACTCAGTGGACTGCCAAGGCTGCCTATCTATTCACAGCAACTGCTTTACTCCAGGGCATGGGAAACCTGTTTTGGGTACCCATGATGGTGAAGTTTGGCCGCAGACCAGTTTATGTCATCTCCTTCACACTATATACTGCTGCCTCTGCATGGGCTGGTGCGGAGGCCTCCTTCGATCGTGCCCTGGCCGCTAGGATTCTGATGGGGTTTGCTTCTGGTGCAGCTGAGTGCCTGGCTCCTTTGACGATCGCCGACATTTTCTTCCTCCATGAGCGAGGGACAGTCATGGCGTAAGCATTTCCTCCCTTGCCAATATTATTTATGTACTTACCAAAATCAGATTTTATACGGCTGCGCTATCCGCCGGTGTCGGTACCGGAATCGTTGTATCCGGCCTCATCACCATTAATCTTCACTGGCGTCATATATACTGGATCTCTACAGCTTTGATTGGGGCTTGCACGATTCTAATTATCTTCACATTCCCCGAGACCACATACGATCGTTCAGAGGGGACAGAACCAGCTTATTGCGGGCGTGAAGTTGGACACAAAGATGGCAACAACACTGAATGTGTCGAATGGGCATCTGGGGCAACTAATAGAACTACAACAAAGAAAGGATATTGGCAGAGTCTCAGAATCTTCTCAGGAAGACACACTAAGGAAAGCTATTTCAAGCTTGCCATGCGTCCCGTCGTTATGCTTGCCCTACCTCCAGTTCTCTGGGCTACTATTGTCATGGCTGTTACAATTGGCTTCTTGGTTGCTATCACATCCAACTTCGCTATTGCCTTTAATCAGGTTTATGGATTCGAGGCCTGGCAGGCCGGTTTGTGTTTTCTTGCATCCCCAATCGGCGCCCTGATTGGGGCCTATTTTGGAGGCCATCTGAGTGACCAGATTGCGGATCGCGCTACGCATCGCAACGAGGGTATCCGAGAACCTGAAATGCGTCTTCCGGCTATGACGATTTCTGTCCTAACAGCTCCCCTCTCTCTTGTGCTCTATGGTGTCGGCATTGGAAACGGCATGCATTGGATGGTTCCTACCTTGGGCTTGGGCCTCTGTGAGTTCAAATTCTCTAGCTGCTTTCTGTCTTTAATATCTGAGCGGAATATTGACTTGAAGCGATTGGAAAGTGGGCTTTTCGGTTGTTCAGGCCACGAACATCACCCTAGTTTATACTATTGACGTGTATCGCCCTATTGCAGCCGAGATTACCGTGACACAACACGCCTTCAAATGTAAGTGGTGGCTTAGACCGGATCTATCTTTTGTCTTCTCTCGCTTATGTCGAAATGCACAGCGGCTTTGGGATTTCTGCTATCCTTCTACACTAACCCATGGATTGAACAAGCTGGGTATCAAAAGTCTTTCGGTGCTATGGCTGGCATCTCGGGAGGATTCATTCTATTTTGGGTTCCTTTCTACTTGTGGGGAAACCACATCAGGAAAGCCACTTGGAGATGGAACTTCGTGAAAGAACTTGCTCATTGGCATGATGACCGGGAAGTTGGTGAATAGCCTTGAGTTCCTCCTTTGCATGGTGTGATTTTGGGACCACACCTAGCAGTTGCTGTGCGCGCTCTGCCTACTCTCAATGAAGTTCGCTACTTAGCTATGCCCCCTGTTGATCTGATATTGCGTGACTGAAAGAGACGAACTACCCCGCTGAGAATACTCAACGATTACCCATTCTAGGCCTAGATAATGAGTAAAGTTTGGTATCTCAAAATATTTCACCATTAGATCCATAGGCCTTAGGTAACCTAATAGTCAGGTAGGAAGTGATCTGGTGTTCCTTTTCGCTGACCTGTCGTATTGTATAGAATGAATGAGTTCCCAGTAGCCAGCCAGCTACGAACGTATTCGGCTCTATCTGTTTGCCCGCATAGCTCCAAAGTTCAAGTGATCCGCTATGTGGCCGTCAATGTGAGCTCGCTCGAACTCAGTTGTCTCCTATGTGAGTTATTCATAGATCATGCCCACTACCCGACTAGAGCCGGTAACCGTCACCCGAGCAGTCGGCCTATTGGAGGGCTATAAAGAACCGGCACATTGGCTATCTTATGCTCGGGCGAGCGCATCTGTGTCTATTACAGTAAAACAACCTCTCAAAAGCTCACAGTCAATTCAACGTATTCATCTGTCCGCCATGTCTACCACTATTCCTTTGACTCACACTACACCCGATCCAACAAGCTCAACTGTTCGGTCTCTGGCAGGCAAAGTAGCAATTGTCTCGGGAAGCAGCAGCGGAATCGGCCTTGCCATAGCTACCGAGCTTTCTGTCCGCGGAGCAACCGTTGTCATCAATTACCCATCTCCAGAGGTTTTCGAGGAGGCATCGGGGGCCGTGGGATTTATCGTCGGCCCATCACTCCTCGTTTGTGCCGACATGAGCAGCAAGGATGGTCCGGGGATACTTGTCAATGCAACTATGGAGAAGTTTGGTCGCATTGACATTGTTGTAAACAACGCAGCGCTCGCAGTTAATCTGTCGCTCGAGGAGACCACGCTGGATCACTGGGACTCTTTGGTGAACCTCAATGCTCGAGGCACTTTTCTTCTTACGCAGTCTGCCCTTCCGTACCTGACCGTGGGTAGCGGTCGTATTATCAACATCTGCTCTACAAGCTCCCGGGGTGCACCGCCGCTCCAGACGGTCTACGCTGGGACGAAGGGAATGGTGGACTCTTTCACCCGTTGTTGGGCCAAAGAGCTTCCGCCCAAGTATGGCTGCACCGTCAATGCTGTATCTCCAGGCCCGACCAAGACAGCTGGTTTCTTGTCGGCCGGAGAAGAAGCCATGAAGATCCTGCAGCCGACTATTGAACAAACTCCTGCTGGAAAAAGAATGGGAGAGCCAGATGAAATCGCATATGCTGTCGCTTGCCTTTGTGAAGAGAAGGCCCGGTGGATCAACGGAGCCCACCTGTTTGTAAATGGGGGACTTCATATTGATTGACACCTTCTTTGGGCCAATATCATACCGGGAATCAGGGTTCGGAAAGAGCGAATTCCTAGAGATTAAGTTCGCGTTTCTCTTTGGTTTGTCTGCCACTTAGGGCTGTAAAGTTTTTGTTGCGTACGCGTTCAATATGCTAAAAATTGCCATACTTCCGTCGATAGAATCATTATGTAGGCTTGCATCTAACGCTGGCAAGAATAAGGATTAAATGAAGTCTTGTGGTTTGTAAAAGGAGGAAAATTCAAACATTCCAATCGTATTGGTCAACTTTGCTGGCTGAGATATGAAACTACTGGTAACTTAAACTATCAAAACCTAAAGAAATGGGAACAAATATTACAGAAATCGAGCTCACAACATGAATTGATGCTCATCGAATCTGAATTCTTCATTACTCCTTTTCTCTCCTCCCCCGCCCCGAAGCTGGTATGCTGACCATGCATACTCGGGTTGCGTTAATTGGGTACCGAATCAATTTTCGGCTCCCATTTAACCATCCCCCAAGGCCTTAAAGAAATCGGCTGAATTTACCCCAAGAAGCCGAAGCCATGATGGCAGCGCTTTCCGAAGTGGAGAGTATCCGGGGCGGAAGAGCTTCAATGCCCACCCATACGGATAAGCCACGGCTGAGGTCATGTGCATCAAACCATGCGGTCTTTGCCCAAACATAATTATGTTCATGCTAGGTGTTTGGAAGATTCTCAGTTGTTGACTAAAGGGCTGCACTCAACTTTCCATTTAGAATTTCAGAGCATCCAGCAACCCATCTCCTCATCATGTCGTTCCCAGCGCCTTCTCGCCATGATTTACCCCCCAAATTCCCCATTATCTGGCAGGATGATGCTAGATATGATCTCGCGCGTATTGGTCGTGTTTTCAACCACCGCAGACCATCAAGATACCCGGTTGCGGTGGTCCAACCGACCAATCAGGACCATGTTGTCGAAGCTGTACTCCTGGCCACGAAGCTTGGATGCCGCATATCGATCCGATCCGGAGGTCATAGCTGGGCTGCTTGGAGTGTCCGAGACAATGCCATTCTGGTTGATTTTGGAAAGTTTAATTACTTCCACCTGGATGATGCAACAGGGATCGCGAGTGTGTCTCCAAATATGACCGGGAGGGTGATTAACCAGCTGTTGGAGCCTCACGGGCGCTGGTTCCCTGGTGGTCACTGCCCTGACGTAGCAGTCGGGGGCTTCCTTCTACAAGGAGGCATGGGGTGGAACTGCAAGGTAAAGCAGGTTGATGGCTGAAGCAACTACCCTCCTGCTCATCGTTGCTAACGCAGCCTCTAGAACTGGGGCTGGGCTTGTGAGAAAATTGTTGCTATCGACGTAGTAACAGCAGAGGGGAGAAAACTTCGATGTGATAAAAACCAGAATATAGATCTGTTCTGGGCAGCACGAGGAGCTGGGCCAGGTGAGGAGCCTGTTGATTGTGACACAACTCGATTGAAATCTTGGAAGCTGACGTATTTTAGGCTTCCCTGCTATTGTTACGCGCTTCCATTTGCAATCCTTTCCGCGATACTCGCACGTGAGAGACTCTACATTTGTCTACGGAAAGGAAAACTATCGGGCAGCTCTCAACTGGGCAATAAAGGTACCAGCTGCATACGTTTCTCGAGGTTTAGACTCGATGTGTCAAGCTGATGTGCTAACTCGACATGAAGCTATCCCCTACTTTTGATTCTGATACTGAAATTGCAGTTATTGGCAGTTATGTTCCGGGGCTCGAGGGTGTTCAAACTGTAGTCCGCTTTACTACCTTTAAGAATAGCCAAGAAGAAGCAGAGATTGCGTTGGAGCCTGCTCATGCCTCTGCCCCTCCCGGCGCCAATATCACTGCACTGTGCACCGAAACCTCATTGTCAGACCAGTACGACTTGCAACACGCCGCAAACCCGGAGGGCCACAGGTATCGGGTTGACAATTGCTACATCAAGAATGATGCTGATGTAGCCTCCGTCATGGAAAATGCTTTTATTGACCTACCAACGAAGAAGAGCTTTTCGCTTTGGTACTCCATGGCACCGTGCTCGCGAAAGAATCATGACGGGGACTCCATGCAAGGTATGGCGCTATCAATGCAATCAGATCATTACTTTGCCGTTTACGCCGTTTGCGAATCTCCTACGGGAGACAAAGCGTGCGCAGACTGGGTTCGCGGCGTCATGGTGTCGGCTTCGAAACAATCGCCAGGGGCATATCTGGGCGATGCTGACTTTCAGGAGCGTGTTTCGATGTACTGGAACAATGAAAATGCACAGAATCTTATTCAGGTTATTAGTAAATGGGATCCCCGGGGACTGATTGCCGGCTATCTTAACAAAGGTGATACGGGTAGTGTCGAAGGGCTTCGTGGTATAATTAAGTGTAGCGGGAGCCCCTACTTGGTATGAGAAAGTAGGGCAACCTGTAGATCAGCGTTAACTATTTACACTCTGCCGGGCTGTGGGAGCGCATTGGCTTCATATTCACCAAGCATGTTACACAATATTTCCTGACGCTCAGTCGGAGGTAGTGATTTTGTTCAGTATATTATCACCCTAGATCTTTGCTTTTATTTGAAACTAGACTCATCCAAGACCAGCAACTGTCCGAAACCTATTTCCTTCTCTTCCGATTACTGCAAATGTTTCCCATCCATTTAGGCCGCTTGGCCATTCTGAGCAAGCAGGTTCTTGGTGCCAGAAGGGACGTCGCTGATGACATCCTTGAGGGCAATGCCCTGGAGGTACTCACAAAGACCAGAGGCGGACTGTCCCTGGCTCAGGAAGTAGGCTCCCAGACCAGCGACATGAGGAGTAGCCATTGAAGTTCCGCTCTTAGTTCCGGTGCCACCGCCAGGAACGTCGCTAAGAACATTAACACCAGGGGCATAGATATCAACAACAGTGCCGTAGTTGGAGAAGTAAGCGGTAGCATCCTCGCTGTCAGTGGCACCGACAGTGCAAAGGGACACCTCAGAGGCAGGGGAGACACCTCCTGCATCGATAGGGCTGTTGCCATTGTTGGGATCACCATTGCCAGCGGCAACTGCGCCAAAGTAGCCGGCATCAACGAGAGCCTTTCCAGCATCGTTGACAGACTGACTCTTGGAGTTGACACCAAAGGACATGCTCACGACAATACCGTTGGGGCAGTTTCGGCTAGGAGCATCCTCAATGACCTTTTCCATACCGGCAATCATCGTTGTGCTAGATCGCAGTCGCTATTAGTGCTAATCTTGGACCAGGGGAAACAAGTATATGTACTCACAGACTGCCTCCGCCAGCAGCATTGAAAGCTTTGATGGCATAAAGAGTGGCATTCTTGGCAACGCCATAGGTAGACCCGGCAATGGTACCAGCGCAGTGTGTTCCATGTCCGTTGTCATCGGTAGTGGCACTGTTGATAACATTGGCTACCCACGTGGCGCGGCCACCAAAGTCCTGTGATTTTGCAAGTCATTATTTGTATCTGTAAAGCATAGGTTGCGGTACATACACTGTGTTCGACATCGATGCCAGTATCGACAACATATGCGCATACACCGGCACCCGCTCCGTCTGCATAGGTGTATGTAGTAGAGCCAGGTGCCTTATTAGAAAGGCGAGCCAAACCCCAAGGCGCGTTCTCCTGCGTGGCAAAGATCTGGGCCTTGGCATCTTGCTCAATGTAGGCGACCTGTGGAATTTGTCAGCGGGTCAAGATCTCCTTCATACTCTGGAAAGAGGGAACACGAACGCTAGGATCATTGCGGAGGCTGTCAACTTCAGCATCGGTCAAGCTTGCAGCAAAGCCACCGAGGTTGTTGTAAACATAGTCCGCGTCCGCAGCAATGGAGCTAATCGCATTATTGACGGCAGAAACCTGGCTACCTCCATTCATCACAACAATGTACTTGCCCTCAATGACCTCCGAGGCATCTCGAGTCAGAAGAGGAGCGCGCTTGACAGGAGTAGCCGCCACCAGAGGCAGGGCAGTAAGGATGATTGAGGACCACATATTGATAGATCTACTGGCAAGAGCAAGTCTAGTGACACGCTTAACTGTTCAATAGCGACGAAGTGATCACCGTCCCGGGGGATCTTATCTGACTTATAGACAGCGGTCACGGCTTTGGCCCACCTCTATCTAAACGTCCTGGCTGGCTCTATGTTGCCAAATGGGGCAGGTGATGATACTGGAGGGGCAGAATGGAGGAATTGCCCAATCCATAGACGCTAGAGATAGAGATGGAAAAATTGAGCCAAGTAAGAATCAAAATCCCAAACTGTTCATACTGGAGTGTTTTTGTTCATGGTTCTGTTGTAAGGGCCTCCCAGGGCCTTTATTGCTTAACTGAAAACTTCCAACCCTTTCCCAGAAGACCAAGAAGGCCTTCGACGGTTTTGCCTAGTTTATTAGTGGATGCGGAACTAAAGTGTGGTGATCGGCAGGTGTAAATTTCTTCTCATTAGCCACCAACCTCAAGTGGGCTGTTTCTTTCATAATAAAAGTTGACTAACAAATCAATCCTTCTAGCCGAGTACATGCCTAACTTGGTTCACTCCGCTTTGTTACAGGGTCATGTCACTCAAGTTTGTCCCTGTTCATAGCTTCCGTTCCTGGACTTTATCCTCAACCCACACTCCACAGTAAGCTCACATCTAGGCAAATATAGGTACATAGATGGAGGCCCTGCCTTGATTGTCAGCCAGCGAGATATGCTTGAAACACGGCGAGGGTGGTCTCGCAACGTGTCTGATGGAGAGAATGATAAACCCGAAAGCCGATTAAATTGTCATGGCAGGGTACTTTTTCTGCTACCCCGTACTATTCCACAATCGAATATCGAGGGACTTAATCTGACCAAAGCTTGTTGGGTTGCCAAGCTGTCGATCATCTTTGCCGCGCGGCAGTGCTCGACGCCGCCTCCTCAATTGATGCCGGCACGGACTGGGAACTGATTTGATGGTAGAGGGAACTGCTTTCCAAGCGTACTGGTAAGAGTCTCTACCCCAGATGTCATCGCAGACAAAAAAACGTATGAATTAAAGGACAGAATATAGTTGAAAGGGAAGTTACTGCTGCGTGAATAAACGACTAAGTCACTTGAATCTATTCAGCCCCATTTTCGGGATGCAGACATGTATTCTTGGAGGATACCTCAAGACATCCTTGTGTCGGCGGTCGCCGATACAATATCGTGGGGCAGACGCTGCCACATGACTTTCGACTGAAAACCAGGGTCTGAAACACAGCTGCATGTAAGCCTTGAGCTCTTTCGATGTTTGTAAGTTCCGCTTCTGGTAGCGAAGGAATGCCGCTTAGGATAACTGGATTGTGACTTGGCTCGCTTTGATATTCAGACTTTGATCACGTGGTTGGACTTGGACCAGGCTGGCGCTGACAGCTTTAGAATCGAGCAAAAGAGAGGATAGAGGCTACATAATTACTGAGACTATCATTTTTTATGTGTATAATAATTGCCACAAGAAACTCATCTTACCCTTTAATCTAACTAATATTTATGGTTTTCTTCTTCCCCAAAACCATTTATTATTGCCACTTCCTGCGTCTCTAATAACACTGGTTTGCTTCCTAATTTCATAAGCAGGAGTTCAGCCCCTTGGTTTGATGTGTCTGGGCGCGTGATTGTTGTTCCCACCAGGAGTCTGGGATCATGCTGACCTGCAGCCCACTTTTCAAACCCTCCCATGAGGCATTTTGGACCACAATTGTCCCCCTTTAGCGCACACTTGATTGAAAGAGCACCTCCATCGTGTAAGTCCCGGGTGAAGGCCACGTTGAAAGCCATCGTTACCATGGCGCCGCTTGGAACATCAACTATCGCTTGGCTCCGTGAGCGACGCCCCTTCAAGTCGCCGCCCCCGCCCATGCCTTGTCTGCCAGCTGAACGCCCTCGTCCTCTTGCCCCATCGTCACAATCCCGGACGGGAGCTAATAAGAGCCCCCTGTTCAGCCGGCTGCCTTACGATGTCCTCCAGGCCATACTCCGCTCAGCATTTGCGGACTATGTGCTGCATATTGAGCTCGATTACGACCATCCCATGATGCCGTTGAAGAATCCGGCCAACAGGCATGGAGCTCGCAACGGCGGCCGGTACTGGCAGCAGTCAGAAAAACCTCCACATACACAATCGGATCATTATGTTCGTGTGGAAAAGTGGAGGTCCAAGAGGTGGCAGTGGTGGAGTTGCGTCTGTCACCGAAGCCACACCCCATTTGCTTCCATCAGAGGCACTCACTGGGCAGGATGGATGTCAGGGGATGATGCTTGGTATGATGCGTGCAAGTTTGGTGTCTGTGATTATTGCGAAATTATCCCTGGTGTCTGCCCGCAGAAATGTCACATTGGGATTATGGGTTGGCTACTATCTTGCCATCAGGCGTGAGAGCTTCTCTTTTTCTATTGTTCTCTTAAGAATAATGGCTGACAGCAGAAATAGTTACTGTTTGGGCATCAAAGTATTGTACTCCATGAATACTTTCCATTTGTCCAACCCAGAGCTTATTCTCAACCTATCTAAACTGCTGCTGCCATCACGACTCGCTGCAATTACCAGCTTGGAAATGTTGTGGAAAATCCACCCCTTTAGGGAGGAGAATGACCACGACCCGCCTTACTCGGACTATGAGACGTTTCTAACTTTGGCTCAGAAAATCCCCATCATTTTTAAAGGTCTCCGAAATCTGTATCTCTCACTTCAGGGAGACCTCTACATGGGTAATACTATTGACTACGAAGGAGATTCCAAACAAAAATTTGATCTTGTCGAAGATCGCTTGATGAGACCTTTGGAGGCCATGATACGGAAGCTGAGTTGTATTGAGATCTGTGTCATCGCGCTGCCTTCTTCATGCTACGGGCCTGAGAAGTGTTTTGCCATGGAGAGCGGCTCCCTCATTTTTGAAAGGAGGTCTATCGACGGGCAGCAAGAAAGGAGAAGAGAAGAACTTTGGAGGGAACTAGGCGAATGCTCGTCTTCTGGATTCCACGGCTATTGGATTCAGCTAGGCCACCGTGACCTTCGCATCCCGGAAATGGGATGTGGGATTGGCAGCGCACCTGTGCCCAAGGATCACCCGCTCAACGTCCTCTATGAACTTCATCGCTCACCTTGGTAGGGAGCAAACACGATATTACAGGTGCCGCACTTCATACCGCAACAAAGAAGAGTCAGAAACTTATCCTAAAAACGGTATAGTGATTCCTATGATTCTTTTAGATAATATCAATTTGTAAGGGGGGTTGCGATTTACTCTAAGCTTTTAAAGTAGACTTTCAGACCTCTTTGAGAGTATCAGCGATCATGCTGGCTGTCGATGATGATCGTAGTTCCTCTCTTGCCACTATTATGTACTGATAACACCCTTCATAATCATGGCCCATCTCCCTCCGCCGGATCAACACGATATATCACTTGAGCTGTGTTGAAATATGCCTCGTACTTGGCATTCGCATCTAAACCATTGTGGTAGTGCCCCCCCACGCTGTCCGTCTCACCCGAGAAGCAATGCGAATGCTCCAGGCGCAGTCTCAAGCCTGGATCTGCCGAGTGAAGTACAGACAGGCAAACAACAGGATTGTCGAAATCACGCCACTGTAGCCAATTGTTAAAATCGACGGTGTTTGACCATGGTACTTCGCTCGCCGGTGGGAAATCGGGCATGATATGGTAGTTTGCATTGCCTGACTTGACCAGGAACACCCCACCCAAGCTGATCGGCACGTCATCGCCATAGATCGAATGGATACCCTGACGCACAGTTTCACTGAAGCTAATATTCGTGACATACGGTTGCTCAGCTTCAATCTTCAGCACGAGTCCTGACTCCCCGAGAGAACCGTAGAAATTGCCCATCAGACCAATGTTGTCGCTAGGGCTTTTGTCCACATGGATATTACCGGAAGGAGTAACTTGAATATATCGAGCTTCGTTTCTCAGGTTGTCGAACCCCCCTTCCCAGCTCAGACTAGCTGCGAGTTCCGTGTTATAGTCCAGGTCCACGTAAGGGCCACCTGCTGCGCCGAGCAAGGACCCCTTGTCGGGACTCAATCCAATTGCTTTGGCCACTTCTTTCAAAGACCACGACTTGTCCGCTAGGGGTAGCGGATACAGATTCCCTGGACCTCCAACATCGACAACACGAGCATCACCTGAAAGCCCCTCGGCGGCGAGGTAGAATGGTGCCTCGGCGAAATTGGGAGAGGTGACAACACTGACAGTGGCGGATTGAAAACTGGAAGATAGAACCGTTTGAAGATTCCCGGCGATGTCTTCCAGACTTGGTGGCGATAAGGGAAAGCTACTGGCTTCTAATATCATCGTGAACTGACTGTAAAGAAAGATGGTCTAGAGACTTTGCTACGGAACATGAGAACTGTTAGACGAAGGAATGAGGTAGGCATGGCATCACTTCAGGCTAGATATAGCGCGTTCCCTCCTGGACTACCCGCTACTATCCGGTTGCTGAGTTGAACAGTCCTCCTTTTGTTCATAATGTTGTGTGCATAGTGGGTATAGTAGGTCTATCAGAGTGGGATGTGGGATATAGCGGGACTCTGTTACAAATGGCCCCATCGCATACAACGTCACGTCTTATTAAGGAAGGAGAATTCCTATCTGACATATTCGTGATTTTCACCGCTAATTGTACGATTCTATAGTTTCGAAATGAGAGAAAAATCCAAATTTGAATAGTGTCAAGTATCATAAGGCTGTGGCGCAACGAACCACGAGTGAGGTTTGCGATGGACAAAGTTTGCAAATTGTCAAAGACTAGTGTATCTCATCCTCATTGCTACACGTGATAAACTTGACCTTATAGTGACGAGAATTACTTGTGTAATTCGGCCAGGAACAGGCCGAGAAGAGAGGGTTTAAAAACGGGGTTCATCAACGGACTTCCTGGGGATTACATGGGCCCGACCTCCACGGTCGCCATCACGGTTCTAGTTATATTGTGGCTATCATCAATCCGAACGCTCAGTAGTATCTTGAAATCTAGTAGATTGACTCACGACTAAGATTTACACAATGTGAATGAGTGACCTCAAGCTAGTAGCATCACCAGGTGATGATTTTTTCCTGGCCAGACACTCCGTCAATATACTCCTGCCACAGCCTGAGGGATGCTATGGCACTTCTTTCCCCTAAGAATTTAAAGCTGGTAACGAAAACACGATACAGCGGATAAGTGCCGTTGTCAACCTCTTCGACCCCTGTATCTTTTAGGATAGGAATGCGCTCCTGGGCATCTGGTCTCGATTGATCTAACTTCAAATCCTCCATCTCGCGTTCAAGTATGGCCTCAAGGATGCTGGCTGACATGAGTGTATCCCAAAAACCCTCGAGTCTCGGTCGACGGAGAAGCGATATGGCACGTTTTCGCGTATCGTACCCGAATCCAAACTGGACAAGAGTTCGTATAGGGTTGGTTAAACCAAGCCTTGGAAGGATGTATTCTCCATTTCCACAACCGTAACCATGGGCCTCCATATCAAGCACCTCTTCCATTAGATCGACTATCGTGCTACATAGCTCCGGTAGCTTTCTCAATCGCGAGACAGGGTTCGGCGTATCTGGGTCCGTATTGAGGAGAAGGGAGTTGGCCAGTTGGTAGATGCGAATATACTTCAGACCTTTGCGAATCTGGTGTCGGACTACTGGTCCCCAATCTGACTCGTCCGAAGACGAGGAAACCCACTGCTCAAACGCTGCCATGGTACGTTGGATCTCTGAATAGCAGACTGTGTAAGGCCTTTGCTTCCGCGTGATTGAGGGAAGTTGTACTCGCCGACTTAAAAAAAGGTTCTTTAAGTCCTCGGCATGTTTGTATGTAAAGAGAACGAGCTCGAACATCAGTGACTCGCTTGCACACATGGCCAATCTTAGGTTCTCAATGGCAAGACCTTCTTCGGGGATTGAATCTTGGTCGAGGCCCTGGTAGGAGAGACTGAGGCTAGATTTGGTGTTGCCCGGCGGTTTGGGCGCTGTTCTTTCGGCCGCGTCTCCAATCTCGAGTAGTGAGCGGTCACGTACCTGGAAGCCCGCCAATACAGCCTGGACCGACGAAAGGGCTACGGGGCAGGATCGTAGGACGAGATCACGTTTCCCAGGTTGGCGTTTTGCCCCCTTTTGCCCCGCTTCCTCGAGCTGCTGATAAATTTTAAACCCATGTTTGAAGTGCAAACGTGCCTGCTCAAAGCGTCTATCAACAAGACTGATGCAGATGAACAAGATGCACGTGGTGAGAACACGCCATTGGCTCTCCATGTGGTTCGAGCGAGGCTGGGTGAGCTGCTGGATCGCCAGGTTGGCCTGTTGAAGAGCAAAGACATTCGGTTCTTCCGGCTCTGCGCGGTCAAACTTGTAGTCACGACAGAGAGCGCTGAGGGCTATGACGGCGTGGAAGACGGCGTCATCCAGCAGGCAGAACCGCGGGATCTCACGGGACCAGAATTCTGTATCGAAGGGCCCAGCGAAGGTGGGGGCAATGATGGCAATGAATTGGTCGACGGCTAGCTCGCGCGGATTCCGGCGAGGAAGCAGGAGTCTCGCACCTGTGGCAACGTTGTCTGCCGGGCCCTTGCTGGGTAATGGGGATGATCGGGACGTCGATGGCCCCCAGCTACATTTGCGGCTGTTGCTTCGACAGCGATAGCAGACAGGCTTCCGCTTGTCGCAGCGTATCCCCTCATTCCTGGGAACAAATCTATGGTCAGCGGCTGGATACCGGCGATTGCCCTTCTCGGCACACGCCCCGTCGAGGAGAAGAGAATACATAAGGGAAAGCAAGGGAAAGCGAATACGGTCCACTTAGAGGCCAGTAGCCAATGAATAGGTACATACCTGCAGGTGAGACAACCATGACCTTTTAAAGGAGGAAATGACCGCACTGGAAGAGATTCGCCCATCAGGCTATTTGGGGTTCAGAGTTGAGTAGGTAGACAGCACGAGATTAACAATGATGAAAAACGGGACAGATGAAAAGGGCCCTGGCGTTTCGGAGTTGCAAGGATCAAATCATGAGTGAGTGATGTTGCCTCCATGTCTGACTAATGAGTTTAGGCAAATGGATACCCTAGAGTCACAACAATGGACATCTTGACATCAACCTATTCATCAACGTTCAAAACTCATACTTTATGAGGGAGACATTCCTGTAATTTTTCTCTTCTAGGCTAAGGTTCTACTTGAATCAGTTCCTTGGAATTTCGTTCAACAGATCAATGAATGATGCTAGAGTTTGCTTTCAGCCCTTCTTGCATAACGTTTTGTACAACCATTCTCATAGTTTCGCCTTTCGCATCCGGATAAAGCTCCTGGAAATCGAGATAGCCCAAATATTTGGCGATTTGTGGAGTGTTGTCGCCTCTGAGTCCGTATGAATTGTAATACTGGTTCATGATGACTTTGAACTTGGCTTCCCAATCGTCTGGGTTTGCTTCGAGCGCTGCTTTCCCGGCAGCAAGGTCCTCGAATATCTTCTCTGCCGATTTCTATTTTTCAATGGATCGTTAAAATCTTTTCCTCAAAGTCCGTCGGGTGAGATCTTACATAGATTTTTTGTGTCTTTTCTCCACTTTCTTCCTCGATGATGTCGACAACTTCGTTATATGTCAAGACGTCGGTGTAGCATAAAACCTTTTGATTCAATGTTCGAGGATCGGCGAGGACTCGGGCTATATATGGGCCGATGTCTGCTGTGCTTGTAAAGGCACACTTGACATTTCCATCACCTGGAATTATGCGCATTCGTTCAAGAAACCAATGGCTCGTTCGGCCGGACGGGAGCGGCGCAGCCGACAAGGCTTCTTGAGACCACCACCCAACGTCGATCACGGTATAGGGGAGATGCAGGGTGAGGATTTCATCGAGAATGTCCAGTTTCTGTTACTCGTCAGCCATACTCCCTCGTTTGTTTCCCGACAAGTGTTTCTCGTACCAAGTCATTTGTCAGGTTGATGCCGCGAATGCCTGGTGTCCCAAAGTTACAAGGAACGAATCTCCCCACACCGGCCTCCTTGGCAGCTCTAGCAAGTGTCACCTGATCGAGCAAGGCGTTGAAGTGGAGAGCGGCGATTACAATGTCGATTCCCTGCAAAATCTCAACCAGGTCTTGTTTCGCGCCCTTTGTGTCGGCTTTGATGACAGTGACGCCACGCGCTCGAAGCTTCTCGTTGCTAGCACTATGGAAAGAGGATTCCCTGGTGATGTTGAAGATTTCCTAATCATTAACGGGTTAGTTTTTCCATACTGCGTTCAATGTCGACTTGGCCACTTACAAAATTAGTGCTAGAGGCGAGAAGACCGTCCACAATAAGTGAGCCGGTCTGGCCAGTGCCACCAAAAATTGCAACCTTGATTGGAGTATCCATATTGTGATTCTGTCTCGTGATTGATTTGAGAAGTTTGTGTAAGTTTGGGTTTGTTTAACGACTGTTGAAGCCGCAATTATATACGAGCAGATTCTTTGAGCAAATCCATTCTGTGCCATATTCACCTTCCTAAAACGGATAGAGTGTGGGATGAGGCCCTGAGGCATCTTCGCATTAGAAGTGGCCATAACGGCATCATTAAACTGCCCGACCATGGATTAATCGGACGATTTTGCCCCGATCATTAGAAATCAAGTTTGTCGGTCTGTAATGAGTCTGAAAAGTTGGCCTATTGAGAGGGAGAAGGCAGCTGCCCAAACTGCAGTGAGGAAAAGCAATACTGACCCACGGTTTATGCTTAAATTAGCTCTTTGGAATGATGTAGCACTTTATGTACTCTATGGCGCCAAGAATCCGTCCTAATCCGCTGGTTGATGGTACTCTTTGGCACTTTGACCATCATAAGAGCCCAGTAGATAAGATGTGCAATGTCTTTCATTCCATTCAACCAGGTTACTCTTTTCCCGTTGCTACGACCTTCATTTAGCTTGAATTGTGTGCCTTGTAACGCTCTATAGATCAGATCGATTTTGCTATGGCGTAGCTCTATAGATTAGCAACGAGTCTATTCGAGCCAATGACTTAAGGTGTGAGTGCAAGAGATGTCGCTCAACGACTTACACCTAACGCAAAATGTGTGAGAAGCGCATTAATCGCAGCGTTAACGTTGATTACTTACCCAGCGAGGGCCACGGCGACGTGAAGGTTCGACTAAAGGGTTTTCATAATTTACTCTACGCCTGCTTGGCCATAATTCTTGGCAATATGTTTATTCGATTGACTTCCAACGGCGTAAAGGTTGAATCAAGTCTTAATACTCAATGCATGGCCCCGCAGAGGGATCCGTACCATGAAACAGAAGACAACACCTGCTTGTCCTTGGCCTGCTTGGTTTGTTTTCATAACCGAATTCTTGAAAGTTTCTGAGCCAACGATCTTTACCAGGTCTCAGAGAGAGCGAAGACGCTGCATAAGAATGCAGCCTAGGTGGCGGGCTGTGAAACACGGGTGCTGAGAGGGTACCACCTCCCGACGCCGCGTGTTCTTTACGCGCCGCTAAATCAGCTCCCATGTATCAAGATAAAGCAATGACGAGCCCAATAGATGGTGGCCAGCGCACTCAGGCTAGCGTCGGATGCTGCATCTTACCTGCACGACTCACCGTAGCAGACGGCCTCAGCCGGACTGGGTACGGCTACTAAGTATAGAGAGTAGTCTTAGTGTGGTTGTTAAGACGGATGTGACCGAGCCCAGGGGTCCTATCTCCCTGTAGCTATCACGCGGAGCCTTACAGGTGGTGAATGGGACTGAGATCTTCTATGGGAATGAGCCCGATGGCGTTGTCTCATCTATATATTAGTTGAGAAAGATAAAGGGCTGAGCAGACATAAGTGCATTTAAAATAATCCTCTCTAGCTTTTCTAGCCTTTTCGTATAGAAATTCTATTCCAAGGAGACCCAGAGGCCGAGACAGTGAGCGCTTGGGGAGCATCGATTGGCGAGTTGAGCTGCTTTAGTTGTAACGCCCAAAGCTACGATGGAATGCTAAGAATCATTCAGCCCAGATAAGAAACGTATGGTCGATAAGGAAAGAGTTTTGGGACTTGTGGAAATTTATCCTATAATTTGGGTGCTTAAGCTTATGCTACAACTGCTGTGCTGTATAGTATCTGCTTGTTGCCCTTGACGGCCCCCGTCAGCGACCGTCCTGCTGGGATTCGAGATATGTGGCTTTTTATCTGTAAGGCTATTGGTAAGTCTAGGATATAACCGGGCGTCAGCCTGGAATAGAGCTAAATGATGCTATCGATCGGGTTGTAGCTTCGCTATTGCTCTAGTCGGCTTGGTCTATGGTAAAAGACTTGAAAAAGAAAGACCACTTATCAGCTAATTAGATCGTATTATTGTTGGGACTTTATAATATAGGTTTAAGGCCGGGTGAATGTTAATTTGAACGATGATCGCACCATGCCAAGATACCTTGGTATATATCAGCGAGGCTGGTACACCCGCTTGGAAAGGGCTGAGCTGAGACATGCATACACGCTGTCTCTTGCCGCTGTCGGGGTAGTATTATCCAAGGCTGGCATTGTCTAGCAATTTGATGGCCCAAATTAGTCGTTCAGCTCACCTGGAGGTTCAGCTGATATGCATTGCTGATGACTTTCGTCAGTGTTTGGTGTACTATTGCTTAGAGGCTGGCCAATTGTCCCATCAGATTTGCCGCCCACGCTCCGGGGCTTCAGATTCAAAGGCTCCGGGGTTGATTGAAGAGTGAGCCTGATCTGGCCGGCGATGCCTAGGTTGAAGCCTCTTGGAAAGAGTATTTATTTACGTTGAGTTCTACGACGGCTGCTTGTATCTTAGACTTCCCTCGCCCACAAATAATTTACCTAACTTTCTTTACGAAGAACTACAAAATAGCTATATTTGTTCTATTTACTCTGTGCTTCTATCTTTTTATCTCGGCTGTTGCTGCTGACCCCTTGGTTAGTATTGCTGCAGCCTATGATGCTGAGATTAATAATGGCTGGGCGCGTTATGTATATTGGCTACGCCCAGACGGTAAAATTATGATACAGGGTTGAGATACGGCTCCTAAGGAACGAGAGGAGATTTAATAAACAGTTAAGCCTTAAGATAATTCCCCTCTTGCTGCTCTCTATCGCTACAAGGATACCGGGGTACGTCAGGTAAGCTTGTTTTTTTTTTTTTACTCCCTCTCTGTATTTACTTATCTTCTGCCTAATAGCTTTTCGTATCGTACCTCGATAAAGAGGGTAATATGATTGATGTCGTGTGCCGCCATGAAGGAGATAAATATGTCGATTAGAGTACTTACCAGCTGAAGTATAAGGCATCCTCTGGACTGGCTCTTGCTGAAGCGGATTATAAGCTTTGATGATTCTATATCGACGATGAGTATTATATTATATAAGCAATAGAGAGTAAGATAACTCGACTTGGACCAAAGGCTGCGCGGGGATCCTAAGTCTCGGCTATAGTTCCTATTGGGTCTACTGATATTCATGTCTTCTTTGATTCTGAGGATAAGAAATCCCTTGTGTCTCTTATATATAACGGAACGATCAATAAGTGGTCTATAGGTATGATCACAAATTATAAAAGTCGGCAAGGGAATATAAACTGACTATTGCTGGTATTTATCAGGCCATCTACCCGCTATTAAAGATTTTACTAAAGATCCAAAGTCCGGTTTCTCTGCTGCGGCCTGGTTAAATCCCTTAATTATCCGGGTATTTTATATTAATAAAGACCGACTTACCAGTGAGTGGACGTTAGATGGCGGATTGTGGATTAATATAACTGATACCTTGTCGACCAGTCTTGGAGCTGAGCCTTATGGCCCTGTTGCGGCTTCTCGCAGTGTGAATGGCTCGGGGAGATACCTTGAATATTTCTATACTGCAGATGGGGCCTAGATTAATTACCTGGCTAAGAACTCTGAATATAGCGCTCTATTTAAGATTGAGGTTTCTAATTTCGATTTCCCTAAGGATGAGCCACTCTCTCGAGAGGAGAATATAAATCTTGGGGTTGGTATTGGGGTGGGTCTTGGGGTTGGCATTCCGACCTTGATTGTTGCCGTGATAGGATTGAAATGTTGGAAACGACGCAATAGAAAGGATATAGAAGAAATAAGCGCTCGGTGTGTTGAAGTGTGTGGATTGGCGTACAAGAAGCCAGGTGAAGAGGGCAGCTTTAGTAGTCATTCGACGCGCAGCTCGTCCTGACGGCAAGCGAGTCATCGACATGAAGGTTTGTAGAATTTTCTGCCGTATGACTGCAGCCTTGGGCTAGCAAAGCTTATTCTTTTTAACCTTTCGTATTCATTGTGCTGAGTTGTTGGGTCTGACTTCTTCTTTTGTTTTAACTTTCTATCTATCAAAACTCTCTCCGGGATAGAAGAAACAAGCAGCAGTGATCAAGACTGATCGCATGACGACTATGGCCGGTATTGATGTTGTTGTTGTACCCCAAGGCTAGCGGTTCGATCTAGAATATCAGAAGCTTGAAGAATGTTTTTACAGTGTTACTTTCCTACATGCAATAAGAGTCTTCCCCTTTCCGACCCTTTACACCGACTTGCAAAGCCGCGAAGCCATGCCATAGTATAAGTCGTTGTCTACGTCTGATTCAGCATTCTTCAGAGTTGGAGAGGGTTTTCCAAAAAAAATAGTTAATGATCTCAGATCAAGGAGACTTTTTATAAAAAGAACTGGGAGCCGTTTTACTATCATAATAACACAGCACCATGAATGTTTGAGACTAACTAGAGTAATGTCATAGCGATGACAACTCTTCAACTTAACTGCTCTTTTTTAAACATAGAGTAAAAGGTTCCCGGATCAGAAAAGGGACATGCATATCGTGCATAACTACTCTAGTCCATTATTTGTGCCAACTTTGATATGATATTTATTACCTGGGACTGATGAAAATGATTTGATAGTGAAGCTTGATGAAAATTCGTCCATTTTCTACTATCTTATTGCTCTTAAGATTTCGTTATCGCGATAGGAGTGCTAGAAGCTTATATGGGATGTCAGAAGAGCAAGTGCGATAGCTATGCATGCCATGTAGTAGTTGCTACGAAAATGGGAAGGGAAGTCTTAAACACCAAGAAATATGCAATTTGATGTTATACCCAGCATCAAAATGCGGTCAACACATCAAAGCTTAGCCTTCGTGCCCAGCCACAAGGCTTACGCCCGGCCGTACATGAGGTTCAAGGCCAAACTGACCACGTGGCTTAGAACAACAATGGATACTAAATGGTGACGAAATACGACCGAAAGATGAAGATGATATCTCCCATTGTGACTATTCGCGATTCGCAAAATTCCTTGTGGCAGCGGCTGGTGAATCAAGCTGCGAAAGTCAGGATGATAGGGCTTATTGTGATTAGCTTTACGAAGACTACATCGTAACCCGGGTAAAAGTTTGCTATACTTCTTACGCAGTGAGAAAAGGGGCTGGCTGGTTTTCCCGGGCTTTTCGTCATTTGTACCGCTCGAAGCAGAGCTCATTTGGGGTTCAAGATTAAGATCATCATTCCTTGGAGCTATACAGTTATGCGGCAGCTGCTGAAAAAAGGGACAAATTCCCAAACACCAAGAATTTAACAACTTGACACCATACCCAGTATCACAACACATTAAACTTCAGCCTCTTTGCCCGGCTACGAGGCTTGCGCCCGGCCGTACATAAGGTTCAACAAAAATGAGGTGGGCGAGTATAAGAGAGATTACCGTCGCTTTTCCATATCATGAACCATGCGTTTCCCTTATTTTCCAGGAATAGAGAAACCGGAGTTGAAGAGTTATCCTTCAAATACCGTGAGGTTAATCTAGATGCGCGTATTAGCTTCCGAAGCTCTTGAGTAACAAGCTTTGACGCTATTCACATCGCCTTGATGGCTGAGCATGTGGCACATGATACGCATGGAGGCCCCGCAAGATCATAGTAAAGACCGAAGGAAGCCTTCTAGTGTGAAAGTATATTTTGCAAGCAAGATTTAAATGCATCATTTTTTTGCTATAAATGGCCACCATCCTCTTCCTTCTTACAAACCCTACTTCTTGCCCATCAATGCTCAGCTCGAATCTACGAAACAAATTATACGTTACGGATATATCACATTCTGTCCCTCTCATCCTAAGAAAGAAATTCTTTTCCGCAAGTCTGCACCCAATATCTCGCCAACAAACACAAAACGTCCTAGCCTGCCGGACTTCGCGTTACATTATGCCTGGACACTTGGAATTAACCATGTCTACCGGGCCTCAAGAAAAGGTTATAGGAAAAGATCAGCCTCCGTCTTATATATCACCACCTCCACTTCAGGTGCACTGGGACTTTCGATGTCTGGAGAGCCACAGAGCCCGCCAAGAAGGCTCATCCATCGCAGTGGAGCTTGGCCAATTCCTCCCTGGCAAGTTTGGGGGTGGCAAAATCAACTTCGCAATGGTATCCAATCCTTTCAGTGTTAAAGACTCATGGTGGGAAGCGAATGTGGATATCAGCGTCAAGAGCTTGCCCGACTCGATGAGGGAAGGGTGGTCTTGGTCCGAAGACAACATCGACAGAGCCGGAGGCCAGCTCATCATTAAAAGGAGCGATCTTCACCAAGTCCAACAACAGGCTGGCTGGTGCTGCGGTCGTAGATACAAGCTGGTTGACCAGGCTGAGGATCCTCAGTGGGAGGCAGTGGTTTGGATCTACGCCAAAGACCTGCAAAGTTTAGCCTGCGTTAAACTAGACAAGCTCCTCCATGAGAAGGCGTATGCGACGTGGGCAACAAACGAAAATAATCACCTGGCCTACGTATTCCACCGAAAATCACACCATCTCAATTTTAACGCCATCCACGATGAGATGCCATTGACTGGCTGGTGGCCGTGGCCACGAACTGAATGAGTTTCGCCTCTAGCTTGTAGATGGCTCTGTTGAAATTGACCACCCTAAAACTATGACTTGGGGGAGGAGATTTCTTGGGGGCAAAGCACTATCCAGATTAATTTGACAGTAATAGTAAATAGTATTTGAAACTCTCCATTAACAATTATGGAAGAAAATCGTGATTACCAAACCCTTTGTCAAGATCATGCATGTCAACATAGGAGCAGTAGTGGAAAGAGGTATGCAAGTAAGTTACATGTATGTATTACCTAACTGTTGGAAAGCAGGGCAGTTACGGGACGCGAAGCAATCGACAAACTGATGCAATACCTAACATCACAACATGGGCAGCACGTAAAAATTCAGCCTTCTTGGCCGTCCACGTGGAGACTTGCGTCCGGCCGTACTTGATGTTCAAAAAAGAGTCGTCATCATTGCGATGCCTCACTTTACCTCGGGTGTGGTTCCTTCTTTCTTAGATGTGAGTCATCGAAGTGATGTCGTCACCACCTTGTTGTTTCTTTTCCGCAATGGTCAATCTTTCCAGGAACAGGGTCATGGAGTATTTTTGTCGGAGGGAGAACGAGGTTACTGGAAGGAGTGTACCTTAAGTTATCGAGGTTTTGGGAATGGTAGGTGCATACCTTGGTGAGTTGAAAGTGTGGATAGATGGTTGAATACATAATACCAACGCGCTCTGCAGTGAAATAACTGACAATACACACTGACATTGTATTATATATTTCTTAACTATATATTATCGCACTGAATAATCTGACAATAACTGTCGTATACTCGAAATTAAGCAGCTTAATGTTTGAATGTCTCTTTCAATGTCACGAATCAACATGAGCACCCACTAGTAGGTAGTACCTGTGACTACCTCCCGAAGGTAAGTAAGTGAATGAGGTCCTTCCTCTCGATGTACTTGCTTTTTCACTGAAACTTACATTGGCAGGTACATTGCCCCAAAGGAAATATGATGTCTACCTACCTTTCTTAAGCTGGACGCGTGCTCGAATGTTTTTCTTCTTCTCTCTCCTCCTCAGACAAACATAAGCGATGTCTGAGTATGTCCAAACTTGTCTGCCCGGTTTCATTTCCAACCAAAAGGGATCGGCTAACCTTGGATTGACAGACACATGATCTTCCGCTTTGAGTACGGGCTACCAGCCCCGGCTGCTCCCACTTCCACCTCAGCCCCTGCCTCGCCCGCCCAGCCCTCGCTGGCCCCTCTGCCGTCGAACCGCCCCGACGAAGGGTCGACCTCCCGAGTCCCGCCAACTTCGTAAGTACTTGACAAGGGTAGAATGTTTGCTGTCGTTTGTTAACCAAGACTGGCAGTCAGTCGCCTGCCTCGACGAAGGGGACTCGGGAGGCCGACCCCGAGTTGGGGGTGGTCGGCAGGGAGCTTGGGCTGGGCGTGGTCGTGAGGGGGCCGGGGGTGGGGGGGCCGGGGCAGGTAGCCCTTCACCTCGGCGCCTGGGGGATCGTGATGTTTTTTTGCGGTGTTGATAGCCCTTGTGGCTATGTCCATTTTTAGGACATAGCGGCGCCGTTGTTTTTTGTTTGTCTTCTTTTTTTTTTTCAAAGTAATAGCAACAAGCTTCATTTTTCCACGTCACCAGCTCCAAATGTGAATCGTAGAGGATTTGTCGGGAATGTGTAAGAATATGAAATCTGGCCGACGTGAGACGGAAGCCGGTCTCTAGGGCTGCCAACTGGGCATTTTCAAGGGGGCGGAGCAAGTTAGGCGGCAAGCAAGGGTTGGACTTGATACTACCTTACCTTGTACCTACTTAAGCATTATCCCCACCAATTTGGATGTAGCCATTGTTATTGTTTCCTGAGTCTGGTATTTTTTCCCGAGTCTATTATTGTTTCTTGAGTCTTCCAAGTACATATCTAGAAACATTTTTGTTGCAGCTGCGATGGACTGTAGCTCACAGGACGAGATGGGCGCCTGTCCGACCTCGACGGTAAGGGACTCGCAATGTCAGGGGCATCCCCGAAGGACGGACACGTGTGTCGAGTATTGGACAAAGTGGGATGAGTGGACACCAGGGTTGAAGGATTCTTTTCAGGAGCGCCATATCGCTCAGATGGAAGACTTCATCAGGCATAGGCTCCAAGTATTCATGAGCCTTGAACCGGAGCTCATAGGTGCAGTCAGTATGTATCAACTTGATATTCTGAAACCTCGGTAAAATTGCTAATCTCGAGGGGACAAGATATACCCGCTGTATCCTTTCCCGAAGAACCTGCAGAGGATGCCTCGTACGAAGAAAAACAGAGATACCTCATAGATTCATACAACGTCGCCATGGATATTGCCCTGCCAAAGAAGCATGACCGATGGCCTAGGCAACGGCGACTCTTACAAACCTCCCTAACTAAATATCGCCCTTTATATCAGGAACTCAGGCTTGAAGACCCCACCACAACCATCAGACTCCTGGAAGTCCTCCCCGGCCCACCGGACGACCCCGTGATCAAGACACGGCTTTTCAACGCAAGCCTCCATTCCTTGGGTCACAAATATGAGGCACTCTCCTACGCCTGGGGTAAAGTGGCGAGCCTGAGGGAGATGCGCTCTATTCACGTCAACTCTTTCAAGCTGCCAGTCACTCCGAACTTGTATAATGCGCTGATCTCACTTCGCCAGCCAGATCGCCCAAGAATGCTGTGGGTCGACTCAGTCTGCATCAACCAGGGTGACCTCAACGAGCGCAGGGAACAAATCGTGCTCATAGCTCACATCTACTCCAAGTCCGAGCGAACAGTCGTGTTTCTCGGGCCATCAACTGCAAAGACTCACGCGTTTTTCACGTTTCTGTCACTGCCCATCTGCCAACTCTCTCACTGCCAAAAATGCCAAAAAGATCATGCGTGGCCCTCGCGGAACCAGGGCCCCGTTGAGGCTTGTGCCGAGGCTGGGTTAGACGAGCAGGATGTTGTAGATGGCTTCGTGCAAGTTTGCAGCATGTCGTGGTGGACCAGGGTATGGATTCTTCAAGAGTTCATGCTGAGCAGATCAGACCCATTGATGCATTGCGGTCGCGATGCAGTCTCAAACCGTCAGCTAACAGTAAACGTTGACTACATGTATGGCTGGATCCACGATCGCAAGACACACCCGGAACCTGTCATTGGCTGCACTGCTTACGGAGGAAATGTTGGGCAGCAGGCCGACGACGTCGGTGACGATGGCTCGGAAGACAATGAGCATTCTACCACGAGCGAAAATCGCGAAGCCGCCAATGATCTCAGGGGTGATGACCTGTCAGTGGCGAGCGGGCACAGTGGCGATAAGAGAGACTATTTTGAAGTTGTCCGCCGCCGTCTTAGGGGCCTTCGTCTTGCTCCAAGAAGCACGGACGGCCACGAGTGGAACATATGGGGAGCTCGCGTCTGGATGGTAAAGAATGTCTTGAACGGACGCACCCTTTGCCGGCCGTGGAATGGCGCCCGGGATGTCTACAAGTCTCTCAAATCCAACTGCAGCGACCCCCACGACATCGTCTATGGCGTGCGAGAATTGGCAGACCACGCCTTTCGGGACATGTTCATACCTGATTACACTGTTTCAGTCTCGGACCTCTACACAAAGCTGGCAACCTACCTCATCATGATGGAGTACTGCTCAGACCTGTTCTGGCATTACCCTCACCGCCTCAAGGATAAATATCCAAGGGGGTCGCAAGAGTTTACCAGCATCCCCTCGTGGGTTCCAGACTTTACTCGGCGTGTCGAGCCCAAGGCAGCAGATAGAGTCCCTGACCACGGAGCTAAGCCGATTAGAAACAACCCATTCATCGTTGATCGAGTCCTGTTCTGCACTGGGTGGGTCTTGGATGAAATCTTCCAAGTGTTTCCCCTTCCCAAAAATGATCCCTTCAGATTATTGCAGCAGCTCTGGTACATCGAGAGATCGCATGGATGGACTCCTTACGAAGTAATGAGTGGGAAACCTTCCTTTAATCTCCACGACTGGGACAAACCCAAGGATACAAAGCCATCCCTCAGGGGCTTTCATCCCTTTCCTAGCGTCGCGTGGGCAACAGACAGATCTGGCTCGTCGGATGGCCGCTCCATTGTGCAAACTCTTGAGGCATTCATGGATCTCGAGGGTATGGTTGAAGTTTTTGACAACGGCTTTGGGCTAGCAAATCCTTGCCTACGACGTATCTTTGATAGGGAAGGAAAAAGATACGGACCGTCGGCCTCACGCGAAGACCGGGACGAATTCTTGGAGCGAGCTTCCGGCATTCATCACCGGCTTGGTGATCTCATGCTTGAGTTTATGCGTGAGGGGGATAAAAGAACCGACTTTATTGGGATCTGTACTTTTGATTTCGAGGGTTTACGCGCCCAAGTCCTCCACAACTTGATACCCATGACGCCTTGGCAGCCTCTGAGAATGAGCCGACCAAAGTTTGTCAACGAAGAGGTCGACAACATTTGCAATCCTCCCATAGTCAACGCCGACTTGCAGAGACCAATAGTCTACAGATCACTACTTGCATTAATCAACAAAGGTATTGAGGACGTCGAGGAGCGTATTATGCGGCGGGAGATTGTCATGAACTTCGCCCAAGTCGTGCACGATGCTGCGATGGAATTAGTGGGGGGACAGAGTGAAGTCACCTATGAGTATTTAGGTGATAAGTATGCTCACATTTTGAGACGCATTGTGGAATCCAGTGATCAACTCAATGCTGATCACGGCCTTCATAACGACGATGGGAGTAATGCCGGTGGACGTGAGGGTACTATCATGGATCATTTCGTCCTATCACCATTTAATGATGGCGAGGCCGATAATAGCCGCCCTGATAGTGCCCTTATCCTCTGCCAGTCATATCCGGAAGATGACGATCCTCTTTTAGAAAGGATGTATTTCGACGAGGCGGGTCAGCCATTAGGACCGAAACCAGTCGAGAGCGCCTGCTCGTTCAAAATACTAAACAAGAGCACAATGATGAGCGAACCTAGGCACAGGGCTAGCAGCATTTATGGCGAGAATTCAAACGCTTCTGCCGACGAAGAACTTGACATAGAACCGCAACGCGCAGATGGCGACATGGGAGATTCGAGTTCTCCAGACGAAGCACAACGTGATTATCCAACCGATCCCGCGGTTCCTCCAGTTGAAGAATCAGAAGAAGACACTCACAGCAAGAATGAGACGTACAACACTGCCTCATCATCGAAAAAATCCCGACCTTCACTCATCCGTGGCGGACCGAGTGGCGAACTCTCCACGTGGCGTCGTACCGAGAAGCGCAAATCAACTCAGGTGCATCTTGTTTTCCAAGATCTGTGCGACTTTCTCGCTGGTCGAGAGTTCTTCATCACTGAGACAGGCCTAATGGGACTTACTGCGCCTGGCGTTCGAGGAGTCTGCGACGGCGACGACCTGCTCATGCTGCAGGACATGGCTTTTCCCATCGTTGCAAGGCTTGAGCCTTCAGAGAAACTGGGGAATCCCAAGATGCGACGCAGAGACATGCCGACATTAAGGATGCGAAGGGAAATAGTAGGCTCGGCCATTGTGCGTGGCATCGACACAAAGGGCGGCCAACTGGACAAGGTAGAATTCCCAGACCATTTTGAGCCTTTGAGTGGTAGGAGTTTAGGATTTTTGAGGATTAAATAACTTGCTGTTTCACGAACAGTCTACTTGCAGCACACTTGTCTCATTTACAGCAATGATACAAGTAGCTATGACATGACTCCCTTACTGAAGGTACTTTTATCAACTAAACAACACATTAGATCAAGGCTTTCTCAAGAATGGTCTCAAGGTGCCTATGGAACCAAGTTTTCCTTTATTAAATAGTACTACCGTGCCCAAGTTATTGTGAAAGATGCAACTTTACATGCACGGCTCCCGTGGAGACGTGTTTCATGCCAGTATCAATGTACAATAGTCCCTTATGTGAAAAGTAGTCACCAAGTGACATAGAAGTCCGCATGCTGGCGTGATAAGTACGTTGGGCTTCTCCCATCTTGCCCGCGTAATAACCCACGTAAGTGGGCTCTATGGAGGAGCGACCCATCCGAACAGACCCATTAAGTACAACTGAATAACCATCAGTGATCCTGCCATTGAATCTCATAGCTGTTCTTTCGACCCATCAAGGTAGTTTTAGAAAAGAATTGTTTGCGTTCAATAGTCTCCAGGTTTCTCCTTCATTGTCTAAAATCCGATCATACACTAAGATGGACACCAAGACCCCGGTGCTCACCACCAAGGCTCCCCCACCTCTTCCCGGTATCTACAGCCAGGCCATTATCGCCAATGGATTTGTCTACTGCTCCGGCGCTGTTCCCATGGATGCAGAGACGGGAAAGATCATCGATGGTGACATTCAAGCTCACACTGTAAGCATCAGATTCCTTCATATGAAGCAAAACCCAGCCGCATCAACCAGCAGCACTGACATTTCTTGCTCTCTCAGCATCAATGCATCAAAAACCTGAGTGCTATCCTCGAGGCAGCGGGGACAAGCCTCGACAAAGTGGTCAAGGTCAACGTCTTCTTATCGAACATGGATGACTTTGCGAAAATGAATAAGGTCTACTCCACCTATTGGGGTGACATCAAGCCTTGCCGAAAGTTGTTCTATATTCTTTGCCCGATCAGAATTTAAAAACATTGACATCCTCTAGATGCGTTGCTGTTAAGACGCTTCCTCTCAACACTGATCTCGAAATTGAGTGCACCGCAGTACTGTAATTAGCCGACGAATTAAAATTGAATTGATTCTGTAGCAAAACCTGCGCTTGGTAGAAATTACATGAAATTACATGAAATTACTATATTCATTATTTCAAAAGTAGATCACACCTTTGAGATTTTCACTCTAAGCATAGTCGATTACCTACCGAGAAGACTCAACACTGTCATATGTGGTGCAAAGGCAAAACTGGGAAAGTGAAAACCTACTCAGTAATACTTTAACCGTGATCAAAATCCAAGGCCAAAAAGGAAGGTTCAGATGAGCCTATTGGATCTGAACTATGAACACAGTGAGCAAAAGAAACGAATCCTATCAGACCAACTCATATCAAGTCAATTCCAGTTTTTTGGATCAAGTGATTCATATGAAAGGTTCTCTTCCAAGTAATTCCAGATGTAGATTGTTCTCTACCGAATTTTGATACCTACTTGAGAGCTTCCGCAAGCTTCTCACAAACCAGCTTCACACCATCTCTGCCCTTTTGTAGCACTGCGTCCATGACAATAAATGGATGCGGCACTCCTTCGATCACTGCTACTTCAGCCTGACTACCGAACTCTTTCATCTTCCGTGCGTATTCCTCTCCTTCCCACCGCAGCACATCCAAGCCGGCGACAACGATCAGTGCAGGTGGCAGTTTGGAGAATGTTTCAACAGTGGCATGAAGAGGCGATGCTTCGGGCGACAGCCAGTCCGCCTCATTTGGCAGGTAGTGACGTCGGTACCACAGCATCTTGTCAGCCGGTAAAGCCGCAGTGTGTTCATATGATTTGTATGTAGGGCTTGATTCAGTGGACGCAGTATTGTCCGTCACGGGAACTACCAAGATCTGGTATTTGAAGCCTGGCTGGCCAATAAACGCCTCATGCACGAGCGCTCTGTGTGTCATAATGGCTGCGAGATTGCCACCGGCGCTTGAGCCGCCAATGGAGAGTTTGGAAAGGTCAAGAGTCGTGCTCAAAGCGAGAGCCGCCGCACCTTTAACAACCCAAAGTACAGCCTCCCAAGCATCGTGGACTGCAGCAGGAAACGGGCTCTCTGGTGCCAGACGATAGTCTGTAGTAACGACCACGCACTCTGCGCTGACACACAGGTTGGTGCAGAGACTGTTTTCGGAGTCGATATTTCCCAATACCCAGCCGCCTCCATGGTACCAGAGGAAGACTGGCCATCCTGAAGGAGGTGGTGTTCCTGGAGGGATGAAGGCCCTCACAGGAACCGGAGGTCCCGCAGATTCCTTGCGGGGAAGCTGAACATCAGTCGTGGCCCCTACGGGCACTGGGTCAGTTCCGCCCTGTTACTCGTTAGATATCTACAGCGTGAGTAGGAGAGAGTGGTTATAGTGTAGATTGATTACTGGGATTAGCCGACCTCCAACACGAGAGGCAGAAACTGGTTGATAGTGTACCTGCGGCACATTGAGAAGGTACTTGTTGTAGAATTTAACATACTCGGGGTCCAGCAAATCTTTCACTGAATCGTGAAGAGGGTAAGGAGGTTGAGGAAAGGTTGATTGAGTCGCCATGGCGAGAGGGATTAGCAAATGAAATTACGGGGATTAGGCTTAGACCTATCTAGATCGCGTCAGAAGCTCAGACGGTTTCCAAGCTTAAATGAATATGAATGTGAATGTGAATGCGTGTCAACGTCATCGCACTTCAGGGTAAATGGGTAAATGGTATCTCAGCGATCGTCCTGCGTAGGTGGTACATCCCACGTATTGCTTACTGCCCGCACTGAGTGGGCAGTTATTATTAAGCGTTACGCGGGCCTGTAATTAGGTAGTTGGTGCTTTTAGTGATGGCTGTTATCGGATATGCTCGGCTGGGCAATACTGAGACAACACACATGATTACTTCATCAACGTTCCAACGTGGAAGCCTAAGGCGCAGACTGAAACTCTTTGACCGAGCTGGCCTTCTACCTTCCATCTTTTCAAAGCTTCATTTCGCCCGAATCTTGTGATTTTGGTGCAAAATTAACTTGTTGGAACTTGGGCGCAGGAGTTGAGCCCTACTTATAACAACAATGATCGGTCTTGAAGCTATCAACGGCGGTGCGGCCTGGTATCGCTGCGACCCCCCAATGACATTGGGCGAAGCGCCTATTTACCGAGACAGCGACTCTTCTCTTCACTGGGTCGACTGTCTCGCAAACCCGCCAGAGCTGCACATCCTTAAGGTCGATCCAGATACGGGTGATGCCCTCGGCCGCGCTCACATCCTGAAGCTCTCAGACAGCGTGACGGTGCATTTCTTCCGAAAGGACACACCCGGAAGTTATATATGCGCCTATTACCAGGGTGTTGCATTCCTTGACGAGGAGACCGGCCGACTAGACATTCTCAAAGAGATCATCCCGACCGAGGATAGGGGCATTCGACGGTTCAATGACGGCGGCGTTGATGTAAAAGGACGATTCTGGATGGCGGAGATTGATATAAAGGCCATGAGCTTCGGGCCGAACAAAATGCCCGAAAGCTATGGGACCCCCATCGGACGTCTATGGAGGTACGACCCTGATGGAAGCCTTCATGAGATGGACAGTGGCTTTGTTTGCGGCAATGGCTTGGCCTGGAGCCCAGACAATAAAACCAGTGAGCATATCTTGAACGTGCATATGTGCAAGATAGTCATCAAGCTGACAGTATTACAAGTGTATGTTAACGACTCTGTTGCGATGAAAGTATTTAGCTACGCTTTCGATGCGGAAACGGGTGCCATCTCCAACAAGAGATTGTTCATTGATCGACGAGACAGCTTCGGCGAGCCGGATGGAATGGTAGTAGAGTAAGTCTTGACGGACAACTTATGTATAGGGAGATCTTCTTCGCTCACAATCACGTTATAGTACCGAGGGCAACCTTTGGATAGCTGTTTTCGACTCAAATCGAGTCATGGTATTCTCTCCAGAGGGCGTCCATTTGAAAGATATTCTTTTCACAGCGAGGAACATGGCTTGCACGACTTGGGGAGGGAATAATATGAATCTACTCTTCGTCGCAACGGGCAAGGACAGGAAGTCAACTGCAAAAGCTGAGGACGAAGGTGGCCACATGTTTCTTTACAAGGCACCACCTGGAGTTACCGGCACGGACAAGCATAAGTTCGCGGGTTGATGAGATTATGTTTTCACCTCGGATTTCGTCGGGAAAGTAACTTTCTAGTTCCAAAACACATTACTATTAGTTGTCTAAATCATTAACTACTATATCGCCTGCTGTTAGCGGGGGAAACACAAGCGTTTGTGCTGCTATGCGTTGTAAGGTTTCTCTGGCCTCTTCCAGAAGCTCCCACCTACAGCCTTCCAAAGCCAGCCGGACTGATGTGACTAACCCCGACGTCCTGTTAGTCCCTGGAAGCTGAGAGAGGTCGCCATCTCCCATCAGACCATTGAGCATGTGGGAAAGATACTCCTCGGCCGACCATTTATGTGTACCATTATCGATAGTGTGGTCCTGAGCGAGACCGGGCGATTCCCGGGCACCGCAGACAACCGCACCGTAAGCCCATAGTACAAGTGTCGTATTGTAGAGAACCCATGGCTTGAGGATGATGCTATCTTCTGCAGCCACGTACCGAGCTCGGGTGAACATAGTTTCTTGAATCAGAAGTAGACAATGGCTGAGAGGCCTCGTCACATTAGGGTGATGTGCCCACTTGGATACTCGCTCATAAGCCCGCGCCCATTGAACGCTGTCATGCTGAGTCCTCACGCCCGTGGCAAGGTTGGGTGCTCCCGCAAGAATGTGGCAGTCGACAAGTGACACATGGATGCTAACGTGAGCAATCCGCTGTAACGGACGGGCAGCTTCGAGGCACAGTGACGGAGTTTGGCTTAGCAGGCTGAACGACCATGTGTCTATCGCACGGTCTAGACGATCTTTCCAGTTGTCTCGTTCTGGGTTGGAGGAGGATGTTGCCCCGGAACTACTATTCTGCTCATGAACGCTTATGCAGGATGCTGTCTGGTCCCGAGAAAGCATGTGCCTTGTTAGGCAAAACAGGCCATGGAGAAGGACAAACCGGGCAAAGGGACTGTAGGTATGGGGAATGGGATGGCGCGATAGCAAGGCTCGGAGCGCTGGCAGGAATAACGGGCTTGGATGAACTCTCGATCGCTCTTTGTTCCAAACTGATGCCGTCGGCGCATTCCAGAGCACATCGGCACAGGGGAGGGGTAGCTGGATGTCATTCAGGGACAGTGCAGCAGTATGCCCAAAGATGGACGAATGTTGTGCATCCATGATGAACGCAAAGAAGGCTGCTCGATAGGAGAGTTCCCTCTTAACCCATCGATACCAAGACTTTTCCAAAGAAGATATCTCCCCGGGCTCCTCTTGATCTTCCGAATAATAGCTACCTCGCCGCATAAGCTTTCGCCTACGTTAGTATGTGATGGCACATTAGAGATTGAACCGAAAATTGGCATACCGTAATAACAGAGTAATGGAAAATATGGGACATCTCATGCAATTTCCTCGTTGAGAACATCTTCTCATATGCCTGAACCATCAATAACGCCCGAATCACCCATAAAGGCGCGGGTACTTGGAAACTCGGACTCTATGCCAGTTAATTAGTCTCGTTTGTAAGAACGGGAGATGCATAGCCCCGCACCAGAAGTCGTCAATATGGATTGAACCTCACTTACAGTAAAGATTAGCCACCGCAGATTCTGATGGATTCTTTCCGCTACTCGATAATGCTCCTCATCCGGTGAGAGTGTGGCCCCAAGCGTCAGGATTGCTACGAGCAATAGAGGTGGGGCATCTTGCACACAGAACGTAGGTTGATGAAGTAGAAAGAAGTGAGCGTTGTAGTTTTCCCAATAGCTCAGCATGAATTGTTCCAAGTTCTTACTTTCAAAAAAAGACGAGGTCAGTACTTCTTGGGGAAGATATGACAGAGAGGACAGAATCCTCTCACGAGGCAGCCTGTATGTATTCTCAAGCTGGGATGTTATGTCTCTCCCCACAGATGCATCTGAGACAGGGGAAGTTGTTGGGGCATCTGCGGGGGAACGCAGGTTGATGCCGTCCACTTCGCCGGACCCATCCCAAGAGCTCGCGTCAAATAACCAATCCAAATCTTGCATCAAGCTGGTGGCATCATTGGACTCGTCGAAGAAGGAAAGATGTTCCACACCCAGTCTCTCCATCGGTTGAACAGCAACATGTTGCTGTACCTGCACTTGATGGACAAGAAGAGGATCATTCAGGTCGGATGCAGTAACTTCAGCTGACTCCACGTCTACACTCTCGAAAGCTGGGGAATTCATGACTTGTTCCGGGTGTAACTCATTGGGGGCTATATCACCTTGCCCGCGCAGCTCCACCGCTGGTGAGACTCTAACAGAGTCACTTGGTGGCAGGCTTTTGCTAATGTCACCCACCGCATCACGATTTGAGAAGCCCCCGGAGTTGCGATATATCATGCCACGGTCATGCCGTCGCGTATGTCTCTGCATGAGGTCCAGGCGGACGAAATCCTTGTGACAGACAGAGCATGTGTGGATTTTGCGTGGTTGGTCTAAACACTCAACACGGCGATTAACGACATGCATACTCAAGATACCATATTGTTTCAAGCTTGTTTCCCATCGACGGTCTCTCTCAAGGGTCAACTTACGATTGAGGCGATGCCGACTCAAATGCTCCGGCCTCTTGTACGCACGGGAGCAACCTCGCTCTGTACATGGATACATGCTTCATGCGACGCCAGCAAGCAAAACAATTGCGCCTTAGCTGCCTTAGCTGCTTAGAATGAGTATCTCGCGACAAGTCTTGGGTGGGCAAGAATTGAATGGCAACTTCAATATCAAAGTGGGCATTGGAACGGGCAGGGCCTGAAGGGAGGGAGCAAAGTGGGATGACGGGAAACCCATTTCCGGCATCAAAATGCCCGCGTAAGAGTTTATGAGCTGGGCCGTATCAAAACTGGGGCAAGCCAAAGACTGGGGCATAAACCGGGGGCAATGCTGCACTATCCCAGATTATCGAGAACTCGTTGGTCTAGTTTGATAAGCTCTGGAGTAACCCGAGCGAACACCCTTGACTGAGGGGAGTACATATCATGTGCCTGAGACATGCAACAGAACGCGACGTATATGTAAGAAGCCGACCGACTCCTCCATCCAATGCATTTATCCACCGATCTCCATCAACCGTCATCACACGTCATCACAGAACGAAACTATTTCAATTGTTCGACCTAATCCTGAAACCCAAGAAGTAGCAATGTCCTCTGCCAAGACACGCCTGCAAAAGTTCAAGCATGCCTTCAGCTCTCCCAGTGCTTTCCACGAGGCCATCTTGTTGAAGAGCTCATCCTCGATGCTCGTCAATGAGGACCTCCTGCCTTCCCCTCCTAGCCGCCAGACATGGAACACATTAAGCTTCTTTGCCTACTGGTGGAGTGAGTCGTGGAATGTCTCGACCTGGAGCATCGGCGCCTCTCTGATTACTGTCGGCGCGTCTGTAAGGGACGCCCTCCTTGTCGTCTTCTTCGCAAACCTGCTCTCAGCTGCGGTGATGGTCCTCAACGGTTACGCTTCGTCGCGGTACCACATCGGCTATCCTGTCCTTTCTCGGTCGAGCTTCGGTATCTACGGTCACTACTTCGTTGTCGTTCTTCGGTCGATTCTAGGAATCATATGGGGTGGAGTACAACTGTACTTTGAGGGACAGTTTATCAGCATCTGCTTGCGATGCATCTTCCCTTCCTGGGAGAAGATTCCCAATGGGATTCCAGCCGATCAGTTCATTACCACACAGACAATGGTTGGGTTTTTTCTTGCCTTCTTGTGCACCATTCCATTCCTTCTGATCCACACCTCTCGAATTCAACACCTCTTCACGGTGAAGTCGGTCGTCCTTCCCCTTGCAGGCTTGGGAATTGTTATCTGGGCGACAAAGTCCAACGGAGGCGTCGGGTCGACCGCTCTTGATACCCAAGCTCAGGCATCCAGAACATCAACAGCTGTATTTGCCTGGGGTATTGTCGCACAGTTCAACGCCGTCATGGGATCGAACTCGGCCCTGCTCGTCACGATTCCAGATATTGCTCGATACTCGAAAACACGCAACGCTCAGATTTGGGGCCAGTTGAGTGCCTTGCCTCTAGGGCAAACATTGTGTGCCGCCTTCGGAATTATAAGCACGGTACGTCTTTGCGAATGCTGCTTTACAATCCCGTGTATTTCATAATTCTATATATTTCGCCACGGTGTAGCTCTAATTGAATCTCGCTGTAGGCGGCGGTGCTCAACATGTACGGAGAAGCATACTGGAACCCATACGACCTTCTCAACGGCATCCTCAATCACGGCTACACTTCTTCTGCCCGAGCCGGAGTTTTCTTTGCTTCGGCCAGCTTCGCATTCGCTACCCTTGGTACATCGATTGCGTGCAACTTTATCCCATTTGCGGCCGATGTAACTTGCCTGCTTCCTCGATATCTGAACATTGTTAGAGGTCAGATTTTGTGTTTGATTGTGGCGTTTGCGATCGTTCCCTGGCGCATAGTCAGCTCTGGCAACGGTTTTCTCAGCTTCCTCAATGGGTACTCCATTTTCCAGGGCCCGGTTGTGGCCATAATGCTCGTCGACTACTTTGTTTCACGCAAAGGCAATCTTTCCATTTCTGACCTTTTCACGACCTCTTCATCGGGGATATATTACTATTTCCATGGACTCAACCTTCGTGCATTTGCAGCGTTTATCATCGGCTTCATCCTGCCACTACCAGGCTTTATCGGCACCTTTGGTACAGTTACTGTCTCCACGGCAGCCTCCAATATGTACTCCCTTGGCTGGGAACTTAGCTTTGTGATCGGAGGTTTAGCATATCTTGTGCTCGGTCTAGTCTGGCCCGTGCCTGGGGACGGTGCTTCTAATGGGTTTGAGACCAGTCCGGTTAGTGATGGGAACATAGATGACCTTGCTGTCTTGGATGCTACTTGCAATTCCAGCGAAACTAAAGAGGCTGAGCAGGCCAAATCAGGAGAGGTATGATGGTGATTTATGTTGTCACTGCTATGAAGAATATATTCTAATACTTGAACTAGTATCGTGTTTGATTAGAAACCCAATCTCTATTAATAGTTTAAATATATTTGTCAACGGCTTATGAGGTTGCAATGAAAATACTTTCATACATGACTCTAAATTATAAAGTAGTTGTAATGGACGAGTGAAGAAAAGAAGGCAAATCGAATTATAACATTTCCGCCTTTAGATAAGTACTTGAGTATGCAAAAATGGTGACGCTCTCTCGCCCTGGCTCTGCGCGGAGGAGGCGAGGTTCTATCACAGTAAGGATCCTAGGTTCAAAGGGGGACTGGTTGATCCATGTACCTGCCTCTGGGGGAATGCAGCTCTTTTCAGGCCCGTCGATCAACGTCCATGCAAGTTGTCTCCTTTCGGATTACTCAAGCGACCGTCTGGCATTTCGCCTCCTCCGGGCAGCCTCAAGAGCCCTCTTCGCATTTCGTCTCCTTCGAATTACCTCCAGCGACCTCTTGGGAAGAATGGGCTTCTTTGCGCCAGCAACCATTCTGCATACTTTGCTGGTGCACTCGGCAGCAAAAGTTCCAACTTTCGCAACGCCACCCTTGGCCACCTTTGCGGCACTGCCGAGCTTGTTAGCTGCAGCATTCCAGGCCTTCTTCCACCCTTCGGACTGGGAAGCAGTGACGGAAGCTGCAGCAGTACTGCAGCAGAAGGCAGCACTTCCAAGGGTATAAGCCCCGACGGTCATACCCTGGGAGTTGCAAACCAGAGCTCCTGCTGAGCAGGCCACGGCGCCGAACTTGTAACTATCGAAGAAGTTTAATGTTAGAACTCTGAGGACGTGGGTTGAGATACTCACCCCGCTTCTGCGCCCTTGCCGTTCCATGCGGGTTCAGGCGAGGCGGTTGCAAGTTGGACTGTGGCCGCGAGGGCGCTAATAATGGCAATGTCGAAGCGCATTATGATAGATGAATAAATAGATACTTAAAGAAATTGATCGAGGAAGGTAAACTGATAGAAGATGTTGCTTGCTTTGTAAATACTGGATGATGTTGTTGATATTTTGGTACTTTGGTCATGGCGGCTTGGGAGCTTCTTATAAATTGCTGATTTTCTTGCACCCATCCACATGGCCCGTATCATGTTCCATGGCGCGCGTCTCGCAGCCCCGAAATAGATCAGAAATCGCCTGTCTAATTAAACAACTACGGCCAAGTCGTGCAGAATAATAGCACGGGATATCCCCCAGGCTATTCTGATTTAGTGAGAAACTCTTACGTGGGTTGAGAATAGAATGTTCCAGGATGTAGTTGTAGCCAATTAGATTAGTCCAAGGAGAACGTGCAAAGTAACAGCAAGGATCTGTCACTCAGGACCACTCACATCCAATTTGAACTCGGAGGCGGACTGCCGGCATATATTTTAAGCAACGGCGGTAACCAATCAGACTGGCAGATGTGGAATTTAGGAATCAGGGACCACCTGATCGTGCGAAAGCTGGGTCACATAAACCCCTTTGGATGGAGAAACCCCATTTTGCCCACGCCGAATACCCGGTTCATACTACCGATGGTTTGGTGAAGGATGAGAAGTCAGTATCTATGAGGTCCGTCTTGCCGAGATGAGGCGGTAGTCACCCTATTAATTAATATCGATCACCCCATCAGGCTCGTTAGAGGCAGGACGCGGCAAAGAATCCAACATAGTATATCCCCATGGCCTGCTTAAAGGAGCTGCGGTCTCTCATTATCCTTGCTACTTTCCCTCTTTGGTACCATCTTTAAGCTTACCACCATCTGAAATAGCGTCTAATATCGAAAATATACCCCTTATTAGGAGAAGGCACTGTTCGTGCAACTGACCTTCATGATGAAGTAATGTGAGTGAGTTTATCGTAAGATGTTCGTAACTACCTGCCGTGTGTACCCAGGACAGGAAGGATTGTGTTCACGGCGTGGAATGCCACCTCCATCGTCTGCCCTCTACAGCCAATCCGAAGGCGCTGCCCTACCAAGCCCTCGCATACAGCAGATACCCCTGGAGTAGGTTCTGCCAAATATCGTGTGCCTTTATGAGTCTCCAAATGCGCACACCCAGATTCAAGAGTGACAACAGCGTAGGACTGAACTAACTTAACATTTGGGCCCATTCAATGCCATTCACTTCATCCGCGAAAGTATCTATGTGGCACTGTTTGATGGTATCATTAAACTTTCGAGGACCCGAGACAGTTCGGGGCTATAGCGGGCGTTTTCCCACATCCGCAATCCACTCGGCTGCAGTAGGCAACTATCCGGCTCATCCGTGTAGTCATATTTAATGTAAGTCGTATCATGGCACTTTAGAGCTCTTTGCAGAAGACGACTACGTGACTGTCCGAGGTGATGCCGCTTGGCGGTGACATGTCTCGATCCGGGGGTTCATGGCTCCCGTGTTTTAATCGTGTATAGATACACTGGCTCTCACGGTATATTTCCCCCCTGAAACATGTTGTAGATCAGCTAGCTCCTGGTTCCCGCGAACCAACGGTTACAGCCACTGACATAATTTGTTAAATATTCTACGACAGTGACTCATACGTGGGCTAGCCAAGCACGTCGGCCATGCAAGATCACGCCTTTGGAAGGGGCAATAAGTATTTGTGTGATGTTTTAACGACTAACTGATCATTTTCAAGGAGGGGCTAGATGGTATAGAAACTCCTGGTTCCCAGCATATGTGGTTTGTAACGAACCCCAATTGCTAAGACCCAGCTACATCTACATGAAAATTAAGACATCATGCATTCCAACGGAGCCAAGTGGAAGCCCCAGGGACCCTTAGCGATTTCCTCCTTGTTTCTGAGACGCCTACATGCGTCCATGAGCGTTGCCCTGCGAATTGGCCATTATACATTTAGGCTGTCATATATAAACAAGCTCAGATCATTTCTAAATCGAACTTTCTATTACTGAGATAAACAAGATTTTAAGGATCAAAGTGAATTCATCCTAATGTTACGTTCTAACAGCAGATGATACAGAAACAAATTCAAGAGTGGGTGTAGAATAGGGATAGTTGAGACCAATCTGGACACTGATTGTTTGCTTAAGGAGTAAGTTATTGGGTGATGCATCTCCCAGGAGAGCCGTAGCTGTGCGAGGAATGTAGGCTGAACCTTCAGCTTTAGTTTTACTGCAAAATCATTCCCAATGGGAGCATTAGACAAGTCTCAACTATAGTTAGCAACCAACCAGAGGCTGGTTTGTGCCATTCCTCTTGTTTGGTTTATCAAATTCCTACGCTATGACACGTTGCTTGTGTCAAGTCGAGTGTCTTATTCAACTTCAGAGCGCAGATGTTTAGCAATTCCAAAGGATATTACTTCTCATTCCGTCCCAGGGACTCACAGTTCACGAAGTTAAGTCGGAGGTCTTGCTGTTCATGTATTATAAAATTGAATAGCCCGCCGGTTTTTGCTGAAATCTGCTCTAGTCGTTGCAGCATGAATTAGTCCGTGCCCTTACTTTCTACATTCCACGTCTCTGAGCTTCTCACAAGTCGTCATCATGCAGCTTTCTTCGTTGTTTCCCACTCTTCTGCTAGCGGCTTGCGCAAAGGCAATCCCCACGGATGACAACATTGCCAAGACCCCGGCTAATGGGCAATCCAATGCCGGGCCTGTTAATGTCTCCGCAGACGAGTTATTGGCCGATGCCGGGATGGATAGCAACCCGGGCTGCAGCCCGTGGTACAATTGGTACGGTACCGGCAGGTGGACATACACCGAAGTTCAATTCTGCTTCTACCAGCGTTCCACCTCGACCGTCGCCGTTGTAGCCCAACGAGAGGCTCAATACTACTGGGGTGCTGCCTGGTATTATGCGAGAGGTCACGAGTTTTCATGGAACATCAAGGGAACTATCGTCAATGGTGGGGATTTCGAAGGGTCCGGCAAGGGACCTGGACCTACTGAGTACTACGTCTTTCCTGAGAAGGTGCCCGCTGGCACTTACGCAGTCTCTCTTAATTATAACCAAGTTGGCCCTTATTGGGAGAATGACGCTGCCATCGATGAAAGCGCCCAGTTCAGTATTGTGCTTGGATCCTAATGGTAGGGCCAGAACGTTTCATTGCTGGTCACAGTTCGGGTGAGTAAGTTTGAGACCCGATAGTTAGCTTATTGATTAACATGACTTAGAACTCCTTTCCTGTGGGCTTGGCCTTTGCTTATGGAGCTGTCAATTATAGGATACAAATGGTCTTGTATAGGTTTTTTCCCATGTTTACCAAGGTTTTCCCTATGCTATATGTAAATGCAGAGGCTATTAAAATTTATCTCTAATACTCTATTAATAAATTTATCTTAAAACCAGGCACATCCGCCATTAGCTCCTTATTCATCTAGTTGCACAGTTCTACCGCAAATAGTGAACCAACCCCGTGCAGGTGCAGAGGCCTATATAAATCTACATCGTCTGGCTCGATAGAGAGAGCGCGTGCTAGCTTGGCCTTTAGCGACTCTGCAGCCACTCTCGTCCTTTCTCGTAGATTGGAGAGAGGCTAGGGTATTCCTGAAAGGTTTTTCTTCAACATACATCTATTCATATTGCTTCGGGTTTATTTAACACCTTCCACAATACCACACGACCTTGAAGATACTAAAACCTCTTAAGTTCTCAAAAAATATAACTACTATACATAAAAACTTAAATTTAATATAATATAAATTGCTAAATTATAAGTTGCGTTTCCCCCTAATTTCTATGGTCTAGGGTTGGACCGTCACGAGCGGAGATTACTGACATGACCCTTGTTAAGTTTCGGTGCTTCCGCTACGAAACAGAACAGACAAGGCTGACAACAAGTCCACCACTTCCCCAACTAGATGAGCCCTACGCAATACTGAGTACTGTAGTTGATCCCTCTCCCCAACGATGGACCACGTACCTCGGTGGTTGAGGGGCTCCGATATGGCCGCGAGGAGCATCCGCGGCATGGGCTGCCAGTAAGCAAGCTCATCCTGGTATTAGCATTGGATCATCGTCCCCAGTGACTGACCATCCCACAGTGAGGGCTACCAGCTAGCCATGCATACAATTGATCAGTATCGCGGCACTGTCGTGGCTGCGACCTATTGCCCGCTCCTCAACCTCACTAGCCCCCGGTTCTCTCGACAGCCTCAAGGCCAGGTTCACTGATGCTGTCGCGCGTGTCGCGCTTGCTCAACCCCATTTGCACGTCGGTATCGCGGGCGAGAACACGGCCAAGCCAACCTTTGTCCGCTTCGAGGCACTTGATCTCCGGAATCACATTAACTGGAAGGCCTTTAATGATGCCTTTCCCGTGAAAATCAGTACCTCGAAGAGTTGCAATTGCAGCTTGACTCCAGGTACGACAATCTCGCCACACAGCCTGGCTGGAGGGTTGTCATCTTGCACGACGCTGGAGCCGAGTCCATTGAGGTCTTGTACGTCTGGAACCATCCGCATCACGACGGCATGAGCGGCAAGATATTCCACCAGCAGCTGTTCCAGCATTTGAACAACAAGGAAAATCTCAGCGAGCCCCCAGCATACCAGCTCCAAGACGACTCGGGGTGCTTGATCGTCAAGCTTCCCGACTCTTCTGAGAAGTTCCCACCTCCCCCCGAAGTGTTAACAGCCATTCCCCATGACCACTCCATTTTTGTTCAAGAAGCTGTGGAAAGAAGTGAAACCATACTCCATTTTTCCACCCACAAGCCTCCATGCCACGTGGGCCCCAGTGAAGCTGGAGCCCTTCACAACCCGGTTTCAGTCCCTCTCCATTGACAATGACACCGTCGTAAACGTTGTAGCTTCTTGTCGTCGCCATCAAACGACCGTCACTGGCCTTCTCCACGCCCTTGTCCTACTGTCTCTTTCATCAGAACTTAGGGATATGAAGGGCTTTGCGGCCAGGACACCGTATGATCTACGGAATTATCTACCATCTCATACCAAAGAGTACCCTTGGCTAGTGCCAAAGGAGACCATCTGCAACTATGTTTCTGTCCTGGACCACAAGTTTCACCCCGACCTTGTTGCAAAAATCCGAGCCGAGTTCTCTCCCGATCGCGTCGCAGCAGGAGAGCCTCTGCCCGCTGACATAATGCACACCGTCTGGTCTGTTGCGGCTCGCGTCAGGCAAGAAATCAAAGACAGGCTGGACTCTGGCATAATGAACGATATGATTGGCATCATGAAGTTTGCAGGAGATTGGCGACCCCAGCAGGAGAGCGAGGCCTGGAAACCGAGATACCTGTCCTGGCTCGTCACCAACCTGGGCGTTCTAGAAGGGGTACTTGGCAAAGCCGAGAATAAGAGACAGGGAGATGATTGGACTATACATCGGGCCCAGCTATTTTTGAGCACCGAAATTCCGTCTGCCGCGCTTTCCGCCGCTGTTTCAACAATAAAGGATGGGCAGATGGATATCACGTGCAGCTGGCAGGACTGCGTGGTTGACCCGGATCTTGGTGCGAATCTAATGAATAACCTCAACCGATGGTTGACAGAGATTGGATCACCAACCTAATAGAATCTATCGATACCTGATCTAACTTCTATATATAGAATGACAAGTAAATTAGATATTATCACTGATAACCTTCATCCATTATTCTTTCATATTATCATTGAAGAAACAGCACTCTCAAAGCTTATCATATTCAACTTTATATAAGGCATTTCAATCAGGACATCCATCTATGGCAAATAAGCTTTATCTTTTTGTATAATCCCAATCTGGCCACTTTGGAAAGGGCGGCGAATGCTTATGTCCGGCTGTCACTTGTGGTCTAGGTCATCTGGAATTTGCGAACTTGGTCCGGTCCGGACCAAATCAGGCAATGCATGGCGGCAAACCCGTATTTGGACCACTGCACAAATACTGTAAGTTTCCAAACTTGGTTCATTATTTCTCTTTTCTATTTTTGGAAGTGCAAGAGCCTGTACGCTCCAGGCGATCACAAATTAGTCTACCCTAATAGGTTAATAGACGTTATATAGTCTCGATCTTCTGATGTAGTGCAGTAGCGTTTGTTGTCCGGGGACCAAAATTGAATTTTCTTCGCCGTCTTACCAACTCAAAACATGGCTACTGTAGTGGTAACCACTTCTGAGCTCGCACAGCATTGTACAGCGAACGATTTGTGGGTTTCAGTTCATGGAAATGGTCAGTTAACACCAAGAGAGTAAATGGCTCTTCAGCTCACTAGATTCTATTGCCAATTACAGAAGACTGATATAGAGTGGCAGTTTATAATTTGACATCTTTCCTAAAGGACCATCCAGGCGGTATAGATAGTATTCTTCAATGTGCTGGAGATGACGGGACGGAAGCATACGACTATGCAGGGCATAGCAAAAGCGCTTCGGCAACTTTAAAGCGTTTTTTGATCGGGCCCTTGGAAGGGCACGACGAGAAACTGTCCGAACAGGATGATCGATCGGACACATTAGTAAAGCCTGAGTTACAGAGCCCACGCAACAGCTATTTACCAGCCAGCTATTCTTTGATCGGATTCCTGCGACTTTTCTTGGGCACAGCCTTGGGAGGATTTTTCATCGCGATTGGTAGCCGATTTGCGCTCCAGAATCAGTCATTCCACACTCTTATTGCTTTAGGGAAGCGGGCTATGGATTCCATTGGTGCCTTTGGTGCTGGAGCTCTGCTATCCTCTTCCGTCGCTCTTGTTGTTTTTGCATATGCCTACGAGCAGTTTCGCAAGACTTTGCACCACACAAAGGAGCCATTTGCTTATCCGCCTATTATTCCTCGGCCAGTCGGGTTTTCAGATAGACGATTTTTCAAACAGTGACATAATTTTTCTCAGAGGTTCTTTCAGGATAGTTCAACCGAATCCTTGTCATGGGGTAAATTGTAACGATAAGAATCATGAAAATGGAAATATAGTGGTATGAATATGGAAATGTAGTGGTATGAGTATCGATATATCTAGTTGGACGAACATAATGTATGGTCTCACATCGTGACATGTTTAACGTAATTCAGTGAGGAATGGAGGACAGAATGTTAATAAAACATGCCCTTCTTCATGGCAATTCAGCGAACAGTTTCAGTGAGCGTTTGTAAATTTAGAAAACATACTATTTATAATAGAGACGAGCGCCCTTTTATCCTTCCTTTACTAGCTCCAACTTGACTAAGGCGCTTCTAGATGCAATTTTGACAGCTAAGTCGGCCATCGGAGTCGAGCTCAAAAGTTCGAAAACCGATATCTCACTCTGCATGTCCTTCAACACTCGGTTCCGAATTTCAACAGCATTCAAGGAATCGACTATTCAAAGTTAGTGCCTCAACGTTTCTTGGAAACCATTTCCAATCTTAGGGCCACTTACCGCCAAATTCGGGAAGAGCTCTCTGGGAATCAACCTCATCAGTCTCAACACCCACAGCAATCGCAATCTGCCGCTTTAAAGTCGCCTCGACCGCCCCCGCGGCCTCTGTTAATGATGCCGCGTTGCTCAACTTGTCAGAGACACTTTCCTCTTTTGGATCAGCAGTCCCACTGTCGGCCACTTCAATAACGCGCAGATCAAATTTACGATCACGCTCAAATCCAGTGCCTCCGGCTTTTCGAATCAGTTTTGCGCCGAGACCAAGGACGAACTGTGCAGGAATGCTTCCACCGTCAGCCGTAGAGCCTCGCATGATTGCCCTCAGGCACACCAGTAGTTCATCTACGGTTGTTTGGAGACCAGTCCAGCCGTGCTGATAGCGGTTCAGATAGCCCTTGAGGTCACCAAACTCTCCTGATTCAGTAAAGTGAGATGAGTCAGACACTAGGCCAACATCAATACTTGTCGCCCGTACTCCGAGCGCGTTACGGGCATGGTGAGCCAGAGCGTCTTCAAAGGAATTCCCGGAGGCATAGTTGGCTTGGGCTGTATTTCCTATAACACCGGTAATTGAGGACAGGAGGATGAAGAAAGGGTTGTCCGCTGGCCATAGATTGGCCAGGAGGTTTCGAGAGCCGCGGGTCTTGGGTAGGAATGCCCGGAGCCATTTATCGTGTGTCATATTCTCAAAAATGGTATCCTAGAACATGTTAGCTAAACTTAAGTCTCCTAGGTCAGTCAAGTGATGAGCTACTTGCCTCTAGAACCATGGCGCATTGGATGACGCCTTTCACAACTCTTCCTTGTCTCTTCAACTCCTGGAAGACAGACGCCACACTAGAAGCCTGAGTTACATCACATTTGAAAGCCTCAGCCCTCACTCCCTGCTCTCTGAATTCATCCAGCTCCTTCTGGCTACTGCTGCCGCCAGATCGCGAGAGGAACACAAGATCCTTTGCTCCATGTGCGACCATAGTCTTGGCAATATTCAAACCAAGAGCACCCAGCCCACCGGCTAGGACGAATGTGGCATCTGTGTCAAGGACTAGCTTGGGAGCTGGTGGTGGAGTGGTGAGGACGGATGCTTCTCTGTCAAGAGATACCACAACCTTGCTGAAGGCATCTTTCTTGACTGCCTGAATGGCCTCTCGGATGTTTTCCACCAAGAAGACCTGGGCCCCGGAAACGGGACGGACGCTGTAACGGCGACAATAGTCTCGGAAAGTGCGTTGGACTAGAGTATTAACCACGTCAGGCTTGGAAGCGATGACTGAATCCATGTCGATGCGAATAAGGCTAACACTTTGCGTCGAGGCTGGGAGCGCCAACTTCGGAGTTACAGTCGAGGATCCAGCCAAGTCAACCAAGTATCCAAAGTCACTAAGAAGATTGACAGATGTTTCGGTGGACTTAGTGGATCCTTGGTTGAGGATGACTTGTACGCCTCGGCTTTTAGTTGCCTTCTTGATAGCAGCAACAAAAGAATTTGACGCAACATCGAATATCCGATCCGATGGTAGGCCGTATTCCGTTGAGAGGAGTTCTTTCTCTGCTCTGGATTTGACCAATACAAAGACGGATGCACCAACCAATTGCGCAACTTGTATGGCAGCTTGGGTAACGTCACCAGCCTCGACATTGATGAGAACAGTCTCATCACGCCTCAGACGCGCAATCTCTAGGAGACTATACTGAGCTGTAACGAAAGCCAGAGGCATTGTTGCGGCATGTTGCGGAGACACATGAGACGGCACAGGAGCTACCTGGTCTTCCGAAACTCGAATCCTAGTCCGACTGGCTTCTGTAGGTAGCAGGACGGCAACACTTTGACCAATGTTGATAGATGATACCCGTTCGCCATAGGCCAGGACAGTACCGACAGCTTCCTTGCCCCACCCATTCAACTTCTTGCTAGAAGTGTCATCGAGTCCCAATCCAACATAATCCACCTGAATCTCAACATCATGGGGACCAAGGGAGCCCTCAAGAGCTACATCTTCAAGTCCTACACAGCTTTGCCCATCGGCTGATATGGAAAGCTTCAATGGGAGACTGACATCGCCCAGTTTGGTCATCACGGGCTTAGGTCTGCCATTGGTAAGCTGCAACTCAGCATCAAACCCAGGTTCGTCCACCGCTCTTGGGATGTGCATCGTTCCAGCGTCCTCGGCATACTCCATCTCAGCATTCTTACCTTGAGAAGAGATCCATACATTCAGAATGAGAAGTGAATTGGCTCGGTTGGAAAGATCAAAGTTAGAAGAGAGATCGAGGTGAGGTAGGGTGGTGATTGTGTACTCGTTCCTCAGGACGCGGAGCAGTCCCTGAGAAGGAGCAAAATCGGCACTCGAGGACCAGGACCGAAGGAGACCGCCCTTGGTTACCCACATCATGTGCTCAACCTTGGAAACAAGTGTCTTGAATGCGTTGAATTCGGGCTCAGACCAGGAATAGATGAATGGGCTTTCGGTTTCAAGAAGCGAAATTAGGTGTTGTCCCACGATTTCATTCTCATTCAAATTCAGTAGAAGTGACGATTTCGCTGAAACACCCAGTATCTGGAGATTCTGGCTAAGGTTGAAAGCAAGCTTTGAGAGAGAATCTGACGCGTTATTGGGGAGAACAATGTAAACTTGCTCAGGCATCTTTTGCTCGTGCTTGGAAGCCATGGCGACTAATGCTTCGATGTCTTGCGAATTTTCCACGAAGTCTAGACATTCTGCCCACTTGATTTGAGCGCACTTTTTAAGATCAAATTCATCTTCAGAAATGCCATTGCCGGTTGATGTAACTTGTCTCAGAGCGAAGTCTTTCACTACCAACTTAGGGGAGGACCAAGCCTCATCTGAAACAATGAGGTCGCCAACAATCTCGTGCCCATCCTCGCTCTTGGACGTGAGACTTCCATACCCATGGTACAAGTTACCCGAACCTTGTGGCTGATCTTTGGCAACGAACATGTCTCCAATATGGTATGGAACCGCTGCCTCGTCAACCGGCCGTCCATCGTTGAATGAAGCAAGAAGGAGGTGGAAGATGGCATCCATTGTGGCTGGATGAATGACATGATCAAACTCAAAGCCCTCGGGCATAGAAGACAAAGTATCTGGCACGATGACAGCACCATGAGATGCCTTGGATGAAGGTATCGCTTTGAGTGTCGTCACGTTTCGGAAGAGAGGGCCATACTCCATACCGATTGACTGAAGATGATCATAGAATGCTTCGACTTCTACATCCTCGGCCGACGCTTCTTTCAATAGCCTTTGATAGATTGATGTTTGCTCATCCCATTCCAAGCTGGTTGTGGACTCATCATCTACCTCATTGGGAAGCGATCTCCCGTACTCAAGCTCGACGGACCCGTAGCAGTGTTTTGTCCAACCAGTTGAAGTAGTGGTTGAGAAGATGACAAAGCCATATCGACCTTCAACTTCGGGGTGAGGATGAAGACTCAAGCGTGTTTCCACTGCACCCTCTTCATCCGAAGGGACGACCAAGCCGCGCTCAAACGAGACATCTCTGAAGCGGAAACCATTCAGGGACTTGTTATTATCTGACAACTTCAGGGCACCTTCCAGAGCCATAACCAGCATTCCAGCTGCAGGATACAGCGTGGTGCCCGTGATTCGGTGGTCCTCAATCCATGGGGTTTCTGACACACGTAGGTAGTTCCTCCACTGTGGTTCGAACTTGTTCTGCATATCCACCGGAACACCTAACAGGTCAGTCCTAGGATGCGAAGGAAACCTGTTGGACTTGGTCAAATAAGATTCGTGCCAGAATTTACGAGAATGGTTCCAAGGATAAGTGGGAAGGTTAGCCAAAGACTTGTGTACGTGTCCCAGAGTTCGGGCATTGACAGTAGACAAGTCAACGGGATGGCCGATTGCCCAGAGTTTACCGGCCACTGCCAAACTTGATTCAATCGCGTCCTCCCCACGAAGAACAAGTGCCATGTAAGGTGCGTCCTTGGCTGAACCATTCTTCGCACCGGTCGCGGTGATGATTTGTTGAACAGGACCTTTAAGGGCGGCATGTGGTCCAATTTCAACAATGGCATCCCACTGGATAGATGTCCTCCCCTTCTCTCCTTGCTTGTGGGACAAAATCCCGCACACGGCAGAAGAGAATTCGACCGTGGCACACATGTTAGATACCCAGTACTGAGCAGTGAGTTGTTCTGGCGATACGAGTTGTCCAGTCAAAGACGAAAACATGAAAGTGTTCTCAAATCCTTCAGATTTAGGCCTCAAAGTCTCAATATGTCCAATCTGCTCGAAGTAACTCTGAGCGACCGATTGCATATGAGGAGAGTGATAAGCCGTCTCGACCTTGAGCTTGCGGGCAAACTTTCCATCACCTGAAATCAACCTTTCAAGTTTGTCGATACTCTCTACGTCACCAGAGAGCGTTACACTGGATGGGCCGTTAACGCAGGCGACGACGGCTGACTCTGGTTCTACCTGGCCAAGGTATGCCTGTGCGTCTTCCCGTGAGATTCCAGCAGCCAACATAGCGCCTTTGCGGGTAACACTGGCCGAGCTGAGACCCCTCACGTATGCGATCTTGACTGCGTCCGCGTGGCTAATGTATCCTGCAGCGTAAGCAGCAGCTATTCAATTTCACTGCGTCAGAATTATTCATGTACAGAGCTTTTGGGACAACAAACAGATGTAGACTTACCAATCTCTCCGCTAGAGTGACCAACAGTCGCCCTTGGCATAGCCTTCCAGTGTCGAAGGAGATCCACCAAGGCAACTTGAAGAACTGTGCAAAGTGTCTGACTAAACTCGGGATTCAAAATCCGGGAGTCTTCCGTCTTCCTCAATTCCTCGATCGCATTCCACTGGCATCCGAGCTGTTGGAGGACTTCCTGAGAGCGGAGCACACTCTCCTCAAAGACTGGTTTACCCAAAAGCTCCACACCCATTGCTGGCCACTGAGCGCCCTGGCCAGTGAAGACGAAAAGTAAATTGCTGCGGTTTCGAAGGGATCTTTTAGTCTTGGAAATCCCCTTGGATAATTGATCATTCAATTCGGAAATGGATGACGCCACGCAGAACCCTCTAAAGTCGAGGTGGGACCGTCTATTTGAAAGGGTGTGGACAAGGTCGTCAATATAATGGTAGTCGTTCATGTCAATCTTAGAGCTTGATAGCGCGGTATAGTAAGCTTCTTCAAGCCTTTTGATGCCGGCCTGGTCTTTGGAGCTCAAGACAAACAGTCTCTTGGCAAAGATGTCACTTTCTGAGGGTGGAGTGTCTGGTCCAGTACTGATTCCAGACTCAGAGCCAGCTTCTTCATCAAACGGTATCGTATTATGATTGCCAACCAGGCCTCTGCTGTTCAAGTAATTATGTGCGTCGTCAAGAATGGCGTGCGCATTTGCGCCACCGAAGCCGAATGAGTTGACGCTGATTCGGCGCTGGCCCTGGGTCGGCCACTTCATCACTTTCGACGGGAGTGCCAGGTTCCAGTCGTCAAGCCGTAGTTTTGGGTTGAGAGACTCCACGCCATATGTCGGGACTAGCATACCATTTTCTAGGCACGCGAGAGCTTTCAAGATGCCTGCTAGGCCAGAGCAGCCCTCGGTGTGGCCTACGCTTGGTTTCACACTGCCGATATAAAGAGGCCCCATACCGGCAGCGCCTCTACTAGCCCCAAGTGTTGAGGCTATTGCCTCTAGTTCAATTGGATCCTATGAATAAAGTCAGCTTCAGTTTTCACCTCGATTCCAAGTCCATTGCTTATTGTCTTAACTTACTCCTACTGGTGTTCCTGTTCCATGGCATTCGAAATATTGTGTCTCAGTCATGTTCAGGCCTGCTCTTGCATATGTACTTTGAATAAGCTCTGCCTGTGCGGTGCTGCTTGGCTGGGTGATACTTGGTGTCTTTCCGTCTGCGTTGGCACCAGTTCCTCGGATCACAGCCCGGATGGTGTCACCATCTCGCAGAGCATCGGACAAGCGCTTCACAACTATGCACGCAATACCTTCACCTCGGCCATAGCCATTTGCACGATCATCGAAGGTGTGAGAGATACCCTCGGGGCTGAGCATGTGCATCGCTGAGAGCTGATGCATAGTGTTAGGGAACAGCATCAGATTAACTCCTGCAACAAGAGACTATGAACCCATCATTGGGGTGTATAGTTAGCATTCGCCAAAGAAAGATTGTAAAGAGATGAATAAAATATACCATATTAGTTTCACCCAGCTTTAGTGACTGGCATGCCAAGTGCAAAGCATAGAGACTGGAAGAGCAGGCAGTATCAAGGGTTAAACTGGGGCCTTTGAGGCCAAAGAACCAAGACACTCTGTTCGCTATCATGGCTTCGCTTGTGGCGGACGCGGCAGAGTGTCCGATGTCGTAAATATCGTGAAGTGATAACATTTCGTAGTCGTTTGTCATGCAGCCTACGTAGCAGCCTGTCTGGCTATTGTAAAGACTTTCCACAGGAATGCCAGCTACACAGGAGATCAGAAATTACATATCCAATATTCATAGCCAGAGGTTGTAGCACATACCATTCTCTATGCTTTCATAGCTTACTTCGAGTAGGAGGCGCTTCATTGGGTCCATGGCGGCAGCTTCTTTTGCTGTTGTTGAAAAGAAGGGCGCATCAAACTGAGAGACATCTTGTTTGATGAAGTATCCATGCTTAGGGCGGATCTTTGAAAGACAGGTCTGTTAGTATCAAAGTCGGTATCAAGGGGCACAATCTGGTTGTATTGACTTACTCCTCCCTTTCTATCAGGGTCTGGATGATACCATTTGTCCGCATCCCATCGATCAGACGGAATCTTTCCATGTCCTGTCCTGGAATTACTGATCATGTCCCAAAGACTGCCAACAGAGTTCGAGTCCCCAGGGAGCCTACATGCTGTTCCGATGATAGCAATAGGCTCTTCCTTATCCAATCTAACCATCTTGATGAGTGATAATTGAGACTGAACCAGGACACTATGGTTCAAACAAGCGTTTTGATGTTGAAATCTCCGTCATAGATCAAGCTGAACGTGGGACTAGTGTCAATATAAATCCTCCTCACTCAATAAAGTCACTCTCACTTCAAAGTTGGTATTTCTTTGAAAATCTGCCCTTCGTCCGGTGAATAGCGGTTATATTCCGACCTGATTGGCTATGAGTCAGGATCCTCTCTACGTGATCGCCGACCTGAGCCGCAAGTACGTTCTATGTTGATGTTAGGATAACCACACACCCTGGAAACAGCCGAAAGTAGAAACACCGAGATCTATGTGGGGCAGTTTAGACAACAACGGCATCCGGCTCATCCTATTCCTCACATGGTATGCTGGATTCAGATCTTGCTGGACAGGAATAGCGCGGAGTCAGACTATATGGAACGGGGCCGTGCCATAGTCGTGCGACCAAAAAGACAATATCCCGAAGAGGAAGTTCCCAGATATCAACATTATCTCAGGATTGGGCAATATTCCAACATTGTCATTGAAAGGATACTGGTACAATTGAGTGAATTTAGTGCCAGATTTAGATCTGGATCCGAGTATACCGAACAGCCTATACTGATATCAGTTGTTGCAAATCATTCTACATCTTAGAGCAAAGAGCCAGCCGTGCCAGATGACTCCATTGCAAACATCGCGTTATACAATTTGGCTTAAGCTTTTGCCATCATGAAAATTCTATGCTTGCATGGCGTTGGCAGCAATGGGAGCATCTGCGAATCCCAATTGCAGCCTTTTATTCGAGCCTCTGACCCAAGCTACGAGTTTGTTTTCGTCGATGGACCAGAGCCGTGTGAACGAGGACCAGGTACAGTGAAATAGACCAATACGTCCCTCAGAGTCTAGAACAAACCCTTACCAGTTGATCACAGGAATGGCCGCTTATCATGATGGCCCATTTTTTTCACACATGCGAGCCTATGATCCCCAGAACATGCAAGCAGCTATAGAACACTTAGAAGAAGTGATCGACGAAATGGGGCCGTTTGACGGAGTTCTGGGGTTCAGTCAGGGTGCCGCTCTCACCATCTCCTTCCTCCACCAGCGGGTCAACGAGCCCTTACCGTTCAAGTTCGCCCTCTGCTTTTCATCTGTCATTCCATGCTCTGCCGACGCCGCCGTTTGTAACAGCTTGATAGATCGCATATGCCCTCTAGACAGCGGTGATGGAGCATCAGAGGAACAGAGGTTATTCTCAGAGCTTCTCGAACAAACTGTGATCCCGGCGCAACAACACAACTCAATGCTTCCGGATTATGATATTTCAATTTATCAGGGCGATCAGAATCTCCTTCAAGCGCCAAGGTTGATGCCTCCTAGTCTGACCAAGGAAAAGATACGAATCCCGACTGTGCACATGACAGGAAAAAGAGACGCTCCATTCATGCGGAGTATGTCCAAGGCTGCTCTTGGCCTTTGCGAGAAGGGTTCCTTTAAGGTACTGGAGCATTCTGGTGGTCACGAGCCCCCAAAGGCCCCGGCAGATGTCAAGGCCGCCGTCCGAGCAATGGAGTGGGCCATTGGTCGCATGGCGCATCTGTAATCGTCAGTCAGATAGTCGATACGCGGGATAACAATGAATAAATTTGCAAAATGGGTGTTAATTTTATGCTCACTATCATGATCTATTTGTGGTATCAGTGCTGTTCCTTGCTAGCAATGGCTCTATCAATGCTCTCTCGCAGGAAACGTCGGGAGGAGCTAGTGACTCTCTCAATGGAAGCCAAAATCGCGAGTTGATTTTGTCTGCCACCCGCACGTAGTTTAGGATTACCCAAAAGATATGAGAGTTCCGTAATCTGGACCGTTACCAGTGTGGTTAGAACATGCAGACGCTCGCAGCTACTCTGAATATGATACGTTGAGAACCACAAGTCCTCCATTGCATCACCTGGTGCGCGGGCCAACCCTTGCACAGCATCCCTCCTTTGCCCATGTGCATAGTCCGTGTCGTCCATTACCCCGCCGAGTGGTTGATTACTGGTTGATCTAGGAGACGGAGTCGAGCCAACCAGATAGTGGGGAGCTGGATCTTCATGATTCTCATTAACCATGTCATCAATCATTGCCACACAACTCTCGACTACACGCTCATACATGTTACTCATAAACTGCAGTAACAGGGTGAGCAGAATGAGTCTTTCAGTCTGACTACTTCCCTTACACGCCCTGCATGGCTCTTTTTCCAATGCCTCTTTGCATCTCGCCAGTGCACTGCGCAGCAGCCCGAGCAGAACCCCCATTGATGCAGGGTTCCGTGTGAGACCCATGTTGGCACCCAGTTCCTCCAGCAACTCCAATAAAGCAGCTGAGTACTTTGCACAGCGGCAATTTTCCCTCTGTTGAGATGGTACTTGACTAGAGGTCGCTCTACCAACACTGCCTGCAGCGCCGCCCCCGGCGGACACTGAGGATGCCGCTGATGCTGACACGGAGGATTGAGGGCCCGATGTTCTATGACGGTTGGCGTTGCTCAAAGTCTGGGCTATCGATCTACGCTGGATATCGGAGGCAGAAACTGGCATAGAACCGTGGCTGTTGCTGTTCGCCCTGGAAAGAGATGACGATGACGATGAAGGCGGCCAAGGATTCTTCCTCGAGTCACGTTGCGGACGGTAAGACGATGATGAGTTGGGGTTCTCGAGCCCACTCCTATGCTGATCAAGGCTTTCACTCCGACTACTGGAGCCTCCAGACGGACGGGGTCGAGGAGATGCCAGAGCGGCACTCAGGGATGCCAGGACAGATTCCATGGCCATAGATGGGACATCATTTTGGGCACCATTGACCGCTTCGTTGGTATCGTCTTCGGGTTCTGTAATATATAAAATAAAGTATTGGTTAAATTGGACGACAGTGATAGGAGATGTAGGAGTTCATGCACGGCACTTACCACTTAATTGACTCTGGTAGTTTGCCAACAGCAGTTGATCATCGGTGAGAGGATCCCAATGCCGATTAGTTTCCCCAAACGTCCCAGAGGAGAGAGCACCGAGATCTGGCCACCCATCCAGCAAAGCTGAGCGTGCCGAGGCGCTAGGAGCTCCCCCCTCCGCGTCTGCATTAGTTCCCGAGGATAGCCAATGCTCGAGATGTTGCGCATCTCCGTCGACTTCGTCGTCGTAGTCAAACAAGCTTGTCGCTGACAGCATTGAATCTTCCACAGTAGTGCCTGAGGGTGCTTGATGACCGTGCACAACACCATCGATCGCATCAGTCGCTGTCGCACCAATGGAGCTGTCGTTAGGGTTTGAATAAGTATCTTTATTCATCGGCTCCTGGTTGGCACCATCAATGTTAGGTACATCCTGCTGGGAAGCTTGAAATGCTGATCGAGATCGCTTCTTTCGACGAGAGGGTCGGCTTGGGTATTGGCATTCAGCGCCAATGGCCACACACTTGTCGCAGCCCGTTGGCTCTCCGCTGCACCTAGTCTGCTGACAATTAGAATACTCAAAATTTCCAAATTGCATTGCGTCCTCGGATGCAGTCTCGATAGACCCATACCTTTCGAGCTCGGCAAAGGTGGCAGGACACATGCGGGCGTTCTTGGCGATTACGGCTGAGAACTGAAGCCAGGTCTGAGTTTTCAACAAACGTCACAGGCTCTTTAGACTGGATGCTCAGCGTGCCAAACATCTTGTCTCTATACCCGCTACGTCTCTTTCTTTGATTGAGTTGCAAGTCTCGACGTATTAAATGCGGCCGGTAGATAGGTAGACAGGGGGGGAAGGGTTAAGCCGGCCGACGGTACTATCAATTCCTTTCTGGATCACCGACTACCACCGGTGCTGTATATTTAATTTATAAGCGAGAGAATGGTCCAGATCACGCATACATGTAGTGAGAGGGATCGTTACTCAACATATAGCCTACCTCACTGCAACGTCATGCATCTACTCAGCAAAACGGCAGTTAACCCTTGAAACATCCACAGCCACGCGCTTGTGCCTACTATTTTACGACCTGCCACCGTATCCATCGCGCGTTCACAGTTACGAAAATGGTTGGTTGTTAATAGAAACGTGGCGGAAAGCCATGTTTGAGCATCCGCAACGGCTACCCAATTGAGGACACGACCTGCGCCCCCTTCTCCCTTTTGCATCTCTTGCGCTCATTTAAGGGACGTCCTTCTACATTAGGCACATAATTGTCACTTCGTACACATAAGAATGCCTTGCTGGATGCGGAACTAATGCAATACTATAATACTATGAGTAGCAATGGGCCATGGGTCGCAGGCACGAGAGAACAAAAGGAACACCCTGGTGAATATACTATGTACCGTCGCATCCGTGCGGTGGAGTTCATTCCCTGTCCGACCCCCTTGTCTGGCCAACTCCCGGGAAGTCTTCCGTAAACCCTGTTCTTACGATGAGAAGTCTAGGGACAAGAACAAGAGGAAAATGGAGAAATATACATCCGAGAACATGAGTATCATATAATCCGGCGCTCCATCTGCACGATAACAAATTTTCAGTTACCCCAGGAAAGATATGTAACCCAAGACGGTTGGGAATCCTTAAAATGCTCTGGAACTTCGTGATCCGCGTCTACCGAAAGCCTACGGCAGGTCTATCACCAATTAGCACGAGGCCAGGTGGGTACTCTTACTTGGCATTTTGCGGCTGAACTGTCAAGCCAAATGATGATCGCTGTTTCACCCGTTTTCACCGGCTCACAACCAACATTAACGAGCCTGGTTGCCTGACTGATATTCGTGGGCCAAATACTCCACCAAGACGAGTCGTCTCTGAGCACGCTAAACCAACATGTGATTGGTCACCAAGGCTCAATGCTAATTGCCCAGTCCCGCAAGCTCACCTAGGTAATTCTCGTGAGCAGCGGAGAACGCAAACCGGGCACAGAGGCTTGTATAATTGCACAGCCCTGTATCGCGAAACACGACAACGTGTTCAGCTCCTGCAGGCCTGCATAGGCGGCATGCAGCACAGTCATACCGAAGCAAAAGGCCCCAGACCATTTTCTGCGTTAACACCTCCTCGTCCAATAGGAGCAGACAGACATTTTCGTTGTGATGGCCAACTCTTATGCGCAGGCGGCGAGGCATCTGCCTGTTCCACTTCGCAGTACATTATCTGTACCAATATCAATCACAACAGATGATTTTCAGCAAGACCCACGTGGCGTAAGCTACCATATGGTGAAACATGCTAGCAATTTAGTATTCCGCGTATCGGTAACCGTTATTGACATAGAGCTCTAGCCCCTAAAGACTTCTGCCCTACGTCGCCAGATTTCTCAAGATCCCTGCCCATTACCGCTGAGAAAGCGTTGTCTAGAAAATTGGACGGCACTCCCAACAATTATAGTTAGAGCCATGTCTCCATCCTGCAGGTCCGCGGCACACGTTTATTGAGGAATGCACTGCAACGTGCAAGGATCAGACGCGCTAAGCAAGCTTTGAAAGTTCCCAATGACTCTGTACTCTTATGCACGTTCCCAGCAGCAGGAGGAAAAGGGACCCTCAATGCAACGCACAACACGCGTCTGTGCGGCAAGGCCCAGAATTCCGCATTGCCTCGGGTATTGTTAGGCAGTGGGGCGCGTCAATCGAGTATGTAGTGCGGAATTCCAGCGTTGTTTGTACGAATATATGTGAGAGCACCATGTATAGACGTATTCAATTGAATACGAAATACCGTGTTTAGCGTGCAGGGATGATAATCGGCGATTTTCATGACTAGGAACTTTTCTTCCTCAGCGTAATACGGCTCAAGATTAGCCCGATTCAATTGTCCCATTCACCGGCAATGGCTCTCCATTCCCTCTCAATTCCCTCAGCTGGATATTTGATGCGCCCACGGTGGTATAGGGTAGCGGTACGTGGTTGACACACCGACACCGACAGCTTACATAAGGTAGCTTACATAAGGACAAGGCCGTCTAGATTAGCCAATCATAGGACTATCTTTTATCGGTGTTTTACCTTTTCCTATATTTATCAGACTATGTACAATGTGAAAACACGCGCCAAATTCATAATTTGGGACGGTGACATTCATAGGGTGCGTGTCTGTTCGATCGGCGCCAATTCTTTCTTTATTTAATTGTTCCCTGTTTCTCTTATCTTTGCCCCCCCTGATAACAACTCCAAGCCCCACCCATTTCCTCAATCCTTGCGAGCTGCTTCACCACCTTCCTCATCATGAGCCGCGACCTCAATTTCCATGAACATACCCTCCATCGTCAGCTTTGCCACTCCCACACAGGTGAGGAGGGGTTCTTTGCCCGGGATCCATTTCTTGATATTATTGCACATATGCATAAGATCCTCATGCTGGGTTTCGGGAATATAATAGGCCGTGATGCGGTACACCTGGGACCAGCCCTTGCCCCCCGCATCCTTAAGGGCGAGGTCAATGTTCTTGAATATCTGATCAATTTGTGTCTTGACGTCCTTGCTGACTTCTCCAGTTTCAGTATCCCAACCGCCTTTATTGATACTCTAAATGTTAGTGGATCAAGGGATTTCAATAATCAAGAGTTGGTGGGATACTAGTAGTGTCCTACCTTGTCCAGAAACCTCGATGCGGTCACCAATACGAATAGACTGGTGGTAACAGTGTTGTTTGAGGAGAACCTGGCCCATTCCTGGGTAGGCAAAGTGCTGGCATTGGACCATCGTGAAAATGAGAAGTCGTGTGATTCAAGGGGAGGAGGTCAATCTCCTCTCTGATTCGTGAAAGATCTTAGGAGGTGAAGGTAAGATGGCTTGAAATGAATACGTGTAGAGCAAATCGGAGATTTTTTGCTTCTAGCTTCCCCCTCTGTGATTAGAGTTAAATAAAACGTTGAAAATACGTCACTTGATGTGACACGACCTCATTTCCTGATCCAAACTGTCTGTTCATCTCGTCAGCATGTGATTCGCTGTAGTAGCTCGGCATTTGTCGAATTTGGTCGGGCCCGGACCATTTCGGGCATGGCCCACGCTTGCTTAGACCATTAAATGGCTACCCTTGACGGAAATGACACGGCAGGCTATAAGGAAAATATGGATTTGGAAGATGTAAGCCATGGCACAATTCGGAGAATAGTCAAAAAGAACTCATAGGATATCTAGATAGTGGCTACTCTAGCTCCAACATGCTTCTTGGCTGAACCCCCTTTGAATGAGTAAACACTGGTGAAACTGTCTGTTCTAAGCCATAGCATTGGATATCGCCATCATGTATCAACAATTTTACATGGGCAAAGAGCCCACAATCCAACGCGAGTCAGTCGACTTATCTAGCATGAAGACACTTAGGCAGCTTCAGAGTAGCCTTGGCCAACTGTTTGCATGGGCAGATTCGAGCTGTAAGTGAGATTTGGCCTCCAAGTCCCTCAGCTTAGAGGCCTTCAAGATAGTGGATGTGCCGTGACTGTAGCCGTGATATTGACCTGACTGTGTAGCAATCCTTTTCCATAGCGAGAGTCAAGGCAGCCTTGACTCCTTCGAGGCTGTCGAGTCAGCCAAGGAGGCTATTGAACTACGAGCGGCAGGAAGAACGTCCGTGCAGCCTCCCCCAGGGCCCAGAGCTCTTCCAGTCGTTGGAAATCACTATGAACTCTATCCAGACCCATTGGGGAACTATGATCGACTTTTCGCTCGCCTTGGCTCCGTTATTAAAACAACCAACATGGGAACAACAATTTACATCACCAACGACGCAGAAATTTCAAGGCATGTGCTCAGGGAAGGCGAATTTTTTACCAAGACGACTTCAGACCCTTCTCACCCGCTTTTTTATATGAGAGAACAGACTGCACTCTTTACATGTGACAGCGACTCACCCGCCTTCCCACTCGCCCATAAGTTTGTGCCGCCCGCGCTCTCACCCCGTGCAATTGCGCACTATGGCCCTCTCATCCAAGACGCTGCGCGAGGTGTCTTCAACGTATTCGATGAGATGTCGGACCGCGGACTTGCCTGCAATATCTACCAGTATATGTTCAAGCTGGCTGGTCAACTTGTCTTCCGTGTGATGATTGGCAAGGACTTGCAACACTTCCAGGAACTCAATACCCCACCCACCTTGGCTATCCGTCTTTTTGGCGAGTACCTCAAACTAATGAAGAAGACGTCCCTGCGACCACAGTGGCATGGATACTTGCCGTTTGGAGAGCCTGCCCGCCTAAGAGTTGTTAGAAACCTTCTCTTTAGCACTATCGAGACTGAGATGGACAACGCGACTACGAAGGGTGCTGAACCACTCGCACTGAATGATCCAATGTCACCCATCAAAGCAGTGTGCGTGGCTGACTTCCTCGCCCGTGCTCGGGATACAGACGGGCAGGGACTTCCTCGGGATATTCTTTTGGGAAACACTGTGGTCCTCCTGGGCGCTGGTTTCACCACCACGTCTTCCTTGCTCTCCTGGGCCATCTACTCCCTGGTCAAATATCCGGGAAACCAGAAGCGTCTGCTCCAGGAGCTTGTTGACCACGGAGCAGATGGCGAGCGGAAATGGTCCCATGATGAGTTGCACGCAATGGAATTTATTGACTGCTTTGTCAAGGAGACGATGAGGCTTCACAGCCCCAGCTTCCAGACCGGTCGCAATGCGAAGACGGACGTAGTTCTGCCCGGCGGCTATCTCATTCCAAAGGGATCAATTGTGATTCCTTGCTTCCCAACCATCCATAAGAACCCAGCCTACTGGGACAATCCAACGAGGTTCGAGCCGGACCGGTGGCTCGATCCGACTGTCGCCACTACGGCTACACGCAAGGGAATATACTCGCCGTTTGCCGCGGGCGCAAGAGGATGCGTTGGATTTAACCTGGCTACCATGCAGGTGAAGATGGTCCTAGCGGAGCTTGTCTACCGGTACGAGTTTGAGGATGCGTCTACGGAGCCAGTCATATACGATCCTGAATTTCTCGTAGTTAGGCCATTGAATTTCTATGCTAGTCCAATCAAGAGAACGGAATGGCCGACTCGAACTAAGGCGACCGATTAGGACAGAGAACATTATGAGATGGCAAGGATAGACATCATTCGATGTGTAATTGTTTAGATTGAATTTGTCAGTACGCTTATTACATGTAAAGAGCTGCCATTGTTATGTGTCCAGACCTCCATCATCTTTTGACTATTGAATACCTGTTTTAACAGTAGGAATGACATTTTTTTACGACTTCAACGCTGATTAATTATTTTCATTTCTTGCAAACTACCAAGTTGAATAACGCATTGTTGTCAAATTGTCTGATTTTTGCATCCCATACAGAGTTCACGGTTTTGGCAGTCGGCTCGCTTAATGTGGCACGGCCCGTTCCGTATTCGGCACTCCGCTAGCTAAGATGGGAAAGTCCCTATTTTAACAATCTCCAAAGAAAATACGTTTCGGCAACGGTGCTGCTCGACTTGATCAAAACGACTTACACAGTTTAAACGAGGGACAGAGAGTAGTTGAATAGTTAGAAGACTCGCTTAGAAGAACTTTATCTGCCTGAGCATAGGACCTTTGCTTTTTGTAATAGCGTCTTAAGTAACACCATCGATATCATATCTCTGATTAGGAGCCTCGCATTGTTATTTTTCATCAAGTTCATCACTAATTCATGTCCCTGAGCCATTGAACTTGTAAACTTTTTAGTTAAAAAAAAAGTCTTGGTTTATCTTAGCCTGGATCGGTACTGCAACAGGGCGATCAAGAACACGATGTGTGGAATCACAGTCTGCGTGGCTTGCCCACAACAACTTGTGAGCAACGAGCTCACAAACGGGTTCACAAACGGGTATACTAAAGGTCGTATCAATGGGCATGTCAATGGCACCTCAACAAGCTCACTGAGAGAGAAAATGAAAGCTTCCATAAGCATGATCAACCACCGTGGGCCTGACGAGACAGGCATTTGGATCAGTGACGACTCCAAAATCGCTCTGGGCCATTGCCGCCTATCTATCAATGATCTCTCTCCCAGCGGCAGACAGCCGCTGGAAAGTGATGACGGCCAGATCCACGCCGTTGTCAACGGTGAGATCTACGACTGCGACAGGCTACGAAAGCTATGCTCAAAACAACACAACTATACATTCTCTAGTGAGAGTGATAGCGAACTTGTTCTCGCGCTGTACAAGATCTACGGGGCACCCAACTTCTTTCAACACCTCCGTGGCGAGTTTGCCTTTGTGATTTGTGACGAACGTGGCGGAAAGAGACGTGTAATTGCTGCTAGAGACAGATATGGTATCAAACCATTGTTTTGGACCAGATCCGGAGAAAATATTCTGATGGCGGCCGAAGCCAAAGCGTTTCTACCACTTGGATGGAAAGCAAGATGGGATGTCAAGGCTATAGCTACTTCTGGATGGCAACTTGATGACCGGACTTTGTTTCAAGGCGTCAAGAAGCTTCTTCCAGGTCACTGGATTGAAATCACCGAGGAGGACGGGATTCAGATTTATCGTTACTGGGATGCGGAGTATGAAGACAAGGTACGACTTCCCCTCATTGTCATTTTATCGTTCCCTGTAACGCGAACTATATTTGCCTAGCTATAATCTAACTATGACTTTAGAGAAAAGTCGAGACAAGAACCATTGACGAAATGGTGCTCGGCGTTCGTGAGCGACTTGTCGAGGCCATCCGTCTTCGTCTTCGTGCAGACGTCCCTATTGGGGTCTACCTATCAGGTGGTATCGATTCCTCTGCGGTTGCGGGAATCGTTACTGAGCTAGCACGAGAGAACAATGTAAAGATCGGGAGTCAGGAGTCACCAAGACTCGCCTGTTTTAGTGTCGGGTTCCCCGGCTCCGGATTCGACGAGTCCAGGATTGCAGAGCGCACGGCACAATTTCTTGGCCTAGAAGTGATCAAGAAGGAGGTGAATGAGGACATTCTGGCTCGTGATTTTGGTGAAACGGCATATCACTGCGAACATCACCATTTCGATCTCAACTGTGTGGCCAAGTTTGCTCTTTCGACGCTGCCGCGCGAGCATGGCTTCAAGGTTGTCCTCACTGGCGAGGGCGCCGACGAGCATTTTGCGGGATACCCCTACTTTCCTGTAGAGTTTCTGCGCGAGGAAGACTACGCCATGCCAGAGTCTGTATTGGCTAGCAACCAAGTCATCAGGGAGAAATTATTCGGGTCAGTTGACACGGATATGAGGGCAATCTTCCAAAACTTGGGCGCGGCAGCCGAGGGAGCAACAGATGACTGCCCGGCAATGGGCGAAGTGGGGGAGACTACTGTTCCATGGACGCTGCTCGTTTGGCATGCAAAGAGACAGCTCTTTTCGCCATGGGTGCGGGATAGAGTTCAAGGGCTCGACTACAGACAAACGGTGATTGAGTCCTACCCACAAGACTCGAGGGCTAAGATGCGTTCTCGCTGGCATCCTCTCCACTCAGCGCTCTACATGTGGAACAGAGCAACACTATCCAACGTTCTGCTCTCCTGCTTGGGTGATCGGACAGAGATGGCGCATAGCATCGAGGCACGCACTCCTTTTCTTGACCACCATCTCACCGAGTACGTGAACCGGCTGCCACCAAGCGTCAAGGTTTCGCTTTCCAGACAGGTGCTTCAGGAGACAAATGGAAACGAAGCAGAAACTGGCGGTAGAGATGACCAAGGTCCGTTGTGGAAGAAGGCGGCCCCCGGATTGACGTCGTTTTCCGAGAAATGGATTCTCAGAGAGGCGGTGCGACCGTACATCACAGATGAACTGTACCAACGCAAGAAGCACCCCTTTCTAGCACCAATGAAATGGCCAAGAGATGGTCCACTACACAAAATGTTGTCTGAACTACTGACCCGGGAATCTGTGGAGGCACTGGGCTTCGTCGATTATGAGGTGGTGGAGAAGTCCATGGGCCTTGCATTTGGTCATGAGGCGGACACTGGAGCCTTCCGCTCTTTGTTGTACGTAGGTGCATGGGTCACTCTATCAAAGAAGTTTGGTGTTGAGAAGGTTGACATGACCTGCTGGATGGACTGAGCACCGCTAGAAATCGAGCACCAATAGAATTGGCCATTTCCTATCGTCCGTATATTAATGAGATGTGGCTTAAATCGACTCAATCTCGCATGAAACATGATAATACTAGTCAAATAGAGCAACTGGCCTCCAATGTTTAGCACATTTGGCCTTGTAGGAGGCGTGCTGTCAAATATTTAGGCCCGGTGTGTCCTATTATGGAAGCGGCCCGGCCTTAAAAGTAGGATGCCGATCCTCAGAGCGACTTTTTTGGGGCAAAATCACAGGAGTCAAGACGTATTGGTGGGATCCATACGTGCCTTGCAGCTTTATCATAAAGTTTATGGAGATTACCTAACTTGAGGCTTGATAAAATTCATGTTGTTTCCTTTTGCTGAGCGCTCTTTTTGTGATTTCAACTCACATCACCGATATCATCTTCGGGTAACTTGGCCATCCCCCAGCTGGGCACTCAGCCATGGTCACAATGGGAAATTCTCTAGCAAGAGCCGTTCTTTTTGGTGTGATGGGTGTCGCTGCCATTTCTAATGCTAGCGATTTCAACTTGACGCCATTCCAGATAAATTTGTCAGCTGGCGTCCCACGTATGTTGGAGTTTGTCAATGACACTATTCTTCCTACCCAGCCTGCATATCCAGGGCTTGGAGACTCGTTGGGGATTGATCTCCATGTGGTAAAGTCACTCAAAAACCAGTGGCTAGAGGAGTTTGACTGGGATGCAGAGCAGAGGGACATGAATCTGTGAGTCAATCAGAGCACCTCATCACAGTGCAGCCAATAACCAGAGGCCAGGCTTCCTCAGTATACAGCAGATATAGAGGGCCACAGAATTCACTTTGTTCATGCAAAGTCTCGCGACCCAGATGCCATTCCTCTACTGATCAACCATGGCTGGCCAGGGTCTTCGTTCCTCGAGTTTGAGCCAATTATTGACAAACTCACCACGGTTGTCCATACCTCACAGTCAGGCCGGGATAAGAAAGTGTCCTTTGATGTCATAATCCCATCTCTACCTGGTTTTGCATTCTCATCTCCTGCACCGAAGAATTGGACTCTGGACGACACGGCCCGCATCTACAATAGACTCATGACCGAGGTTCTCGGATACCCAAAATTCGCAGTCCATGGAACGTCGCATGGTGCCGCCATCGCATACACTTTGTATGAGGATTACACAAACACAACGAGAGCAGCTCATTTTAGTTTTATTCCATTCTTCCCACCTACGGGAGAACAGGTTAAGGCCATGAATATTTCGCTCACGCCGTTGGAGAAGGACATGCTAGACCGGTCTGATGAATGGAGCAAGACAGGCAATGCATATTTCCTATTGCAGCAATATCAGGTGAGTCTTGACACTTCATTGCTTTCCCGATACCGGCAACTGATGCTTTCATCTTGTGCAGCCCAACACTATCGGCCTCGCGCTACAAGACAATCCAATTGGCTTACTCTCTTGGATTGGGGAGAAATATATTGAGTGTGAGTCTCTTCAGAAAGCTAGCCCTTTCACATTCTTCCTTGGAAAATAAAAAAAGTATTAGTACTTATTAACATTCAGGGTCTAATCCTAATGCCGGAACTCCCCCATCACTTCTCACACACAACGAGATTCTCAGATGCGTGTCGCTATACTTTTTGACTAAGTCGTTCATCACGTCTATTTTTACATATGCACAAAACCCCACAGCCTTTCGCTCCGTCTACACCAAAGCCCCTACAACAGCACCGATGCTTCTCAGCCAATTCAGGTACAATGTTGGATATTGGCCGCGTCAAATTGCAGAGTCAGTAGGAAACTTGGTCGAGTACAGGAGTAAGCATTATAACACGGCATACCGCTTGTCTCGGAGTCCAGTCAGCCTAACATGAGAGTTTAGATCACGAGTCTGGTGGCAACTTCCCAGGGTTGGATAACCCTGAGGCTCTGATTAGTGACATACGACGCATCGGAGAATACTGGGCATAGGACAAAAACCAGGCAATTTACATTCCAAGGTAGTGGAATTAATACCAATCTATCAATTTGGGAAAGGTTGAGAATGCTTAAGCCCATCTGCACACGGAGGAGCTGGTGGTGTAACACTTTCATAGAGTACGATGAAGATGTTGGATTCTTTATTAAATTACCTGGCGTGTAGATGATAGTTAATTTGCGTAATCAAAAATTGTCTATTTTGATTATATAGACGACTCCTCCAAAAGAATATAGGTTATCTAGGTTCACTTAGCTTCTATAGTTATCAGGGGAGAAGGCTACAACTTAACTTATCAATCAGTTTATCATATCGCCATTGTAAAAAAACTGTTAAGTGACTATCCTGAAAGGCTCTGTCAAGAGTAATTTTATCTTAGCGGCAATTAATTCGTAAGGGACATCCTCTGGCATTACGCCTAGAACTTCTCAAAAGGCATCACACTTGTCAAGGGTAGCATAGGCAAGTGTGGCTATGCGTACGTTTAGGCCTGAGGCGAGCCGGGCGAGGGCCTCTGGAAAGCAATAAGATAGCAAGCGATGAATTTATCAAGTGAAGTAAAATAAGAGTTATCTCATCAATAAACATGGAGAGTTTGAAAGGAATCAGGCCTGTAAAAGGTGGCCTCGATATCAATACCTGTACACTAGAAAGGCGTGATGCTGGAAAGGAGATTTGCCTTGTAGTCTCTAAGCAAAAATCCTTAAAAATCTCACCGACATCAACTTTATCTTCTCTGTCGCCTGTTTCCTTGCGATATATCGCTTGACCTCGTCAGCTTAATGAGCTTCTTATGCTTGACACCAAGACATCTTAGTCCCCGTAAGCTTTGTTTAAGTAAACACAGAAAGCCCTTTCATCTTTACATTGCCTACCGCTATATGTCCCGATTTATCAATGCACATCTCCGTGATTTCCGCCACCGAAGGATAGCGCGCGCCAGTACATAGTATACATCAAAATAGCCCATCAATGGGCTCCGTACGGAAATCTAACCGAATCAATCTGCATACTAATGACAGAACCTAGTCTCATTCACCTCTGAACGTTGAAGTCATCTAGACCGGCCCTCGCACGAGGATTTCAGTGGAGATACCGGGATAATATACCCTTTGACAACGATTCCTGTCGGTTCTATGGCTTTTAGAGGACGATCCCCTACGCCGGCCAAATTGGAGTAGGGCCTTCCCGACTCCGCGAGAGGATCAGAAGCAGATCTTCAAATTTCTCCGCCTATCAGTCTAGTCGACCCCGCAAGTGAACCGCGCAAATCAGAACTCGCGCTTCGTCCCGTATTAGTAGTCAATAACAGAACTGACAGCCGGCGATGAGATTTTCTGGAGACTCCAAGTAAAATTTCGGTCGGTTTCGGGGAAGGGTAAATCATGCTTTCTCATGGGGTAGGGCCGTCCTCATTTAGGATAATACGGCTATTTATACCTCTATATCTGCTCTGACATCGACGCCTGTTCTTGGTGTCAAGCATCGGAAAAGTAGCTACCATCGCTCTGTTATTGTTGTTGTGTAAGGGCTTCTCCGATCTTTATCATGATGAGTCGTCTATCCGTCTTGTTGGTATGGCAAGCTGTGGCCACCGCCGCTTCTTCAGTTGATGGAGTGCCCAGACTTCTAGTGCCGCCTACTGTGCCAGACCACGCTTCTATCGAGCATTACCCGTCCTTCTCGTCCTTCTCCATCGAGCCTGCGTTCTGGATTGAATTTGCAGGAAGTTTAGATGAGCCCAACGAGCTCTTCCTCAAACTCATAGGTCAGCTCACCAATCGCGGTGGTGAGCCCATCATTCGACCCGGCGGTATTGCGATGGACAGCTTGATCTTCGATCCCGAGGGAGGTGATCTGGTCCGCACCATGGGGCCAAAGGGCGAGATCTACCGTACAACGGTTGGACCCGCATACTTCGAGAGCTGGTCCAACTTTCCCGAGGGAGTCTCCTTCGTCTCCACTTTGAATCTTGATAACAATAGTCTCGATATTGCCAGGGATCTCGCTGTCGCTTCAGTCAAGTACCAGGATGACAAGATAAGCTACTTTGAAGTTGGAAATGAGCCCAATCATTATCCTGAATCCAGATGGAACTATGAGGCTGCCAAATATGTCGCGCAATGGAAGAACTGGACGGCAGAAATCGACGAGGCCATTGGTCGTGGCCCACAGCAATGGTGGGCTTCGTCGGCCACGACGGATGAGACTAGGCTGAATGTTAGGCCTGTGGACATCATACCCCTCGGTGTCGACGACGAGGACCAGGTCGGGCAGTTCTCTCTTCACTCATACGTCTACAACACCTGTAGTCCCGAGGGTGCAGCCGTGGCGACCATTGAGAACCTTCTGAACCATACCCAGATCACCACCTTCGCCGACGACCAGGTTAAGCCTTCAGCTCAAGCTGCTCTCGCGCATGGAAAGCCTTGGGTGATGGGAGAGTTCAATTCGGTGGCCTGTTCCGGCAAGCCAAATGTCACTGACACGTTCACCAACTCGCTGTGGATCATCGACACCCAGTTGACATATGCCGTTCTCAACGCATCTTCGGCCAACCTGCACCAGGGTGGAACACTTGTCCTCCAGAGTGGTAGCCAGACAAACACCCCAGGATTCTCATCCTACAGTTTTGTCTACCCCCGCGACAGCGAGAAATGGGGACCAGCTCGTGCCCAACCTGGCTATGGTGGTCTACTCTTCCTGTCCGAGGTCTTTAGCATCCCCAAGACCCGCATCCTGCCGCTCGAGGCACCCAAGGGCGTGGACCCTGATCGTTTCTCAGCGTACGCAGCTTACCATGAGGATAAGCTGAGCAAGCTCGTCCTCATCAACATGCAGCCATACTATGGGAACTCGACGGAAGACTCCTCTGTCAACGTGAAGATCCCTTTGCGCGGACCTTCTACGAATTCTCGACCTCACCTGAAGCGACTAACAGCTCCCACTATCGACGAGAAGGACTCGAGCAACGTGCTCTGGGCAGGCCAATCTTTCAGGCATGGAGATGCAGAGGGTGAGGTCAGGATTGAGGAGATACCACGTAATGGTGTCGTAACACTCCGAGGAAGTCAAGCGGTTCTTGTGTTCTTCGACAAGGACACTGTTTATGGTCTGGAATAGTCAGATGACCCGCTTTGATATTCTGGGTAGTATTTATATGATAAATAGAGAAATTATTTATCTCAAGTTTGAATTCACAACCGTTGCATCACCCCTAGCCACCATCCGCTGGAGATTTTGCTACAAAAATCATAATAACTTTTAAAATTTACCTATTCATAAAAGATAAGAAAACAAAAACATAAAAAAAAAACCATTAAGCCTCAGAAAATAAACGCAAGATATCGCACAAAACGTCTTGAACTTGTGAAATAGCTTCAAAGTCCCAATATCTAGAGTTTGCAACTGTCACTAAGTTCATGCCATCGTGCACGGGCACTGCACCAATGTCAATCCCTCTAAAGTCGGGTGGCACATCTTTCCTGTCGAAATAGCCCAAGTGTTGAGTGCTTCCTGCAATGTCTGCACCTGGGCTTTCATCAATGTTTCGGAAATGAGTTGTTACCTGGAAGGTTCTTGCAGCTTCATCCCAGTCTGTACAATGCCGAGCGATGTCATGGAAGCTTATGGCGTCATAAGGCGTGGCATCGACGATCTGTTGTTGTAGAATAGCAAGCATGACATCATCTATTGTCAACTGAGAACTCAGACGCACTCGCACAGGAACAGTGTTTATGCATGGCCCGACAAGATCTTGTAGACCAGGAGGTAGACCGGCTCGCCCAGAGACAAGGCGTCCAAACACTACGTCGTTGACTCCAACAATGCGGTTTAGCATGATGGCACACGAGGCTGTGAAAATAGTCGCAGGGGTTACTCCATTCCGCGATTGCAAAGCTGGCATCGTCCTTTCTAATCGAATGCTCGAAGTCTCTTGAGGCAATGCGGCCGACATACTCTTTTTCGACAACATGGTCATTTTGGATCCATTCAAAAGAGTCCGCCAGAAATTGAGGGAGTCATCACCCTGAGACTGAGATTTCACATGGGCAATGTAGTTTGAGAAACTGCGTGCTTTCGGGAGCGTTTGCCCATTGTAGAAAGCGGTCAATGCAGCCATGATTTGCGGGAGACTCAGGCCATCGTATTGCGCATGCGAAAGTTGGAGAACAAGACGGAAAGAATTATCAGAACCTCTCAAAAAGATGAAACGTAGAAACAACGTCCCGAGAACGGCAGGATGCTTCATGGACTCGAGGCAGATTTGTTCGAACAGAGATTCAATAGCCATATCAGATGATTCATACAAGTCTATGGATGGTCTAAGATCTTCCAAAACAACTTGTAATAGCTCCGTGTCTAAGCGAATAAACACGGTGCGAAGAATGTCGAAATGCTCGGTAAGCTGCAGACAGCTATTCCTCAACCTTTCTGTATCAACAGACCCTGGGAAATCGAGGTAAAAATAGAACCAACCACTGTAATCGGGTTGTAATGCACTATCGATACAAGCTGCTTGAAAGTCGGACACAGGAAGGGTGTTGGAAATCTTGGCATAGTGGTCTTGAATGAGAGGCGATATGTTCATTATGATGAAACTATCGACATCATTCACATCGAGCGACACAAACGGTAGCGGGTCACAAGTTCTTGTCTCCCCTTGTAACTCTTCGCAATGCCGGGCTAGATCGGCAAGAATTGGGTGTCGGAATATGTCAACGACTTTCAGATCGTAGCCCTGCTCGCGTGCAGAGAGTACCAACCGCATAGAGTGAATTGAATCGCCACCTGCATGGAAGAAGTGATCATCAATACTGATCGTTGAAGGATCACGACCAAGTATTGTTGCCCAAGCGTTGTGCAACCATCTCTCCGTATCTGTCTCTGGCAACCGATTTTGTCTGTCCGATGATTTGGACCTCGTTAATTGTTCCAAGGTCAGTGAGCTGCCAATTTCCCGCAGTTTTCGACGATCTGCTTTTCCAGTAACTGTCATTGGGAGAGTTTCGAGAGGTATGTATGCTGTTGGAATCATGTAACTTGGCAACTTCACGGCTAGATGGCCTTCTATGGTCGCTTGGATATCAATGCTGTGTATCGTCCGACTGAGGGAGCCATCATTTTTGTCGCAGATGAAGACTACGAGAGTTGCATGGGAGCTTTCCTTTGGCGTGATGACCTCGGCCACCACTTGTATGCGGGCTAATTCGCTCGTTTCGATTAATGTCTGCCGAACAGTGTCCTCCACCTCAGCAAGTTCTACTCTCTGGCCTCTAATCTTGACTTGGGTGTCTTTGCGTCCAACGAATACTATAGATCCATCTGGATTGTATCGTACTAGATCTCCAGTTCTATAAAGATGGCCACGGCGTCCAGAGCGGCCTGGACCACCGCGTAGCAGCCAAGGCACGTCTTTGGTGAAAGACAAAGCTGTTTTTTCTGGTTCGTTGAGATAGCCAGGCGAGACAAGAGGTCCCTCTAACCAAAGTTCTCCTACTGCACCGACAGGCGATAGGCAGTCGTTATTCGTTGGTTGCACTACCCAGGTTGTGGTGCCCACACCCCAGCCAATACTTTCGGTATTTTCCTGTCCTGCTCGGATCTCACCACAGGTTGCTATGACTGTGCACTCAGTCGGACCGTAAACGTGTAAGAGGCTAAGGGAATCAGGCCACCTCTCAAAGTCGGCCTTTTGGGATGCTTCACCTCCAATGGCAATCGTATGCAGTAATTGCAGTCGTGAAGGGTCAAGAACTCGAGCTACTGATGTAGTCAAGAACACAAAGGTTGCTGCCATGTCATTGATGGACTGACCGAGATCATTTTTTCGTTGATCTTCGGACGGAACGCAAACACAACCGCCAGTAGAGAGTGGAAGTAACAAGTTGGACCAGGCAAAGTCAAAACTATAAGAGGCAAAGTCGTACACGCGGCTATCTGGGCCAATGCGAAAAGCTTTGGTGTGGTGTTTCATAGCAGTTGCTACATTCGAATAGGTCAAGATTACGCCTTTGGGTTTTCCCGTACTGCCGGAAGTGAAAATAATAGCAAGCGGACTCGCCGGGTTAATTTGTGAGAATGTGATCTCAGGTCGAAGAGGGTAAAGCGGCATACTCTTTCTGCTCACTACGACCAAAGGGCATTCGCCTTGACTAAGCTTAGTTGCTAAGCCTTCGTTCATTTCTGATGCTATTATTATTGTGGGCAAAACCTGCTGTATGATTGTGTGAAGACGTTCCTCAGGCTGAGAGACATCAACAGCAACAGATGTCGCACCCGTTCGCATCACAGCCATCATCGCCACAGAAGTCCACATAGATTTCTCAAAGCATAGCGGAACCGTCGTGTTTGGCCCTATACCTCGTTCAATGAGATAATGTGCTAAGCGTGTTGACAAATCATCAAGCTGCCCATAGGTCAGATCACCGTCCCAAGCGCATACAGCGGATGCATCTGGCTGGCGAAGTGCCAACTTGGCGAATAGCTCATGAGCGGGAGTCTCAACTGCTTGGAGAGCGTCCGCATTCCACTTCCAGATTTGGTTGAGATCCTCATCATTAATTGTTGAGATTTCGCCAAGGTTTTTGGTTTGATTCTCTTTTAGGCACACTTGATGGAGAATATGATCGAATTGTTTGGCAATTTGGCGTACGTGCTCGTCATCCAGAACATGCGGATCATAGCCAACATGTAGCGACATGCCATTCGTACTCAAATGGCACTCCAGAACGAGTGCATAAGTAAGTAATGCATTGTAGCCCGGCTCTTCGTCTGCGTTGGCCGAGGAAGTATGCTGTTGGAAAAGATGGCCGTCTCCGAAATCATGATCATCCCCCTTTGGCTGCACTACTAGTAGAGTTTGGAAGCGGCAGGCTTCCTCGGCTTCTAAGCTAGCCTGACGAATTCGTTGTAAACCAGTCTGCTCAAATGGAATCATATTTACAGCTTTTGTTTGCACGGAATCGAGTATTTGTCCCAACATCGCTTGCCGGTTAACAGACACTCGAACTGGAACGGTAGCAATTGTAGGGCCTACAATCTGCTCGATGCCCGAAACTGAAGCTTGGCGCCCGGTAACAACCGCTCCGAAGACAACCTCAGCATCGCCAGTATAGCTAGCCACCAGGATCGACCAAGCAGTGCGTATGAGATTGGAGGCGGTAAAGTCACTGCCCGCCCATTCGATATCTTTAATGGCCAGTGATAGTTGACTGATTGAGCGAGGGTGGTAAGTTGCTGAAGGTAACGCCGGGAATTGAGAAGCCCCTAATTCGAGAAATTCTTCCTTCCAGTATTTCATGGCTGATTCCTGGTCGACACCAGCCATGTATTTAACCATTGATGCAAATGGAATCATAGCCGGCGTAGGAGCCTTCATGTACAGATCTTTCACAGCCTGGAACATGAGTTTCAACGACCAGCCATCATATAAAGCATGATGGATGGTCAAGATGAAATGGCGACGTCTGTCATCCTGACCGTTGGCGATGGCTAACTGGCAAAGGCGAGTTCCAACACCCATATATTGTCCGACATTTTGGCCGAGGTAAGAATCGAGATTGTCTAAGAGTGCAAAGTCCGTTTGCTCACGCAATACAGCCTGTACGAAACCCTGCCCAGCCAGGTCGACTATCCGTGTTCGTAAGATGGGTGTAGCTTCAACGACTTGCTGCCACGATTGACGGAATAAACCAAGGTCAACATTCTCTTGAAGTTCGAGCACCACAACGGCTACATAGTCGCCTGGCCGCCTGGCTGTGAGGGCGAGCAGGCCTTCCTGGAGCGGAGTGCACGGAAGCACGTCTTCTATCTCGTGGACACTGACACGACAGAGGTCGGCAACGTCAGCACGAACCTTGCTTTCCACGGTTCCTGGATTCAAAAGAGAAAAGGGGGCGACGTGTTCTTCTATAACGGGATCATCTAGCTCCATCTGCTTTGCTAGCTCCCTAAGTCTAGGATGTCGAAATACATCGGCGACAGAAAGTGAGAGGCTCTGCTGACGAGCAGCAGCAACTAGCTTCATGACCCCGATCGAGTCACCGCCGATGCGCAAGAAGCTGTCATCTGCACTGATGCTGGCGGCATCGATGCTCAATACGTCTGCCCATAGCTGTTGAAGTTTGCGTTCCATTTCCGTCTCCATTGGTAGCACGGACTCGCGAGTGAAGCCCACAGTCGTCAGTTGTTGTCGTTGGCTTAGTTCCATCCCTAGCTCCCTGAGTCGTCGCCGGTCCGTTTTCCCAGTAGCAGTCATCGGAATACTTCTCATTGGGACGTATGCCGTGGGGATCATGTATATCGGAACTCTGCTGGCCAGCCTCTCTTCGATACCAGCAGTTGCTTGCCAAACAGTTTGGTTGCATGATTGCTCGTCCATAGGCTCGGTGTCGACTGTTGTCAAGCAGACGAAAGCAACAAGAGTTTGATTGCAGGTTTCTGGTAAAGTGATGACTTCTGCCACAACTTGAGTCTGTCCGACCGTATCATCATATTCCAACGTGTTCTTGACATGAAGCTCTATTTCATCGAGCTCAACACGCTGCCCACGTATCTTCACCTGTGTGTCTTTTCTACCAATGAATGTCAAAGACCCATCCGGATTATAGCGTACAAGATCGCCAGTTTTGTAGAGACGGCCATTTCTTCCGGGGCAACGTGGCCCGTTACCACACACGAGCCAGGCAGGGTTCTCAACAAAGACCTTCGCAGTTCTCGCAGCATCGTTCAGGTATCCCTGCCCGATTAGAGGGCCTTCTATCCAAAGCTCGCCTACTGCGCCTATCACGCTTAGTTGATCAGGATTGTCTGGATCTACAACCCAAGTGGTCGCCCCGGCGCCCTTGCCAATGCTTGGCTCTGTAATACTGCATGGATCTACTGATTCCGTAGTCACAATATTCGTTTCTGCAGGCCCATATACATTGACAAGGCTCCTCAATCTTCTTTCTTTGGGAAGATCTGCCAGATGAAGAGCCTCACCACTGTAGCACATGGTGTCTAGGCCGGGCACTTCATCAACGTTGACCATACGAGCGACTGTAGGGGTTAAGTGAGCATATGTCACACCGAGCTTGGCCATTGAAGCGGTGATGTTTTGCTTCCGGTCGTCTTCAGATGGGACACATAGGCAGCCACCAGCAACCATAGTGTGGATAAAGTTGCACCAAGCTATATCGAACGCATACGATGCAAAGTCGAACACTCTGCAACTCGAGGTGACTCTAAGTGCCTCCTGCTGATATTTGATAGCGCTACTGAAGTTCTTGTGCGTATAGATAACTCCCTTTGGCGTACCGGTGCTGCCCGAGGTGAAAACAACATACAAGGTGCTGTCAGGGCTGATCGTTGGTAGCTCAAGACTTGAAGAGAAAGATGGTAACTTGGCTAGATCCTCCCCGCTTACAAGCACCACCTCGCAGGCACCTAGCGCATAGGACAAATCCTTATTCTTTATTGATGACAGAATAACAATAGGTTTCACTTGATCCACGATCATTTTGAGCCGTGCCTCGGGCTGTGTCACATCTAAAGCCACAGACGCTCCGCCTGCTTTCATTACTGCTAGCATAGCGACTGAAGTCCACAGCGACTTTTCAAAACACAGGGGCACTATGGCACCAGGCGTCACACCCATGCTGACCAGGTAACGAGCGAGTTGATTAGAGAGCTCCTCAAGTTGCGTGTAGGTTAGCTGACCATCCCAAGCATGAACAGCAGTTGCGGTTGGCCGACGATGAGCTGAAGAAGAAATTTGGTCATGGACACAGAGGTCAACAGCCTCTGGCACCACGAAATTCCATTCCCAAATGCTTTGAAGGTCATCCTGGCCAATGGCTGTCACTTGCCGTAAAACCTTGGTATCATTATCCGCATTGCAAAGCTGTCTTAGGATGTGCTCGAGCTGATGAGCTAGCCGACGCAATTCCACAGGCTGTAGTGCTTCTTGATTGAAGCTGAATTTAATGATTAGACCTGAGCCTTGCGGCTTAAGTTCCACTTCCAAAGGATACCCCCTGGGTTTGTTGAACACGACAGCAGGATCTCCGTTGGCTGAGTCATGGATCACCAAAAGAGTCTGGAAATGGCAACACTCCTCAGCCTCGACAGACGCTTGGCGGATAAGGTTCAGTCCGACACGCTCGAAACGAAGTGTCTCCTTTGTTTGTCGTTCCAGACCTTCCAATACCTCTGCCACGGTGAGTTCCCAGTTTATAGCCACTCCAACTGGAGCAGTTACAGCAGCCACACCACTTGCCGCAGACAGGCTATCGTGACGTAAAACGCCAAAGACAACCTCACTGCTGGCGGTAAGCTTAGAGGCCAGAATTGACCAGGCTGTTAGGATCACGGTCGTAGGCGAAACTAAACTGTTCCAGGCCAAGCTGTCAACGAAGTGTGTGAGAGATTCTTTGGGGCGACGCTGCGCTTGGCCAGGTTGATGAATCACCGGGAAGGTCTGCCCGCGAAAGGCTTTAAATCTGTTCTTCCAGTGATCCATCGCAGAGTCTTCATCGACACCGGTAGTATACTCGAAGAACGCTCCGTGTAATGGTTGCGATTCCGCTGTTTTATCTCTAGCTGTAGCATCAACTCGGTCTGTTGATGGGAGTTTCATGTTACTAGCTGTCGGAGTACTAGAATGAGGCTCTGGAAATGTATCGCTGCTTTGAATAAAGTCAATGGCTTTGACGAGAATGCCGCACAACTCTTCAGCACCAGCCGCTCCAAGGCATGATGTCTGATAGCTGATGCTAACCGCTGTGTCGGCCCCATATAGACTTGCGCCGAGAATGACATCGAACTAGAATTCAATTAGACTGATGAGAGAGATCCCCTAATGTGCGGCTTGTTATCTTACCTCATGTGGATCGTCACTATGGACCTCTTGAAACTCAACCGCACCCAGACTTCTGTTCTTCGAACTGGTGCCTTCTCTTACTGTAATGGCCGTGTTGAAAAGTTGCTGAGATCCAATGCCGAGCTCGTGCTGGATTTCCGCAAGTGAAGCATGTTGATAATCTAAATGCTCAATAGACTGTTCAGATGTAGCTGCCAATGCTTCATCAAGAGGCAGACGCACATCAATTCTGCTGATCAGGATATTGATTAGAGGTCCGATCATTTTGTCAATGTTGGCAATTGGGGCATCTCGCCCAGACGCCATATATCCGAAACAAATCTCGCGCATTCCAGTATAGTGCCACAGCACCAAAGCCCAGGCAACCTGCAAGAAGACCGAGCGAGTGATGCCATGTGATTTGCAGAACTTTTCGATTCCAGCAGTTGACTCAAGTGGTAGATTGACAACATTGTGAGAGCCAATGTGTGAAGCTTGTTCAAGTGGCGTAATACTGGAGAACTTGCATGGCGAAACCCCATCGAGGAATCTGGTCCAGTATCGGAGCCTCTCAGCCTTAGCTACCGTGCCAAGGCTTTGAACAAGGTCACGGAATGACGGGCCTTCTTCTAGTTGATAACCATGATAGGATCTTGTGAGGTCGTCCAGAAGTATTTGCATGGATGCAGCATCCATAAGCACATGGTTAATGTCTAACCTACAAGCAACCCTGTTGTGTGCTCCCTGACAAATCGTGAAGGTATGCAACGGTTCGCCAGGAAGATATGATACGCTTGGTTGCTCAAAGAGAACATCAGCAGGATTATTTGCGGCCGTGGATAAGTGATTGACGCGATGACGAAGACCACCTATCACAACCTGTATGAAGCCACCGGTATCTGGATGCTCAACTAGAATCGTGGATAGTATAGGATGTTTTCGAGCTACAGTTCTCCAGGCCTCTTCAAGTCTCGCAGCTGAGGGTTTGTCCTCAGTTGATGAAACGCAGTTCCAAACCCAGTAGTTTGCGTACGAAGCTGCACCCTTTCTTGTACTGAGGAGTATTCCTTCCTGAACAGCCGTACAGGGATAGATGTCCTGCACATTCTGAACGTCCACACCCAAAGCGGGGAGTCTGTTCTCAAAGAGAGCTTCAAGACCTTGATAAGATGTGCTTAGAAGGGGGTAATCACTCAAAGTGAACTCCACTGCCTTCTTGGTCAAGCAATAAACAAGGTCCTTCAATGTCTGCTCGAAAGTCTTTAACCACTTCTGAAGCCTAGCTTGGTGTTGCATCTGCTGCTTGAACCGAAACGTGATTGACAACCTTCCATGATCTACGTCTGCACTCACGTCAATCAAGGCAAATCTATGAGCTGTTGGGGAGATGTCCACTAAATGAGCAATTTCCGCTCTGTCTTCCGGTTTGAAGAGCGCATTGGGATTTTCTAACTGTTGATATTTGCCGGTGTAATTTAGGATGATCTCGACTGCTTGATGTGTTTGGTCTTTCTCGAGACTTTCCTTGCTGTGATAGCGGTAGGCAAAATATGGCCGTCCTTTTCCGGGAATCTGTCGTCGAATATCCTTTGTGAACTTGACCGCATCACTAAGGCAGCCATGTGCGTTTGGAATCTGGATAGGGTGTAAAGTTGTAAACCACCCGACTGTTTCTGAAAGATCAGCGTCGATATCATTGATAGGCTCTCTTCCGTGTCCCTCGAGGAAGATCGGAGGAACCTGTCTATCAGGGAACACTTGTCCAAAAGAGTGTATTAGTGCTCCTAGAATCAGGTCAACAGGTTCCGTCCTGAAACACTCATTACTGTCTCCCAGTAATAATGTAGTGTCCACCTCGCTCAAAAGAGAACTGTAAGCTTGACAATCTGTAAAATCATTTTCACTCGACTGCATGCCCCAAAATGAGAAATCGGTGGGAGGAACAACTGGGAAAGGAAGCACATCGGATAGTTGCAAGGAATAGCTTGCTTGAGCTTGTAATTCTGACCACGATTGGAACGAAACCGAGCTATGGGAAGGCAGCAACCCGACCTGAAGATGTTGCTCAATGTCATGCCATATAATTCGCCACGATACTAGATCGACGATAAGATGGTGCGCGGTGAGCAGGACAGTCTGGTCTTCACCATCGATAGAGAACAAGTCAACAGTAAAAAGGGGTCCGTTGACGATATCCAATGATTTTTGACGACTGTCGGCCACTATCTTCGCCTCTTCTCGAGAGCATGAGTCATGAAGTGTAAATATTGATTCGGCTGATTCATCCGTGGGAACAATTTGTTGCCATCTTCCGTTCAACTCCTGCTGAAAGCGGACACGAAGCATGGGATGGCGGGATACGACAGCGTTTACTGCCATCTCAAGCTCGGCAGCTGAAGTAGGCCTCATAAGTCTCAATATGAAGCTTTGGTTGAAATGATTGAGACCTTGTGGATGAGCATCGAAGAACATTTGCTGGGCTGGCGACAGAGTCCACGCGCGTCCATTTACATGCTGATTCAGGGCGAGCCGCTCCTGTCTGACTGGCTGACAGCATAACGCCAGCTTCTCAATTGTTCTAGCCCTTAGAATATCTCCGACTGTGATGGACAGGTTCTTGGCCCGACATCGAGATACAACCTGCATAGCAGTAATTGAATCTCCACCAATCTTTGTGAATGGCGCGTCGATCGAGATACTTGTTTGAGAAACGTTCAAAACATTGGCCCAAATTTCCTGCATGCTCTTTTGCAGTTTGTTGGAGGGTGGTAGGTAATTTGTATCGTTGTTTACCTCAACATAGCTATGATAAAGAGTCGATCCCAGCTTACGCAACTGTCTCCGGTCCAGCTTTCCAGTAGCTGTCGCTGGAAGGTTATCAAGCGGAATGTAGGCAGTCGGTATCATGTAAACCGGCACAACTTGGCTTAGATGCTCCTCGATACCCGCAGTCATGTGCTTGATGTAGTTGGAGTTGTTGCTGCCTTGCCCAGCATGAATGAAAACCACAAGGGTAGGGTGTTCGCTGCCCACCGGGGTGAGAACTTCAGCAATCAACTGTACGCCAGTCCGAGTGTCAAAATCAGTGTTCTTTGCCACTATCGCTTCTCTCACATGATGTTCGACTTCGTCTAATTCGACACGCTGACCTCTTAGCTTTATTTGCGTGTCTTTGCGCCCGACGAAGGTCAAGGAGCCGTCAGGGTTATATCGTACTAAGTCCCCTGTCTTGTAGAGCCGCCCCCTCCGTCCAAGTTTGCCCGGAAGTCCTTCTACCAACCAGGCAGGGTCGAGGACGAATGATTCACTTGTCTTTTCTGCGGCATTCAGATAGCCGCGCGTAACCAAGGGACCTTCAAGCCAAAGTTCACCCACTGCCCCAATTGGCATTAATGAATCGCCTTTTTGGGGCTCAACGACCCAGGTAGTGCTCACAATAGGACGTCCCAAACCATTCTTACGCTCTTGGCCTGGTAGAACTTCCAGAGTTGTAGCCATTACAGTACATTCTGTTGGTCCGTATACGCTAAGCATTTTCATCCGGTCTGGCCACAAAACGAAGTCCGTTCTGCTTAAGGCTTCTCCTCCGACAATCAGAGTACCAAGAGTTGGTAACGCAGCAGGATCCAGAATGCGAGCAACTGAAGGAGTAAAGAAGGCAAAATTTGCGTTGAAACGCTGAATCGACTGAGTGACGTCGTTTCTGCGTTCTTCTTCAGACGGGATGCAGATGCAACCTCCTGAGTATAGGGTAAGCAAAAGATTTGACCAGGAGAAGTCGAAAGCATAAGACGCAAAGTCGTAAACTCTGCTGGTAGGCTTCAGATCAAAGGTCTTGACATGGTGAGGAATGGCGGTTGCAAAATTAGAGTGCGTTAAGACAACGCCTTTTGGAATCCCGGTGCTGCCAGATGTAAAGATCGCACATAGTGCATCTGAAGGGTCGACACGCGGTAGTTGAGTTTGAGGCTGAGACTTCAACAAGTCTAGACTGGCTTCACTTACGACAACAATGCGGCAGTTGTTGCCCAGACGCCGTGCGAATTCCTCGTTTGACGCAGAAGAGAGAAGCATGACCGGTTGAGTTTGTTGTACAATTGTCTGAAGTCGTGTCTCAGGCTGAGTAACATCCATTCCCACAACTGCGGCGCCAGCTTTTATTACTGCTAACATCGCTACTGGAGTCCAGACGGATTTCTCAAAGCACAGAGGTATAAGCATATCAGCACGCACCCCAAGGCTGATCAAATGACAAGCCAAGCGCGTAGAGAGCTTATCCAGGTAAGAATAATTCAACTTCCCATCCCAGGCATCAACTGCTGGCGCCTGTGCATTATAGTGTGGCGTATTCATGAGTAGGTCAGGGACACTAGTGTTGTTAGGGACGGTCAAGGTTGAGTTCCATGTCCAGATCTTGCTCAGATCCTGCGCGCTCACCACTTCCAGACTGTTCAGAATCTTTGATCTGTTCCCCTCTGCCAAGACTTGTCGAATCAAATTCTGCAGTTGACCTGACATTTGGTAAACTTGTGCTTGGCTGACAACACTAGCGTCATAATTGAAGTACAATCGAGCTCCGGTAGCCTCGAGACAACATTCAACAACCAAGGCGTGGGTAAGCGTCGAGTTGTGTTCTATCAAACTGTCTCCGTCTTCTGCAGTATCTTCTGCAGCTTGAAAGAGGCTGGACTCCTTAGAATCCTTCTCAACAGGTTGTACTACCAATAGAGTTTGGAAACGGCTGGATTCGCTGGCCTCCAAACTAACCTGACTAATTCGTTGAAGTCCGGTTTGTTCAAAAGGGATCATATCTACCGCTTGCATCTGTACATTGTAGAGATTGGTTTCCAAAGTCTTGCCTGGGTCTAGCAAAACTCTTACAGGAACGGTGGCAATAGTAGGCCCGACCATCCGCTCGATACCCACAAGAGGCGTCTGTCGTCCCGTGACAGTTGCCCCGAAAACGACGTCATTACAACCAGTATATCCCGAAACTAAGATTGCCCAGGCAGTTCGAATGATGTTAGAGGCCGTGATATCGTTGCTTCCCCATTGAATCTTTTCTAAGCTTGAAGTAAATCGATTCGTGCATTTAGGGTGGTATGACGCTGCTGGTAAAGATGGAAACGAGTGGCCTTCAAGGCCTGCAAACTGTTTCCCCCAGAATGCCGTCACAGCGTTGTCACTAAGATCGAGCACATGCTTAATCATCAGTTTGAATGGCATCATCGATGAATTGTTATCGCCAGCCTGGTATGCCCTCTTGACGGCGTCGAGAATGAGCTGCATTGACCATCCGTCATAGAGAGCATGGTGAATCGTCCACACGAGGTAGTATTGGCTAGAATCTTGGGTGGAAGCAACAGCGAATTTGCTGAGGCAAGCTCCTAGAACCATTTCGCGTTGTCTGCCATCTTCCAAATATAGAGTCAGATCGTTACTTGTTACCCAGTCTGGTTCTTCATTTACCACTACTTGAACGATTCCGTGCCCGGGCAAATCGATGAGCCGCGTCCGTAGTATAGGCGTAGCTGCAATAACTTGCTTCCATGCCGCATGTAACCGCTTGTGGTCAATGTTATCAGGAATCTTGCGAACAATTATTGCCACATAATCGCCCGCCCGCTTTGCAGTAAGCGCCATCAATCCTTGTTGGAGCGGCGTGCAGGGCAACACATCCTCAATGTCCACGGCGTTGATAGAACAAAGGCCTGCCACCTCGGTTCTCAAGGGCTCGGTCATGGGGCAATTCAGGAGAGAGAAGGCTGGAATAACGTCTATTCCCGTAGTTTCGGCACCATTAGTCTGCACGATGGTTGCGAACTCTTCTAGCCTTGGATGTCGGAAAAGGTCGGCGACTGAGAATGACAGTCCTTGATCACGGCCAGCACCAACCAATTGCATGGCGCTGACAGAATCACCACCGATACGCATGAAGTTGCTTTCTAGGCCTATGGCACTGCTATCAACAGACAAAACTGTCGCCCAAAGAACTTGGAGTCGCCTCTGCAGTTCAGTCTCTACAGGTCGCAATCGAGTAGATGAGGTCAACGAGCTGAGTTGCTGGGGGGTGAGCTCCGTACCAAGTTCTCGAAGCCTTTTTCTATTAATCTTACCCGTTCCTGTAATCGGGATACTTTGCAGTGGTATATAGGCCGTTGGGACCATGTAGTACGGCACTCTGTCTGCCAGTCGCTTTTCTATGTCTACTGTCATACGTATGACAGTTCTGGCCCAGGTGTCCTCGTCAACGACAGAGACTTCTTGCGGATTCTGCCCAACGAAGACGACGAGTATCGAGTTATTATTTTCTTGGGGTCGGATAACTTCAGCCACCAGTTGTGGACGAGTGCTTGGATCTACATCATGTTGAGCATCAAGCATAAGTGCCTGTTCGACATGATGCTCAACGTCTCCGAGTTCAACACGCTGGCCGCGGACCTTGACTTGCGTATCCTTGCGAGAGACGAAGACTAAAGAACCATCTGGATTATAATATACCAGATCCCCAGTCTTGTATAAACGGCCACGCCGCCCCTTGCAACCAGGACCTCCGCGAACTAACCATATAGGATCGCGGACAAAAGATTGTGCGGTGCTCTCCGCGTTGTTCAGATACCCGCGGGCTAGAATAGGACCCTCTACCAGAAGCTCTCCTACTGTCCCAATAGGAACCAACTTGGTATGATCTTTCTGGTCGACAATCCAACTACAAGATCCTGCTGCCCTTCCAATTGTTTTTGGTGGCAACTTGTTATTTGTCCATGTTCGGACTGAGTGAATCACGGCGCACTCTGCAGGCCCATAAGCATTAAATAGCTTAGGCAGTCCATGCCATCGCTCATAATCTGACTCCCACGGGGCTTCTGCTCCTAAAATCAACGTCTTCAGGGTCGGCACTTTGGTAGGATCCAGAAGCCGTGCAACAGAAGGAGTGAGTAGGGTTGTGTTGACTGCCATGGACTCCATTGTTCCAGCCAAATCGGTAATCCTGTTATCTTCAGATGGCACACAGACGCAGCCACCATGTAACCACGTCGAGAAAATCTCCATGATACAGGCGTCGAACGCGTAAGATGCAAATTGTAGGACCCTGGAGTCCTTGCTCAGGTCCATAACCCTACCATAACTGTGACAGCTTGTAACCACTGCTTGGTGTTCCAGAACCACCGCCTTGGGTCGACCAGTACTGCCGGATGTGAAAATGATGTACATTGTGCTGGTAGGATCGACGGCGGGTAACATAGTGTTTTGGATGATACCATGCTGTGAGTGCTCTTTATCCACCACCAAAATCGAGTAATTACCTAGCAGACTTGCTATTTTTCTGCTCTTTGTAGACGACAGTACAACGCTTGGTTTGATTTCCTCAACAATTGTCTGCAGACGAGATGTGGCCTGTGTCGTGTCCATGGCAACAAAAGCACCGCCGGCTCTGATAACAGCCAGCATCGCCACAGGCGTCCACATCGACTTTTCAAAACAGAGCGGCACTACGTCGCCAGGGCCAACTCCGAGACTTGCCAACAGTAGTGTATGGTAAGAGGAAAATTCCCATAGTTCTGCATAACTCAGAGATCCATCCCACGCACATATTGCGGGTGCTTGCGGCTGGATGTTCGTAATTTCGTACAAGCAGTCGTGGGCACAGACCGCAGATACGTCTGGCACAGTTGCGTTCCACCTCCACATGTCTTTCAGGTCTTGAGGCGTAACCAAATCTATATCGCCCAGCGTCTTATTTTCCGCTTGCCTCTCGCAGAGCTGTTTCAGGACATGACCAAAATGTTCGGCCATGTGGCGAACCTCGACACTGCCGATGACATTGGGATCATAGCTCAACTCGATAGAAACCCCATTCTTTTGAAGTTGGCACTCGATTATCAAGGCGTAGTTGGGATAAGCACCAAGGTTGACTTCGATATTGTCACTCTTGAGATCGTCCTGGTCCTGCGCGATTAAAAGCTTGTTGCGACCAATCTCATCTTGAGCAGGCTGCACCACTAACAGAGTTTGGAAATGGCAGGCTTGCTCGGCCTCGGAGCTCACCCTACTTATTCGTTGCAAGCCGGCTTGCTCGTATGGGATCATATTCATAGCTTGATATTGTATAGCATGTAAAGTATGTTCCAGATTGGACTCCCAGTCCAGCTTTACCCGTACAGGAACAGTTGAGATGGTAGGCCCTGCCATCTCTTCAATTCCTGGAACAGCGCTCTGTCTTCCCGATAATATTGCTCCAAAGACTACGTCCTGCGAGTCGCTCAGTCGCCCCATGACAACGGATAGCGCTCCTCGTAGCATGGTCTGAGGGGTGAAGTTATTCCCTGACCAATACAAGTTCTTCACTTGGTACTGCAGTGTATCTTGTGGGTTTGGGTGATAATTTGCGGATGGAAGCTGTGGGAACTGCTGTGCTTCCGAGCCAGAAAATGCATCACTCCAAAATGAAGAGTACGCCTCTTGGCTAGTCTCACGAAGTCTCTTGATGAATGGTTGAAACGGTCTCAGTGTTGGAGGCGATCCGTGGAGATAAGCCTTCTCCGCAGCTTTGGTGAGCAATTGTAAGGACCAACCATCGTAAAGGGCATGATGAATAGTCCACACTAAATATCGTTTATTGCTCAAATCCCCAGAAACATAACCGAATCGACTAAGGCGGACACCAAGACCCATATGTAGTCGGGTTGGATCTCTGAGATATCCGTTCAGGTCGCCATGGTCATCTACCGAGGTCCATTCCACCTCTTCTTTTAAGACGACTTGTACGAGGCCTTTTCCGGGACAGTTCACGATTCGCGTTCGCAGAATAGGTGTACTTGCAACAACTTGACGCCATGCGGTATACATTCGCCCGATGTCAACATCATTGAGGAGCTGGAAGACCAAAGTCGCAGTATAATCACCAGCGTGCTTCTCCGTGAGTGCTAAGAGCCCTTCCTGAAGGGGGGTACATGGAAATGCATCCTCGACCACATCGTCGCTGACTCCACAAAACGTTGCGACTTGCATTCGTACGGCCTCTTCGTCTTGGGGCGGAGGGAGCAAGGAGAAGGCGGGGACAGCTTCATCGGATGTGATATCCTTCGTCCGCTGCTCTTCTAGAATCTTTGATAGGCCACCAATCGTTGGGTTCTGGAATATGTCTGCAACTGAGAGTGGCAGTCCTTCATTGCGTGCAGCAGCGACGAGCTTCATCGCTCCAATTGAGTCACCACCGAGCCGCAGGAAATTATCATTTAGGCCGATTCTCGCACTATCTATGTTCAAGACAGTGGACCAGAGGGCTTGAAGTTGTTTTTCCACCACTGTTTCCACCTTTTGTTGTTTGATATGAGATAAAGCAAGATTGCTTAGCTGTTCCGCTGTAAACGATGCCCCGAGCTGCCGCAGCTTTCGTCTGTCAGTCTTGCCTGTTACCGTTGCTGGTACTGTTTCAATTGGGATATAGGCGGACGGTATCATATAAATGGGAACTTTGTCGCTCAAACGAGAATCGATTCCAGCTGTCATACGACCAACCATGCGATGGAGAAGGTCTTTGTCAGTGGGAGGATTGCCATCGCTGCCACTTAAGCTGACAAAGACGACAAGAGTCGGATTTTCGCTGCCTTCTGGCACGACGACTTCAGCTATGATTTGTGCCGATCGAGTATCTTGTTCATCCATGAGGGCGTTCCGCACATGGTGCTCTACTTCGCTCAGCTCGACTCTTTGACCTCGGATCTTGACTTGGGTGTCCTTGCGCCCAACAAAGATCAAAATTCCATCCGAATTATAGCGTACCAAATCACCTGTCTTATACATACGGCCACTTCGTCCTGAACTCGAAGGCCCCCCGTGCAGGAGCCAGGGGGGGCTCTCAACAAATGCAGCCCTTGTTGCATCGTGGTCACTGGCGTAGCCTTGACCGACAAGAGGCCCTTCCAACCAAAGTTCACCAACGACACCAATCGGCATCAGCGTATGCCCATCGACAGGATCCACGATCCACGTTCGTAGTCCGAGTCCGTTGCCTATGACTGGGCCATCTTTCTTCAAGTCTCCGATCGTTGAACACGGCGTACACTCAGCGGGGCCATAAACATTGATAGCATGTGTGTCAGGTCCGCAGAGGTTTATATCTGTGGGCAGCACAGCCTCTCCTGCAAGTACCAAAGTGTTCAATCCTGACAGAACGGCACGGCCCAGCACGCGGGCCAGGGTTGGTGTGAGCTGAGCGTACGTTATCTTGTAGCGCTTGATGCAGCCTGCCACGTCGTCTCGTCGTTCTGAATCCGAAGCAACACAGAGACATGCCCCAGAAGTCAAGGTATGGAGCAGATTGTACCAGGATAAGTCGAAAGCTTGCGACGCAAAGTCGAACACGCGAGACTCAGGGGTGAATCTCAGGGCTTTCTGTTGGTATTTTATGGCGCTGCTAAAGTTGCGATGTTCAATCATGACGCCCTTTGGTATTCCAGTACTTCCAGATGTAAAAACCATGTACAAGGCATCACTCGGATCAACGACGGGCAGCTTTAGGTCTGGAGACCTTGGTGGTTGGTGGCTAAGGTGCTCTTCAGATGCACCCACGATAGTGACATCTGATGCCAGTCCATGGGCGAGCATTTCGTTCCCAGCTGACGAGATCATGATTATGGGACGGACTTGTTTTACGATGGCCTCAAGCCGCGCCTTAGGTTGAGTCACATCCAAGGCCAAACTTACTCCGCCAGCCTTCATAACTGCCAGGATCGCCACCGATGCCCACATTGATTTCTCAATGCAGATAGGCACAACCTGGCCTATCTCCAGGCCAAGTTCAATAAGATGATAGCACAGACGATTTGAGAGCCCGTCCAGCTGCTCATATGTCAGGTCCCCGTCCCAAGCGCAGATGGCTGGCGCGTTTGGTCGAAGCCGCACTACCTTGGCGATCAACTCGTGAACACAGACATCGAAAGTCTCTGGCATAGCTGAATTCCACCTCCAAATATCACGTAGGTCTTGGTTGCTAATCGTTTCGATAGCCCCGAGCCTCATCCCTTGGTTTTGAGGCGAGCAAATTTGTCTAAGGATATGCTCAAACTGCACTGCCATCCTCTTGACTTGTTCATGATCAATAGCTGCTTTATGCGACAAGATAGCTAGCTTCATGTCACCATGTTCGAGTTGGAATTCTAATCTAAGTGACAGTCTCATATTCTCTTCGCTGTTTTGGGTGAGGCGACTCATTTCTCCAAGCTGGACGACATCTAAAGCTGTCTGGAATCCGGCGGCTGTGTGCTCGCCACCAATAATTGTGCGGATACGTTGCAAACCGACCCTCCCAAATTTAGCCACGTTTTCAGATACAGTAACTACTGCGTCGAGAGAGCTCTTTACTGTGGCTTCCCAATCTAAAACGAGGCGGACTGGTAGCACCGTGTCCAGAGAGGATTGTACAGCTTTGGCTGGTGAGAAATTTCGTAGAGTGGTAGGTGATCCAAAGATCACTTCATCCGATTCCGTATAACGAGCAGCAAGAACTGCCCAAGCCAGATATATGAGGTATGTTGGAGAGGTGTCTAGATCGTTCCATTGGAGATCATGTATCGCGTGATCAAAGCTCTCAAGCTGCGGGTAGCTAGTACCCTCCACGGAAATCCCACTTCTAAGAGGAAAACTCTGTGCGTTTGAGTCACACAGGTAGGTTTGCCAGAATTCTGTTGCGCTTTCTTCGTTGACCCCAGCGAAAAACTCAAAGAAACCTTGCTGGGTTAAGGAATCTTCAGTGCTTTCTCTGTATTGTTGCCTGGACAACGTTGGACCAATTGATGATGATTGTTGATTTTGATTGGACATATGATTTCGGAGATATTGGATGGCCATATGAACCGTATGCATGATGTGCTGGGCTTCAGTAAAGCCGACCAGATCTGTTTGGTAGCTGAGCATAATATCAGTGTTTGGTCCATTTATATCTACGCCGAGGAGCGCAGCAAACTATGTCATTTTAGTAAAAAGAATGTCAAGAAACAAGGAAAGGAAAGAACAATTTACCTCGTGTTGATCATCGCTACTAATTTCGTTGAAAGTCACCATGTCCGCTTGGCCATTGCTCGAAGAAGAGTCGTGAACTGTCAATGCCGTGTTGAAGAGTTGCCTACGGCCAAGTTGCAGCTGGTGCTGTATCTCAGCTAATGAATTATGCTGAAACTTCAGGTGCTCTATCGTATCCTCGGCAGCTTTGCGCAGCATATCACCGAGTGGTTTGCGCACATCAACGCGGCTAATAAGCATGTTGATCAGGGGCCCAACCATCCTTTCAATGCCAATGATGGGTGCATCTCTTCCAGAAGCCATATACGCAAAGCAAACTTCCTGTTTACCATTGCATTGCGAAAGAACGAGTGCCCAGACTATTTGTAGAAAAACAGAGCGAGTGATTCCGTGATGTCTACAAAGCGCGGCAATTCCTGCGCTGGCCTGAGCCGGTAGTTTGAGGCTACCGTACGAGTGGCCACGCAGCTCATCACTTTGTTTTCCAGAATGTACAGGAAGCTCACAAGGCTCGATTTCAGTCAGATACGCTGACCAGAACGAAAGTCGCTCAGACTTAGAAACACCACTCAGGTGCTGCACTAGATCTCTGAATGGAGGAGCGGCTAGTGCGTCGTGGCCGCTGAGTGCCCTGCTGAGATCTTGGAGAAGCAACTGCATAGATGTTGCATCCATCAGCGTATGGCTGATGTCAACTCGACAGGCAAAGTCCTCGTTTGCACCTCGGGAAATTGTCAATTGACACTCCGGTTCACCAGAAGAAAAGTGAGGCCTCTCCATCTCGAGCAAGGGTTTTGCGGCAGATTCAGAGACCAATTTCGGGTGTAAGTGAGTTACTCGTGCTGGTGAGTTTCGGAGCACCACTTGTATAAAGCCCCCATTGTCTACATCTTCAACGAAAATGGTTGAAAGTATTGGATGTTGGGATACCACGTCTCGCCACGCGGCCTCAAGTCTCTGAGGGAAGGTCCCAGCATTTGCAGAATTGCCATTGCTAAAACGACATTCCCATACCCAATAGTTTGCATAAGAAGCCACCGCTTTGTTTCTAGTAAGAAGCATACCTTCTTGGACTGGAGTACAAGAATAAATATCTTGGATGTTTTCAATTCTAATATCTATTGCCGAGAGTTTCTCTTTTAAGAGCAGATCTAGCCCCCTATATGTGGTCTTCAGCAAAGGGAAATCGTTCAGAGTGAAGGTTCGGGTCGCTTTGGATAGATCATATGCTGCCGTGTTCAATGTCTCCTCGAACAATCTGATCCAATCTGCAAGGCGATTCTGATAGCGCATCCGCTTATGGATAGCAATGGATATGGCCATCTTGTCGTCTTCCACCCCGGCATTGACGTCAATCAGAGCCAGACGCCGCGCTTTGGGTGAAACATCCGAATTATCAGCAATCATGCTATCTCGATTCTCCAGTCTGAACAAAGAATTGGTTTTCTCCAGTTGCTGGTATCGTCCCATATAGTTAAAGGCGATTTCTGCCTCGTCGTGATGTCTGAATGCCCGCTGGCCTGCATCGCTCAGATAGCGACAGGAAAAGTAGGAGAGGCCCTTGTTAGGGACGAAACTTCGAGAATCCTTGGTAAATTTTACCGTGTCCAGGATCCCATCTTCACATGTCCCAGGAATTTGTACAGGGTGGAGAGTCGTAAACCATCCCACAGTCTCGGAAAGGTCAGCTTCAAAGCCGTCCAAGGCCTCTCTGCCATGTCCTTCAATAAAAACGGGAGGGCTTTGTCGGTCCGGGAAGGTCTGGCGCAACGAGTAGACGAGGGCTGCTAGCAACAGATCAACCGGTTCAGAGGCGAAGCACTCATTGCTTTTGCCCAAGAGAAGGGCAGTCGTCGCTTTTCCCAATAATAAGACGTGATTTTGACTGCCGCCTTCCACATTTTCGGCCACCGGAACCCCCCAGTAACTAAAATCAGATGTACTAGCTGGGACTGGAAGGACTTGGTGTGGGCTCATTGAAGAACTTCTCTCCCGCTGCAACCTACACCATCTGTGGAATGAGAGTGACTCATGGCTTGGCGCAGTACCGGTTCGAATGTGCTGTTCTATATTTTGCCAGATGATACGCCAAGAGACCAGATCAACGACAAGATGGTGCGCAGTAAGTAACAGACTTTGATCCTCTCCGGTCACGGAAAACAGATCCGCTGCAAAAACAGGCCCATTCAGGATGTCGAGAGACTCTTTCCTAGCCGTTGCAATCTTTCGTACCTCAGTTCTCTCAACCTCAGAGTGATGCTTGAATGCGAGTAGTTCGGCTGCAGGATCAGATATGACTTGTTCCCACTGGCCGTCGTCGCGTTGTCGAAAGCGTGCTCGCAACATCGGGTGGCATCTAACCACAGCATCCAGAGCCGCTCTAACAGCCGCTCCTGGGACGGGCGCAGTGAACCGCAATACAAAGCTCTGGTTGAAGTGGTTGAGCCCATGAGGGTGCGCGTCGAAGAACAGTTGCTGGATGGGAGAGAGTAGCCACGCCTGGCCTTCAGGGCTCTCTTCGGCCGAAATGTGTGTGTGCTTGACTACCATGGGCTTGCAGCGTCCAACCAAGTTCTCTATCGTCTTGGAACGAAGTACATCTCCAACTGTAACAGAGATGTCTTTAGCCCTACAGCGGGAAACCACCTGCATTGCTGCAATCGAGTCGCCGCCCAGCGATAGGAATGGTACATCAATGGAAATCTTGTCGCAAGGAACATTGAGCACCTCTGCCCAAACTTCTACGAGTAATCGTTGCAAGTCAGTCGAAGCGGAGACTTGCTTATGCTGGGCTTTCTGTATGTTCTTATAGTTGTCGTACATCGAGGCGCCCAACTCGCGAAGCTTGAGCCGATCTGTTTTGCCCGTGGCCGTCGTTGGAAAGGTATCTAGTGGTATAAATGCAGCCGGGACCATATATGTTGGTACTCTGTCAACGACGTATTGCTCGATCGTGGTGACTGCGAGCTCCAACACCTTGTCTTGGGGCTCTTTGTTTTTCATATTGTCATTCGTTACACACACGAACGCTACAAGGGTCAAATTCTGACTGTTGTTCGTTCTGATAACTTCGGCCAAGGCTTCAATTTGTAAAGAGATTAGACTGTGAGTCTCGTCTTGCCTCTGAAGCGCGCTGCGCATATGATATTCGACCTCGCTGAGCTCAACCCGTTGGCCTCGGATCTTGACCTGCATATCTTTACGTCCGACGAAGAGCAAACTTCCATCTGGGTTGTATCGCGCCAAATCTCCTGTCTTATAAAAGCGCCGGCCAGGCTGCTCTTGGTGCCGAAGTATACCTGAACGTAGCCAGGACGGGTCTTGAATAAAGGTCTTGCCTGTTTTTTCTGAGTCATTCAGATAACCCTGACCGAGGAGAGGACCTTCCAACCACAGCTCTCCAACTTCTCCGATCGATACCAGCTTGTCTTCACGGTCAGGATCCACCAACCAGGTGTTCACTCCGTACCCATTGCCTATGCTTGCTCCAGCAGATATCTTGTCAGGAACTGCAACTGCAATTGTAGAGCAGGGTGTACACTCAGCAGGCCCATAGGCGACAATCGTCTTTCCGTCTTCACAGAGACCAAAGTCTGATGGTAAAACTGGCTCGCCTGCAAGTGCTAGCACTTCCAGTTTTGATAGTGTTGCTTTCCCAATTACACGTGCCAGAGTGGGAGTGAAAAGCGCGTAATTTATTTGATATCGTTGAATGCAGCCCGCAGGATCGTTCATTCGTTCATCATCCGAAGCAATGCACAGACAGCTGCCATTATACATGGCATGAATAAAGTTAAACCAGGCCATGTCAAAGGCATACGAGGTGAAATCAAAGACCCTGCTGTTAGGTGTGAACCCTAGGATATGTTGTTGGTGTTTAATTGCATTGCTGATATTCCCGTGAGTCACAACAACACCTTTGGGTGTTCCTGTACTGCCAGATGTAAAAACAACATATAGAATGCTAGCCGAGGTTATTGTAGGCAATGGTTCGGAAGCTTTAGTTGAAATTAGATGCGATAGAGGCTCCCTCCCAACGACGACGACACTAGCACGGCAGTCCAAAGTCTTGGCTAGCTTCTCGCCAGCGACCGAGGATAGTATGATTCCAGGGTTGACTTGCTCAACGATACTGCAGAGGCGCTCTTTTGGTTGTGACACATCCATCGCCAGTGATGCGGCCCCGGCCTTCATCACTGCCAGCATAGCCAGAGGAGTGTACATTGACTTCTCAAAGCAGAGTGGAACTATCGAGCCCTCGGTTACTCCTAAAGTGATCAAATGCTTAGCCAATCGCGTGGAGAGCGAATCAAACTGCGCATAGGTCAAGTTTCCATCCCATGCACAAATCGCGGCAGCACGTGGTTGATGGGTCGCTGTCTTAGAGATCAAGTCGTGGATACATATATCAGTTGCCTCGGGAACCGTGCTGTTCCAGCGCCAGATGTCGGCCACATCTTGATTGCTGAGTGTGCTGATATCCTGTAGAGTCCTCGCCATCGCATGACTGGTCTGGTCACACGTTTGTCTCAGGATGTGTTCGAATTGAAATGCTATTCGGGACACTTGGGCTTCGTCAACAACTTTTGGGTCAAACCGGAAATTCAGAACCATGCCCTGAGTTTGCATTGCAAATCGTATTTCCAGAGGACAGGTGATTGTCTTCTCGTGGTCAGAGTCCTGGTGGGCGAATGGTTCGTCACCGTCTTCAGAAGTTTGACCATCCTTGTCATCCCTCTCCATTATGAGCAAGGTTTGAAAGCGACAGGCCTCCTCAGCGTGTGGACTAGCTTTTCGAATACACTCAAGCCCAACTTTCTTAAACGGTCTCCTCTCCTCCACGTGTTGTCGCATCTCATTGACTGCCTCTTCCAAGGTGTTCGCCCAGTCTAAGACCACTCGTACCGGGACTGTCAAAGCTAAAGCTTTATTGGAGGTCATGTCCTGTTCCACTGTTCCGAATATCACGTCCCTTGAACCAGTCCGTTTTGCCGCCAAGATCGCCCATGACATCTCTATGAGTACACTCATTGATGATTCATGCCGAGGCAAGCCGTTAATTCTGTGTATGTGATTACTTATGCGGTAAGAACGAGACAACGACTGCGATGCTGGAGAGGGGAACATTTGTCCTTGGAGGTCTGAAAACTGCTGTCGCCAGTAATCTGTCGCTTCTTTGTCACTAATACCAGTGACGTGTTTGAAAAACCTCCTTTGAAGTCCTTCTAGCTCACCCTTTGAATTGTTCTTATGTTCACCGTTTAGATAAGATGATGATCCTGTGCCATTCAAAGCTGGGTAATGCTGCGAGGCATCAAGTAATTTGCCATGCGGGGAGGTTTTGGCATCGCTAAGGATGAAGTCGATTGCTAAAGTCGTAGTGGCTACTAATTCGTAGGCGGTAACAGATCCTATAGATGCCTCCGAATAAATGATACTTATGTTCGTATGACCGCCGTTCAGCACCGCCTCCAGGATAACGTCAAACTACCACTAGTTAGTTCAGGACAGAAACATGCATGATCGAACATTTACCTCGTGCGGATCATGGCCATATATTTCGTCAAATCTGATCTCTCTTGTGCTCTCATAAAGAAACTGCTCTCGCACCGTTAGAGCAGTGTTGAATAGCTGCTCCGAGCCCATGCTTAATGCGTGTTGAATGTCCGCCAAAGACGAGTGTTGAAACCTAAGCTGCTCGATAGAATTTTCGGAAGTCTTTACTAGAATCTTGTCAAGATTTTGGTTGAGGTCGATACGGCTAATAAGTAGATTAATCAATGGTCCGATCATGCTTTCGATATCTCGAATTGGTGCATCACGACCTGAAGCCATGTATCCGAAAGTGATATCGCTCATTCCAGTATACCGAGAGAGAACGAGGGACCAAGCCACTTGCAAGAAAACCGAACGAGTAATACCCTTCGACCTACAGAAAAGATCGATTCCCACAGCATGCTCTGCTGGAATTGTAATCATTCCGTGTGAGTTACGGTTTTTGTTGGCCAAGAATCCATATGCCGGCGCAGTTGCAAGCCTACATGGCCGGGCTTGGGATAAAGAGTCGGTCCAGAATGCCAGTTTCTCTTCCCTCGTCTGGTGCCTCAGGTGCGCCACCAAAGTTCGAAATTGGGGAGCCCGCTCTATTGCTTGGCCTTGATAAGACTTGGCTAAGCTCTTTAATAAAAGGTGCAGCGAAGATGCGTCAATGAGAAGGTGGCTGATGTCCAACCTACAGGCAACATGGCCATCCGAGTTACAGGCAATCGTAAAGGTATGACTCGGCTGTCCAGCTGAGAACACTGGACTTTCAACCTTTAGTAAGGCGTCCGCAGGTGGTGCTGATAATGTATCCATGCGCACAACTCGGCACTGCGGGTTACGGAGAAGCACTTGGACGAATCCTCCACCATCAAGCTGCTCGATGAAGATAGTTGATAGTATCGAGTGTTGGCTGGCGACTAATCTCCAAGCTTCTTCCAGTCGATCCGGTGAAACAGAGTCCTCGTCAAAAGAGGGAATGCAATTCCAGACCCAAAAGTTGGCATATGAAGCAGCCCCCTTTTCTCTGCTCAGTAAAATGCCCTCTTGTACAGGAGTACAGGGATAAATGTCGAGGATGTCGGAAGGCTTGATGCCAATCGGAAACAAGCGCTCTCCTAATAGTCTTTCAATGCCAGTATTTGTAGTAGACAGCAGACTAAAGTCGCTCAAAGTGAATGCAGGCTCAGTGTTGGCCAATTGGTGAACTGCCAGGTTAAGATTATGCTTGGTTAACTTGGTCCAATCTTCAAGTCTACCTTGATGATTCATGCGCTTGTTGATGTAGAACGAAAGAGCCATCCTGCCTTGCACTATATCCGCACTGACCTCTACCAGAGAGAAGCGCTGCGCTTTTGAAGATGCCTCTTCTATAGCAGATACCAGATCCAACCTATCTTCTGGTTGGAAGAGGCCACTGTCACTCTCCAGTTGCTGAAATCTTCCAGTGTAATTTAGTATGACCTCCATTTCTCTATGGGAGTCGAAGACCCGACGGCCATCCTCGGTGTGGTAGCGATATGCAAAGTATGGCTGACCTTTGCCAGGGACTCGACGCCGATAGTCCTTGACAGACTTCACAGCGGTAAGAATTGACTCGTCCGCTGTAATAGGCGCGTCAACAGGGTGCATCGATGTGAACCATCCCACAGTTTCTGAAAGATCGATATGTAGGTCTTCGGGTGGTTCTCTACCGTGGCCTTCTAAGAAGATAGGAGGGGAACGACGATCAGTAAATACTTGCTGAAACGAATAGGTCAAAGCTGCTAGTAGAATATCCACTGGCTCGGTTCGATAACAGTCATTGCTTCGCCCAAGAAGCAAACCAGTCGTTCTTTCATCCAGGCTCTCAACATAGCTGCGGCAGTATGAACTATCATTTTCACCCAGCTTAGCGCCCCAAAATCCGAAATCGGGAGCCGTAATGCGGGATGGGAGAACCTGTTCTGGCTGGAGGCCTCGACTTGTACGCCTCTGCACTTTCGACCACGCTTGGAATGAAATTGGTTCTGGAGCAAGTTTGCTTCCTTCACCAGCTCGTATATGTTGCTCAATATCGTGCCAAATAATCCGCCACGACATCAAGTCAATGATCAGATGATGTGCCGTTAACAGTAGACTCTGCTCCTCTCCAGGGATGGAAAACACATCGGTCGCAAAGACAGGTCCGCTAAGTATACTTAATGACCCTTGTCTAGCCTTCGCAAGGGCATGAACCTCACTGCGTTGGCAAGCTAAATGCCTCTCAAACGCAAAGGCATGTTGTGAGTCTTTGACAACAAGCTGCTGCCAGCACCCGCTTGAGTCTGGCCAGAATCGAGCGCGTAGCATTGGATGACGACTCACGGTTGCACGTATAGCTGCAGACAGCACGTCATCAGATACAGGAGCTTTGAGCTTCAGCATGAAACTTTGATTGAAGTGGTCGAGACCCTGAGGGTGAAACTCAAAGAACATTTGCTGGACGGGCGAGAGATGCCATAGTGTCTCTTCTGTAGATTCTTCGGCAATAACCGATTTCGGCTTTACCTCTTTGCACCACAGAGCGAGCCTTTCAATAGTCTTTGATCGAAGAATATCGCTGGTCGTAATAGATATGTTCTTGGCTCGGCAGCGCGAAACGACTTGCATCGAAGAGATGGAATCGCCGCCGAGTCGCGTAAATGCTGTATCAATAGCTATGCTTTCGAGCGGTATATTCAGGACCTCGGACCATATTGTTTGAAGAATGTTCTCCAACTCGCTCGAGGGCGGGCGATATCCATTTTTGGTTCTTTGAACACGATGAGCTGAATACATCGAGGCACCCAACTCTCGCAGACGTCGTCGGTCAGTCTTGCCACTAGCTGTCATAGGGATGCTCTGCAGGGGGATAAAAGCTGTTGGGATCATATAGACGGGGACATTTTCGCCCAGGCGATCTTCGATTCCATCAGTCATCTTCCGCACAGCATTTCTGTGAGCCTCTTTACCAACTGCTTCGAGATGGCTATGGTTCATCGTCGAGTGGACAAAGGCGACCAGTGTTGGGTTTCCCCTTCCCTCCGGTTCGATAATTTCGGCCACGATCTGGATGCCGTTCTTGTTATCAGTGGCGAGCAAGCTCTGTACGTGATGCTCGACCTCCTGGAGCTCTATTCTTTGTCCACGTAGCTTCACTTGTGTATCTCTCCGGCCAACAAACATCAACGAGCCATCGGGGTTGTACCGAACCAAGTCTCCCGTGCGGTATACTCGGCCACGTCTCCCTAAATGGCCCGGCCCTCCACGGCAAAGCCAAGGAGGGTTCTCAAGAAAGCTACTTGCTGTCCTTTCCGCATCGTCAAGATACCCAATACCGACTAGCGGGCCTTCAAGGTACAGCTCACCCACAGCACCGATTGGCGATAGATTTTGACCGGATGGCTGTACCACCCACGTCGTGCTACCTGCTCCTTTGCCAATGGTGCCATTATTCTCCTGACCAGGACGTATATCCGTGTATGTTGCCATTACGGTGCACTCGGACGGACCGTAAATATTAAGCAGCTTGATCCTCATTGGCCAGTCATAGAAATCGTTCCTCTGTACTGCCTCACCGCCGACAACAAGCGTGTTCAAACCCGGGAGAGCTTTTGGGTCAAGGACCCTAGCAACCGATGGTGTAAAAAAAGCAAAGTTTGCCCCAAGCTGGTTAATAGATTCGGTAATCTCGTTTTTTCGTTGCTCTTCAGATGGGATACAGATGCAACCTCCTACGGATAGAGGCAACAGGAGATTTGACCATGCGAAATCAAAAGCATATGAAGCAAAGTCATACACTCGGGAGGATGACTGAATACCAAAAGCACGTATCTGTTGTTCGATTCCTGTACTGAAGTTGGAATGGGTCAGAGTCGTCCCTTTCGGAGTTCCCGTACTGCCTGATGTAAAGAGGGTGCAGAGAGCGTCTGATGGTTTGATGATGGGCAGGGGAGTCGGCGGTTGACTTTGAAGACTGCCCAAGGTCTCCTGGCATACTGTGATGACGAGGCAATCTCCCAAGCGATTTGCAAGTGCCTCAGCGCTGGTTGATGACAGAATGTGTTTCGCCTTGGATTGCTTCACTATAGTGCTGAGGCGTGCTTCTGGTTGTGTAATATCCATGCCTACAGCTACTCCACCCGCTTTCATTACTGCCAGCATAGCAACCGGCGTCCATGTAGATTTTTCGAGGCAGAGCGGCACTCTCACATTCGCCCCTATCCCAATACTAACGAGGTAGGAAGCTAAAGTGTTTGAATAGCTATCAAGCTGGGCGTATGTCAGTCGGCCATCCCACGCACATATAGCCTCTGCATCTGGCTGACGGCGAGCCACCTGGAGAAACAAGTCGTGTGCACAACTCTTGATACTTTCTGAGGGTTTGTCGTTCCAATCCCAGATCGTTTGCAGGTCTTGGCTGCTAGTGACTTCTACATCTTGAAGCCTTCTGTCTCTATTCTCTTGTACACAGATCTGCTGAAGTATGTGCTGAAACTGCTGTAATAAGAGGGAGACTCTCTTACTTTCGATGACATTTTGGTCAAAGTTGGCGTCCAGGCGCATTCCTTTTGCTCCTAAGCGACACTCAACCACTAACGCATACGAAAGTAGTGCGTTATACTCAATGTTGGAATCCTCACTTGATGACGAGGGACGGAAAATTGTATTGCTCTCGCTGTCTTCATCATGTGGCTGCACCACAATGAGCGTCTGGAAACGACATGCCTCCTGGGCTTCGGCACTGGCTTGACGAATGCGCTGGAGGCCGGTATGTTCGAATGGGATCATGTCCACTGCCTGCTTCTGCACCTTGGCGATGATTTCATCCACGGTCTCTAGAGGATTCGCAAGGATTCGTACCGGCACTGTCGAAATCGTTGGAGCAGCGATTCTTTCTATCCCGGCAATAGGGCTTTGACGCCCAGCAATGGTCGTCCCGATTATCACATCGCTGGATCCGGTGTAGTTTGAAATCAATATCGACCACGCGGCTCGGATGAGATTTGAGCCAGTGATTTCAGTGGTTCCCCATTCCAAACTCTCAATCATAGACGTCAGTTTGCTGGTCGGCCGGGGGTGATACCCTGCCAAAGGCAGAGCAGGAAACTGGGCCGCCTCTAGTCCTGTCAACTGGCTTCTCCAGAACGATGCTGCTGCTGTTTCCTCAGTGTCGGCTATATGTCTGACAAAAGTCTGGAACGGTTCGAGATATGGAACCGGCTTCATCTGATAGGCGTCTCTCAAGGCGTTCATAATCAGCCGCATGGACCACCCATCGTACAACGCATGGTGAATAGTCCAAACCAGATACCGGGAGCTCGAGCTTGAGGCTTCAAACACAGCGCCGAATCGACTTAGCCGCGTACCCAATCCCATCTCTTTCCGCCGGGAATCGTCAAGGTAAGTCTCGAGCTCATCCACAATCTCCCATTCCACATTCTCATTCAGTATCACTTGTACAAGCCCTTGCTGAGGTATGTCGACGATCCTCGTTCGTAATATAGGCGCCGCAGTAGCAACCTCCTCCCAAGCGTTCCGCAGACGTTGTGCATCCGTCATCTCGTCCAATTCGAGCGTAATGGATGCAACATAGTCTCCCTTGCGTCTTCCTGTCAGTGCCATTAACCCTTCTTGGAGCGGCGTACAAAGGAAAATATCATGGATATCGGAGACGCTCACGCCGCACATTGCAGCAGCCTGTGCCTGCATATCTTTCACGGGTTGGTGCGAGTTCAAAAGAGAGAAGGCCGGGATAGTCTCGTTGTGCGTTATCGCCCTTGTCTTAGTGATGCTGGCCAGTGACTCGAGTCTCGGGTGATTGAATAGATCCGCAACGGAGAAGGATAGACCATGCTCGCGAGCAATACCGACGAGCTGCATTGCTCGAACCGAATCGCCGCCAAGTCGGAGGAAGCTATCATCTGCGCTGATGCTGGTTGCTTCGATATCTAAAACCAACGCCCAAAGGGCCTGCAAGTTCTTTTCCATCTCGGTGCTAACAGGCCGTGAAGGATAACTGGGCTGAGTCAAACTGTCTAGTTGCCGCTGAGTTAACAAGCTGCCGAGCTCTCGTAGCTTACGGCGGTCTGTCTTTCCAGTTGCTGTCATTGGCAGGGCGTCAATTGGGATGTATGATGTCGGGATCATGTACACTGGAACCTTGCTGGCCAGACGTTTGTCTATGCCAGCCGTCATTTTCTGTATAGTGCGATTCCGCGCCTCGTCATCAGGGAAACCGGTATCAAGAGAGATAAATGTGACTAGTGTGGGAGTATTACCGCCTTTGGGTACAATCACCTCAGCGACTACCCGCGTCAGGGTGGTTTTGTCAACATCGCCGTCGATATCGTTCCGTTTCAGAAGTTCCTGAACGTGATGTTCCACCTCGCCTAGTTCCACGCGCTGGCCCCGAATCTTCACTTGTGTATCCTTACGCCCAACAAAGGCTAATGACCCATCTGCCTCGTATCGTACCAGGTCACCCGTCTTATAGAGGCGGCCTCGTCTTCCACTACAGGCTGGTCCGCCCTCCGTGAGCCAGGGGGCATCTTTTGTAAATGCCGCTGCCGTTCTCTCTGGATCGTCCAGATACCCACCACCGAGTAGAGGTCCTTCCAGCCACAGCTCACCGACTTCGCCAATAGGAGCCAGTCTGTCTGGACGAACTGGATCTACCACCCAAGTCACCACACCGTATCCTTTTCCAACAACAGGTCCTGCTGGAATGGTTGTAATTTCGGCAACTGTTGAGCCTGGCGTGCACTCTGCAGGTCCGTATGAGATTATAGTGCGCCCTTTGGGTCCGCAAAGAGTGGTATCTGATGGTAGCACGGGTTCGCCAGCGAAGACAAGTACCGAGAGCCTTGAGAGGACTGTTCTTCCGAGCACACGTGCCAGTGTTGGGGTGAAAAATGCATATGATATTCGATATCGCTGAATACAACCGGCAACGTCATTCTTCCTTTCATCTTCTGATGCTACACATAAGCAGCCCCCCACTGATAATGTGTAGATGAAGTTAAACCATGCCATATCAAATGCATATGAGGCAAAATCAAATACTCTAGAGTCGGCGGTAAACCCAAGCGCGTCTCTCTGATGCATAATGGCACTACTAAAGTTACTATGTGTGACAATGACTCCTTTGGGGGTGCCAGTGCTGCCGGAGGTATACACGAGATACAATGCACTGGATGGGGAAATTTTCGGTAGCTCGAGAACGGATGATGCGTGTGATTGCTTTAGATGTCTTTCGCTAACGACAACCACCGTGCATTTAGCCAGCCTTTGAGCGAGGACCTGGTGCGTTTCTGATGCTAAGATCACATTTGGGTTGGCCTGGCTCACGATTGTGCGTAAGCGTTCCTCGGGCTGAGTGATGTCCATGCCTACAGAAGCGCCGCCGGCCTTCATCACCGCGAGCATAGCCACGGCAGTCCACACGGACTTCTCGAAGCACAGCGGCACGAACATATTAGGCCCAACTCCGAGGTCAACAAGATGATAAGCCAACTGGCTTGAAAGGTCATCCAGCTCTCTATAGGTGAGGCTTCCATCCCAAGAGCAAACGGCTGGAGCTTCCGGCTGCCGATGTACCGACTGAGATATCAGGTCGTGAACGCAAGCATCGACACGCTCTGGCACGATCGCATTCCACTGCCAGATGCGGCTGAGGTCCTGCTCGCTGACTTGAACATCATTTTGCGAAGCCTTCCGCATCTTGTCGCCGTTACTCAGATCCCGTGGGGCATTCCCCAGTTGGCCAGTCATTGCTTTCGTTCGCGTTGAATCGAATCTCCAATAGCAGCGATTGTATTATTTTCAGTTACACTGCCGAGTTCCACGTGGTTTGTAGTCGGTGCAGCATTGCCAGGTGTACAATCTGAAGAATTATTCCCTGCTGGCTTAGGTGGGAAGTAGGCAGGCAGATCAATTGTTACATTGCTTGAAGTGCAAATCCGTTTACACATATGTCTATACCTACTATTAATATGGGAAGCTCGTCCGTCCTGTATGATGCTCGTTCTCAAACCAATACGAAGGATTGATTACAAAAGAGCCCCAAATTTGGCAATTTAATCCTTGGCCTGCAGTTTTGGAATCCATACGAAAGTAAGAAATCCACGCAAAGCCCCGGAAACCAATCAACTGACCAAATGCCTAATGCAACGTCACTACCAAGAGCCAAGCCAGGGGACGCATATCCCCATCCTAAATAATACGACGCCACTTACTCTGCCTACTGTCGTCATTCTCTAGCAATATACATGAAATTTCGACAACAGAGAATGAACTTTTGAGATGTACTTTCGTGGGTTGACTCAGCCTAGCCCGAGGACGTACCAACGAGACACCACTTCTTTTCCATGAATCAAAGTATAATCCACGGGGTAACGTTGCAGTGAAACACGCTAACAGATCACAAATCCTTGCTCATAAGCGAAGGATCCCCCGCAGTGAACGGAGTTTAGGGCTTATATGATACGATACCGGCAATGTCTTTTCGAGAAAGTCGGTAAGGCATGTATCAATTTGACGTTCTTACTAAAACCTACTACGATTTACAGGCTGTGGTCCTTCTCCCAGGACGAAATGAAATATCAATGGGAAATTTATGAACTACCGTTGTCTTGCGGCAGCGTTTTGGCGAATCGATTCCTATGGCGATTAACTCGCCTCTCAAGGAACACACTATTCCTGATCCACAAATGACAAGTGCCCTAGTTTACGAGTTATCACAAGACTAACCCGAAACAAACCATTCCTGCGATCCCTTGCTGCGATCCTGGTTTGAATAGTGTCGGTAGATAGAATTGACGCAAAAGGAATGGGTTGGAAATTTTAACATGGGGGACTTCATGGATGGTTTTGGGGAATACGTCAAAGACTTTCTCCTAGCGCCCTGGTAGCATCGAGGGTGGATAAGCTCTACATTACGCAATTCTTCTACTGAGTAGTCGATGAGGATCGGTAAGACCCTGATTTGAAGAGCAATAAGACAGGGAACATTGAGCAACCTTGACATCGACGGGCCCCGCAAAGCGTTGTGGGCGGGTGTGTATCTATTTGTCAAGCTCAGTAACATCCCACATAGTATCTACTGTGTAGTGAAGGGGCTTTGAAGACTTCAGCTTTTTTTCTAAATGATGCATTGTTGACTATGAACTCGAGAATGAGAATCGTTTGTCGCATCAATTGGAGTCGAGGTAGAAGCATATCTAGTCACAGGCTGACATGAAATTTTGTACGGAAAATATACATAGCGGAGCGGAGATATATTCAGACACGGTTTTCCTTGGCCCCATCATTCGACAAGTATTAAGACCGATAGGTAACTGGCTAAGAGAGGCAAATTGGCGGTGTGGACCAAGATGTTGAGTTCGTTGATCCTGATCCGGATATGCCGGCCGAACCTGTCTCGTAGAACCCTTAAGGTTACATATGTAACCCTTATTGCCGGCCAAAGTGCCGAGCTCCAAGAGGCCACAACCAGCCCCCCATTCTGTAAGAGAACAGAGCAAACCTCCGACAGGTTCCTTGAAATGCCACCTCCAATTTTCGTTCTTATCCCAGGTGCTTTCGGTACACCCTCTGGGTATGACAAACTCGTTCCTTATCTTGAAGAGGCCGGCTTCAGCACCAAACCAGGCCCGTACCCAAGCTCCAACCCCGTCGATCCATCTACAGCGACCTGCCAAAAAGACATTGAGACTCTACGTGAGAGAATCCTCCTTCCTCTTCTTGAGCAAGGAAATGAAGCAATTCTTGTAGCACATTCTTACGGCGGTGCAGTCGGTAGTGCAGCTGCCACCGGCCTTGACAAGACGACCCGTGCTGCTAAAGGTTTGCCTGGCGGTATCATTGGTCTGATCCACATTGCAGGGAATATTCTGCTCGACGGCGAGACACTGCAGACCGCCGTTGGCGGGGCCTATCCTCCGTTCATCAAAACAGACAAGGTAACATGCTGAGTCTTCCGCATCCACCGTACCAACTTACTCTAACGTCCCTGTGGTTTAGCCATCTAAAGGTCTCAGCGTGATCGAGCCTGTGATGGATATTCTCTACAATGACTGTGATGTAGCTCTATCTACACAGTTGGAAGCCACTATGACGCCTCACTCAACCCTGGCTTTCGAAACGCCGCCAACTACACCGGCTTGGGCTGATGCGGCATTTGAAAGGAGGCGAACTTATGTGCGCACATCCGAGGATTGCTGCATTCCTCCCGGCCTCCAAGACATGTGGCTGGAGAAGACTGGAGTTCAGTGGGATGTAGTTCACTTGAAGGCTGGCCACATGCCCTTTATCAGCATGCCGAAAGAGCTGGCTGAGCAACTTGTCAAGTCTGCTAAGGGATTTATGGAACTATAGAGTACATGAACTTCACCACATTGACATCGTAATAAAGATCTAGTTTGCACAAAGGATGAATGGTGGTGTAGGGAAATAACAGCATTAACACTTAGCACTTTCTCACAGTAAGTCTAGGTTTACTGGCGGATAGGTGGAAGAGCAGACTCTTTTCCTGACGAAACCAAGCATTGATTCTGGTTGCACATATATCTAAACCTTGAGGTGACTTCCCTTATTACTGAGGAGTCAATAACCATCTTGTTGAATCAGGAATCTCAGACAGAACGAGTCATTCCTGCAAGAAGCATAGGAAAATCCTGAGATTTCACACCTTGCAAACCCGGTCGTAGAAAGCCCTGATCAGCCTCAAACTTGTCTTTCATCGCCATCAGCTCTTCCACATCCCAGTTCGTCCATAGAAAGCGTCCATGGAGAAATTGAGCCTTCTTTGTAGCAGCCCAGACAAAGAAGTTGCCTGGCAGGGATGGGTCATCAAATGGGACTCCTAGACTATCGGCTTTGTAGCCATGAGTCATGTTCTCTGGTGTGAGAACAAATCCAGGATGCTAGTGTGTCGTAAAATTAGAAATGCACGGATGTCCGTAGAACAGCCCATTGAATGTACTTACAATACTTAGGATTTGCATCTGATCAACCGGCGTATTAACTGCCAAATCGGAGAGCATTCGGTTAAACGCGAGACGAGGAGAGCTGGCAGCAGTATAATGCATTGGAAGTCCATGAAAATGGGTCGCATTGGTTGATACATAAATGAGAACCTAAAATGTCAACAACTATTAGCTAAGAAGAGAGTTGGTTCTTCTTGGAAATGGCAGTACCTTGCCCTCTTTTTTTCCTTGTCTCTGGAAACGATCAACGTTGATTGACTGGTTTCTGACAGCAGACTCGAAAAATTTGAAGAATCCTTCCAAGGACTGCTCAGCTACAAACTGCGCGTTAGCCTCTTGGAGAACATCTGGTGAAATACATCGCAATCACTTACGTTCCGGAGCAGCAGGCACAAGAGCTGTAGCGTTGAGCACCAGTACATCAATCTGGATGCCATCACGTTCCAGGCTATCCCACAGTGCCTTCACAGAGTTGACATCGTTGATCTCGTACTCATATCCCACTACCTTGGTCTTGCCATTTCCTGCATCTTCAATCTCCTTGGCCACATTGGCCGCCTTTTCTGCTGATCGAGAAGTGATGGCAACCGTGTCAGCTCCTGCGGTGACGAAGGCATCGGCCGCAGCGCGCCCGATGACTGCGGATCCGCCGGTGATCAGTACCTTGCGCCCTGCTTGCGACTGCTCAGGGGATGCTGCATCTATAGCAGGGTAATTCTTTCGATGGAGGGTCTTGGTGACTTCAGACATTGCGAACACGTATTCTCTACAGTTGGTATATGTGTATGTATGTGTGAGTATGCTTCATGAGAATGAGGGGTAGAGCTGTTGGCTCTGGGCAGCGGTGTGGCCTGCATATGAGATACTGTGTTTTTTTTCATCGTTGGCCAATCACAATCCATCCCTCTCATTGCTACGACAGATCTCTTTCACCTGTTTCAGTCAGAACTTTCGAGCCAGGACGGGGATGATGAGGAGCATAAGCACTAACCGGGCAACGGAGTTTGGGACGGAGAACCCTCGAAGTAGTGGCGACAAGGGGAGCTGCTCAAATTTTCACCTTCTCGTTTACCATGTCGATATAATATTCGAGGTCTTGGTATGAATAGCGATAAAAGAGAAAATCACTGTAATTATATTCAAGGTGCTCTTACAATTACTTATCGCTCCACCAAATCCGGCTTCTTCTCCCCGACAGAGCTTTAGGACCTACCGTGGTTCCCCTCTCATCAAACACAAATTTATGCAGCTAGTTGACCGTAATCAAGATGATATGAGCATTTGGTCTTGGTTATTGTTATGTGTTGTAGTCATAGGAGAAGAGTTATTAGGTAGTTAGATATGATGATTTCGCTTAATTCTATTCTAAGCTTAATTTTCTTGATCTACATGGCTTTAAAAGTCACAGTTAAGATGTTGAAATGATTCCTAATCTTTGTAGTATCTTAGGGTGCTGTGTTAAACCCCAAACTCTGTACATTTCCAATTTATCATGATGTAAGGAACTCTTCCGAAGGAAGCTAAGATACCTAACTGCCTCAGGCCCCCAATTCGCGAATCATTGAACTGGTCAAGTAATTTCTTTCCATCCAGGGTTGTCTTTAAAATACATAACTCAGATTCCTACGAGTATCTCGTGCGCAATCTGTTCGTTTCGTGACAGCACAGTCTAGAAGGCACCGGTGATAATGCCATTGAAGAATTGGCGCACATCTTGGACCCAGAGATCAGGTGCATTAACCGCTGGAAAGTGTCCTCCAGCTTCATGTTGAAATACTCTGACCACGTTTGCCAATCTGGTCATCCAGTCCCTAGGCTGATATGGAGTTAGCAAACAACTGGAAACGTTAGTGGAGGTATCAGATTCCAGGCGCTCCTACCGCAAAGTTGACACTATGAAGACCATCGATATTGTTCGCGGCCCACTGTGAGACTCCGGTCGGAACGTGAGTCAGGGGAAAGTTAAATGCCGACGGCTAGTATGAATTTGTCAGCACAAGTCTCTGCCTGGGAACTGTATTGCACACCTTGAAGGATTCCTTGTATAATCTCAGACCTCCCCAGGGGCCTTGGATCCACAGCATCATGGTATCCCTGATGAGTTCCTTGGCTGTGTAATTATACCCGTCGCTAACTGCGTACCTTAAATGCCAAACCCATCCTGCAAATCCAACAGGAGAGTCTGCCATAGCCTGACCAATCGCCAGGGGCGCTTGCTGGTGAACTGTAGAATAACTGAAACGCGTAGTAGTCCAGACCTCCATGGCTCGAATAAAATCACTTTCTTCCTGGGTTGTTTCGTTCTTTGAAAAGCGCTCAAGGTCTGTGGAATTTGGAGACATGAGAAAGAAATCGGTGAAGTGAGCAATAATATTGTCGGGAGCTATATCTGCCATCCAGCTTGCCACCAACCAGCCAAGATCAGTGGATACTAAGCCATACTTTTGGTAACCCAAGGATTTCATTAGAGCATCGAATACAAAACCCATCTGAGCAGGGCCAAGGCCAGAATACTCTGGCGCGGGGCTGAAGCCAAATCCTGGTAAATCTGGGATGACAAGGTGAAAACTTGTGTTATCAGAGGCGCCGGAGCCGGATAGAAGGGGCTCGATAATTTGGGACCACTCAAGATGAGTAGAAGGCCAGCCATGAAGAAGTAATAACGGGATAGCCTCAGGGTTTGCCGAACGCTCGTGAACAAAATGGAGCGGGACTGGATGGTTGAAGTCTGAAGGGCCTTGCAAGGTGATGGCGTAATGGGAGAAGTTGTTGTTGATCTCTTTCTGAACCTCAGTCCAATCGAAATTGTTGGCCCATTCATCCTTCAGCCATGCCATATCCTTTTGGGGTGGTCCCTCACTCCACTGGTAGTTGCTGTCATCCTTAAGGTCAGGAGAAAGCCGGTAAAGCTTTACTTTGGACTGGGTTTCTTCGATGAACGCTTCATCCACCGAGATGGTGAAGGGCACAGGGTTCGACGTGTTGTATGGAAAATCAAAGTTCAAATTATTGGCTGTGGCCAAAAGAGGGCGAATACCTCCAGCGAGGAGTATCTGATGCAATTTCATCGCTACCATTTTTATAGATGTTCAGCGGACTTAGGACTCGTCGTGTTTGAATTCTCAACATAATCACAGTGATGCGAAGACGATATTTTATAGTTAACGCTCACTCATAGTCGAAATTAATCGATTAACCAATAGACAGAGTGATTGCCACATCAAGTATGATCAGCGGTGATATTCTACGCCGTCTGACACGCGCGCGGGTACGGCTGCTACGGATGATGCCCTGGTCTCAGCCTTTCCCTTTTTCGTAATTTTGACAATCTTTTGCGAGCCGGAAAATTTCAAACTTTTCAAGTACATGCCACTAACAACCAAATAGGTACTGTTTCCTTACAAAGTACACAGTCCTTATGGTCTTCTAACGAGAGCAAAGAGATTCGGTCAACTTCCTTTGCTGGGGTCGCCCATCACTTACCAATGCAATGCTTACATCAAGCATGATGACCAAATGATTCCAACACGTATGGCATTCAGTCAATTTGTAATCGAATCCACAGGATTCCATGATCCAAAACCATACAAGCCGTTATGATCCTAAAACGGATTAAGAAGATACTTTATGTCTCTCAAGGCAGCTAGTGGGATCTTGCTTTTTATCGCCGAGAAGTAGGCAATGCGCAGGAATCCTACTGTCGATATTAAGTCACCTGTGAGGAAGGGTTGTCGTATACTATACATCTCTTCACAAATCACTGTAGCCGGATTGTACCGAACAAAAAAAGAGCTTTCGTCCGAGTTCAATCATGTATCTCTAATTAAGAGACTTAATGTTCCCTTTTCAAAGTGCAATTGAGCAACTATGCTGTTCACCTCTTCTGCGTCCTCTATGACCAGAACGTACGGCACAAGCGAAGTGTACCTCCGCTGGTATTTTGTTCTTGAACATGAGGAGCATCGGTTACCATCAATGAGTCCAAGGCAGAGTGGAGGCTACAGGAGGTGGGCATCTCCTCTGAAGGGTCCGAAGCATGGCTCTTTCTGCCAGGGCCAGGCATTTTGATGGCTTGTGATCAGCCCCAGTTGTGCGCTGCAAAAACGTCGTCATTCCTGGTCTAAACTTCGATGCCAAGTGCTCCAGCAAAATATCAGGCTCCAACCGCTGGTAATACGCTGACTAAGATCGAGGCGCATGAAATTCGTGATCCAATGAGGCTGTCACTGATACGGGAAACGCGTGTCAGACGCGACGTACTCAAAACGCTGCCTTGAGAGCTTATGTAATCATGTTGTTTCAAACATCGCGAAAATCCGGGTGATTCGCGGATATTTTTAGTCACAACACAAACACAAAGTTGTAGCAGCAAACCGAGAGTTCAGACAACAATTGCGTGTCGCAACAGCAGGCGAAAGTTTCGAGTCTATAGCAAGTGCTCGTTTTCACAGTAGATTACCAGTCGGATTCGTAGCAATCGCGCTCTGTAGTACGAGGTCGAGAGCTAACGGACGGAGAAGTCACTCGGAACAGTTACGCGTCGTTACCCAGAGATGCAGGTTCAACTATACAAATACGTATTCGCAATCATTAATAGTAAAACATCAAGTGAATATGGTTTCAAATACATATGAGTATTATTACTTTATTTATTATCGATAACCCCAATAGCCCCGATAGCCCCATCGTGTGAATGCCGTTCAGCTTTGTATATAGATGGGGACATAGAGCCGAACATTACTCCATGAAAGAAGTTGCAGTTGACATGAGACTTAAGAAGTGAAAATAAACATAAGAAGACTATAAGAAAAAGACATACAAACCAGAGCTATTCCCATATGAACCACATTATACTGATATGTTAATGGCCTACCTTACTTAAAGCACACCTTGGCAGGTAGTATAGGGTAGGATAACCGGGATTGTCCGATAGCGGGAAGTTGTAAAATCAACGCGTCGCGCGCTCGCCCAATCTTCTTACTTCCACCAACCAATAAGCCGCGACTAGACTGGGATATGCCTTGGCGTATGCATGGTCTTGGCGGTAAGCTCAGCGTCTGATCCATATTAACAAGGTCCAGGACACAGTCGGCATTCTGCTGCCCGAACGCGTCGCGGACGGGGCACCAGCCTCGCATCCTTCATCGGATTGGACGACAGCCTCAGCTCCTTGGCAAGCTGCAGCCGTATGTTTGAAGTGCTAATACTAGCGACTATCCTAGCAACTGCGAGAAGTTTGGGAAACTGGACGTCACAGAACCTCAGCCCACAATCCAATGCCGATGACGCCAGCTGTCTGTTATGAGCCCCACTGCTTTGACGCAGAGCATGTTTTGTAGGCCCTGGTTCCGGCTTGGGTTTTTTTTTGGCGTACTCCAGGGTTGACTCCATTGAACACGTTTGTATGCCTTTATCTTCATCACAAATAGTTTACTGTACCACCCTCCATGTAATTTGATGGATAGATGAACAGTGATGCCTCGGAGTCTGTAGTGATTGCCTCCAAGAGTAATATTGACACATGACTGAAAGAGCGCTGAGGAAAGCAAGGGTATCAAAGTGCAATCTTATACTGCCGAGGGGTCCTGGTGATGGAGGTCCTGGTGATGTAGGTAGCGGAGGTGAGATGTTATCGTATTGTGCATTTGGTCCTACTGTTGGTCATTTCTGGATTGGATGATGCTTAGCTCAATAACTAAACCGGCTGTATTAGACTAGATATCCTACTAATCAAGATATAGACAAGAAATAATTCTTTTAAATAACTATCTTGCCTCGCATCCTAACTCTAAACAAGACCCGTTTCCGTATCAAAGAGACGCCCCTCAGGCGTTCTGGTTGATCCAGTCGATATAGTTGGCAAGTCTGGTGTAGACACCGGGATAACCAGCACGAGCACAGCCAACGCCCCAAGAGACCACACCGGCGAGAGTACCGTCCTCAGCGAGGACAGGGCCACCGCTGTCACCCGAGCAGGAATCCTTACCACCCTGCTGGAGACCGGCACAGAACATGTTGTCGGTGATTGCATTGATTCCGCTGTAGTCGGCGGCGCACTCGGCGCGGTCAATGACGGGTACGGAGACGTAGCGTAAGTCAGCAGAGAGACTGCCATTCTCGCTTGTGAGACCCCTATATCAGAAGAATGACGATTGGTCAGCCAGTTCTGTGTTGCTGTAATTAACGCGTGGTCTGGAGATTGTACGTACCAGCCAGCAACAGTGATACTGCCAGAGGGATCAGATCCGGCAGCGGTGAGAGTGGCATAGCCAATATTGGTGCTCTCGGCAATGGCGGAGGAGAGATGCAGGATCGCAACATCGTTGTCAGTGGTGTCCGGGTTGTAGTCAGAACGGCGAGTGATGCTGGAAACCTTGCTGATTGTGCCACCGGATTGCCATTGCTAATAAACATCAAGTTAGTTCTAGTAGACTTTGTTCAAGTTATATCATGATATTAAGAAAGACAATCTAAAGAGCTCGTAGTTTAAGAAAGAGATGCAAGTATATGTCTGAAAAGAGGCAAAAAACAAGCATGGTGTATTCGCTTACAAGAGAACCGGCTCGGATAGTGTAAACAGACGGACTGGTCTGGCTACCATCCTGATTGAAGGTGCAATGAGAGGCAGTGAGGACGGTATTGGCGCCAATGAGAACACCGCCGCAGATCGTGGAGTCGGTAGTCACAGTGACAATGTAGGGAAACTGCCCAGCGGAAGCAGGGCTTCCACCGACAATGAGAATGCTAGCTTCTTCGCGAGGAATAGCACCGCCCATGGTGAGGGCGGGCAGGGCTAGAAGAGCAGCAGCGGCGACCTTGGAGACCATTGTGAACAGCAAGGGTGGGATGAAGAGTATATTAGGATAGATGGTAGTCTAGTGAATCAAAAACAAAAGCTATCGTTAGGAAGCTGAGGTTGTCTTAACATTTATATAACAGACGGACCAGTATACGCCGCCCATTTAGATGCTTTACATGAAACTCGCAAACACGGGACATTCTTTTCCCGCTTTCATCTATGAAAGGCAGTTCATAAATGCCTTAAACTCTTTCCCCATTGGCTTTAGTCAAGATCAAAAGAGGATATTGTGAGAATATAGTCAGAACGTAGGAGCGAGGGTGCATCGCCTGGATAAGGGTTGTTGATGTGTCAGGGTTGAGGAACGCTATGATCTGCATTATAGCTTCCTGATTCTTTCCAACCCCCACTCGTTTCACCTTTAACTCCTGTCCTGTTTTTGGAGCAAGTCCTTCCTACATTTCCCACCACTGAGCATTGGACTATATCTACAATGGTAAAAGTAAGGGTTTCGGTTTGAAAACTAATATTACCTTTCATGGTTAAGAGGTCTCTTGGTATTATCCTGAAGTACCCGTTGTTATCTGGTGAGCCGGGAGAAAAGAACTGGAGATCCTCCAGGAGCGGCCGATGCCGCTTACTCCACGGTTTAAACACCATCCTAAATCGGATGGATTGTAATACCTACGGGGCCCCATTGGCAATCACCCACTTCAGTCGGACAGAGGCGAATGACTAGACTCATTTATACGTCGGTGTGTGGCTCCCATCTCGGAGATAGACGGGTGAAGCCACTCTGCACTCTCTCTTCACTCCCATCTCACGCGGACTTCCTAATGTAGCAGCCTGGATCTTTTGTGTAGGATGAAGAGCTTCCCATCCTTCTTCTTTTACAAATACAATTATGAAACAAATGTATGCACTAAGAAAGCATCATACGAGCTTATCTGCACATGCCTGTACGGCGAAGGCGATAATGTGCTATTCCTTTTGCCACCGCCCTAGTCGACCCCAAACCTTCGATTGTCTCATTGCTTCCGGTATCGCATATACTTGGCGGAGAAATTGGACTTTGAAACGTGCTATCGCCGCAGAGAAAACAAAGCAACTTACTTCATGAGATGGTGTTAAGTTGAGCTGAACCATGGCTTAAAATTAACCCTCTCTTTCTCTCTCGTTACATTTGCTCCCACTTTTGTGCTGAGAGAGAAGGCTGCAGTATTTACATATGATAACAATAATGAATTTGCCAATTTCTGTGGTGGAATACACCAGTCCTCTCTCCTCGCCGCTTCCCTCGGTAGCACCACAATTTTGTTACCACCTAAAGTTGAAATAATACTAATTTATGGGTAGCAATAACTGATCACGCTGGTTTACGTCCAATCATCAAATACATTGGCGAGAACAGATGCTCTTGGCCAGTTGCTGCTAACGCTGCAGCGGTGAGAGCCAGGCTGTCTGCCGTCTTTTTCGTGCCTGTTGGTGCGAGACCTAAACTCTCCAAAAACCCAAAGACTTTGTGTGAAGCACTCAGCCCCCAACTGCTCAACCATACTACGGTAAAGCAATCAACCAGAGACTGCGCGTAGCTTATCCGGCCAGCAAACGGCCAATACCATGGGATAGCGTCCGTTCTCCTAGCCAAATCTTCATGATGGAGGACTTCAAACCCTGCTGCTTTGATAGCTTCCAGAGCGTCGCGGCGATTAGAGATTGTATTGACAATGCCGCCGCCCATTTCGAGGCCAAGACGCATGTCCCTATGGGTAGGGTTTGTGTCATCGTAATCATCGGTCATGACCCATTCATACACGCCAAAGACACCTCCTGGCTTTAACACACGAAATATTTCGCGATAGATGGCTTCGAGATTAGGAGCATGAACAGTGGCTTCGATACTGTACACGGCGTCAAAAGATTTGTCTTCAAAGGGCATTTGCTAAACACCAAGGTCAGCATATATACCCTCCAGTTGAGTGCCAATCTTTACAAACCATAAAGTCTCCTTTGACAAAACGGACATCCTCCGATTGCCCACTCTTCGATGCGTAACAGTTCGCACGTCTGATCTGGTAGTCATTAATATTGATACCAGTGACATGGACGCCCGAGAACTTGGCGATCTGCCGGGCGGGTCCCCCTACACCGCTACCGACGTCCAGAACCTTCATGCCCTCTTTGAGATTCATGGAATGAGCCAAGTAGTGCTCATGACGAGTGATGGCCTCACTAAAGGATTCGCCATAGCTCGAACGACAAAAGTGGAAGGATTGGCCCCAGCCATATTCGTAAAAGTCAGTGACAAGGTCATAATACCTATGCGCTCAACTAAGTTAGTTGTCCATCAGACTTTCAAGGCGGTAAGTATTTCTGCCGGAGGTTCCATCGTCTCACAGTTTTGTCCGCGTAGCGTATTCATTCTACATCATGTTAGTTGGTTTATCAACAAGAAGGCGCCATGGTAGCTCACAGTCTGCTCCCCGATTGATTTCCCGGTCCAATATTTGAAGTATCCTTCCGCCGCGGATTTCATTGTCTCCGAGTTCTTTCGGAATAGCGAGGTGAGACCGCCGCGCATTGTGCCAGACTTGCCGTGCATAGCATGGGCGAACTGGGCATCGCGCCCGTGATCTTCTGGTTCCAGAGTCTGTAAAGCCATTTTGGTGAGGACTCAATTGTGAAAAAATGTGTGTCGCTGTTGTATCAGGTCAAGGGGTTTGGATTTATTAAGCTGCTTCGGATCTGACAGTGCATCATCCATAGATATATCCGGTGCTCATCGTGTTCACTTTCTCCGGTGCTTCAGACATCCGGAAATAAGTTTGACTCAACTACGAGACAAATTGACGAATGTCTCGCATCTGAAGTCATTACTAGTGTGAAAGCGTCGGCTTCCTTGATTTCGGGTGTGATTGAGACTGCCTTGCCGGTACATCAGAGACATTTGCGAGGCACATGTATCCCATTGCAGCGAATATAATAAGACACTTTGCGGTCCTTGCGTCGCGCGCTGATGTTCGTATCCGGATGCGCACAAAGCCTTCCGCATCCCTTCACAGTACTAAAACAGCCTAATCCGGATCAGATGAAAACATCATTATTTGAATCAGCTATGACTATCTTGCTCCAATTTAACTCCATAACGAGACATGCTTTATTACGTTTTCGGCGCGATGGTCACGGAGGAAAGGCTAGCAGGAATCGCCAGCAGCCTTCAATATAAATTAAAAACTTGATGTGACACGAATGCTGTAGAGAAATACGTGACTCCGAAGTTGTGCGCCTGTGATCATGGATCATCTTACAAGGTCGTTGTCTTTGATCAGAGATGCCATGCATATCGTTCTTCCAGGCTCTCAAATCGCCGTTTGGCCTAGTGTGTTCACATACAGCGTAGCAACTGTGGTTATTTCTACAGTAGCTGCATACTGTCTTTACCACGTCTGTCGCGGTTGCTCTAAAACTGAGACAAACTACAAGTTGCCATGGTATATGCTCCTGGAGCTTGCCATCACTACAACTATTTTGCAATCTGGCATTGTGATCACTCGTCCGATGTAATAAAGGTTCCTCCTCACAGTACGAACTGCAGCTGATGGTGAATTTTCGTTAGAATTTCCCTGCTACACCGGAATGGCTTCCTTCACGGGTTGACATCACGGCATCAAATCTTGTACCAAGTCCACAACGCGGACTCAGTGCTCGCCAGACCTCACCACTTGGTCAACCCCGATCCTATTGCCCTAGCCTTGTTCCCCAAGTTCTTCGGTGTATCACTGTCTCCTGAGCTTCGCAACGATTTCACGGCATTTTACAAGGCTCTGACAACAACGTTGGAGCGCGGTTTTGTCAACGAGACAGCGAGTACCGTTGCGATCCATGAAGCTAATCTCCCAAGAAGAATCTTCTCATTGTTAAGCTTTTCCGAAGATCCGAAAAACCAGCATGGGTGGGAGAGAAACGCCAACGTGAAGATTCATCCTGACTGTGTTGAAGCTGATTTAGCCGCAATATTGAAGGATTTCGGTGGCCACGTGTCTATCCCCATGTTGTACGGGCAAGATTTCTTGGAGAGAAACCCGACGCTGCTCGATGACTTCTGGCTGTTTGATGCCTTTGCACTACCCTTCAAAGCTTTGGGCATCCCCGAGTGGGTGCCCATCAGGCCATATCAGAACGCGCTCGCAGCACGGCGCCGCCTCCAGGATGCGTTGATTGGTCTCTATCGGCGCATCGATCAATACGAAAATGGTACATCTATCGACTATGACGCGAAGATGGATGATATCGGGCAAGTTGCTATTGAGCGACACAGGTTATTTGCGCAGTACAATATCCCTATATCCGTCCGTGGGAAATTTGAATTAGGTACTCTATGGGCACAGAACGCAAACACCCAGCCCCTGATACTCTGGTTCATACTATTTGTCTACTCTACACCTGGATTAGTAGACGAACTTCGGAGCGAGGTCTGTGGGTTTGTGCCACCCGTCACTGGATCAAATCGGACCGATAGCGACTCGATTGATCTCGCCGGTTTGAGAAACAAGTGTCCGCTGCTCAAGTCGGTCTTCTTGGAAACCTTGCGGGTGGTCAACCAGCCAACTTCGATGAGATACATCTCTCAACCTATGAGTATGTTCGACGGTCAGCATCATCGTCATCTCCAGGCAGGGACTTGGATATCCGTCCCTCATGCGGGTACACAACAAGACCCATCTGTATTTGTAAATCCTACTAGTTTCCAGCCCTGCCGCTTTATTAAGCGCGATGAGGAAACTGGAAATGCTTCGGTGGGTTACGGCAGGCTCAAGCCATGGGGTGTAGGAGCAGGCATATGCAAAGGGCGCGTGCTCGCAGAAAAGCAGGTGTTGGCCACAGTGGCTTGCTGCATCATGATGTGGGATATTGAGCCGGTAAACGAGGATGGGTGGAAATTACCTGGGATGATTCCAACCACAGCGGTTATGCGGCCCTCGCATGGGGTCCGTGTAAGAATGAAACATCGATCTGAAGGAACTCAAT